AATATAGCTTTTATCCTACTATATACCTAGACTGGATATACTATTAAAAGAAAAATATTATAGAAATAAGTCACGTGCCTTTCCTATTCCCCCTCCCCCCCCCAAAACCACCACCAGATACGACCTCCAGAAACTCAACTTCAACAAGACATCGAATTCAGACAAATTGGACTGAAAGCAAAGGCTCACTTTAATAATGGAATGCGATGATTGCGGCCCACTGGCCCCAACCCCCGAGCATGATGTTACGCCAACCGCAGCGCCGAGTAAGGAAACGAGCAGTTGCCAGGATACTTACTGCAATGACGATGACGCTGAGCCTGTCGACACCACGGTCCCGGCTCATGGAAAGCTCAACCAGGGGAAACCGGACGGTTGCTGCTCTCCGGGTAAATGCTCGGGCAACAAAGCCGAGAATGATACCGACACGCCTGATTGCTGCCGTGGCAAAGTCCGCCCATGCTGCGACACCTTTTGCCTTGACCTCCTGGCTTTGCGGGAATGCGAGATGAGTACTGCGGTTGCCCCCGGCCCAAACGGTCAGCCAAACAGTGAATAGCCGCTCTTTGGAATGGCATTCAAAGATTGCTAACTCTCCTTAGCTTGTGATGGAGCTACCGACCGCAAGGCATGCAGCCAGCATAATCTCTCCGCCCTCGACCGTTACGGCGCTACTCTACAAGCCCTGGGGTGTATCTGCCGCGCTCTCATTGCTCTTGGCCAGGAAACCTGTTGTGAAATTCGCGGGCGCCAGGCTTTGGGCAGGAAGCAGTGCTTCAGGAAGTCATCTGCTCGCTCCCTTGTTCGTACTTCGCTGGATTCCTGCAGTAGTAAAGTCTCCCTCACCAAGGACCAGGCCGCGCAGAACCGTCTTCGCCTGCGAAGGGGCTCTGGTGAAAGCGCCAGGTCTGGCAAGAAGCCGTTCGCGGATCCCTGCGGTGTCTCATGTTGTTCATCGGACAAGCCCTCCAAAGAGCCTCCGTTCGAAAGTAAGTGCCCGAAGTCATGCTGCGCTGGGGGCCAACCTGCCAAGGAACCTTCCCCGAAGAGCAACTTTGACGACTCTTGCTGTTCGGATGACAGTTTCAAAGAAGCCCCGACGAAAAACAAGTGCTCCTATTCTCGCTTCTTGGAGGCTCCCGGTGTAGAAGAATCCCCTCCCAAGGTCAACTGCCCCGGATCATGCTGCCCCGGAGACCAGCCTGTTAAAGACACTAACAGCAAGAGCATATATGTGGACTCCTCCTTGTCGAAGGTCAAGCCTATTGTTGAACCTGCAACTAGCGACTTTGCAGGATCTTGTTGCGGTAAAGGTAAGGACACGATTACTAAAGAGCCCTCCAATTCTGCCTCTGGCTCTTGCTGCAAGCCACCGAAGCAGGATATCTTGAAGACTTCAAAGACTAGTTGCACGGATTCTTGCTGCACAGAAAAGCAGCCGGTCAGCCCTCGATGCTCTTGCACTGATGCTTGCTACTCCTCTGCTGCGGCCAATCCTGGGTTGGAGATTGAGAAAGCCCCGAATCAGGCTATCACCGACATAGAGAGTCAGGGCATCGGCAAGGAGCATGTCGTTCTCAGCATTTCTGGCCTGACTTGTACTGGTTGCGAGACAAAGCTCAACCGAACCCTCGCTACCGTCCGTGCCGTCAAAGACCTGAAAACCAGTCTGGTTCTCTCACGCGCCGAGTTCAACATTGATCTTCACCTTGGTTCGGTAGAGGACGTCATCAAACATCTAGAGCGAACAACTGAATTTAAGTGTGAAAGAGTCCAGAACCAGGGATCTAGCTTAAATCTTATCGTCCACGATGAGCCCTCTAAATTCATTAGTCAGACGTGGCCGGACGGAGTTCTTGATATGGCACCCGTGGGCAAGCAGACTGTGCGAGTTGCGTTTGATCCGAAGATCGTGGGAGCTCGAGATCTCACCGAGAAGATTTGGGGCCGGCCAATTGAACTTGCTCCTCCACGCGGTGACCCTTCGCTGGAGGCTAGCAGCAAGCATGTTTGTCATGTCGGATACATGACGCTTCTTTCCGCTGCTTTGACAATTCCGGTCCTGGTCATGGCATGGGCTCCGCTTCCTGAGAGGGAGGTGGCGTATGCCTCGGCTTCACTCACCTTGGCCACGATTGTTCAAGTTGTCATAGCGGGGCCTTTCTATCCCAAAGCCCTGGAGGCTCTCGTTTTCTCGAGGGTTATCGAGATGGACCTCTTGATCGTCTTGAGCACTAGTGCTGCCTACATCTTCTCGGTGGTCTCCTTTGGGTACCTCATTGCAGAGCAGCCCCTTTCCACTGGTCAATTTTTTGAAACGAGCACTCTCTTGGTCACCTTGATCATGGCTGGTCGATGGGTTGCCGCTCTCGCTCGTCAGAGAGCTGTTGAATCCATTTCTATCCGGTCACTTCAGGCATCGACAGCTATCCTCGTCGATAAAGAGACTGGAACGGAACGTGAGATTGACGCCCGACTTTTTCAATACGGCGATACCTTCAAAGTCCTCCCTGATACCAGAATCCCGACTGATAGTACTGTCATTAATGGGTCGTCTGAGGTTGACGAGTCTATGCTCACAGGTGAACCTAGACCCGTGGAGAAATATCCTAAGTCTGCGGTGATTGCTGGGTCTATCAATGGACCTGGAGTTATGACTGTTCGATTGAACCGTTTGCCTAGCGATAACACTATCAATGCGATTGCTGCGATGGTCGATGAGTCTAAACTGTCGAAACCCAAGCTGCAGGATCTTGCGGACCGGGTAGCATCCTATTTCGTCCCGGTTGTGGTGGCATTAACGATCATCACGTTCGTCATCTGGGTTGCAGTGGGCATGACTCTTCGTGGACATGATGGATCCGAAGCTACAATTCAGGCTATCACCTACGCCATTACTGTCCTCATCGTCTCTTGCCCCTGTGCTATTGGACTGGCTGTTCCTATGGTTATTGTGATAGTTAGCGGAGTTGTGGCGGAAAGAGGTATCATCTTCAAGTCAGCAGATGCTATTGAAGTGGCTCATAAGACGTCGCACGTCGTGTTTGATAAAACTGGGACCTTGACTCGGGGAAAGCTTTCTGTCGTCGCCAAGAACTGCGTCAAAGTGGACAACCTCCCGCTTCTTCTAGGCCTCATCGAAACCAGTCGACACCCAGTCTCGGTTTCTGTGGCTGCTTACCTCAAGGATACTGGTGTTACGGCTTCGACTGTTTCTGAGTCCAAGAGCCTTACTGGTAAAGGTATTGAAACCATATTTGGCGGGCGGAAACTTCGAGCAGGCAATTCTCGCTGGCTGAATTTATCGGAAAATGAACATGTGCAACAAATGCTTGCTCAAGGGTACACTGTCTTCTGCTTTACTATCGACAATGCATTACAAGCGGTCTATGGTCTTGAAGATGAGCTTCGACCTGACGCTGCGGCGACGATTAGGACCTTGCAGAAGCGTAACGTCTCGGTACATGTCGTTTCTGGCGACGATGACGGAGCTGTCAATTCTTTGGCATCCAAGCTTGGCATTCCTGGCGGCAATGTGCGTTCTCGAAGCTCGCCCGCCGATAAGAAGGACTACATTCAGACGCTCCTCGGTACTGGTGCAGATGGCAAGAAACCTGTTGTTGTTTTCTGCGGTGATGGCACCAATGATGCTGCTGCTCTCGCGCAGGCTACGATCGGTGTTCACATGAACGAAGGCACCGATGTCGCGCAGTCCGCCGCGGATGTGGTTCTCATGCGGCCTTCTTTGGCTGGTATCTGCACCATGATGAACGCCAGTCAAAAATCTGTCAACCGCATCAAGCTCAACTTTATATGGAGCTTCGTGTACAACACCTTTGCAGTCCTTCTCGCTGCGGGTGCTTTTGTAAATGCCAGAATCCCCCCAGAGTTTGCAGGACTGGGAGAGTTAGTGAGTGTATTGCCTGTCATTGCTGCTGCGGTGCTTCTGCGTTGGTCGAAGATCTAGACACAGGCACTACTATTGCTCGGGTAACTATAGCTGAAGTTCTACAAACTCTCCTTGATGTCCGACTGGAATCATCGTTTGGAAGCCGGGATGCGACAGCTCCTGCCATATTCGAGTTCGAATCGCAATCGTGGATATTGCAATTCTGTCATTACCGAAAGTCAGTCTGCTTGAGTACCAGAGAAGACTCCTGTGAGAAATCTTAACTCAATTCGTTTAGTTCTCTCTATATGTCCTATTCAAAAGGGCGTACTTTTTAACAGTTATGACTTTTTGGTGGAATTAGTTACATAGGGGACTATGTGAAGGGGTTCGCAGATCCTCATCTTAGCTTCATTCTCACTGTTGAGTAATTATTATAACTATTTTGAATTTTCGCCAGAACGCTCAGAACGCTATCACTACTTTGGCCGCTTTGGATGTTATTAGTCTCTTCTCATAGCACTGCGAATAGTAAGATATTAACGATAGCGGAAAGCTACCAGGAATTTCATTTTAAGCCATATTGAGGTTCCCTCTTCCCACAACGGTAGAATTTGCAAGTACACGGCTTTGGAAAGAAAATCAGAAGGTCAGGTATGATGTAGATTTGCATCTGTCGCTCTCGGCGCGTATCTCCCCACCACCAATGTTCCAAGAAATACGCCACCAAGGATAGACAAGATGTAGCCAATATTCTCTGTCATGATAAATATCATCCTGCAAGGCTGTTAAAAATAAACACAGTCGCATAGTCAGCGAGGGTACCTACAGTATGTATAAAATTGCCAGGATCAAGGTAGTCATTGTGGCTTTCAGTACTGTGGTCCACCCGATTTCTTTGCCTTCAGGTGCCGTAGGACTCCGAGGTCGATTTGTGAGTTGGATATAAATATACATACATATATGTATATATATACATATCTTCACCTGGTCCTATTTCCTCAGTCAATTTGCAACACTCATCACTCATCACTTATCCATCGCACGCTCTTAACTGTATAAATATATATATATATATATATATACACATATATATATATTAATCGTCAAAATGATATTCTCCACGCTCCTCTCCCTTACCCCACTCCTGGGCGCTGTCTCCGCGCAATCGCAGTCTCAGGCTGCTGATGCCTTTACCCTCAATCTTCGCTGGTCCAACAGCCCTCTTAACGGGCCTCTCAACGCCAACCGTGGCGGGTTCTGGATCGGAAAGCCAACCGCCGCATACTACCCGGATAATATCCCGCACTGCCCGACGGCGAATACCACTTCTTTCGTCGCGCAGGATGGGAAATTGTTCCTGAATACCGCCGTGCCTGGTGGTCAGCAAGGTATTTCCCACCTTTTTCTCCAACCTTTTGGTTTCGTGAAGACAGTTTGAGGGCGCGCGAGCTGATCATGAGCCTAGTTTATGTCTCGCCCACTGGTGAATTGACATATACCGTTCCGCATAGCGCGTATATCCCCGAGGGATCCCTGACAGATCTGGAGATCTTCTCAACAACTTCGTTCCTGAACCCGTTCTTGACGCTTTGGCTCTGTGATGCGGATGAGAGCGCGGTGGTCTGGAGAGTTTGGTTTGAGTACACGAATGCGACCACAGGAGCGATCACGAATAACGGGCTGACTGGGAAGAATGCGTGCACACGAATTGCGTTGGAGGCGAAGGCGTATGCTGGGCCCAAGGCGTGGTCGTTTGCGTAAAAGATGGCTTGTTCAATCAGCGGTAGAAGTTGATTGGTGGCCTAGATCGGGATTGCATATATTCTGTTCGGTTTGAATCGTAGGAGACCACTCTCTTCGTCAATCGGGGGATTGGTGTATATAGCGCATCATGAACTCCGATATACATCATCTTGTCGTCTAAAACATGCTTCAAGATCGATCGGACAGGAAAATTCCGTATCAACGGCCACATTTGCTGTTGACGATGTGTTTTGTAGTAGTAGCCATGTTTCGCGAATGCAATCGGTCCTCAAAAGCCTTCGGAGTTCGGACCCATTTCGGATGCATCTCGGGGATCAACGAACTCCACATGATAAAATCTGATCTACAATCGTCAGGAGCGCTGATGCGATAGGTCATCTATTCCTCATAATGAGAAGATATTTCATTGCCATTGGAAGAGCAGCTTCACGAGTCACCGGAGCTTTTTAACCTAAATTTGACCTCTCAGGTACGAGCCGAATGGATGTTGTCAGAAGGCGCAAGTAAGGTTTGCTTCTCTTGCTCATATTTTATTGGTCATCAAGTCATCATTATCTGACCAAGCAACGGGCCGTTGGAGTGACACGGTGACAGGACCAATGCTAAACTCGTCACATAATTCATCAAGCATTGTGCTCACTTGATTGCATTGCATACCAACCTGTTTTTAATTAGCAGGATCTTTTCGCAATGCAAACTTGAAACAGTGGGTTGAGACTGGACTGTGCAGTTGGTGGTGTCCATAATCCATATCTTCCTTCCTTTGGCCCCCAATCTAATTTCGTTTGGATGTGACCATCTTGATATTTCCGATGCGGATGTAGACATGCGGAGCGGCGGAGCCCCCAGGTGGGCAGGAGAGGGCGTGAGACGGTGAGAGACTGGACCTTGCTGCCTGGTCGAAAATGTAATATCAATGTCAATGTTGGGAACTGGTAGGTGGTAGCCCAAGTGGACCGGTAACCACACTTGGCGCTATATTGACTTTTGGGTGGACAAGAAGCACGAGGTCTTACCACACATGCATCACACCCTTGATCTCCGTCTAGAAGATTGAGTCTCCATGCCATTCCAGTCTAATCATGCTTCTTAGTTGCAAGTTGCATAGAGCTGCCCAGGATATCCCGTAAAATGACCACAAATGATTGGGAAATCTCATTTCCTCAAACTGACACCTCAAGGGTCTTCGCAGGATTCGTCAACGATTGGCCGAGCTAACCACAAGGATGGAAATCCGCTTCCAATCAAAGACAAGCAGGGAGACACTTGTTTTAGTTTAGACTACCGTAGTCCCACGCGAGGATTCCAGAGCACTTGGCATCAAACATACCTCAAAAGAGAGTGTGCAGTGCTCAGGTGCCCAGATGCTCATCCTCGCAATAGGGGCCAGTCCAGAACTTCACGGGCAGCGGTCCATGGACCTTTTGTTGTAGGGTATCACTCGAGGCTCTAGATCTCGTGTGGAGTATCTAGTGTCAAGGGTCTGACATCTTGTGTTGCTTGGTTCACGATCGATGGTAGTTTGGATGAAGGAAAGGAAATAGGAATAAGCCAAGAGGACATGGCATTTGTTAGGCCATCTCGCTCATTCGCTAAATACGGTGTGGAGATTGTTCCACTCTTCCCAGTTCCCATGCAAAGCTCAAGGATGATCCGAGCGATGGAGCGACGGAAAAGACCCCGTCGGGTTGGATCGGGGGTTTCTTGAAAGCCTCGAATCACAAATGGCTCAATGAGGTATTTTCCCCTCGCGCTATGTCTGGAATTCTGCTTGTTGACCAGTCAGAGTCAGTGGAGTGTGCTTGGAGAGATTGTCTGGCTGGCCATGGCTAGGGGGTTAACCTCTCAGACGGAATTTCTTGCCAAATCATCCATGAAAGCCACGAGGAAAAATTGACAGGTTGGCACAGCATGATCAACCACTAGGGTCGATCATCATTATCACCACGCCGTCATCTTCATCCACCGAAACAGAGTCTGCCGGGGATTGAGATATTGAGATTTGTGACTGGGACCTGGGAAACGCCGCATCCGATTCGATCTCAAGATGACCATGGATGGAGGGCAGACTATGGAAGCGGCAGTGGGTCGTTGTTGGTTGACTTTCCTCATAGTCATAGAAGTGCGATGATAGAGTTTGATGATCTTCTAATTTGCTGAGTGATGATGCTGAAGCTGAGACTTGTTGAATCTGTCGTAGTGTGTGGTGTGCTGCTTCGGAAATCCCCAGAATTCCTCCTCCTCTTCCCCCCCTCGCCACCACCAGATCCAATAATCCGCCGCCTTCCTCTTTCCTCTAGCTTTGACTCTTGACTGCTTTATCATTCTCTGTTCTTCTGCCTGGATTGATGTCTCTGTATCTTTCTTCATCATCTCTATAGTCTGAGGGGATGGTATCCCTCAAGGCATCCGGAAGTTCCATGTCATCATCCCCTGTCACTCTTTTTGCATCTCTACTACCAATCCTCGTCAATCGTTAATGGAGTGGTATCCTCTCTGAACCAATCCTCCAGTCCATAAAAAATCTCACTTGGACCACGGGTCTCCTCTCATTCTCTCCATTCGCATCAGCTTCATGTCTCTGTCTTATAGCCTGGTATCGTGCTTGATCCCATCTCCTCCTCATGGAGATGCGTCCGGTGGCCTTCCCGTCAGGAAATCCTGCTCCTTCACCGTCTACAGAAGCACAATCTACCGAGCCTCTGGGGTCTGAAAAGAAGAAGCGGGTTCGTCGATGGCATCGCCGTGGGTTTACAGGATGTTTGACTTGTAGACGACGTCATGTTCGCTGTGACGAAGCATCCCCTTCCTGCAAAAACTGCACGAGATTAGGCCTTGACTGCGATGGTACCCAAGGCCGGATGACCTTCAAGGTATATGGTCCATCGCAAGGTGCAGCAGAAACCTCGCAGAGTCAGAATAACGCCAGCTCAGTAAGTGTGCAGTCGGTCAAGACGCAGCAATCGGACAGCAAGCCGATCAAGCAGGAACCCGAAGACGATGTTGACGGTATCGTGATATCTCCAACGACCATGGTTGAGCCAACACCCGTTAAATACCGGTTCGAAGATCCGATTTCGCCTTCTGAATTTGTGCCCGCGTCTTTGGATGTTGCTGAGTGCCACTACTATACCCATTTCAACGAACGGGTCTCAGCATTACTTCTGATTTACGATGGCACGAATGATATCAATCCATACCAAAAATACTTTCCCGAGCTCGCTCGATCCTCACAATCAATGGCGAGCGCCATGCAAGCCCTCGGTGCGTTACATCTGGCGAACACGTCGAGTGGTCCACAGCGTAATGTGCACTTTCAACAAGCAATGAGCAAGTATGGGGAGGTGGTCAAGTCCTTTCGAACTCGGTACACGCAGCCCAATCATTCAGTCAAGATAACTGATTTTGCGACCTGCCTTTTGCTGGCTCTCTTCGAGGTAGGAAGGATAGCCCTCTCCTTTGCTTGGCTGTCTCTCCGTTAACCTCTCAATCTTTGTGTAGATGATGGACTCTCAACATGACAATTGGGCAATTCACCTCAAAGGCGCTCGTGAAATTTATCGATCACTGTTCATATCGACAGACACCAACCCAGCAAAAGAGACCCAACGGCTTGCGGAATCTCAACATCCCCTCCGACATTTCCTCATCTCCCTCCTGTCCTATCTTGACGTTGCAGGGGCCTGTAACACCAGCGACGGTACAGTGGTAGAAGGAAGCTATTGGAGGGCTCATGGAGCCGAATGGGAATATAACCTTGGGACCCCGAGTCTCTCATCGACCACGTCAAACGACAACCGCCTTCACGATCTACGACAAAGCTGGTCTCTCATGATGGAGATCCAGGCCGCCATCAGCGCGTTCGGGAAAGCAAAACACGAAAAATGGCTCTCATACAAGCAACAGGATGCTCTCTATAGCGAGCTACTGGAACGTCTTGTCCAGTGGCGAGCAAACGCGCCGGATAGCATCCAACAACTCGGTGAAGTAGACGATGAGAGTCTGCATCAATACCAGTACCCGGAAATTGTGGAGTACGCTGGCTGCATCGAGGCTTACGAAAAAGCGACCCTCATATACTTGCATAAGGTCGTCGCAGCAGATCGCCACGACCATCCGTCGCAGAGAGACTTCTTGGAGATGCTGGCGACCCGTATTCTGACATTGATCGAGAAACTCGCCAAAGACGTCGGACACCTAGCCGTGATGTGGCCACTCTTTATCGCTGGACGGGAGACTCGAGACGAGACTCGGCAGAAATCAGTCCGCCAGACAATGCTCGATTGCCAGCGCTTCGGATTCAAGGTACGTTAACCATCAACTCGCTTTGTTCTAGAAGACCCAACTAACGTGCAATCAGAACGTCGATAGGGCTCTCGAGGAACTAGAAAAGGTGTGGTTCAAGCAACGCGCCTTTCCGGAGGGCTGGGTCGATAGGATGGATGATATCCGAAGCTCAATCCTTCTACCATAAATGTGCATTTTATCTCATTGAGCCCATGCATGCCTGCTATCGGTGGATGGCAGGCTAGGGCTGCGTTTTCCCTGCGTTTTACTTCATGAGCGAAGGCCTGGAGTATGTGGGATTTTCGACACGGCTGGCGTTATGGCTGGGCTGGTCCCTTATGAATTGATTTATGAATATCTTCAATGTAATTCCTGGACCTATGAATTCCCTGGCCGGTAGTCGGGTTATTTCAACCCCTCCTGGTTTCGTCCCTTGATACACTTCTCCGTTGCTCCGACATAAAAGACCCGGCCTCACTCTGTTCGCTCCGTTCGTCTTTTCGATCCCTCTCCTTCCTCCCTCTATCCCCTCTATTCTGCACTTGTTGCTTCGTCCTCTGCGATATTAACTCCGTAACTGGGATCAATCAAAAGCCCATCCAAACCACGCAGATTATATGCTCGAGTTTCATCATCCCGAATCGGTACTGATCCAGGAGGTGTTCGACGATCCCGAGCGCGGAAGTGACCACCAATGCATTAGCATGATCCCTGTGATATGGGGGTAAGATGTCTGAGCTGACGCGCGTTCTGCCTCAAGAGTGACAAAGTACGAGCGGCTCGGCCATTGACACTATTAAATAATTCCGTATGAGGATCTGACAAGGGAATTTTCGCAGAGGAATCTCGGAAAGGAAATTGTCCAAAACAGGAACGGTCCAGGGGCCTGCTATTGTCGAATAGGATGAGGTGCAGCAGCTAGATTTACCTTTTCTCTGAATAAGCGTGAAGTCAGCCTCCAGCGGCACTAGTTTTTTTGTTCGTGAAAGGTGGAGAAAAAAAAATGATATTAGCTGTAATCCACGAGTACATGATCAGTAGACCAAATTCGAATCTATCTTATTAATGACGTTTGTAAAGTAATGTCGTCCCCATCCGGTGATCTATCCAAACAACAAGTATATACTTTTCTTCCAGCATAGTGTACAACTTTGACAGCACATCAGTCTTTATGCGCGGCAGTCTGCTCGGGTTCCTGTCCCTCAGACGGGTGCACCTCTTGCACCGTCTCCGAGACAGCCCCCTTGCTATCGATGAAATGCGAGATCCGGTTCCGGGGCAACCAGGCGTCCTCGGGCATGATGAAGAACGAGATCAGAGCGAGGATTGTTACACCGGCCATGATGATGGGGGCATCTGTATTAATAACTAGTCAGATGTCTGATGATCTTTGGATGAAAGGGAAGTGGGGATGAGGGTGTTGTTATCTTACAGTTGAGGGTCTCCCCAGTCACGGGAAAGGTGTACGGGGAGAAGAGCACGGCCACAACCCAGGCGTTCCAGATCACGCCAATGAATTGGAACGGCTTGCTCCAGCGGCCGAGACTCCACTTAGGCTTGGGGAAGCGGTCGGGAGTGCAGAGGAGTCGGCCGAGGCAGATGAGGCCATATGCTGCGGCACTGGGCACACCGGCTGCGGAGACGAGGGATGTGAAAGCCACGCTGGACGGGAGGATGGTGCAGGTGACGAGGGCGCCGACAACCCAGACGACAATCACGGCATTCCGGGGTTGGCCATTATGAACGCGGGAGACCCAGCCGGAGAAGGGGAGGACACCGTCACGGGCAACGGCAAAGACAAGACGAGATGCGGCGATGATTGCGATGGCAGTGTTCTGATTGCGAATTAGATTGGGTTCTTGGAAGGAAGTGATAGCGGGGAATGACATACGAGCCACAGAGCCACAATACAAATGACGTTCATGAAGATATGGCCACCCTTGCCAAGGACAACCGCGTAGAGCGGCACGAAAGGCTGGGGAGAGCCAAATGAAAATAGGGTGTCGGCATCCGGCTGAGAGCACGTCAGTATTCAACAGGCGTACTAGAACAAGGGTACGAACCGCGCAGAAAAGGAACAAAATAATGGTTGCCAGTCCACCAACTCCACTTGCAACTGTACTCCAGAAAATTCCACGAGCAGCGGTTACCGACGCATTCTTGGTCTCTTCTGCAACATGGCCCGAAGCATCAAACCCAATCAGGATACCTGCGGTGGCCAGGTAAGACAGACACCAGTTCCACGCTGGTGGGGCGCCGGTGCCGTTGTAAGTGGACATAAATGCTTCGTGAGCTGTTCGGAAGCCCCAGGTGTTGTGAGCACCGATAGGGAGCCAAATGATGTTAAGCAGAAAATCCAACATGACGATCGCAGACGAGAGGTAGAAGACAAATCGGAAGTATTTGGCTGTTTGAAAGGTCAGTAACCGCCAAAATCACCCCATGTCCATTCTGGAGTTATCATACGAGGCATAAAGTTCAGCAAGGCTGCCAAAGCAAGCAGCACCTCTGTACATATCCATTGGACAGCACGGAATTTGACGTCGCTGGCGTCAGTGGGAAAGTCCACATTGAATACTGTCAATTCCTGAATACGGGGTTAGTCTACTGTATCCATATTCTATTGGAAGCGCCAGCCAACTCACCGACAGCATGTAGTTCACAGCGGCCTGGGTATTACTGGCGCAGAAAGTGGTCCAAGCGGTAGTACTCCACCAAGCGACGGTGAAACCAAGAAGTCGCCCGAATCGAGGACCGCCAGCCTCGGCGGCCCACAGGTAAATGGAACCTGCAGATGGAGACGCAGAGCACACTTCTGCAATGACTGCAGCTGTGATGAAGGTGAACACCAGGGTGACCAAGTAACTTGTCCTACTCGGAGTAAGCTTCAGATCCGCTGGTTTTCGAGAATCTTCGACGTACCAATAAGCTAAATTTCCACCGGCAGCAATACCAGTACTGAAGGTCACACGCACTCCACCAACGAAGTAGAGAGCAGCTATAGAATATTAGTATGTTTTGTTAATAAGAATATGCCTGATGTAATTACATACCAAATGTTGTGGAAAAATTCTCGACCAGGGTGTATGTGCGAGCGAGTACCTGCGACTATGTGAGTCTGAAAACAATGACAGTATACAGATATGAACATACTGGTTTGTAACCCATTGATTTCTACAAAAGATTCAATGTCAGTACCACATCACTATCAGTCGGGCAACGATCTCCTTCTTCGCGGCAAGCAGCTGCTATTAACTTACCAGCAAAGCTGCATCATCTTGAGAACCGGTGTCGCTTCTGTCCTGTTCACCAACAATGGGGCCATCAGCCTGATCAACGATGAGACCCGAATGCTCATGCGTCGGCGCCATGATAGCGGTATTCTTCTGATTGAACTTAGAGGTCTACAATATTGAAGTTTGCTGTGGTTGACAATCAAGAGACAAAGATGAGAGAAGAACAATCAAAAATCTAATATGGTATCTCGCTGTTCGCCAATCGCGTGATATCTGCTAGGAACCTGCTAACCCCACCATTAGCGACCATGAAAAGTTTAACGGAAAAAGTAGCACGAGGGAGCTTCACTTTTGATCAGATTTGGACAGTATGATACCTGCGATGGTACCTCGTTCGCAGAGAAAGGGTCGAAACAAGGATGAAAACTTTTTCACTCAATGTTATCAAGTGATGATTTCGTGATGGTCTCTAATCCTTGCATGGCCTGGCCGGAGATGCCTAGTCCGCAATGGGATTCGGTCACCAGAGACGCAGAGACCAGAGAATGGCTTTCTTTTCTTCCTTTTTTTTTCCCTCCACCCAGAAGCCAAGTGAGGTATCTTCCAATCAGAGCATTCTGGCGGGACAGAGATCAAGCCCGTGGGTCATCGCTCGAGAGTTATCTCTTGGCGACCGGCAGCCAGACCTTGGTGACGGTGTACCGTTTAAGGGATGGGTACTGGGAGATATCGAGAGGACTCCATTGTTCGAAAACCATTGGATCGACTAGTTTCAATTAGTATCCATTAGGTATTAGGACCAGGAGTCCAGGATGCTTTTTTCACCATCATACGGTTCAGCGACATCCCACTCGGCCACCCCGTTATTCAACGGACCACAAGTCGAGTGATGTCCACGGGTAGACAGCTGCGAAACCGGATTGGCTGGGTCGATCACATACATTATCCACAGATGAATAGCGATAGGGAGCTCTGGAGTCTGGGTCCACCAGCATCATGACACTGAAAGAGCTTCAAGGTCAACTGTTGGCACTGAGTGCGACGATTACACGATGAATCCATTGCTTTCTTGATGGATTTCGAGATATGAGAAGATTCAGCCCGCTAGGTGTCGAAAAAATCAATGAAAGACTAACAGAAGGTGATGGAGAGTTTGTGAGACGGTCGAGTTAATCTGTAGCAGATTTCACGTGACCTCCCTCGAATCTGTGCCTCGATGAAGTGATACAAACACATTTCATCCAGTGTAGTAGAGCTGCTGCAATGGCAGGTAGTGAGTGAGGATAGATTCGTATTGATCCTGAATAGGACCAAGAAAAAAAGGAGAGGGAATGAGCATATGTCTATCAGATGTGTGGAGGGACATTCAGGGAATTAAGAGGGACTTTGAATGGTCCCTCGATTCCGCCATTGATTGAGTGAGCAGTAACCTCAGGCATCTATAGAAGAACTGTCTATTGCCTCTTCAGTGAGAAACAGACTCAACCTGAGATGTCTTCTCAGCTCATCTTCCCCATAACATCTTCTTCCCTAGTGCCTTCACCATTACCCTATCACTGCCGCATCTCACCCATCATGAGCATCTCGCCTGAGATGATGTTCAAAGTGAGTGGTCTACAGATCTAAATAGCTCCAAGGGATCATCTAATCACAGCCATGAGGCTCAGACACACCCTTCTCCCAGAGCCATTTCCTCCTCCTACCATCATCCGTTTCTTGTCTGGGCTTCAATTGGGCGTCCTGAGCTTATCTGGTTGTCATTTTGTACATCCCATCAACATAATTTATCACACTGAATGGCCCGCTCATAGCTCAAATCTACTTTCAAAGTGAAGGGGCAGGTATCAAGCCAATTCTAACGATAGGAGACCTTATATAGACTCAGTCCAAACCCTAATCAGAGCTTGATACAAGTGTTTTGATTACAGTGTTTTGGTTCACGAGGAAGGATCATGAAGACTATGTGATTTTCCATTATCTTCGTTACAGAGAACCGCATTGGGTGCAAGAAAGCATGTACCTCTACTATAAGCAGAAAGAATGTGAATTTACCAAAGCAGCGCAAAATCAAGCGAGAGCACCACAGATACCCGCCCCCTCCCCCATCATCATCCCCTACTTGCGTGCCTCAAGTCCAGCTTTGATGGCTGTTCTTTGTTAGAAATCATTCTCAATCAAACAGAAGGAGAACTCACCATCACAGGAAGTCTTTGCGTCTCCAAACAACATCTTCGTGCCGGGCATAAAGAACATGGGGTTCGGGACATCAGCTGGACTCCCCATTAGTTGCGCGCCGAACGACATGAGATTGAAGAAACTCACCATATCCACTAGACATGCCGCGCTTCATCACGATGACCTCCTTGCTCTTCCATGCGTGCAGGACGGGCATGCCTGAGATTGACGAGTCGGGCTCCAAGGCAATGGGGTTGACAGTGTCGTTTGCGCCTATCACCAGGGTGACGTCTGTATCTGGGAAATCGTCGTTGATCTCGTCCATTTCGAGGACGACTGTGTATGGAATTAGTTCAAAGTGTTAGGCGAAATAAATAGAGAGAAGGGATAGATGGTAGGCTTACTGTCGTATGGCACTGAGGCCTCGGCAAGGAGAACATTGCATTGTCCGGGCATGCGACCAGCTGCGAGAATACAGGTTAGCGTGTCGAGCTTCTGAGATATAATGAGAGGACCCAACGCAGGAAATACCGACTGGGTGAATAGCAAATCGTACTTTGACGCCTTTAGCGCGTAGCATTCGCACTATCTCCGCCAGGGCGTATTGTGCCTTGGCCACGGCCATACCATACCCGACAACCTACAATAGTGTAAGCATATAGAATTAGGAGTAGCTAATATTTGACTTACTATAATCACACTCTCTGCGTTTGCAAGCGTTTCTATCGTATCGTCTATGGTGGCTTGAGTGATTTGTCCCTCAATCTTTTTCTGTGTCTGTTGAGGAGCTGCAATTCCACCGAAGAGGACATTTGTAAGGGACCGATTCATAGCAACACACTTGCTTAGTTAGCGGATGTCTACAGCATAGATCTTCCTACTCACCATGATGTACGATAAGATTGAGCGGCTCACGCCAATGAGTGATCCTACGCTTGTGAGAAGTGGATTGTCCAGCATGAGACCTTCTGCAACCAAAGCAAACCCAGAGTAGGCATTTAGAACGGTGATGACAACAGCTTTAGAGAGTTAGCATCATCTCAGGGAAGCAAGACCTTTGGCTTAAAGACATACGCATGTCAGCTCCTCCAATAGCAGCGGTTGTGGTGTAGCCTTTCAAGAAACTTAGTACCGTATTCGCACCTAGGCAGGTCGCCGCGATGATTGGAGACGCGGGCCCCATTGAGATAAAAGCTCCCATTGTTGCCATATTTGTTCCAAGTAGGGCTGAGTTGATTACATGACGACCAGGAAGGATTGTGGGTTTGGACGACATGCGGCCAGCAAGTTTCAAGAAGGCCACAATGGATCCGGTGAAGGTGACACCACCTGTTCAGGGTCAGTAGTCATAGAGATATCAAATATTATTGCAAACCGTACCTATCAAAACACCAAGATACGCAGTCACCATATGCAATGTTGAGATATCAGCAATGTCGGCCATCACGCTTCCGATACTCGTGAGGACAGCAGCCAGACCAACAACTGAATGAAGAGCAGCAACGGTCTGGGGCAAGCCAGTCGGCGTGATCCGACGCCCAATCAAAGCGCCTGGAGAATATAAGCCACATTGTTTCATCAACAGTCAAAGGTAGGAAAGAATCCAAGCGCACCAACAAGAGCACCTGCACCAGCCATTGCTGTGAATTGAGCAAGAACTTCTGGCGAGAAGCCAACAGCTGCAAGCGATGCAAGGATGCCGGAAGCAACGCCCAGAATACCCAGAATGTTTCCTCGACGAGCAGTTTGTTGAGACGCAAGACCCGAGATTGAGCCTAATTCTTTTTGTTAATACAAAGGGGCGAAATGGTAGAATATTTACTTACTGATACACAGAAGACTGCTCACGAGATAGCCGGCACTGACCAGGCCAGCCATTCCTGTGCTGGCCGCTGCTATAAAGCCGCCGCCAAATACGACAGCTGGAATCGCGTAGAGCCACGGATATTCAGGCGGATCGGTAGGGCCTGTATGCAGTGGTTAGTAAGTCGGCATCCATAACGAGGGGAAGAACTAACGCTTGAACATGTCCAGCATGCGCTTCGTGATGACGAAGCCTCCAGCTACGTTTGTGGAGGCTAAAAGGACCGAGGCTGCTCCAAGACCCTCTGGAACAGTTGTAGGCATATAGCCTCCGCCCATGATGAAGAGTCCGCCAATGCCAACCATGCCTGTAAGAGTCAAATATGAGCATCTTATATTTACACCACGTCATCTCTGCTTACCTGAAATTGCATTCGTGACACTCATCAACGGAGAGTGAAGAGCTGGAGCAACACCCCAAACAGCTCGATATCCAACCAGACCAGCCAATCCGAAAGTCATCATATTGCCCATAAAAGCAGGGCCAGTGGCTTTTCCTAGAGCAAGAGCAGTTCCCATACCGGCGGTGACAGCTGCGACATCGCGAGTAGCTTTTTGCCAGGGGGTGAGAGCCAGCGCAGTCTGTTCCTTGTCTGGAACAGCGGCAGCTGTCTGTTTCGGTGCAGGTGGCGGTGCTGGCCGCGGAGCTGGAGGGAGAATCTCGCCATTGAGAGTGACAATTGAGCCGCGCACGACCTCATCCGATAGATCAACTCCAAAGGACTTGTCTTGTGGAGCCATGGATAGAAGAAACTTGGTGATATTGTTTGAATACAATGTCGAAGCTTGAGCCGGCAGGCGCGAGGGGAAATCCGTGTATCCTGAATTTTATCAGTCTGATTTCTCGGATTCAACTTGCAAAAACCAAACCAAACATACCAATAACTGTCACATCGTGATAGTTCACCAATTGTCCAGGAACCGTTGCTTCGCAGTTTCCTCCAGCCTCGGCCGCCAGATCAACAACTACTGAACCAGGTTTCATGGCAGCAAGCATCTTCTTGTAATCAGTGTTTGCAGTAGAAAGCAACTAATTGCAGAATAGGTATACCTCTTTGGTGATAAGTTTCGGTGCCGGTTTCCCCGGGATCAGAGCAGTCGTGATGATAATATCCACTTCACGGCACTGCTCCATGAATAGCTTCATCTCGGCTTCAACGAACTCCTTGGACATCACTTTGGCATATCCTCCCTGGCCAGCGCCATCTTCTTGAATGTCGACCTCGATAAACTCGGCACCTAGAGACTGGACCTGTTCACGAGCGGCAGAGCGTGTGTCGAATCCGCGGGTAATGGCACCTAAACGACGAGCCTAGGCAAACACCAATGGCTGTTAGAAGGTTCTCATTGTCGAAGCGTCGTAGACCTACCGCAGCAATAGCGCTCAAACCAGCCACACCGGCACCAATCACGAGAACCTTACTAGGCGGGATCTAAGCAACCACGTTAGTGATGACCTCCTTCTGGTGAGAAGCGAACAACCTTTCTGGAAACACAGAGTTAGCCGCCAGTACCTTGCGTTGTCCAATTCAAGAAATGTCTTACCCAGCAGCAGTAACTTGACCCGTCAAGAAGCGACCAAAATGGTTCGATGCCTCAAGCACAGCCTTGTAACCGGCAATGTTGGCCATAGAGCTATAGAGAGCATTAATATCCAGAATCGAGGAATTCAAAATCGCATTCCCGCAGGTCACTTACCTGAGGGCATCGAATGTCTGGGCACGGGAAATCCGAGGGATCATATCCATAGCGAAAGACGTAACTCCACGCGAAGCGAGCGCCTCTACAAGCGGCTTATTCTGGGCAGGATACAGGAACGAGACGACCGTACTTCCCTGGTGGAGAGCCTCGACCTCGTCTATAGGGCCCTCCTGTCGGGGACTACGGACTTTCAAGACGATATTACTTTCGGACCATAGAGCACCCCTGTCGACCAAGGTGGCACCGGCTTGTTCGTAGGCATGATCAAGGATCTGGGCTTGTCCGCCCGCCCCACGCTCCACCAGGACGCGCGAGAAGCCCTTCTTCAAGAGTAGAGTAACGTTCTGTGGTGTGACGGCTACGCGACGCTCGTTGGGCCAGGTCTCGCGCGGGACTCCTACCGTCAGCGAGGAATATGGGATAGCGGGTACACTGGACGGAGTAGAGGCACTGCTCGCGGTTCTTCTCGTAATCTGTGGCCATCGTGCAAGCGAAGGCAGGTCATGCTCGCTGTGTTGGTAGGTGAGGTGGGGTATCTGTCGTTTCTGCACCACTGCTTCGATAGATCAGTACCTGACTCCAACTGTTTCTTCAACCTGCGCGTCAACCTAAGCGAGACACTCACCAAGATACTTCGAAGAAAACAATTCTCTTCCTGAGTGGGATCGGGAAGCCGCACGGCACGGCCCCAGAGCCGACCGCAGGGTGAACGGCACACTCATCGTCAATGTCGACACCTAGCAAGGGGACAGCGCTGTAGAAAATTCCTCGGATGGATATATCATGCCGAAAGTCGAGCGACCTCGATTGTGATTTGAAGGAGTGTATCGTGCGATGGAAAGGAAGGAAGGGCGGCAGCTGTACGTGACGGAGGTGAAGTGGAGTAGCGAGAGCCAACCTATATCTACTCCGTCAAGACGACAAAGAGGGGGTCCAATCCTCATAGGTCTAATACATCCGGTGCTGACTTGTCCCTGGACTAGCGAGAGGATGTATTCAGCATGGGGATGGGCGGACGGCCCGTAAGGGAGGGGAAGGAGAGGGAGAGAGGAGGAGAGTTGCTGGGCGTGGCAGGGAAAAAAGCATGGATCAATGGGGCGACAATTTTGTGAGTTTTTATTGACTTGTCCCCGAGTACATCATCTCATTATTCTTCTCAGTCATGCGATGCAACGCTATTGATGGAATCACAGGAATACCGTTCCCAATCTCTCAGTCGGTATCAATAATGAGTATGCTTGTACATAGTATAGGTACTCGTAGTATACTCCGCCAACCCCGGAAAATGAGGGGAAAGCTCATGTGGGGGAAACAAAGCGCCAAACTTCCCGCAGCCCACTTAGTGACTGCTGGATCTAGTTTCTTTCTAAACCATGGTTTTGTCCAGATTCCACGATGAAGTCATATATATCTACAAAGTTGCCTATTCTTTATGAATGCTAACATCTAGTCTATGCCGAAACCCAGGTTCTCCGTCTATCCGAATCCCATCCACTCTCTGGAAGATGACCGAAACGCAACGCTGCAGCGGTTGTACATTATGGGGTTTACTACCCACATCGTGAGATTGATGCTGCCCATTTCCGATCCTCGAGCTGAAACCCTCCTTTTGTGTGATACAGATGCTACTACAGTCCTATCGTGGTCTGTGCCGCACCACATATATCCGAGGCTACCACCCACCCCCCGACGGAACAATGACATGCAGCAATAAGCTATCGGACAAATCCTTCAAGATAACTCGATATTCGCCTACAGAGCCTCTATCGCAATAACCACTGAATATGCAGGAGCAAATCGTGAAGCGAAAGGCAAGTCGATAGTAACAAACACATAGTGAGGCTCTATCCGGAAATCATAGCATTAGCTTCCTCCCCAAAGAAATATGCATCAAACCTCGGCGGAAGCCTACCAGAAAGTATAATTTCGATAGAGATTAACCCTAGCAGTAACTCACCGACGCTTCTACGTTTCAAGTTCCCGGAGGAGCCGGCAGAACAGTCATTGCAGGATGTTAATATAGTAACTTTGATTTGGAGTATGGACATCAAGGTGTCCCATGTGTCTGAAAATGCCCTGCCAATCTGTGTGGGTGCCGACTGCTGAGACTTGAGAGCCAGACACTTCCTGTGTCTCAATTTCATCCGGATTCTGCATTCATCTACGCGGCTGGGATATTTTAAGTTAGTTGTAGCTATCTTTGGGGGGGGTTTTTTTTTGTTTTGTTTTTTTTTCGGAAATGAATAGACGGACAGGAAAAGATAGCACGCAACAGTTTTACCGCGGTTAGTATAGAGTTAATGACCATTTTCATTCCGGTTCTTAAGCCTCATCGTAGCAAGCAATGCATCAGGGTATCCAGCCTCTGTCCAGGAGGAACCCGGAAGTAACAGTTCCAGCCGATAGATATTATACAAAAGAATTAGACCATAAGGAAAAACAATAGTGTAGTCAAGAAAGAAAAACATAGTGTGTCAAGCCGAAAACCACCCCCCCCCCCCACGGGAGGAGACGCCGAGTTCCAAAGGCAATGATATCTCTCTCGACAAACGCCCTTGCGCCAAAAGTGAACAATCATCCAAGTGTCAAAATTGCTAGCATAACACGACCTAGCTCGAGTGCCCGGCCTTTCACAGTCGTCATGATCGCTGATGCCAGATCGTAGACTTTCTTTTCCCTCGAAGCATGAAGCCCATGATACTCTTCGCTGTGGATTGCTCCTTGCCTTCCTGTTTAGCGAGCTTACTACGCTTCAGGCTCTTTTTCCGGCTTCCTTTAGAAATGCATTCTTGCTGGACTGGCTCCTGTGCCTCCACACTGTGGACACTCTCCACCTCCGATCGAAGGCTGCTCGAGTAGGACGATTTGATAGAATGCATGGTAGAATCGCGCACAGGGCGCGGACGATAGGTGGTCGGAGTCGGAGCACTGATATTGCTGTACACCGACCCTGATCGATTCCGGCTAAAGGTCGGTGACGAATAGTAAGGCGCGTTGTTTGTCATTACGGGGGAGGGCGAACGGCATGCTTGCAGCGGTGATGACAGCTCAGAGCTCATGCGCGTGTGAGAAATGCCCGTGGGCCGTTTTCGAGAGTCATTTCCGGGAGAGGCGGAAGCATGACGGGCGTGCGAGAAGAGGCCGCTTGAGCTGCCCATGTTTCTCGCCGAAGGGGGACGACGCAAAGATTCGGTGGGTAAGCGCGAGCGCATCACAGTGTACAGCGAAGCCCCTTTCTCTGCGCCGGAGGTTCTCAAACCAGAGAAGGTCTTTGAACGAAACCTTGGAGAGTGTGGTTGAGGGACTTCGGGCAGTTCGGATACTGAACAGATTGTGGCGCTGGGCTGTGGCAGCTCCATAAAATCCGACTCTTCTTCTGCTTGAGAGGTGTGTTGCCCTATCGAGAGACTCTTCCGTCTGAGCTGCTGCTCTTTTTCTCGATCCGGATCGACTTTTTGCTCACGATTTGCCAATAAGGGTTGAGATCTGGCTGCTTGTCTTAAGGAATAGATGCCCTCAGAGGCGGCCTTTGTGGAATCGCTGCTCGTTTTCTCCTGATAGAAAGTGTTCCGTTTTCTACTCAAAGATGCCGCGGCTGGGAAATTCGACTGATCAGGGCTAATCTGGATCAAACTTGGTTTGGAGATTGGTTCCACGTATGTGACCTTCTCCGCCATGAAGACATCTGTCTCATCCTCCGAATACACCGAAGTAGGAGACAGAGATCTGGTAGACCGAGCACTTGACGAAACAGGTGATCCAGGAGGCACGTAGACCGCCGGTTGCAGAAAGATGGGGGACTCAAAGGGCGACGGCTGATCCAGAGATGGCAGCTCGATAATCGCATCGTCTTCGTCAAAGGCAATCGAATCGGCCACAAAGGTGGTATTACTACTTCGCTTGATGGTATCCATTGAGACAGGACGGGACTTCCTGCCTCGGGATGGGTATGGTGAAAGAAGACGGGCAACGTGACGGTTCTCTATCTCAAGATCCACGCCTACGTCTGATAACTTCTCCGTACTCATATTGGGTGACGCCCCAGTGGTGTCGTCGACTGGCGAAAACCCGTTATCCTGTCCACCATGTTCGGATTCCGAGATGTCTTCCTCCTCCGACTCGTAGCGTCGCGGCAAGAGCTGCTGGTTCGTGTAGTCAAGGTCGAGAGATTCAGTAGGTTGGTACATTTCCTCAGCCGACAGAGATATACGATCGACAGACAAGCAACTAGAAACGAATGTTTCAAGAAATAAAATCACAGCACAGAGGAAGACTCAGAAGGTCTCATCTCATAGGGGTCATCAAGGCAGAAAAATGAGTGTGATGTCAAAAAAAGAAACGAGCGTGGTAATGGACTCAAGAAGAAGGCTGACAAGGGGACGTAAGTACTTGGATCGATCAAGTCCCAACGGGCACGGCAAGGATATATTCTTTTCTTTTTTCTTTTTTTATAGAAATGATATTTTATTTTATCCCCCTCCTCCTCTCCTGTTCCACACGGGTTGGCATGCTCTAAAGGAGTGGATCCTAGAAACCCTGCCTGGATAGTATTTTTTTTTTTTCTTCTGAACAAGGAGGGAGACCGAGACGACCCTCGATGCCATCAGATCACACAACCGCCGGAGAGAACGGACCAGCAGAAAGCTCGATCCACTGTCGGACCAGTCAAGTAGTCAACATTGGCATAAAAATAGAGAGAAGAAGAAGAAAAAAATAAAATAAAAAAAAAAAAACAATAAAAAAAAAAACAGCTGTGCACACGTGCATCACACCAGGCCTGCTGCGGATTTTGACCCTGCTTCTCCTCAAGGCGCTCTCTACGAACGATAGGAATCGTTTTGCACTGGTTGATGCTTACTTACGTTGGCCGCCTTTTCCCTGCCTGGTCACTCCTTCAGGCCAAGGAGTGTGAAGCGAAGCCTCAGGATGTGATTTGAAGAGTAACCCTTGCATTTTGAGTTCCTCACTAAAACCCTGCATTATTGCTGAGCCGAGAATGATTGAGTGTCTCTGCCTGGGTATTTCACGTAGATTGCTCTTCGTCCCAGAAAGATGGGAGAGAATGCGACGTATCAACGTGAGCTGTCAATTTAGAAGGGGAATCAGAGGTCAGTGCTCTCGGCAGCAAACCTCCATATTGCTGGACAGGGATGACGAAAAGTAGTTTGACTGCGAGCCCTCGAAAATGGGAAATTTTTGGCGGTAACAGCTAGATTGCAGGCCTGCATCTTCCACCTCAATTGGCATAGTCAACGTTTCTTCAACGCCTCCAACCAATCTTCCCGAACATGCGGATTTTAAGATAGGGGGTAAGATAACTAGTTGAAAAGGCCAAGATAGCGCGCTAAGTGTTCGTTGCCAAGAACTGGGGCCATGAGGGTGACCAGATGACTCGGCTGGATACTTGATTGACTCCGGAGTCTGTACTTCATAGATTGCTAGTCTCCTGTGTTCTCTTGGTTTCGCGGGCTGACCAGGCGGAGTGCTGCGTATCGAGTGTTGACCCGGGAATGCTGGAGTCTTGGTCCCATCTCTCTCTCTCTCTCTCTCTGTTACTATACTGGCTTCAGGCCGCTCCTATCTTGCAAGCTGGGAGTTTGCAAGCCAGCCACCAGATGCTTTCCATCCGAGCCATTATCATCTCTGGTTGATAACGACAACGTCAATCCAATTGAATGGCCCCCACAACGCCACGGACAATTTAAAAATACGTATGGCTTGTATGTATGTACTATGTCGCAGCTCGTATGCTCGCCGCATGATCAATGCAGTAGATAGTAGATCATATCAAAGCGTCCTGAACTGCTGGCAAAGCTTGCCGAATATGAGGTGTAAGACGTTCGTTCCTGAGAGGAGTTGCCAAGTTAGCCGCCGCTGCTCCAAAAGTGTGGGGCATCTCTAACTCAAACACACCAACAGACCAGGGGAAGCGAATGATCTTGCCGTTCAGGGATCCGCCAGAGCATGGTCCGTTTGCTCTCTTTGGATTTCGTCTTGAGAAGATTCGAATAAACAGACTCTGTTGAGTATGTTGAGCTTATTTTTGGCTCGGATGAAACGACAAAACATCGATCGAGCGAGCCACAGCGAATAGGAGAATTTCAAATGTGCACGGCAGGGAACACTACGTAAGTCAGTCGATGGAGGATCCCCTGGAGCAGAAAGAATCTAGCAAAACCCTTGCAGCAGGTTAGCAACTTAGCAGGCGTCTAAGTGGGTTTGGATCCCGTCACTGAACCAACAACATGAAGCCTCGAAGGCCCAAATCGGATCGCGTAGCCGGATAGGAGAGTTTCAGAAAGTCTTAGATACTCCGTAGTTTGTACTCCATAGAGTCGTTCGTTTGCATTTTTCCAGGCGAATCACAGGTCAGGACTCGAGAATCAGGACAAACGAAAAGCTGAAGCTGTGACAACCCGGTTGGGTAAAGGAACACGAATCAGCTGATCTAGTATGCGTGTTGTTGAGGTGGTTGGGGGAGGAAGATTGTCCTTTTCGATTGATATCATGGTTGTCAAAACGTACAAGACTGACTCGAAAGCACATTTGTTAGTTAGTTGGTTGCTTTTCGACATCTACAGAGTTTGATTGTTGAATCATTGAAGACCGCGAGCAGAGAGAAAAAGAAGTGGCAGGTTGTAAGTACATACATACTAGGGTGCTTCCTCTTAGCTTACTTGCCGCAACGTCCAGTGTGCTGCTGATCTGGACTTACAGGAATTATGCAGATGTGTTGCTGGACTGCACATCCTACTTTCTACCCTGTACTACGTGTTCAACGGTGGTTGCCGTATGAAACAAATCCTCGGCACTGTGCGTGCATGATTATCAAAAAGGTGCTTGGATTATCAAGAAGCTGTTCTTTCAGAGAGTGATTTGGAATCGCACTTGCCAATATTTATTGACAATATCAACTCACCAGATACAGATACAGATACAGATTCAACTGATTATGGAAGAGCATGTCTCTGTCTTCCTGGGCGATGGCAGGAAGCACAGTTTGCAAAGCACCAGATGATCTAACTTTCTCTGCATCTTATAGTTTCTCTCCTTACTTCGATGTCCACGCCCGTCTAATGCGTGGTGACCAGCACACACCATGATCATGATCCTCCTGGCCCTGGTACTGTCCATCCAACCATCTAGGAGACCAGCCTCCACGATTTTCCGTCAGCGCTATTCTTCGGAAATTGAGTGTCCATATTAACCTTCGTTCGTCCAGTCACCGACGCACCCGCCGCAATCAAAGCATTACCAGGGCAGGAAAGTTCAATAAAGCACGCGTGGTCTACTGTTTGGTCTACAACTAATTGCGAGCATCCATGGTTCCGACAGTGGTCATCGCCAATCTACAAGAGAAGTTACTGAATGAACGAAGTTCAAATCACCGTCCATGGAGCTCCCCCTTGCTGTCAATCGAACCAGTATAAGAGCTTCTTCGTGGACTATCTTCCTCTACCAAGACTGCAACGAGATACAGGTCATACCAATGGTCCACCAACTTCCAAGTTTTGCGAGAGGGTCCTGGAAGTGGTTAATCAGACCATCTCTTACCCCGTACTAAAAACGTACTGTGTAGATCCTGAGAAAGTCGACGGAGACTGACGGCCGAAGTCACTGAATAGAGAGCAGTGCAGGAAAGTGGGTTCAGTTTCACACCGCTGTATATGACACATAACTTCCCGTTGAACAGAGCGTTTCTATTGATTGGTGTTTTCTCCACAGAACGGCGCATTTGCCGTCCTAACTAAAGTACCCCTAAATGGGCGTTCAGAAGATACTGGGCTTTACCTGAACCGGTGGATTCTCCGGGTACTTCCAAAACCCCCTGTCCAACGGCTGATCAAATTGTCTAGATGACGGTTGTGATGGATTCACGTATACCGACAGGGATGCAACATGGTTTCTAAAGAATTCTGTTTTAGACCCCCAGGTATGCAGATTTATTATAAGGATGAATGCGTGGAATAGTATGTAGATTGCCGCCGGCTTGATATCAACTATCTCGTATTTATACTACTACTACTACTACTACTACTACTACTACTACTACTACTACTACTGTACTACACCGTGAAATCCACCAACCAACCTAGAACACTACCTCAATCAGAATCCCACAGGAGCAACAAAAAAATATCCTACATACTTTCCATCTCATCTCATCTCACCACCCCAAGCATCAAGCATCAAGCTTCCTAGCTAACATTTCAAGCTTAAAACATCCTTACCAACCAGGGCACACCCAGAACATCAACCCTAGATATGAAGGACCGCCGAAGCCCTACATAGCAAAACCCACCCCTTCAATCTAACATGATGCAAAGTGACAATGCCACGATCCCCTCCCATCCCATCCCGTCATTCCTCAAATCTCCCATCTTCCATCTTCCATTTTTTTCATTCTTCCTCTCCCTCCTCCCCTGAAGATTGAGATTGGCGAACCCATACATGTCTCACAATCCCAGCATCAATCCTCCCCTCCGCTCCCGCTGAGATCATCCCTGTCTGAGTACGTAAGTTGCATTGTTTATCCACGATTACAATCAACAGCGACGACCCTTTTCTACAATACAAAGGTACTTCCGGACAAAACCCATAAACGTATGAGCCGATGCAACGCAGCCGGGTCACGGTCTCTTGTTCCTGTGCATGCGGCATTTTAAGCGCATCCAGCCAGATTCGGAGACCCTTTGATATCGACATGGTTGATTGAGTTGGGTTGGGTTGGGTTGGGTTGTGCTCGGGGTTTGAGCGTCGGGCAGCTACTGATTCTGGATATGACCACAGTGTGGTAGATTGGAGTTCATGTTGTCTTGAGAATATGGAGTTCATGAAGAGATTCTGTGGCTGTGGTATGATGTTTGTGTGTGTGTGTGTGTGTGTGTGTTGTGTGTGTCTGCATATGTCATGTCACTTTATGAAAGCTTTGAGCATGGATGATAACCTGTCAGGCAATGTTGCCTGCACTGATACAGTACTTGTATGGCTTGATTGAGCAGCATATAAGGATCTGTCGTAGAATTGAAATCTGTGTGATACCGCTACACTAAAAAGGTATCCGGATTCTAGTTAGTGGGATACAGTATTTCATCTACGTCGACAGGATCCTACTCACAATGACCAGGCGAAAGACTCAATGTACATCCTCAGTGCTTAATATCTGTGGGGTCAGACTATATCATCAGTATACTCCAAAAGTAGAAAGACACATGCACATGACAACCATTAAATTTATGTTTTACCTGTCATCTATAGATACTAGAATAAAATCAACTACTAATCACAAGTGCAGATAGAAGAGAAGAGAAGAAGAAGAAAAAAAAAAAAAAAAAAAAAAAAACCAAATAGCTGCAGCCAGCAGCATGGCAAAAAAACACACATGAAGAATGTTAAAAGAGGTAGAATACAACCTAGGAGTAACATCAAGAGCAAGACCCAGATAGGATCATCTTGATCTGCCACATCCCTAGGTAAAGAAACCTTGAACAATTCTCCCAGACACACATAACCCACCCAGTGTGAATGCACCTTCCCATGCTGCAAAGTGACACCGCCATATGAGCTCGTTGCAAAGTGGAAGCGACCAGTATCGTAAGGTCATTCATTAAACAGTGATAAAAATATTTAGGCAGCAGAAAAAAGAAGTTTTCTGGAGGACACAGAAGAAGAAATCGGTCGCTTTTTCTGTTCCGGACGCACGAAACCGGAGGTGGTCGTCGTGTCGGTCATCATCGCAGAGGATTGGACCAAGTGAAGGAGAACGGGGATGATTGACTACTTTTCGCAGCTTCTCCGAATCGATGAAACCTGCGCACTGATCAAGCGCGTCTAGGCCTTACGGGAGCGGGTAACGGGGCCGTTGGACCGGCCGGTCGACACAGCGGCTCCGTTCGACTGAGCACCAGTGATAGAATCGGGGTGGACAGAGGGGACCTCAAAGTTCTTCATATCGACCAGAGACTGCTTTCCAGTGTTGCGGCGAGGGCGGCCAGTCTTGGCAGTCTTCTTATAGGTGGCGATGTAGAAGGAGATGAACAGGAAGAGGTAGGAGCTGATGATGCCAATGCCTGAGAAAGCGGCGAACTCCTCTCCGGCGCACTTGCCCATGTTCGGGGCCCAGGGGAAGTATGTGGACGAGAAATAAGTGTAGGAGGCGAAGTAGACGAAGCCTAATGCGCAATCAGCCATTGTCAACTCATAACTATGCTGACTTATGTTTACTTACCAAGATCGATAACGAACTGAATGATCTGCAGACGGGTGATCCACTCCTTCCACCAGATGCGGATGCCACGGGCACTCTGGAAGTAGTACCAGTACATGACAACGTGTACCAGAAGGTTGATATCAATAACAACCCACTGCACGGCGGTCAAACCGATGAGCTGAGTGTAGCAAAGGAGGGCCGTGGCACCATGGTGATAGGTATGGAGGAAGGTCAAGGGCTTCTTCTTGAGGAACAGGAAGACGGTATCGAGCAATTCGAGGTACTTGGTCAGGTAGTTGAGCTATCCGGTCATTAGCCCATGATCGTTGCCAGTACCCAAATCCAGGAAACACCACTTACATAGTACAGAACAATGAGGGGCCGGGTCCATCCACCGCGGTGGTCGCAGATAGCAAAGAAGATACCGTGTCTCCAGACTGTCGGCAGCAGCTGCTCAATGAAGAGAGCGAGCAGAGTTGCACTGATCGCGGTCAGGTAAAAATTGTGGATCATGAACAACGTGTTGAGCTTGAAAGCTGGGCGATTCTTCATCACCTCACGACCACCGAAGATGATGATGTAGTAGACCACAAGAGCAATGGCAGTCTCCTTGAACGTGGACATCGGCGTCACACCCTGCACGAACTCAAACTCGCTAGCCGGGTAGCCGACGACGAGCTCGAAAGCCTTGTCGAAGATGGGCCATAGGTGGATGCCAAACGGCCGATCGATCGTCGGACGGGGCAGACTTTGCAGCAATTCGAGCGCCATGATGAATTAGATAAGACGTATCTATAATTGAGATGGAACGTAGATAGTGAACTGAAGAGGAGCCCCTTAATGAGCGGTCCTTTATTTTTTCTTCCCTTCTGAGTATCTCTGCGCAAGATACAGCCAGAAAAGGGTTTGGAAAAAAAAAAGGAGGGGGGGGGGACGTGGAGGGAAGAAGTCAAAGAACGACAAACCGGAGGATCAAAAGATAGAAAAAAAGAAGAGAAGAGAAAAAGAGAAGGAGAAGAAGTCGCGAAGACTCTGAGGAAATTTGGGGAGAGGACTTAGTCGAGAGAGTGGAGAGTCGCAGCTGGAACAGTTGCGTTGAGGACAGAAGTGAGAAAAGTTATGATGGGACTGGAAATAATAATGGCGGCTGCTCCAATAATGCTTGTCCGCAAGGAGAGGAAAATAATCAGGGAGCCTGTCCACGCAGGGGAGAAAAGCCAATCAGCGCGGAGCACACTGATCTTCTGGCGTGTCCGCAGAGACCTAATAGGGACTAGCGCAGCCTCGACCGGCTGAGTAATAAAAAATAACAATAAGGGGTTCCTTAGTGGATCATGTGCTTCCGAGATTCCGGGTACCATCCAGCAGGCAGATTCATTGACTGTTTGCTCCCATAACAAGCAGAAGAAAGCTCTACTATATATATATATATACACACATCAAGAATTGATTCCTTATGCCACCAATGAGCCCTGGATTCAAAAACCAGTTGTTGTTAGAGGTCAATCGAGTGCTTGGAGATCTCACATGAGCATCCGCTTGGAACCACCCGTCGAGCTGACTTTCACATGCTTATCAAGTGAGAACACAACGGAAGAACAATATATAACCGGGCTCGGTTCCAGCTGGGTCAAGTACTCGGGCTTGGATACTTCTTAGATGCCATTGTTTTTTCTTGTTCTGCAACGGAGACGCGATCAAGTCCTACTCTCCACTCGAGAAGTGGTACAAACTGAGGTCAAAGGACTAGTAAATACACTCTTCTTGTTGTACAATGAGCACTGTTCATGTGATCGTTCAACTCGCACGTGCCTACCAAGCACTGATCAATATGAGGAGCGTATGGGCTAGATAGTGGATTGACTAGGAGCCTAAATTTGCATATATTTGCATATTCATAGTTCTGTGCCTATGTGAAGTTGCATTAGATTGATAATGCCATCGGGTTCCTACCGCAAAGGACAGGCGGCTGTATCACCTTCGGTCGATATTCAGCCCGTCTTCTCAGATGTCACATTGATATGATTGACTGAGAGTACTGAGCAGTAGTAGTAAAGGATGACTGTGGCTATTCTGGTTAAACAGAACTGTCTCACTATGCTCACCAACAGTACCACCATGCATATGATGATCAGATGCCAAGCAGCTATGTCAAGATAATTCAAACACGGAAGATCAATAGGTAGTGCATGGAAATTTTGGAAATCGAGCCTATGTAGACCATTATAACTGTATTTCATCTGTCCAGAAGAGCGTTGAAGTGGAGCGAGCTAGATTTCGGCATCATGGCACGGAAATCCTTGAGAGTCACAAAGATATATCTCAGCCACGTTTGCTGCTCAACAGTTGAGTGTGATCATATCTGGCAAAGCTTGGAAAGAAAGTGTTGCCTAGCCGGCATTTCCAAGTACAGAGTATCCATATGTGGGCTCAATCCCAGTATACGATCCTAGCTTAAGTCTCAGTATCATTACCATTACCCTGAGGTAGGACAGTGAGACCAGTGGTGCCCCCGAATAGGTAGGAACCATTTCTCAGAGAAGGTTTGGTGTAGCTGAAATTGGAGGCATGCGCCAAAACGGTGTGATATGCCTGAAGCATATCGTATCACTATTTCCTATCTATGGATTAAGCATAGCCTCATCAAAGCAATGAAGGTCAACAGATCTACCTAGGTCCTAGGTAGGTACTACTATCTTGTCTCCCAGGGCAAATGGAAATGAGAGCCTGGAACTAGTACTACTAGTAGCTAGGTAAGTACAGTAGGTACTACTAGGTAGGCTGTTGGCCAATCAGACATGCCAATGGAATGACAGCATACCAACCAATCAAAACCGACAAGATGCAATCAGGGTGGAAAACGGCATGGCGGCCTCAGGCACCAACCCCATCGGGCATGCACGGGAGCCGCAAATAGTCCAGGTTGGTCAATCATGACGGCGGCCGGAGAAACCTGAGGCATCCACAGCCTCACACCACCCGCAAAATCCTAGCGACAGTTCGGCCAAGTCCTCTGACTTCCAACCTCGCCAACGTCCTGCCTTCTGCCACCCCCCTCTCAGCACGTCAATTCAACCACCCTCCCATTCCACTCCACTCAAAATGTCGTCCCTGTCCATCTTCCGTGTCGCGACCCGCGCCGTCCGCCCTTCCGGCTTCATCAGAGCTCCTGTCCCCCGGATCCGTCTTCAGGCCCCGGCTGCTCTGGCCATCAACCGTCCCAGCTTCAGCACCACCACCAAGCGTTTGTCCGGTGCCCACGAGGATGAGACATACGAGGAGTTCTCTGCTAGGTATGCTATCACCACCAGCCAGCCATTGGGTGCGAAATGAGCGAAAGGAGAAAGGGCACACAAGGGTCGATCGCAGGGCAATTCCTCCCACCAACCCTCGGAATTGAGATGCTGGGAATAATTGGGGCCGATAATATGCGCTGGAACCTCGTCACACTGACCCGGCCATTTGATAGATTCGAGAAGGAATTCGATGGTGTCCAGGATGTCTTCGAGCTCCAGGTAAGCCTCGCCTGACCTCAACCTGTCTTGACCGCCCTCGCACATACGGGCAAATTCATGTCACATCATCAAACCCATCCGCTCCCCGAATGCCATCAGGCGGGTGAATAACTCCACAATAATACACCACACTGGTCTTTGATTCGTCCCGACTGCTAATCAAGTACTGTTTGTTACAGCGTAACCTCAACAACTGCTTCGCCTACGATCTCGTCCCCTCCGTCGAGGTCCTCTCCGCTGCCCTGAAGGCTGCTCGCCGCGTCAACGACTTCCCCACCGCTGTCCGGGTCTTCGAGGGTACGCACTTTTCTTTCCCTAGAATCTTACCCGCTCCCCTCTTTTCTGTACATCTACTTATCCTCTACTCTTTCAACAGGTATCAAGGCCAAGGTCGAGACCCAGGACCAGTACAAGCAGTACCTCGAGAGCCTTGAGGGTCTGCGCCAGGAGCTCGGTGTTGCTCTCCGGGAGGAGCTCTACCCCACCGAGGAATAGATGCATTTCCAGTCAAACGTCCGCTAAGAAGTTTGTCTCTCCTGTTAAAGTTGATAAGATAGGAAAGCTGTATAGTCTCTCTTGTTAAAGTTGATAATACAGGAAAGCTGTATACATACTCTAGAATGCAGTTGGAGGTGGTCTCCAGGTTGTTGTTGGTTGTCTAATAATCCTTCGTTACCCTGGAGTCCGATCATCGGGGGGATTTGAAATGGAGTTGCACACGTGCTTTTCTATACCAGTGCCACTATAAAGCCTGTGTGCATTTGCTTGTACTTTGTATTGTCGAGGCTAGTGAAAGAAATTACAGGGGTTGTTTAGTTTGAATGTTACCAAATATGTTTTGATGCCGATGATGCCGGTGTTCATGCTGAAGCTGAAATAAACCATAAAAGCACACTGATACACAGCTCACAACACCCTTAATTACATGGGTAGAAATTGGAACGATAAATGGAATATAGATACAATGAAGGCCGGGCCAGCGATCCTCTCAAGATAGCAACACACGGCTAGGCATATAAAATGACAAATATTAAGACAGTGAAATTGAACAAAAGCCCAGATCCGCCCCCGTTAGAACGCCCCTGTCGTTTTCAAAAAGGGTTTCGAGTACCTTATCATCAATCAATGTTGAGTATGGAAGAGCAAAAGGCTGAGTCATGGCAGTTGCTTTCTGCAAGTTGTACACGATGCGTCTCATCTGCGAGTATGAGTATCGAAACGAAGAAGAAAAAAAAAAAAAACTCATATCGATCGTCTAGTGCATTCCAACGTGTTTGAAATAGCTCGGGCGGCAGTCTTCCTTGGCCAGGAAGGGTTCGCCCGCGTAGAATTTGCCGGGTGTGCATTTCGAGCACTTGGGGGAGTTGGGGCAGTTGAAGTAGGGGATGTGGTTGTATCCGATATCACGGAACCTGCAAGAGGATAGAGTCAGATTGGGTTCCGCTTATGGGCGGGGAAGAAAAGGGGAATCTTACCAGTGAACCTTAGCTGCGTCAGCGAATAGTCCCACGCCAATCGAATGCACAGGAGCATCGCCCCATCGCTCGTAGTAGAAACCGCCGGCTCGGTCGAGATGGTTGAAATAGGCCTCGTACTGTTCTCCCCGGAAGAAATCCAAATCGCCGATCTCGAAGTTCGACCAGAAGTGGCAGGTTGAATATCCATTCGCGGCTTCGGTGTGATCCGGTCGCAGGGTGCTGTCCGTCAACCAATCCATCATGTTGTTGCTGGATAGATAAGAGGGGTTTGCGGCAAGGAACTTCTTCGTCTCCGGCCAGAGTGAGGGGAGGGTCTGGGGAGCGTCGAACAGGTTGATGGTGAAACCGTACGTAAGGTTTCTGTCTTCCATGTATCGGAACACGTCGTAGTCGACATTGCAGAAGAATTGGACCTTGGGTTCAACGCGCCAGTAGTACTTGTAATCCTTGAGGGCAGGATGCTTATAGAACATGCCACTGTTCCACCGGCACATCTGGTGATAGGAGAGCTTGTCGCTGTATTGAATATCCTGCTCTTTCAGAAGTTGCGCGGACTCGCGGAAGAGTTCCATGTTGATCCAACTGGGGACATCCCAATGTTCCTTCGGCACGGTCTCTATATATTTTTCCGTCAGATCATTTGCTTTCCATCGATTGGGGGGGGGGTTGAACGGCTATTACCATATTGGCACTTCGCCTTGGTCTCGGCCTGGGTGCGCTTCTTGAATTCTTCGGTGAAAGGCTTGTCGTTGAAGAAAATCCAGGGATAGTTGAATTTGCCATTCCAGGTCCGCTCCAAATCCTTCATAGTCGGAATGAGCTCGTCTAACTCTTCATTGCGCACAAGCAAGATGAGAGCAGCGTTCGTACGGGCGGATTTGGCGCTGTTGGGGGTATAGTCGTTGTCTTCTGCTCGCCATAAATGGCCCTCGGGTTCACCAGTGGCTGCATCAATGACCCATTAGTATCCAAGAACCACACGCTGAACAGGGACAAGCCAGCAAAGGAAAAAAAGATTGAAAGCAAACGCACGATCTAAGAGAGGGTCTTTCTTCATGCCCTGATATTCTTTTGACCCCTTACTAATGAATGTCGGGCCTTCAGTCTTGTTGACCTGGAAGATCAGGAAGAGACATAGCAGGATACATGCTGCGCCGAGCATGCGTATGGGCCTCGCGACCGCCATCTTGACCGTAAAGAGAGCGAAATTGAATGGCAAGATAGCGAGAAAAGGAGGACTGGACACTCTTTGTCGACTCGTGTGCTCTCTCGATGTCTCTGTCTCTCTTGGGGCCAGATGCCGCCTTTTCCCCAAACAGGCCTAGCGCTGGCAATATCAAGCACCACGTCACGGACTCTCGCCAACCAGCGAAATTGCTCTTGTTGATAACTTTTGGATGCCGCGTAACCCCGGCTCAATCCCAGGGCTGGCCGTCGATGAAACAATGATGGAGAGGCACCGGAGGATAACTCTCTTGGATACACTCGCTGATCAGTTACTGACTCACTGCACAGTAACTGCCTATCATGGCTTTCACTGATGAAACTAGCACGCTAACCGACGAGCTAATTATAGCAATCGCAAAGATTGATCCAAATGTACTATGATGAGCCCTTGGCAGAACTATAGACTTCGTTGCTAACGTCGTTGTATAGAATACGTCACGACTCAAACATCTGAAGCGTCGTGTCGAGGATTCTTTCAAGTCAGCCTCTCATGGCCGCACTGACCAGTTCGCGGTTGCAAAGCAACTGGAAGGCTTACAAGAGAAATTCCAGGTGCTCAATAAAGATGAGCTAGCGGACGCTCTTCGGGTGCGCTTGACAGAATTAGAGGAATACCGCAACTCCTGGTTTCCTGAGATCCTGTCCTTACTTCTACAACTATCGAACCGTCCTGCTCTGTTGTCAGAGCTTAGTCGGCTCCCAAAGCGTCAACCTGAAGGGGTCGTGGAGAGGCTCTCCTGGTCGGAACTGGATGCTTCAGGATCTGCATATTGCGACGACGATATCTGGGAATGTATCGATTATGGCGCAGATTCATCTGAAGAAGATGATGAGTTGATTTCTTCCGGTCGTAGTGATGCTTCTGTGCCACAAACTTTGCCTTCAAGTCCCATACCCTCGGACGAGGAGTATGACATCCCGGATGAAGTTTTCTTGCCTGACGCAGACCAGGACTTTATAGTCGCCATCAAGGATGCTCAATTTTGGAGGGCCGAAAATCAGGGTGTTTTCACTCAAGCCCGGAGCGCTTCCTCGCAAGTGGTTACAGAGCTTCAAGTTATCAAAGAGACAATTTTCATGCTGCAGGGGCTGCCTACATCGTTGTTCTGGCGACTCGATGACAACATCGAGGTTGACCGACGGTACACGCTCGCACATGCCTCGAATGAATCACTGACATCGCTATTACAATCATTGGGTGTCATTGGCGCCAGAATAGATGTTCTAAGACAGTTTACGAAGACCAAACAGGCAGTTCCCTTCATGCAGACCTTCCATCGGTGCATCGAGGGCCACCTGCACAAATTTGATGCCTTTTTATCAAAGATCCAGTCTGGTTTTCTACCTCAACGTACGTCTGTATCTATTAGCCTTCTCCAGCTGGCCGAGGATGTTCGCAATGAGTCACGGATGCTCGTGATTCTTTCTGATCTGATTTCCAACCTCCAGTGCAATGCTTCAGGCAATTGCGTACGTTGTCTTGATCTGCTGTATGATTCGGTCTGCTTGAATCAAGCCACCGGCGATGACTCTGAATTCAAAGTTCTGGCAGGTCTGTTTTTATCATGTCTGGAAACTTATATGCGCCCGATCCACCGCTGGATGGAAGAAGGGCAGTTGGACTCCAGACAAGGGACATTTTTCATCATAGACAATCATAACGATAACGATCTTCGAAGTCTATGGCGCGAATGGTATACATTGGATGAGACCTCCGGGCTTGAGCATATACCACAGTTTATGAAGCCCTTTGCTCGTCAGATTTTTACTGCTGGTAAAAGTATGGTTTTTCTCCAGCATTTGAATGCGCTTGACGAGGTTGAACAACATCAGAAGACTGCTCTGACTTTCGAGGGGATGTCCAACGATGAACATGCTTCTTTAGTCTACCTCCCGTTTGCCGCCACCTTTGGGTCTGCTTTAGATAAGGTGGTGAAGGCAAACCAATCTTTCACGTCAAATCTGCTGCACCAGGAACTTGATCGGCAATGCGGACTGTGGACTTCACTTAACGCCTTGGAGCACATCTACCTCTGTAAGGACATAAGTGTCTCGGGTGCCATTGACGGCAAGATATTCGATCTGATGGATCGCGGCAGAGGCGCCTGGAGTGATAGATACCTTCTCACTGAACTTGCACAAAGTGCGTTTAGCAGGCTGTCTTTCGTCGACCCTTCCAGGCTTATTGTCCGCTCGCACCAGGATCCAGAGGGACTCGGCCGTTCCGTTAAGATGCTCAGAATGATCTCTTTCGACTATATCCTCCCCTGGCCCGTTGCGAACATCATCACCAAGGACGCAATCCAAAGCTACCAGCGCATCTCCATATTCTTCATGCAAATCCGCCGAGCAAAACAGCTGGTCGTGAAGCAGCGCCTGCAATACACTACTGAAACCGACGCATTTTCTACCGACAGGGCCAGCAACGCCTTGAGCTACGCCCTGCGGCACAACATGCTCTGGTTTCTCAACACGCTCTACAGCCACATGACGGATTTCGTCATTTCCACAACAACAAACTCATTCCACCAATCTCTCGCTGCCGCCAAGGACGTCGACGCAATGATCGCAACACACCGCGCATACATGTCCTCCCTGGAGGACCAGTGTCTCCTCTCCAGAAACCTCTCCCCCCTCCACCAAGCCACAATCGCCCTCCTCGACCTCTGCGTCTATTTTGCAGACATCCAAGCAACACGCCACGGAGAAAACCAATTCGACCACTCCAAGACCCCGGGCAAATACGCGCGACTGCCTCGTCGAAAACCCCACTTTGCCTCCAAAGACGAGGAACACAGCGACGAGGACGAGCAGGACCACGACAGCGATTCGCAGGATGATTCAGACGCGGATATCGGGAATACCACTGCAATCTCCTTCTACGAGGCACCATACGCGGACCGGTTAAGGGATGTTCAAGACCAATATGATCAGCTCGTTGGCTTCCTGGCTGCTGGGTTGAAGGGTGTCGGACGCGTGGACGGTCAGATTAGCTGGGAGATTCTGGCTGAGAAGCTGGAGTGGCGGAAAAGGCGCCCTGCCGTGTAGGTAGGGCTTGTGAGTTGATAGAGAAGGTGTTTTCGTGGATTTATGGAGAATTTGCTGTTATGACACCTTGCCATGATATCTTGTGGCTTTTGCGATATTTAGCTTCATGTTCTGGCATATTTATGGATGAGATAATTAGCTAGAAAGTGATCCTGACAAGTTACAATCTTGAGTAATATGCTGATGTGAAAATCACTGATATGCTCTGAAAGAACTTCCTAACAATTTGAGTATCCACGTATCGAACAAATCGTGCAAAAGAACAACTGGTAAATATTTTATATACCTAGAAAAAAAAAAGAAAGAAAGAAACAAGACACAATGCCCTCCAAACTAATTTTGGTTTTCGCTATACAATCACCCTCATTTCACCAAGAAACACACACAAACGAGATAAAATAACCAAGAAAAAAAATAACTGCCCGCAAGCACTTAACCCACCCATCTTCTAGCACTAAAGAAGACACGCCCCCAAGGACCGATGTCGCCCCATTCTTCAGCATTGGGAGGCAGGTAGCTGGCAATGCCGCCCATGACGGTACGCTCGGGGTGAGGCATGATGGCCAGCACACGGCCGTTGGCGTTGCGGATACCGGCAATACCCTCGGGGCTGCCGTTGGGGTTGAAGGGATATTTCATGGTGGGTTTGAGGGTGGCATTGTCGACATACTGGACGGGGGCAAGGCCATCGCGGACGAAGGCTTCGGCGGTGGCGTTGGAGGCCGGGGCGAAAGAGGCGCGGCCTTCGCCGTGGGCGACGGCGATGGGCAGCGAGGTACCGTTCATGCCGTGCAGGAAGACGCTTGGGTTTGCCTGGTCAGGGTCGGAGATGCGGACCATGCAGACGCGTCCTTCGTACTGCTCGCTGGCGTTGCGCTCGAAGCTAGGCCAGTTGGCGGCGCCGGGGATCAAATCCTTGAGACGGGAGAGGAACTGGCAGCCGTTGCAGACGCCCAGGGCGAAGGTGTCGGGGCGCTCAAAGAAGCTCTGGAACTCGTTGCGGGTGTTCTCGTGCAGCAGGACGGACTTGGCCCATCCTTGGCCAGCGCCGAGGACGTCGCCGTAGGAGAAACCACCGCAGGCGGCCAGACCGACAAAGCTGGAAAGGGAAACGCGGCCAGAAATGATGTCGGTCATGTGGACGTCGACAGCAGAGAAGCCGGCCGTGTTGAAAGCAAAGGCCATCTCAGCCTGGCTGTTCACACCCTGCTCACGCAGGATCGCGACGCGGGGCTTGTTGCTGAAGGGAGACTTGAGGCTGGTGAGGAGAGGCATGGCCCGGTCCTTAGGGTCAAAGGTGGGGTTCCATGACAGACCGGGATCCGTGTCGTCCAAGATGTTCGAGAATTCCTGTTCCGCGCAGGCGGCATTGTCACGGATCTTCTGCATCTGGTAGGAGGTGGTGGCCCAAGTCTGTTGGATGTTTGCACGGCTGTTGCGGTAGACCAGGCTGGCCTTGTGGTAGATGGCAAGGTTTTGCTTAGGTCTCTCGGAGACACGACCAATCTTATGGATCAGGCCAGCAGGGGGACCGCAGGTGGCAAAGCACGAACGGAATTGGATCTCATGCTCTTTGCGAACCTGGAAGACCGCACCCAGTTCTTCCGTGAAGAGTGTCGAGATGATATCCTGTGTGTCGTTGGTGGGGCAAATGTTGTCCAGCATGATTTCAACGCCGCATCGGCCGGCGAACATCATCTCGGCGAGAGTAGTGAACAAACCACCATCAGATCTATCGTGGTAGGCCAGGACGATGCCAGCCTCCTGTAGCTGTTGAGTGGCATCGAAGAAATCTCTGAAGATCTCTACGTCACGAACGTCGGGACATTCGTCTCCGACCTGGCTGAAAACTTGAGCCAGGGCAGAACCACCCAGGGTCCTGCGACCGAAGGAAAGATCGACGAACATCAGAACAGTCTCGCCGACATCCTCAACACGGCGCAGGGCAGGAGTCCACGTCTTGCGGAAGTCACCAACAGGCGCGAAGGAGGTGATGACGAGCGACATGGGAGCAGTGACCTCCTTCGACTCCTTGGAGGCCTCGTCTGTCCACTTCATCTTCATAGACATGGAGTCCTTTCCAACTGGAATGCTGATGCCAAGCTTGGGGCACAGGTCCATGCCAATAGCTTCAACGGCTTCGTAGATGGCCGCACCTTCACCGGGATGATTACTGGCGGACATCCAGTTGGCTGAGAGCTTGACCTGGCTCAATCGATCGAACAGGTCCGCGGCAGCGATGTTCATGAGAGATTCCGCAACCGCCATCCGCGCCGATGCTGCCGGAGAGATGAGGGCAAGGGTTGGCCTCTCACCCATAGCCATGGCCTCGCCAGTCTTCATTCCCTGCAGCAAGGCAGTTGCCGTGACAGAGACGTCAGACACTGGAGTCTGCCAGCGTCCAACCATCTGGTCCCGAGCAGTGAGACCACCAACGGTACGATCACCGATAGTGATAAGGAAAGACTTGGAGCCGACAGCAGGCAGAGACAGAACACGGTTTGCGGCCTCGCTGATCAGCTCAACGCGGTTTGGCGCAAGCGATGGGAGGTAGGTAGTGAGGCTGGCGTCGACAGCGGGCAGCTTCAATTTGCGGGAGTCCACGGTTCTAGTCATCCGGGGAGGCTTGCCGAAGAGGACAGACAATGGAAGATCGATGGGCTTGGGATACTGGGTAGAATCTCTGTCGAGGAGGATGAGTCTCTTTTCCTCTTCGGATGCGGCACCTTCACCCCGGCCGACAACAGAGAAACCGCATCGCTCACGGTTAGCAATGGCAGTGAATTTGTTCATGCCTTCTTCGCTGACGGCAAGGACATATCTCTCCTGAGCTTCACAGCACCAGATCTGCATGGGGCTCATGCTCTTATCGGCGCTGTCAACCTCGCGAAGCTCAAAAGTAGCACCGAGACCGGAATCGTGGATCAACTCGGGGAGTGCATTAGAAAGACCGCCAGCACCAACATCATGGATGAACTTGATGGGGCTGTTCTCTCCCATGGCCACACAGGCGTTGATCACCTCCTGGGCTCTCCGCTGCACTTCGGCATTGCCTCTCTGTACACTAGCGAAATCCAAGTCTGCGGATCCTTCACCGGACGTGATACTAGAGGCGGCACCTCCACCCAATCCGATCAGCATAGCAGGTCCTCCAAGAACAACAAGGTAAGACCCGGGCTTAACAATCTCAGGCTTCTTGATAGCGTGCTGTGGTCTGACGGTACCGACACCACCAGCAATCATGATAGGCTTGTGATAACCACGAACCTCGGTCTCACCACTGCCAACATCGATCTGAGTCAGAAGAGTGCGGAAATATCCAAGTGTGCACGGCCGTCCGAATTCATTGTTGTAGTGAGCACTACCAATAGGAGCCTCGAGCATAATATCCAAGCTGCTTGCAATGTGGTTAGGCTTGCCTACGTCAAGCTCCCAGGGCTGTTTATGGCCCGGAATCAGGAGATCAGAAACGCAGAATCCAGACAAGCCAGCCTTGGGTTTCGAGCCTCTGCCTACGGCACCTTCGTCACGGATCTCTCCACCGGAGCCGGTTGCAGCACCAGGGAAGGGAGATACGGCAGTGGGGTGGTTGTGGGTCTCAACCTTGGCCAAGAAATGAACGACCTCCTTGGTGTGATTCCACTCGCCGGTGGTCGAGTCAGGACCCCAAAAAGCGGCACTGGGTCCCTCCAGCACGGCGGCATTGTCACTGTAGGCGCTGACGGTGTGTTCGGGGTGCTTCTTGTGGGTGTTGCGGATCATGGCAAATAGACTGTTTGGCATCTGCTCGCCATCAATGACCCAGGAGGCATTGAACTGCTTGTGGCGACAGTGCTCTGAGTTGACTTGCGCAAACATGAACAGCTCAACATCGGTGGGGTCACGAGCAAGAGGGCCGTTGGGGCCGTACGCTTCGGCAAGATAGTCAATCTCTGATTGTTCCAGCGCCAATCCTAACCGCTTATTCGCTTCCTGTAGGACTTCTTTGGGAGACTTGTCGCTACCGTGGAGGGCGATCGTCTGGAGAGGCTCGGGGGCGTGTTCGGAAAACATCAAATGCAGGTCGGGCTCGGTTTGGCTGAGCACTTGAGTCATGCGATCGTGGAGGATATCTTCGAAGCCGGGCTTGAGCTCTTGGGAGCCATTGCGAAGACACGAGATCTTGATACCCCGCTCAATACGCTTGACGTACTGGCGCAAACCACAGACATGCGAGATGCCGGTGGCCTGGGAACTCCATGGCGAAATAGTTCCAGTGCGGGGGAAGACATAGAAGACATCGAAAGAACCATCTTCAGAACTGAAGGAAGCGGGAACATCGGTGATATCGCCGTAACGGAGCAGCTGCTCCAGAACGCCCTGTTGTTGAGTATCTAACGGGCGTTCGGCGTGGACGTAGTGGATCCACTGAGCACGAACATTCTGGGCTCCAATGCTGGCAGCAATTGCGCGTCCCCTAGACTGGGAAAAGGCAACTGAGCCTGGAACTGCCAGATATGTGGAATTGGGGGGTGTGGAGGCCATCATGAGGCGGCAACCTTTTTTTCCCCTCTTTTTTTTCTTCGACGGGAAGTGGATGGGGAAGTCTTCGATGGGGAGTAAGAAGGACGATGGAATGGTAAGCAAAAGAAGAAGAGGGATATAACCTCCTTTCAGAGGTGTCTCGGGGACACTTCTAACAAGAAGACAGAATCGAGCACCACAGCGATGAGGGCGTTGAGCTGCTGGCCGTCTCGAAATTACTCACTCTTTGAGTCAACCTCGAGTCTTTTTTTTCTCGGCGGCGTTGGTCACCCCGCGCTAGTCCTGTTTTGGCTTATCGGCACATGTTGCTCCTTATCAGTCATGTGATATGTCATCCACCGGGAAAACAAAAATCCCGCAATGCCTCAGGCTGCCTAGCACGTGATACCAGTACACTGGTCTTGGGGACTTGCTATGTATGATAAGGCTTTGTGACCATTAATTGGATTTCATTTTTGTGCTCTGCGCCCATCATCAAACATCCATGTCTGTCGAAGACCGAGCTTCGGTACCCTGACATTTTGCTCTCGCGATTCTCGACTCTCAAGTCCACTATCCCATGATCCCACACCTTGTAGTGGAGCTCAGTGAAACATGGGGAACAAACGTTATGGGCCATGGTCTCGGAGAGTCAGCTGCCTTGTGGCCCTGTGGGACATATTGAGGGGTTTATCTATGATCTGTTGCTCAGTTGCTCAGAAAACACAATATCGTTAAAATCAGACAGCGACTCCACGCTGCAAAAATTCAATACTTCATACCTATCCGGGTTGAAACTTGGATAGTCTAGAGCTCTGCTCGGACTTCAGCCATCGTACAGTCCAAGTCTTCATGTGATCCAACGCAAGTAGCACGGACGCGTGATATTATAAGCGAATAACATCCAATATCCGTGACATTTTGGTTCGCTTGGCGGTTATGTATCAAGTCTGACATCAACACTTTTTAGCCGAAGAAGAAACCACGCAGTTACCAGGTTTGGAAGACAGCTTGATATCCCGATCAGGCAAAAGGCTCCGAGAATGACAACAAGCCTCCCGATGCCAAGAAAATTGGCAGCGGAACTTCGTAGTGGCTGAATCCTGAAGCTCTAGCTGAGAAACATGGCTGATGGCAGAACAGCACATCGAGAAGAAATTTCAGTCAATGGAATTTGCCAAAGTTTATGTGGTTGAGAACTGAACCGGCGACGCCAGGAATCTGGTGAACTACGACTTCTTTACTCCGTGGTAGGGACGATCTGATCTCTCAACATAGAACCTGTACGGAGTTTGGTCATCATGAGCTTTGTCTCAGCTGCTCTACTTTTGCTGGAGGTATTTTATGCTCAATGACCTTAGTTCACGAGACACTCTCAGATTTCTCATATGTCGCTTGAGTCTCGAGAACCGAGACCAGGTGTTCCTAACGGCAAGATTAGTATTCAGTAGACTAGTTAGAGCTAGGTTTCAAAGTCTAGAATCTTGAGCTAATATTATTAGCCCCCACTGATTTCTCTTGCGAAGTTGCGAGCCTGGGCACATGGCAAAAATGGGACAGTGGGCAGTGGAGTGTGGACTGTGGACATTGAAGGGTGGATACGGAATCAACCCTAATCACAGTCTACACTCTACAGTCTACACTCTGCCTACAAGGCTACTTGCTACAGTACTCCATCACTCACTACTATTCAGTAGTAGTAGAGTACCCTTTCTCAGTTTCTCTTCTGGGCACTCGAACACATAACCGAGTCATCATGCACAGTTAGCTGGATCCTTGTACCTACATTGGAGCCTGTAGGGGCAGTTATAGTGGGGTCTTACTCTGTCTACATAGTACAAATTCCAGTCTCTATCCTCTCCTTTAATCTCATAAGAATGGTTGATTATGCTGTCTGACTTTTATGCTCAGGGCACTGGCCTAAGGAATACTCGTAATTCAAGTCCTCTTTGATCCATCCGAGATCCACTCTCAAAATCTCTAACCTTTGAAAGAAACCTAGTGTAAGGAAAACCACCCCTGAATTAGTGCCCAATTTGAAGGCCGTAGTGGAATCTGGAATCGTCAGGCAGACTGACAGAGTAGTTAATTAGTTACGAAGTATAGACTTATAGCTCAAACAGTCAACAGACAGCGGGGAGGATCCAGTGCCATCGAAGCATATTACCCAATACGGTTAGCACAGAGATGCCGCATCGGGAAAGCGAGGTACAGCCGAGCTCCACCCGGACCGATTGGCTGCCTGAACGGGTATCAAGTGGTCTGGATGCCGTTTACATGGGAACTGATACCTACATGGAATCATACTCTCAAAGCCAAAAAAAAAAAAAAAAAAACACATTCCAACTTTGTTTGCGTTTGTCGCCATCCAGGCCCACCACTCTTCGGTCTAGGTTCCACTGATTAACTCTAAACGAGGGGGAAAATGGTCCAGTCCACAGGTTATAAGTATCTGCTGGGATCCTCCTGGAACAATGGATCTCCTGAATCTCAAACAACGTTGCTCAGCACTGCGATTCTAAACCCAACCTTGGTATCCGGGTGTCGCTAGATATACATAGCTCAAACATGTCGGACCATCTATACCAACAGCCTACGCGGCGTGAGTCGCTTGTGGGGGGAGGGGACGAGTTCGACCCCCTAGACCTCCCCCTCCGCCAGGTTACCAATGAGGCGAATATGGCCGAGTATACCACCGAGACGGTGGAAGGAAATATCATCAAGCCAGTCAAGTCGACTGCCACTGGCATAGTCGAGGATTATAAGCTGGTCACCTTCAAAGTCGATGATCCTGAGAACCCAAAGAACTGGTCCAAGGCCTACAAGTGGTACTGTACCATGGTCGTCTCGTTCACCTGTTTCGTCGTTGCTTTCGCCAGTAGTGTTATCACTGCCGACCTGGAGGGACCGTCAGAGTCTTTCCACGTCTCTCACGAAGTTAGTCTGGTCACTATCACGGTTTTCGTTATTGGTTTCGGTGTCGGTAAGTCATTCTCTTTATCAAAACATACCTGGTACGTTGAGCCGTGCTGACAGCTATAGGTCCCATGGTTTTTGCTCCAATGTCTGAAATGATCGGCCGTCGACCTGTCTACGCGATTACGCTCTTGATTGCAGTCATCTTCGTTATTCCTTGCGCCGTTTCCAAGAATATTGGAACTCTTATCGTTTGTCGAGCGATCGATGGCATTGCGTTCAGTGCCCCCATGACACTCGTCGGTGGTACACTAGCAGATCTGTGGAAAAATGAGGAGCGTGGTGTCCCCATGGCGGCCTTCTCGGCTAGTCCCTTCATTGGCCCCGCCATCGGTCCTCTTGTCGGCGGTTATCTCTCCCGGGCGGGCTGGAGATGGCTCTACTGGATCCAGCTGATCCTGGCCTTTGTCGCTTGGGTCTTGATTACCTTCACCGTCCCTGAGACTTATGCTCCCATCCTTTTGCAGAAGAGAGCCAAGAAGCTGCGGAAGACCGAAAACGATCCCAAATACGTCACTGAGACAGAGCTCGACTCTCGTCCCTTGGGAGAGAAGCTCCGTCTCTTCCTCTTCCGTCCCTTCCAGCTTCTGTTCCTGGAGCCCATTGTTCTGTTCATCTCCATCTATATGTCTGTCTTATACGGTTTGCTGTACATGTTCTTCGTTGCGTAAGTCGACTCTTGCACCGGGAAGTTAATCATCCGAACAGATTATACTGACTGATCTTGCTTAGCTATCCCATTGTGTACCAGAAGGGTAAGGGCTGGAGCGCTGGTCCTACGGGTTTGATGTTCATTCCTTTGGCTATTGGTGTTCTCCTCAGCGCCGCCTGTGCCCCCCTCGTCAACAAGCACTACCTCACCCTCGTCAAGAAGTACAATGGAAAGCCTCCAGCTGAGATGCGTCTCATCCCGATGATGCTTTCTTGCTGGTTCATCCCTATTGGTCTCTTTATCTTCGCCTGGACTTCCTACCCAAATCTTCACTGGATAGGTCCTTGCATTGGTGGTTTGCCCGTTGGCTTCGGCTTTATCTTCCTCTACAACTCCGCCAACAATTACCTGGGTATGTTTTTCGCTGGTTTCCGCATCGCTCCTATCTACCAGTTACTAACAAGTCATTGCAGTGGATACCTATCAACACCAGGCCGCCTCCGCTCTTGCCGCCAAGACATTTCTACGATCCATGTGGGGTGCCTCCACAGTGCTGTTCACGGAGCAGATGTATGACCGATTGAACGACCGATGGGCCAGTACATTGCTGGCCTTCATCGCCCTCGCTTGTTGCGCAATTCCCTACGCCTTCTATTTCAAGGGCGCATCGATCCGTCGCTACTCGAAGTTTGCCTTTGCTGACGACGAGGAGCAACAGGGCGCTGGAGAGAAGCATTAGATTTTGTTTTCGCTTCTTATTTAGCTGCCCGAGATATCGATCTAGTCGATGCATCTCTATTGCTGCCAATTTTCTATTAATCCCTATTTGGTTATGCACATTTCGCGGAGTACAATGTTTGTTACGATTCATGTCATTCGAGGACGTAAAAAAAGGGCGGAGTCGTCTGGGTTTTATTATTGGCGACATTTATATAGATATTAGATACCAAATATTTCCATAGAGATTAATCCTAACCATTTCATCAATCATATCTTCTAATATCATAAACCATAAGAAAGAGCACTGGCCGTGCGGAATTGCAGTTGGCAGACCGACAAGAACGGTTGTTGTTTTGGGGTTTAGGATTGTGGTCCCCCGCTCTTCTCACGTGACAAGAGACCAGGTGATGACTAATGCCGAGAGTCTGCAACTTTGGAAGCTTAACGCCGCCAGCACTGAGACTTTGCTCCTACCCGCACCAAGCATCGCGCAAAATGGCTGAAGACTGAGACTTTTGAGCCATCAATCTGTAATTTGGTCCTGGAGAAGTGATGTTCTTCTTCCGATTCGTGGTTTTATAGCTACAGGTGATTGATTTCTGTCACGCCGCATCCGTTCTCCCGCTTCACTTCATGATCTTCTCCGGTTGGCCAAGCCCGGTGTTCCACGAAACTTCGAAAGCTACGGCAACGCACAAAACCTCGTCGATATCTCTGGAAAGGGTCTTCATCCCGACTCAATCATGATGGCGTCCCCTTATCAAGGCTCGATATCCTTCTCGCCATCTGCGGCCGGCTCTGACATGACGGGTGCGACTTCGCGATCCGTCTCCGACCTCCCGCAATCCCAAGTCGACGCAATCATCCGAACGAAACGCAAGGCGCGCGAGCCCAAGGCCTGCTACCCCTGTCACGCACGGAAGGTCAAATGCGATCGTAACCTTCCCTGCGATGGATGTGTCAAGCGCGACCATGCGGACCTCTGCTCGTACGAGCGGCCGTCGAAAAAACGCATCCTCACCGGTTCGATGCCACCAGCGTACAGCGATAGCCCTGCGAGCGTTCCTCCGGTCGGCGGATCAGAACCATTGGGGACTATTGCTCAGGAGGAGCCGCATGTGCGGATCAAGCAGGAGGCCGGGGCAAGCCGGACTAGCGCACTCGGCGGGCCTGCGAACCGGATATCCATTCCGCGGGAGGAGTGGGACAATGTTCGCACCCGGTTGAAGGAAATGGAGAAGACGATCTCCAATCTACGTGTTGGGTTGGAACGGGTGGAGGAGGGCTCGGGGGGCGTTTTGGAAACAGCCAGTGCTCACAGTGGCGATGCGAGCAACCGGTCCAAGATCGCTTCTCCAGAACGGGAGGGAATTCATGCGCCGAATACACTGGGCGAAGGCACCGTCCATCTGGGATCACGATCGGTAATGGCGTACATTCTGAACAACAAGTCTGGTTCGGACCAGCTGCAGGCTCTGCTTGAGGGTGGAATTCTGCCAAAGCTGGGCCTTGACAATGAGTCCGCGACGTATCCGTTCGTCGATCTGTGGTCGTCCGATATGTCGACATTTGACGTCAGCGCAGTTTGCAGCGCGCTTCCGAGTGATCAGCAATGCAAGGAGTGAGTACCTGGCCGTTGATCAGGGGCAGAGTTACCCCGAGGACTAATCAGTCTGTCAGGTTCTTTTTCTACTACCGGGATGTTGCAGGAACCATCTATCCTGTCATCGAGGATATTCAGCAATTCGAGATGAATCTTGACCTTCTGCTCCGAAGTAGAGCAGCAATGGGAGGCGTTTACCGAACAGATACGGATGAAGCACAGCGGCCCTTTGGGGTGTCTATCGCCTATCTGGGCTTGCTGTTCGCTGTGCTGGCGTCTGGTTGTCAATCCTCCGATTTACCAGGAAAGGAACGAGAATTGACTTCTCAAGTTTATGGTATGCATTGCTTTCAACTCCCACTTGGTGTGGGTACTTAGGCTTACCGAATCAGTGTGCTGCTCCTACCAATGTCTTCGGATGACCAACTTCCTCTCTCAACCTACTATCGAAGCCATCCAGACTCTCTTGGTGATCGGAAATGTGCTATCGTACAACATGAACCCCGGCATCTCCTATGTCCTACTTGGTAAGTTACCAGAGCGCTCGATTTTAGATCACGAAGTTGACTAGTATTAGGCATGACTCTCCGAATGGGTCTTGCACTAGGTCTACATGTGGAATCCAGTCGCTTCTCCCCTGCAGACAGCTACCGTAGACGGCATGTTTGGTATGGCCCTCAAAAAGATGACGAATTCACGATGATGCTAACGATGTTTAGGTGGTCCATGGCATGGCAAGACAGCCACTTTTCTCTGTCCTATGATCGACCGTCGACTACGGCCGTCAGTCAACCCGACATCGCTTATCGCGAAGACTCGAAGGCTGGGGAACTATCATATTTTGAAACTCTCTGCCGGATAATCTCGCTCGCTCTCGAGGTTGTACGCGGTCGTATGCTTAGCTCCCACTCCCAGATGAGTTTCAAAACCATCCAAACCTACAAAGAGAGGATCCAGCAAATTATGATCGAAGCCAGGCCGCATCTGCGTGACCGCAAATATTGCTTGTCATCGACGGAACACCTGGAACGAGTCGTGCTGAAGCTTCACTCGTCCTACTTTTCGTCGGAGCTCCTCCGACCAACACTCAAGGCTCCTGCTGACTCGAACGATCCCACCAGTGTCAGCATGCGTGCCGACTGTGTCAGCAATCTCATGACAACAGTGGAAGCCTATGTGGAGATGCATACTATCAGCTCGCACGCATCGCGTTCTTGGATTACTTTGCAGCGAGCGATCAGCTCGATGTTCCTCCTGGCAGTCACGGAGGAGTCGAAGACGGATCCTCGGTTTTGGACCCTGTTACACCAGCTCAAGAACATCATTGGCGAGCGTGCCAACGAAGAAGGTATCATGGGGCCGGTCGATGCCTCTGCTGCCATCACATCGCCAGCTGTTGCTCCCGCCATGACCGGAGCTAGTCCTGCTGCTCTTGATTCGACCTCTCCAATCCCTATGCCTGTATCGGTCGATTCACAAACCCAGTGGGCCAAGCCCTTGACCAAGACTTATCGTGCCCTGGAAAAATTAGAAGCCGCGTTCTCCGGACATGGCCACCGGGCTAGTCACAATGGTGGCTCTGCATACCGGAACCCTTCAGCAAACTCAGCCACGGGCAACCTTGCTCCTCCCGTGTCTGCAGCCATGACACCCACTCTTGGGTCCCTCCCGCCTCCCACCCCGGAGAGTTCGACCAGTGGGGAGTGGTCGATTCCGAATATCCTGGACCGGGCTGCAGAGTACATCCATCCCCCACTCTGGAGCTGATCCCTGATAGAGGCGATGGGGCGCGGCTTGCACTAGTTATTCTGTTGTAATGCATCGGTAAGGGTTTCGACAGGGGTTTTGGGATGTCACTTTTTAACTTTCCGGATAATGTATGTTATGAATCTTGCGGTGTACTTGATTGGCGTTTTGTTTAATGCTTTTCTCGTTGTCATATTTTGTCATCTATACTTGGTGACTTTGTCTTCCTATCTGAAGATATGCTTGATTCCTTTGTCAAAGATTTTACCAATTTATAATATCCCAGCCTGGACCTGACGAATTGCAGATGGTCTGGATTTATTTTCCTTCTTGATATGATCCCTCCTATCCTGGCAGAATGTCAAGCGCGCTGTCTATTGGATCGCCCGCGCCGGCTTCAATTCACCCACACACACTCCAGCCTTCCCGCCCTGCGTGATCTCCAGCAAGAAGCCATAGCTCTTCTCCGTGGATCCGCTCACCGTCCCCGTGCCCAGGATATCCCCGGTGCGCAGGTTACACTCCGTGCTCGCCACAGATGCGCACACATCTGCCGCGCGCTCCAGAACAGGTCCTGCACCGGCGACTCGCTGAGCACCGTCGTGCAGCCGCCGTGCTCCAGCTCCACCTTCATGATTATCGCGTAGTTGAAGGCCCCGGGGTCCTGGAGGTCGACGCACGGCGGCGGGCCAGCGGCCCTGAAGGGTTCCAGGGCATCAGTCATGATGATCCAGGGGGAGAAGCTGGTTCCGAAGAGCACGCTGTTGTCGAGGCGGGTTGCGCATTGGGGCTGGGAGTGGAGCGGGGACGAGGCGATGCTGAAGGGGAGATTGTGGATGGAGAAGTGGTGGTGGTAGTCTTGGGAGGCCCTGGTTCTGCTATTCGTCTCTATATATATTGTATACTGGAAGCGCCCGTGGTGTTATTACTCTGGGCGATGTTGTCAGTGAGAAGCGACGGTCGAACGAGTAAAGATGGATCTACCGGTCCTGATCCGAGAAGAACTCATTGTCTTCTAATCACTCTTTACGCCATGGTTGAGTCCACTTTGCTCTTCTTCCCCCACTGTGGATGAGTCGAGGGGAGTCGCTGTTCTTGTCCCCATCTCGATGACTTGTTGCCGCTCATCTTTGCTGCTTTTTACCATCAGAGAGAGCGAAGCATTATTCGTGATTACTACTGACAATAATATCACCTTGGATGAAAAGCAGAATATGAAATGGTTGCCAAGGTGTAGAGCAGAGAACAAAAAAAATAAAAGCATTCTACATCTACAACATGCCAAACAACCGAGAATCAAGGCCAACTCCAGGTTCACTTAACACACAAAGGAGATCACCTCTCAAGCTGGGGAAAAAAACAACTATGGACGTGTGTTCACCATGTCTATCCGATTAATAATAATAATTGGATCGTGAAGGGGAATCGGACGCTAAATGAGGCTGGTCTATATGACCGGACTTCTTCGTATACGGGTGCAGGCGGAGTCAGCAGTGTCTGTCAGCTTACGCACACGGAGAATCCTCGCTCTTCTCGCTCTCTTGTACCTTCTTCAATCCCATCAGATATCAGGCGAGTACCTCGTTTTCTTCCAGGCTTTAGTGCTCTCAGTGACAACCAGTTCGCATTAGATTGTTCGGTTCAATCCCTCTTGTTCCTTTACACTCCAACCGAGCAACTCCTTCAGCCCACACACAACAGACAAGAGATCTTGTTGCACCATGTCTTCCACAGCCTCTACCCCGCCTAAGAAGTACTACAAGGTAGCCGTCCTCCTGTTCGACGGGGTCGACATCCTTGACTTTGCGGCACCAATGGAGATCCTTACTCATACATCCCATAACCGAAACCCTGATAATCCGGATCGCGTGTTCAGCATCAAGACCGTGGCTCGCGCGCCCACGGTGAACGCCAAGCAAGCTCTGACCGTCCAGGTGGACCTACTTCTCGACGAGGCGCTACAGACCATTGCGGACTTTGACATTCTCATCGTCCCCGGCGGCCCCCCATCTCTGATTACCCCTATGGTCGCATCCAATCCGCTGGAGGTCGAGCTGATTCGCAAATTCGCTACTCTACCTCCCAAGACGCCAGATGAACCGCGGGTGCTGTGCTCCATGTGCACCGGTGCGTTCCTGGTTGGAGCAGCCAGGCTGTTGACCGGAGTTCCAGTGACGACCCATCATCGGGCTGTCGAAAGACTCCGCCAGTTCTGCATTCAAGTCAATGGGGACGATGTTCCTCCCCCGGAGGTGTCGCATAAGCGTTATATAGACGCCGGCATTCTGAAAACTGGACATGCTAGGCTGATTACGGCAGGAGGGGTCAGTAGTTCTCTGGATGCTTCTCTGTACCTCGTGAGTCAGTTGACATCCCTCGACATGGCCGCGTTTATTTCCCGGGTGATAGAATATGATTGGAAACCGCTTGCGGAGGAATAGAAGGGTCAGAAGTGAGAGCTCAAATGTCATCAAGGCTAGCTGGATCTTTGTCTTTTTCTTTCTTGTTTCTTTCCCTCTTCCTTTCGTTTCTGTTCAGCAAGAGCTGGAGGGAGCTCTCACAGGGTCATTCCTGAATGGACCTGCATCGTGAAGTCAGCTTGAGTCAGAACTTCTGGAATTCTACCCAATTATTGCTACAGCCACTGCAGGCCGAGTCATTCCTCCGAGCTCACTCTAAGTGGGCCATTAAAGCAACCTTGACAGGGTTGATCTATGGCTCGGACTGGTGTGGGACTGCGTATGAACCAAGGCGTCTGCTTACAGTCAGACACGACGCACAAGGATTTCCCATGAACGCCGAGTACGTAAAACGTGGCGAATGTGCCATCCTTCGAAAGATTTCCCAAACTTGCAATAAGACTTCCATGTGGTGACACCCCCTCGCTAGCGCTGGTGGCTTCGTGAGAGGTTCGCGTTCCACAATCACCAAGAACGATTGACTCCAAGCGAGGTGCCACCATGGTGATACAGCGTTTAAAATGGTTGGGCCAAGAAGTAAAAACAGAAATTTCGCCTCTCTCAAGCATAGTGGTTGTTCGAAAAGCAAAAAAACAACGGTATCAGCGCATGCAGCTGCAGGTCTAGTCATCATAAGAGACTCTGTGTCAGCCAGCTCGTGTTTTTGTTCGAGACTCTGATATCGAATGAACATCGACTCAAATTTCGGGGCTAAGGCTGAAGAGAACATGAACCATTTCAGCCATGCAGAGAGCCTGCATGCATCAGACACATGTCGCTCGAAGTCATGCTGACAACACCAAAGTCAACATGAGCTGGTGTGTCGCCAAAGATACTTCGAAGAAACGGGCACACCGAGTACTGTTAGTCAACAATGTCACGGTGGATCAGGACCTCTTGCCCCTCGTCGAAGCCAGTAGTCGTAAAGCTGACGAAGATAGAGTCTGTTCGTCTGCATGTATCTTGCTTCGGTCACTGTGAAGAGATATAAAACCCTCCCCACCAACGGGTCCAGCTAGACCAAAGTCTTCTATCCAAAAGGTCGACTCTCATCATACCCCATTCAACATAAGGAGCATACAGACCTGGAGACACATCTAGTCTGCTTTCGTCAAAATGATTGCCCCATTGCAGAAGCCCGAAGAGTCAACCGTCTCGTTCCCTGGAGAAGCACAAGAGAACAGCTCAGTCAATGTATATCACACAAAAGCGGCAGCCATCACTACAACCGAGATTGCCGCTTCATCTTCGTCCTCCGATTCAGAGGGAGCCGAAGATGTTCTCGTTGAGCGATCAACCAGTGTGACCGACGAGGTTCATGCTGAAAACGGAAAGACTGTGCCTGAGGCTGCAACGACCGAACACCGCGACGATGCCTCGTATCTCCCAGTGACCAACGGTATCTACGTGCAAGAGGAGAGTCCGATCTCTGATGATGAAGCAACAGCTATTGCCGTGCTGAAAGTCATTGAGACATATGGGGTGAACTATGAGAAGACTGGTGCGTCCTGGCAAGGACTCACCTCGTTCATTCCCACAGTCGTCAACCAAATCCAAAAGAAAGAGCCGGTTCGGATGATCCTCCCTGCTTTCCCTTTCAAGTCTCCCAACGGCCGAGACAAGGTTTTGGGTATCCTCCCTGACCTGGGAGAGGAGCTGGCCTTGCACCATCTGAATGGGCTATGTGAGAACATTCAGAGTGTATATGAACCCGGTGCAGACGTATACATCAGCTCTGACGGCCTCGTATACAACGGTAGGTCTTCTCTCAACCCAGTCAATGCTTGACCCCCTGCTAACCCGGACAGATATTCTGGGAGTTCCGGATGAAACTGTGTGGGAATACGGCGAAGCCCTGCGCAAGTTGGCAGTCGAAAAGGAACTTCACCATATCAAGTTCATTCGACTCTTCGAGCTGCTCGAGCATCCTTGGATCCCTCTGACCAGCCCCGAGCAAGCAAAATCCTTCTATCTGGCACACGCTCAGTGTCTCCGCCGAGAGCTCATGTTCCGCTTCGAAGACCGCAGCTTCGATGCCGACGAGGCCATCCGAAACGACGTTGATACGTGTCTCACGTACCGCGGGTACATCAAGTTCCTGACCAAGGATCTTGCCCCGCAGATGGACCTCCACTTTACTTCGAAAAAGGCCAGAGCGGCTCATGTTGCGCGGGTTGCCCGCAGCATGATTGTCCGCGGCAAGATGTTTGCTGCTGCCATCAAGGCCAACCGGGCCGACTACGTCCGTCTGTCCATCCATGATTCCAACGGGGCGAAGAAACTATCCATCTCCCTCATCCCTCAGACCCGGGGGGCTCTTGGGTATACCCCCTGGCATGCTTCCGTCGCGGTTGGCCTGGACGGAACATACCGCACAGTCCATGCGGAGGATGTGCGCGAGACGCACGACCTGATCTACAAGAACGGGCAGCCATACTACTTCCGCGAGAAATCCAAGGCATTCGACTGGACCGAAGACGGCCTATGTGTCAAGTTTGAGCATCTCTATCCATGCGGTCTTATTATCCGACCTAGCGATATCGACGACTCGCGGCCGCCCCCTTCAATCCGCGACCTGCCGATGCAAAAGGTCCGTGAGCTCTCGCACGGGTTGTCTCCCGTGGTCCTACGCGGCTTCCGAGAGACGCTGGAGGAGGAGATATACGTCCAGAAGGCATCCGAAATGGGTACCATCCTCCCCTGGAGCTTCGGCATTATCCAGAAAGTGCGAGACGCAGGCCGCAATGACAAGATGGGCAACAACGTCACCTCCAACGAGGCGATGCCCATGCACTTCGACGGAATGTTCAAGTTCGTGGACGAAACCGACCCCGTCACCGGCGAGGTCAAGAAAGTCCAGAAACCCCCGGGCTTCCAATTCTTCACATGTCCCGCCACCGCCCCCAAGGGAAGCGGTTACACGCTCTTCGCCAGCTCCCGGCTCTTCTTCCGCTACCTGCCGCTGCCCTGGACGTCCGAGCGCCTGCAGAAGATCACCTGGGCCATGGACAACGACGGCTTCTGGGACGCCAAGATGGAAAATCTGCCCCTGGTCGTGACGCATCCCGTCACCGGGCTGCCCTGCATGCGCTGGCATCAGCCCTGGGACTCCACCAAGACCAAGTTCTCGACCTGTGATGTCCGCATCGAGAACGACGAGCAGAGCCTTATCCCGATCGTTGACCGGTTGACGTACGACTACCGCATTTGCCTGCGGTTCTCGTGGGAGAGGGGCGATATGCTCGTGAGTGATAACACGTCCATGCTGCATACCCGCACCGGGTATAAGACCGACTGTGACCGCGAGCTGTGGAGAATTCATTTTGACTGAGTGTCTGGTAATCGGGTTAGAGGATGATGTTATGTCTTTGCCTAGCTGCTTTGAGCCAGCAGGTTGTTAATCGTGTTATTTCTTTTCGAGGTAATTGAATGAAAGTGTTTTGATCTAATGGAGCAGGAAAATATACTCAAATCTCCCTTTCTGTTCAGAAGGTTGATACATTTATTCGTCACATGAATAGTAATCCTTTTATCATACACCATATCTGGATTTCATGGACGCATATCAGCGAGAATCCTAACTATATATATACCGAAACATGCAGAGTCGAAAAATCCAACAGTCAACTCGAGTAAGCTTCAGCTTAATAAAATACTGCACATGAAAAGATAGACTTCGCTCCCCTGCTCGCCAAGTATACTAAGCCCTGCCAATAACAACACCAGGTGTGCAATTTGGTCCTTCCGGGCGCATATAGAAAGAGGGAGGGAAATATATATATATATATATATAATATGAAGGACTGGGTGCAGTCCCAACCTCACAGCAACATTCTTTGGAACTGATCCAGTGGCTGCGGCTGCGCCTGTGCCTGTGGCTGCATGGAATGCAAGGGACAGTACGAAGGAGGTGAAGATGAGCTTATCCACTCCGCCGGGGCCCCTAGATCGGGCGTCCGCGCTCCATTATCCTGCATGGAACAATGACATCCTGGGTTCTGCACGGCGGAGGATCCTCTGAGGACTGCGGGGTCACCAGCGACCGCGCCGCTGAAATGTGTGGAGGTAGGACCTTCGGGTAGATGACCATGCGGTATTAGGATGATGGCCTTTGGTCTCGAGGGGCCGTGGCCCAAGGTTTGCATGATTTGTGGGAGGGACGCTTCTGTGTATTTTGATTAGGCTTGACACTTGAACGGTTTGGGTAGGGTACTGACCTGTTGCTACGTAGTACTGAGGGCTTTGCTGGTGTGGTTGGGTGCCTGGAGGCTCGGGGTATTGTGGAAAATTGATGTCATTCTCAAGCTGATTCCCGAGGTGAAGCCTTGTTGTGCCCAGGACTGCGTCCATGTTGAACGGGTTGACTTGGGACGAGGGAGCGCAAGAAGATGATAACAGAGTGGATGACGACGAGCTGCTGCTGCTAGATTCGAGACCGTTTACGAGCCCAAGGTCAAACGGAGAGGGCGAAGGGGGCCATGTAGCTATGGGGGGTATCTGACCGAGCATGCTGTTGCAGGATGGACAAAGTCGGGTAGAGGAACTTCGATGATGCAAGGCACGGAGTGGAAGTGAAGTTTCTGACCCAGGCGATGGTGAGTTGGCCTCAAAGCCTCGTGGTTGAGGCTCGACAGTCGACATTGTTAAAGGACTTGTTTGATCCCAGCCATTCAGACTTGCGGCAGCTTTGAGTTCGCTAGCAATGACTCGTTCCTGGAGTTTGGCAATTCTGTCACGGATTTTGCGACCTACTTAGCCGGTGAGTACACTCCCAAGGTGAACCGACATGATAGTCCCAAACTGACGATGATTCCTCTGAGAGAGCCGATTCTGAAGCCTCCTACGCTCGATGGGATCTTGCGTCTGACCTGAAGTCTCCTCTTTCGACTGCTCCTCTCTTGTATTTGGTGACCGCATCGTTGAATTAATAATGGTCCTTGACGTTTCTGCTTCCTTTTTCGACTCTGTCATTGCACGTTTGTAACAATCTGGACGCTGGAGGAGGACGCCTAAGAGCAAAGTGACTATATTCCAATACGAAGCTTACTCATATCAAATGGGCAGTGCAGGCCAGCCGTGGATGTAAGAGAACAGAATCAATGCAGAACAATGATCTGTAGCCAGTGATAGTGTTGCTATACTTCGTGGGTCTCATGCAAGTCTCTCTGAGGCTTTCATGTCACCCAAGAAGCATTTATACCTATTTTGAGACAGGTTCTTGCTATTCCACCTATTGGAAGATCGATGGCAAGTAAATCCCTGTCTCCGACGCCCCAATCGATTTTGGAACGCCATGAGTACGGTTTTCTGGGACTTGTACGGAGTAGGTCGTATAATCATGGCTGGAGCAACCATACCTTCAGCACGTATCGCAAACGAGCAAGGGGCCCGCTCAGGTCGGAACTGGCATTATCTCGTCGCTTACTGGACGAGTTATCTCTCGGATCATCTTCAGAGCAAAGCCGCTAGAAGTGGGAGCCTGCAATGCTGCAGGACCGCTCGAACTAGAGACCTAGTAGGCCACGCGATGATATGCTCCTCCAAATCCTGAATGCAACGCCATGCGCGAAGTCCCAATATTGTGAATTTGTGATCGGTGGAATGGCCTAGTAGTAGCTTTTGAGTTCGGAAGGAGGAGCCTGTCTCAGACTAGCCTCGGTAAGTGTCCCAACCAACAGCTGCCAGAGAGAAAAGCCTTGATGCTCTAGACTACTGCTCGGCCGGGCTGGTTCTAGCCTCGAAATGGCGCACAAATTACTATCAAGATAGGCTCTGCGAAGACTCATATCTGAGGTCGGTGGCCTATTCGAGTGACGGACGTGTGGCATGCAGTGCCCATTTACGATGATTCGAGGGTCAGCTTAGCGGCTTCATCCGAACACGGTCTCGATTGCGATTCCATGCCGCCCGAACCTGAAGGTGGTGGCAACCTGCTTTGGTCGAAATCGGCCCCATCCGAAGAATCAAGGATGCCGTCGCCTTCATTGAGTGGTTCATCCTTGTGCTTTGCTCACATGAGGCCGACTAACATTAGTACAGGACGCCCTTATCCCTGCGATACTGCTAGATAAGCCCATGCAGCTTGCAGGAAGAAGGCTCTCCAACAGATACAAGCTGAGTCATGGCGGCGAGACTCTTTTGAATAACTAATCATGCTCCAACGTATGTCGATCTGACATCATTTTCTGGACAGCATCTGGGGTACAGTGCTGGGTGACTCCGATTGCCACTACGTGAGATTGAATATAAAATCTCTCGTGTATCCAAGACTAAGCCCCAGCCTAATCGCGTTGTTCACGAGTCACGAGTAAGCTCTAGGCAAACAACAGGACCGACGTGGAGCTGAAGGTAAAAGGTACCCATTCTTGGACTGCCCAAAAAGGATGCCTTACGACAACTTCTTACGGCCGTACCTAAAGTCCCATAAGGTCGACCAATCCCGAAGTTTAGCGGGCAATCTGCCGTCAGCCCCAGATCATTGGGGGGCCGGGGCTAATTAAAATTGGCCAATCAACCAAACCCAGGCTAGCATCGAGCCTTTTTAGTGGCACTTGGAAAGAAGTTGAAAGGAATTCCTTGAAGCGCTAGCCCCACGTGTCGAACAATAGTTCTCGATGCTAAGTAGAGTTATCTTCTCGCTCACTCCGTAGACTCCGACGTTGTCCGATGCCAAGTGGGATGAAATGGAGGGGCCAAATCTGTTGATGGCTTGATGCAGCTAATCAACAACTCTCATGTCGAGTCGAGCCTGCAGCCAATCTTGGCTGTCAGACAAGAGAGTTACTCCCAGAACTTGTGTCACGAGCTGGTAATAATATGGAAAAATCGGATATGCAAGAGAGTCTTCGGAGGGATTGAGAGCTGAAATCGACAAGAATAAATGCTGCTGAAGCTGAGACTTTTACAGCTTCTGGCCTTCTCAGTGTGACGCTCTCACCACGAGAGCCCTATACTTGGTTTGAATGGAATAAGATTTTGTGACCAGTCCAGCCTACCATCACTATCGTGACACAGGAAGGCAAAAAAGAAACTAAAATAAAAAAAACTTGATGGTCAACTGTATTTGGTGGATGAATTGTGTGGGTGTCAAGTAGATGGTAAGTAGCAAAAGGTGTGGGTGTTGTCAAGAGACAAAGAGACAAAAAGATGCAGGGGAGTTGGGCTCAGGCAGCCATGTTGGCCTGTGGCACCGGCACTGGCACCAACCAGAGTTGTCTCATTCTCAGCTTACTCTCGTCACTTCGTCAGATCTCTCAATCTCTCACACCATTATTCCCTTTCTCTCCCTTTCGACTCTTCTGTCTTGACCCCAGAGTGGTAGCTCAGTCTGATCAACTTTCAATCTTCCCCGTATCCATACTCCCTCGACCTGTGAACGCTAGGATTTCCAATCACCCATAATGCAGTCAATCCTGGATGCTGTCAGCGATCCGCTGCCATACCATTTGCTCTCATTTGGGGCTCTTTTGGGGACGGAAATCTTCCAGGTAAAGCAGTCTTTCATGCTCAGGGGGTCTTGGAACTCCGATTAACGTCCGTCATCCACTAGACTTTCGTCAACACGAAAGTGTGCTATAAAGCTCTGCCTATGCGGGAGTTCCTCGCCCTCCAAAAGCGCCTTTTTCCAGCATATTTCCAGTCTCAAGTTGGGCTCCTTGTTTTGACTGCGGTCACGCGCCCTCCACACAGCCTTCTGTCCTTCTCGAAACATGGTTGGGACACTGTTCCACTGTTTGTTGTCGCTGTTACTGGAGCGCTGAATTGGTTTGTCTTTGGCCCACGAACCACAACAACCGCTTTCATCCGGCGGGCACTGCATGGTACGTCCGCGGATCTCTTGTTATGGAATCTTTGTGCAATGGGTTTAGAAAGATTTTGCTGACTGTATGCGCGCAGAGAGTGCCATGAATGAAGACAGCGCTAATCCACCGGATCAAGCGAAGATTCAACAGGCAAACAAGGCTTTCACCCGTAACCATGTGATGTCCATTCATCTGAATGCAATGTCCTTGGTGGCGACGGTATGGTATGCCTTTTCGTTGACTTCAAGCCTTACGAAGGGCCTGTAAGATATATCATCTTGTGCCTCGAACAAGTCCCAATTGAAGAAGGAAAGCCGGGTTCGACGATGTCTTGATAGTATCTAAGGATGTCTGGAGTACTATTCTTGTATAATCCTATAGTTAACGGGGATGAACATGGAAAAAATCGCTACTTCTACTGGTGTGCATTTCAGGACGAAAGCAAGAGAAAAATACTGTGGATTTCCCACTCATTCAAGTATCCTTGAACCAACCTGTGGTCAGCTCCTCCTCTAACTAGAGCTACTGCTGATCATGCGCGCTATTTACTTCTTCTGCCCGCAGCCGAAGTTCCAAGACAGTACCCGATTCAGGCCCGCTGCCTGGCTTCTTCCAAATCTTCTCCAACACCAACCTGGGACTGACCATCTTGATCAACTGATTCCAATGCTCCAGCGTCCTTTCCTTTCCATTCAGAGAGAAGAGCATATAGAGGTCAAGGAGATTGAAAAACCGAGAACTTTCAGGGCCCAGGAAACTCGGCACAATCGCGTCATCGATCAGAATTCGGGATTTCTCTGGGTCCATTACGTCCACAATATGGGACAGAATCTTCGCGCAGACACTGGTATTGTCGGATTTCGTCAGCGATTCTTCTTCTTAAATTTGAGAGGTAAGACTAACCTATCGGGATGGTCGTGTAGGATAAAGCGCAAAAGGTACGCATCGGCTCCTTTGACCGGCTGCTCCTTGAAGAAGTCATGCGGCATGAACTCGATGCGCTCCTTAACAGCCGAGGGAATTCCTTCTGCCTGGCCAGCTTCGAGGATTGCAGCATCGTCTTGTACGACGAAGTTCAAGCCCGGGATCTTCTCAGCAATGCGCACACTGACGTGACCACGACTGCCCCCGACATCTACCACCGTCGCACCGTGAGGAAGGCTGTCGAATGGGTACATGTCTTCAGTGAGGGACTTCATGATCTCGCTACCTGCCATGCCGAGTCCGAAGCGTTGTCCGCGAGCAATGTCCTCGGTGTAGAAATAGTCGAAGAGACCTTTGTTTGCTATTCGAGGTTTATTTAGTATGGAAATTCAGCAGAAGCGATGGGTAACCCACTCTCAAAGGCCAGGCTAAAGGCCGTATCTTGCGGTCTATCGCTGCCCTTCAGATTTGTCTTCTTGAGGGCGTCAGAGAATCGGGACGCAATGCGCAGGCCATCATCACAGCTATTTGGCAATTAGATTTCGGTGATCTTTCACGCTCATTGAGCGGCCTCGACTTACGCGTGACTGATCAGTGCCTGGACAGGAGGTGCAAGAAACTGCATGGATACGCCATTATGAACAAATTGTTCTGGTGCAATCTCATCGAAGACCAATCGTTGGGTGCAGACACGCATAACCCGCTCTATGAATACAATTATCAGCCCCTATATAGAACAATCCGGAGTTAAGCCGAATTTCACATACTCAGGATATCTTTTGAGGCGCCAGTAGCTTCAACAATCTCATCCAGGGACGTTGGTTCAGGACCGGGAGCAATGATCTCATGGATCCCCATGTCTAGAATCGCCCCAACACAAGCGGGATCGATAAACGACATGGTTTGAAACATGAGCCATTGGACTGGGCCCTGAACCAGTGCCATGAGGCGCTCGCACAAGCGGAGAATCCTCAATCGAGCGAGCTGAGCTCCTTCATCGTGAATAAGCTCGGGGAATGGATCGTCCAGCGTAGGCCGTTCGGCTCCGACTGCATCCAGTCGTCCGAGATATGTCTCCACCGCACTAGAGATATTGACTGAGAGCTCGTAGAGGTTGTCTGTCTGCTTCCGCTGGTGGCCGTCCACTTCCGACTCGGTGTTGTTGAGCTTCATGGTGCGCAGACTGATGTATAGCCTAGTGTGTTCTAACGAATGGTTTAATTGACGATAGATCTGAAGAGTAGTAGTATCAACGACACCAAAACTCCGGGTATGTCTTATATAGAACACTCGCCATTGTAGAGACTATGCCTCCTTTTTGGGGGGACGCCATCAGGGTCAAACAAAGCTGATCGAGCCTTGGGATTCTGCAGGTACAGTCAGAGCAGTCATCGTGAGGTGATCATTTCACTCGCTTGACGAACTATAGACTCTATTTTGCAAAGGAACAAGGCTAGCTGTGATCGAGGCGCAATGCACACTTGGTGACATCCGTGTACACAGCAGCTGACGCCACCTTACAGTCAGCATAGTTCGTGTAACTCGTACTTATTGATATCAAAGTCATTTGCTGACATACTAGGCAGGAGGATATAGTGATTGGAGGATACGAGAGAAAAAAAAATCCCAAAGGACTTCACGTGGAACCAGTTCAGTTCGATTCAATCAGTGGATACTATCTGTACCATGTGGACTAACGCAGAAATCCCGATCCTCAGCTTCTTCAATCCAGCAACCAGCCTACTCCGTATTCGCCTCCCCCCCCCCACTTCCCTACGGTTCCTCCCTAGAATCTCGGTGTGAACTGCAGCTCCCTACTGAAAGTTAGTCTACATTACAACAAAACCAAGCTTACCAAAGCATGCAGCGTGCCATTCTCACCTGCGAAACTGCAACGCTCCCGCCGTCAGCATCCCATTCAAGACCAGCTTCGGGATCCCCGGGGGGAAAATGGCTCTCTCCTTCGGCGCCAGGCCGCGGAGGAGATACACTGCCGTCCAGAGCTGCCCATAGACCTTGACATCTTGTCGGCGGCGCTGCTCTTGTTGCTTCTCCAGGCCTCGGATAGTCTTGATGGGGATCTTGCTCCCAAGCTCGTTAACCAGTGCCTCTTCTACCTCATACTGTTTATCAACGAGCTCATGCAGCTGCTGAAACCCGTCCGCAACTTCGGTACGGAGACTCTGCTCGAGCGAAGCCGGTTCTCCGTTGAGCAGGCTCTCCAGCTCGGCGATTCTCTTATAGAGGGGTTCATGCGCGGTCGTCTGGTCGGTGAAACGGTTATCGTGCTCCGAGAAGACGGGGAACCAGATGTGGTCGACAGATTCGAGCTGGTCCTGCACGACATGCAGTGTGTATTTGGCGTAGTAGACGAACGGCTCGATGTTCGCGGCGTCTACTGATTTGGCGTGCTCTGCGCAGGCCGTCAGGTTGCGCCGGACTACATTGTGAATGGCGAAGAGGGCCAGGCTGGAGGAGACTGGGGGTGAATTCACCAGTTAGAACAGACAAAATGACTGATTAGGATCACATAACTACCTACCATATGGATCCTTGAGATTGAGCTCGTCCGCGGACAGACGGTCTCTGTGTAGCTGAAGAACTTCGGATGCCATGGTTGAGCAGTGGGCTAGTACAGTGTAACCGATATGCAGACCGACGGTTGAGATCTTAACGTGCAATTCTGATCGTCATTCTCCTCCTCTTCGAAGTCATTTTTATATGATTCCGAACCTGGAGCCCTTGACGCAGGTGACATCAGCCCGTGTTTGCTGACTTGGAATGCATAAGCCATGTCTGATTACACAACATACAAACCTGATGCTGAGTCCGCGGATGAGATTGACTCGACTTAATATATCGTCTCCCTACTCTTCATCCGAATTCGCCTGGTAAACCCTCCTATCCCACTCCTCCTCCGCCGCCGCCGCCGCCTCCTCCTCCTCACCACTCTCCATAGCACACACACACCACCAAAACCACAATGTCTCTTTTCTACATATTCGCCGTTCCCCTCTCCCTCATCATTCTATACCTCGCCTGGTACCTGCACGTCCCATGGAATCTCCCCCGCCTCCCCCGGATCCCCTTCTACGTCTCCATCCTCGGTCTCTGGAGCGACATGGGCCAAGACGAGATCTACGAGCGCTGGCTGCGCGCCCCGCTCGAGAAGCACGGCGCCGTGCTGATCTGGTTCGCCGGCCGCTGGAGTATCCTCGTCACTCGCCCGGACCTGCTCACAGACATGTTCCGCAACGAGGACCTGTACGCGAAAGCCGGCAGCCAGAAGAAAATCCCCTGGTCCGTGATCGCGACGCTGGTCGGTGATAACATCATCAACTCGCACGGTGACACTTGGAAGCTGTACACGTCCATCATGAAGCCCGGGTTGCAGAAGAAGACCTTCGATTCGCGGCCGCTACTGGTGAAATCGAGGCGGTTCGTGGATAAGATCCTCGAGGATCAGGCGACTGCGGGCAAGCAGGGAATCCTTGTCAATGCGTATGTGCAGAAGTGGGCGGTGGATGTGATGGGAGTGAGCTTTTTGGATATGGATCTACAGGTAGAAACAATTTACCCTGCCCCCTATCCTGGCCTTCACCTCCTACATCGCCCGGGATCTTGTGAACCTTCGAGTAAAAGAGCTAACTGGCCCGAAAGTCTCTCGAGAAGCCTCACGGCGCAGTTCGCCTCGAATCCATCCAATCCGTCATCAAAATGACGCTTTTCAGACCCCTGTTCTTCAACTTCCCGGACCTCGATCAGTTCGCCTGGCTGCTGAGCTCGCGCAAGCGCGCCTACGAGATCATGCACGAGTTCGGCGACACCCTCGCGGATAAGGTGCTCGCGCAGATGGACGACGCAACCGCCAAGGGCCAGAAGCCCGAGGAGGAACAGGTCGTGCACATGCTCGTCGCCGCGTACCGCGACGGGCGGCTCACCCAGAAGCAGTTCAAGGATAATCTGAAGATCGTGTTTCTGACCGCGCACGAGAACGCGCAGCAGCTGGTGAATTCGATGTTCTGGGAGATTGGGAAGAATACTGCACGTCCCCCCCCCCTCCTCCCCAACCCCTTCCTCCTCTTTTCTTTCGTCAGCTTTTTTATTTTGTGATAAGAGAACAATGAGACTAATACAATAGGGTGTTCTTGTAGGAGGTACAAACCCGTCTTCGCGCCGAGATCCTCGCCACGGGGACCTCCAATCCCACCGCCGACATCGTCAACCCCCTGCCATATCTCACCTCAGTCATCTACGAGCTCATGCGTCTCTACCCGCCCGTCTCCCAGCTCATCAACCGCGTCACGACGGCCCCGGCGATGCTGGGCGGGCAGATCCCCATCCCTGCGCGGACGTTTGTCGGCTGGAATTCCTACGGGGTGCATGTCAACCCGCAGGTCTGGGGTGCGGACGCGCAGGAGTTCGTGCCTGAGCGCTGGGGCAGCACGGTGAGTGAGATGCATGCGCGGTTCCGCCGGGAGACGGTGCGCGGGACGTATATCCCGTTCAATGCGCATTCGCGGAAGTGTCTTGGGCAAGCGTTTGTCTTGTTGCAGATGAAGATTCTGATGTTTGAGTTGTTGAGGAGGGTGGAGTGGAGGGTTGATCCGGGGTATAAGTTGAAGATGACACCGGTGAGTTCACACTCTTCTTTTTGTTTTGTTTTTTTTTATTATGTTGCTTGCGAGGTATAGTTGCTGATTGCGGTTATCAGGGCGGAATCTTGGCTCCATTGGGCTGTCGGGTGATTCTCACTGAGATCCAAGAGAAGGAAAAGTGATGGTAAAAGCCAATGGACAGGCTGTTTTGAGTAGGCATAGGAAAAAAGTTCAAATTAGAAAATACAACCGACATACTAAGTTCCACCCCATGGTATCACAACGCATCCGTCCAGATCATAGGTCATAACCTCTGTCGAGGCCCGGTAACAGCAAAGAGTCCCAGCGGCTTCGTACTAAAGGCTCCGTTGTAATTGATCCCCTCCACTGCAGTCTGGTACTGCTTATCCGCCAGATCAAAGTTCACCTCCCTGAGGATCGTGACGAGGACCATAAAGCACCATTCCCACGCAAAGCGCGTGCCGAAGCACTGGCGCTTGCCGTTGCCAAATCCTTTCTTGACGCCGGCCGGCAGCCGTTCGTAATTCTCACCCACCATCCGCTCGGGGATGAACGCGTCCGGTTCCTCGAATACCTCGGGGTCCCGGTTCACAGCGGACAGCAGTGCGATCATCGGCTGCTTGTTGGGGATCTGATACTCGCCGCCAGCCAGCAGGACCGGTTCCTCCTGGCCGGGGATGGGCTCGATGTTGAACCCTGGCGCGGTGGCGCAGAGTCGCAGCGACTCACGCAGGATGGCTTCGCAGTAGGGCAGAGAGGCGAGATGCCTGTGTTCCAGCTGGTCGATGACGACGCCATCGATCTCCTCGCGCGCGCGGGTAATTTCCTGCGGGTGCTTCATGAGGTAGTATAGGGCGAAGGAGACGAGATTGGGGGACGTCGCACTTCCAATAAAGATGTTGATAATCTCATCGAGGTGCTGGCTGTCCGTGAGGGCCAGGCCCGTCTGCGGGTCCTTGCCGTGCAGGAGGGCATCCAGCAGGTCCTTCTTGTCGGTCGGATAGGCACGACGCTGGGCGACAATCTCGGCGGCGTAGTCGCGCATAGTTCGGTTGTAGGCGTTGAAGCGACGCTGGTAGATGAGCCAGTTGAGGAGCTTGGGGCGGGCAGCTCGGCGCATGGCTTCATTTGTCGCGGCATCCATGGCCTTGATAACCGACGGCTCCTGTCCCTCGAGGCAGTGGATGCGCTGGTCAAAGAAACAGAGCATGTTGGCGGCATGGTTCAGTCGGTCCAGGTCGTTGCAGACGTTGACCCGTTGTCGCGGGCCGGCCGTCCATTTCTGGATGAGATCTTTAGTGGTCTCGCGCATGCCTGCAAAGGCCTCCGCGACAGCGTCGGGGGAGACCAGCGGTGCCATGATACGGTGTGCAATGCCCCAGCTTTCTTCATTGTGGTACGCTGTGAACAGACTGTCGTGGACAGCCTGGCGGATCTCGACGATGGGACCCGTTACACATTTACGGAAGCGCTTCTCATCGCAGATCTCCTCGAGAAGCTTCGCACTGGTAACGAAGACGATGTCGTGGCCGACGACGCTGATTTTGAAGATGGGACCTGTACAGTAGTCCTGTTAGCCTTGGTTCCTACTTCCCAAGCATTGCTCGCCAGCCACGTCAGGAAAACATACGATACTTGACCGCTAATTTGTTGAAGGAACCCCAAGTATTGCCCGGTTTGAGATCGAACAGATTACCCAAGATCGGGAGACCTGGTGGTTGCGGAATCGGCGTCGGCATCCTGGTATTTCTGATCCAGGAGATCAAATCCTCTTGTTCTCCTGCTCCCTCACAGCTGCTTATTTATTTTTGTTTGGTTTTGTTTTTTCTTCTTCTTCCTCCTTTTCGCCCAAGAAAATCGCAAATTCAACCCGACAGAAAATGGCAGGGCCAGCATCTTAAATGCAAATCCACCACGCACCCCAGCAGCCCAACTCGGTCTGTGAAACCCCATTCATTTGACCCATTTCAGACTTTCAGCTTCAGCTCATCCTGCAGTAATCTGCAAGTCTGCAGCACGGTGATTGGTCTTTCTGGAGAGCTGCAGAACTCGATTGTTGTCGATTCGCGCGACGATCTTTCGATAGTGGGAGAGCTCGTCCTCTCCGTCGTGCTTAGGAACTCCACTAGATGCACTCTGCGCTCTCCCAGTGGCTGCACTCTCGTTTACTACACAGATCATGGTTCATCACGAGCTCGGGCTCCTTGCGTGCAAACTTCGAAGGAGCCATTCCTGATGGATAGATTTGATGGAAGAGTCTGGTGGTGATGTCGAGGGAATGTGGCTGGCGGCGCCGGGTGATCATCTCGTGAAAGTAGGACTAGGGACATGACGACGAAAGACATGGAATACTGTACTCTGTCGGTGGCAGGGATGAATATTTCGGGATGCAGATAAATGAATGACCAGTCAACCCGGGGATTCCTTCTGAATGAGAGTACTATGTTAGTTGCGAATTGCGACCGGGGGATAAAGACATCAGTACATACAAAACCAGCTGCATCTCCAGCGCATCAAATGGCGTCCACTAGTCGTTTTGAAAGAAGCAGAGAATGGAGACCAGTATCTACGAAGTATTGGATTATTTCGAGGACAAATAGATTGTTTTTTTCCCACAAAAACTTCGATTCAGAATATTACAGGCAAGTGCCAACGAATTCGTTCCATGTATCATCTATATTATTATATTTATTATCTAACGAACAGGCAATAAGCAGCCCGAGAAAGCAGAAACGCTCAACGAATCATCATAGTCCATAGAGGTTGCCGAATCCTTCAACTCCGAGTTTGCACAGCCGGTCATAATCTGGAAGTCCAGGAAGTCCACGATCAAGGAGATTTTGATGCGGTGAATTCGAACATGCGTGGGCTTTCCAGCAGCACAAATGATTCGTACCGTAATGCTCGATCAATCGGAATGGCGTCTGATCCCTGCGTCATGGTGCTGTTCCATACACTGCGGTAACCGTCAAAGAGACGCCGCCAGTAGCACGCTTCGGCGGCTTTGGTCAAGTACCGTTCACGGAAGGTCTTGACGCTGTTGTTGGCGATGCGTTGGGCGACATCCGTTTCTTGCAGAAGCGGCTCTATTTTCGCGGCAAGATCGCTGAAGTCGCGTTCTACTTCCACAAAGTTCTGACTGGGTCCGTCCGCCACAAGGAGGTAATGGTGGTGCTGGATATACTGCAGTTTATGGGCTACTATGACAGAGGTGCAAGCCTGACGATATTTCAGCGAGGCGGAATATGATCGACCTACAACACATCGCATTGGATTCAGTACTGGAAATGGAAGACAAAAAAAAAAAAAAAAAAAAAAAAAAAAGGACAATGCTCACCTTCCACATGTGCGATGAACATATACTTGCAGTGATCCTCCATCTTGATCGCATTGCTCGTGTCTTGCTGCCAATTGACCTGTCTCACATCGCCCCACGGTTTCCCCCGGGCTGCTTCCATCAAGGCACGTCGCAGTTTGGGTGCGAAACTGGGTTTGCCGCGCCAGACCAGCTGCCGTTTCTTCTCCTCCCACGGAACATCGGCCTGCCGAATGTAACCGACCACTTGATCATAAGGTCCAATTGCATTGTCCGGGTTGTCCCAAGCCCAAAAGCCAAAGTCCGGCATCAGCCAGACGGCCTCCTCCGTCGCTGTGCGGGCAAGCGTCCAGACTGGATGATCCGCGCTGGTCACGTCCTCCACCTTATCCTCCACGGAGAAGACGAACTCGAAATCAACGCGTGAGGCTCGATGAGGGTCGGCGACCAGCGCGCGGTGGATCGAGCTGAGCACAGCTATGATCTTTCGTCGGTGGTCCTCGCCGACGGATCGGGCTGCAGCGACATACAACTCCCCCCGGTGGATCAATGCCCGTGCCATCCCATATTTGAGTTTGATATTGTCTAAATCCTCCATAGCGAGTGCGCCGTGTGATCGCCAGTATGCGACTCCGCGCAATACATCTTCGTATAAGCCGGGGAATGCAGCGTCGCATTGATCTCGATCGAGGCTTTCGTTGTTCGCATCGCGTTCGTACTCAAACTCCCAATGTGTCGATGGGGTTAGCTGCGTGATAAAGCTATGCTTGGCGCATGACAAACAGCTCGAGCATTGGAAGGTGGTTGCAGTCTCGCAGGCACAGTGACCGGCGGGAATCAATTGCGTAAGGAGGGGGTGGATGTAATCTCGGTCCGAGTTCATGCCATACCAGATGGCGACGATGAATCCTACGCTGAGGGCACCAATAACATAGATCAGACAGAGCAGGATCCCCTGCCGCGGCCGCCAGCGAGAACAGCTAGGGAGCACCATTACTGAGCGTGAGATCGTGGAGCAGTCAATCTCAACTCTCAACGGGTTAGTTGCATTGTCTGTAAGTATGTCTGCCGTCTGGAACAGCTCAACAGGCCCTGACACGCAAGACCACGGGAGGGCAAGAAGCTAGCAGCTAAAAAAGAAAAAAGAATGGGAAGGAGACAGCGACCGAACCGGCCGATGCTTTTCGTAGAACGAAAAAAGGATACTTCCCCAACAAGGGACACAAGCCAACAACGACCGCAAGGCGTCTCCATTATTATTAGCACCGACGCCGCCCTCATGTTCCCTAGAAAATGGCTTAGCTATTGAGATTTAGTCAGTCATTGAATCGGATTGGCCCATGGAGGATGGCTTTAATGGGTCAGAAATTCGAACCAGCCATGGCGGACGTGTCAATCTTTCCCAGAGTGACAATGATGGACAAGCTCTCGTTGATCTTCCAGGAAGGAAAAGGGACGACCAGAGTAAGTGGCGCGCAGAGTCACCACCAAAGACAACGCCGCAGAGCCCTCTTTGGAGAGAGAGGCTGTGTCCACCTCGACTTTCCAATTGTCGTTTCTCGGAGTTCAGATCCCCCAAAGTAGACTGCGACATGTCTGACCTTGACCATCAGATACAAACAGCTTCTGACGCAACGGGCCAAAAACCATGGATGTCGCCGATTGCCAAGCTCTGATGTATCTCGCCGTCTGGTTCTCTTCTGGTGATCTTAATTTAGCAGTGGGGAGCAGTTAATTATTGGCATTTTGGTGGTTACCGAGACAGTCTCAAATGAGCAGGTGTCATTTCGATGATGCATTATTGGATGGCTCTTTTGATGAACACAGATCATTATTGAAGATACCACGGAGGATCAATTATTGATGGTTCGTTCTACCTTCAATCAATCGATAGACTTGTCCTCTTCTCCAGCAGTCAGCTGACTAACTGAGTGACTGCATCTTCATTCTGATTGTACAAAAGTACAGAAAAGACCAGAGTTCGGAGCTGGGACATTGATAGCACAGTTGCGATACTGCTTCATTATGCATAGCTCGATTGATTGTCTACACCCATTATGAAAAAGCGAGCTCGGATTTCCTCTACCAGTCTAAAAGCATAAACAAAAGAGTTATAAAACCAGGGTATATCCATCCAAACGCCCAGTTGCAATGCTGCCTGAATACTACCTCCCACGGAATTTGCCTTGTTCCAAAAAAAAGAAAAAAATGGAATCATGTCCTGCCATAGTTGCGAACTGCTCTGGATCCGCCGCTACGACTTCCTGCTGGTCCAGGTGTTTCTGTGGCTTCGACATCAGGGCTGAAGCCAAGGCGTCGTCTCCCTCGCCCACCTCGAACCCGACTGATCGCGTGTCGTAACAAACCGTCTGCCTCATCATCCAGCTCCATCTCGACCTTCTCGCTCAGCGTCTCTGTTTCGGGGCCCGTACTGGGTGGGTTGACTCGAGGAATTTCCTCTGCCCATTCTTCCTCAGTCATCCCACGGCGTCTTACGACTTTCCCTTTGCCGTGATCTCGCGAACGAGTCGAAGTGCGGCTCGTGGCCGGCCTCTCGACGTCATGGGATGGCTCTGGCTCTTCGTGACCCTCCAAAGCCCATATTTCAAGTGCACGCGAGAGCAGCGTGCCCGCAATGCCCGCACCTCCAGCAGCATCACCCCCTCCGCTAGCCCCAAGCACTCGCACAGCTTCGTGAAGAGCGGTCACAGCCTCCATGGTCCGGCCAAGTTCGAGCAGAACGAGGCCGCGCGAAGTATGCAACGACCCAATCAAGCCGCGGTCCTCGTAGCCTCCGACGCCAGATACTGCCACCCCGGATGCAGTACTACCACTGCCACCTAGGAACGGACCGTAAGCTGCGCCAGCACCACCGGCGCCAACACGAAGGCACTCATCAAACTCCGATAGAGATTCTGCATATCGCCCAATCCGGCGCAGGGCGTGACCCAAATTTGCTCGCGTGGCTACCCAGGCTCCTGGCTCGCAATGGAGGGCTGTTGCTAGTGTCAGGGACTGGTTGAATAGCTCTACAGCACCTTCAAGGTGGTTCTGATGATAAAGAACAACGCCAAGCTCGTTGAGCACCAGAGGATCGCCGCCGGGGGTTCCGCTCGAGGGGTTGCTGGGAATCGACGGTACCGTGCCCGCTGTCGCACCCGTAGACATGGCAAAGGCCGCAGATAGATACTCATGAGCCAAGGACATATTGTTCAACGCCAGATGCTGCATACCCAGGAACAGCTGCGGCAAGTGGCTGCCCTGGAACAGTCGGGCTGCAGTGCTGTACGCAGCAATGGCTTGATCATGTTCTCCCTCAGCTGCAAAGGTGTGGGCGAATCCAATCCAGGCCGGTGCCGAATGCAGGTCCAGCAAGGAAGCCTTGGAGAAAAAGCGGCGTGCTTCAGCTATCTTGGAAACGGATAGATAGTAGACACCGATGGCAAGATACGTGTATGGCTCCTCCGGCGCATGGTCGGCCAGCGTATGGGCAAGTAGGAAAAGCGCGTTGGTCGCGCCTGTTTCGTAGAGACAAGCCAGATGCAAGGGATAGACCGCCGGCGGGTGTCCAAGATGATTGTGCGCCGGTACATTTGGCGCGGTCGTCGTCTCCGTGGCCAAAATAGAAGAGGTCAGCTCCAGAGCCTCCGCAAACCGGCATTGCGTGTAAAGAGCTTCGGCTCGAGAAAGAAGAATGTCGGGGTTCTCTGCAAGATTATAATGTGTCGACAAAGTCTCAGTCGCATCCGACAAGATAGCTGGCGATGAGTACTTGGAGAGTCGAGTAGTGTAGAGCATCTTGGTGAAATGAGCCGCTTCCTGCACAACAGACGGGTCGGGGGACGAGATAGAATCGAAGTCGAGAGACTCGAGAAATTCCAGCTCTTCTGCAGGCGACATGAGAGAATTCTTCATCAACTGATCGAAAGCCTCGAAGCACTGCACATCAATGCGCACGGCATCCTTGTAGCAATCGCGGGCGCGATCGAAGGCGTTTTGTTTCGCAAAACAGAGGCCTCGCAGATAGCACATCGCCGCCTCGAACCGAACATTGTTTGCATCCTCCCTCGCCCGCTCCTCATTGCGATCGATTCGAGATCCCGTAGTTTTGCCGTTACGCAGGGTGAGGTGTTGTAGCTTTCGGCGGCTGTTGCTGCTGCGGATGAGATGGGTCGGATTATGGTCGCCCAACACTGACAAAGCCTGATCATATTGATTTTGCTTAATATAACAATGAGCGGCTAGGTAACGGCAAGCGGTGCTTCGCGCGATGAGATCCTTCCGGGACAAAAGAGCTAGGGCGCGCGTGTAGTTATTGTTAGAGAAATGGACTTGAGCGAGCCAGAAAGCATCCGAGTCGCTATCTTGTTGGGCATACTGTTAGTCTGTCATCTCGCTCCAAGCAATCGAGCTCAACTCACTTGTCAACGCGAGCACCTTATCCCCGATGTAAATGGCCGCGTCGTGTTGGCCTCGATTGAGCGCATCCTGACGCCAGGAACGCAGAAACTTTTCCATGACCGAGCAAGTCTTTCAAAGAAGAGGTCGGTGCAGGACAAAGGATTTCGAAGAAGACTGGCGATAGCAGAGACGCATTGATAGAGAGTATGTACTCCAAGTCTCAAGAGGTGGAGACACGCCCAATAAAGCAGATTCTCCGTTTCAAGAAGAACAGCCCTGAGAGGGGATTGATTGTTCTAAAAAGTAAGGAGACCCAATCCTACACTCTGACTTTTAGTGCAGGATGAGGAGGCAGCAAGAGTGCGTGATAAAGGCTGATCTGCTACTGCTTTGATTATTTACAGTTGGCGGCAGATCGCAAGCGCGTCGAATTGGCCCGTGCGTCCTGCCTGATCGGGCCATCCGTCTCCAGGCGGATCTCTGCATAAGAGGGTCAGTGCATAGTGAATTACTAAGTAGTGAATCAGTCACGTGGTTTATGCATCTCTTATCGCCGCTGTCAATATATACGCCTCAATCCAAGTTCTCCATTCCCCGTCAGAAGCTATTCCAGTCACTCGGTCCCTTTCACAAGTCCATAGTACTCGGATATCAGAGTACTTCCTGTAGAAACTTTGCAACTACTTATTTTCATTCCCAGTTTTACCACCGCACCGCAACAATGTCCGAAAGAAAAGTGCTCAGGTACGTCCACGCGAACTCTTAGCACAGAAGAACCTCAGCTAACAGCCCCTCAGCAAATACTACCCCCCGGATTTCGATCCATCCTCCATCGGAAGAACGCCGAAGCACCTGCCATCCACAGGCCCAAAGGTCATAACTGTGCGATTAATGGCACCCTTTTCCATGAAATGCACCCACTGCGGTATGTCCCCTACATCACGACTCGCGCCCCAAGAAAGCTAATTACTAACATGTCTGAAGGCGAATACATCTACAAAGGGCGCAAGTTCAACGCGCGCAAAGAGACCACGGATCAGAAGTACCTCAACATCCCCATTTATCGCTTCTACATCCGGTGCACGCGCTGCAGCGGCGAAATCACGTTCTTGACAGATCCCAAAGCGATGGACTACAAGGCGGAGAAGGGCGCGAAGCGGAACTTCGAGCCCTGGCGCGACGCCAAGGCCGACATCGAGGAGACGGAGCAAGAGACGCTGGATAGGCTGGAGCGCGAGGAGAATGAGGAGCAGGAGCGCCTGGAGCGGGACAAGATGGCCGAGTTGGAGGAGAAGATGCTCGATTCGAAGCGGGAAATGGCGATTGCGGATGCGCTGGATGAGATTCGGACGCGGAATGCGAGGATCGAGCGGAATGAGGCGCTGGGCGATGAGGCGGCGCTTGCTCATGTGCGGGATGAAGTTGATGAGGAGCGGTTGCGGATCGAGAAGGAGATCGAGGAGGCTGCTCGTCGTGCCTTCACGACAGAAACTGGTGAAAAGGTCAAGAGATTGGTTGATGAGGAGGCGCTTGGTGGAGCTCCTTTGGAGACTGAAACGCCGCCCGCGCCTTCATTCGCGAGGGTCAAAAAGCCGAAGAAGCCTTTAGTCAACGGTCTGGGCATCAAAAAGAAGCCCAAGCCATCTTTGGTATGATGCCATCTGCTTCGCAGTGATATTCAAGCTATCTTCAACCCTCGGCGTTGTGTTTTTTTACATAGGTATAGCGTGGCCATCAAAATTTCCAAAGCTATTGATATTAAACGTGGAATTAATCACTGCAATGACTTGTATATCCTAATCACGATACGCCATATTCAAATCAAACTATATCAAAGTGGTAAACAAACGTTGCTGCCAATGCAAAGCCCTGCGGGATCCAAGCTCAAAGAGAAAAATTGTAAGGAGCCAACAAAATGCGAAGAAAGAAACAATGATATCATAAGCAGGACGAGCATATCCCGCAGGGAAAGACAACCCAGAGCGCCACGCTAGAATGAAAATCCAGTAAAAAAATCAACCATGCCCTTCAACTGTTTCCCGAACCCATGAGACCTCCCCAGCGAACCCGATGCGATCCACCTGAAAGAGTCAAACGCCGACCAAAGAGTACATAATAAGACAATGATGAGAGACAGGCACCGGTCGTCGCGCATCTTTTAGAGGTATGGCATCCACAAAGCGTCACAGGAGGCCAGATGCTGAGGGTTCACGGCCTTGGAGATCAGATCAATGGTGGTTTGATTGGCCGGCAGGTTACCTTCCGGTGGGCTGGCTAGGCTGACAGCCCGGTTGACAATAATATCACTATTGTTGTACACCAGATCGCGAAGCTGGGCCACTGGAAGCACACCACGATGCTGCGCCGTAGCCCAGAACATCATCTCATCTCGAACGAAGATGCTGAGCTGTTGCTCAAGCTCATGACGTGCTTCGGTAAGGCATCGAGCAATGGCCATCAAGGCACATGCAAACAGACCTTCGGTGGCGATCGGCCCCATCAGTGTCTGGATGTTGGGTGTAAGACGGAAAGGCACCTGTTCTGGGTTGTAGAAGAAAGCCTTTGCGGGGTTGATCGCTGGTATCAGTTCTGTTCCCCAGATATCACCTGTAGACCTAGAAATCATGATCTTGTTGGGGTACCGGTTGCCCATATGCATCACGTATGTCATGAATGCGACAGCCGCATACTGATAGGCGAATTGCCGACGGAAAAGCCAGAAATCTGCAAAGTTCGGATACACCTTTTGGAAGTAGTCCTTCACAATCGTACTTGGTGCCCACTTCTCTTGAATGGCTGTGAGAATTTCAGTCCGAAGAACCTGTTGTTGATCCGGTGTGCGCTTTGAGAGGTTAGCTGTGTTGAGCTGCAAGATACACTTAGATTGGCTTACGTTCTGCTTTGTCTCCGCCAACGAACGCATCTTCTCCATGGTAAACAGAACCGGCTCATCCTTGTTTGTGCCCACCCGGCGGCAGTAGTCCTCGAAGATACCCTGCATCGAGATGTACGAGGGATCGTCGCGCACCAGGCGAATATGAGGTGCGAGTGGAACCATGAGTGGAAGGTGAAAGTACAGATTGCGGCGCCGGCTCTCCTTGCGTTTGCCCAACAGCCCATTGAAGATACGGAAGAGCTGTAGGATGCGCTCTTCTCGTCTACAGTGACGAGCTGCGGGATGTTGGACAGCGAATGCATGTACACTACCATCATGGCCACGAATCTTGAGTCGGCGGTGACAGACACCAATGCCCCGGACGATGTCAATATCTGGCAGGAATCTGTCAATGCGGACGAAATCCTGGTTCTTGTCCTTGTGTAACAGGTATTGGCCTGGCACCTCGACCTCATCAAATTTCAGGAATCGGAACTCGCTGAGATGTGGTGAGTATGTCTCCAGGAACTGGTATGGAGCGCGACGATCAAGCTTCTCCTCAAATTTGTCACGCCAGCGACGTAGCTTCTGAATATACTCGTACATAGTTGGCTTCTTCACAACGAAATCAGCTTCGAATGACTTGCGAATATGAGCCGGCAGAATCGTCTCTGCGAACCGCGTGATATTGGCTTCCGTGGCGGCGGGAAGTTTGAAGTCTTGGGCGTAGGAACCAGGCATGCGGCCCACGTATGCTAACCCATCGTTGAGCAAAGCTACAATCAGACGATAGGCATCTTCATCAGGTGGACATTTGAAGTTCTTGTGGATTTGATCGACCATCGTCTCCATCGAGAGCGCAAGCAGCGGGAAAGCAGTCTTTAGACCAGACATGATCTCATCCGAGTACTCCCACGGTTTCTTGAGAGGCTCTTTCTCTGATTCTGCGGCGGCAGCGTTTGGAGCCGGCTGAGGCACTCCATTCTGCCCAGGAACTTGCAGATGAACCTGTTGTTGACCCGGAGCTTGCTTCATCTGCGGCTGCCCAGGAGCTTGGGGCTGGCCAGGGGCTGCATTGGGAACTTGCATGTGCTGTTGACCGGGTACCTGAAGCTGAGGCTGACCCGGAGCAGGGGATTGTTGGGCGAGATTCTGATTCTTGATCTGGGCCTGGCCTGGAGTCTGGCCTTGAGCCAAACCTTGGGGGTGGGATTGAGCTTGGACTTTAGCTACCTGGCCCGCCTGGCCTTGGACCGGGGTTACATTAGCAGACTGTGAACTCAGAGCAGGTGAGCCATCAGCCGTCACCGGTGAAGACTTTGCAAGTGGCGAGGCCTGCTGTTGACGGGCACGGTTCAGCTTCTCCTGCTTCTGGTCATGTTGTTTCTTGATGCTGAGCATGTCCTCGCGGTTCGTACGAAGTAGGAAGAAGAGCGCCTGCGGATACAGTTTCGCGATCTTGACCAAGACGGCTTTGCAAAGACGTGCCTCTCGGTGAGATAGGCTGGTGAGGAGCTGCGGAATGAAGGTGATCCAGTACCACACAGGTGTATCTCCCTTGAAGTTTTCAAAAGCTCCAGCAATGCGGCCCTCTTCGTTATCCAGACTGAGAAGCCAAAGGATACGACTGAGTAGTTTCCTTGATTTGGCATTCTTGTATAGACCGGCAGCCTCGAGATAGCAACTAACTGCATTGCTAGCCAACTCGTAGTCAGAGGGGTCGGCCTTGAAGCGCTGGTCGCTGTACTGGCCCCACTCGGACCACGCCTTTGCAAGTCTTAAATCGTAGTAAAGGGCGACTCCAAACGCCTCATTTGCCTCATTGACATGGTTAAGCTTGGCCAAGAACATGCCCTTAAGAGTGTAGAACTCGGCTTTCTGCTGCGCACCAAAGTAGTTGAGATTCGTATTGTTGATGACGTCCAATCCACTATTGAGTTCCTTGGGATTCTGGTAGTGACATTTCGCTTGTTCTCGAAGCTTCAAGAAAGCTTCTTGAATCTCGATATTCGGGAGTGTATAGATGCGGCTGAGCTGGTTGATGCAGACTTCAGGCATCTGGTGCTTGCGAGCAACATGGGCAAACCTGTTGATGATCCATGCGGTTTCATGGTAGCCACGGTAGGCGTAGGAATTGCTCGCGACGTTGTTAGTCTGCGGAGGCAGGAGGCTCAGATACGTCGCATTGATCAGCTGGAAGATATGCTGCCGCCAGGTGACAAGGTCCTGCCAGGCATTGATGTCATCCCACAGATTCGGAAGACGATCCCGCCAGGTTCCAAGCAGCAGCTTCAACTCAGCGGACTTAGTGTCCAGATTTCGCTCATTGGTCTGGGACAAGCTCGCACAAATGTGGCTAGCATCGTGAAGCTCAACCAGCAGTTGAAAATGCTGCAAGATCGGGATATGAGCGTTAGTGATCCGCTTCGGCAGCTGCAGCCATTTGCGGATGGATAGCTGGATTGACTCATCGCAGACGCCATTGAAGTCTTGCAAATTCTCTTTCTTGAGGTGGAACTGCAAGAGAGACATGAAAGCTTGGAAGAATGTGCGTCTGGGTGTGGGTGCGTCAGAGACGGACTTGATAAGCGACTCCAGCTGCTCCCGGTTGCCTTCGCTTTGCCAATTCTCAATGTTTCTCCAAGCGGATTCCAGGAGAAGATCATTGAGATTCTCATGCTTGGCAAAGTCGCTTAGGATCTCCCATTGCTGCAGTTTCTGAGCACAGATCAACCAATGGTCTTCCCACAGGTAGTATTCGCCTTGAGAGAACGGCATTGCACCCGACCGCGCCTTGATTTGAGCATTCTCATACAGCTGCTGAGCCTTATCCCACATTCCTTGCTGCTCGTAAGACAGCGCCGCGTTGGTCTCGACGAACTTGCACCTGCGCCGCCAAGTACCGTAAAAGAAGTCATCCTCCTGCAGGCCGGCATAAACTTCGACTAACGCGTCGAGATTGCTCTCGCGTACAGTTGGAGTATCGATAATCGGGCTGATAGCCGATTCCTCCAGATATGTGGCAGCAGTGTACCAAGCATCGTAAGTACGACTGAGGTACTTCATCACATGGGGAGGAATCTTGAACCGAGGCTTAGCCCTGACCGCACCTTCAAGCAGAGCTTGCACAACATTCGGCCGCTTATCCAGTTGTCTTTGGTGGTATTCACGCGTGAGCAGGGTGACCATGCCCTTCTCCAAATCAATGCGATCCTCCCTTGATAACGTAGACCAGAAGATGGGGAAAAGTGTAGTCCATAAGCTGTAAGCGACCTTGGGATCGGTGTGCTGGAGTTGAATGAGCGGCTCTATAAGATCACGAGTCCTCATGTCACCAATCTCAGCCACGAATCGCTTCCTTTCGGAGACGAAGGCTTCTAACTGGATATCAACCATAACATCGGCCTTCCTGGCATCCTTCTCCGCGTTGCTGAAAAGGAAAGACAGGGGGTATATGGTGAAATCATCTGGGTGAAGTCTCGCTGGAGTTGTCGTGTCGACACACCCGAGGATGAGATGAGAGGCCTGCGCCAGCCAAAAAGAATCCGCGAGAGTATCCCAATTTTGACACGTCAACACATAACTAAGCCGAGAACTAGCTAGTCGAGTCAAACTCCGGTCAAAGATGTTCATGAAACGGTTCCGCATCTCGACATCTTGAGCTCTTGTGCCAATCAGGAAAGCATGCTCAAGCCTGACAGTTAGCTCTGTGCGTGTGATCTTGGAATCCTCGTAGATCCGAATAACAAGATCCAAAAACTTCCTCAGCATTTTCTGGTCAGGACGCGATTCGAACAGAAGCATTTTGTGCAGCACGGCAGTCTTCTCCTTCAATGTGGGCCACGACTCGGTTGAGTGGAAGATCCAAGACTCGACCATATTCAACACTTTGGTGCAGAGCGCCTCATTGTGCGATCTCTCCACGAGCTGTGCTAGAACACTCAGGAACGGGCGTCTGTGCTCCCCCAGGTGCGACATGCGCACAGAGATCAAGTCAATTGTCTTCAGAATCAAATCAACACCGATTTCGTACTCTTGCTGGTCTGGCACAGTCTCCGCGGGTTTGGCGCCACCGGGTGGATACGGAGTTTGATTGTTGTTCGTCGAGGCTGCAACATGTTCTTTTGCTAATTTCTGGGAGAACGCCTTCATCACCTGAGTGATATGCGCATCCATCTCGGCCGGTTTGCTCTTGGATAAAGTCCAAAGGACGTTCAGGCTTGAGATGTAGTTGTTGGCTGAGAGCGTTTCTGTTGCGATGGTTGACAAGTAGGTGACAAATTCGGAAGGCGAGTTCTCAACATCCATGCCGTCTTCTTCTTCCGGCTGGTCTTCGGGAAGAGAATTGAGGGCTCGCCGTATTGGGGGTGGCAGTTTAGGAGAGATGTCCATATCATCTTCTACTCCATGAAGTGAATCTTGGATTTCAGGATTATCGGAGCGCAAGGGCTTCTCGAACAGCTTTTGAATAAGCGGGAGACGAGCGGCAATCCAATCATCTGGTTTAGCTGCAAGCAGAACACGCACGACTTGCAACGCATTGATCATGCTAGTGATGTGCTTCTCATCAGGCTTGTCTGCCTTCTCCCCAGCTAGGATTGGCTCAGTGATCTTCTGATAAAGTTCAATATCAAGATCACCCCAATAGTCGGGAGAGAGGAGATTCCGTAACAAGAATACGGCCTTTTTGACCATATCGCCTGTGAGGATGTTCTGTTGCTGCTGCTGCTGTGGTTTCGAAGTCGGTAATTCACGGAAACGAGCAGCCGATACCGGGAATCTTTCAGGCACAGTTGTGATGAAGGTAATGAGGTATTTGGACAATGCAGCACGAAGATCGGAAGGCACCTCATACTCACTGCGTTCACGAGAGCTAGGAGGAGCAAGCGATGCAGCAGGAGAGGACATGGCTTGAGTGTCTTCGAGTTTTCGTTTTCTTGCATTGGGCGACTCCGAGTGGCCATTCGTCATAGCCATACGGCTGCTGTTGACTCTCTTCTCCTCCCAGTGCCAGATCAAACCGATCAGATTCAAAGCAAGTTTCTTGCTTTCGTTGTTGGAGTTCGGAGGCGCAGCAATCTTGATCAGCGAGGGCACGATAAGAGGAACGAAATGCTCGCGAGATTCATAAAAGAGGTCTGGCTGCCGCACAAGGAACTGAAAGATGCTCATCACTTGCTGTAGATTCGCGGTCTCTTCAGCCAGAATTCGCCGAGGCCACTTTGCCCATAAAGGGTACCTGTTATCCGGCGACTGCGCGTTGTTCGTTATACCCATCACTCGTGTAGGTAGCACAGGTGCCAGAACATCGAGAGCTTGGGTGACAAGCGCTTTACCCTCATTCTGATGTGCTCGCAACAAGGCAACGTAAACCTGAATGACAATCTTGAAGGGCGTTTCGTAGTGGGCAATGAAGTAGCTGATGAGGACATAGGCTCCGTACTTGTTGATTATATCCTCAAGACGAATGTAATTCCAGGCGAACTTGATGATGTCCTTGCGAGAATCCTGCACAGTTTGATGATGGTACTTGATCAACAGTGCCGACAATTGGAGCAGCTCCATACGCGAGTGGTCAACACCAGCTTGACTTGACTCCTCACTCAAGTCAGCCAATTGAGGTCGCCACAAACGGCTCTGGATAGACTCAGTCATGCTCTTATCCATCAACTTGGGGCTGTTTGGAGGGCTGTTCCATGAAGTCTGAACGTCCTTGGCGAAAATTGGATTCACCAGATTGTGAAAGGCGTACGTCTTCATCTTCTGTGAGCAAGACCGCTGACCGTACAGGTCGAGGCATCGCATGATCACGGACCGCCGATAATCAATGGATTCATTGGTAATGATGTGGCGGTAAATGAACTTCGGGAAGGCCAGTGTACGCTTAAGTTCCTCCGCAGACAACCCATCCATGACTTCAAAGAGGAAATCCAGATCCTGGACGGATTCTGACAGGTAGATGGTGAATATGTCCATCAACTGATCCTCTGCTTGCTCGACTCTGAGACGTTCATTGGCGGGAAGCCTATCCATGCGTAGCTTTTTCTCGAGGTCTCGTCCAGCATTCAGAAGTAAGATCTTGAGATCAGCATGCGATACCAGCCAGCGCTTCGTTGCTTCGTAAAAGCAGATAGAATGCGTGACGTAGATGCCGTTGATGGCGGCTGTGTTCCTGCCATCGGCCTGGTCTTGTCCAAAGGCAGCCGTCTTGAAGCCTTCCGTGTCTGCAACCACTGCAGCACGCAACGCCTCGCTCTCCGGATCCGCGAGAATTTGACCAAAGAAGCGGCCGAATCGTTCCTCCTTGAAACGAGCTAGGAAGAATGCAAGACTCTCCTTCGGATAGCGATTGAGGTACTTCACAAGCGGTCTGCGGAACGGGCTGTTGGATGTCCGGCGAAGCTTCTCTTCCAATTCCAAGACCTTATTCACAAGATGCTCCATAAATGATGTAGCAGCTGGAGGAAGGAGGTGAAAGATGTTGAAAATTGCCGTAACAACCTTGATCGTCTGATTTTGTTCAACAAGGCTGAATGAAACTTTCTGTAGCACAGCATCATCTGCTATCACCTTCATGTGGTCCAGGAGACGCGCACCAATCTCAACCTTGAAATAGTTTGTAAGAAGGGTAAGAAGGCGAGCAAGGCCATCAAGTCCCGCAACACTGAGGCGTTTGGGGTCTTGAAGGTTCATTAGGATTGGGCGAAGGCCATTTTGCAGTAGATCCTTGGGCAACTTGTTTGTCTGGGTGAGGACATCCCGAAGACCAGCGTTTGCCGCCTCGATGACATCCGGGGAGCGGGAATAGAGTGATTTGAAGAAGACGGAGATGATACGTGCTCGGCTGGTATTCTGCGGCGTGTTGGCGAACTCAGAAAAGCTCATTGCCATAGACAGCAGGCGCAGGCAGGCAACACGAAGATTGACGATCATCTCGGCATTCTTAAACTCATTCGGCTTGGACGCAAGAGACTCATCATCAGCATCTGCGAGGGCAAGAGATTCCAACATCAGCCGATTCAGAGGATCATTGAAGGTGACTATGTCGTTGTGAAGACTCAAGCAAAAGGTTATCGCATCAATGAAGCCAATTTGAGTTGGAAATGGCAAAGCTCGCAAAGGCTTGTTGAAGATTGACTGCAGAAGACGGTCTTTGACGGGAAAGATGAGTTCGTGTACTTGGCATCCAAGGACCTCAGCGATCGTAGAGAAACTCTTCCGAGAAGCTTCACGGACGTACTTGTTCATGTGTGAGAGCTCATAGACGAAGAATCCGCATAGAGACCAAAGACGGCTTTTCTCGTTTTTCATGTCATCCTTGGACGCATTCTTGCAGCATTTTCTCAGGATCAGATCCAATGTTTCCTGTGCTCTTATGCGAGTACTAGCAGGGAGATCAGAGGGCGTATCCTTGATCACATACATCAGGGCTCGGACGAATTCAGATTGTTTCTCGAAAAGCCAAGAATCCCCAAGGTCCAGCTTGGCAGCGAAAAGATGGATGCCCAGGCTGCCACCGGCCTTAGTGAACCATTCCTCGCTATGACAGCTATGGCAAAAGACACGGCCTAGGTGCTGGAAAAACGGCAACTTTGAAGCACGTTCTGGAGCTCCAAAGATGATCGCAGCGGCCTCTTTCATAATCTGCATGGTCGCCTCAGCACCTTCACGCACGTGAACATCGTCAGAAGAAAGACATTCTACGATGGCTTCGGCGAGGACCCGGGAGTCAAGGTACACAGGACCTTCGCCACTGGCAACGTCAAAGGGCTTCCGGTTATGCCGCGCCACGGCGAGGGCCCGACCGACTTCCACAACTGCAAAATGCTTGCACACATCGGCCACGAAAGCTGTTGCAGTCTGTTCAAGATCCGGAATGGTAGTGGCGAGGATGCAAGCCTTCAGCAGCTTCTTCAATGTGCCTTCCTGAGCCTGTTTCTTGGCGATGGAGCTAGATCGCTCAGATTTCTCCAGTATATCAGCCATTCCCGTTGTTTTGTTATCAAAAAGGTCGTTGGCATTAAGACGCAGTAGCGTGGAGAGATCCTCTGGGAGATTCTCATAGCCAATATAAAGCTTCAGTTGAGAGGAGAGCATGCGGAAGGCCTGCTGTTTGTAATAGCTATCAGAAGCCTTAGCCGCTGGTGTTTTGGGCACCTCCATCAACTTCCTGACAGCAAGATCGACTCCAATCTCACTAGGAAATGGCCGTTTTTCGCTTGGCCCGATGAGTTTGATATCGAAACTTGGCGCATCGTCTGAGTACTGCTCAAAGGTAAGCTCAGGGGGGTGGTTAAGGAACTTTCGGTTGCGGCCACCGAGTTTGCCCAGGATCCTCATTGTCGTGTGAGCATGGAAGTGATTATAGGGATGGGGTCGCAAATGATCCCAAAGGGCTGTCATCAACTCGTCCATGATGGGAGCCATGATTGGATCCAGATAGTCAGCAGTGAGATTGTCAACACAAAGCTCGAGTGTTCGCAGACCCTGTCCTACGAGGTCCGAATCCGCACGCAGAGCTACTACAATAGGTCGCATGAGATAGCTCAGGTGCGGCAAGAGATGGGACAAGCGAGCTGGCACAGTGAGAGTGAGCTCAACATAGAGATCTCGCTCCTGAGGTTTCCGGGCCGCAAGGAGCAGGTTGTTGAACGTCTCGAGGAGCATCTCTAGCAGCGGAAGGATTTCCTTATATAGCAGTTCGAACCGACCGCCACCAATGCTGCGAAAGAGTGACCGCAGAAGAAGGAAATAGTTCATGGGCTCTTCAGCAGTCACCGAAAGGTCAATGCATTTGGTAACAATCTTGGTTACATGAGGATGCAGTACTTGTTCATTCTGGACAGAGAAGAGAGTCACAGCCATGAAAGATAGTTTGAACATCCTCAACAAAATCTTGGCTTTGCTCATGTCAGAGGTTCCCACTTCATGTATCCGATCCATGAGATACTGGAGCACCATGCCAGAGAATGCGGGAGATGTGGCTTCGCTGGCAAGGAAGAATTGGGGAAGATGGAGGAGGGCCCCGTGCTCAAACATGAGCTCGTGGAGGTATGGGATCTCAGAATGGAAGACCTCATGGAAGGTGGCCGTGTCGATGCAGTGAAAAACGGTTCCGAAACTCTCGAGAAGCTCCTTCTCTTCTCGCGACATCGGCGCTGTGTATTGACTGGCAAGGAAGTCAAAGGGAGAAGTGTATGTCACCTCCGGAGCAGGCTGGTCGACGCCATAGTACTTGAATACACGCGCACCCTCGTGGAACAACTTCTTGATAACTCGAACTTCTTCGGCGTTATAACCATAAGAGACCTCAGACCAATTGATTGGAACATTGTTTGGATCAATTTGGATATGTTCCGGGTTACAGTTCTTGAGTTGGTGAAAGATGTTCTTTAGGCCGTTGATCAGGTTCTTGAATAAGAAGATATTGTCCGAAACCGGGTCCCCTCCGCGATCGCGAGGATTCGAGGTTTTGATCGGCGATGCCGAGAATATATCAATCTCATCCCAGTCCGGGGGGTGATGCTTGTCCGCCAAGTACCTCTCTGAAGAGGGCTCAACATCTTTTCTGCTTGCCTTGTATGCCTTGGAGACCTTTACAGCGTTGTCGAACTGATGGTTGATGGAAGCAAACTTGTCACCGATAGCATCCAAGATCATAATTAAGAAGTAACGAGCTTCCCGCTTATCATCTAGTTTGGCGATCCTCTCGGCCATGTTCAAGAGAAGTTTAGCGCTCATTGTCTGGAAACTTGTCCCAGGGAAGTCATCATGAAGATTCTTGGTGTATACTTCGACGGTCCGCCGAATCTGGTCCCGAGTGAGGTGATCACGTACGTGGTGTATTAGGTCTGCAAGCATACTGTAGGCGAGAGGCCGCATAGTTTCGTATACGGTGAGGCCATCGCCAATAAGCGTCCGCTCGTCAAGAAGCTCATCGATCTTCTCCAGGAAGATCTTCCGATAATTAAAATTAATAATATGACGGATAGCCACAAGCAGCTCCTTTCTGGCGCTGGATTTCTCCCGGGGACAGTCCTGAAGTAGTCGAACTACAACCGAGGGAAGGGTTGGAAGGAAGTCTTGCAGCTGGTGCGCATACATGCGAAGCAGGTATGCAAGAAAGCTCATTGTCTTGACCTGTGCTGTGATGAATTCGCCAAAGGCAGCTCGATTCTTGATCTCCCTGCACACGCCCGTGAATATTGTCCCTTGAGCTGCGGCCTCCGCATGCGCTCTCTCCTGCGGCTTGGCTTGAAGCAGGAGGATACTTTTGATCAACGGCACAAACAGCTTGACATTGGCCGACACGGAGTTCCGATGAGTCTGGAAAATGGACACAACGATGATGGGACACTCCGCCAGAACCTTGAAGGACTGCATGCCTTTCAGCAGGACGTTGCTGGCTTGTTGGTCCGGGCCGAGATCGGACACCGATGTGGCAGGCGAGCTGGGTCGCGGAGACTGAAAGGTCTGAACCGTAGCACTTGGCGTCGACGGCATCCCCGACGGAGTGGCCTGGCTTGGTGTGTCGAAGGTGTCGCGAACCACCTGTTCCATTGTCTGGAACATCTCCTGGATCAGCTCGAGGAAGGGCTGCACCCGGGCCGCCGTCGCTTTTGCCTGGTTCCGTTCCAAATCCATGATAGTCTTCATGCAGAGGACGGCGTTCTCCTCGTTCTCGATGCGCACCAGTTCCATCAGCAGGTCCACCATATCCGCAGCGTAGGGCTCGACATCCGGGGAGGCCATTGGCAGCCGATGTAACGTCTCGAGTACACAGTTCCGCAATTTCTGAAGTTTCGAGGGCAGAATCATGAGTCCGAGTTCGCACAAGTCGATATCCCTCCAAGACAACGAATGATGCGACTTACCTGCTCGAACGACAAATTTGTGAACACCGGCTCTCCCTTGAGAATATTCTTGAACACCGGCCATAACTTGGCAAGGAAGATGGGATAGTTTGCACCGGAGCATAAGGGTTCTATGCTATCTCGAAGCTCGACCGCAACATTGGCCCTGATCTTGACATCTAATTACCGAAAGCATTAGTTAGGACCGAGAAACTATATTTGAAAGACCCCAGGGCGCCGGACTCGCACATCGCTCTCCTAGCGAGGTTATCGAGAAACATACCAAGCTTGTCGTCGCCCAGCTTGCTGGCGTAGATATCGATACTCCGCTCCATGGCTGCGATGGCTCCCGGCTGGGAGAAACGTCGAGTGTATCAAACGAGAATTTGATCGCTGCCAGGCCGCGAGGCCGGCTGATTAACGAGGGGCCAGCACTATCTTGGAATTCGCGTGTTCTGTTCACATGCAGGAATATCGAGGGAGGTGAAGGCTTTTGAGATTCGCCCGCAAACGCCTTAGAGAGAGAGAGCAAACAGAAACACAATCGTTAAGTCATTAAGGCCCCCCTTGGCTAATTTTTGGATTGATGATCGGAAATGAAGGTATCCGCCCCTAGCGAGAGTATTGAGAATGACTGTGGAGGAGCGGGGAGTGACGGGGTTGACAAGGGAATTTCAATAGCGAACTGCGCGCCGACGCAGACTCATGCCCAGAGAGTAGAGACGGACTCTAGAGAGCAGAAAGCTGTACAGCAGAACGCGGGTGTCGCAGAGACCCCGAACGAAACACTAGGCCTAAAGTGGAAAGAGCGGGTGTCTATTTCCCCGTTCCGACTACCGCGCGTCTACTGCGTCGGCCCCGGCTCCAGGACCTATCAAAAACTCATAAAGCAAGTTGTCAGTTGTGGTGCCTGAGGCACGTGCGCCGGCTACTACTGTACGGTTGTACCTACCTTATGGACCATGGACGATGGACGAGTTTCCCTTCTGAAGTATTGTCTTACACCTAGTGCGGATTTGGATCTGCCATGGAAGAAGTCATTAATGGAGGACGAAAAACCAAATCAAGTTTTGATGCCGGCTCAAGGCTCTGCCGAAAGTGCTTGCTTATTTGAGAACTCAAAAAGGATTCACCGACATCAAGGTCGATCGAGTGAAACGCCATTCGCACCCGTTCTCCAGACCCGAACAAAGTTCTAATAGTCCAAATCAAATGTCCGCTTGCTCGACTCACGGGCTCTATGAGCCACGCGCGTATTGAGAAGGATATGGAAAGTCATGTACAAAAGAAAGGTGAAGAGAAGAAGAAAGCGAGCAATGGGACGAGGCAAAAGCCTAGCATGCGTGGCTTGTTCCGGATGTCGAGCCAACCCAAGTCAAATACACTATCATCGCAGCTCGTAGTCGCTATGCCATCATTGCACCAGGTAAGAAAAAAAAAAAAGGAAAAGGAAAAACGGAGTTTTAGCGGGGAATACTGTTGACAAATTGACCATCACTTGAGAGAGTTGCTTCGCGACAGAAACGTTACGGCATTCGAACCAGCCGACCGTCGTCGATCTACGCGCGGTCGCGCAATCTCACTGCCGCTACCACTGCGTCGTCTTCGAGTATAGGAACCGTCAAGGGAACCGCGGCGCCGTCTCTGGAGCAAACGGACGTTTCAACGTTAGAATCACGCTTGCTAGACAGTAGAACAGACAATAATCTTAGCAAATACGCAAACGCAACATAAGAAACGAATTAAGTGGGCCTCAGCGGAAAGAGACACTCTCTCGAACAAGACGTGAATGCAGAACCGATCAGAGGGGGTAGGTACTAACCGTGACGGGCACACTGTCTTTCCGCTCCTTGGGCACCCCAGCATCATCTAATTTTAAAGAATTGAGGCGCTTCTGGTTCTCCTGGCTCAGAACATCCACATCGTCGGCTTGCGCTGACACATCGGCAGACGGCGCCGGAGGTGGGAGCACTCCATTCTTCCTCTGTTTGGCCAACTCTGCGACCTTGTCCCACCGGCTGAGTCGTGTTTTCTCGCGTTGGTCGGCAGTATTCTGTCTCTCGTCATATTCATGGGAACATTCATCAAACAGCTGGGGGTTGATTTCCATGAACATCTTCATGGCGTTGTACACCATGCTGTGGATTGTCCTGTTTCGAATTTAGTGTTTTCTAAACCCAGGCATTCCTCCAAGTTGTCAACATACCTGTTCCAGTGACCTTTGGAGTTCTCGTATAATGGCGCAAACATGATGGGAAGGATCGTCTCAACATTATCACTGACCAAATTGCAAAAGTATTCGTTGTTCCAGAAGTACAGAGCGCGTTCCGCAACCTGTAGAAACAAGATGAGCTTTATGAAACAACATGCAGCATTTCAAGCATCATACCTGAAAATGAGGGCTTGCAACCGATTTGGCCAATTGCTGGAACAAGGGTATTTGGACCTTGGCAAACTCGGCCGGGTCCATGACTTCGAAGATATCTTCGACCTCGTTGAGATACATAACCTCCTTGGTGCTGTTTGTCTTAGGCCAGTAACGTAGCAAGCCAAGAACAACCTAGATCGCAGGTTAGAAAATGGAGATCCGTTTTGGCGGAACGGACCAAAGAAGCTGAAACTCACCTCTTCTGTCAAGCTTGAGTCCTTTTCCAGGAATTGGACAATGCAATAGGCGAGTTGTGGGTGGTACATGCTGAGACCCCGGACTTTATGCATAGGAAGCAGAACTCTGGTCAGGAAAAGCTTGTGCTCTTCCTTGAGAGGTAGCGCAAATCCGTTGATGATCGAACCAAGAATTTCCAACAGCTCGGCAATGCCGTTGAACCGCTCGGTCTCGTACGTGAATTGGAAAAAGACGTTGTTGATAGATCGTCGGATGTACGACCGTAGATTCAAGAACTTTCCATAGATCCGATGCAGGGTAGTCTTCAAGAAGTCACGTTCTCGAGGATCTTCCGAGTCAAACAGCTCCAGTAACTGTAGACGATTAGCGCAGATGAACTAGAGGACGATCTATCAGAAAAGATAGGCATACCTGAAGAACAAAGTGATGGTCGATATATGCCTTGGCAATGTTGGTGTTGAAATCCTGGCTTTCGATGAAGCGTAAAAAGAACTCATAGACAACCTGAATGTGAGGCCACGCCACTTCCAAGACAGGCTCATCTTCCTCGGGGTCGAAGGCCTCGCCTTGAGGTGTGACCGGTGGAGGAATAGGACGAAAGAGGTTCTTGGCGAACATCTCCACCACCCGCGGGTACATGGGCTCAGTGATCACCGAACGGTTGTTTGCGACGTAGTCCAGGAGCTCGTGGAGCGCCAGTCTCTTGATCTCCTTGGACTTCATATCAGCCGTGGGGTCGTTGAAGTCGAAAATGATATTGCACTGGTCGATTTTCTGCATGAACAACTCTTGACGGCGATTCGGGGGCACTTCCTGAAACCCGGGGAGCTTCTCCAACTCCCGCTGACGCTGGTCGGATATATCGAACCGTGATGAATGCTGGCGCTTGGGGGTCCGAATTCCTTCCGACATATCTTTGGGTGTAGTCTGGAGACGATCGAAGACGTGGGATTTTCTGGGAGGAGCCAGGTCGCCTGGCATTGTCTCTGCGGCACCGGGGGGAGGAACATGCTAATCACACATACTAAGTCAGCGCGCTCCCACGCCTGAAATGTCGGAAAAAGAAGGGGGGGTGTAGGATGAGAACTCACCGGTGCGCTGGGGCTGATGATAACGCTCGGCGCCATCGGCTGCCCCTGCTTCGTCGGAGTTCCTGGACCATTATTCACCGGCTGTCCTGGCATGCCTGCGCCATGCGGGATATAATGCTGGCCAGCGGAGTAGGACCCCGCTTGCGCCGCATTCTCTGGTGATTTCCCCCTTATATCATTGACGGAGGTTGACGAGGAGGTTGGAGTCCCGTGATTCGGCGAGGCGGATTGCTGTTGGGCCTGGTGGGCGGCGAGGGCGGCCTGGTTCTGAGACGACTCTTTCTTCTTCGAGGACTTGTTCGCTTCTTTTGCCCTCGACAACTGCTCATGCTGATCGAATCGACCTTAGCCCAGAGCCCGAGGAGGCGCATCGCTGAGAAAGTGATGTTGTTGAATCAAGGCGGGTGGAGAGGGGGGGGAAGGATAGGAATTGGGTGGGAGCGCGATCGGCCAGCGGACAACAACTCACCACTCTTTGTCTGAAACCCTTCATTGTTCAAGATCTATGTAACCAGACCACATGTACTCGGTCGAGGTTCTCGATGCCAGTGTAGCACAGCGCCACACACTAGCAGGAGGCGTTGGTTGGGCAGCGCGGAGGCAATTCAAGGAGCCACGACGTTGATTTGTTTATTATGTTCGGCCTGGAATGACCACATGAGCAACTCCAACAAGACGATGGGGGCCGAAGTTGACTTCAAAACCAGGATATTGCACAAGGAAAGGGTTTGGGGGCTATCAGAAATTGGGAGAGAATCGTTTGCAACTCGGGAAGCCGATTTCATAAAGCGGTAGGGATGGGATTCAAAACGACGAGTCCCCAGAGATTGGGGGAGGAGAGGGGAGAGGTTAAGGAACCAGCGGACCAAAGTTGTAGCACCAGGGGGGGCGAACCCAAATATGAACAGAACATTGCGCCGCAACTCACCTCTGTATTATTTGTGGAATTCTTTTCCCTGACCAGACACAAGACAATCAAGACGAAGGGGGTGGGGGGGGGGTAAAGGAGAGTATCTGTCTGATTGAAGAGGAATGAGGGATGTGTGGTTGTCGGGTTATTGTCTGGACACGGACCCAGCAGTATAGGATAGGATAGGATAGGACAGGACAGGAGTCAGGACAGGACAGGATAGGACTAGGACTAGGATTAGGATAGGATTCAGGAGCAGCCGCTCTTCTTCTTAGTCTTTACGGAGTACGGACTCCTAGTCTTGACTCTTGAGCCTTGAGTGATCGTCTCCGTGTCGCTTAGCGGCTGGGAAGCGGGGTGGTTGACAGAGCCCCAGCGATTAAAGATGCGCAATGCGACTGACTGACTGGATGTGAGCTGTTTTGGCAATATCTGAAACCGAAGATCCAAGATCCAAGGACAGGAAAATTGGACTAAAAAGCACGATCGAGGGGTTTGTGACTGGTTCTGCCGGTGCTTGTTTTGTTGTGGTCTTGAATTACTGGGAGGATTATTATTATTTGATGGGGATGAGAACTGGCTGTGGCTGAGAGGCAGCGCTGGATAGAGAGCAGTAGCAGTCACAGGAGCACACTACTCTATATCTGCTGCAGCAAGTAGCCTCAAGAGTCTAGATACATGATCTCCAATTAGTTATCTACGTTATTTACAGCATTCACACTCGATCGGATTTGGCCTACACTCGAGGCTTCCATTCTTGTTGTTCTTCGCGCTTGTTGGAGGCAAAATTATGTCATGTGACCCGCAACAATCTCCATTCGTGTGTCTTCTCTCTCTATCCACCGTTGTGGATGTATAGCCTATATCTAGGTCTTTCTTGTGTGGTGTCGCTCTGGTGTAGTGTACTTTCTCTAATGACGTTGAGTTTTATCCCTTTGTGACTTGACACTGGGATTTGTCTCAATGTTGGCTCGCAGGCCATCTATATGTATCTGAATTTGAGAGAGCGGATATATAACGATCACTCAAACTCGCTTTATACCACTCCATCACCAGCATATTATAACCACCGACCACTGACCCCCAAGACCACCCAACACGCAGTATGACAATGACAGACCAACAAGGCACAAGAACTGCCCCATACTACTCCATCCCCCCTCGTCACATCGTCAGCATCGAGCACCCAGCCATCATCAAGAACATCGACAGGGCCCTCGAGACGCTCGAAGGCAATGCAGGAATCTCCAAGGTAACCCCCCTCCCCGTTACCCTCTAATCCCACATACACATACAAAGCCAACACACCGTCTAACCCATCCTCAGATCCTTAACCCCCCCAAGGCCGATGCCCCAGCGCATCTCCTCCTGCGGCCCGAAGACGCCATGTCTCGGCCCCTCAAGTCGACCAGCTCTGCGGCCAACAACATCCTACTCAAGGTGACTGTTCCCAGACGCACGGGGCGGAAACGCAAGAGGGGCTCGGACGAGCCATTCACCGGGATTCCTGTAGCGACTGCCAGTGGCGACTGCGAGCCCTGGCGGCGGAGTGCGAAGCAGATCCTCCAGAGCCTGCGTGATAACGCGGGGAGGTATGCGGTTGAGCCGGTTGGGATGGTGAAGCGGACACATGTTTTTCGAGGTGGGTTGTTCGAGGTTGATCCCGTTGGTTGGGGGACTGTTTACTAAGGTGGGATTTCGCTAGGGATGCCGGATTTTGTCTACTCGACTGCTGGGAGCGCGTTCAGTAATCGGTTTCGGGAGCAGATTCTTTCCTTTGACTGTAAGGTCGGCCTGTCTGAACTGATTGGGGTCTGGCTAACGATGCGTTCAGATGAGAAGATGAAACAGTTCGATATTGACATGAGCAAGGGCGCCATATCAGACGTGGACCTTATCCCGCCGCCGTCCTTCAGCCATGGGGACATTCCATTCACCTATGTGTATGTGTTTACGATTTTCTTTCTTTTTTTTTTTTTTTTTTTTTTTTGAAATGACATCTACTAATCGAATGGAAGCTACCGTCAAAACCCAACCGTCCGCCAGTCAGTGGATACATCCGGCAACATCACCACCATCAACACCTCCCAAGCAACCAAGATCCACACCTATCTCCTCCCAGGCGACATCCCCGCGGTCCCAACTAAACCGCGCGAGAACCTCGCTCCCATCTCCACCTTCGACCCCATTCTCCAGGAGACCATCGCCTGCATCGAAGCCCTCTTCCAAGACCGCCCAGCCTGGACCCGCCGCGGCCTGCGCAACCATCTCAAAACCGCCGAACAGCGGTACGCCTTGCGCCACGCCGTGCCCTACGTCGGATACATCTTTCGCTCGGGTCCCTGGCGCGACGCGATTATCAAGTTCGGCCACGATCCACGCACCTCCCCCGACTACCGCATCTACCAGACCGTCATGTTTCGCATCCTTTCCGGCACCTCGGAGCTCTCCCGCGACGCCGGCAGCGGCCGCCGCCACACCATCCCGCGGCCCAACGAAGTGCCCACGGGCCCCGAACCCTTCCCCACAAACACACACCTCTTCACGGGCATCCCGCCGCTCCCGCAAGACGGCCGCATGTGGATGTTCTGCGACATCACGGACCCGTTGCTGCGCGGCATCCTCTTCCCCTCCGACCCGCCGCCAGACTTCCTGCGCGCCACCTGCGAGATCGCTGTCGACGGCTGGTTCGGCAGCGGCACCCTGGCCAAGGCCAAGACCATCATGCGCGCGAAGATCCAGAGTCTTCAGGAGGGCCGCATGCCGGACGAGGACGCGGCGTTTGAGCGCATCCTGGCGCTGCCGGAGCATGCGCCGCCGGAGTCCTCGCTGGCGGAGTTCACGCTGGACCCGGTGGGGGCGTCGTCACGCGAGATGCAGCTTGCGGCGGATATTCGGGCCGTGATCAAGGGGTCATGGAAGGGGTTGTCTGGGCTGGCTGGGGAGAAGGGGGCGGGAGGTGAGGATGTGGCCGTTGGTCAGGCAGAAGGACCTAAGCGGGCGGCGGGCGGAAAACAAGTGCAGTGGAGAGAAGGTGTGGGTGAGGATGAGGAGGAGAGTGAGGGGGAAGGGGAGGAGGAGGCGCTGGAGCATGCCGAGATGCTCGAGGCCCAGGTGAACGCAGCGGCGGAAGCAATAGAAGTTGCTGCCACGGCGGTGGTTGAGGAAGAGGAGGCTGAGCAGGGGCAGGAGGAGTCGGATGAGGGAGGGGACTTGAATACAGGTAAGCCTGGGCATCAGGGACCATAAAATTCACACCTTATTTCAATTCTAATCTCCACAAAAAGTGCAATTGATGCGGCACACCGATCTAACCCCTTCCCAGCAGTAAGCTGTCTTGCCAAGTTCTTTCAAAACCTTACAATCAGTACAAGAAACATACGAGGATTCCCAATGGAAATAAGCCGTCACACCGGAGTTTATTCATTGACTATAAAGAAAGGACCAAAAGAGTGGGTATCCAAAGCTCGCACACAATCCACAGGAATAAGAGGCCTGTTCCAACGCCATCCAAAATGTATGCCAAACAACGCTAGTTCAAATGCCAAACCAAACAGGAAATAATATCAACAACTCTCAAAATAATATATATCTTTTTTTGTTTTTTTTTTTTTTTTTTTTTTTTGTTTTTTTCCTTTAGGATAAAAGTCGACTAGGATGTCGATTCAGGATGAGTGCTCGTGCTCTCCTCTCCGTCGACACTTGAGCTCTCCCATATTTGAATCTCGGCTTCGGATGACTCCGGCCTCGCCGACTCGGCAGACTTGCTGGGCTGGGTAGCTTCGATGAGAGAGGAGATGGAGGACACGCTCGACAACTTCGAGCGGCTGGGATGCGCAGCGGTGCGCGGCAAAGGTGGCAGGGAGGTCTTCTTCTCCGGAGTGTTCTCGGCGTCCTCATAGATCACCGCATAAGAGAAGGCATGGCAATCTGCACCGTAGTAGTCCGCAGCATTGAGCTCCCCGAGCGGAGAGCGAGGCTCGTCCGTCATCTCGGTTTTCCGCGTGGGGCGAGTGGTCTCGCTTTGACGGAAATGAGGCAGGCCCAGTCCCAACTCGGACGGAGGGATGTTTTCCTTGCCGCGACTCGAGGTCTCCACCTTGCACTCATCATCACTGATGTCTAGTACGCAGGTGGAGTGCTGCATGAGGTTGGTCATTTCCTCCTGCTCCGAATCCACGTAGATATCAAAGGCCCAGGACGCAGGCGCCTTCGGAGTGGGTTGACTCTTAGGCTTCAGAGTGCCCAACGCTGCTGCAATAGAGAATGGGCGCGCAACGCTCTTCTTGCCTGTCGAGTGTGGTCGGCTCTTTGTGATGGTTGATCGACGAGCAAAGGGCTTGGAGGTTTTGGGTGGAGGCGAACGGCCGATTGGCTTAGGGGCAGAGGAAGATTTAGGCTTCGGTAGAGGGGCCTTGAAGATTGTGGAGGGCATAAGGGGGGCAGACTTTGATTCGATAGTCACCAATGCCACGCGGGAGGATTTAGGTGACTTGAAGGTGCTTTTGACGGTCTGATGGTCCTCTTCATCCGAGCCACGCTTCCGCTTTGTTGACATGTTTAGAGTAGCCGGGTTGATGTTCTCCGTATCAACCTCGGACAATGGTGTCCGTTTGGCAGCCATCGAGGCACCTAAATAGCGAGATATTGTCAAAATTATTGTGGATATAGTGATATATCCCTTGAAGAAAACATACCGTGTTGCTGGTTCTTCTTGTTCATCTTTGACTTGAGCAAGGAGCGTAAACGCGGTGTATCGAGGCTGGCGAAGGGTTGACGAATCATGTTGCTAGGAGTGATGGTGAGAGCCGCCATGGTAGGTCGATCCCCCACGAGAAATCTGAGGAATCAAGTAAGGATAATGAGACAGATGAGATGAATCGAATGCAAGTCTGATGATGAAAAGATGTTGATAGGAGCAGTCTGCAGTAGATCGAAGGAGATGCTGCCCTGATTGTTTTGGTTTTCGCGGAAGTGGGGTCCAGCGAGGGATTGGCGGTCGAACGAAGCTGAGGAGGATTACAAGAGTATCTAGATAGTGATGGTGTTGATCGATCCAAGATGAAAGGAGGATTGATGTTTGAACAGGAAACACGAATGCTGGGAGGGAGATGGACGTGGAGTGAAGCGAGGAAGTTGATGAATTCGATGAGACTATACACCGTGGAAAGAGAGGGTGGACTGATGCAGATGAAATGGACTATGATTAAACTGGTTAAGATAGATGATAAGATAGAGTAGGATGGGATAGGATAGGATAGGATAGGATCAAATAGCACAGGATAGTGGTAGGTCTGGAAAAAGAACAAGAGGATGCAGAACGAGGAAGAGGACGAGTGGTAGATATACACCGCAGAAGCAACGAGGAGCAATAATGCAGGGAAGGATGAGAGAATGAAGGCGGGAATAGTTCAGACACGGCCAAAGGGATGTTCAGCAGCAATGTTCAGCTTCATTTCTCACCTGCCGTGATCTTCGAAGAGTTCAGAATGTAAGAATACTAATCCAGGGTCTTGCCGAGTATTTGAAGCGTGTTTGATTTTATTTTATTTTTCGCTCCCCTCAGTGCTCACTCCACTCGACCGTGATGGGAGCGCGTCATGTTCGTGTTGGTGATGCTTCATCTACTCCAAGAACAAGACGCAGGTTATGTATGCAAGGCGCGCGCGCATCGGCTTATTTCCTCTATCTCTAAGGTAGTCTCTTCTTGATGATCAAGAACAATCTAATTATCTCGTCAGCCTTCTCTCTAGTCTCTCGACCCCATCATGGGGAGTCAGTCGCTCTCCTCACTGTCTGCATCGTGTATCTATACATCTATACATCTATACCAAGTTAGTTACCAATTAATCGTATGCATCTGGCGTACTAAACCAAGTCGCGTCAACTCGTGTCTCTCCTCCTGATCTGGTCCTACAGTCAATCTCTTCAAGAGTCTTACGGTCTCAGAGTCTATTGATATTAAAGTTGCCAATTAAGTGGTAGTAGTAGTAGTAGTAGATAGTAGTGTATTTAATTGTACGTGGTCTCGTAGACTCTCCTACTCCTAGATAGATAGTGTCGTAGATTCCAATAGTCAATTCCACTACCACCCCCCCAGAGCGAGTTCATCCCTACAACGCGTCCCGTCGATCTGATCGTTTCGTTATTTTCAAGCACAAGGAAGTCAAGAACAGATTCAGGTAGTTAACTAACTATAGATCATTACTTAACTTCGCGTCTCACGCACGGTCATCCTCCGTTTCAGCCCCTTCGTTCACCAACTAACTATCTCTCGACCTGACTGCATCGATGGCGGTATGGCGGACTGGCGTCTGAATCCGGAGACGTCTTCATCCTTACTTGGATAGAGACTCTGAGTCTGAAGGCCTATGCTGGTCGTTGTCCAACTTAATTCGTCATTATTGACTAGAACCCTAGTTGGTGACAGCAGGCCAAATCCCATCGTTCTTCCCAGCCAGTGGTTTCGGCGCCACGAGAGTCAACATGAAACGAATCATAGCGAGTCTTCTACTCCTCGCAGCTTGTTCACGACTATTAGGATTGGGATCAGCAATTCAGCATCGTGTAGATAGATAGAGGCTATCGAGACGCTAGGATTGCTCTTCGTACGACTCAAACGGTGACTTTAATCAAGCATGATACTGACACCTGAAATCGTGGCAGTTTACGCGCCGGAATTTGGTCGCCATTATTCATTCTGGTGCTCGTGCACAGGAGCTGCTGAATGGAAGAGTTCCCAACTTCCAAGCCCCCAGGCGCTCATCTGATCTGAAGAATGTCCAATCCCTCTCATTCTATCGGGCGGTCTCATTCCATTGCTCGCGCTTACGAGAGACTGACATCTTGAGAAGTTGAAATACTGCTTATCTATAATTCTTGCCGCTGGTCTTCATTCTGATGATGAGGTTGGCCTCGGTCTAGTTTGACGCTCAATCAATTCCCACCCATAAGTGGTTGATGGTTCATCATCTCTTCCTGTCAAAGGTAGGTAGGTAGGTAAGTAGGTAGGTATGTATGTATGTATGTATGTATGTATACGCGATCAATGCCACCCTCCGTGAATACGCTCGGCTCACCGTATCTCAAGCACCGATCATTCGTCATATCTCGTCCTCCCACGGAATGCTGTCCATCGCTCCCTGTCGCTCCACGCAGCGAGCAGATGCACGAGTTGCCAGACCCAGAGCATGGTCCATAAAGTCCTGATATCGCGACACTTTTTCCTCTGCAGCCACATCCAGTCCAGCTTTGCCCTCGGCTCGTCGTGACTCGCGCCATCGCGCCACCTCAACAGCATATGCGCCCCCAAACGTATCCCCGGCCGCCGTGGTATCTAACACCTTGCTGACCTTTGCGGCCGGAATCAGCTTCGCAAACCTCCTCACGCCATCCACAGGCCCGGAGGTTCCGGCATCCGTCGCACTGTACCAGACGCCCTTGGACCCCAGCGTGATCAGAACATATGTCACCCCCAGCTGGTGGAAGTACCGAGCCACCTTCTCATTCCCATCCGCTCCCTCCGCTCCAGGAACAACCTTGAGCAACTGCTCAACTGGCGGACTCATCAACTCCGCCTCGGTCTCATTCATAATCAAATGGTCCACAGCAGCATACACATCCTCTGGCAGACCGCCCGGCGGCGCCGGCGCCGGGTTGAACATCACATCCGGCCCGGCCTCAACCCCCCTCTTCCCCGCCGCCCGATTCCTCGCCTTCCACGCTGCAATGTCCCGTAGAATCCCAATCACCGTCTCAACAGGAATCTCTCCCTGCATGACAATCACATCCGGCACCGGCGCCGCAAGCCCCATCCCCACCACCTCCGCCGTCGCCCGCATCCCCTGGTAATTCGCCCCCGGCGAGAACAGAATCCGATTCTCGCCGCCCGCAGACGAGTCCACGATGATCACCGCCACCCCCGTATACGCCCCCTCGACCTCCCGCACCCGCGCCGTCGCAACACCGGACTTCTCCAGCGTCGGCTTCAGGAGCGCTCCGAAGTGCCCGTCTAGCGCGCCCACCGCGCCCACCATCTCCACCTTCACATCGGCGGCGTCCTCGCTGCTTGTGCGTGTCGCGCCAGCGGCCGTGGAGGGCTTCCGCCGCGATAGCCGGCCGCAGGCGACGGCCTGGTTGGCGCCTTTCCCGCCGGCGCTGATGAAGTATGACGATGCGGTGATTGTTTCGCCGGGGTCTGGGAAGCGTGGGGTCACGGAGACCATGTCGGCGTTGAGGGAGCCGATGACGCGGATTAACGGTGCCATTGTGCGGAATGAGTCCGTTGGGAGCGTAGAATAGATGGTTGTTCGTCCGTCAGTATTGTGGATGCGGAGGGGTCAGTGTTGGAGTAGCTAGCACCGGCTTGAGTGTAGATCTGTACACTGGTCAATTCGGCATACTTGTAGAGAGGATAGGAATAGGAATGCGTACATTTTGCGACTGTTACAGTATCCTATACCTTCATTTAGCTGTGTATGTCTTGAGGTTGTTGTAATTGAGATATGTGTAGAGGATGAGCCCACCCCTCTCAGTGACAGTCAGGCTGTTAGAGTACCAGGTGGGCTTGGCGGTCTATGACCGCATACTGTCGGGTTGATCGATATCCACTTCTACTGATACTTCCCTTCAACCTAGTAGGCACAAAAGCAAATGTTGAAATCATACAGGATATATTCGATCTAGCTAGGTATTATAATCCATCCATAAATGACAACCCGAAGCCGCGCCATACGCCAGTTCCACTATGCCCGAATCCGCACAGGACCCAAATGTACTCCATCCCCCTCGCAGCTAGAACTATAGCATAGATAGATCATATGCTTGAATGCAAAAAGTTTCATGTTCCTTTTCCCAGTGTGCAAGCCCAAAACAGCGTCCAGAATCATGACGATCATACACTATGGCGATAGACCTGGGACCCGCCGGAGCGGATCTGGATCGTATCGCGTCTCTGCAAGACCACCAGGGCCCGATTGAGAGCTGGCTCCGTGTAGCCTCTGCCGTCGACGAACTCCCGGCGTAAAGTCGCCAGGCTTGTGCTCCAGCCGATGGGAAGGCGGCGCTTGAGCTCGTCTTCGATCTTGCCGACCTCCTCCATCATCTCCTTGCTGCCTTGGCCCTCGCCCTGGGTGACAGCGTCCATGGTCGAGGCCAAGAAAAGACGGATGGCTTCGTCGACATGTGCCTCTGTGGCGATTGGCGAGAGGCTCAGCTTGGCCAGGGACTCGGTGATACGGACGATGGCTTCCAGTTGACGCACCGTGATGGGGATGGAGGAGCGGGTGTTGGCGTCCATTTCGGCGCGGTGGACTTGCTTTCGAATGGATACGAAATGCGATGAGAGCTTCTCAGCTGCTTCGGGCGCGAGGCGGGGCGCGCATCGGCTGGGGCTAGTTATTAGCTAGATTCCATAGTTTGGGTTTGAAGTAAGGAAGACATACCTGCGGCAGTAGCTGATGTAGCGCTTCATCTTCTCCAAGGGAACTTCGGCCTCGACTTGCTCCTCGATACCTCTGCCGCCCATATGCACACCCATCACGTGTCGTGCGATGTTCTCATCACGGGCGCGGTCGTGGTCATCGCGGACGATGAAGATCATATCGAAACGAGACAGGATTGTTGTTTGGAAATCGATGTTCTCTCCGGGTGTCTTCAAATCATCGTACCGGCCAAAAATAGGGTTGGCGGCCGCAAGCACTGATGTTCGTGAGTTGAGAATCGTTGTGATACCGGCTTTCGCGATGGAAATCGTTTGCTGCTCCATGGCTTCGTGAATGGCGACTCGATCCTCGTCTCGCATTTTGTCGAACTCATCAATACAGACAACACCCCCATCAGCAAGCACCATAGCACCACCTTCCAGATAGAACTCGCGTGTCTGCTGGTCTCGCTGCACCGAAGCGGTCAAACCAGCGGCCGAGGAACCTTTACCGGATGTGTAGATGGCGATAGGTGATACCTTCTCCGTGAATTTGAGCAACTGAGATTTGGCGGTACCAGGATCACCGAGCAGTAGCACGTTGATGTCTCCACGCAGCTTCATCCCATCGGGGAGAATCTTCTTGGAGCCGCCCATGAGGAGGCAGACAATGGCCTTCTTGATGTCCAGATTGCCGTAGATTGACGGAGCAATGCTCCTAGCCAGCGCTTCATACAAGTCCTCCCTGCGACTGAGTTCCAGGAATTCCTGCTCTTCTTCCTCCGAGAAGATAGCATTGCCCTTCGCAGTATGATCCAGGTCGGTGCTGATACCCACCGCCCGAAGATAAGGGTTGCGGATAGCCACCGCGCCATCCTTCTTGCCACCCTTCGATTGGTAGATAGAAAAAATCCCCATCACGGTACAACGAGATCCGGGAACCACTCTATTGGCCAGATATCGATCGGCTGAGATGAGAACATGTCTCGGAAGCTCACCCACGGGAACCTGGTCGGGGGCTTCCTGGAGCTTGAGAACCTGCTGATCGACGAACTGACACTTTTCGTGAGCGATCACGTAAGGATCCAGGGGGCATTGCTCTCCAGGAGTCTCGCCTGGCTGCTTGTCGCGACCACATCGTCTGGGAAGAGTAAGACCGGAGAAACCGCCGTCTACCCGAATGTTATCGCTGTGATCACAGCTCTTGCAACGGATATGAACGACAGTGGCTTTGGATGATATTGTCGAGGCACCAATAACAATTCCAGGAATGCGGACAAGATGTGAGATGTTCGTGGCGTTCAAGTCACGAATGGAAATGTGCGATGCGGAGGAATGGAGTAGGAGTTGATGGGAGGGAAGTACAATGTCTCTCTGCGAAGGATAAACAATCCGCTGGGTACACTGCTGGAGGGCTGCCTCGAACTAAAACAGTAGGCCACTGATTAGTAGAATGCTCATGAACTTAGTGGGAAAGGACCGCTCACAAGGGGGATGATATCGGCGGGTTCGGTAGTGAGCTTGTGGGCCAGCTCCTCGTTATAGGAAATCAGATGGGCGATATCGATGTCGCAATAGTACTGTTTTACGAGGACATTCTGGCGAAGCTGATCACTATACAATGTATTAGCCCGGTGCCAAACTTGACATCCACGAAATATCATACCGGTAGATGAATGCATTGTCGAGCTGGAATTCCAACACAAACTCGCGCAGTCTTGCTTGGATCTGCGTTCGAGATTCTTCGGCGCCATCTGTACTGGGAGCAAGAACACTCAGGGTATAAGGAGTACGTCTGTCCATGGCGAAGACAGCGATTGAGGTTGATGGTGGGGGAAAGGGTCGGTGATGTTGTTGCAGCGGGCAGTATCAAGGAGTTTGCGGACAACTTTTTGCAGTGGTGGAAACACGAATGCAACGCGTCGCGTCCAATGCACGCGTTAATTGATTTTGGCCTCAGGCACCAGGGGCGATCACTTTCTTGTGCCTTGTGGCCTTGGCGCCTGACGACTCTTGCTCCGGAAGAATACATCTTCCGTCATTCCAATTAGGACTAGATTTGATGGGCTCGGGGTCGACGCCTTACCCGATCAGGATGCGCTGTCATTATCCCCAAGAATGAAGCCCCCGTATCAGTGTTGGGCGGTATCCGGGTGACGTTGCTGGTTGCTTCTCTTCTGTTTTTCCGGGCATTGGCACCTACATACAGCTTAGAAACTTTGTGTGCTACCCCGAGGTCATTGACAAAGGTCCCGGTTATCTACAGGAACCGGAACTGCGAGGAACAGCTGTTTCTGTGTCATGTTTGGAAAGCGCCGTGCCTGAATCGTGGTCCGTCGTAGCCGATCAATCGGTCTCTACGCAATGTCCTCAATGAGCCCACGCAAATCGATCGATAGCTTGGCTTCTGGTACATCTACACCCTCGCTGTCTCAATTCTCGCTCAGCCAGATCGAGTCTCCGCGCGCACCGCCTCAGAGGTCCCTCTTGCGGAGGGGCTCAACTGCAAGCTCCATCGTGAGCATCGGAGGTATACTCGATTCTTCGCAACACCATGGTTCGATAGCGGAATCGGGCCAGAATGGTATGTACTGCTCGTCGACGTGGATTCATACTTTCACGGTACACTAATCTGCATTGTGTAGCCATCTCCACACTCCTCCAGCCTCCGATCGTTCGTACCGGCCTCGTTCCTCATACAGCTGTTTCATCTACCGGCTACAAGCCGCCGAGCACACGAGACATCCCTCCGGTCACCCTGACGAATATCCCCCATGTCGATTCCAAAGTCTTCCAGCCGTATCTCTCGCAGGTCGGGTCGCTCTACGAAGTCTTTCAACAGGCGAAAGAGAGTACCAGCAATCAAGAATTGCAGCTGGCTCGGAGCGGCAAGACGCAGGCGAAGCCGGACGAATACGACACCCTTATGCCCGTTTCTAGAGAAAGGCGAACATCCATTGTGTCAACCAGTTCCCGTGCAACATCGCCATATGACCCGCGGGGCCGCAGACGCTCGTCGGGCGCCCGAGGTCGCGGCCAGGGGGTCACTCCACTGTCTATCATCCCACCAGTCTATTTCGAGGACGATTTCCACCTAGAAAACCCTCGAACGTTCGACGTGGTATCGGAGAAGTCGGAAGTTGTGAGGCCTCCGAGGTTGCCAGGGAAAGATGGCCAAGGGACCAGTGACTCCGCTGCGGTATCGGCTGGTACTGGGAGAAAGGCACTTGCTACCAATGCGATTCTGCAGGAGAAGCTCTCATGGTACATGGATACTGTTGAGGTCCACCTGATCTCCTCAATCTCGACTGCATCCAAATCGTTCTTCACCGCGCTGGGGTCGCTGCGCGAGCTACACTCTGAGGCGGCTGATTCGGTGAAACGGATACAAATCTTGCGGAAGGACCTCCAAAAGATCGATAAAGAGATGGCGCTGGGTGGGTTGAAAATTGTCAACCTTCGGCGGCGAAGGGAGAATGTACGGATGCTCGCCGATGCCGTCTCTCAACTGCGGGTGGTGGTCCAGTCTGTCGCTCGTTGCGAAGAACTGGTCGAGAACGGAGACATAGAGGAGGCGGCCGATAGTCTGGAAGAGGTTGAGCGATTGATGGCTGGAGAGGATGCTCCAAGTTCTCCAAGCAAGGGGAGCGCGAGCCAAGGTCAGCCGAGAAAGTCAATTGACTTGCGGAGACTGAAGGCTCTTGAGGGAGCTTCTGAAGATCTTGCACAACTGAGGTATAGGATCGGCATGGGATACGAAAACCGCTTTTTGAACGATCTACTTGGAGACTTGGGCAACCACGTCGAGAACGTGCCGTCGGATGTGACACTCCAGCGCTGGGGCTCCTCTTTCCAACGGCAACGTGGAGCTCAACGCTGTGGTGCCTCGTCTTCCCCGGCGTATATGGACTTTGACAACGATTTGCGATCACGTCTGCTGACGAATCTTGTCGGCCTCGCTCGCGCACAGTATACGACTCCTGCAGCAACTTCATTCAAGACCGCGGTTCTCCGGGAAATGAAAGGCCTGATCCGTAAACATATGCCTAGCTCCAGCGATGATGACAATGAATCGGTGGTTTCGATGTCCACGCACAGGTCCCAGCAGTTGAGCCAGCAAGAGAAATCCTCGATACTTGCGCGGAATCTGCGCGCTCTGGACTCCGATGACGCATATACTATGCTCCTCAGGGTATACACCGGGATTAGCGAGTCGTTGCGAAGGCTTAGTGTCCAGGTCAAGGTGCTTCTCGACATTGCTAGTGGACTCGAGAATCCCGTGACGGCTGGTCTGAGTTCTCCCCCTCGAAGCCCGGACCCGCAGAGTATGAACGGTCCTCTCGGTTCTGGGATGGGTTCCCGGACCGTGGCAACCATCCAAACCCAGGACGAGATACTACAAGTCTTGGACATGTCTAGCCTTCTTGGCCAGGCTGTTGACATTGCGCAGTCACAGATCACGAAGGTGCTGAAAGTCCGCTCGGAACAGACATCTCAACTACCCAGAGAGGAATTTGTCCGATACTTTACCCTGAATAAACTCTTTGCCGATGAGTGTGAGGCGATCTCCGGCCGGAGCGGCACGGCTCTGAAGACCGTTGTGGGAAATCAGATACGCGATTATATCACGCGGTTTGGGGAGAATCAACGGCACCGGCTTGTCGAGGTCATGGACTCGGACCGATGGGATGCGCGAGACTTTGGGGAGACCGAGAGTATCATACTAGCCAAGATCCTTGATGCAAGCACCAAGGATGTCGAGTCGTGGTTGGCGGCGTCCAAGATCTGGGCCTCACCGGAAAAGGATGGACTACAGAAGACGGAAGCGGAGACAGCGACTACCAACGGAAACGGCAAGGACAAGGTGCGCAGCGCCGTAATCGACGAGCAGAAATACATTCTCCCCGAATGCGCGGTGGCCATGATGAAGAGCATTGAGGAGTTCCAATTCCTCATGGCGAACATCCCCAGCACGATTCAGGATATCGCCCCTGGGCTCCTCGAGTCCCTGAAGCTGTTCAACTCCCGGTCGTCGCAGCTCATCCTGGGCGCCGGGGCCACGAGGAGCGCGGGCCTGAAGAACATCACGACGAAGCATCTCGCGCTGTCCTCGCAGGCCCTGAGTTTCATCATCGCGCTGGTACCCTACATTCGGGAGTTTGTGCGGCGGCACGCGCCGTCGAGCTCGCTGATGGGCGAGTTTGACAAGGTGAAGCGGCTATACCAGGAACACCAGTCCGGCATCCACGAGAAACTGGTGGATATCATGGGCGGCCGGTCCTCGGTGCACGTGAACGCGATGAAGAAGATCGACTGGGACGCCCCGGCCGGGTCCAACACGGTCAATCCCTACATGGAGACGCTGGCGAAGGAAACGGGCACACTGCACCGGGTGCTCAGCAAACATCTGCCTGAGATGACCGTCATGATGATCATGAACCCGGTGTTCCAGAGCTATCGCGAGCAGTGGACGAAAGCATTCGAAGAAGCGCCCGTCAAGACGGAAGCCGGTAAACAGAGGTCAGTAGCCGTATCCCTCTCCCCAATAATTTATATGAAATACAATTTAACAAAATGGTGCAGGATGCAACGCGACGCGGAACATCTCCAGACGAAGCTCAGCAAAATCGATGGGTTCGGGGACCTGGGCCAATGGCTGCTTGAGTTGATTCAGAGGAAGACTCCGTCGCAGCAGGAGAAGGCAGCCGCGTCGGCGGAGGCTCCGACATCACAAACGTCGTCGGGCGAGGACGACTCCGTACGGAGTCCAACTTGATTGACTATGAGTCTTTCTTACAGGGTCTTCATGCCGTGTCCTGGTGGCACTTCAAAACTCAACATAACATAATCCCTATCCTTTAATCCTTTTACACAATCTCGTGAATCCCAGGCCTGAGCAAAGCCAAGAAATATTATACATATATCCCACGTCTTTACTTCCATAACCCGATCATTCATCATTGAATCGTTCCATTTCCATTCCTAATCATACACATATACAATCCCCTCCGCAACTATAGAAAGAAAACGAACGGGGAGGAACCGGAACCAAAAGATCCGCATGGCCCAGCCGATGCCAGACCTCTTTTCGTCACATCACATCTCAAATTAAACCAACTAAGCCTTATGCGCCCCCAGCCCCTTCTTCTCCCCCAGCGAGTGCGGCTCATGCCCGCCCTTCCCGCTCGAGTGGCCTGGCGCGGCACCGAAGCTCATCTGGCTGCCGGCAGGGACATCTGGGAGGGGCGCGGTGTGGTCAACGCGGCCGAGATGGTCGTTCTGGAATATAGTTAGTGGTTCAGTATAGGGGGCAGGTAGGGTATTGAAGGTTTGGAGAAGGGGAAGGGGAAAGGCTTACGGCGGGGTTGATGCCGTGGACTTTGTTCTGGCCGGCGTCGATGGCGTTGTCGCTCTGGGGGACGCCGTTGTCGTATTCAGCTCCGCGAGGCATGGTGGTTGGGATAGGTTGGGAGATTGGGTATTGGGGTTCTAGGAGGGTTGATTGGGGTTAGGTCCTTGAAACGGTTTGTTTTTTTTTTTTTTTTTTGGGAATGGGGATGTGGTGGTAGACGAACTGTGTGATAGATAGTTTTGGTGAGATTGATTAATAGTTAGATAGATAGATAGATAGATAGATTGATGATTTTGAAGTGGTTGAGAAGATGATGGTAGATCTATATATATATATTGACTGGAATGTTCACAGTCCATGACTGCATCAACTTCGGGATAGTATCATAGGGATCCTTGCTGGAAGACGTGACAGCATTATGAGGTCATGGTGGAGAGACATGACTTCATATGGTTTTCCAGTCGTCAATGCGAATATATACCTAGTAGAGTAGTAGTAGTAGTAGAAGAAGAAGGAGAAAAGAGAATGGGGAATTGGGGATGGATGGGATGTTTGCAGAGGGATCTACTACGAAACTGTTTTTTTCTGCACAGACAACAGTATGAATGTATGATCATCCATTTTCCTTTTGCTCACTGAGTCTGGATAGTCCCTGGAAGCATCACATGATAGCCAAATAAAAGTAGTGAAGCCAAGCCTGGTCATCTCCATGCCCAATTGCTTATTCCCACCCCCCTTTTTTAGGGGCATAGTCTCATCTTGTACATATGCAATTATCAGGCCAATGACCTGACACAGAAAGATCTTTACATTCTGCTACTTACTTCTTTCGATAGACCTACCTTGTTCTATCATAATTGGAAGTAATAATGGCGGTCGTCCAGTGAATCCATTTCCATCCTCGGGGTCCCCATTTTCATTGCCACATCGGGTCCACTAGGAGGAAGGTGGTTGTCCACCGTTGAAATTCCACGTGGGTAGTTCATTCTTTCAACGAAACTTGGTAAAGGAGCTCAGCGAAACAAGTCTGGCACTCAGTTGAGTCAGGTCCTTGGCCAAATCTTTCAAAGGCACGGTTGCGCCCAGCTCCTTGTCAAACCAGGTTCGAAATTCCATCTCGATGAGCGAGTCGACGCCGTTCGCACGAACATTGAGGCTGTCATCGATGGAGTCTTCGGGGATGTTAAGCAAATCGGCCATCTTGCGCCTCACCGCCTTGTGGATGATTCTTGCCGCGTCCTCAGAAGCGGTAGCGGACTGGAGGTGATCGCGAATGTGAGTGGCCGATTGTGCGATTTCTGAACCGCTGGTACCGGTGTTTGAGAGAGCCGGTGGGAGCTGGGCAAACATGGGATACTTGAGATGAGTCGGCTGGGCTTCGTTACCGAGACTGTATGAAGCCCGGGTTCGGAGACCACAGACTAGCTGCGCGGTATCGGGACTCAGGGTAGTGTGATGACGTCGATCGATCAGGTACTCGATGGTGGCAAGGACCTCTTCCTCGGTTTGTGGATTGGCCATCTTAAACGTGTGTTTTCCGGCGTATTCTGCGTTCTCGGCAATAAAGCCAATTCCAACGACAGCGCCGAGATTGACACTGGCACCATGCATCCCCTTGGAAACACGGTGGCGTGCAAGGGCATCCTGGAAGTTGTTGCCGGCATTGTAGTTGGCTTGGCTTCGATTACCCACAATGCCAGTGATGGAGCTCAGCAGCAAGAAGAAATCAACATCTGGCAGTAGGCAGTGGAGGTTCCAAGATCCAGAGACCTTGGGAGCCAGGGCAGTTTGCCATTCCTCGTGCGTCATGGAGTCGAAGGCTCTATCATTCAGGACGAAGGAGCATTGTATACATCCCTTGACCGGGGGCAACGTTTCTTGAATCTGGGTGATAACCTCAAGGAGACGAGACTCGTCCGAGATATCACATTGGAAGACATGGCTAGTACAGCCAAGAAGCTTGAGTTGGGCGATCGTCTCTTGTCCTGCTTCATGTACAGTTGCGGACCGCGAAAGGAATATGAGGTGCTTGGCACCCCGACGAGCCAACCTGAGTGCAATACTGCGGCCGATCCCTCCCAAACCTCCCGCTAGTATGAATGATGCATTTGAATCCAGCTCCAGAGGGCAAAGTGGCGCTGGTATGACAGAAACAGGATGAGTGCCCGGAACGAGCGTAATCTTGCCGATGCTTTTTCCTGTTTGTAACAAACGCAACCCTTCTTTCAACTGCCCATAGCCAAGGACTTGGGTTGGGCGAGCTTCATGGATATCTTTGTTTGACCACAACTGAATTGTTTCTTGCAACAGGTCCTGGCAGATCTCCGGCCGCTTTTCATCCAAAGCATTGAGGTCCACACCGGAGAAGGAAACGTTGTGGAGGAAAGGCGTCATGTCCAGCTTCGAGCCAGCCTGCAAATCAAGCTTTCCAATTTCGACGAAGCGGCCAAATGGCGCAACGCACGCCCAGGACTCTCGCAATGCTTCACCGCTAAGTGAGTTAAGAACGACATCCACGCCAGCAGGCGCGATGCGTTTGATGCCTGCCGAGAAATTCAAATCGCGACTCGAGAAAATGTGGTCGGCGCGAATGTGGGAGTTGTCCATGATGAATTGCTTCTTCTCAAGGCTTGAAAGGGTCACGAAGATCTCTGCTCCCTTGGCCTGAGCGTACTGAATGGCGGCTTGCCCGATACCGCCGGCAGCCGCATGGATCAAGACCTTCTCACCGGCGCAGAGTCGAGCGACATGGCCCAACGAGTAGATCACTGTGCCATAGATGATGGGCAGTCCTGCGGCAATTTCGAAACCCATCGTGTCGGAAATCTTGATAGCAAGCCCGGAATGGATGCGGCTGCGGGTACGCAAGGTACCCATTCTACCAGGCGAAGGGTCCCCTAGGTACATCACTCGATCACCAACCTTGAAAGTGCTCACGGACGAGCCTACTCCGACAATTATACCAGCGCCTTCGTGTCCAAAGCCTGGCTGATCAATCTCCCCCATGGCTACCAACAGATCTTTGAAGTTTAGCCCGACAGCATGGACATCGATCTCGATTTCATTCGCAGCAAGTGGCTTTTCTGAAATATCTTCATCGGTGACCCATGTGAGAGAATCAACTCCCGGGCTCGTACTGATCAAGCGAACAGGTCGTTCAATATTTTCCCAGGTTGAAAGTATCGGCTTTGGTGGTGAAAACTGCGCTTCAATGACGGTGCTCGCCACCGTGTTTTTGACGATATGGTTTGTTTCGACCACTGAATCTCGAACGCAATACTCGGCATTGGTGTTGCTAGAGTCTTTTGACCACTGGTTAAGGAATTGATACTGTAGAACTCGGATCAAAGCATCAACGTTTCCGTCGGCAGAAGCTGTAGGCTCGTTATCCAGGGAAAATGTGACCAAGTTCAGATCATTACGATCCAGCTCCCAGCGAATGGTACGAATCAAGCCCGTTGCAATTTGGAATTCTGGCTGCGCTAAGGGATCTCCAGTTACCCACAACAGTGAATCGCACGCAGTAACCAGATTCTGAATTACTCGGAATCTAGTCCGGTCCATGGCGTTCAGAATGGGCTGCTCAGCCTCGAGCAAAGAGATGCAGACTCTGCCAATCACACTATCGGAACGGAGGTCATCGATGTGACAGACCGAATGAGGGACTCCTGCACTGAGCAATCTTGTGGCGAGCAAACGAGAGATCTCCGAGTGGGACTGGATTATCACGAGGACTTCCAATGAAGGAACCGTAGCCTCCAATATCCTGTGACATGCAGTAGATGCCATCAAAGAAAAATCAGCGAACTCAGGATAGACGGAGCTTGAAGCTTGAAAGTCAATTCCGGAGAACCCAGTCTTCCGCAGGACTCTGTCCCACTCGAGCTTGTCGGCGAAGTTGCCAGCTTCGCGAGAGGCCTCGGTTGCTTCCCACCATCCGGGCAAGGAGCCAAATATGATATTGGCGTGGAGAGACTCCGGTCGGACCTCCTCAAGAACAAGCAGCCGACCCCCTGGTCGTGTCAAAGAGTTCAGTCGCACCATAATCTCTTCCATGTTCGGCTGGCCCCGAACAAAGTTGTTGGCGATGACGAGATCAAAGGGTTTGGGCTGGATCTCCTGCTCGGAAGACTTGGCTGCCAAGTCAACTGTTTCGTATTTGATGATGTCCACCCACGCAGCAAGGCGCTTCTTCAGCGTCTCAAGACGATCAGCTGATTGAGAACCAATGACATACTGCTCGATGGAATCCCCAGTGCTATCTCCACAGAGTGTCTTGAGCACGTGTTCAGCCAGGGCTCCTGTGCGGCCACCCACATCCAGGATGCGAAGGCTGCGCTGGCTCTTGCGAAGGAGAGTGAGATATTGGGTAAGCGCGGGAAGTATGTCGCCCCGCGACAGTCTATTGTCATCCCATAACGAGAAAAGGTTGTCCTTGTCAAAAAGAAGATGTTGGGTTGTGATCTCCTTTCTTAAGATGGATGGGATTTCTGATCCCATTCTGACGAGCAGGGCGCCATCGGGATTCCGGTCCTCAATCTCACGATAGAGTTGCTCTTTCAGGGCGGGGTTCCGTGAATAATTCAGCCACATCTCCAAAGAGACATATGGGATATTGTTAGTTGCGACACCAGCGGCGATGCTCCGAAGAAGCTCTCTATAGTGTCTCTGATGATCTTCCAGGCTGGAATATTTCACTCCACGAGTGGCCTGAAGACCATCAGTGGCCAAGAGAGTTGAAGCCAGCTGCAGTTGACTGAACCGTTTCAACTGAGTATCATACGTCTCCAGCGGAATAGGAGATTTTAGCAAAAGCTTCTGAAACTCCTTTTTCGTAAGAAGGTTCAGATCCGGGTGCCATTCAACTGAATAACAAGTCCTATTTTCAGCGGCGGTAGTATCACTGGATTCGGGCTTGAATGGAGACAGCCGGATACCTGCCAGTGACATGAACTTTTCGCTGGGGTTTGACGGGTTCCACGCATGCACTGTACTCTCGAAACCACCGTGCAGAGCATGAGAAGCCTCACTAGTACAACGCAAGATGGTGCCAGCTTCAGATGAGTGCGCGGTTGTAGACAGCCAAATGTCTCGAACGTAGCCGGGGACACAGCCCCGACGCATCATTGTCTTGCCATCAAGATCATATATCGATGCAAATGACGCGTGGAATGCATTATCCAGAGTGGTAGGATGGATTAGATGTTCATGCGCGTACTGTTTTGGCATCAGCTCCGTGATGTCTGGGACAATAATGTCGCCTGTCATCAGTCCTTGTTCTCGATCGCCAATGTTGACGTTGGCCAGGTTGCGAAAGGAGGGCCCATGATTGACACCGATCTCTCTGAGGTGGTTGTAAACAGGCGTAAAGTCAATTGGCACCTTGCAAGTGTTCTCTCTGGACTCCGCAAATGCCGACCATTGGGCCTTCTCGGCCTCCTCCGGGCGAGAACCATCGATTGGATTGAGTGGCTTCTTAAAATCTGGTGAGACTTCACCCGTGCAATGCTCAATCCACTCCTCAGTTTCCTGGTTGTAAGAGGCCACCTCGAACCTCTTCCATGCAGTTGACAACGAGGTTTTCGATTCTGGCACTGGGTAAAAGGAAAGGCACACCTCTACGCCTTGCGTATCATCTGGAACCACGAGCATTGCTTTGAATTTGACATCCCTCAGGGAAATGCCGACCATCTCGGCGTGATCTGTGATTTGTTTCATGCCTTCCACTGCCATTACCACATAACCAGCTCCGGGGAAAACAAAATCGTCATCGATCTGAGATAAAGTCAGTGTTTGTGCTCAGTCAGTCTCTGGATACGGGAATGAAATACTCACTACATGCTCTTTTAACCACGGGTTTTCTGAAACGCGCAGGAAATGGCGCCAACGCGGGCTATTGGGGTTCCAATCTGGTACAGGGGCCCCAAACAAGTCATGTCGAGGAAACTGGCGAAGACGTGTGTTCTTGATCAACCGGCTCTCGTAAAGTCCTCGTTCCTCGTGGTTGAATGGGTACGGGGGCAGATTCACGATCAGTTGGGGCTTAACTGAGGGGTTCGTTGACCTGTTAACCTTGTCCAGATCAACAGGGGCACCGCGGGCAGCCAGACTGCCTATTGTGTCAAGCAGTGTGTCCAACCCAGTATCCTTTCGGCTCAGGGTGGCCAAGTATGGAATGTCAGAGTGTGAACCGAGAATATCCTTAACTGCACTTTGCATTGCTGGATGAGGCCCGACTTCCAGAATAACGTCCACCTGAGTACCCTGAGCAGAGGAGCTATCGCCCTGAGTCGAGTCAAAGCACATCGAAGAAACCGCCTTCGTAAATTCGACGGGGCGGACCATGCTGTTAGACCAATGCGAAGACTTTTCAGGCACACAAGAATCATCCAACAAGCGACCCGTGAGAGTAGAGAACATATGCACGGTATGGTCAAAGTGCAAGAGATGACTTGATGGCAAATCACCCACAAGCTCTTCGTATTCCTCGGTGTATTGCTCCATGTGAGCGGAATGGGCAGCATGCTCGACTTTTAGCTTCCGGGTGAATATCCCTTGTTCGTCGAGCAAGACTTTCAACGCATCCACCATCGCATCATCACCCGAAATTGTGTGATTCCGAGGGCTGTTGTAGCAAGCGATTGACAAAGTGCCACCCGGCAGTGCTGCGTGCACCTGGTTGAGAAGATGAAGCAAACGCTCTTCTTCAATTCCAGCTGCAAGCATGCCGCCTACACGATTCGTCTTTCCCCGGAGGAGGACATGACCCCGGAAGTAGGCCACTCTCCATGCTCCCTCTCGTGAGATCTTACCTGCGCAGTAAGCTGCTGCAATTTCTCCTGACGAATGCCCCACCACACGGTGAGGGATAGCATTCCAACTAAGTAGAAGATCAAGCAGCGCAATCTGAACCGCGCAAGATAAAGGATGAGCGAACGCAGATTTGGATATCCTGGAGTCTTTTGCATCTTTTTCAAGCTCTTCCAGTAACGACCAATCACAACCCAGTGACTTGATGTAGAGACTTGCCGCTTCAAGGGATTGTCTGAAAACTGGATAGACAAGAAGCTGCTGGCCCATCTGTGCATATTGAGCTCCTTGGCCGGTGAAGACAAAGCCCACTCGCAGGGGCGATCGTGATTTGATCGCCTTTGAAGGCAGCTTGGATAGCTTGTCATGGAATTCCTTCACAGAATTGCATAGGGCATAGCTTCTCCAAGGAAGTCGAGATCTTTTTGTCGATAGAGTAAACGCAAGATCATGCAATGCTTGCCCGGCAGAGTCTGAAGGCAAAGACGAGACGTACTTTTGGATTTGCGCAACGACCTTCTCTAAACTCTTTTCATCAAATGCTGACAAAAGAAACAGAGTCGGCACTTGGAAAACTTTGGTCGATACCTCTCCAAAGTTCAGGTAGGTACCATTGACTCCATTACTGCCGTTGACTCCATTGTTGCCATCGACTCCGTTGGTGCCATCAACCTGGTATCGCCCGACAGCTTTTGCGACAATGAGCTCAATGTCCTTCTCTGAGGGTACAATTTCAGTGGTTTTATGTCGAACGGGGATTCCTCGTTGATTGCAGTAATGGTATGCATCATCCAAAATGCAGTGTGCATTTGTCCCGCTAATTCCATACGAGCTGATAGATGATCGTCGGATGCCAGAGGTGGGCCATGGCATGCAGCGAGTAGGGAATTGAAAATTCCACTCAGGGCGAATCTTCGGATTAATGTCTTCCAGCGTCGCATTTGGCGGAATAATACCTGCCTCCAAAAGAAGGACGGACTTGATGAGGCTGGTGATGCCAGCGCCTCCTTCGAGATGTCCAACGTTGGGCTTGACAGCACCAATGTAGAAGGGCGAGTCCCGCTTCCCTGTCTCAAATGCAGCAGCCATTGCGGTGCACTCCATCAAGTCTCCAGCTTGGGTTCCAGTTCCATGGCTTTCAGCATATGTTGTATCTCTGAGGTCCAGGCCTGCAGCCATGTAGGTTTTGCGAATCAGTGACTCCTGTGCAGCTGAGCTTGGATATGTCATTCCGGGGGTGTGACCGTCATGATTGAGGCCAGTACCTCGGACGACGGCTCTAATCGTGTCACCGTCGCGAACAGCGGCGGATAAGGTCTTGAGAATCACTGTTCCTACACCCTCCCCAAGTCCGTATCCGCCTGCTCGTTTGTCAAATGCCAGGGACTTGCCCTCCGACCCTAGGAGCCCGGAATATGACATTTTCATCAAATGGGGAAGGTAACCAATCACGCTGACACCACTCACAATGGCCTGTGCTTATCAAAACATCTGTTAATGAATCGTTCTCTGATCAGGACGTATAGGAGGTTCTGACCATTTCGCTCTCCTTTGCCTCCAGGCTTTGTCTGGCTAGATGAAGGCCCACCAAACTGCTTGAGCAGGCAGTATCGATTGTGAGACTAGCTCCTTGAAAATCGTAGAACCAGCTCACCCTTCCAGAAATCATGGAATTCTCAGCTCCGGTGGGCTTGTGCTTGAAAGAGAGCTCTAGATCACTGTTCAGACGATCGGCATGGTGGTAGTTGAAGCCGCTAACAAACACAGACGTGTTCGAGGAAATGACATCTTCCATTGGGAGGCCAGCTGCATGGTTCCAAAAATCAGTGTCTGTGTTGCAGATGCGACGAATGGACTTGACTCGGACCATTTTCTAATGCGTGGTACACGTTTTCCATCAAAATTCGTTGCTGAGGATCAAGACTTTGCACTTCAGTCTTGCTCATTTTGAAAAAGGCAGCATCAAACCCATTTGGACTCTCCTCGAGAAACGCAGCGCCTTTCACGGAGAACTACCAAGAAGTTAGTCATAGCTAAAAGAAAGTCAACTTCTTCTGTCACGAACCGTTCCCCCGCGGTTCGGGTCTGGGTGATAGAACCCCTTGGAGCTGAGTCTATCCTCTGGGATTGGGCGAGCCGCTTGTCGTGCTCTCAGAAGAAAGTCCCAGAAGGCCTCTGCATCCGTGGCCTCGTCGGCAGCACGCATGGCTAAGCCAATAATGGCCATTGGCTCTGTATTGCCATGGCCGTGTTCGGCAACATGGACCTCATTGGGGTTTGTGTTCCCGTTGATGAATGAAGGCATTTTGATGAATGTGTTTCAGTAAAGTACTGATGACTATGTCTAATTTCCTTCTTGTTTCTCCCAGGCAGATTTGGTCTGTATTTATATGAGGTAGGGCTGATCCCAGAGGTACTAATGCTTACATCAGAACATACTCACAGGCATCAGGGTAGGGGGCCCTGTGCCCAGCTCCTGGGTTCTCATCTTCCCCGGCAGTCGAATTCGCAATTTGCAATTGAGGGGTTGTTGCTTCTATACTGTATCTGCACCCACGGACGTGCATGAACCATAGGCCATCGAGGGACCTGAACACGTTCACAATACAAGATGATAAGGTTGGAAGATGGAACAAACTTCACACACTCAATGCCAGCTTCCAACATTCCACTCCAACAGACCAGACCCATGGCTAAGTAACAATATAATATCTATCTATACATACTTTTTGCGACTGAAATCCAGTCATTTTAAAAGGGGGTTTACCAACACATCTAAACTATCCACCTGGTGGATCTGATTATCTTTCCGTAATAGCCAAGTCCTGAGTACCTACACTCTATACAGTAGTAATCAGGTACTTTTACCAACATTGAAAGAAGGACTCTCAACTCACCTTTGATGGCTGTCAGAGCTAAGCTTTACGTATCTAGTCTGAGGCTTACCTATCAAGGTTGCTGAGAGGCGGAGTCTGACATGCATACAGTAGTCTAGAAATTGCATGTTCTTATACATATATGCCGCCCACGTCATGTGTATGACAAGTGAGCTAAAAATGAGGCGACTGGGGCCCATGCGCAAACATCCAGAGCCTTTATGATGGCCCCTATACTCTACAGGCTACAGGAGGATACTGAATAGCAGCAGTTCTCACCTGCGCATGTTGCTGTTATGCCAGCTAATAAGTGTAGTGCCCCTGCTAGATAGTAGATACACCAGTGAACCAGATAGCAAAAAAAAAAAAAAAAAAAAAAAAAAGCTATACCACATTCGAAGGGAATAGGAAACAGTTGTCAAGATCCAGAACTGTTGAGGAATAACCAAGGAGAACCCGTAATATTGTAGTCAGGGTAGGAATTTTGGTGGCACGTTGGACAGAGATAGGGTGAGGCTGTTCTTGTACAATCGTCCCGCTACCTGGCGTCAGCCACTAGTGACCTCTGTAGGCTCTGTTTAGTTGATACTTGATGGTGAGAAGTTGAGAGAACTAAGGTCTCTCCACCTTGTGGTCAACAAGGTCAACCAACATCGTAGAGAGCGGGTCAGAATCTACATCGGACGAGGTTGAAGACGAAGGCCAAGTGAACGGGGGACGGCCACCTAGCTCTCGGTCATCAATTGAGGGGCTGATCAAAGCCGGCAGACCTCTCTTCCTTCCCATGGAAAACTAGGTTCCCTTCAACGCCTGCAATATTTGATCCAAGAGCATTTGTACCACCACAACCAATCCCAAATAGCACCTTGTCAAACGGCCAGTTTGAGCTTCCCTTTCCGGTTTCAGCGTCACGCCAGAATTCCAAATGCCTGAACTGATGAAGGCGGATTGGAGTCACCTGTATCTTGACCGATTTCATCCTTTTGCCCCGATACTCAACAAGCGCTGTTAATCAATCAATCTCATAAACCAGATGCCATTCACAGGTACATCCCTTCACTCTCATCCCCCTCGTCTTCTGTGCAGAATTGGCACAGGGGCGGAAAAACCAAACCCTCGCGTTTGAAACCCTGTATAATTCCATAGTATGTCGTCTTCGGGATCTACTCGGTAAGTGTCGTCAATATGTTGGCGGAGACGTGTTTGGCAAACTTCAATGAATGATTTGAACCCCGAGATGGACACGGGGACATGTCCAAATGTCAGAGCTATTATGGCAAGTCAAGAAAGAGACAGAGAAGAAAGATAGACGGAAACAATAAAGCTGATGGGAATCATGGCATTGGAAGATATTGATGTATAGTCCGACAATGGACACAAACTTCCATCGAGACATGATATACACCGGATTCTCCAGGTCGCTTTACTCATAAGTAGTGTAGTTCATTTGAACCCTGAGAGACTTCGACTGATAGCATTCGGATCTAATGGCTAAGGTAGGCCTCCAGCTCTAACACCGGACCAATGATATTCATAAGCCAAAGTCCATCAATTGCCATTCTGATTCAATGATAGTAGTCATATCCCAGTGTTATAGCAGGGGTTCAATCGAATGTCAACAGGAACAAATACAGAAAACTCAGTGGACGGCGATATCGGCTTCGTTGGCAAGCCACAGCTGGCCGAACCGTGGAGCCAATGACCAAGAATGAGCGAGTCAACCCCGCGATGATTGAAAAGTGCAGGTGCTGTATTATATTCTGCTCCGCCGGTTGATTCTGGTCAGCCGAATTCATTTGAGGGTCCCTGCTTTGCTTCCTGATATGGATTATTATTATTATTATTAGGAAGATACAGCCGGTCATGAGCTGCTCCTGTCGGTGCCGTGGATCATGTGGTAGACTGGTAGTGGTTGTCGGCGCGGCAACCAGACGTCGGTCGCATAGAGCCATTACGGAGTAGGTAGAGACAGACCGAACGAGCCATCGGATGCTGCGACGGTGGACGTCTCATATGATCAGCATCAAGAAGAGAGGCGAAGTGATTGAGTCCAAGTCAGCCATCTCGAACTTTTTGTCAACCTTGACAGCAAAGAACCCCTGGTACTGGTGATGGGGAAATGAGCTGCTTTTTGAGTGTTTTTCAGAGACTGGTGAAATCAGTGGTCAATCATGAGGGATACTACTACTACTACTACTACTACTACTAATAATGATGATAATAATAATAATCATCATCATCAGGATGTTTGTCTCCCTGTACACTTTTTCTTTTGTGTCGCTCAGAGGAATTGAAGCAAGTAAGTATCTATCTTGATTCTTAAATAATACATACCTACACAGTACACAGTACACACTGTCAGGGTATGTTTCCGGGCAGTGACGTCACCAGCCGCCAGCTTTCCCCAGATTGCTTTTTTGGAGAGAATCAACCTGGAGAAAGGAAGAAAAGAATCACACACAAGGTTCATCAGCCAAGATTTAGGATTAGTTTCCATTACGAAACTAGGATGTCCTTTCAACATGATCGTGACCTTTTTCCTTCATTTTTTTTTTTTTTAAAGAGGGGTTTGACTGGTGGGAAATCCGGGAGATGGGACTTTCAGCGTGGGAGGCGAAATTCATCTGAACTTACGGAGTACGGAGAGGCAGCTGGGGGAGAGTCTGGAACTGCCACTAGTACACTAGGTACCTTACTCTCTCTGTAAACTCTGCGCGCACCGGACACATTTTCTCGCACGGATGGATCTCAGACAAGACAATCGCTCTTCGTAATATTCCAAGTAGTACTAACTAGTCCCGCTATTTGACGAAGAAGAAAAAAAAAAGCAAAAGAAAAGAGAGCAAAAGAGGATACGGAGTAGATAGGAAGAAAAAACGACATGGCAAAAGGTTGCACGGACGAAACCACCCCGGTCCCGAGTGCTGGTGCGAAAAAGGGAAAAAAAAAAAAAAAAAAGGAAAACAGCTCTGCAGTCTAACTACTATGTATAGTGTATAGCTGTCTCGCATCATGTTCCCCTGCCACCACTTCATAGTCTGTAACTCCTCCTTCTCTACGGAGTACCTACGTAGTATCTAGACTAGCTACCTAACGAACTAACACAATTTTTTTTTTTAAAAAAAAAGGAGAGGCCACTTCTTCTTCTTCTTTTACACTCCAGTTTCTTCTTCTCGGTCTGCCCTTTTTCTTTACCTGAGTGTGTCTCTCCCGCCCCGTCCCCGAGACAAGAAGTGGACAGCTTCACCCACTGCTGAATCTGGCCACAACCTGGTCCAACCTCCCGCACTGATCCCCGCCACCCGGATCTCTGCCCCCCGCACAGTTGCAACTACCCTGATCGCTGGTGCGAAGAAGCGCAAGAAGGGGGGAATAAAATCAATCGCTCAGCACGAGATTCCATCCACGTTGGTCCTCTCTCTTCTCCTTCCACCCGAATCCTGATCCTCTCTTGGGTCGCATTGCTTTTCTCCACTGTTTCTCCTACTCTCTCAGACCTTACCTCGTGCTGTGCGGATCTGCTCGGTTTGATCTTTCTTTTATTTCCTCATTCTCTTCTTTGCTCGAGACACTCTCCCCGTTCCCTTCTTCCCCCCTGACTTCCTCTAGAATCTCAAGAGGCCAAGAATTTCACAATGGCCAGCGAGGATACTGGTCCGGATACCCCCAAGAGAGATGTGCGCAACCACATCCTCTTTGAGATTGCTACCGAAGTCGCCAACCGCGTCGGTGGCATCTACTCCGTCCTCAAATCCAAAGCTCCCGTAACCACGGCCGAATATGGCGACCGATACACGCTCATCGGACCGCTGAACCGGGCTTCCGCCGATGTGGAGGTCGAGGAGTTGACTCCCTCGAACCCCCGCATGGTGGAGACCATGAACTCCATGAAGGAGCGCGGCATCGAGATGGTGTATGGTCGCTGGCTGATCGAGGGAGCTCCCCGAGTCCTTCTCATTGACACCAGCACCGGATACAAGTATTTGGATGAGTGGAAGGGAGACCTGTGGAACACTTCCGGTATCCCGTCTCCTGCGTCCGATGCCGAGACGAACGAAGCGATCGTCTTTGGTTACCTGGTCGCATGGTTCTTGGGAGAGGTATGTCTGCCCGCAGACGACCCGAAGGGTTGAGGTGTGCTTTGGGATTAATATTGATGAGGATCTTTAGTTTATCGCCCATGAACGACGACGCGCCGTCGTCGCCCATTTCCACGAGTGGTTGGCTGGTGTCGCTCTCCCGCTGACCAAGAAGCGCCATATGGACTTGACCACCATCTTCACAACCCATGCGACACTGCTCGGCCGGTACCTGTGCGCGGGCTCGGTCGACTTTTACAACAACCTGCAGCACTTCGACGTCGACGCCGAGGCGGGAAAGCGAGGCATCTACCACCGATACTGCATCGAGAGAGCGGCGGCCCATAGCGCCGACGTCTTCACCACCGTGTCGCACATCACCGCGTTCGAGAGTGAGCATCTGCTCAAGCGGAAGCCGGACGGGGTGCTGCCCAACGGGTTGAATGTTAAGAAGTTCTCCGCGGTGCACGAGTTCCAGAATCTGCACTCCCAATCCAAGGAGAAGATCAATGACTTTGTTCGGGGTCACTTCTATGGCCACAACGACTTTGATCTGGACAATACCCTCTATGTCTTCACGGCCGGTCGGTATGAGTTCCGGAACAAAGGCGTCGACATGTTCATCGAGAGTTTGGCCCGCCTCAACCACCGCTTGAAAGCCAGCGGATCGAAGACCACGGTGGTCGCCTTTGTGATCATGCCCGCGCAGACCTCCTCGCTGACCGTGGAGGCGCTCAAGGGCCAGGCCGTCGTCAAGTCCTTGCGGGACACCATCGAGATGATGGAAAAGGGCATCGGCAAGCGGATGTACGAGCGTTGCTTGGCTTGGAAAGAGGGCGACAACATGCCCGATGAGAAGGATTTGATCACCAGCCAGGACCGTGTGCTGTTGCGCCGCCGCCTGTTCGCCATGAAGCGTCATGGTCTGCCTCCGATCGTGACCCACAACATGCTCAATGATAGTGAAGACCCGATTCTGAACCAAATCCGCCGGGTCCAGCTCTTCAACTACCCGACCGATCGCGTCAAGATCGTGTTCCATCCCGAGTTCCTGAACTCTTCCAACCCCGTCTTGCCCTTGGATTACGATGACTTTGTCCGGGGTACCCATCTCGGCGTTTTCCCCTCCTACTATGAGCCCTGGGGCTACACCCCCGCCGAGTGTACCGTGATGGGCGTCCCCAGCATCACCACCAATCTCTCCGGCTTTGGCTGCTACATGGAAGAGTTGATCGAGAACTCGGCCGACTACGGAATTTACATCGTGGATCGTCGTATGAAGGGCGTCGATGACTCGGTCAACCAACTGACCGACTTCATGTTCAACTTCACCCAGAAGAGCCGCCGGCAGCGGATCAACCAGCGGAATCGCACGGAACGGTTGAGCGATCTCCTGGACTGGAAGAGGATGGGAATGGAGTATGTCAAAGCCAGACAGTTGGCTCTCAGAAGAGGTTCGTTCCGTCTGCTTCTCCGATATAAACAAAAAATAATGTGACCATTGGCTGACTGCATCAAACACTATAGCTTATCCTTCATCCTTTGATGGCACCGAGGACTACTACGATGTCATTGGAGGAACGGAACAGAAGCTCTCGCGGCCCCTGTCCGTGCCTGGGTCTCCCCGCGATCGGTCCGGCGTGATGACTCCCGGTGATTTTGCAACGATCCAGGAAGTCAAGGAAGGGCTGAGCACGGAAGACTACATTGCCTGGCGTCTACCGTAAGTCACTCGAAATGGAGGTTGAAGGGGGGAAGGGGGATCAGAACACTAACTTGGCCTATAGTAACAGCGAGGAGGAAGAGCCCGATGACCATTACTTCCCGTTGACTCTGCGGACTAAGAAGGCTTCGGATCGACCTTCGTCGCCGCTGGATAGCATCTCGATCAACGGTGGCCGTTGATTGGTTGCTCAGCATGGAAATTGGACCTCTCTCTCTCCATCCGTTGCATCAATCGGCTGCACTCTGCAACCGGCTTTTTTTTTTTTTTTTTTTTTTTTTTCTTTTTTTTCCCCCTTTGCCTCCCATGTTTCTCCGTTCTGTCAATACCGCGATATATCTAATTGTTGGAGATAACTGCCGCCGTCTATTAACATGACGAATTGGGATCCTAGCGCCCTAGTTTCCCCCCTCGTTTACCTAATCACTGACTGTTATGTTGTTATGCTTTCAATTCTACATGTCTGTTTACCTTTGCATTTCTTTTCTGTGATCTGGTTATCTACATAGCGTGTTGCTTCACCAACCACCATTCAGGTGAATTCCATCGGACGATGAGGATCTACCTCCAGAATGCATGGTCGATGGCCGACTGACCCTCGTATGTTCCTGTAAGCGTCTCTGGCATCGATGCATATGGTACCACTGGCAAGCTAGCATCTGCTCGGACCATGTCATCATCCTTGTTCATACAGGAAGCTTCCTGAATCTTTCCTCCATCTACAGGACACGTGTGGCCACTGGCCAGGTCCCTTGAGCACTGATCTGAGTCCTCTTTTAGACCCAATCGGCAACTCTCGGATCCTTGAGGGTAGTAGAACGGGACAACGCTCATCATGGTCTGATCCTATTGCCGTCCTGTGTTGGGTGTAGGGCCAATCACTCCCAGCCGTTATGGCCTTCGATCACCCACAGTGGATTGACCCGAAATCTAGTGCGATGGAGCATTGAGTTTATCCCGGTGAGACAGCCCTGAGCTCAGCCCATAAATCATTGAGGAGTATCTACTAGTAGTTAACCCATGCTGTAGTTCTCTTCCTATTATTGACAGGGTACTCGAGTCTTAAGGACTACTACGTAAGGTAGAGGGGTATTAAGGAAATGATGCCTGAGGCATGTCCGGTGGTGGGGTTGACCGGCCGGATCCCCTCCGATTGAAACTATTTATTGCTGCCCCTCCTCCCCCTCTTCCCATCCTTTTCCTATCCATTGCATCTTTCTGCTTCTGCTTCTGCTTCTCAGTCCATTCTATCCCATCTCACTCTTCATCTCGCCTCGTCTCGTCTCAACCGCATCTCTCCTATTTTCCTCTGGTAGGACTCACCTCACAATGAGGCAGCACAGTCAGGATGGCCCTCTGGGCCGATTTCGCTAGGGAAATCATGCAGATCAAGGTATCGTACAACGTATAATAATGGTCACTGCTCGCGCATGACAGGTGTTCGGTCCGGGGGTTTCTAGCTGGATAGCTACCTATAGGGGTTTCCCGTTTGGCGAACTCCAGCTCATCCAGCTAGAGAACCCGGCCCGTTCTGAGATTATACTGTCATAACTTGATCTAGATAATACTAGCGAAAGGACATGCGTCGCACTGATTGTCTCACCCTTAATGGGTTCCCCCCCCACCCCTCTCTGCTTGCTGACGAGTAGCTCCAGACAATTGCAAGAACTGCCGTTACGGAAGCCTGTCTATCAAGATGTCGACTGATAAGATCACCTTCCTGACCAACTGGTACGGCTTCTTGCGGTTGTTGATGAAAGACGGGAACTGTGCTAAATTACTTTGTTTTTTTCTTTCTTTTCTTGTTATAGGCACGCAACCCCCTACCATGCCCCCCTGTACCTTGCCCACAGCAAGGGTTACTTCAAGGATGAGGGCCTGAAGGTCGCTATCCTTGAGCCCAATGACCCCTCCGATGTGACCGAGATCGTCGGTAGCGGCAAGGTTGACATGGGCTTCAAGGCTATGATCCATACCCTAGCTGTATGTTCCTGTGGTTCGGAAATGCTTGTATGACTCGTGTACTGACTGGCTCCCAGGCCAAAGCCCGCAACTTCCCCGTCACCTCGATCGGCTCGCTTCTTGACGAGCCCTTCACCGGTGTCATCTACCTCAAGGACAGCGGGATCACCGAGGACTTCCGCTCTCTCAAGGGCAAGAAGATCGGATATGTTGGAGAGTTCGGCAAGGTTGGTTCCAACCACTCTGGGGTCCAATTGACATGTGCCGACTGACACACGGAGTAGATCCAAATCGACGAGCTTACCAAGCACTACGGCATGACCGCCGACGACTACACCGCCGTCCGCTGCGGCATGAACGTGACCAAGGCCATCATCCGCGGCGACATTGACGCGGGCATCGGCCTCGAGAACGTGCAGATGGTCGAGCTGGCCGAGTGGCTGGCGTCGCAGAACCGTCCCCGCGATGACGTCAAGATGCTGCGCATCGACCAGCTCGCAGAGCTGGGCTGCTGCTGCTTCTGCTCGATCCTCTACATCGCCAACGACGCCTTCCTGGCCGCCAACCCAGAGAAGGTGCACAAGTTCATGCGCGCCGTCAAGCGCGCCACCGACTTCGTGCTCGCCGAGCCCGCCAAGGCCTACGAGGAATACATCGACGTCAAGCCCATCATGAACACCCCCGTCAACCGCAAGATCTTCGAGCGCTCCTTCGCCTACTTCAGCCGCGACCTCAAGAACGTCCAGCGCGACTGGACAAAGGTCACCAACTACGGCAAGCGCCTCGAGATCCTCGACGCCGACTTCCAGCCCAACTACACCAACGAGTTCCTCTCCTGGACCCTGGAAGCAGACTCCACCGACCCGCTCGGCGACCAGAAGCGCATGGCCCAGCTGCAGCAGGAGGTCGCGCTCAATGGTGGCTTCAAGCGCCTGCAAGTCTCCGCTACGGCTTAGACCTAGGCTTAGACCTATGCCTAGGGGGTTCAGGGTTCTCACCGAGCCCTGCGCCGCACTTGCTGCCTGATGCCGGCCGCGGCCGCCACAGAGCATCCTCGTGTGTTGACGTGGACGATGGACCAGCAATCCTTTCATGGTCCGTAGCTTTAGTCGCTCATTAGTCTAGTCACATGACATGCTATGAAATGATGAATTGTTACCCCCACCACCCACCACTCTAGCTGTAGCTGTAGTTGTACTGGGAGTTGGATGAAACAGAATCTCCCCCTCTCCTCAACCTTTAGTATTATTCTGGCAAAGTTATACTCTACCCCCCTCCTCTCCTACGTCCTTACGGGAGTACAGTCCTTCCAGGTAAACCGATGAACCCCGTCCCCAAGCAAGCATGAAAGCCCAACCACTCACCCATCCCTCGCTAAGAACCGTATCCCGGGTCTTAATACGACGTGCTATACTCCCTACATACAGCGGGGGTTGTGCAGGACGCACAGTTGGCTTTTTTTTCTTTTTTTTTTCTTTCGGAATTGGCACCCCTCCTTCAATTACAGGTTTTTATCGCTTCAGACTTTGAATATGTATTAAGTATTGGATCCGATGAATCATCTAGCAGGATGAGCTCGTAGACTGTACATGAACATGCATGTGGGACACCGCGGCATCTAGCCATTGACTGATTCTATGTGCTTGCCCGAGTCGGGGGGGTATGTAACTAAAAGATATTACTGCAAAGGGGGTAGTAGGGGGTAGAAACTCGACAGAGATGGAGGCGTGGCAGCATGGCGGCGGTCAATGGAAAGATGATGCATGGTGGGTGGCAGGAGGAGGGGAAGGAGAAGGAGGAGATGGAGGTGGGGGTAGCACACAGGGGACGGATGGTCCGTATCTATTTGGTGCGCTTGTAGATCTTGGCCAGGAAGGCCTCGAAGACCTCCTTCTTGAGGCCCTGGGACTCGTCGATGGCGGCGATCTTGGCACGGATCTCGCTGACGGCCTTCTCCTCGTACTCCTTGTAGACCTTCTCGAGGTCGAGGGCGTGGTAGATGGTCTTGACCTTGGCCTCGAGGTCGGCGTCCTTGCGGCCGTAGGCGGCGTCGAGGATCTGGCGCTGGTCGGCGCTGCAACGCTGCAGGGCCTGGTTGATCAACCACGAGCACTTGTTGTCCTGGATGTCGGTGCCGATCTTGCCGATGACGGCGGGGTCGCCGTAGGCGTCGAGGTAGTCGTCCTGGACCTGGAAGTACTGGCCGAGGGGGATGAGGATGTCGTGGGTCTGCTTGAGGGTCTCGGGGGTGGCGAGCTCAAGGTACAGCAGGGCCAGCGCGACGGGGAGGTAGAAGCTGTAGTAGGCGGTCTTGTAGGTGACGATGAACATGTACTTCTCCATGGAGAAGTTGTCGAGGTCGACCTTGTCCTCGGGCGCGGTGATGAGGTCGCACAGCTGGCCCAGCTCTGTCTGCCAGGTCGTCTCGTGGAAGAGCTCGATGAAGTCGACGTACGCCGGGTGCGAGCGGAAGTGCTTCTTGAGAATGTGGTAGATGCCGGACTCGAGCATGAACGAGTCGTTGATGGCGATCAGCCCAACGCCTGGGTACCGGTACCAGCAGGGCTGGCCACGGCGTGTGATCGAGCTGTCCATGATATCATCGCTGACCAGGAAGAAGGCCTGGAGCAGCTCGGTCAACCAGCCCAGGGTGCTGAGGTGCTTGAACTGCTCGTCCGTCAGGGGCTTCTGGAGGAGAGCCAGGCCGGTGTCGGGGACCGAGAGACCGCGATTGAGCTTGCCACCGGGGACATTGGCGTTGAGGGACTATTGGCAGGAACAGAAACCAGTTAGTAGGATGTCCTGGAAGGAATTGGTTTACAATGGGGTAAAAAAGGTCACCTTCTCGAACCACTTCATCGCATTCTCGGGGAGGTTATATTTCCGAGCATGCTCTAGGAGATCTTCAGCCAACGAGGGGAAAACCGCCTCAAAGGCAGCACGGCTGGTGGTAGTGGCCATCCTGGTCTTGGAATTATATGAGGATAGGGGGAGAACAATGGGATTGTTTATTGTTTGCGAGCCCCGAGTTGGAGAAATGAAGTTTGACCACGCAAGGAGGGATTAATTGGATGGAGGAGACGGAGCCCCTCGATGGTCCCGCGATGACAGCGAAATAATCGGGGAGTGTGTTTGCGTTGTTTGTTTATCCTCGCCCAATCGGGAAATTCATCAATCCATCATTGCTCCGTCCATTCCATTGTCGTCGTCTCCCGTCTTCTCCATCCTTTTTTGAGCTGTTGCGGAATTTGTTTCTGCGTCATTGAGCTATATATCGCTCACTTGGGCTATATCGGTCAAGCACGTAATCTGGAACTACGTCGTACAGGCACCGGCCGTTCCCGATCAGCCAGAACAACCGCGACAAAAGCGTCTCATAGCTTATGCGCAATTGACCAACGCGCGATACAGACCGAACAGCGATACTTGCAAGACGCAGCAATCGAACGATACGCTTGCGCGGTTCAACTATCGCTTTTGGTGTATCTTCAAGGACTGCCCACCACCCAATACGCACACGCCCCGCCAACAACTCGGTTCCGCTAAGAGGCTCGGGCACTGGTTGTTCGACATACGTCCAAGATGGCGTCGAATATAACGGAAGACAGCATCAAAGACTTACAATACCGGCTCGAGGATGCGACCATCAAATGTTCGGAACGATGTCTGTATCAGTCCGCCAAATGGTGAGCGTGCATGGAGATCTTTCGCTTCTCTCACAACTGACGAGAGACAGGGCAGCGGAAATGCTCGATTCCCTCTTACCGATTGACAACTATGATACAGACCCCGACTCACAAATGGATATCGCAGAAGCCCCGCCTCCTCAGAACCCTTACCTTCGCAGCCAGGATCCTCTTGAAGCGAGCCTAGAAATCCAAGAGGCTCATAAATATCTGTTGGCAAAGTCATACTTCGACACTCGCGAGTACGATCGCTGCGCTGCTGTCTTTCTTCCTCCTACGATACCACCGGTTCCGCTCTCTACCACATCGATCCCCGTCACGTCGCCGAAGCTGAAATCAAGACAATCGTTGACACCGCAGAAGGGCAAGGCTAAAGCAACTCCCTTCGGAGGCGCAAAGGAAGGCGCTGCGGCACGGAACCCATACCCCAAGTTAAGCCAAAAGTCATTGTTCCTTGCGTTGTACGCGAAGTATCTGGCCGGAGAAAAGCGAAAGGATGAAGAAACAGAAATGGTGCTGGGTCCGGCAGATGGAGGAATGACGTCTAATCGGGAACTTTCTAGCTTGGCCTGGGGCCTCGAAGGATGGTTCGCGGAACGGCGAGCAAAGGGTCTGGAAGATCGCAATCAAGGATGGTTGGAGTACCTCTACGGCGTGATTCTTTTGAAAGGACGTAACGAAGAGGAGGCGAAGAAATGGCTCATACGGAGCGTTCACTTAAACCCCTTCCATTGGGGTGCTTGGCAAGAGCTGAACGACCTGCTTGCAAGCACAGAAGACGTATGCCCTGCCTCAAAACCGTTTGATTCTAGCTTGCTGACCGTCTGAGCAGCTGAAACAAGTGGTTGAATTACTTCCGCAGAATATCATGACTCTCATATTCCATGTCTATTGCAGCCAAGAGCTATACCAGGCCACCGAAGACACCTACCAAGCTCTATCGGAACTTGAGACTATCTTCCCTACGAGCGCGTTCCTGAAGACTCAGAAAGCGCTCCTCTACTATCATTCAAAGGGTCTGTAGCGTTCTTCCTGACCTGCTGGTATGCTATTAACACATCCGCAGATTTCGAAGAAGCATCGCATATATTCACAGACATACTGATAACATCACCCCATCGTCTCGACAGTCTCGACCATTACTCTAATATTCTCTACGTCATGGGGGCACGTCCTCAGCTTGCCTTCGTTGCTCAAGTCGCAACGGCCACGGACAAATTCCGTCCGGAAACATGTTGCGTAGTTGGAAACTATTACTCTCTAAAATCTGAACACGAGAAAGCGGTCATGTATTTCCGGCGAGCGCTCACACTGGATCGAAACTTTCTCTCAGCCTGGACTCTTATGGGCCACGAATACATTGAGATGAAGAACACTCACGCGGCCATTGAGTCCTACCGGCGAGCCGTTGACGTGAACCGAAAAGACTACCGCGCCTGGTATGGTCTAGGCCAAGCTTACGAAGTGCTCGATATGTCCTTCTACGCCTTATTCTACTACCAGCGCGCAGCCGCGTTACGACCATACGACCCCAAAATGTGGCAGGCGGTCGGGTCCTGCTATGCTAAGATGGGCCGGGTCGAGCAAAGCATCAAAGCGCTCAAGCGTGCCCTCGTTGCTGGGTCATATTACGCGGAAGACGCCTCTCAGAACGGTGCAGCAGGCGGCCCCGGACGCAAGATCCTCGATCCCGAGACCCTGCACCAAATCGCCACCCTCTACGAGCGGCTCGGGGACGAGGAAGAAGCAGCCGCGTACATGGAACTCACTTTGCAGCAAGAGTCCGGTCAGGGGCCCGAGGACGAATCTGTCACATCGGACAATGAGAACGACGAGGATCAATCCACCAGTGGGACGCCGCATGAGTCGCGCCGTGCGCCGTCCTCTTTTGGTAACCAGAACGACAGGGATGATGGCACATACCATGGCACTGGCGTGACCGCCACGACGTCCAAAGCGCGTCTGTGGCTGGCGCGGTGGGCGTTGCGCCACGGGGACTTGGAGCGAGCGGATCAATTGGCGGGTGAGCTATGTCAGGATGGAGTCGAAGTTGAAGAAGCCAAGGCATTGATGAGAGATGTCCGGGCCAGGCGAGAAGGTGGTGAATAACAATTCCACTATACATCCGATGGTCACATTGCACATTTCTTACTCTTCTTGCGGGTTAGCGAGGGCGTCTATGGTCAGATGGGACAGGTAGACAGGCACATAATATGAAATTAATACTCGTCACTACAATATCCCCAGCTTGCTATCCGTTCAAAATCCGCAATGATCCTACTGGATCCCACTCTCATCCCATGAGATATGTATGCTTTCCACACACCGGCACCAAGAACCCACTAATTAGACAGCCAGTATTCTGCCCCAAGCACGGTATCAGTCCCTCAACTCCGCTCAAGACCAAGCTCGGAACTTACGTTTGCACCCGTCAGAGCAGAACCGATGCCAGATATGCTTGAACGAGCCGCACACAGGACAGGTATCTACGCGGTGCGAAGATGAGGTTAGTCCGACTTCCAATAGCAAGAGCAAGAGGACAAGCACGAGCAAGAGCACGAGCACGAGTAGGGAAGAATAGAGAACAGGCGCAACTGACGCTGCTGGCAATACCAGCTACCAGACCTCGGGTCGAATCTGATTGCATATGCGTAGCCGCAGCTGAAATGAGAGCATTGGGCCATTGTGCTGGGGAGGGCGATTTATGGGCTTCGAGGGCTGGCTGGGGACTGCGTAGTACTATTGTTGAGGATTGAAATAATGAGGATGCTGCGTGGGCTGCGAGAGGAGATGGGGAGACAAGTAGCAGTAAGGTATATATTTATAAAGTGCTTTGGGGGTGGCCGTTTGGTGATTCCGCCGGGCGAAGGAGGCTCTTTGCTCACTACATCCATTTCGATATGCCGTACGAGACTGGTTTACCCATTTGAATGAGCAGGCGTAAACCTGCAGATTCTGAGACACTATCTTGTCAATTCAACATTCGTGAATCAATGCTCATTGCAGTAGTCTGTACAAGGAGCGGAAGAGCTAGCGGAGGGTGGCTGGATCATCAGCCTGGTGAGGTTAAGCACTGCGAGGCAAGACGTGCAGTGTCTGTCTGCCTTATTGACTATAAACTGGGTGATCAATAGAACTTGTGCATGTAATCTACCCATAGGCAGAGGAGGCTGCCTGTATGTCTTGCCACTATCGTGGAAGCTCTCCTCGCCCAGGGCGGAGGAAGCGGACTCGTTGGGGACAAGCAAGGCTGACGGAGGCCAACGCCTCATGCATGGTGTCTTGGCCATTCCAGTAGACTGTGAATATCTCGACTGCATCAGAGAAGACACAGCCTGGACCTTGGCGACATGTAATATGCCTTGTCTCGATAGTCATGCCATTGGCGATTAAACTTCGACATATGTCTCCTGAGGCTGCGAATCGCTCTGAGTTTTCCGTGGCAATCGAGTCCACTAACTTCTCCATCGTTGACAGTTGAGCATATCAATTTGAGGCAACGGGGCCTTATTCCGGAAAGATGAGTCCGAGATAATTTCTACAAATCCAGGATTGACTGAATGATTCAAAGTCGCCCAACAGAAGGATCAAGAATCCAGATCTCAGACAGTATATGGCTATCCAAAAGGAGGGGAACTCAACAATCCAAGTCCCCGAGAATGCCCAGCTCCTGGCCTTCGAAAGTTATTGAAATATGTGGTGTTTTCGTCCTACTTTTTGACCTGAGAAGATCCTGTGCACACACCTGAGGGGCCTCCGCACCTTCTATCGGCGTCCCGAACATTTCGGATATTCCACATAGCGCCATATTAGAGTCTTTCGGTGAGCGCCACGATATACACGCATATAAATACTCTTTCCCGATGCTCTCCCAGGTGTTGCGAAGATTGAAACCGGGGTCATCGATTTGTGCATCGAGAGTAAGAAACCTGTCTTCTAGGATGAATATCTTGCCATTGCGCGGGTAATCGCCTGAGTTGGAGTCAAGTCTCTGAGCGATCTCTTGACTGAGTTCGAAAAGTAGGGGACCTAGGGTCCCTTGCGAGACAGTTGCAATCATCAAACCAATTCCGAGATGACCAGATGGCATATCTGGGCTGGTGTTTTTGACACGGAAGCTTGATTGATTTGACCAGAGTCTCTGCAGGAATAGTTCAAGACTGGGAAGAAGGCAGCATGTGCTATCAACGAACATAATACGGTTTTGGTTGTTGGTGTCATTTTGCATGACATGATTCTGATGAATGCATAATGCAATTGCGGTTAACGGCGACTTGGAACGCTTGTGTTTGTTGTATGATTTGGGAGCATCTACCACCACTCTGGCAGCATGGTCTTCTGTAAGCTTTCGGCGCTTCCATGCTGTCGAGGACTGCCGGGGATTCGGGGAAGGTGGACAACTGGATCTCGAATTATTCTCTATCTCCTCACAGTGCCCAACAGGATTGCGCCGATTCTCGAGTCCCGTAGAGGCCACTGGAACATGTCTCTTATTCCTTCTTTGTGGTGTCGACAGGTTCTTAATACTCGACAGGCGCCGTGGACTAGGTTTAGAAGGTTTAAGTGATGATGTAGACGTGGTCGAATCGTCAACGTAGATAGGAATATGGTCTGTTTGAGAATGCGTCTCTACGTTGTTGCGCTGGTCCTGATGAACCAAGCCCCAAGAGGAATTGTGTCCACTTGAGTCACGATTGCTGTCAGTCGTAGCAGTGGTTCCTGCAGACGATGTCTTAGCTGGACTGGGTATCGAACTCGGACAAGAGGTTGTTGTGGACAGTGGAGATTGAGATCTCTCAACTAAATATCGCGAAGATGCGTTCGCTAGCCTGATTTTTTCCGCCCACTTTATTTCTTCCTGCAGATCTTCAGCGGGTACAGACCGAGCTTCTTCAGCTAAAAGCTGAAGTTCTTGACATGAGGCTGCATCCTCAAGAGACCTGTCCGAGTGAATCTTTTGAATCCGAGGGAACCGTAATGCGTAATATCTGGCACCCGATGGCTTCTCAAACCCACTGCCGAGCATCTCGACAACAAAAGGAGTCTTAAAGACAACAGCCATGTTCGCAAGGCTTGCTGTTCCATACTCTAGCAGGTAGCCATGGCCGGAATCCACGCCGCAAGCACTGAATTGTCCAAGCAGATTAAGATATAGCATATCTTTCGGGCTCATACTGTGACGATTGATCATATCCACGACTCGGAAACGGGGAGTTGCCTGGTTTTGCAGGACAGCTTCTTTGTTAAGCAGGCAGCCAATGTAAAAATGTGTCCACAAGATCTTCGTAGCTTGGCCCAACGCAACGGCATCGCGAGAATCGTACCTTGCTCCAACTAACGTCAAATCCACTGTGTCACCCAGACCTGGAATGTAGTCCTTTTTAAGTTTTATCCAGCGACCAGCAGAGCTGTGCTCCTGACCGGGAGAAATAGAGAGATAAGGATCTTCGCACCCTTTCAGGACGAAACCTTCCCAACGTTCCACGATACCTTTTCTGAATATACTTTCGAGGCGGGACTGACCATCGTGACGGGAGAAATCTACTATCTGCTGCTCTGCAATGTCCGCATGGCCATCAATTGCTTGCATAACATGTTTGAGCAGCAGCCGCCTATCACGGTGTGGCTTCCTCAAACAAACATCGTCATCCAGGAGCAAAATATCAAAGAACACAATCATCAAATGTTCATACGGTTGTGGCCTAGCGCAAGTTAGGGATGAAATAATACAGTCTGAGGTTGTTGCGCGTCTACTTACGGAGAATCACTCTCAATCCCAAGAAGAGTCCCCGAGCGAGCAATGAATCTCCTCAGCTTGTGGAAATCCGCAATCTTGCCATTTTTGTCACTCCAGACGAGCAATTCACCTTCCAAGATGCATTGACGGGAGAACTTGCATTCTGGCCGTCCTATGTTCAAGGCGTCTCTGATCACGTTCTGAATCCCGGATCTGTCATCAGTAGAATCCTTACCACTTTTCGAAAAGATCTGGATAGGATTAAGCCTCTGAGAGAGGTCAATGTGTATTTGGCAATACTCCCCGTCATACTTTCTTTCTATGCTCATCCGGCGACGGCCAATCATCCGACAGCAATGCTTTATGCTTCGTGCCTTGTAGTATTCAGGCCGCCCTATTTTTATCCCAATTCTAGGAACCAGATGCTGCGAGGCTTGGACTCTCAGATCTTTGGCGAACTTCGGATCTGGGTTCGGAGGATAGTGGCTAAGAGGCTCGGAAGCAAGCATCTTGAGCGAAGATTCGAATGAATCCTGGAAAAGCAGCAAGTGGGGAAGAAGAAAATGGAAACTCTTCATGGTAGAGTGTACCGGCAAGGCCACCGGATGGTAACTCTTCAGTATCATCCGAGTGAGCCATTTGGCGTCTCTACTGCTCAATCGTCTGTATAACGGACTCAGCGTCTCCTCAACATCGACGGCTGTGTGCTGTCTCCGTACACGCGCGCCGGAGAACCTGCATCGAGAAGCGATTTTGTTCAATGCGTCGTCTATCTCTTCGATAGTGACATCTTGACCTTTCTTGCTGTCACCTTCAGCTTGTCGCATAACATCCTCTACACACTGCCCCAAATCTATTCCGCCCGCAACGCGCCATCGTTCAAGCTCCTCGCGTCGAGAGGAGCCGAGAAGAAGACAGCGACCTATAACCCTGACAAGAGTAGCTCCTTGTAGCCAATAAACTCTGTCCGTGCGTTTCTCGGGAAACAGGCACGAAAGAAGGGCTATTCGATCCGTGTCGGCGGCATGGATTCGTTTGGCATGTTGAGCAAACCACCTGCTCACAACTCGACCATCTGGATTCGAATTTCTCGAGGCCGTAGTCGCTTTTACGACTTTGTTGTTCTCTAGATCTGAGAGTAGATCGCAGAGGTACTGAAATTTGAAACCCATGAATAGGCGATTGTGATACGCCTATAGTAGGTGGGTATGTGGGGGGGGAATAGATACCATCAGAGCAAGACTAGCTGCTCCAAGGATACCGTTCAATCACACATCGATCGAGCTCACAACAATAGTTCTTGCCAGAAGTTTCGACGGCAGGGAAGAAGTCTGAGACGCAATCATATCGAGGATGTGTGACGCGAGGAGAAGTCCAGTTGCGCGTCCATGGATCGCGAGGGCACGTGATCATATAATGTTCGGATGAGTGCAATGAAAAGATATGAATCACCCTTACGTCTGTCTTGGGAGAAAAATCCATGTCTGGAAGAGGCATGGTACTCCAAGAGTACGAAGAATAGCTCTTGTGCATTAGTATCACTCTGCAGACACACAATCTACTGGCAATGGTACGTCCCATATGGAAGGCAATAGATAGCATGCAAGCAATGGTTGCATCGTTTTAGGAATGAGGTCTCAATAAAATACACAGGACCAATGGCCATGGTCATGATAAAATGTGGCTATTCCCAACCAAATCCGTCCCAACTAGCAAAATCGATCCCATGCGGGTGAAGAAAACCGTTGAACTCCGGGCTTTTACTCTAAATGTACTACAATAAGGCAGGAAAGGGCATGGCGAGTAACAGAGATATTATACGTTGTGATCATAGGATACCCTGTTTTTGAAGACTGGAAATTGTTAGCGTCATCTTGTACCTCACGGGATGGAGCAACATACTCGAGGTAGATCCTTTCTGGCATCACATTACCCTCTGCATCCTCCATCTGTACGACATTCTCGCGGGAGTCTCGTTCCTTCTTGCGGTCTTGTTCAAGCTTCTCCCAGAGTCTGACGGCATCTTCAATCCGAGTAATTTCTCGAAAGAGATTCGTGTTCGATGTAATTCCCAGGCATTTTAGGCCAAAGATGTGCAACGCCTCGGAGAAATGCTTATCGAAAGCTCGGCGGCCCATGTAGACAAAGTTTCCACAAATCTCACAGGAGTATTCCACGCCCAAGCCATGCAGCTTGTAAAGCCAGTAGGGGATAGGCTTGCCATCCCAAGCAAGTGGTAATTTAAGCGGGTTGTAAATCCTCTCCTCATCCTCATCATCGGATTGATCGTTGCGCCCAGGACCGCCAGCGTTCTCAGACTCGGCTAGCAGAGCCTCGAGCTCCATTTGGCGCTCGCGCTCGGTCATACCTTGCCTTCGCTCAACGTTGATACGTGTCGCCTGCCGTTCGGAGTCGAGGAATTTGGCTAAGGAGCGAGTGCGGTGCTCTCGCTCAGCAACCGCGCGCTCCTTTAAGTGATGGGCCACAGATCTAACGCCACCGGATGAAGGGGGCGCGGCTGCACCTGACTCTCCTGCAGCCTTGCGAGCTTCCGCAGCGCGGATGTGCTTCTTGCCAGTCAAGTGATTCTTGTAGACGTTCTCATTCTTAAACTCTCTTTCACAGTCCGCACACCAGATACCCTCGCCTGACCCCTGTGTCTTTGGCCCCTGAGTGTCGTTTTCGGTGCTCTCATCCGTCCAGCCAGGAACTTTGTTTTCTGCCCATTGCTTCTCGAAATCGTCGTCAAAACTAGCAAAGAGTTTATCCAGATCCTGCAAAGGCCTGGTGCGCTTGACGAAACTTTCCAAGTAATTGGCGAGCTCCCCGACATACTGGAAGTATTTATCCGATATCTTATTTGCTCGTTTGATGAGGAGATGTGGGGGCACGAAGGAGTCGAATACGTCGAGGTATTGGACGTATGTGAGTCGCTTGACCCCAGGGAGATTCAAATAGTCCTCATGCAATGTCGTGAGATCCAGAAACTGCCCATAGCCCTCCTCACCAGTGAACATTGTGTCGATTTCCATTCCCGTCGGCTCTCCTTCTCCAGGTTGGCGGCGCTTGTACGCTCGTTCCAGGTTCTCAACCGGCTCGTTGGGATAGCGCTTGTGAAAGTCTTTAACCTCATTCAACTGTCGATAGAACTCTTCGAATTGATCGCCAGTCGAGATTGTCTGGATTTCCTTCTCGCGAGACTTGTCCGCATCCTGATAGATCTCGAGCAGTTTCTTCGACTGCTCTTCTATGCGTGCCAAGAAATGGGCAATCTCATGATCGCAAGCTAGACGTTCGCGAATCTGGATACAATCAGTAATTAGCTACCAGCAATTCCAAACAGGTGAGGCCGGTGGAGATCTCACATTACGAGGTTCTTCAGCAACGCGATCCGCAATTGCTTGCTCTAGCCTCTCAAGATCCTCATGAATAAACCTTTGCTCTTCAAGAACCATGATTGATACACACGCGGCGCGGTAAAATTCCTTCAGCGAACCGTGTTATCGTCCGGTGTCCTTGATGGTCTCTAGTAGGTTAATGTTGCCCATTTGAGCTTTGCGGCGAAACGTCTCACGTGATTTGCGTGTGGCACTTGCGCCCGCAACCAAAAGTTGCGCCGCGAAACAGCGACAACCTCGCAACAATCCCAGGCCAGCCATTATCAAATTTTGCCATTTTCATTCATTTCTCTTTGTGATTATCCCGGCACAGTAATCATGGCGGACGGCATTGATCGACGAAATGACGGTAAGCTGAAATCTGCCGTTCAACCCGATATTTACTGACGGCGCAAATTCAGACAGGCTGGAGTTCAGCACCTCGAAGGAGGTGACAGTCGCCCCGACCTTCGAGGATATGCACCTGAAGGAAAGTTTGCTTCGCGGTATTTATGCATACGGTTACGAGTCGCCATCCGCTGTCCAGTCTCGCGCCATTGTCCAGATCTGCAAAGGCCGCGACACGATCGCTCAGGCGCAGTCCGGTACTGGTAAAACCGCTACATTCTCGATCAGTATCCTCCAAGTCATTGATACGGCTGTACGCGAAACTCAGGGTATGCTTCTTCTCATACGGGTCCTTCATCTGGGGAGCTAAGACTAATCTGCCTGCAGCTCTTGTCCTTTCCCCCACTCGTGAACTTGCGACTCAGATTCAGTCCGTTATCATGGCCCTGGGTGACTACATGAACGTCCAATGCCACGCTTGTATTGGAGGCACAAACATTGGAGAAGATATTCGCAAGCTGGATTACGGTCAACACGTTGTTTCGGGCACTCCAGGCAGAGTCGCAGATATGATCCGCAGACGCCACCTCCGTACTCGTCACATCAAGATGCTGGTCCTCGACGAGGCTGACGAACTGTTGAACCGTGGTTTCCGCGAACAAATCTACGATGTCTACCGCTACCTTCCTCCCGCTACCCAAGTTGTTGTCGTTTCCGCTACCCTCCCCTACGATGTCCTGGACATGACAACCAAATTCATGACTGACCCTGTGCGCGTCCTGGTCAAGCGTGACGAATTGACCCTGGAAGGCATCAAGCAGTACTTCATCGCGGTAGAGAAAGAAGAGTGGAAATTTGATACTCTTTGCGACCTTTACGATACCCTGACCATCACCCAGGCCGTGATCTTCTGCAACACCCGCCGGAAGGTAGACTGGCTCACCGATAAGATGCGTGAGGCCAACTTCACCGTATCCAGCATGCACGGCGAGATGCCCCAGAAGGAACGTGACAGTATTATGCAAGATTTCCGCCAGGGTAACTCCCGTGTTCTCATCTCCACCGATGTTTGGGCCCGTGGTATCGACGTTCAGCAAGTCTCGCTGGTCATCAACTACGATCTCCCCACCAACCGTGAAAACTACATCCACCGTATCGGCCGAAGCGGTCGTTTCGGACGCAAGGGTGTCGCCATCAACTTCGTCACCAGCGATGACGTGCGGATCCTGCGTGACATTGAATTGTACTACTCCACACAGATCGATGAGATGCCCATGAACGGTAAGATTGCCGCATTACCACCACTCCCTGAATGCTTACTGACAACCACACAGTTGCCGATCTCCTTTCGTAATCAAACATCGCGGTTTGATCTCTCTATTTCTCGTTCATACCTCAGCTCCGAGATCCTCCACATGGCATTCTCGCAGCGGGGTCCGTTACATGCCTACACAAAACCACAACGACCAAACACTCGTGAAGGACATCCAGAAGGTAAAAAGAAAAAGGCAGGACCTAGCGTGGGGGGAAGGGAATATCACCAGAATGGTGAGTTCTACCTTTGCCATAACCCTCCCACAGCTACCTTTACCCAGGCCCATCAAACTAACTCGAACCCGCACGATCCATGCAGTGTTTTTTGAGGATCATGCGATCTCGTAGGGACTTGTGAACCATTTAAACTTTTCAGAAACGATTTCACAACGTGCTTTCTCTCGCGTCCATTTCGGAGTTCAGTATACTTGGTTCGGGGACCTTGCTTCCATAGCTCAGCTCACTACTTGGGGAAATTCAACGCCAAAATCAAAATGTTATACCTTTCCGTATTACTCTTCAATCTTTTGATGCGTCTATCCGTACCTTCACTTCACTCCCGTAGTATTCAGACGATTCAAATATCAATCTGATCATGCATTGACATGTTCCAGGTAATTTCATCATCAACCTTAGTACTAGCTTCGATGGTGTACAACACCCTTAAAAACAAGGAAAAAGAAAAAACCAACAAAAATAACACAAAAGAAGTCAAATACAAGAGGATCAATTCTCATTCCCTTAGACAAACTATAGAGAGATAAAATAAAGAAACAGGGCAAGAGATTCACTAGTTTCCTCGCTTGATCCGTTCCTAGAGTTCGCTGCGATCCACCCCAAAGTCCTTCCGCGCCCAGGAGATGAAATTCGAAAACAACAGAAAGCAGTCGGTGTATGTAAGTGGCGATGAATGTATCCATGTGCAACGTGCCGCGGAAAGAGATCAGATGCAGCGAATGTGAAGAGAGAAGGGAGAGGAAAACGGGGGAATGGAATTCTGCGATATCAGACCCGGGCGCCTGCTTCCTATATCAATGAAAGCGACTGCCAAAAAAAAAAAAAAAAAAAAAAAAGGTGTATATGCTGTGAGAGAGGAACAGACGGAAATCTAAAACGTAAAGAAGCTATGAGGTTTGCTATCTTTGAAACCAAAAGCCAAGCCTATGTTTCCCGTAAGATATCGAATCGCAATGGCTAGAGACAAAATTGGTGAGCCGAACGGCATCAAGAAGCGCGTGCTCAGAAGCCGGATGTTGATCGTAACGCACTTGTGCGCGCGGAGCCATTCGTCGACGGTGCCTTGTGTTTACTCGTTGTAGTAAATTGTTGCAGGTCCCGTTCTCGGGTCCAGCTAGAGTTCGGTCAGTTGAAAGCTAGGAGAGCATGATAGGGAGATGAGTGCTCACATCCTAACCAAGCAGTCGTCGCCTGCGGAAGCAAACATGCCCGGATTTGTGGGATTCCAAGATATCGCATTCACACACCCGGAAGTGTGTCCCTCTAATGTTTCTACAAGGGCTCCGTTCTCTTTGTGCCATATGTAGATTCGAGAATCTGCAGAATATTAGGTTAAGAACGTGAAGTGCAATAGACCTAGAGAGGATCGAAACTCTACCTTCACTCCCACTGACTACGAAATTCTCAGCAGCTCCACCAAAAGTACTTCGGATCACGAACTCGCCCTGTTTCTGTCCTCGAAAACGCCTCACAACCTCGGTGGTATCAAGATCAATCAGCTGTATCTGGCCCTCGGACAGATTTACGAGCATATATCGCGAATCTTTGCTGACAGCAACAGAGGTGGGTTTGCTCTTCAATGCAAGGCAATACTCCTCTTCGTGAGTGGCGAAGTCGTAAACATGGATCTTCTCCTCGACGTCCGCAGCAATCAACCGTCGTCCATCAGGGGTGACAGCACAGTCATGGACCCGGAAGCCGCCTTGCCACGTATAGAGGGCATCACCTCGCATACTCCAGTGGCACAGATGCGAACCCAGGTCAAGAGACGCTGTTACGAAAGACTCTCCATCTGCAGCCCAGACGGCAGCTGTCACCGGTTGCCGGTGGTGGTTGATCGTTAAAAGGCAGCGACCGGTCTGTATGACGGCATCAGTTAGGTAGTAGTGCAAAGTTAGATATCGCAATTGAAATCATACCTCAACACTCCAAACGCGAGCTTTCTTATCCTGAGAGCAGGTAATGAGCTTAGTGTCATCTGGACTCCAGCTGACATGCGCAACACCATCCTCATGCTTTTCCAATTGCCGATATACGGCAAAGGTGTTGGTGTCATAGATATACACATGCCGATCCCGGCCTGCCGTGACCAACTTCGTCCCATCGTGCGAGAATTGACAGTACCAGACCTCATCGGTATGCTGGTTCAACTCGATCCCAGTTCGAAGTGGAAAATCGCTCCTGTCGCACATGTGATCCGAGTATAACGAGGGAGGATTGGCACTATTGTGATACAAGCACTGGTTAATTTGATTTTGCTTCACGTTGTTTAGCAAAACCGCAAGACGGTTACTTGGGATCATCACTGATGGGGATATAGATTCTACAACAGATATCAGTGTCATGGTTCGCATGGCTCAATGCAGGTGTGGAATGAAGCTCACTTGAAAGCTCTGTTAATAACCGCTCCCGTGAAGAACTAATAGAGCCGTCCCAGCCAGCTTGGTTATGAAGATGCTCAGGAGGACACATCAACAGACTGCGATGCAAAGTCAGCATCACAATACCACATGTGGAAGTTTTACTTTATAGCGATTTATCCTGGTAGAACTCACCTCGACAGAGCATGAAGCCGTCCCACGTCATAGTTAAGAGGAGTCAACTCGTGCCGGAGCACAAATAGAGCTGCACCAAGATCACGAGATTCTAGCAGCTCGAGGAACTTTTGTTGCCGTAGATAGAAGAGCATCTCATTCTTTTCGGCATTCTCCACCAATGCCAGTTTCTCTGTAATGGGGGGTTTCCCACCTCCAAAGCCCGCATTTCGCCCTTCAGTGTCTGGAGTAAATGACTGAATCAGGATATTCTCCGCCTCCGCCCAACGTCCATCGAGTATTGCCCTTCTGAATATCCCCACTGCCGGACTTTCCAACTGATAACCGCTTTCCTTGGACAGTAGTGACGCTGCCCCATCATAACCAAGCTCATACAGACTCTGGATCAGGATCCTCGTTACCTCTTCGCGATCGTGACCAAAGTATGAGGAAGAGGCTTTCGATAAGATCGAGGAGCCGTTCGTCTGGGAATCACCGTTCGAAGAAAGGTGACTTGATTGGCCATTGGATGAATGAGCGAATGCCGCCTTCCGCGACGGTGATGCGGCCAGCCCGTTTGACGCTTGAGAGAAGCCGTTTGCACTCGAGATACCATCGGGCCGCATGTTTGCCAGGCGCCTGCGCTTGGGAGACGGTGGTTTGCCTTCCGACAAGGTGTGTGGTGGAAAAGAGCTTTGTTCCTGCTGCCCGGCCTCGCTAGCCGTATTATCTCCCGAACGACCTTCACTGTCCTCTGTAGAAGCGGATGTATCGGTTGTGCTGCGACGACGGCGTCGGGGACCACTTGTTGCAGACACGTTCTCGATAAACCCTGTTGGACTGGGGTTACCCGTATCTGTCTCTAAACGTGATGACGATGGGATGCCGCCCGTAGAGCTCCTCGGTGGGGGAGCGGAAGTGAACGAAGAAGCGGACTGGAGTGGGAAAGGAAGATCAGGGCGGTCGGGAGCGGCGGAGGAGGGCGTGTAGGAAGAAGAGTTGTCTGCCAGGTCGAAGATCCTCAGATCTGCCCTTCCTCCTGGCTCTGCAGAAGAACCAGGTGAGCAGACCTAAATCAGTGGCGGGTCACCGATACTCGCCGAGTAAGGTAGTGCACGTGGAATGGGCGCTCGACAAGGATGTCAGTCCAAGGAGATTCCGGTATTTCTCGAAACCGAGTGAACCGAAGATGTCTTCTGGATGCAGAAAGAAAGGTGCGTTGTATGCCGATCTGAATGAGGAATCGACGTATATCAGTTGCGGACTCGACTGGGGCGGAGAGGTCTTATCGGGCAATGGATGTGAGGGGAGAGAGCGGTGACGAAGGAGCTTGACGGTCAGATGACTAAGCGCGAAGCCTGGATATGGAGGGTAAGGGTAGGATAAGTGTTTTATGATTGGTATTGTAGTATTATTATTTACCCTGGAACCGGCGAGATGAAGCAAGGAAAATATGCTGCAAAGATAGTCGAAGTTTGGAGCAAGAATGCTCAATAGAGAGAAGGGGTTGAGGTTGAAATGATTGACGACTGCTCTTATTCGTCCCAAGTCGAACGGAGTAGGTACATTTACGAAGGTAGTAGGTAGGTAGGGAATACTAGCTGTGACACCTCTTCAGGCCGTTAGCCACTGAACTGATGAACTAGCTGTATAACGGAGTGCTATCCAAGAAATGAGCGTCTATGTCTATATATCTACATCAACACCATGGTGAGTGCATCACTACCCCTTCGGTAATGCATCACGGCCTGGTCTGTGGATGTTGTTCTTGTTTCACCAGAGAAGATCAGCTCCCAACATCATCTATCTAGTCTGCCCAACCCTCGGGTTTCCACGAGAAAAGCATCAATTAAGAGCTCGAGTCATCTCAGGTATGTCTACATCGATTCCGGTCCTCAGTAAAAATCGAGGTACTCTATCCAAGGATCAACCAGTACCCGTGTAGATGAAGGGGAGCTCTATCTCCAATCAGAACGCTTAGCAGACTGGTTTGATCAGGAGCATTGGAATCATCTGAACAGAGCCACTCTTGATGAATAACAGCTGACACCCAGAGAGCACATCACGTTGAAGAAAGATAATGGGTCTCGGGTCATCCATAGGCTACAGATACCTTGCGGCAACTGGAGCTCCTCATGAATAACAACGCATCACCTGCGCAATTGCACTGGTTTCCTCAAATGCCTTTGTGCAGGGTCACACTGTACTAGCCTTTCTTTAATTTGCTGTTGAGAAAGTGCCTGTGGATATCTGCCTTTACTTAGTATTAATATCTCTAGTGCTGGCCTATTCATTGTCATGTATTTATTGTATAAGCGCCAGGGCATTATGCTTGAAATTATACTTGGTTAGGTAAGTGTGGTTGAAGTGCACAGAGATACTCACGCTAATAATCATGTGATGGTTTACACACTCACAGCAATTGATATCTCAGTGCTCCAGATCCATATTCCTACTTAGTACTCCGTACTAGGTACTGCACTACTACTCTTACTGCTACTATGGAGTACATACACGCAAGCAGGTCCTTGTCAAGGGTGTCTTGTTGCAGCCGAAGTTTAAGACTAGGAGGTTTGCCATATACGACTTGGGCAGCTGCCTGCTAAAAATACTTGCATTAAGGGATTGCCAAACATTTCATTTTAAAAAGCATCACCCAGACTATTGGCACACAAGCGCACAATCAAATTGGCCAATCTCTTTGGATGTTATCATATCTACAAGGATGTGGGCCTTTCACGCAGCAAAAGATCCAATACCAACCGCAAAAATGCAATCATGACACTTTTCACAAGGCGTGGCACTGTCTAATCACTCATACACATCTTTGTTCTTCATAAGCTTGTCTGCGGTCTCATAGTCGTGCCCGAAAATCAGGCTCGCGGAGAAGAGTCTTTGCAGACGCTTGATGAATTTACCACTTTCAATCCACGCCCGGTGGTCTCTCAGAAGCCAGCCCTGGGCCTGGTTTAGCTCATAGTTCTCGCGAACATGGAACTGGTCCGTTGTCCAGATGAAAGTTCCGTCTTGTTTGAGGTTGACCTGCATAATGCACAGGCCGGGGGTGTGGCCAGGGCAATGGTACAGCGTGATTCCCGTGCAGAGATCTACTTGCGACTCGCTGAACGTTTGCCAGTTCAAGGCATCAAGCGTCAGATAGTCGGCCCTGTTTCCGAGGACGGCTGGTTAGCTGACTGATCGGCGGGGGCTAAGCGTTTTTGCTGCGCGGGAGCACTCACAAGTATACGCCTCCATCGGCATCGGTTGCTGCAACCCAGCAGGCATGCTTGAACTCTTCCTCATGGACGTAGATCGGTACGCCAGTACCGCGGAAATGCTCTAGTCCACCGGCATGGTCCAAGTGCAGGTGGCCCATAATAACGGCCTTCACGTCTTTGATGTCATAGCCAGCCGCCTTGATGGCTGCAGGTAAGTGATGATGTTCTTCATAGCGTGTCCGGGGGAAGAGATCCACGGAAACTGGGCCCCATTGCTGAAGTCGATTTTTTCTCCGATTAGTTTCTGGGGATCTGCATATGGACAACGCCGCTTACCCTGTGTACATCTTCAGCGCTGCCAGTCTCGAACAGGATCAGTCCCATTTCGGGGTGATCGATCAGGCCGGCAATCAACATCAAGTCTCTCCGCTTGTTGACGGGATTGGGGTTGCTTGCTGTGCCGCCATTGCCACCGGTAAGGAGCCTATAGCGTAGGGTTTAGCGAGTTTTTATACCCTGAGCATGAGGAAGTGTGGTGATATTGAACAAATTGAACATACCAGCCCTCATCAACATTCAATGTCCCTAGGTTGAGCAAGTGCATCTTGGTGCCTGGGGGGCAGACATATGCAGGAAGACATGCTGCAGCGAGTTGCTGCATAGGGACTGCCATAATTGGAATCTAGTGCGTGCTATTTTCCTTTGTGTATCTGAGATTTTACTGTCCAGGTTTTAGGTGACTCGATGTCTTTATATAGCGGGTATAGATACTTGATCCCCAAAATTCACGTCATTGTCTTGGGATGTACATTCTGGACAAAATTATTGATTTGTCATGGGATTTATTGATTTGTCGTAGCTGCTGATCACAACATGGCTTTCTTTTGCTGTATGGCGAGAGGTAGGAGTAAGCTGCTGAATCCACCAATGGGTTCTTGAATCACCCAGAAGAGATGTCTGAGAATTAAGCCATGGATATACGACTCTATACTCCGCTTCATTTCAAGCTGCAGCGCAAACCCACCCCAACGTAACAGGATATTGAACTGGCCCAGTTGACTTCACTCAATTGGGTACAGACCTGGTAAGGCCATCAATCAGCCTGTGGCCCTATGGAGATATCAGACTTAGAGAACCAGCTTGAAATTCTGCAGTCCATATTCCTGATTTGACTATAGATACATAAACCAAGCAGACTGCAATGAAGATATACAATATCATCGCAGACCATTCGGAGTATACACATCGGCAGCTACTTGTCCTCATTGTCTCAAAGTGTCCTCTCTTGCCGGAAAGAAGATCACCCAAAATGGACTGGGTTTGATGCGTAAGTACCGCCGCTTTCCCATACCAGCCCATAGACTTACCAAGCTGCGCAGGCCTCACATGGGTCAATAACCCTGTTCCCGATGAACAAGCCTTCAAGGTCCTCAAGGCTGCTCTATCGGCCGGCGCAACCGTGTGGAATGCGGCGGACTTCTACGGGACGCCGGACAACAACTCGCTTCACCTCATGAACCGCTACTTCACCGCGTACCCGGAAGACGCCGACAGGGTTGTTCTCGCCATCAAGAGTGGTTTGGCGAGCAGAAGCCCCTTCACCCTGGACGGATCCGCTTCCGGGATTCGGAAGTTCACGGAGGATGCATTGACCGTGCTGGACGGAAAGAAAACGATTGACATCTTCGGGCTGGCGCGAGTTGACCCCGACGTACCCATCGAGGAGAGCCTGAAGGCGCTCGCGGAGCTGCGCGATGAAGGGAAGATTGATGGCATCCACCTGACGGAGGTGAAGGCGGAGATGATCCGAAGGGCTGCGAGTGTCACGAAGATCGACATGGTGGAAGCAGAAGTTAGTCTCTGGGCGCGGGATGTCTTCCACAACGGCGTTGCCGAGACATGTGCGGAGCTGGGTATTGTGCTTGTTGCGCACAGTCCCCTCGGAGCCGGGATGTTGACTGGGGGGACCATGAGCTTGAATGATCTTGGAGCCGATAATCCGACTTCGCACTTTCCACGGTTCCAGCCCGAGAACTTTTCCCGCAACGTGAAGTTAGTGGAGGCGCTGGAGGACTTTGCTACAGCCAAGGGATGCACTACAGCTCAGCTGGCACTATCATGGGTCAAGGCCCAGAGCAAACGACTAGGAATGCCCTTTGTGGTTCCTATTGCGGGGGCACGGTCAGAAGCACGGGTGTTGGAGAACACGATCGATCCAGGCTTGACGGAAGATGAGTTGAAGAGCATAGATGCCATCCTTGACAGCTTCCCGGTTGCAGGCGAAAGATTCCCTGCCGCTGCTGCGCGATTCAATGAGTACTAGACAGGCTCGAGGCAAGGGTAATATGTGATTAGGGCTTGATATATCTGAAGTGAACAGCACATTAGACCACTATTTCCTTTTGAACTCGGCTCTGTCAGTCTTTACATATGATTCATAGCCATCTTTCCGCAAAAAAGAGAGAGAGAAAAAAATAAGTTCGATTCTACTGTTTGTAGGCTTCTGGGTGCCCGCCTTCGTTTAGACACTTCTAAACCCAGGGCTCCCATTACAGACTGAGCCTCTGTCTGAGACAGTCACCCATACCAGTAGGGATACAAATTTGAGGCAGATAATGCTTTGTCACTGTCGTGTGTTGGCAGAAGGCAAGGGTGGATCTTGGCTCTTTTTCAAAACTAATCATCCCATGAGTCTTGTGGATATGGCAAGATTTAGCAAGAACAAGGATCACAAATTCATCACGGGCTAACTAGATATGCCTCAATGTCTCGGTGACATAATATTAGCGGTTGAACTTCAACGGAGTGAAGAATAGAATTATCAATGTGGTTTGTCTGATATGGTCAACCTCGGAGACGTTCGATTTTTAAGTCCATCTACGTCGGAATTAACAACAGACTAACAGTCACCGATATGGAATCCACTTTGGAGGAAGATACTACTAGCATAATGGGCGGCTGTAATTGGTCAGTTCGCTTAACTCCCGGTAACGTTAAGGTCTTTTTGGGTCTTTTTGACATAGAACCAACTCTAAGACAACGTTGCTAGCTCTATAGGCGGGTTTGAATGCCTTCAATGGCCGAAGTTGCCTACTTCGACTGAAAATGATTTGTAAATCAAGAGATTCGCTATACGAGCATCCGCATGGTGCAAATTCATCTTTCACTTTACCATAACGGTGGCATACTGGTTCGAAAAAATTTAGAGGATGGCTCCCATTCCGCCATCAGATGGTCCGTTTGAGATGGTTGCGATTGTGGCATGTTTTACAGAGTACTGGCCTCTAATCTAATTCAAATTTCAAAATCTGATAGCCCACTATATTCGTGCGACTTGTCTGAGCCTTTGTCCCTTCGAGGCGATATATAGACGCCAGTAATGACTCAACTGATGTAGCCCTGGTTGCTATACAAACCGCCCAGGGTAAATTCCATTATTGAAAAACTGCGAAAATGCTGTCAACACCTCCCTACGTGACATTGGACGACGACTTTTGGCAGCCCTCCTCAAAGTCGCTTAAATTGACTCGGTTACCTGTCTTGACCTCCACGTATGCGAGATCTCATCCCCACGAGACCATAAAGTCTCATTATGAACAGGTCAAAGCTCTTTGCCAGGCGCACGGTGAGAAGACCTCTGGTCAGGCACTTCCTGAGCTTTCCCATTGACACGCCTTCACGCACAGGATTAACCGTTGGCGATGTCGTCTCCTTATCGCTCAAGTTCTGGAAGTTGCATGCCGATCTGATCAGCCCCCGGTTGTGCGCCGCCATGATCCTAATTGGGTCACAGTAAAATCTCGTCGTGGGCACCATTGCGCCGTACACGAGATTCAGCGTTTAATGGACTTCGATGTGTCGTATGTTGGACCCCGCATATACCAAAATGAAGATTGCATTCATAGGAGCTAACTAGTTTTTTGTGCAACCATAGAGGAATCTATATGCCTACAGAACTGGGTCACGGTCTGGATGCGAGGAACCTACAGACAGTAGCTACATTGCTTCCAGACGGAGGATTCGATTTACATACACCTACTCCAGCGGCCGCGAAGTTCGTACACTTCATGGATTTTCTCGCCAGGCTTTTGCTGTTGTTGACTAACAGCTAATTCTGGGAATTCATAGATGCATGCCTGTAGCAACACCAATCAGTGGGCTGCAGAAAATTGCAACTGTCTTTGCTCGACTGCATGTTAATGGCCAAGATCATTGCGCCCGCGGCTTTGTCGTGCAGTTGAATGTTGGATCACAGATGGCGGAAGGCATAACTGCCAAGTGAGTTGTTGCTTTCAAAAATCGTCGGATGAAAGCAACTGCTCCCCTTTACTGATACCTCCCTATTCTTTTAGACTCCTTCCAAACCGAGCCGGGTCAACGTATCTCGACCATGCCATCACAGTATTCAACCATGTTCGCCTGCCAAAGAACGCGCTGCTCGGTGAGATCAGGAAGATACCAGTTTCCGAACAAGACCAGTTTTCGTCTCTGATCTGGCGTGTCCCAGTCGGGACTTTCTCGCTGGCCATGGCCTCAGTCCCCACCCTCAAGATCTGTTCCTCGATCGCCGCGCGATACGCAATGAAACGGAGAGTAGGCCATTCCGTAGCTGAGGAGGGATTGCCAATTACACACTTCCGGACCCAGCAGATCCCAATTTTCCACGCAATAGCCCAAGCGTCTGTTCTCGCCGAATATGCCACTTGTGCGGTCCAGAATTTCACAGATCGTCGTTTGGACCCCCGAGTGCGACATGCACATGCAATGTTCTTCAAGACGATTGCCATGGCCCAGACCCTCGAGTCTACACGAACCCTAAGCCTGGAAATGGGATGGAGAGGCTTTTCCGGGGACAACCAGATTATACGCGCCGAGGTAAGACTGCTCCTGCGCAGAAGCAACTCTAAGACTAATGTCCCCTTTCAGCTGAGTATAGAGGCAATAAGATCGCGGAAGGGGACACGACGGTGCTATGCATCCGTAAGTGGCTGTTCTCCCACAAGCCAAATCGCAACCTTGCTGATGACATGTGATTTAGGCCTGGCTTCGGACATCCTCCTTGGAAAAGTGGCTATCCATCCCTTGTGTCCGTTGGCGAAACACGAAAGTGTGCTTCTCAATGAAGCCCAGGTGCTTCTGAAAGAATGTGGGGGCAACTTCCGAAGCCCTGCTTCGAATCGCCATCTATTGCCTCGTTGCCAGGCGCTGGTTGAGGCAATCGGGTTCCGGATGGCTTATGAGGCTGCTCGGGATGCTCACATCGACCCAGTCATCCTCAAGCTATATGAAATGGGTGCGACCAAGAGCGATCTGGCATGCTACGTGGAACACAAGCTCTTAACACGGCGGGAAGTCTTTGATATCGAGGATAAGTGTATCTCTGCACTTGTCCCGCGCATTAATGAGCTACTGGACAAGATGGACATGGATGCGTACTGTGATGCTCCTATCATCTCTGATGAGAAATGGGATTCATTCCTAAGCACTCTCGACACCTTCTCTGGTGGATCTGTGTTATGTTGATTGAAGATTTGAAGAACTTTCTCGAGTGGATTCTTGGCTGGCATGGTGTTCGTTGAGTATACCTTCGGTTTCAAGGATTCGGGCTGTATCTTGAACCACCACAGACGAGGCTGTACAAGTGTTCGATTCTGAGTGATATATCTCCATAGTGTCTAATTACTTGTGTATACAACTTCGATCATGACCTGCTTCAGCCACTCCTTCCTTTAATTTTCACCCTTTGCTTGTTGGATTTAGTCTACGACCCCACCCAGTTCAAAGGATAAACTAAGTCCCCAGGCCGCAAAGAGTCAAGATAGTTAAGCAAGTAGCCAAATACGCCATGGGGACTGGAAAGTACAGACTAGAGTGGACTGAATGAGTCGTGTACTAGTTTACCTAATGTGGAAGCGATGCGGCGCCAAGAAATATAAGGTTCTGCCGTTGCTTGGGTGTCGGCACGAGTCAGCCCCAGTGGGTCCTTACGGGAAGTCTAAATAGAGTGGGGTGACACTTTGCCTATTTTAGAAATTCGAGATCCTTTTCGAGACATGGTTGCTCCATCTAGTCCACTACTAATGAAAACGGGGTTTAGGTCATGGAATAGCTACAAAATGTGGATTACTGATCAGTCCTTGGCCATTCTTAGTATGACTCCCTTTTATCCAGATGTGAAGAGAATTGTGGCATCCAAACATTTGTGCATTCTGATCACTCATCCCCCTCGCATCGTCAACCCTCATGAGCCCTCCGAAAATGCCAGGTACCACTCAGAAACGAGCTGGCAGGGGAAGATCCAAAACGGGATGCCGTACCTGCCGGTGAGTGGACTTCTATTTCACCATGATCAGACTTGGCGGTGGCATCTGAGTCTGACCCCCCCCCCCCCCCCTTACAGTGCTCGCCGCATCAAATGTGACGAGACCCCTGTCGCTTGCAGAAACTGCATATCCACCGGTCGACAGTGCGATGGGTATGATGCCCACAGGCTCCCCCCCAAAGCCAAGGGGCTGCCCAAGAATGGTCTGGACTTACCAGCATGCCCCGGGTGGCCTGAAGACGGATTTGGCCGGGCAATGACCTCAGACGAGAAGCGGTGCTTCTCCCACTTCCAATTCCGCACCATCCCTACGCTCCTCGAATTCTTCGACTCTGCCCTGTGGCAGAAGCTGGTCCTGCAATTGAGCCGCTCCGAGCCGCCGGTCTATCATGCTATAGTCGCGCTTAGCGCACTCCATCAAGTTTCCGAGGCAAATGGAATGCCGTTGGCGACCCCTGCTACCTGCGCTGAGGGGAACGTCTGGCATCAGTTTGCCGAGGATCAGCTGAGACGCTCTATCAAGCTCCTGAACCAGCGTTCGACGTCTCAGGATCCCCATCTTCGACAGGTCATTCTCGTTTGTTGCCTGCTCTTTGTTCTCGCGGACTTACTACGCGGACTATATGAAAGTGCCTTTACCCATCTCCGGGGTGGTCTACGGGTTCTCAAGGAGCTGCAGATGACAGGGCGGGGGTTGGATTCCTCCTCCTCTGCCTCACGCTCTGGTCTGGTGGGGCAGTCTCTCTTCTCGACGTTTGCTCATCTCGATTCATTGGCTGCGCACTACGATCGCGTCTTTCCCATGCTTACTTCCCGTGGTCAACCATTGGCCGATCAGGAGAAGGTGCATGCTGCTCCTGGCCGTGGGCTCCACGACTTCCGGACCCTCCGTGAGGCACGTGTTGCGTTCGATAGCCTGCTTAGCGCCTCCTACCGTTTCAGTGCCATGTGCATGGGCATGGCTGAGGCAGAGGTTCTACTGCGCTACGATGAACTGCAACAGCATCAAATCGAGGTGTGGTCTAAAACAGTCAAGTTCAAGCAGGTGTTCCTGCCCTTCTATACCAATATCTATGACCAGCTTAGCCCGAAAGAGCAGCGGGGTGCGGATATCATCCGATTACACATCCTCAGCTTGCCCATATGCCTTCAAACCTGCCTTCTAGGGAAGAACCGATCCGCCCTCGCCTATTTCACCTCGGACCTGGAAACGGTATGCTCCATGGTGGAGGCAATCATGACCAAGTTTCCGGAGCGGCCATCCTTCACCGTCGAAACCGGTGTCATCCCGCCCCTCTATCTGTCCGCCATATTATGCTGCGACTACAGCGTTCGGTGGCGGGCAATCCAGCTCCTCCGGTCCTGGCCGCACCGCGAGGGGCCCTTTGATTCCAACTGGTGTGCGTCTTTGGCGGAGGAGGCACTGAGACTTGAGTTGCACGCTAGGATCATGGAAGACGCGGGGTTCCGAGAGGCGAGATTCGTCCTCCCGAACGTCGACGAGATCTCGGCAAATGACATGCTGGGAAAGCTCGTGTATATTCGTCAGCAGAAACTCAATATGTTGGTCAAGAGCGGACGCATTGGACATGCGTCCGAAAATGCTATCTGGGACCCTCTAGATGCCGTGGGCTCGGTAAAGGGCATGCACGCGTGGTCCTGTGTCCGCGCGTTCAACGCCGTCACCTCACGCATCCCGGAGGTTAAACGAGATGAAAACTTTCCTAAAACGAATACGGTCGATTGACCCTTGTTTTCGACTCTGGTAGTTGTTCAACTTGGGTTGTGTTACTGCAGCAGAAAACTATGTGCTGCTCTTCCGGTTGTATTCGATCCTTGTTCTTTCGTGTTAGTTTCGATTTGGTTTTTTCGCGTCTGATTTCTATCTTCAAGGTTGGTTAGGGAGTTCTTTTTTTATAAATCGGTGAACTTAGGCTTACTGGAGGATCAATAATTGGCGAAAGTGCTAGGGTACATTCAAATGGTTCATTGTTAATGGGTTGAATTCAAATCATATACCAAGCATTATATATTGATCCGCGTTCCATCTCCCATTACCCTGCCGTAAAATTCTCACAGCTTATGAAAGAAGGGGTGGTTTTTGAGAAAACATTTGAACTAGTGCCTATATGGCTTGATGGCTTTTCTACGATTGCTATACATTCAAAGCAAGACATGGCTACGCTCATACCTACAAGTAGACTGGGCCTTTTCCTCCCTATGTATATCTCAATGTCACCAAAGTGAATTGATTTGTCCGCTTCAGGTAGCACATAACGTATACAGATATCAGATAGAAGAAGGTCTATTCATCAAGAAGCGATACCGTGGGTATGCCTCCAAGCACCTCCAACATGGATCTTCTCACAGAGCACTGAGGGTAGGAGTATCCGCAATCCTATTATAAACCAGGTCAGTTAGGTCCCCTCGAAGCAAAACAGGACTCGCTAGCATACCGATAAACAAGCTTCTTAGCCGAGACCTTCCGGTCATACAGCGACTGGATACCCGCAGCCACACTCTCCAACCCGGCAGGCTGCACCTGAAACGGATGAGGCTCGAGCCTCCCCTCCGCCAGCAAGTGACTGATATACCTGTAAAACGCATAGGCAAACTGCTCGTCCTGCGCCGCCTGCACCGCGCCACGGTACTTGTGCGGCGCGCCGTACGCGCTGGCCACAAACGTCCGCGTGAACGTGATGCCCTCGGGCCACTGCCAGGACGCACGGTCCGGATTGGCCGCGTCGTCTGCAGGAGGATCAACCATGTCGGTGGATCCCCCGCCCAAGGCGCGCAGCACCGCGACGATATCCTCGTAGCTGCGGTTGTGCGAGACCGCGTCGAAGGCATGGTGCAGCTTCCGTCCTTGCAGCGCGTCCTGGATCTCCTCCACCACTTTCCCCCTGCGGTAGTCGATGATGTGGTCTGCGGCGTGGAGCGACTTGACGTAGTCGATTCCGTTGCCGGCGACGGTGATAATGGGCGACAGCCCGCTGAGCCTGGCGAGCTTGATGGCGTAGGCGCCGACGGCGGACGCGCCGCCGTAGATCAGAACGGGCGTTTCCGTCTTTGCGGGATTCCACGGTAGGGGCAGGCTCAGGTTCTGGTACAGTGCGAGCGCGGCTGTCATGAGCGCGAGCGGTAGAGTCGCGGCGGCCTCGAAGGAGATTTTGCTTGGCAGTCGGAAGGTTGTGGATGTCTGCGCGATGGCGAACTGGGCGTAGGAGCCGTGAGGCTGGAACATGCGGTGGAAGGCTGCGACACGGTCACCAGGCGCGAACTCCCAGACGGCGCTTCCCACGGCCTCGACGATGCCGGCGATGTCGTCGCCTTGGTTGATTCCTTTGCCTTCCTCATGGTTACGGGAAGCCTGTTTAGGGTTCTTGGAAGTATTGCCCTCTCTTCCTTGTTGCGAATGCTGGAGAGAGATGTTCTTACCTTCCAGTCTTTAGGGTTGGAGTCTGTAGCGAAGACCTTGATCAGGACTTCGTTTGCGCCCGGCTTCCTGTCAAACATAGTCAGATCTCATCATTTCCGTCTCCTTTGTATATGGCAAGGCATGAAACAGGGACTCTCGTACGGGATAGGAACAACCCTTCTGGTCGCTTTGATAGGGCCGGGCTTGCCGGCGATGGTGTATTCAATCATGCTGGAGGACATGCTTGAGGACTTCCTGAATGCCTTGTAATGAAAAGCTTGAGATGTAGAAGCTCTGACAGATCTTAGGAACATTGAACTAACTGTTTATGAGGCTCGTTTGCTAAAGTGTGTTGAGCGTTATCTTTATAGTTGGATCTACGTTGTAGTGATGATTGGTGAGCCCTGCAGCCTGCCATACTTGCAGCGGAGTTCACGAGTTCACTAATCATTATTTATAACTCACAAGACAACTTACCAGGTATCGTCATCGTCAATCTCGATATATTGCTCCGAGAACATAATCAATAGCATTATCGGAAGATTACCTGCTGCTGTCGGAGACATTCCAGGCGACAAAATGTCTCCGTCGATGACTGACAAAGCACATTCATATTACAATCTTGCTTGGCTAGCAATCCTTGGGATCGACTATTCCAGTGGGACTCAGAATATACAAAGAAGAATCAATTGGACGGACTGTTTACACAGCGCTATATGTGAAGAGTCTACCTCAGACGAGGGTAGACTCTTTTCGCTCCCGCTGATAATCCAGTTTCTTCCAACCCATCATCCCTCCACAAACGACGCACAACGCCCCGGCTGCCACCACAAGATAGAACTCGAGGGCAAGGACATGTGTAACAGCGCCAAGGGCCCGCTCAAGCGCCTCAGAATCAAGAGCGCCCCACACCGACGACGAAACACCAGCAAGCGCCTGCCGAATGTCCTCCTGAGAAACCCCACGGTCACCTAGCGCCTCAGCTAGCAGGCTTTCTCCGACATTCTGAAATATCGAGCCGGCGATGGACAGGCTGATGGCAATGGCGCCCATCTGAGCCATGAGCAAAAGCGTCGCACTGTCGACGCGATCCCGCGCACTCTTATTGATGACGTTGGAGATGCCCACACCGTGCTGGAATGTGAACCCCAGCCCAATGCCGATAAGAGCCTCGAAGCCCATCACATGGGACTCAGATGTCGTGGGACTGAGACTTGCTGCCATAGCGCCGGCTCCAGCGAGCATGGCCATGCCGCCAAGTTGGTAGACGATGCCGTACCGGCCAATGATCGGGAGGACGCCAGCGATCAGTATCACGGTGCCGATGAAGACGAGGATAAACGGGAGGGTACGCACGGTTTGCTGGAGCGCGTCGTAGCCGCGCGCAAAGGCAAAGAAGAGAGGCACGTAGTAGAGGGTGATGGCGTATGCCACGCCTGCGCAGCCGGATGCAAGCCACAGAGAAACCAGGTCGAGACGCGGCATCAAGTGGACTGGGATTGCGCGCTGCTCGGCGGTGGTGAAGATGCAAAAGTATTGTTGAGCCATCCATGCAGCGAGGACGACGCCGAAGATCGCCCAGACGGCAATCGAGGGACCACTGCCCCAAGCCCACACGGGACCTGAGAATTCCAGACCGAGTGAAAACAAAACTGGGCAAGCCATGTTGAAAGCAATACCCACGGGATCCATATCAAGTATCCGGCGATGCAATGGAACATTCGGCCCGAGATATATACTCGGGAAGCAGAGGATGGCACCCACAAGAGCAAGTCCCATCCATGGAAGGTTCATGTAGAATGCCCAGCGCCAGGTTGTATCTGGATTCTCAGCCAGAGCGGCACCGATGGGGCCGCCGACGATGAGGCCAACTGCCCAGGATACGCTGAGCCCGCCGATCAAGAGTTGGGTTTTGCTCGGGGTAGCAAAGACGGAGACGAAGGTGAGGTTGCTATGAATTTGTAATTGTCAGCTCTCTCTCTCTCTCTCCTTGGCTCTGGATTGCATGAATCATACGTTTGGTATATCATCGCTCCACCAATTCCCATAACGATCCGCCCAACAATGACGGTTGACATGCTGTGAGCAGATCCCCCGATAGCAGCGCCGGCCAGAAAGATTCCAATACAAACGATGTAGATCCAACGCAGATTGAAACAGTATATGATTTTTCGGGACAGGGAAAGCACCGCAAAGACGGCGAGCGTGTATGAGAGCGCTATCCATGGAAGAAGCTTGATGTCGCCAAAGGCCTCGTACAGATGAGGCTGTATGTTCGCAACATTGCTGACATCGTACCCTGAGGCAATATACAACAGTGTTCAGTGTCCATGATGGGTCAAAGCATAACTCAGCCGTAAAACATACCATGAATCAAGCACGTCAGAAGTACGACAGCGAGGCTGCCATTCCATTTCCATGATGGGAGAGTTTCTCGATCCTGAGCTGCCGCCGCTATACTCTCCGCTCGGACAGCCTTTGATGTTGAATGGGATTCCGAAGACATATCCGCAAGACGCTAGTTGTTCGCAGTGCAGCAAGGCTTTTATTCAGTTTGGGAAGCTGAGCGATTGAATCTGCCTTGAATCATTAGCAGGAAGTGCAAATTTGGAGAGTGTTGTTACTGTTAGCGGACAAAATCTTCTTCTTTCCTTTATATTCTCTAGAACTAGGTGAATTCTGTGTCCAAGAGTGTCCTGTCTGTCTATACATCAGATGTCGCAAACAGTCTAGTTGGTAGCCTTGGGTCATCTTCACACCATCTCATAAAGACTGTACTACTATCTTAAGTGATGGAGACTCCGGGGGTTGAGTAACCTTCATATTGTAATTAGTGATACTTTGCAATCAGCAATGTTTATGAATGATTTGTATATAAAGCCCTAAAATAACTATTAGTCCATTCCCTGAATGCTCACAGCTGGGGTCCTACCTCAGTGGCCCTCCTTACTTTTTACTTGATCAGCTGGCGCAATATGCCGTTGTGTGTCACTTCACCATGATATCATGGAGCAGATCTCTAGGAGCGCAAAAGATTTCCTGTACAGCATGGGCAAATCACCAACATCCAGAGCCTTGGACAGCCTAATTGAAAGGAAATCAATCATCTCAGCTCAGGGATGTCAATTCAACTCTTGATGCATGAATGTTATGAAAGCTAATATAGTCAATCAATCAATCAAGATTCTATTAACCTGTTGGAGCCTATCTAGTGGAATGACTAGCTATATAGGTGCTTTACTAATTACAGTAGGGATCTAGTATCTATATATCTAAATCCTATATCTTATAAACAATAGAAACGATGTAAGAAACATTAAAAAGAGTAAGTATTACTATAACTAAAGTAGCCTATTATTAAGCTATATATCCTCCCCTATATTATCTCCGTATATTAAATATCTATCCTACTTTAATTTATATGATATGCCTTCTTAAGTTCTTATATAATTCTATATCTATAAAGACCCCTCCTCGATAGCTAGCTAGATTATGATATCCCTTTAAAAATCACTACCTACTGGATAGCCTATCTAGTAGATCACTAGGATCCTGCCTGTTTTCTTTTATTATCTCTCGTATTCGTTCTTCCCTTACTATCTATATCCCTTCTTTACACTTTCCTTTAACTCCATATTGATGTACGGTCAGACCCACCACCTCAAAAACAGGGGCTAGAGTCACCCTTTCAAAGCCCTACCCCAGCAGCTGCCCTACCGGACCAAATTCAAAATTTCAAATCACCTAACCCCTAGAGGAGGTTGAAATTGTAGCGAGCAGAGCCCGCCGGATGCTCGGGCTACTTGAATAGACGATACAGCCTTCGCGAGGCCCAGCAGCCATGAGTCACGTGGCTGTGTACTGATTGATGTAGTGATATTCACACTGTGACCCGCCCCTTTATTGCATGACCTCTTTCTCATGTTTGGCTGTCACGGTCCTAGTTAGATTCCTTCAGTAATTTCATACTGTCCAAACCTAGGTCATAGGTTGAGTAGGCTCTTAGCCCGTGACAAGTCTAACTATTTAATAAAATACCATGAGTTCTACTGTATATACCAGCCAGTATCTTACTGAACTACTATTAATTTCATAAAAAGTTTAAAATCTGTAGGTTATAGTCTAGAACTATTACTGCTGTATCCATTATCCAGTTAGTTTTATTATCTTGATCTATCAGAGAAAATAATAATATCAATTGTTACTTGCCTTTTTGAAGTATTAGTTTTAATCTTTTCCCGATCCGGCTCGATTTCAATATCTGTAAAAGGTAGAGCTCGCCACAGTGCTAGTGGTCTTGGGTCAATTCTTTCCAGGGCCTGCAAAAGAGACATATTTACACAGCCAAGACTGTCCGCGGCGAGCTGGAATGAGTCCTTACGGCTGGTGTAAAGCAGCTTTAGCAGGCCTGCTTGTTCAGGCCACTGCCCTAGTTTTCAGTCTACATAACTCTTAAGTCTTAATAAGCAATCTCTAGATATCAAGGCCCCCATTGGCTGTCCTCTACTAACTACGCTTGTGTCCCCAGTTTTGCAGACCCCCTGAGCACCCGTGGCTATGCCTTGATGAGTTTGTTGAGGCTCGTCGCTAGATCGCACCCCCCCAGGGAAGTAGACAGTCAGCATATCTGATCAAGACTGCCCGTGGGCAGAGCCTCAACAGGGGACTTATAACTAGATCTGTTGGAGCCATTCCCCAGACTCACATTATCCACTGCTTGACTGGTTCTATTTTCCCTCGCCGCCCAAGTCTCAACGCATATTTAAATTATGTTTTCAACTCTGTTGGGTATTTCGCAATCTCAGAGGTGTCCTATCGCCTGTCTAGGTGATACCATATCCATTGGAAAAGCAAGTCCAGTTTCAGTCTCGAGTACGATTCAAGTGGACATTTAATATCGGATGGTTCTCATATGTCAATACCCCCTTTTCTTCTGGTTTTTGTGGGTCGAGCGGGCTCGGCATCTACGGAAAACTCTACGGCTCGGGCCGTTTGGCCCCACCCGCACCACCTCCACGAAGTGAGAGCGTACTGACTGTAGGGTCCTCGAAAAGTTGAAAAAAAACAACATTTTCTTTCTTTCGGAATTTTCCAATGTTTTTTTTTCTTTCCAGGGTTTGAACCCCCCTAATCCGGTAATATGCCAAGACTTAGGGTTAGCCAATCAGGGCCTCTTCCTTTGACTGCCCCACCTATATCAACCAATCAGATCTAGTAGCCAGTAGGTGCCTTATTGCCTAGGAAAGTAGTGTATATGCTCTGAGAAATAGTAGTGAATTTCACCTAATAACATCAAAATATATATCTTTGTATGCGAGAAATCATCAACTTCCACCATCTACCATAAACACCTCACTAGATTTACTACTATTTACTATTTCTAAACCCAGAGAAGTAAGCTCACACACTAATATATATACAGTTTTACTCAGAATACTTATAGATCTAAAATCGGTAACAAAATATACCCTAATACTAGCAAGGCTTTTACTGCCAGTGAGGCCCCTACTAGCAGCGAGGGTCCCTATCGCCAGTGAGGCCCCTACTAGCAGTGAGGTCCCTACTACTGGTAAGGCTGGTAAGGAGCCCAAAAAATTATTAGACTTTATAGAATATTTAACATTTTTCCCCTTTAAAATCATGAATTTTTTTCTTCGAAAATTTGATTGTTAGAGGACGCCAACTGGTCATGATTTAGTTAAGAATAATTTCTTACTTTACTACTAAAATAGGTAGGCGGAGAGAATCAGAAATAGGCATTTTTTAATATGTAAATTTCCTCTGGAAAAAAAAAATTTTTCTTTCCGAAAAGATGTTTTTTTTCCCGGAAATTTCGGAAAAATGGAAAGAAAATATGATTCCCTAGTACTGAGTACTGACACCAGACACCACGAGAAGGTAGAAATCGATCGTCCTAAATATGCAGGGTACCACTATCTCTACTCTCTATGTACATCCATTCATCGTAAACTATTACTTTTTTTGACGAACTTGGAGCCCCGTCAAGGCCTGTGGTGGCCGGTGGCCGGTGGCCGGTGGCTGGGGTTCTGTTCTGCTGCCCTCATGGTGCGTCCCTGTAAAGTATCTTGCACAACCATCTACCACCCTGCCTACCCCATACTCTTCCAAACTCGTTTCCCAAAACCTAACCCATTTGCACTAGTCTGTATCTGGCTAGACTATATTTCTGGGAGGTACCAATTTGTCTTGGACTTTGCTTGAATATTACACCAATTTCACAAGGGAGTGTAACACCTATACATAATTCTAGATGCTTTAGTTGTGGATGACTCAGGCATGTGCCACAGGTGGGATACTCAGTTGACATCTTAAGGGGTTGTCCTGGCCCCCAATACTGGTATCAGAGCAGAATTGGAGTGGTCTAGATTATTTATGGGGTCTAGGTTAAACTTCAATATGCACCCCTGGGTCATGACATCATGCTTGAACTAGTTCTTTGTCCAGGCTTGTCCATTGATCTTCACGCTCTGCACATAGTAGCCCTTGTCCAGCCTGTTTGCAATGATACGTAGTATCCAGTTGCCATTGGCTGTCATGTTAAGATCGGGAAACCAGGGCGGAGAAAGGAGATACACCAGTTGTGTGATAATAGGATAGACTTTGAGCATCTGCTACAGGAGCCATAAGTTCATTACCCTTGCGTCACTGTTTCCAGGCACCCCATAGGGTTTATCTTGAAAGCTAGTAGTTATGATCAGGAGACAGAAGACCTGGAAGCCACCGATCTATGAAATATCGGACGAGGTTTGCGGTAGAGCGCCATCATCATGGTTTTGAAAGACGCCGAAGCTGGCTGCATAGCCCCATGTCACCGCAACCACCAAGTGGCCGGAGACCAAGGAGATGGTCCAAGAAATGGCAGGCATCAAACATGGACGGAACTAGACGCTGATAGTACATTTTGCTCTCTCAAAGTAGTACGTACGACCATAAGATATTGTACTGGCTGCATCTGCATGGACAGTACCTAACCAATCACAGGTTAGGCTACGTAGATATTTGCGCAGCTGCAACCGAGGACTTCGACCCAGTTACCCTTGGGTCTGCAAGTCAATATCCACATCCAATATTAATCGCCTCGCTCATTCCGCAACTCCAATTCTGCGACCCCATCAGCGGGGCTGCCCTGTTGCTGTGACCGGTCGGCCCCCAGCACAGCGCCCTCATTCTCACTCCGAAGCTTATGCGCTCGCACGAACAGATTAAGGACGGTAGCTAGTCCGGCAAAGGCCACATACTAATAGCACACAGGACTTACCATGAGCATAAATGCACTGACACCGTTGCTATGTTGCGGTGACTTACCATGATCCACACCATTCTCAACGCCCCAAAGTACGTCTTCCTAACCAGGGCCTCTTGATCTGCATTTAGTCCGAGGGTACTAATCTCCTCCACACTCGAAGCGGCAAGGTCGCCATTGAATTCGCGGGCTAAAGTCGAGTTGGAGCCTAGCTGGCTTGCTAGCCCCTCGTTCTTCGCATTCATCTCATTCTGAAACACCACACCCCCGACAACCACCGAAATAGCCGTCGAGAGAGACCGAACAAACCCCATTGTCGCAGTGACGGCCGCTGTATCCCGAACACTGGTTGCAGCCTGAGCAGCAAGAATCGGCGCTTCGATGTTCATGCCCACACCGATTCCGACCAGGATCTGGAAGATGATGAGTTTGGTGATGTTGGCTTCAAACTCAAGACTAATTAGCAGGCCGGAGCCAAGTACCAAAAATCCCTGGGCAATGTACATTACTGGGAGGTATTTCCCAGTTTGCTGCATAAAGATCCCCGCTGCGGCCGCGGCCAGAGAACATGAGACAATGAGTGGGAGGAGGTAGAGGCCTGATGTTAGTGCAGTTGCGGCCAGGACGGACTGCGCATATAAGGGTAGGTAATATGCCTGTCCAATAAATACATATGAATTACAGGCGAAGACAACATAAGGCGCTATCTTAGTGGGCGAGGTGAACAGCCAAACTGGGATAATGGGGTTCTTAGCAATCTTCCATTCGTTCACCACAAACAGCGCCATCCCTGCTGTTCCGAAAACCAATAGACAGATGACCGTTGCGGAGGACCAGGAGTAGACAACGTCACCAAAGTCAAGGGCAAGGAGGACCATCAGAGAGCCCCCTACAATCAAAAGGCTGCCTGTCCAGTCAATGACTTTGACACCGGCAGCGATGGGTGTTCGAGGACTTGGGACTCTCATGAAGAAGAGCAAGACAAGAAAGGAGACCGCTCCGACCGGTACTATACGGTCGAGGGAGTAAGCTCAGGGCCATTAGGTTAGATGGGATGCCTCACAGTTAATCCAAAAACACCATCTCCAGCTAAGCCTCGTCGTAAAAACGCCACCCAGAACGGGCCCAATGGCGCTACCAACCGCCCAAACAAGCGAAGTGATTGCGAGATATAAACCCCGATCTCGCAGCGAAAACATATCACTGACAACAATGTTGACCATGATCCCCATTCCGGAGCCGCCTAATCCCTGAATTGCCCGTCCCGCAATCAGAGCATCCATATGCGGCGCAAGGGCGCAGACCAGACTGCCGACAAGAAAGACTGCGACCGCAAAGAGCATAATGGGTTTCCGGCCCCATATGTCGGAGACCGAGCCCCATACTGGCGTAATAGCTGCGTAGGCCAGGGTATAAGCGCTTCCCACCCAAATATAACCGGCCGCGGTCTTGAACGTGCCGGCTATGGCGGGAATTGCAGGAGTTACAATCGTTAAGTCAAGGGCGGAGAGGAGCACGGACAGACAAAGCGACATCATGGTCCAGGCAATGGTGGCGGTGGTGAGACGCGGAGACTCCGCGGATGAAGAGGGTGCGGGTGCGGGAGTGGCATTGTCAACAGTGCTGCCGGGGGGGTCGGTGCGGGAATCAGACGTTGAGGAAACTCTAGCAAGTCCTAGAGCCTTGGACATGGTCAGGACAAAGTAGAGCGGAGGGTTTATATCTAGATGGAGGGATCAAAGAGGGAGTGGAAAGCGGATGGAGGAGAGAACGTCTATAAAGAGGGAACACCCCCCAGTCCTGTCACCTGACCCGGCTTTGTTTACAATGAGAGGAATCCCAATATCAATTCAAAATCATTCAATCCTACATAGCTATTGCTATTTACATCATTTCTACAGTCAAAGTACTTCCACTTCGCCCTGTGCTCCCCGCCGCGTGATCCTCACATCCATGCCTGGAGGTAGGGAAGGGCTTTGGCCTCGGCGTCTCTGATCACTGGGCGTGTCATGGTCTTTACAGCACCGTCAATCTCGGATTGAAGTGCGCGGTATGCACGAGGGGTGGTCGACAGATAAAATATAATATTCCTCAGGGCAGTGGACGTGGTATCTGTGCCGCCAAAGACGGTCACAAGCGCTTCGGACTCGACTTGGGGTCTGTTCAAACCGGGCTTGATGAAGGACTGGAGGATATCGGTATGATTAGCTTTTAGGTCGTCGTATCGCTCGTCAACAAGGTCCTTGATGTAGCCGAGGAAACGGCCAACTCCGCTCCCATCATGGGGCTTGGGGTGAAATGGGTTCAGCGGACGGCTTTCGAGGATCTTCCTGAGGGTCGGGAGCAGGGTGATCATATGGATGGGTCTGTAGAGAGCTTCGGACGTTTCCAAGATCCCGTACATATCGCTATTCGCCTCCAAGCAGCCCGCTGGCTTCCCAAATCCGACGGCCGTGATGACATCCTGCGTCAGGTACTGCATCGTTCGAGCTAGATCGCATGGCCGCAAGGCTTTCTGGTTGGAGATATATCGTTGCTCTATTAGTGCTATGAGTTTTGTGATCTGTTGGTCGACAAGACATTATCCACCTCGCTGTTCAGACGGACAGCCTTGTACCAATCCGAGCGGTGATAGCCCGAATTCATTCCCCATATTCGGCGGATCTCAGCGGGATCACCGCACAGCACCCACTTGAGGCCGATGCGAACGAGCGGACCTGGAAAAGGACATCAATCATTGTATAATATTCTCACGCGGGGGGGGGGGGGCTATTCTTACCATATTCTCTACAAGCATTATAGAGGCTGTCACAGAGCCTGCCAGACCAAGCCTGTCTTATCAACCACAACTTTGTCCACCCGGTTGCTGGGGGTCCTGCAATATGCCGCCACCGATTCCATTGGTAGACCCGTCCCCCAAGGAAAAATATACCAGAAACCCGAGAGTCCCAATGAGGCAAACATGAGGGGCCAGCATGACTAGGTACGTGTGTGCCAAGGTTGACATAAATTGTGGCTTGCAAGGGTCTGCAGCGCTTGGGGCAGCGGAAACATCCCAAGACAAATTTCGGCGCAGAAGTACCAAGGACTAGTATTTTTCAGAAATCCGGGGCTTGCGGCTCCTGGTACATAAACGTGATTTTGGAGTTGAGGCCCCGGGATGGTGCAATGCGCCAACGGTACGTTGCTATCTCGAAAAAAAGCTTGAGGCTTGACGGGGTCATTACACCTAGCTGTCCAGCATGGATGTCTTCAGGCGAGCGAAGATGACGCTCTTTTTTTTTTCGAACGTCGGCATTGTGCTGGGCGTTGTAGTCTTCATGGCCGGGTACTTCAGTCCTCCTCCAAAGCTGACATTTGATAACGACCTTGAGCAGGCTGGGTTGGAAGGAGCTGGAGAAGGGGAACGTTATCCTCAGCCATCTGCGCCCTTCGACAACGTCGTCTTTATGGTTCTTGATGCGCTACGCAGGTGCGATACCTCCATTTACGCGTTCATCTCAACCGTGAGAGTTAAGACTCACATCAAACCACATTTAATAAAAGAATGTTTGGTTAAACCAAGTCTAGCTTAGATTCCATCACACTTATTGCATATCATCCAGCTGCCCGATACCATTATTTCTAGCCCATTCGAGACATTTTATCCCCAAGAAATGCGAGCGTGGGCGTTATACGAAACATATAAATAGCGTTAGATAAAGCTTTCAGTTAGAAGAATATCCGAGTTGATTTTCATACTTCTGGGATCTATCCTCCCGAAACCCAAATTCTTATGCGAGAAGTAGGAGAAAGTGCAAAAAAAGTGCCTATGGATAGTGCTGCTGACGTGTCTCACCACATGAGGTCCGGCTGGTCTGGCATGGTGCATGCAAAAAAACCTTGGACAACTCACACCTGCATAGTCGCCCTCCTTCCATGGGATGGACCAAGGTACAGCTATGATCCCCATGATTTTCGTATCTCTGGCCTATATATCGGAACCGCGCGTCTACTGGTGTCGAAAATCACCAAAAGATGGCGCCCAAGAAGAAGAAACCTTACTCCAACAGATCTGTTAACGACAAGCCAAATCCGCACCTCAAGCAATCTCTCGGAGACTCGCTGATTGAATATAATCAGCCTGAATGGTCGTACGTCTCCTGACGGTTCGCTGCTACAATTCATTCAGAGAGACTGACCGCCCAAATATAGTCCTTATGAGTCTCAAATCATCAGTATTCGTATAGGATGCAGGACATACAGGATTCCAGCATGCTGCATCCAAAATTATCCACAGCTCAGCAGTTCCCGTTCATGGGAATCAGATTATATCCTTTCTGAGGTGGATGACGAGGTTGGCCACACCGTCGTTCACTTTTTGCGCACCGGTAATTATGAAACTCTCCGGGCTGCATCCGAGCCAGGTGTGTCCAAGATGGCAATAGAATACAGAAGGAGCATGCTTGTCTACCAAGCAGCCAGAAAATATGATTTATGCGACCTGGAGACGTACGCGAAGAAATACATCGAGATGTTCGGCGAGTCGATGTCCACTTTCGATAGAATGGAGGCTGCAAGAGAGATATATTCCAGACTTCCCCAAGATGAGACTTGGCTTGCCAGCTACATCAACAAACAACTTCGAATTGCTTTCTCACTAGACGAAACCATCTTTCAGCGCGAAGAATTCTATCACGGGGTTGGAAAAGACCCGGTTTTTGACAAAGCCGTGATGAGAATGGTTGTGAACATCTACTCTGAGCTACTGTCTAGACGGAACACTGAGACTACCCCTGAGGAGGGTGTTGCTGAGGAGGGCACTGCGGAGGATTGTGCTGTGGAGGATGGTGCTGATGCTGCGGAAGTTGGCGCTGTGGAAGAGAGTGCTGTGGGGGATGGCGCTGCGGAGGATAATGCTGCGGGAGAGTATGGTGCTGCGGAAGAGGGCGCTGTGGAAGAGGGTGCTGTGAACATAGGAGGGCTAAGGAAGAAAGCTATTTAGAGTATATTAACTTTCTACTCTGCTGTCTCGGTGGTTCAGTCTCCTTACTGGAGCATGGGGATGATGCCTGCTTGGCCAGCTCCCCAGTCTCAGGTCCATCTGGCCATTCGCCACCCGCCATGCCTTGGGGGCCTTGATGAACTGTCTGGCGTAAAGCTAATAGAGCCGCACAGGGAGGATTGGAAGAGGTTGCGGCAACCCTTCAACTCTGGCTTTGCGCCGCAGCACCTCATGAGCTTGCTTCTGTGTGTTCTGAAGATGTCCTGGTGTAGTGGAGTTTTGTCTTGATGAGCCTTTAGCTCACCTTTGACATACTTAGTAGGTCCATTCTCAATTGCTTTGTGATGCAGATATTTAATCATGCGCTCTGACGCCTGGGTTTAGATAGGTTTGCTAGCCATGGACGATGACTTTCATGCTTAATGTGAGGCATCACAGCAGAGTGAGATTTACAAAGCCCTCTATACCTCAAAATTGGGGCCATAGACTGGGACTTATTTAATATTCTTGGGAAACTTAAGCAGTGGGAGCTATTGCAGAAACTAGAATCCTCCGTAAGAGCAAGATTAAATGAAAGTTCTTGGAGCTTCAGGATGGTTCGACAGAGAAGAAAAAGTCCCGAAGTATCCTATCGGGGAGTGTGCAAGACATTGAGTCATTAGATGATCAGCTTATAGAGAAGATAAGCGCCTCGCTGAAATCTTTCTATTTTATAGGATATCAAAAAACAAGCACTGTCTTGTAATGGGTGTTTTATAGTCTTAGTTGCACTCCCCATGCCCTGCGAGCGGTCCAGAAGATCCTGGATGGGATTTTTGGCTTGCATAGGCAGTATGCAGTGAAAACAGAATTATTTAATATAAGCCACCATGAATTCTAGGCTGGGCAGTTCTGCTTCTATCTAGGGCCCAGTAGACCTGCCTAGAGACATGATTAGCCAGCTTATCCCTGGCAGACAAGTTCACTCATTATAATCATCATTGAGAAGAAACTCCCTAGTATGGCGAAGCCAATCAGTCTTAAAGCAGGGGAGCTTTTGAGATATTGGAGTAGGGCTTAAGATGTATCCAGAGCTGGAAGATGATCTCGACCAAAGCTCAGAGTACCTTGTATCAAATAACTATAGAGCCTTGAACAATAGTTTAATCCTTGGGCAACTTATCTTTCCAGCGCATAGGTGGTCCATCATCACCAGTAGTGCATATCAAGATATTTATCTCCAAGCTTCTAAAAGATTCTCCAGACCTCATCTGTGGACTCTTCTGCCAAATCAGGTCATATCAGACAAGCTACTTCAGCTCAAAGTAGATACCGGTTGTGACCAAGTCTCTATGTAAAGCTAAGCTTACCTAAAGTATCTTTCAGCTAAGAGCATCTCTCTTTTAACCATTCCTATCCCGAGAGGCGTTAGGTTGTCCCATTACTATGGATCGGTAATACTAAACTGGTCGAATACCTCCGATATGGTTCTTCACGGGCTCGCGGCGTTTGGGCTATGTAATTTGGAATCCCAGGATAGCTCCGCGACCGTTCGAGCAGCAACTCTATTCCATCGAAAGAAGTTGCTCGACGGAGTAACCGCAATGCTGTCCCAGCAGATCGTCGATGACGTCCTGATCTCGGCTCTGTACCGCTTAATACCGATCGACGATTACCTAGGCTATGTCGACTACAGCCGAGTGCATCTTCACGGCTTTGAGACGGTCATCCGCATCCGTGGCGGCTATGATCGAGTTGGCCAGTCGGTCCCTGCCATCAGCAAAGACATGCAGATGTCAGTTCTTGTGGCGAGGAGTCTGTTGTTGATTCACCTGCAGACGTCTCTCATCGAAGGATTGCCGCCTGATATTATCAGGTGTCCAGAGACGACGTGGCTGAGAGGGATCGAACTCATCCTCCCGCCAGGCTTTGTGGGCCTGATCTCGGCAGGCCATCTCTCTCACAGCTCGATTGAGATCCTACTCAGCTTCTCGGAATGGCTCGGAAAATACCGTGGTCTGGACCCCGGCTCTATCCCCGTCTGGCGCTACTCCTCCTCCGGGGAGTTGACCGCGGTGGAAAAGTGCATCTTCGTCGGCTTATTGTGTCTCGCTGACGATGTTGGTTACATGGGCATGCACCCCGCTGCCATCATTTTCAGGCAGCCCAAGAAACGAGCCGAGATGCTGCTCGCGGTCAAGGAGCTGTGGAACGATCCATCCTTAGCAGACTGTTTATTGTGGCTATGGACGGTGATAACGATCCCACAGAATCCTGGAATTACCCCAGTCCTGGCCCAGCGGGAACTATTCTCTAAGATCCTTACACTACGAGACGGCTTGAGTGATTGGAATGTTATCCGAGCTGTGCTTCGGCGCTTCTTCTACGAAGACAGCCGCGCTCCAGCGTGGGAGAACGCATGGACAGTGATGCATGACGAAGCTCAAAAAACGCCTGCTTCCTCAAGCAAATATATTGATGACCGAGACAGGACAACCCGCAATATAACAGCCCCGTAGTGATGTCTATCCGATATTATAGCCATCAAGCCCACACCACACACCCGAGCAGTCAAGGAAACAGCTATCCAACTTCTTACAACCGCGCAATAGCATCCCAATACCTCTTGTCATCCTCAATCACATGCCGCACATGCGCACTCTTCTCGAACACCACCGTCTCGACAGCCCCCGCCCCCTTAGCCCTCGCCTCCGCCGCATGCTCCTCCACAAACTTCCACAGCACAATATCATCCCGCCGAGAGTAGAAGTAACAGCGCTTCGCGTCCGCACCCACCACGTCCAAATCATTCAGGCTCTCCGCCGCATACCGCAGCGGATCCGGCCACCCAAACACCTTGTTCGTCCCCAGATACAGCGCCAGTATCACCGCGAGGATGGTATACAGCGGCCACTTGACGAGCGGCTGGCCCCGCGGCAGCGCTGAGCTCACCGCGCGCATCGTCTCGCCAAAGGTGAGCCGGCCAGGGGCGCTGTCTATCGCAAGCCGGGTGAAGTGCGGCGGGCGCGAGGTCGAGGCTCGGTACGCGCGGCTCAGATTCGAGAAGACGCGGACGCCGCCGTTGGAGAAGACGTGCACCAGGACGGATGAGGGGTCGTGTGCGGCGAGCGCGGTGATCGCGGGCTGCAGCGTCCGCTCGTCTGCTGCTGCTGCGCCGGGGGAGAGTTGCACGAAGTCGGAGATGCCGCTGTAGACGACGAGGAATTCGGGCGTCGCGGGCGCGAGGAGGGCGATGTAGCCTCGGATGTAGCTTTCTGTTTGGCGTTTTGTTGCGCCCATCCATGGAAGGAGAACGATCAGGGAAGGCGGGTTGGGGACTTTGGGTGTCTGGTTGGCGGTGGTTGCATCTTGGGTGGGGTTGTTTGGCTTGTAGAGGGATACAGAGGGATTCACTTTTACAAGAGTGTAGTCCTCCATGATTTGAGGGTAGAATATGGGGGTGATGTGGTGGGTTGAGAGGCTGGCTGGGAATCCGTTCTGGCCTACTCCGTAGATAGGGCTTCGGAGAGTGGTAAGATGAGAACTGAATGTACGAGGAATTGTGGCCTTGGGGTGCAGACAATAAATAATTCAAGATCACCTGGCGACTGCAAACTATTTTTGCCTGTTCACTAATCGATTAGCAGCCGATTGAGGACCAGCACGCAGGTATATCTATCAATCTATCTATTTCAGTCCAGGCTACTCATTGACAAGAAGCTCTGTCGAGCTCAAAGGCTCCGTGCTAATAATAGGGCTCACTAATCCCCATCCATTTGCTGCCGTGTTCTCATTTTCATTGGCTTCTTCGCTTAATTCTAGTATACCTCCAGCTTCCAGAGATCCAAGCTGAGAAGATGTATTTCTAAGTTTGGAAAACAGAATAATATATTATAAGGGACGACGACATGACACCCCTGTAAATGTCTTCTTCATTCATCTAGTAAACATCACAGGTACACAGTCCATTCCTGCTCTTCCAAAGCATCCATATGTCTTCAAGTTCAGCAGGGGTTTTTCTTATTTTTTTAATTTGTTAATTTGTTTCTGGGGAAGTGTGAGCAATAGATACAAGGAATAAACATATATATATATATATATATATACTTGACTGACAAATAAAAACAATCCCTTGGACCTCTTCCTTCGAACCAAGGTTGAGTAGCTATTCGTATGATGCTTCCTGTCCAGAACGGAGGCGACATCACCCACTGCAGCCACCCGCCTCCGTCATGTCGAAGCTTCAACCTTCTGGAACATCCCGTGGCAATGGAATCATCTCTCTGACCTCATCGTGATGCCGGTCTAGAACTCTCCCTTGTCGCCGCCATAAACTATATATAATGGCGTGCTACAGGCGTCCGGGTCTGTTGATTCCCACACGGTCCTCAAGCCAAGCAAGCACTTAGCCAAGCAACTTCTTGACTGAACAATATCTTATTATATCCTTTTAAATCCTCAAATCATGGGCGACCCATGCACCTGCCCCGGCGCCAATAACTGTCCCTGCAACGGCCCCCAGTCTTGCACCTGCAGCAACAACTGCGCGTGCAAAGGATGCGGAGTATGTATCTCCTGGGCCTCTCGCGCAGGAAACTGGTGAGATTCTTGATAAAGGATGGATATGATGGCTGACCAGCACGTTGGTACAGAAGTAAATCCGTTTGGAACCTTGAAGAGCGATGAAGCCGTGGATCAGCGACGGAGTGAGTACGACATAATCTGGGGATGTAGTCTTGACGACTGCAGTAGTTACATGGTGGTGGTGTTGTTGATGATATCTTTTTTGCATACCTATAATATTAATAAAATCTAGTAATATTGAATTTATTTCATGTAACTCTATGTTGGTAAAATATATGTAATCATCTCCGTAACTCTCAGCTTGTGCTAGTAAAAACACTCAGGGCCCCTATGTACCTCGTCAATATCTACGAGTTCCTCTCATCCAAAGCGGCCTGAGACGCCTTCAAAGCGCCCGTGATGGTGAAACAAACAAACGGCGAGAGAATATACATCACCTGCTATATGTTAGCGAAAGCAAGACTCATTTCAGACCAGCAATAGGCCAGCGTACAGCCAGCGTCTTGGCCACAGCCATCTTATCTGCCTCAGAAACCTTTGCGAGCTCTGCAAACCCTGATATCACCAGTGCCGGAGGCCCAGCTGGCATCAACATCAGGCTGAACCATAAAACCGGGTCGTCGCGCACAAGGCCGGTATGCTTAGCCAAACCGTAGATGAGCGAGATGCTGATTCTAGATAGAGACCTCAACATAATCAGTTTGAGGGGGATTGCACAAGTATGCAGAAGTTTTGGGAAATGCACTTACGCAGGCCAGATAACCAGACGAACCAGGAAAATCGTCAGAATCGCCTTCTTCGGGATATTCCCTGAATTGCCGCTGGCTTTCATCCGCTGAAAGCTCGCCCCCAGCTTCCCGCCGACCACGAAGATCTGCAGCGTCGTGAACAACTTCCCGATGTTCCTGATACTCGACGTAAGCCAGGCGTTGAAAATCCCGCCCTCATCGTACGGGCTGAAAAACGCCCTGTGAAGCGGCGGCACGAGGCCCAGCGTGGCGCCGACGATGGTGCATATAATCGCCACATCCGCGAACGGAGACTCAAACGGCACCAGCAGCTCCTCTCTGACGCGCTTCGGCAGGAACGAAGACACGTATCGTGCTGCCCACTTGACCTTCCCGACGACCTTGCGGCGGGCTTTCTGCGCGCGCCCGGGGAGAAGCGAGGTTTCCTCATTGGCTTCCTCCTGGCTATCTGCCAGCCCTGCTTCAGCGTCCGTTTCTGGATTTTCGTCTCCGTCTTCATCGACTTCTGCTCCCTCGTGGTTCCCGTTCTCGAGCATCCGGGGCCCGACGGCGTAGCCGATCGTTTTGCTCACCACGGCGCAGACCAGGAAGTAGCTCTGGGCGCGCGCGATGGCGTTGGCCATCGAGTCGCCGTCGCGGATGATTAGCTTCAGGCTCCCTACGCTCTCGAGTGATTGGATGAGGAGGAGCGGTAGCGAGGTAGTGTTGTTGAAGGCACATGCCGGTGTTACCCAGGATGGGAGTTTCAGGAGTCGTGAGACGCAGTGCGCGAGTCCGATGGATGCAGTGGTGTAGACGACCGCCCATACTGTAGGCCAACACCACCGAGCTCGTTAGCATTTCCACTACACAAGGAGTGAATGGAGGGGTGTGATTCGGTTTTCCTCACCTAGAACGGGAACATAGTTCATGACAATGCCCAAATGTAATTGTTCGCCCAGATGTACGATGATCAGAGCCGGTAGAAACAGCTTCACGCTCAGGCCTGCCATGTCGCTGACCGAACTCTCCTTCACCAGATTTAACTGCTCTGCGATGGCTCCATAGCTCATAGTCAGTAGCACCGAGACACATGCTTGAAGGGCGCCGAGGAACGGCGTGAGGATAGAAGACCCTTTAGGCATAATTGATTCCGAGTTGAAAGTAGGAAACTTCTATTGCCACTATACACTGCTGGATTGGGGATTTCGTGCGCTTTATCATTCTTCTTTTTTTTTTAAAAAAAACTTATTACTTGATCTTGTCCGCAATGGATGTCGTCATCATGGCGGAACCAGGTGTACAAAGCGTGGATCTCCGTCGCTTGTGACAAGTTGCTGGGACTGAAGGAACTGGATTTCTGTTCAAAGTTCCAAGTATAACGTGGTGTGTGGCATGTGCTTTATATCAGATATAGGACAAGCTATCTACAGAGTAGTTGAATATCCTCATGTAGCATTGACTAAGTACTTCAAAAAAAAAAAAACAAACAAACAAACAAAGCCCATGATACAACAGAGACCAGAGTATAACTACAAAGCATTGGATAGGCTCAGTACTATCTATATCGAGATAGGCACTCGTTATTCACCTAAATGCCAAACACTGGTCCACCTGCCAATTGTCGCGCAACGAAGACCACTCCTCCACAGAGACTGGCCACAGTGACCACCACGATAAGAAGACCCGTGCGAGCCAACAATTCTACTCCGTAGTTAGTCTGCTCTGGTTTGCTGCGTTTCCCTAGTCGAGTTGTGCGGGTATAGAAAGGCACATATTTGAATTCAAAGATAGTCTCTTCTCCTAGACCCTTGTCCTTGTCGGTGAAGATGCTGTAGTAGCGCTTACGACGGAGCTGTGACACGCAAGACATTAGCACTTTGGATAGAAGCGGCTGGGCGAGAGCAAAGATTCTCACTTCAATGAACACTTGATCGATGGAGGGAAATAGCCTGAGAGTGTAGGCAAACCACATAGCCATCACGCAATATCCGTAAATGAGAGCCTGGTGGTAAAAACTGGGGCGCGGGATACCCAGCTCATCAGACAGCTGATTGCCGTTCAGATGTCGAGCCATGGCCTCCATGAATTCCTTCGAGGCGTATGTAGGCGCCGTGTTTTCAAGGCCAAGAATGATGTTTTGCGCCAGGACCTTTCCTGTCTCGCTGGGATTGATCTCTGACATCAGAAGAGACTCCATCATGACCTTCGCCACGGCTTGGGAACTCATGTAATCATGTGGCGTGCCCATGTAATATGCCACTAGCCTCCAGAGAGCGAGATAGTCATCGATTTCCTGGTTACGGATCAAAATCCCCTGTCGAGGCAGACCAGACCAGACCACACTCGTCGAGAAGATATTGATCGTTCCTATACAGTGAAGATCATTGATTGGGATACCGAGCTTGTCAACATCATAGTACTCAGGTTTGTGCTTCGCAAGGTTCAATATCCTAGAGCGAACGGCAGCGTGAAGCAATCTCACGCGGACCGATGAGGTCTGGCCCGCGCCCCCTGGTTTCATAGACTCCACAGATTGGACTACTTGGAGGATATGTTGGAGAGTTTCGAGCATTCTGCGCCTCGCCACGTCCGCAGAGAACCCACCAGTTCTAGATAGCGTTTCCACAACTCGGCCGGCTCCCCTAGAGAAGGTTAGCCTAGTCATCAAAGGGCCATATCATGAGGCATACATTCCACCCAGTAGACTCTGGAAGCTGAGCTATGTACGGGACAATCATGTCAGGATCTCGTTTGAGGCCGTAGCTCGTCTGGTGCTTACCGCATTCAGCATCGACATCCCATAACGATAAAATACATCCTGGCCCCTTTTGATCTGTTCCCAGTCGACCCAGTCGGGGACAGTGTTGATCTGTGTCCAAAGCTCACCAAGTTTCGGATCCTCACCATGATGTTTCTCAAGCAAAGCATATAGATCTCTTTTTGGTGATTTCGACGCTGGCTTTTCATTCTGCGCCACCACTGGACGAGGAACCTTCTTTGGGGGCGAGATCTCATTCAGCCGTTCAAGACAGTCATCTGCGAGCTTGTCGTAAGTGAACATCAACGGACGTAACTGGTCTGCGGATTGATGGAGATCTGTCGCTTCGAACTTATAACCCCATAATTCCCGCACATCCGGGGCCTTCTTCTCGGTTGGGATCATGTCTGGTAACGCAGCAAACGACACACTTCTCTCTGATCGAGGAGATGACTGGGTGGTGGATTAGAACCAGTGCCGTATACGCCAAGCGACACCTGATGACCCAGTATCATTCCTGCAACGACCCTTCCAACGACCACCTTTTATAGTGGTGCTGATATGCGCATGCCACATGAACTCAGCTGGAATGCTGACTTCTTTTAAAAGGTCAAAATGGACATAAACTAAAACCATGGATCAAGGTAGGCCACCAGCGGCAAGCCGGATTCGCGGTTCGACATGTGAATGCATATCTCTCCAGTCTAGAAACACGGTCAAATGATCTTGTGCGGGGGAGCCCAGAAAGCATACATAGATCAGGGGATATGGATGGACCGCAGAGTTGTGAACAAGACAGATGGAATTGGGTGACTCGATCAACATCTGTGGATGGATGAGGGGGTTTGGATGACGAACCATTCTTCAGAGGTTTGTTTCTGCCCCAGGCCACTACAGCCTCTTGGAGGGTTGTTGTTCTATGCACCTACGTGATTCAAGTGCAGCTCTATCAAGAAATGTTGACCTCGTCCCCGCAGAAGTGTCTTTGTCTTTGTTCTTGCGAAAGACAAAAAAGAGGGACGACGGTGACTGTTAGCTTCGCTTCTGGCATGTGTAGCCTCAAGAAGGCTGAAGACAAAGCGTCGGAGCTCAAAGTTTTCGTCTCAATAGAGTCATTATCTTGATCTAAAGGCTGGTTATATGTCGAAGGCATCTTCTAATACATTAAAGTCAAGAAGGGTTTCTAATGCTGTCCTATTGGTATGATTGAACTGAAACTCCTCCGCGCGAGTTGATGGCACTGTGGATGCGAAGGCAATATTGTCATGTTGTGCACTTGAAGCCTGCTGTGGACCAGATGATAACACATCTGGCATCAGCGTTCAATCGACTTCTCCGTTGATAGTCCAGAATCCGATCAACATTATGGTAATCAGCACTTGTTTTTGTTTTAGTGTGCCAATAAAGACCAAGCCGAGCTTGTAGGATGGCTGAGTAAATCCAACGGTCGTGGGCGCCTCCAAGCGACTTATGGCTTGATCTCAGCTGGAATATATCCTCATTTCCCATTTGAATCCTTCGTAAACCAAAAGCCAGATCCTATCTCACTGTTGATGCTGGGTTTGGGGCGACCTCGATTAAAAGCACGTCCCTCGCTGCTGGATCTGATTGCCAGTCGCGGCGTGGTCGATCTGTCCGAATCCAAGCCAAAGCCGTCATCACCGCCCGCACCGGACGACCTGCCACCGCTCCCCGTTTCGCCCACCTTGACGACCTCTAGCTCTAGCTTGAGCTGTCCCAGCAACCTCGAGCTTTCCTCTTCGCCGTCCACTTCGTCTACACCATCACCAGCTTTAGACAACATGGCTCCTTCTGGCAAGGACACAACTGGTGAGGACCAGCATGGCATTATCTTCTCCGTTTCCGGACCCGTCGTCGTGGCCGAGCACATGATCGGATGTGCTATGTATGAGTTGGTAAGCGGTTGTTGACGCATCTCATGTCGGAGAAAAGCCACTTGGACTAACAGAGGGTCTTCTTCAACTCTCAGTGCAGAGTTGGCCACGATCAACTAGTCGGAGAAGTGATTCGAATCGATGGAGATAAGGCTACCATCCAGGTCTACGAGGAGACAGGTACGGCTGCGCATCCACTACACCTGTCATGAACTTAACACCATCGGAAATCTGACATCCACATTCTTATTTTGATAGCTGGTTTGACGGTCGGTGATCCTGTTGCGAGGACGGGCAAGCCTCTCTCGGTTGAGCTTGGCCCCGGTTTGATGGAAACAATCTACGACGGTATCCAGCGACCCCTGAAGGACATCTCCGTGCAGTCGGGAAGCATCTACATCCCCCGTGGTATTTCGGTAAATGCATTGGATCGCACGAAGAAATGGGATTTCACGCCCGGCAAGTATAAGGTCGGCGACCACATTACCGGCGGCGACATCTGGGGTACCGTTTTTGAGAACAGCTTGGTGAACGACCACAAGATTCTGCTTCCTCCCCGCGCCAGAGGTACAATCACCCGGATCGCCCCCGCCGGTCAATACACTGTGGAAGAAAAGCTGCTGGAGATTGAGTTCAACGGTCAGAAGTCGGAGCACGGTATGATGCATACTTGGCCCGTCCGTGCGCCCAGACCGGTCAACGAGAAGCTGCCTTCCGATGCGCCTTTCATTGTCGGTCAGAGAGTGCTGGATTCCCTCTTCCCCAGTGTGCAGGGTGGTACTGTCTGCATTCCCGGTGCTTTTGGATGTGGTAAGACGGTTATCTCCCAGAGTGTGTCCAAATTCTCCAACAGTGATATCATTGTCTACGTCGGTTGTGGTGAACGTGGCAATGAGATGGCTGAAGTCTTGATGGATTTCCCCGAGGTACGAAACAGAGATTCACTTTTTTTACCAATATCACTTACTGACAAAGATCCCGGTGTAGCTGTCTATCGATGTTGACGGTCGCAAAGAACCCATCATGAAGCGTACATGCTTGATCGCCAACACTTCGAACATGCCTGTCGCCGCCCGTGAAGCTTCCATCTATACCGGTATCACGATTGCCGAATACTTCCGCGACCAGGGAAAGAACGTGGCCATGATGGCGGACTCCAGTTCTCGTTGGGCCGAGGCGCTGCGTGAAATTTCCGGTCGCCTGGGAGAAATGCCAGCTGATCAGGGTTTCCCTGCCTACCTGGGTGCTAAGCTCGCCTCGTTCTACGAACGTGCTGGCAAGAGTATCGCCCTCGGAAGCCCGGAGAGAATCGGCAGTGTCAGCATTGTTGGTGCCGTCAGCCCCCCTGGCGGTGATTTCTCGGATCCCGTCACCAGTAGCACCCTGGGTATTGTCCAGGTGTTCTGGGGTCTCGACAAGAAACTCGCGCAGCGGAAGCATTTCCCTTCGATCAATACGTCCATCTCGTACAGCAAGTACACAACGATCCTCGACAAGTATTATGAGAAGGAACACCCCGACTTCCCTCGTCTACGTGACCAGATCAGAGAATTGCTCACCAAGTCCGAGGATCTGGATCAGGTCGTCCAGCTGGTCGGTAAGGCAGCCCTCGGCGACTCCGATAAGATCACCCTCGACGTGGCCGCCATGATCAAGGACGACTTCCTGCAGCAGAACGGTTACAGTGATTACGATCAGTTCTGCCCCCTCTGGAAGACTAAATATATGATGAAGGCGTTCATGGGATTCCATGATGAGGCTCAAAAGGCCATTGCGCAGGGACAGAGCTGGCCCAAGGTTCGTGACGCCACAGCTGATATCCAAGCTTCCTTGCGCAATATGAAGTTCGAAGTTCCCGACAATGAAAAGACGGTCTCGGAGAAGGTTAGTTCTAGTCCTTTGTTGTAAGCCCGTGTATGTTCTATGGTACTAACCAGGCATACAGTATGAGAAGATTCTCCAGACCATGTCGGAGCGGTTTGCTTCGGTGTCGGATGAGTAAGGCGGAAGTTCAGCGCCGGTGGGAGGATGCTTTTTCATTATCTATTAGAAGCCTATATCATAGCAATCTTGAGTTTTTCTTTTTTGTAATTATTCTAACACTTATGTCGATTCCGCAGACAGGAATTTGACTTCAAATCTGGATATGACCCCTCGCATCTTGACTCTACCCAGGGTTCAGTTAACTTTGGGTATTTACTCTGCCACGAAAGGCTGGGGGAGGGTCAAATTTAGCTGGCGAGTAAGTCTTATCTAGCTAGCTAATGCTCAATAAATTTCGAGAATGGATAACCTCAAGGACCAAATAATTCAGGATCAATGTCGAATGATGTGTCGTTGTCTTTGTTCTACCTCCTGTGTAGCGTCCAGGCAGTACTCGTATAACTCCTCAGCCACAGCATTCTGTTAGGCACCACAGTTCAGCGGTATTGAGTGGCCAAAGCCACATGACGCGTTCGGTGGTCCTCACAAGCAACCAAATCTTCTGTTTTGGGTAAACCATCACTTTCTGTGCATTTCATCCTACCTGGAGTCCTGTTGCAATTCGAATCCTTTTGCAGGAGAACATCTCTGCCTAATTCGTGGCTCATCAGTTGAGCAACTGTCTCCGTTGCCTATCTACTTAGTAGTAGATACTGCTATCTGAATCTGGACCACAAGCGAAACTCTTACACTTGGCCGCAACCCGAACGTCTCCCGCTCTTTCCTGCCCACCCTCACCACCTGCATCCGTGCAAAAGACATTTCCTCACCTATACCCCCTTCTTCTACTCGATATCTCCGCTTCTTCTTGTGAGATAACTTTGTGCGATCGCTCTTCCTACACTTCTGCCAGCCATGGCAACCCCGACAACCTCGTGCGCAAGCCCCCTGTTCCCCCCCCATGGTCAAGCTCCGAACTCACTAGCTAACTGGAATGATGGTGACAGTATAAACGTTAATGATCCTGGCTTGATTTCACTTGTGAACAAGCTCCAAGATGTCTTCTCAACTGTTGGAGTAAGTGCCCGTCCACATTGCTGAGTTCTCATGGTTGTGATGTCTCAAGCCCCTCATGTCCGGAGAACTGAACTGACACCGCTCTTCCGGTCAGGTTCACAACCCCATCGACTTGCCCCAAATTGTCGTGGTAGGCTCGCAATCCAGTGGCAAGAGTTCCGTTTTGGAAAACATCGTTGGGAGAGATTTGTAAGTCACCGACTGCTTTCTGCGCATCTGTTTGTAGCTTCTGTGCGTTGAGGCTAACCAGCTGTTGTCCGACGGCTTCAGCCTCCCTCGTGGTTCGGGAATCGTGACTCGGAGACCCCTTGTCCTACAGCTCATCAACAAGCCTTCGAGAAAATCGTTAACAAACGGAGCCAAGGAAGAGAAGCTGGAAACTACGGATAGCGAGGCGAACGTCGACGAATACGGCGAGTTCCTCCACATTCCCGGGCAGAAGTTCTACGATTTCAACAAGATTCGCGAGGAGATTGTGCGGGAAACTGAACAGAAAGTCGGTCGCAATGCCGGTATCTCGCCAGCGCCCATCAACCTGCGCATCTACTCCCCCCACGTTCTGACCCTCACACTCGTCGATTTGCCGGGTCTGACCAAGGTTCCGGTCGGCGACCAGCCCAAGGACATTGAGCGCCAGATTCGGGAAATGGTTCTGAAGTACATCAGCAAGCCCAACGCTATCATCCTTGCGGTAACGTCGGCTAATCAGGATCTCGCCAACTCGGACGGTCTGAAGCTGGCGCGTGAGGTGGATCCCGAGGGCCAGCGCACCATCGGCGTGTTGACCAAGGTTGATCTGATGGACGAGGGCACCGATGTAGTGGATATTCTTGCAGGCAGGATCATTCCCTTGCGTCTGGGCTACGTTCCGGTGGTCAACCGCGGTCAGCGCGATATTGAGAATAAGCGTCCCATTTCATACGCCCTGGAGAATGAGAAGAATTTCTTCGAGAACCACAAGGCTTATCGGAATAAGGCTTCGTACTGTGGAACACCATACCTGGCTAGGAAGCTGAATCTGGTGGGTATCCTCGATCATTGCTTATGAACTGCAGCTAACTCTACGATTTGTAGATTCTTATGATGCACATCAAGCAGACTTTGCCTGACATCAAAGCGAGAATCTCCGCCTCCCTTCAGAAATACTCGGCCGAACTTTCCCAGCTTGGTGACTCGATGCTCGGAAACAGCGCCAACATCATCCTGAACATCATCACTGAATTCAGCAACGAGTACCGCACGGTTTTGGAGGGTAACAACCAGGAACTCTCTAGCATCGAGCTTTCGGGTGGTGCCCGTATCAGCTTTGTCTTCCACGAGCTTTATTCCAATGGTATCAAGGCGGTGGATCCCTTCGATCAGGTGAAAGATATCGACATCCGAACGATTCTCTACAACTCGTCCGGCTCGTCTCCTGCGCTGTTCGTCGGAACGACAGCTTTCGAGCTGATTGTCAAGCAGCAGATTAAGCGACTGGAGGATCCGAGCTTGAAGTGTATCTCGCTGGTTTACGACGAACTTGTACGCATTCTTGGTCAACTGCTGAACAAGCAACTCTTCCGGAGGTATCCCATGCTCAAGGAGAAATTCCATGCTGTCGTTATCAGCTTCTTCAAGAAGTGCATGGACCCGACCAACAAACTTGTCCATGACCTTATCTCCATGGAGGCCTGCTATATCAACACTGGACATCCAGACTTCCTCAACGGTCATCGTGTAAGTTACTTCGGAATCTTTTTTTTTTGTGCCGTTTAAATTCTGACTGGACACAGGCTATGGCTATTATCAACGACCGCCAGCAGGCTAGCAAGCCGACCCAGGTGGATCCGAAGACAGGGAAGCCTTTGCCGCCTCGTGCCAACAGTCCATCTATCGATTTGACTCCGGCGGAAGGCAATGGATCTGGATTCTTCGGCAGCTTCTGGGCCTCGAAGAACAAGAAGAAGATGGCTGCCATGGAGCCCCCACCACCTACTCTCAAGGCGTCTGCCACTCTTTCCGAGCGCGAGGTTACCGAGGTCGAGGTTATCAGTAAGTCAAGACAACTTTTCCCCGCAGCAGAGCACTTGACTAACCAATTATATCAGAGCTGTTGATCACCTCCTACTTCAACATCGTCAAGCGTACCATGATCGACATGGTCCCTAAAGCTATCATGTATACTCTTGTCCAGTAAGTCCATCTACCCCGCTGGATATTTCAGCAGTGCTAATCTTTTGTCACAGGTTTACCAAGGATGAGATGCAGCGTGAGCTCCTCGAGCAGATGTACCGCAATTCCGAACTGGACGACCTGCTGAAGGAAAGCGATTATACCATCCGTCGCCGGAAGGAATGCCAGCAAATGGTGGAGAGCCTGAGCCGTGCCAGCGAGATTGTCAGCCAGGTTCAGTAAACCCCCGATGTCCCTCGGCCGTGCGCGTCTTGATTTCCTCATTGATTCATCTTCGATACTTGCCGGCTCGTCCTGGATGTTTTTGGAGCGGATTCTTGTGTCAGCTTCGAGGAGTTATACCCTACGCTTATATTTCTTGTCACCGCAAGGGCTCTCGAGAGGCTCTCCATTGCAATATCTCCCTTCAAGTGTTCGGTTGTCACGAATTTGTATTGCCTAATGATTGCTGTGAATGATTTTTTTTTTGTTTCCTTATCAATTTCCTAGAATCAAGACAGATTATGCGAGATGGCCATCATTTCCTTCCATCAGCATGTACAGTATTGTTGACTACGCCATTGTGCACCATTCTTGAAGCAGCAAGCTCGCTTTGAAAACTTGACTCTTTTGGCGGCGTTGTAAATTTGCCGTAAGATAGCTGCAATGTGCCTGATACTATCCTAAATAAAGTACTTAAATCCTCTCACCAAAACAGTTTAGCACCACTGTTTACGGTGCAGCAGGTGACTTTGAAGCCGTTTCTGAGCGTCCACAGATTAGTATAGGGGTATAGTCAATGCCAATACTGCTTCTATGGTCATCAACTACCCTCCACCTCTCCCACCAACCCACAACAGGCTGCACCGCACAACCCACCCACATCGTCGCGGTGAAGCTCTACGTCGCCTCCCTGCAAATCCCTGAACAACCACACCGAGACCCAAGACCGCTGCGAGGACAAGGACTGTCGGGCTACCGGGCACGCTGCGGCGCAAGCCACGCCCTGTGCTCAGTCCTATTCATCCACAGCACTGTGTCGGTAGACATAATGCCATCCTTCCTTGGCGATATCCTCTCGCACCCGGTAATTGTCCTCGGCAATCTTCAACAGCCCCAGATCCATCTCCACGACGAGCACCCCATCCTCGCTCCCCATCTTCCCTACGGGGCCCACAATGGGCAGCGTGACGCGCGACATGCCCAGGAACTTCTCCGCCGGGCCCGCGGCATTGACGAAGATGATGCCGCATGTGTTTTCGAAGCAGCGCGACGTCAGCGTTGTCTCGAGAAAGAGCGCCTCCGAGTCGGGGTTGTGCGCCAGTGCTTCGGGGGAGGCGTCGTGCCGAGTCCCTGCGTTCCTGTTAGCTGTTTGGGCCGGTTCCTGACGTCCGCGTCCGCGGACACAAGGGGGCGAAATATTTAGTCAAAAGAAACATACAGTACGTAGGGATAATCACCACCTCGGCCCCGTGGGCGATGAGTTCCCGGAACGCTTCGGGGAACGCAAGGTCCCAGCAGATCAGCAAGCCGACTTTTCCGATTGGCGTCTCGAAGACCTCGTGCGGCGCTTCGCCGGAGGAGGTGAGGTGCGGCCGCTCCGGATGCCAGATGTTCTTCTTGCGGTAGGAGCCGATGATGCTGCCGTCGTTGGAGATGAAGTAGGCTGTGTTGTAGAACGCGAATTCGTTCGCGCCTGTCGCGTGTCGCTCGACAATGCTGCCGGGCACGAGACAGATGTGGAGCTCCTTTGCGAGAGCTTGGTAGGCGGCTACGTATCGCTTGTAGTCGCCGGCTTGGACGGCCCATAGCGGATCATCGGGTGCCCAGCCGCTGAGATGGTATCTAGCATGGCTGAGCTACCACCCATGTCTCGTCTTGTTGGGTGAAACGGGGGTTAGGACGTACTCTGGTAATACGGCGAGCTCGGCGCCTTGGGCGGCCGCGTCTCGGATGTAGTTGCATGCTCTGGTATGGTTCTCTTCAATAGCAAGATCCTATACATATTCGGAGATGTTAGATTGTGGCATATGTCAGTATCTGAGGGACCGTCTCGGTGTGCCCTTCGTGGTGAGGTGACGTAACTCACCTTGATATGCCATTGAATCACCGCGACTCTCCGAATCGGGGCCATCTCTGAGTTAGGATGGGTGTATGGTCACCTCTTTCAGATGAATCATATATATATACAAAGCCAATTGGGTAATTATCAGGTCTGACAAGCATTAAGGAACTCTTCGCAAGTTGATGGCGGTTGTTGGTGAGGGAGTTGGAGAAGGAAACATATTGGAGTATCGTGCGGGGTTACGTTCTACTGCCCCGCGTTGGGGTTAGTTTTCGATATCCAGTCTCTCACTTCAAGGACAGACTGAAGGATTTTGAGGCCGATCAGTCATGTTTATGGAAGGCATACTGGATGGCTCCACTCAGGTACCAAGGGAAGGACCTTGGGGGAACTCGTGAACAGAGACACGCTGATCTTATGTACTATATACTCTCGGGAGCTCATATGACATGCTCAATAGGGATGAAGATCTACATTCTCGGGGGCATGGCTCTGCCATATGATTTGATAGGGAGGACTAGCAGGTACCTACTGTACCTTGCGCATGGAAAAGAACCAGCACGCACACGAACAAACTGCAATGAAGTGCAATATGCATAGATATCAAAGCGAGAGACTGGGATTGACTAGATAACATAGAACAAGTTCTGCACCAACATATGTGAAACATTCAGCTCCCTCCCCCACTTCCCAATGCGATATAGTATCAGCCGTGGTTGAAGAACGACCAATGGCAAACTATATCCCTCTGCAAGCCCATCTAATGAGAGCAGAGCTTCAGGTCACCCTGGTTCTCCCTCGTGTGGGCAACAATGCCGCAGAACACCTTGTTAGGATAGGTGTAGATGACCCGTGCCGGGCCGGGGTCCTCCTTGGGCTTCTTCGAGTCGAAATTATACTGGTGTCCATCGGGGAATGTTGGGAACTCCAGTAGGTAATGGTCATTCTTGCCATCACCATTCTTGCTGTGCTTGGGAGGGCGGTCGCAGTCCGAATTTCCCCACTTGATGGGCGTGCGGCCCTTGAGGATCTTTCCATCGCCGTCGTAGCCGTTGGTGAACCAGTGAGGATAGCTGCTACCGGTCTTGCCGTCGGAGAGAGGCGCGTGGTGGGCGTTGCTCTCGGCATTGTTCTGGTTGTAGAGGAGGCGCTTGTTCTCATACTTGTTGGTCTTTGGGTTTTTTTGCTCGTTCATGCAAGTCCAGGTCTGGAGACATTGGGTCAGTGAGTATTTTCACAGATGGTACTTTTTTTTTTTTTTTTTTTTTTTTTCAAGAAGTTACTTACCGCCGCGCGCTCCTCGAGAGGCGAAGGCATCGCAAGGGCGGTCACGGCCGTGAGGGCCACCAGGACGAGGTTCTTGATTGCGACCATTTTGGATGTGGTTAAGATGCTTGAGATCACGATCTTGGGTTTTCCTGGGAGAACCGCGAGGATCTAGCAGCTTTTATATGTGCTCTAGCTGACTCGAGATACTCCATTGACGCAGCTCGATGTGGGCGACTTGAAGCATCCTATGCATCTCATATGATAACGGATCCGCATCCTTGTGTGCCGCTGCTGATTTCGTGGGGGCCGAAGCTGGAAATATGGTATTCCTGTGAAGTTTTGATGATCACAGGAGTTAAGGCGCCTTGGCAGGTTGTATCACACTGAAACCAAGACACCATCACATAACTGAAGGAATCGAGGCTAGCCGAATGAGAAAGACAAGATGTCCAACTTCATGCATGTCAGCTTTACCATCACCTTTAGGTGATGGTAAAGTAAGGCTGAATGGATCGCCCTTGCATGAATAGCTATTGAGGTATATCGTTGACGAAGCCGACTGGATCAAAACACTGCGCTGTTGCCTGATGCTGATGAGCTTCTGGCCCCAGACCTGCAGCCTTGGGTCACATCGGCCCCTAAATGTCTGAGGCTGAGATTCCGAAGTCGACTATTATTTCGCGGGATCTCTGAGTCAGACAATATCCTCATCGATGGTGATTACTTTTCTCTCTTTTGTTTTCTTTTCCAAGCGTTCTGGTTTCTCACAAATCTCACCACATATCCTTTGTTTCTGGTTCCCGTCTGACCCCTCCCATCCCATCACTCTCTCTGGAATTTTTCTTTTTTTTTCTTTCTTCTCCAAGTTAGTTTCTCACACAAAACCATCTCATCATGTCTCTCCATCTCGAACTCAAAGACGACGACCCATGGTTCGTTGAAGAGAAGATATTTGACGTCTTGAAGAACTACCTACAAGACCCTACCGTATCCCCCACCATTGCATCCCAAGCACTGGACAGGTTGTTCCCCGCAAATCGTCCAGATGAGGACCAGCCGGCAGACGAGCCCCGCGAAGAGCCCGGCAGCTTCCTCTGGCATTTCTGGGATGTTTTCCACCGGGTGGCTCAACAAATTCCCTATGATCGACCAGAGCAGGAGAGACTTGTGCAGCTCGTCAAAACGCTGAAAGGCCTATCTTCCCAGGCCAAGACTGTGTATCTGGCGTCGTGGGATCAAACTTTCGACTTGTGGGAAGACCTGCCGATGCTGGGCCCAACTTATCGGGAGACGTATGACCGTAGGACAGCCCTTTCTCACTTTTTGGTGTTTGGTGTTCTTTGTCTGTGATGTTGACAAAGAGACAGGCATGACTTCGTTTGACACCCAAACAGAGCGTGAAAGCTGGCAGAATCTCAACGCTTTCGCTGCGCGCTTGACCAGGGATGACTCTGCCGATCTGAGTCTCTTTGGCAAGAGCTCCCTGGAGGCCCTCGCCGATGACGATCTGAAGCAGGAGTCTGTGGATGACGTCTCCAAATCTAACCTAGAATGTACAGCTATCGTAGCAGCGGAGTGGGTCCTACAATGTGGGCAGAAACTGGTGGATCGGGATGAAGATAGCGTCAGCCCGGAGACCTGGGAGAAATGCAAGAAGCGCTTCAAGAGTATCGCCGATGAGAAATCGACAGGAGAGACGGCATGCGCGCATGCTGAAAGAGCCCAGAAGGCTATTGCGAAGCTGGAGGGGCCAAGAGTGCAGAACTCCGTTTGAAGCGATTTACAGCGTCTCCAGGATGGAGTTAGTGGTTAGTGATTATGATTGATGTTCAAATTACTCTGGTACATGTAAACAGACACCAGACTTGCCTAGTAATGAAGTGAAATGACAAGCTGCATCTCTCTCTGCTATAAATAATCCAACTGATTATTGAATGTCGAGATGGTCGCGTGACCCACGCACTGACTGACTAGTCGCCTGGCTCGCCAAGAGACGAATAAGCAAGGAACAGGCCAAGAATTGGGCTGATGGCTTCGACTGAGTTTCTGTAATAATAATCATCGTAGGTCTGTCTACATACAATTTTAACATTCATCATGGCTCCGTTGACAGCGACAGAAGTCCTCGCTCATCCGGCGTACAAGACTGTGAACTGGAATCTCCCTCCCACTACCTCGGGACGGGTTCCCGTGGCACAGAATCGTCGTGGCGGTCCGATCAATATCAACTACGAGATCCATGGCTCTGGGCCCGTGAAGTTAGTTGTAAGATCTATCACCCCCATGCACCTACACTCCCCAGCTCAGCGTGAATCTACCTCCAATTCAGGACTCCCATGACTGACCCGATGACAGTGGATTATGGGCCTGAATGGCACTCTGCACGACTGGAAGCGCCAGACCAAGTATTTCGGCCATCTCCACAGCTCCAAATACTCATGCCTGGTCTACGATAACCGCGGTGTCGGCCGCTCCGACAAGCCCACCTGCTTTTACTCAACGAGCGAGATGGCCCGCGACGCCGTGGATCTCGTCTCCGCGGTCGGCTGGATCGATCTAAACGCGGCCCCGACACGATCCATCCACGTCATCGGCGCCAGCATGGGCGGCATGATCGCCCAGGAGGTCGCGATGCTGATCCCCGACCGGCTCGCCAGCCTGTCGCTCTGCTGCACGGCTCCACGGCTGGTCCGCACGACGCCGTTCTTCGAGAACCTGCAGCGGCGCGCGAGCATGTTCATCCCGCGGCCCGTGGACGTGGAGATCGACCGGATCGCGCAGTCGTTGTTTGCGAGCGAGTTCCTGATGGAGCCGGATACGGAGAATGAGGATGCACGGCTGAATTTCCCGACGAAGCGGGATCGCTTCGCGGCGGCCCATTTGGGGAAGAAGGCGGATACGGAGTCGTTCACGCCCAAAGGGTTCATGTTGCAGGTGACCGCTTGCTACTTCCATCATAAGTCGGCGGAGCAGTTGAGGGCGCTTGGGGATGCGGTGGGGAGGGAGCGCATTGCGGTGTTGCACGGGACGGAGGATCGCATGCTTACGTTTCGTCACGGGGAGATTCTGAGGGATGAGATTGGCGAGGGGATCAGGTGGAAGGTGTTTGATGGTGCTGGGCATATGCTGGGGTGGGAGAGGGAGCAGGAAGTCAATGAGTTGATGCAGGAAATAGTGGACCGATGGAGTTGATGCTGTCATGCATATATATATATCTATCTACTACGAGATACCACTGGAAATATGTTTGGTTTTCTCTCGGTCTCCACTATCCGGGATCTGAGACAAAGGGAGATATGTGTATATACTCTAAGACTTTCAATGCGTATGGTAAAATGAAGCTCTGTTTCAGACAACAACAAATACTTAGTTTTTCTTGGGGAAACGGGATATGACCTGAGCCGCCTGCATACGACATATCGAATCCTCAGAGAAAGCTGGTGGTGTAACCATTGAAGCCACGCAGGTCTGAGGTCACCTGCCATCACGGAATGACCTCATCCTGACCATGTTAAAGGCAACCATTCGTTCTCCCTTGGAGTCAGCTTTGTCCATCCACTTGACCCATTCGCGAGCAGTCATTTGACGAAACTCCCGATTTGACTTCTACGAGTTTAAAAGCATCGCTCGTCTACAACACTGCATCCCCAGGATCATCCTCACAACCACGTCAGAAATGGCCGAGCCTAACAAGATTCAAGAAACTCCTCCGAAAGGAGAATACCATCCAGCCGGACCGGATGACCTGCGATCCCCATGTCCAGTCCTCAACTCCCTCGCCAACCACGGCATCATCGCCCGAGACGGACGCAACATCACCGCCGCTGAGCTGAAATCCGCCGTGAGATATCTCGGCCTCGGCATCGACGTCGCCACCGTCCTCGTCAACGGATCCTTCCAGGTCCACTCCGATGATCCCAAGAAAACAGGCGACGGGGCACGGCTAGGCCTCCGCGACCGAGACCAAGTCAACAAGGACGGCGTCCCCGTCCTGAACCTCGACCAGGTCGGCCGCCCCCACGCCACAGAGCACGATGTCTCCATCACGCGGCAAGACCGCGCCCTGGGTGACTGCATCCGCGCGGACCCGGTCCTCCTGAAACGATTCCTTGCGGCGCCGCGCGCCGACCAGGGATACAGCGCGTCGGATCTTGGGCGGTATCGCAAGACGCGGTTCGAGGAGCAGCGGAGCGAGAACCCGGAGCTGGACTTTGATCGGCAGAAGCATTACATTGCGTGTTTGGAGGTGGGGGCGATCGAGTGTGTGTTTGGGGAGGGGTTCCCGTACCGCGTGCCGGAGAGGTATATCCAGGCTCTCTTTGCGGAGGAACGGTTGCCCCTTGATCAGGGGTGGAAGCCTAGGCGGATCCCGATGATGCTCCTGGAGCTTGGGGTGGTGGTGTTGAGGATTTCGCATTTTGCTTGGCCATTTTAGGGACGGTGTGTGGTCTGTTGGGGGAGGGAGCGGAGAGGGTGCTGATTAGTATGTAGTTCACATTCGGTTTTAATGAGATTGATTTTAGATCCTCTATGTGGTTGATCGCGGACTTGTTGTTTCTTTTGGTTGCTAACATATTGTCAACGTAGATGAAATTCTGTATCCCACTAACTAGGATCCGGATACCTTTTTAGTGTAGCGGTATTACACAGATTTCAATTCTACGACACATATCTTTGTCGACAAATTTGGCTGCTTCCTTGAATCGAAAGTGTTATATTCCAACGAATACCATAGAATGTTCTGATGACCACGTGGTCGCAGGTATTCCCGGGAATTCGAAGGTCCCAGATTGATTTGCCTACGTAGTATACTCTATAGGCTCTAGGCTATTGGCTATAGCTATGCCCCAAGAGATGAAGCGCTACGGAATCCCCCGATCGGGTGTGTCTTGTGGGGGCGCCTAACGCTGAGATGCAGTGCAAGGCAAAGGCAATCAATCCAGTAGTAACCAGTAAGCTTATTATTGACATAAATGACCACTCAATCTCAACAGTGATGATGCATCACAGCCAGGATTCTCACCCACAGCTGGGCCAACCGATGTCGTGAAATACTGATCACAACAAAAGGGAGGTAGAATTCAACCGACCGGTTCTCTTAATTTATGGAGTCCCGAGTCCGAGAGTGTCCGAGTGATTTGGGTTTTCTGTTTTTTTTTTTTTTTTTTTTTTTTCTTTTTTCTTCTTCGAGTCGCGATACAGGGCAGAAGCTTAATGCAATTAAAGTGCGTATTTGGGGTATTGAGAATAAGTGTTCCATGCTGCTCCACCTGGAAAACTACGGAGTATGGTCGATTTGCATTACATGTGAGTGTGTCGAGTGAACAAATCCGGTGTGGGGTATTTTTAATTCAGAAGGTATTTTACTTTTGTCTCTCCTTCCACCTGGCACTTGTATTACTGTGTAATTCAAGCTACCTATCTTGTCTGAATTCTTTAGGTAAAACTAGCTTATCATCCTTATCTATGCAGAGCTAGACGTATCCAGTATGATCTACATCACGTAACCTGAGCGCATCAGGGGGGTTAGATAGATAAAGGTTGCAGGGTTGAAGCAAGATTACTACCTAGAATACTGGCTTTAACCCTCGTCTCAATCTCTGGTTATTCGCAGCGATTGCAGCTGTGGCGTATGCAGATATCCTGGTAAGGCCACGCCAAGAGCGACAACAACGGTCGTAGGTACTGCTGTGGCCTGTGAGCGTGTACTCCGTAAGTATACCCCGTAAGGATCAATTACCGTAAGAATACCACTCCAATGGTCCAGTCTGGCCGGTCGCAGCCACCACCACATGAGAATCTCGGCCGTGATTGGCAAAGCGCTATGATTACCGCATGGTTATTTTTATTATCATTACCTGCCTTTAGTCTAGTCGTCTACCTAGTCGTTACACTGTCCTCGACAAACCGAGGGCTGATGAAGAAGGCTTCCCGCAACAACGTCCATAATAATTCTTTAGCAGACGGACTGATGGATTTCTGTTTCTGTTTCTTATGGGGAAAAGCTCAAAAGCTAACTGAACTGCCCCAGTTGCGCGATTAATCAATTGATTGTCTCTCGCATTGTTATTGCGATACGCAAAAAAAAAAAAAATACTAACTCTCGCTCAGCCCCGGCATGATTTTTCTCCTTCCTGGTCCTACGGATACCTCGTAAACTCAAGCCATTTCTTGCCTCCCATCTTCTTCGTCCATCATTCTCGTCTAATCAGATACTCTTCATTCTTCCTCTTGCTCGATTTTTGTATTTGAGCTTGATTCTCCTTTTCTCTTCCCCTACCTCTTCTTCCTCGCTCCCTGCGGCCAGCCGCAACCTTCAAATTGGTTCTGCCTGATTTCTCCTGCTCCACCATGTGCTTGGCTTTTATAAATGGCTGCCTCCTCCTCCTGAAATACTACTTCCCAGTGACTAGAGGCTAATACTGGTCATTTCTGGGTGTTGTTCTTCATCTATCCTGATTTCCTGCGTTTGCGCGCAGCCTCAGGATATCGCAGAGACGGAACTTTTTTGTGTGGTAGATCCCTCGTGTGGCGGCTGATCATCACATCCGATTGACCTCTCTTCTACCCCTCCGCATTACCTCAACAATTTTGGTCTTCCGCTGTCACGGACCTTTCGATCATAGCAGATTCCTCGTGGTTGATTCCGGGCTGTCTCTGCGAGGCGGCCCCGTTCGTCCCGTCGCGATGTATTCCGCCATCCTTCCCAAGGTGGCTGCGTTGAAGTCCCGCATTCCGCTGCTGAAAGGGCTTCGTCTCAACTTTATATTGATCCATTACATCTACATCATTGCCATGTCATTGATCACTTCGATTATTATCTATCCAGGAAGTGAACTCGACTATATCGATGCTCTTTTCTTCTGCGCCGGTGCCGCAACCCAGAGTGGTTTGAATCCGGTCGATGTCAACAAACTTAGAACATACCAGCAGGTTATCCTCTATTCCTCTTCCATGCTCACCACGCCGATCTTTATCCACTCCGTCCTCGTCTTCATCCGGCTCTATTGGTTCGAGAAGCGGTTTCAACATATTGTGCAGGATGCTCGAGCGCTGCGCCAGACCAGAACCCGAAACCGCACGATCAGTCAGGATAAGGATACTGGCTCACTGAGCAGAGAAGAAGCCGGTATTGGTGGTCGGCCGATTGTGGTTTTGCGCAACAACGTACAGGATTTCGCGCACAGAGATCAAGAGTCGGCTGTCCCGACTCCGCGAGACTCGTCCCCTGGGTCGCCGTCCCAAGCCGACAGTGCGTCTAGTCTGGAAAACCAGAACAACAGGCTGGGACTGGGGCTGGGGCTGGGCAGCTTGCGGGTACCAACGCAACTCGACCCGGAGCATCACATCGCCTTCCTGGAACAACAACGGAAGAATAAAGGAGCGTTGCGCATTCCGAGTCCTCGAGAGTATGACCGCGGCGGTGTTCCGGAGGTCCTCGAGGAGGCTGATGAGGGGAATGAGGACAAACAGGCGCCCAGCATTGACTCCGATGATAGCGCACGAAGCATGGAGGATTCCGATCAGGTCGGGCCGCTGGACGGGCCGCATATTACCATCAACGAGCCGGACATGCAGCGAACGAAAACGAGAAATTCCACCTTTCCCCAATTGGACACTCGACCCACCTTTCGTGAAACCAAAGATCTCGAGGATACCTCGCCTCTGGGGCGTACGGGCACGAGACGCCCTACGTTCAGCAATATTGTACGCTCTCTGACGCAGGAACGAGAACGTACAACGCTTCCTTACCTGAGCTGGAACGCTACTGTCGCACGGAATTCTAACTTTGTCGACCTGACTGAGGAGCAGCGTGATGAGCTCGGAGGTATCGAGTATCGAGCCTTGAAAACCTTGGCGATTGTCCTCATTTCATACTACCTATTTTTCCACATTTTTGGCATAATCTCCCTTGTTGGTTGGATTATGACCACCCACTGGGGTACAGTCGTGGAGGAAATTGGTCAGGGTCGCCCCTGGTGGGGTATCTTCACTGCAGGGTCGGCCTTCAATGATGTCGGCTTCACCCTTACTCCTGATTCCATGAGCTCATTCCAGACGGCCGTGTTCCCCCTTCTGCTGATGACATTTCTGATTATCATCGGCAACACCGGCTTTCCGTGTATGCTACGCCTGATCATCTGGGCCCTGTCCAAAGTTGTCCGACGGGAAACCGCCATCTGGGAGGAGCTCAAATTCCTCCTGGACCACCCGCGCCGATGCTTTACCCTACTCTTTCCTCGAAACGCAACGTGGTGGCTTTTTGCAATTCTCATCGCTCTGAACGGTATCGATCTGATCTTCTTCATCATTCTGGACTTGAACGACCCGACTGTCACCGCCTTGTCCCCTGGAATTCGTGTGCTCGATGGTCTTTTCCAGGCCGCATCCACGCGAACTGCAGGGTTCGGTGTCGTGAATGTGGCAAACCTTCACCCTGCGATTCAGGTCTCTTACATGATTATGATGTATATTTCTGTTTTCCCGATTGCCATCTCCATGCGACGAACCAACGTGTATGAAGAGAGAAGTCTGGGCATCTATGCGGGAGGTGATGAAGATGACTCCTCCGACACCCATTCTCCACCAAGTTATATCGGGTTCCATTTGCGAAGGCAGCTGAGTTTTGATCTGTGGTATGTTTTCTTGGGACTGTTCATCATCGCCATTGTCGAGGGCCCGCGCCTTCAGGCCGTGAACGAGTACGCTTTCCAAATGTGGGCGGTTCTTTTCGAGATCGTCTCGGCCTACGGCACCGTTGGGCTATCACTTGGCTATCCCGGTGTCAATACGTCCTTCTCCGGTCAGTTCAAAGTAATATCCAAGCTGGTCATTATTGCCATGCAGGTCCGCGGTCGCCATCGTGGTCTCCCGTATGCGCTGGATCGTGCGATTTTGCTTCCGTCTGAGTCCCTCCAAGACAAAGAAATCGCCGACGCGGAGAAACGGATGCGTCGTCGCAGCTCCAACCTCAGTACCATGTCTGACATGAACCGGACGTTCTCGCAATCTCGGGCCGAGAACGGTGTGAGCACCGGCTTAGAGAATAAGGACAAGGACAAGGACAAGGGCCGGAATAGTCATTCATGGATGAACGGTGACAATATCATCCGTCGCCACTCCACACTGCGTTCCTCGAGGTCCCAACGATAGGAGGGTTTGTCATTTCAGAAACATGTATAGAAGGGAGGCGTTTGTTTGGACTCGTTCGTCGTGGTTGTATTCCACAGCCTAATCAGGGCCGATTCTGTTTTGCGAGCGATGAAGTGACCTGAAGCATTTTCAACAGTCTGGACGACTGCTTGACTCACCTTGTCCATAGATACATAATACTATAATCCACGCAGCCGGCTGTGTGTTCGTCTGGCCTATTTTTCTTCACTATCTATCTACCTAGTACCTTATCCAGTTCCTCAGAACCGTGTAGTCCGACGAATAGAAAGCAGGTGCGTTTCACGGAACCCAAAGGACGACGCCTACAAAGTACAACAAGGCGACAAGCACAACGCGTCCCCTTCCGAACGCTCCACCACTCCACCGGTCCGTTCTGAGCCATTTTTTTGCTGTCCCAATCCCCACATGGCCAGACCGGGTGAATTCTCTGCAGTCTGCGCCTCTACACTTCGACTCTTGCGTTCTGCGGTCAGGCATCGTCCTTAGCTAATGCGCTTCTACTTGTAGATTGAGTTGTGTACGATTCGGAGATGGCCCTTTTTTTTTTTTTTTTTTTCGGTAACCCGATGCCATCGGCTGTCCAGTCGGCAGTCACTAGTGGAGTATAATAAACTGTGGACTGGAGATATGAGTATTGTTGGTCTTGGCGGAAGCTTCGCATATGCGCGTTTCTGTTGTGACTTGTGAGATCATGAGATGAGATCCATTTTGTTGCATTTGCAGGAAATACCGCAGTGCCTATCAATGGTCTGCTCACTGGTTACTGGGTAGTCTATCCACTTTCCACTACACAGCAGGTTCTACTACCCGGTGTTGAGACTTGAGAGTGAGACAAATTGCATTGTGTCTTTTTGGTTTCGCTCTTCAGGAAGGATGTGACAGAAAAGTACACAATACTTGGTTAGGTTGTTTCTCTGGGTATTTTGGTGTTACCTCTATTGATATTGCGGCCGTAACTCAGGATTACCAGTAAGAAGCTCAAAATTACTAGTGAGGTACCAGTGCAAACTTATTCAAAGCCACCTTGGTAGGTAGCACCCTGGCAACCTCTTGGTGGCCCCCAACAGACAAAGAAGTACAAAATACTTGTTGGTCTGGATATTTTCAAAGTTACTGTAGTACGCTGTGGGTGGTGAATTTCCAAATCAGGTTCGGAGAGGAGAACTGTACCATTCCGGATTTGGAAAGTGTGGTCTGTTTCCGGCTTAGTGTCAGGGACGGCGCAAACAAGACATACAGTTCTTGTTTTGGAAGTGATATGAGAGGCTTGGATTGTTGATTGTTCGGTGTCTGTTGGTAGAGAGGAAGTCATGCACTCGAGGATGTCAAGGGATTCAAGTGTCCCCGACTGAGCTTATGAAGCTTCCCGAGCGTGAGCGATGGATTGTGAGACTATATGAGCTAGCTGGGTGACGAATGCACCGTCAAGCATAGGATCGGGTACACTGCATGCAGTTTAACCGTGGTGCATGCTAGCTTCCTAATCAGGCCATGATCGGTGATACTAAGGCCCTCGGGGATGACGACATTCCTGCCTGCCTACCCAAGTCGGCCGTTCTCTCCAACGAGACGAGAAGCCGACACTCCCACGTCTAGCCACTTCCATCTATTCATACGCTGCGGATAAGCTGCCAGCTGGATTGTCTATCTCCACCGGTCATTCATATCTGTCACTTTCACCAACTATCGCATACAACCCGTATCATATCCCCACCCGTATGGCTGAGAAGTCGGGCAGCAGGCCCGGCGATGCCTTTAGCCAAGCTGGCGCCGCATCGTCTCACTACCCGCACCCCGAGGACAAGGACAGACTATACGATCTACATGGCTCAGCGGTCCCTGCCCCTTACGGCACAAAGGGCTCATCCTCGCCGCATCGCACGCTGCCGTGGTATAACCCGCGCGGGTGGTCACTGCGACGCAAGCTGATAGCGGGGGGGATCATTGTGGTGGTGCTAATTGCTGCGATTGTCGGGGCAGTCGAGGGCACGAGGGCGACTCGGTACCCGGACTATACGAGGCTCGATTACAAGTTGGCGGATACGTACGCGGGGACGGATTTCTTGGACAAGTTTAACTATTTCTCGGACGAGGACCCGACGAATGGATTCGTGCAGTGAGTTCGAAGACGGGGCATTGGTGCCCGTGGGTTATGTCATTGATTGGGTTCGGTATTAACGTTGCGATCTAGGTATGTGGATAGGATAGCAGCCCAGACGCTCAATCTGACCTATGCTACGGAGTCGTCTGTTGTGTTGCGGGTGGACACGACGACCCCGTTCGCGAAGAATGGCAGGCAGTCTGTCCGACTGGAGTCGAAGAGGTCGTACGACACTGGTCTGTTCGTCTTTGATATCCTCCACACGCCGTTTGGCTGCGGAACGTGGCCGGCGCTGTGGCTGTCGGATACCTACAACTGGCCGTTGAATGGTGAAATCGATGTCGTGGAGACGAACAACGGCGGTACGGAGGGGAACTCGGTGACCCTGCATACGACGCGCGGTTGCGACATGAAGGCGAAGCGCAAACAGACAGGGCAGGCCCTGTACCAGCACTGTGACAACAGCACCCACGGCAACGCTGGGTGTGGCGTGCAAGGCGAGCCCTACACTTATGGGCCAGAGTTCAACGACAACGGCGGCGGGGTAAGTCGAGGACATCGGGCAAGCTGCGTTTGACATGCTAATAGTTTCAGGTCTATGCTCTGGAGCTTCGGAGTGCTGGCATCCGGGCCTGGTTCTTCCCACGGGCCGCGATTCCCAGCGACATCTTGGACGGTATCCCCGATCCATCGATGTGGGGGACGCCGCTGGCAGACTTTCCCAACACCAACTGCGATATCCCCTTCCATTTCACGAACCAGAGTATCATCGCCAACATCGATTTGTGTGGCCAATTGGGCGCACAGCGTCAATTCTATACCGAGTTGTACAAGTGTCCAGGCATATGCAGCGACTTTGTTGCTCACAATCCTTCCAAATTCACCGAGGCATATTGGGAGTTCAAAACTTTCAAGGTGTATCAAGCCCAGTGGTCTTGAGATTTGCATTTTGAAAGCTAGAGTTTTGAGTCACAGTATAGCTCGAAGAGCATGATTAATTTGCCATCGTCGGATTATGGAGTGTTGGATGACCCTGCCTTTCTCTTTACAGACTTGATGTCTCTTCTGATATGGGTCATGGGTTTCGGTTCACTGTCTTTGATCTTATTCGTTGAAACGGGGCCGGGGGCTGCATTCGAACAGAATGACCGTGTAATAAATGCTACTTTAATCTGCTGGGCCTGAGACATCTTGCGGAGAGGCTGATCCTTTGCCTTTGTCCAGAGCCACAGCCATGCGGTGTAAGCTAGCGAGACTGCAATGACATCACACTCATTAAGCTAGTTCAGTTCTAGGGGTTGAACATCAGTTGGAGCTCTATGTCTATCTCACAGTGTAGTATCGAATCCAATCCATAGTGGGAGCATGGCCTATCGGAAAGCCGTTGGTTCTCGACTGGCTGCATCAGGTCCAGAAATGATTGTCAAGTTCCTGGGATATGCATTAATACCTTGCCTTGCACTGCCTTGCACTGCACATAAATAAAGCCCACAATCTATCTAACCAACATAGCGTAGCGTAGCTGTACTAAAAAGGTGTCCGGACCCTAATTAGTAACAGTAGTTCTTCTATGACACCCTCCCCCCACCCCCCAAGGGTGGAAAGACTTGTGTTTTTACCCTGTCACTAGAATATCATATAGAATATCATAGATCTTTGGCTCCTTTTTTGGCTCCCTGACTTATCATCCCGAATGTGGTTATATCTTCTAACAACTGGCTTATACTAGGTGAAAAGGTGGCTACTCTTGGCCAAGATCAGTTATCCTTTCTGGCATGTCCTTGGATTTCAAAACTCGCGACGTTTTTTCAGTGGAAGTTTTTAGGTGCTGATATACCAAGTCACCCTCCGGGGCTCATAAGTCATAAAAATCTTTTTGTAGCCTTGTAGGAATCTTTAATTCTACTGTACGGAGTAACAGTAGTTTCGTCTATGACAGACGTCACATTCTTCCTGTCCCCTATCCATATATACACACACACACACACACACACACATACCATCTGCACTATCCTATAGATAACAGTTCAATTCAATCAAGGCTAACAGAATGACCAGACCAAACCCCACCATCGTCCTCGTCCCCGGCACCCTGCTTCGACCTGCTGCGGCCCCTGCTGCACGCCCACGGCTATCCCACAGCAACAGTCGCCCACCCATCCATCGGCGCCGAGCCGTCTACCAAAACCCTGTACGACGACGCCGGCAACCTGCGCGAGCTGCTGAGCACGCTCGTCAACGACGAGGGCAGGACCGTCGTGCTCGTCGGGCACTCGTACGGCAGGACCGTCGTCTCGAACGCTAGCGAGGGGCTGGGCGAGCTGGAGCGCGCGCGCCAAGGCCGCAAGGGCGGGATCGCGCTCGTGGTATATCTTTTCCGCGTTTGTGGTGGGGGACGCTGGCGGGCGCGTTGGGCGGCGCGTGGCCCGAGTGGATTGTTTTGGATGTAGTTGTTCTCACCAGCTAGGGATGAGTGAGCGGCCATGGCTGATTCCAGACAGGGCGATTGATTACTCCTCCACCACCGACCAGGCGGATATCTTCTACCACGACGTGCAGCCGAAACTGCAGCAGGCCGCGATTGCGACGCTGCGCCATGGCTCGCGCGCGTCGTTTTACTCGGTCGTCACGCATGAGCCGTGGCAATGCATTCCGTGTGGGTATATCCACTGTGACGAGGACAGGGCGGTACCGCCGGCGTTGCAGGAGATGTTTGTGGCGCTGATGAGGGGGAGCGGGCTGGGGTTGGGGGGAGGCGTGGAGCGTCCGCTGCCGCCGGTGCTGACGGCGCATTTTGCCGTCGTCGCATTCACCGTTTCTGAGTATGCCGGGCATGACGGCGGGGGTGCTTTTGAAGATGGTTGCGGAGAGTGAGAGGAATGTGAAGAAGTTGGGGGTGGATTCTCAGCGAGAATGAATAGCACGGGAAGACTGTGAGGGAGAAAATGTACGGATAGTAAGGATAGGAACAAATTGCATTCAATGGAATCAAAATCACTACACCAACTGGGTATCAAACCGCATAACTCGAGCCGTCCTCTGCACCATTTGCTTCCAAAGCTACGATCATAGGGATCAGTATGGGTTATCAAGGGTTGGGGACCACCAGGAGAACAAAAGAGAACAAATGGAAGTAAACATGACAATGCAATGTCTGATAGAAGAAAAACCGAAAAGATCCGTTGAGAATGTCAATGTTGGACACCAACGCCAGACATGCTAAGATGCATGCACAGGGTGCAAATCAAGATCGTTATCGTAAAGGGTTCGTAAAATAATTCAAAGATTCCGTAGAAGACTACCCTCCGCAAACGGACTGGCCGGAGTCATATCCAGCATCGGCTTCGTAGCGTTGCGGTCGCCAGTGGCCACGCCATGACCCACGGGGCCGCTGCTTGGTACAACAGCAAGCTGCGCTGTACGGGCGAGGAGGCTGTTGGCGAGGAAGGGATTGTCGGGTGACTGCGAGTGATCCAGCGGGATCATGGGGGATGCGGATTCCGCGTGGTAGGGCCGATGGTTGCTGGCGCTGCGGGCGGTGTTGGAACGCTTGCGAGTCTGCATCTCGGGGATGGAGAGTGGCTCGGGGGGCACGGGTGGGCGTCTCCAGGTTGTTGAAGGCGGGATGGCGATGCCCCCCACGGGATCCAGCCCGTTGACCGCGTCAATTAGTGGGACGCCGGGTTCAACGGCAACGCCCCTGCCTTTGCGACTGTGCTGCGGAGGGGCTTGGTAGACCGGAGTGAGATCTACCAGCGGTTTGCCCCGGTTCACCGACAGTGATCGATTCATCCCGCCGTTCAGATCAGGCGGCTGAGCCGAGGTCATCGTATTCGAACGGCTGGCTGGCTGGCTGACGGGGCCGCGGCGCGAGCCTAGGGTACCAACCAGCCCGTTAGACGTGAAGGGCTCTTCATTCGCTCTTTTCTCCTTCTCTTCCCGGTCTTTCATGATTTGCTGCCGTACGGTGTACGTGCGGCCTAGAAGCCCGCCCGAAGAGAAGGGAGACTCCTCAGAAGACTGTGCTGCCGACCTGGACATATCCGGCTCTGCAACCAATGATTTAGGGAACGACGACGGTGGAGGCCCATGCTCGCGCGAACTTCCCTTCCGAATAAACATATCTTTCGACTTGCTCGACTTGGCGGGCTCATCCGACACGGCGGTGGACGGCGGGGCTGCATCGGCACCTGCTTGATGATCGGAATCGAGATCGATCAGCGGCTTGAACGAACGTGGCTGATTCGATCGAGAATGTGACGAGCCAATCCTTTGCTGGTGGGAATTATCTATATCTTCGATCTCTTCCGCCTCATCCACCGGGGCTGCGCCCTTCTTGTGAACCAGGTACCAGCTGCGCCATGTCTGGACCGCATTGTACCACTTTTGCGCAACCGCTCGGTCGTTGGTCGAGATGAAATGGACGAAATTCTCCGTCGACAGAAACATGCTGGACTTTTGCTGACTTTTGATTGCCTGGCAGATCTTCTTGGGAGGCTTCACATTGTTGCGCAGGGAATCCAGCGTGAGTGCATAGATGTCAAAGTCGGAAATATGGCAGGCATTCGTCTGGTCCTGTCCATGTTCCTTCTTGGAGACGGTGATTTGCCCGTCCGAACGCAGAGTGACGAATCGTTTATCCCACTTCCGGGGCCGTTGCGAGTAGTAGGCGTGCACCGTCACATCTGCCGGCGGCGCAACCGGTACATTCTGCGCTTCAAGCGAACGGAGCGATTCGAGACTTGCGGGGTGAACGATGATCAATGCATTCTCTCCGTCGTGGGCCCACGAGTTCATCACATCCCGGATACACTCATACCGACGCAACGGCCGCTCAAGCCCCAGCTGGCTGAAGGACTCCATCAGGATGAAGTTGAGAGGATCGATCTCGCTGGTCAGAGATCTCGAGGCCATAAACAACAGGTCCTGAACACGAGTAGACGGCATGACACTCAGCTTGGCAGACATCTTGCCATACTGGACGAGAACGTTTCGTTCGCCGGCATTCACCGCCGAAACAGGCGCATCCACCCCGGTGAAGTAAGATCCAGCGGCCGGCTCAACCGCTTTGGCAGCCGACTCCGCAGATTTATCTCGCGGTATAACCAGCTTCATCCTCTCTTTCAGCGAGCGACGTTTCGGTTCGCTGGAGTCATCCGACTTGCGGCATCGTGCCAGAGGGTCTGAAGCATCGTGCTTGCGCCGGTCATCTGCGACCCGCGGCACGGCCCGTTCCTGGGTCGTCGCCCTGCGCAACCTAGGCTTGTTGGATTCCCCCGTCAAGCGCGCCATGGCATCCTGTCTGTGTTTTTCGCGCTCCGCCTCGTCGTCCTCGGCAGGCGCATTGCCGTCTCCATGGACCTTCGCCGTAGTCGCAGCGTCCGGTACCCTTCGAGACGGCGCGGGAACTTGTGCCATTTTTGTCGCATCGGCCGGTGTTTCGGGGATCGACTGTGGATAGACTCCGTTCAATTGCGCTCCATGCGCTGGAAGGGCAGGGGCCGGGGACTGCGCTGTCGCGGGGGTGGCTGTCGGAGCGCGTTGGCGTCGATATCGCGACATGCTTCTGCTGATCGAGGCACTCGGAGGATCATTGGTCGACCCCGTCCCATTATGAGAAGCGGTACTCGTCACCGGGGCGCTTGGTGGACTGGGGACCGGAGGAACTGAGGTATTCAGCGATTTCGGCTTTTGTGAGGCGGCCCTTCTCACGGACCGGTAGCGGGAGAATTTCATGGGGCTCTGGACATGGGCTGTGTCCATGCTGGGTTTCTGTGTTTCCATCGCCATGACGAGGGAATCGCTTTTGTTCGAGGGTGTGCTGTCTTTCTTTCTTTCTTACACAAAATCTTCGATAGCTATCAATTGCATTTTCTTATTTTTTTCTTTTTCTTTTTTCTTGTCGTGTGATCCAACGACACCTGTAAACTAAGGCGCGCGACAGTTGGCTGGGAGTGTGTTCAGCTCGACAGTTCCAGACCCAACCGTCTTTACAGTCGAAGGTTTCAGTGGCGCTGAGAGTATGAAGTGGCTGAAGTGACCATGCAGGAGGAAGGCGAAATAATGATACGACGATAGCAATGAATGTGAGAACTGAGAAGAAAGAGGGAGAGAGAGAGAAGGGGAGAAGAAGAAAAAAATAAAAAGACAGGAAATTAAAACGGACGAGCCGTGGGAGCAGGTTCGCCAACCCCTTGGATAGTGTCGATGGACGTTTCACCAACAGCAAGAGAGTATTAAGTTATTAACAGCTTCAAGCCTCCCAGACCCAGAACCCCAGTGCCAGACTCAGAGTGACAAGAAGCCCTAAAATAGACCCCCAGGGGATCCATCTGAGCCACTGTCAGAGATTCAATCAATAAAAGCGCGGCGATGGACGAATCCAGCCAGGCGGATTGCGGAGATTGGGGGGGGAGGTTCTACCGTTAGCTACACAGTATACCCGTTATACTTATAGTTATTAGTGTTAGATGGTGGAAGAAGAATGGAGGGATCCGAGAAAGTGGAGAGGGTGAAATTGCGATTTAATTAAAGCAATACTCTCTATCCAACTCACTACTCACTACTCACTACTCCTACTGTCTGTAACTATGCACTAGACTAGATAGATAGAGTCTGGGATAGATGCTGTTGGCTGTTGGTGTTACCCTGCAAGCAGAAAGCATTTCGCTCTAACAATCCTAACTAGATAGTTAGTTAATTACTCTGTACTATGAATTGAACTGCCTTGGATTTGGGCGGGAACAGAATAACAGATGCATTCAGCCCCCTTCGCCAAACCAATCACCATTCCAACTAGGAAAGTATTCCGGGAACAACAAGAAAAATGGTGGTGGCTGGGACAGAAAGACAGGGGAAGAGAACTCCTAAAAAGATCAATGGATGTTCGTTGGAGAGTCAAGTCAATGCTCTATAATTATTGATGATAGCTGTCATCGTGGTACCTGAAATTGTAGGATTAAGTAACTAATAGTAGATACTAATCATACTACTACGTATGTCTATGTAACTAGAGAATAGATTATCTAGTGACATGGATCGACAGGCCCTATGGCTAACTAGAATACCCACACAGCGGGTGATTGACAGAAGGGACATGGAATACATTGATCGACAATCGATATAATGGTAGTTGAGAGCGGCTATTGTTTGAGATTTCCAGGAAGATTTCTAGAAAAAAAAGGGATTCTGGACTTCATCAGACATCAGACTTCCGGATAGAAAGTCCCCTGAGTCCATGTCCAACTGTTTCCCCTGGGTTCCTGCATCCACAGTAGCACAGCAATATCAATACCTCCATCGTTGCATAATACGAGCCACTGACATTATTGAGTCGTGCATATCGTGTTATATACCTCGGGTCGCTGGTGTTAACTACCTAGGAACTCTTGCGTACAATGCCTTTTTTTTTTTTTTTTTCTCATCATGGCATAAATCATCAATCCTCCGCTCATTTCTTGTAAGCTCCGAGGTTTTTCCGCCTAGATCAAAGTCAGTTTGAGATCGCGCCCACCCCGGGAAGCAAGGGCCCACGTACCACCACGCGACAAAGTCGGTGGTCTGCACATCAATGCCAAGGTCCTTCAGCGCCTTGGTTGACAGATGAGTATCATACGGTCTCTGGACAGACGCGTTCGGATCGTTCCCTTGCTTGTTCCGGACCATCCCCACCAGGGAAAGTCCGAGCACCTCCGCCAGTTTCTCGCAAATCTCATACTTGGTCATCCGATCTTCGGACGAGAACTGCAGGATCTTGGGCAATTCGTGGATTCTAGGTCGCTGCTTGAGGTACTTGACGACGATGTCGCGGCACACGCGAGCCACGTCCTCCGTGTTCGTGGGGTACCGTTGCGCCCAGTCGTCCATCTTCACACCCGCCTTCTCGTCCTGAGACTTCCAAACCGCATCGATCAGACAGTTCACCGCGCTCTCCGAGTTGCTCTGCGCCGTGCCGTACAGCACCGGCACGCGCAGGATCACTCCTAGGCCGGTCTCCTTCGTGGCCTCCAGCACCGCGAGTTCGCCGTCGCGCTTGAGCTGGCCGTAGAGGTTGGTTGGGTGCGACTCGGCATCAGCCTCGTACGGCGCTTCGCCCTCCTTTCCGGAAAACACATAGTCCGTGGAGATGTAGATCATCAGCGCTTTCCGGGAGGATGCCTCTTCCGCGAGAATGCGAGTCGCTTCGACGTTGACCCCGCGAGCTTCCTCGGGATTCTTATCGCATAGATCGGGTGACCGGTTTGCGGCGCCTACATGAAAGCGTCAGCATCGAGCGGAAAGTGATCACCAAGAGCTGCGTTTATGGATCATCTGGCGTACAGTGAATGACAATCTGAGGTCTAGATTTCGCAATGTTAGCCTCGCAAACAGAGCGTAAGCACAGCCATTACCGTATAACAAGAGCAGGGACGAGAATCAGAATCCAAGAAGACTTACTTCGCTTCATCCAACAGGTTCCTGATGTCCCCGTCCTTCTCGAGATCGGCCTTGAGAATCGTGGGCGGGTTGGCTCGAGAATAGCCTTGCCCCACGACAAAGCAGCCGGAGTGCTTGAATGTGTTGAACACCTGACGCCCAAGAAGGCCGGTCGCTCCCGTGATCAGGACAGTCGTAGACATTGTGTTTGATATGTTGATTCGAGGATATGTTGCTGGGTGGGATGCTGAGCGGTGCTTGAAATATCCCGCAACTGCCCCTCTACAGATACCGGTCTTCTCTGGAGCACCCACATGACGTAACGACAGCCCGTCCAGTTCCTCCAACAGCCAAAAAAGACACACAACAGAAATAGTATTTCGGCAGAAGATCAAGAATTGGGATTTTTGGAGAAAAACCGGGTTTCTAAATTTACGACACAGGGAAAGCTTGAGATGATTGAGATTGTTTCTAGGCTCCGAGACCCCAGACATATAGCATGGCACTATCAGGTTTGCCTCAGTCAGGGTCCAATTGCATGGCGCACTGGCCTGGTTTGAGCATCAATAAGGTATTAATAGCAGATGCCTACTAACATTGCTTCAAGCTTCAGAATTGGTGCATATAAGCCAACTATATCCCTATGCTCTTAGGAGTCTAATTAAAGGACAGCCGGCTACAATGAGATGATACAGCACGAGGCTCAAACATAGAACCTGGTACTATTCAGCCCTGTGCCTGTCTATCCAGCTCCCTGGCCCTGCGAAGGACGTTATGATGCCGAGCGATGATGCCAGAAGTATCTGCAATCCTGAACGATTCGGGATAACCTCGCCTTCCAGGCCATATAATCACGTGATGTGGCGTATTGCCCCGTATGGTAAGTTTTCACCCGGAAATGTTTCCGACGGTCACCGCTTTCGTTATGAGGCGTCTACGGTGAACCTTTTAGACCTGCCCGTCTGACAGTCTTCCCCCGTTCTGTTCTCCAATTGTCAATTTTTTTGGGACAATCATGTCGAGTGCAAGGAATCTCTCAGTTGCCCTTCGACGGGCTCGGGTACCCAAGCCTCGCAGCTGGGTGCGGCCTCTGACCGTCAACAGCCCGTCTGTGGCAGTAGCAAGAACCTTCACCAGCAGCGCCGCTGTCGGAGGTAATGCGACGAGGGAAATCAAGTACACCACCAACGCCTACCCGAACCTCAAGCGCGACCCCAAATTCGGCGAGATCACCGAGCAAGACGTGAAGTATTTCAAGGAGCTGCTGGGCGCGCAGTCGGCAGTGATTGATGGTGTCACGACAGATGCGACGGACGATATCGAGCCGTTCAACGCCGACTGGATGCGCAAGTACCGCGGGCACACGAAACTGGTCCTGAAGCCCCAGAATAAGGAGGAGGTCAGCCGGATTCTGAAATACTGCAATGAGAAGAAGCTGGCGGTCGTGCCGCAGGGCGGTAACACTGGGCTGGTGGGCGGCTCCGTGCCGGTCTTCGATGAGATTGTCATCAATACCTCGCGCATGAATCAGATCCGTTCCTTTGACGAGGCCTCCGGTGTACTGGTTGTCGATGCAGGTGTGATTCTCGAGGTCGCGGATCAGTACCTGGCGGAGCGCGACCACCTGTTCCCCTTGGACCTGGGAGCGAAGGGCTCGTGCCATGTTGGAGGAAACGTCGCCACGAACGCGGGAGGTCTGCGTCTGTTGCGCTATGGTAGTCTTCATGGCAATGTGCTTGGCCTGGAGGCTGTCTTGGCCGATGGCACGATTGTCGACTCTCTTTCCACGCTACGGAAGAACAATACCGGCTATGACCTGAAGCAGCTGTTCATTGGCGCCGAGGGTACCATTGGAATCATCACTGGTGTTTCGATCCTGTGCCCTCCTCGGCCCAAGGCCGTAAATGTTGCCTATTTCGGTCTCGAGAGCTACGATCAGGTTCGCCAGGCTTACAAGGAGGCCAAGGGTCATCTTTCTGAGATCCTCTCCGCCTTTGAACTGATGGATGGTCGCAGTCAGAGACTGGTTCACGAATCGACCGGCACCAAGCTCCCTCTTGAAGGAGAGTACCCCTTCTACTGCTTGGTGGAGACCAGCGGCTCCAACGCCGAGCACGACATGGCCAAACTGGAGGGATTCTTGGAACACATCATGGGTGAGGGCATTGTCGCCGACGGTGTCTTGGCTCAAGATGAGACTCAGTTCCAGTCCATCTGGCGCTGGCGCGAAGGTATCACGGAGGCGCTGAGCCACCTGGGTGGTACTTACAAATATGACGTCTCGATTCCCCTGCCTGAGCTGTACCAACTGGTGGACGACTGCCGCGAGCGGTTGACGAAGATGGGACTTGTCGGCGACGATGACTCCTTCCCCGTCCGCGCCGTCGTCGGCTACGGCCACATGGGCGACTCGAACCTGCACCTGAACATTTCCGTCCGGCAGTACAACAAGGACGTTGAGAAGGCCATCGAGCCCTGGGTGTATGAGTGGATTCAGAAGCGCAACGGTAGCATCAGCGCCGAGCATGGCCTGGGTATCGCAAAGAAGGAGTTTATCGGATACAGCCAGAACGATACCATGCTGAAGTTGATGAAGCAGCTGAAGGATCTGTATGATCCGGTAAGTGTTCTCTGCTCTTGCTATTATTGACTTGATTCATACTAACCGTGATATACACAGAACGGAATCATGAACCCTTACAAGTATATCTAAATTTCTCAAGCCTTGCATTGCGTTGTTGTCTCTGGTGTACATAGCGTGAAAAGCATCCATGTTCGCTAACCTTAACCTCATGTGTAAATTTCCTGTCCATTTCTGCTGCGAATCAAACCGACGCCCTTGATCAGAACCGGACTCCATTCCTTAGTACTATGTACACAGTAGAGCATCCCTTTTACTGCTACTCCAATCTCCCAGCCCTCTGACTGGCTGTGTATCAGTCAGCAATCAAACTCTTCAGGCCGCCCATTTGCGGGGAATTACCATAAGCAGACTAGCACCGCTCAATGGTTGCCTCAGGCGGCTTGGCGCCTGAGGCCTCGGTTGCCATGCGCTACCGCCTGTTGTTCCTCGCCACGAACCATGGAAAAGTGCGGCTGTCGACCGCTGGATGCGATGGACCGGATTTGCGTTTAAGCTACTCTCTATTCCCCTTCCCTTCCCTTCCCTTCCTTTCCCATCCAGCTCAATTAGCACGTTCTGGTCGCTGAGGTTGAGTGTCTGCTCGACTTGATCAACATCCGCCTTGTTGGTTATCTTTGTCGGCCTGGAATTTGCTGGTTGGGCTGTGCAGGTGTTTTCTCTTCCAGGACCTCGAGCCCCTGAGCTTCCCGGTGGGGTCGTCTATTCGCGCAAACCATGGAAGACGATATGGCAAGTCAGTATCAGATGATGGAGGAGTTGGGGAGTAAGTGCTGGCAACTCTTTGGGCGAGCAGATGGGTGGTGTTTTGTACTGACGGGGTTTTGATGCTAAAACAGGTGGGAGCTTCGGGACGGTGTACAAGGCCATTGAGAAGACTACCGGCGAGATAGTTGCGATCAAACATGTATGCCCTCATCGCGAGCTTATGGCTTGGGTTAACGCATTTCAATTGACCTCTCTGAACCCGGTTCTAGATCGATCTCGAATCCAGCGAAGACGACATCCAGGAGATACAGCAGGAAATCTCCGTCCTGGCTACGTGCGCCAGCCCCTACGTGACGCAGTACAAGGCGAGCTTTCTCCGGGGACATAAGCTATGGATCGTCATGGAATTCTTGGGCGGGGGATCTTGTCTTGACCTGGTGAGATATGAAGCGGATGGAAATCCGTCGATGGGGCTCGGTCGCATTTGGGGACTAACCAAGGCATATAGCTCAAGCCCGGTGTCTTCAGCGAAGCGCACGTCGCCATTATCTGCCAGCAGCTGCTACAAGGCATGGAATACCTGCACAGCGAAGGCAAGATTCACCGCGACATCAAGGCAGCCAACGTGCTCCTCTCCCATACCGGCAAGGTGAAATTAGCCGACTTCGGCGTTGCGGCCCAGCTCACCAACATCAAATCGCAACGCAACACTTTTGTCGGCACCCCGTTCTGGATGGCACCCGAAGTCATCCAACAGGCCGGATACGACTACAAAGCGGATATTTGGTCGCTCGGAATCACGGCAATCGAGATGATCAATGGAGAACCGCCGCATGCCAGCACGCACCCGATGAAGGTACTCTTCCTGATCCCCAAGGAACCGGCACCTCGGTTGGAAGGGAGCGACTACAGTAGTGCGTTCAAGGACTTCATCGCGCAATGTTTGACCAAGGATCCGGACCGAAGACCCAGCGCCAAGGAGCTTTTGAGACACAAGTTCATTCGAAACGCAGGGAAGACGGAAGCGTTGCAGGAGCTCATCCATCGGAAGCAGGATTGGGATGCGGGCAAGGGTGTCACGCATAACCCCAAGTACTACGCGGAATCACTGTAAGTTTCTTCGTCTAGGGTGAGGTTGATGAAATGTCACAGTGGCTGATCGCGCCGCTCATACAGGCACACTATCACGCGCTTGGAGGACGACGATGGTTGGGTGTTCGACACCGTCAAGGCACCCCCAACAACGATACCGGAGGATATGGACGACACGGTATTGGACGTAGATACACAGGACCACTTGTACGACGAAGCCTCGGAGATGATGGACAATCTACATGTGTCCAGTCCGCCTCCCCCTCCAAGACATGCTACGAACTCGACTGTGCGACGAACTCCCGCGGCTGACCGGAGCCCTTCGGTGCGACGGGTAAAACGTAGGTCCAGTGGCATGAAGCAGCCCCTGGGTGTCGACTTAAGTTTCGGAAACAGTCCGTCGACAGTTCGCCAATTCCGCCGTGTGTCAGACAAGATCGCTTCCGAGTCCTCCTACACTTCTCAGTACCCGACTGCTATGGACGAGAATGCAAGCCCAAAGGCGCTGTACTCGGAATCCAACAGCAAGGAAGCACTGTTGGGGCGACGAGCTTATAGTAAAGCTGTCGGCCTGGCCTGTCAGGAGGTCCTTGGTACGACTGCGGACGGGGAGAAAAGAGAGGCAATCTCGAGACTGGCAGAAGCATGGAGCGACCTGGAAATGGTCGATCCAGAGGGTCTCTACCACATCGTCAAGGCGATGAACGAGAAACTGCAGAGGTGAGTCGCTGCGAGCCCTATTTTCTTCCTTCTTGACCCATACTGACTGACCTTCGTTCTCACCCTTTCAGTGATTCCAAACTGTCGACTCTCATTCCGCAAGCTCCACAACCCGAATCCCCACAACGACCTCGGCTTGTTTTAGCACAGAACAATCCACACCTGAAGAGCCACCGCCGCCGTCAGTCGGCAGCAACGCCCGACCCTAATTGGCAACCGGCGCAGCTGTCAAATCTCCCCGGCCAGCAAGTCCAGGGAATGGAGCATACCAAACAATTATCGGATGTTCTGTATCAACGATGGTCAGACGGCCTTCGCAACCGCTGGCCTGGCCTCTAATTCGATCTTTTTGAGCCATTTCGTTTGTCCTCCCTTTTTTTTTCGATGTATAAAAGGTGCTGCATGTGGGCGTTTGGGGCTTCGATATATCCTCGTCATCTTTCATACCTCTTCCGCGACTGTGTCCTCTGGGCCACTACACTCTAATCACTCTCGTTCTATCTTATTGAGCCCATCAATGGCGTCCTTCGTTCTACGTCGTTCTCTGATCTCTGCCTTGGGTCGGTTTGCTGGTCCAACCACCCATTCAGAAGGACAGATTCTGGCATCGCCTCCGTCTCTTCTCTGGGAGAGGAGTAGCGAGGAAAGCATCTCATCATTCTTTTGCGAACCCCCGACATCTCTCTGGCGTCCGGCCTTATTCTTTCACGTTGATTCTGCTGTTGCATACGAGGAGTTTCCATTCTTACATTTCCTTTCTAGTGAATCTTTGCCGACCTGTCTTTTGTGTGATTATCTGTCTTTTCCGTCCGTCCAGCATTGGCTCGTGAGCATTGTGCTTCAACTTCTTCATAGACTCTGTTTGTTTTACCACTGGTCTGTCTCGAACGACCGCCCCATCCTCTTTCTTGTGTGACATATTTATCTGTTGCTGGTGGTTGATTGTAGCTAGTATGATTTGATTTGTGTACGTTGTGTTGGTCAAGATTTGCATATAACCATCAAGATCCGGAAAAGAATAATAATAATTTGATGTTCGCGGTTCAATATCCTTCCAGCTCCATTAAATGCAATTAAGTAGCAGATAATTCATTGTCAGCAGTTTGCTCCGCTGGTATAATCACCCACATACGGAGTACTGTGTAGTTACTTCGTATGCTCAGACTTCGAGGTGGCATTTCTTCACCAAGCCAGCCACAAAAGGAGCCCTTGCCGAAGAGACAAATTGCGACTCGACTTTCTGACTCTGCCGTAATCAAACGACCGGGGAGAAACTGCCAATTGGAGCCAGGGTAAGAGCCCCCCGCCTTGGTCTTCCTCATTTTCTCAAGACGATCGCTCATCGCAGCGAGATTGTCGACTGTCGAGCGTCGAACCCGTTGTTTGACATGATATTATTCTGCCCCCCTCTCCTCGGCTCCCCCCTCCCCTGAACGGGTGAAACGACTGCAACGAGGCCCTTGAGCCTTGACGGAAAGGATGCGCGGTTGGATGACCCGCTTTATGTCTCGCGGTTGCTGTGAGTCGTCAGCTCCGGTGGCTAAACCGCTAAAGAGTCGCTGGGCTGGCGTGCTAAGAGGCTAAGAGTCAAGAGCACTAAAACCACGGGGGAATCCTGGGCCCAGGCGGTCTGTTAGTGACTTTGTGGACACTGAAATTAAAGGTGGATGGATGGCTGACTGAGAGAGGTTAGGGAGAAGAAATTGGATTGGAAGAGGGATAATGATTCGAATCCTTAAGTGTCCGCTTTTCTTCATCGTTGTTGTTATTTTGGTTTGTCCTGTCTGTTTGGTGATGCTGCTGTTGCTGTGAGGCTGATCTATCTATCGATTCATTCCATCGCATTTCGCCTCTCTTAGTTATTGACTTTCTCCCATCTTCCTTTTCCACTTCATCCTTTTCCTTTCTTTTTTATTCACGCTCTCACTATCGCTGTTATTATTTGGCTGGCCAATCCTTGACGCTCGTTTTGTCATGATTCAGTCACTCTTTTGAATCCCACCCCCTTCCTTCAACTGCTCCCTTTCTCCCTGTGATTGATACTTGTCGCCGAAGATGGGAGACTTCCCGGGAACGGTCGACGCGGAACCTGCGCCGGAAGCGTTCCAGGGATTCTCGCCGTCACCCAGTCTTCACCAGGAACAGCCAGCTGTCAGTGACAGGGCTGTGTCGTCGGTACAACATCGTCGAGAACTTCAGCAGAAGCGATCCTCTCTTCCCCCTCAACCACACGGCACCGCTCGCCACGCCAAACGTCTGACTCTCAATTTCCCCATCAATATTGTCCCCGGCTCGGATTTGGATCCTAATATCGCATCTCCTGGATCTATGACCCCTGTAACCTTTTCTTCCGCCCGTCCATCGCCCGCTGCCGCCACCGGGACCCCGGTCATCTTCGACGGTGAAGACGACGGCTCGAGCCTTCTAACCGCCATTGCGTCGCAAGAACGAAAAGTGCTGGAGCTTCGCGAAGAGCTGCAACGAGCCGAGGCGGAGCTGGATACCCTGAAGAAGCAATGGGCCTCATCAGAAACAACCAAGAAGCGGACGGAGATCAACCATCGAGCGGAGCCTCTGGTACCTCTCCGCTCTTCCGAGGAGATTGCCAGGGACGAGCCGAGCCAGCATCGCAGAGAACGCAGTGCAGGCACAGCAGAGGGCCCTGCCACCGTGCAGGCTCGACTGAGCCGTGATCTGGAGCGCCGTCAAAGCCTGCGGGTGGCTGTGCATGCCGGCACTTCGATCTCTGCCAACGGTCGGCGCGTTTTCCAGGGTTCTCATGCCCGGACCCTCTCACTTCTCTCGCCGGCTTCCAGCTCCGGTCAGCCAGGCTCTGATGCGGATGGTAGTCGTGCGACCAGGACCCCGCGGTCGGCGACTTTGCCTTCTGTCGAACGCAGCACTGCGCTGGAGAACGTCAACCAGTCGTCGGAAGATGTGATCTCGCAGTGGCGCAGGACAATGCCGCCTCCGTCGCGGGAGGCCCTCGTGCGCACGGGCAAGCAGATGGCTTCGGATCTGAGAGAAGGCTTGTGGACGTTCCTGGAGGACATTCGACAGGCCACCGTGGGCGAAGAAGGAATCAGTGCAACCCAGTCGAGAGGCGTACCGCCGCCGCGGAACCGGGATTCCAGCTCCACGTCTCGAAGCAGAGACCGATTGTCGGTGCATGGAGGTAAATTGTCACGGTCGCCGTCGTCCACGCGAGGCAGGGCTGGGGAGACGAAACTTTCTACTGGTAAAGACACTAAATCGGCGGACATAGATGTGTCATTCTGGAGTGAATTCGGCATTGATACACCTGGGCAGAAGTCCGTGAAACAAACTCGCGGAGCCTCAAATACCCCACACGGGGCGACCGAACAAGAAAGATCGAACGACAATCTCGACGTTGAAGACAACTGGGAGGACTGGGATACTCCTCAGCCGAAGAAGATGCACACCCCGTCTTCGAGCCGCTCCACGCTCGAGTCCAAGCACGACCAGTCTCCGATGACCCAGACCAGTAGCCCTCGTACAAGCGGCAGGTACGCTCCTGGACCTCCATCCAACTGGTTTCACTACCCCCTGACGTGATGATATGCGCTGACCTGGACCCAGTTTTGGCGACTGGCGCGCCACCCATGATGATTTTATCCCCGATCCCAGTGTTTCCGACGGTATCCCCTGGCCTGCCATCACCAAGTTCGCTCCTTCGAAACTGACGCGCACGGCGTCGAACCTGATGGACGAATGGGAACGCAGTCTCTCGCCCTCTCCTGACAGAACGGGCCAAACGAGTCACTCGCCCCTCGGCAAGGACGATAAGAAGGAATGAAAATAGCCCGGATGGCGTCCGAGCTGACCTTCGATTCCGAATTGCGCTTCCCCCTGATGACGGACTGCACTATGATACGATAGCTTATGGCCAGCCGCTGCGCGATCTATTCTCTCTTCCCGATCTCTACATGGGACAAGTACCAACGTAACGCAGGGCCACGATTTTTTTATTCGAATACCCTTATGACCACAGCCTTTTTCTCGCCAGCCATTTCTCTTTTGGTTCTCATTCTATGACACATTTTTTATTCTTGGTGAAAATTTTGCCTCGATATCTATGAGCCTTGTTTGAGGACTGTATATGTATTTTATCATGTTTGCTAAATGTTTTCGAAAATTGGTGTATATATACTTCTTTTTCCAAACTCATCATCTTGACGTCTTCAGTAATATCTCCACTTACTCACATTCATGGCAATTGTGGTAAGTGTATTCTTTCTGATGCCGAAAAAGTGCCGCAAGCGTCACGTGACATACTGCGTTTCTGGTCGACGCGCCCCGCCGCAAATAAATTTGTTTTCGCCATCTCCGCAAAACCTCCGGGGTCAGATATCGCGCGCATGGCTTGAATCCGACGGGTTGCCTTTCCAGTTTGGTGTTATTGAGTCCTGATTTTTTTTCTCAGTCCTTGAACTACCAGCCATCTACACAAGTCTGCGCATATACTACAGCGCTTGATTTATCCCACGTGAAACTCCGCCATCAACCATGAGCTTTCCAGGAATGACGCCGCCCATTGGCGGTATGGGAGGTGCTGGTGGTGCTAATATGCAGGGTATGAGCGAGCAGGAGCAGGCGATGGTGAAGGCTGTATGTCGAACTCACTCTTCCCGTCCAGAGCTATACACTGATGAGATGTTAGATGCACGCCGCCATGGAGTCCTGTCCTGTGAAGACCGTCATCTCAGGAACAATGGGTTTCGCACTGGGTGGTGCCTTCGGCCTGTTCATGGCTAGTGTACGTAAACCATCCTTCCTAATAATTCCCCCCTCGACCATTCAGTTCTGACGACCGGTTCTTCCGATGAAATATAGATGTCCTACGACTCCGCATTCACACCGCAAGGCGCCGCGATCTCCGACCTCCCCTGGCGCGAACAAGTCCGCCGCGGCTTCAAGGACATGGGCGCCCGCTCCTGGTCCTCGGCTAAGAACTTCGGCATCGTTGGCGCCCTGTACTCCGGCACCGAGTGCTGCATCGAGGGCCTGCGTGCGAAAAACGATCTCACGAATAGTGTCGCGGCCGGCTGCATCACGGGTGGCATCCTCGGTGCGAAGGCTGGCCCGCAGGCGGCGGCGGCAGGCTGTGTGGGCTTTGCGGCGTTCAGTGCGGCGATCGATGCGTATATGAGGATGCCATCAGAGGAGTGAGGGGGTTGGGTTCTGATATGGAGGCGGTCAGATGGGTGGTTTCGTTGCTTGGTTTGTATACACATTAGGGCGGCGTTTGGTCTATTGTTGTATTTTTATGTTGCTTGTTTGATAGATATGGGTGGCATTTGGGGCGTTTTTGGTTTCGCGTTTCGCTTTTTGATGCGGAGACTTTTGATCCCCTCTCTGCGTGCATATATGTCTCTCTCTTATTTGTCTCTACAGGGGATATTGTCTCCCTAGACTATGGGTGGACAACCTGTTATAATCGGTATGTATGCTGCTCGCAACTCATGTGTATGATAAGATTGTTGGATGTATAGAAGTTTGGGATACATAGGACTTGCTTCTCGCGATTGGCGCAGTGCGATATCGCACGAATCGACTCGAAATTATATTTGAGCAATTCCTAAGACCCAGATACAAGGAGCCGTATATGTAGTACATTGCCTGCTCTCAAATCTGTACGACGAGAATGTTTCAATCTCAACGGCCATGCGAGTCTATTAACACTCGGCATGACGTAGATTTTATATCGGAGGCAACGAAGTATATATCCACCACCCGTGCACGCAAACAATCATCAACACAACCACCACCATCGACTTTAAGTACAATTCTCGGATCCAGAAGACAAGATGACATGTACGGTAAGTCGTGATCCACCCATCTCCGAATCCCCACTGATGACCCCAGCAACTCGAATACTCAGTCGACAGTCCCTTGAACCGCGAGCCGTCCATCAAGAAACTTGTGGCTAGGTACAGCCTCTTCACACCCATCCTGCACAAAGCAGCACGACAACAAATCCTAATTGTCTAAAGCTACATCACCCCGACCGAAATCTCCTACGACCGCAACCACGGCCCCATCCCCCACCTCTCCGCAAGCCACACCGTCCACGTCGACGGCCTCGTCTCCACCCGCCTCGCCCTATCGATACAGCAACTCGCGACAGACTTCCCCCAGCAGGAGGTCATCTGTGCGCTCGAATGCGCAGGCAACCGCCGCCACACGATGCGGACGATGCTCAAGGAAGTCGACGGGATTGACTGGGGCGATGCGGCGGTGATGAATTGTCGATGGAAAGGGCCGCGGATGAGGGATGTGTTGCGCCGGGCTGGGGTTGGGGAGGGCAGGCAAGGTCTGCACGTGGAGTTCTCGTGCCATCAGGCGAAATGCCAGGATGACGAGTGGTTTGGAGCGAGCGTGCCGCTTGAGCGGTGTTTGCTGGAGGACGGGGGTGCGATTCTGGCGCTGGAGGTACGTTTCCTCTGCTCTGCCATTCTCCAGGCGGAAACGTCGATATCTGGCTGATGCGCGGTATGGCGGAGTGTTTAGATGAACGGCGCCCCGCTGACGCCGAAACACGGATACCCCGTGCGCGTGATCATGCCTGGCGTCATCGGCGCCCGCTGGGTGAAGTGGCTCGACCGCGTCACCGTCTCGGAGCACGAGTCGCGCAACTTCTACCAGCAGCTTGACTACAAGGTCTTGCCGCCGGAGGTGGTCGACCGGGCCTCTGCGCAGCGGTACTGGGACCGGATCCCGCCGATGTTTGATATGCCGATGAACTCCGTTATCGGGGTGCCGGAGGACAATGATACAGTCTCCCTGGATAGCTCGGGGATCATGGAGGTGAAGGGGTATGCTGTCCCGCAGGGGGCGCATAGCCCCGTGACTCGCGTGCAGGTGTCGATGGACAGGGGGATGACCTGGATCGAGGCTATGATTGAGGATGCGGGAGGGGAGAATCGACGGTGGTGCTGGGTGTTGTGGACGGCGGCGGTTCGGCCGGAAAAGGGGACGGGGAGGGAGATTGTGAGTCGGGCGTTTGATGCGGGAGGGAACGTGCAACAGGAGCATTCGCAGTGGAATCTGAGGGGGGTGGGGTATAATGGGTATGGGAGAGCGAGGAATCTGACCATTCTTTAATTGTATGCAGCTGATTCGATCTGAGCGTGGCTTGGCAACACAGCAGGGTACTTGGCTGGCGGAACTGGACTGCAAGTGAAATGATCCAAAGATCTGTGTTCGATAAGGATATTGGCCTAAATGCTCGCGTAGAATCGTAATTTGTATTGCACAGATCTAATGGGAAATATACAGGACATTGAAATCATGGCAGTACAACGTATCTCTCAAGGTGCTTGGGAATCGAATCTCTCAGACCCTTGCTCTGCAGCCAGGTGTTGGAGAAGAGTCGATCAGCATACCGATACGCGCCATCACACAGGATAGTCACGACAGTGCTTCCCTTGGGGAGCTTCTCGGCAACCTCCTTGGCAGCGACAACGTTGAGCGCAGAGCTAGCGCCCAGATAGAGACCCTCTTCATCGAGACAGCGGTAGACCATCTCGATGGTCTTTTCATCGCTGATGTTCACCGATCCGTCAAGAAGATCGATATCGGGCTGCAGGTTATCCGTGACACGGCCCTGGCCGATACCCTCTGTGATACTGCTGCCGCTGCGTTCGATCAAGTTTCCACCGCTCTGAATGAAACTATGGAGCACACTGCCGGGGGGATCGGCAAGGAAGCACTTCACCCGCCCATCACTGGCAGTCTTCAGGTAGCGGGTAATACCAGCCAGTGTCCCTCCCGTTCCCGTAGCGCAAGTGAAAGCATCGATGTTTCCGCCGGTTTGCGTCCAGATCTCAGGACCCGTCGTATCGATATGGGCTTGACGGTTGGCCGTGTTGTCGAACTGGTTTGTCCATACTGCGTTGTCCAACGACTCGGCATGTCGTCGAGCTTGGTGATTGTAGTTCTGCGGGTTGTCGAATGCGACCGCGGGCACAGGGTAGACCTCGGCGCCCAGAAGACGCAGTAAGTCAATCTTTCCCTGCGACTGGGTGTTTGGCATGTAGATGACCAGCTTATAGCCCTTTGACCGGCACACGTGCGCCAACCCAATACCGGTGTTGCCAGCCGTGCCTTCCACAACGGTACCGCCAGGCTTCAGGAGACCCTTATCCTCCGCATCCTTGACGACGAACAGAGCGGCACGATCTTTCACGCTGCCGCCAGGATTCTGGAACTCGGCTTTACCGAGGATGTTGCATCCGGTTTGCTCGGAAAGTCGTTTTAACCGGATAAGAGGTGTGTTTCCAATAGCTATGTGACAAGGATTATGAGTCAGCTATCAAGCCTGACAGCGAGAAGAAGACGCAAGGCTCTTACACACCCTCTGTCAGACCATTTACCACGCCCTGCGCCTTAGATACTCGTTCATGGTAGGCAGTAGATGCCTCTACCGCGCGCAAGGCGGTAGTGCCAAATCGCCGAACACTCTGTCGGAACATGATGACCACCAGATCGCAAAGACTCCGAAGCACCCGTGAGCAGTTTACAGAGCAAAGAAATCCGAGACAATCGAGCAGATGGAAGAAGGGGAGTTCCCCAGATTGTCATGCACCGATGATCGGCATTAGTCATCTCAAGTCACGTGAGCGATGGCGTGATGAGAGTTCCTTAGGGCCCTAGGTGGAACAACTGGCGAACCATCAGTTTCCTGGCAGGCTGGCAGAGAACGCCGCTACATCGTTGGGTTGGTGGACAGTTGCTCTGATTGAGGGATCTTTCCTACAAAAGATGACATCGCATATCCCATTCCTGGTTCCATAGATAGTCTGTAGGAGTATGGAGTAAAGAACCTGGATACTTACTAGTAGATGACGGATACCACGCAAACACGTGCTGAAAGCCCTAGCCCTTATCGCAACCCGTCCCGTTTGGGATGTTTGTTTATCCTGCAACCCCGTGACAGCAGCTCTGATGAAGATCAACTCCTCCATGTTGCTGGAAGAAAACAACCCCCGAAGTCTATCATTAACCCCACGATCTCGTACTATACAGCAGAAGATGAGATCCAAATGATCGCTCGGGGATGACACTTGAATGAAGCCGACGAAATATATTTGATCGATTCATGAGAACTTGATCCAACAACCCCCTCATTACCTACCAACCATGCCCAGTCGAGTTTCTGCCCGTTCGACATCCGCCGCGACACGCAAGTCGTCGGCGCAACCTTCAGCGTCAGGAGGTCGCGCCGCATCTGTGACTCCCTCATTCGTTATTCCGCCTGAACCTGCTTTGCCCGAAGCCTCCCCCAACCTACGCCACGATGTATGTCTGATCTTTGCCGACGCCCAACGTTCAACAACTGGCCATCGGAAGCTCGTCGTACGTCTGAGAAAGATCCAAGAAATTTGCTGTGGAATCTCTCAGAAGAAGACGAAGAAAGATGCCAAGGACTCACAAGCTTCTCCTGAGCTCGTGCTCCCCAGCGAAGAGACCATTCCAGAGAAGGAGTTCAATGTAGAGATCGGTCGCTGTTTGTTGCGCATAGTACCAATCAAGAAGACCGAACCTGTTGGCGATCGTATTCTGCGATTCGTTGGCACCTTTCTGGCTCACTCGTTCGAGAAAGATACAGAAATATTCGGATCCGACGATGATGAAGACATGCAGAGTATCGTGGAAACCCCTACTGCGCGACTGGCTATCCACCTTGTCAGCATTGTTGCACCACTTCTCTCAGCGAAGGATAAGACAGTGCGCTTTCGCGCGACACAAATCACTACGCATATTGTCAATTGTCTAGATACCATTGATGACGATCTGTACCACACCATTCGACAGGGCCTTCTGAAGCGGATCAGAGATAAGGAGCCCTCGGTCAGAGTACAGGCTGTGATGGGTCTTGGGCGTCTCGCCGGCAACGAGGAAGAAGACGGCGACGATAAAGACGATAGTACTACGGCCCTACTAGAAAAGCTTATTGACATCATGCAGAATGACACCAGTGCCGAGGTGCGCAAAACACTGCTGCTCAATCTGCCCCTTGCACCAGCCACTCTACCGTATCTTCTCGAACGTGCGCGTGATCTGGAAGCAACAACCCGACGAGCATTATATTCTCGTTTGCTTCCCACGCTTGGTGATTTCCGCCACCTGTCACTTACGATGAGAGAGAAATTGCTACGATGGGGTCTTCGGGATCGGGATGAAAATGTGAGAAAGGCGACTGGGAAACTTTTCTACGACCGTTGGGTTGAGGATTGCGCTGGCACAAACAACGACCCCGAAAATGGCCCTTCTAACCAACGTTCTTCCCCCAACATCTCTGCGCTTCTAGAACTCCTTGAGAGAATCGATGTTGTCAGCTCCGGGATGGACTCCGGAATCGCGCATGAAGCCATGCGCAGCTTCTGGGAGGGTCGGCCCGATTATCGAGAAGCAGTGGTCTTTGACGAGCCGTTCTGGGAGTCGCTGACGGCCGAATCGGCGTTCCTTCTGCGCTCATTCAACGATTTCTGCCGTGTCGAAACCGACGGGAAATACGACAGTCTCGCGGACGAGAAGATGCCCGAAGTGACAGCGTTTGCGCATTTCTTGCAAAAATATATAACGGACCTCTTACGAAGGAAGAAATTGAACAAGGAATCCAGTGAAGCCAACGACGATGAGACCGTTGAGATCGAATTTATTGTCGAGCAGCTGTTGCATATCGCGATCACCTTGGACTATAGCGACGAAGTTGGACGACGCAAGATGTTTTCATTGCTGCGCGAGTCGCTTGCTGTGCCGGAGTTACCAGAAGAATGCACCAAGCTCACCGTGGAGACATTGAGATGTGTGTGCGGACCGGCAGCAGCAGCGGAGAATGAATTTTGCAGTGTTGTTCTCGAAGCTGTCGCCGAAGTCCACGACACTATTGTGACTGAGGATAGTTTTGTGTCGGCCAGATCCGAGGTGAGCGATGCCACCTCTAGCCGGCATCGCTCGGAAACCCCGAGTGAGGCCTCAGTCCCTTTCAACAAGGAAGAGGCCAAGGCCAAGGTCCTGCGTGAAATTATGGTCAACATGAAGTGCCTGCATATTGCACAATGCATGTTACAGAATGTGGAAGGCAACCTGCAACAGAATATGAATCTGGTGACCATGCTTAACAACTTGGTTGTGCCTGCGGTCCGTAGTCATGAGGCCCCGATTCGCGAGAAGGGCCTGGAGTGTCTGGGTCTGTGTTGCCTGTTAGACAAGGTGGGTTTCTCATCGGGATCTTGCGACATGTCACTTGATTCGAATTATGCTAATAATCTATCTCTCTAGACCCTGGCTGAGGAGAACATGACACTCTTTATCCACTGCTACAGCAAAGGTCACGAGGCTTTACAAGTCACTGCTCTCCATATTTTGTGCGATATGGTGACGACGCATCCCGCCCTTCTCGCACCTGTCACCCAGCCGGACGGAGAGACCATTTCCCCACCTGCGTTCCAGAAGCCCCTGCTCAAAGTTTTCGCAAGAGCGCTGAGGGCCAGCTCCCCGAACACGGTGCAGACAGCTGCGGCTACCGGTCTTTCAAAGCTCCTCCTGACGAACACCTTCTCACCATCCGGATCGAACATTCCCCAAGCCATTCAGGAATATAACGAATCGGCCGTGGAGACCCTTTTGCAGTCCCTCATCGTTTCTTTCTTCCACCCGCGTACTCGAGAGAACCCGGCCTTCCGACAGTCGTTAGCTTATTTCTTCCCTGTGTACTGCCATTCCCGGTTGGAGAACACACAACACATGCGAAGGGTGGCAGTCCCCGTGGTGCGTGCGGTCCTCAATGCGGCCGAGGAATATTACTCTCTGGAAGCAGAGGAGGATAGCGATGGCGAGATTGATGAGAGTGTCGGAGAAAAGGAGCTCAAGGCATTGATGGCAGGTGTTGTTGGTATGCTTGCAGAATGGACTGACGAGCGGCGAGTCGTGGGCCTGGGAGGTGAAAAGGTTCTGGCCGGTGGTCCTGCCAGTTCTAGCGCATGTGGTTTTGTGCACCTGGCTCTGGTGAAAGATATCCTGGAACGGGTTCTGGGGGTCAGTTCCGGCACCAACCGATGCTCGAAGGACGAGAAGAAGCTTCTGTTCTCACTGTTGAGCAAGCTATATGTCGCCCCGCCGGCCCTACCTTCGCGATCCGGATCTCGGGCGCCGGAAAGCGATGATGCCTTCCGGTCCAGTATTCGGAGTGGAAATGGAGGCGAGATTGTCTCCCCTGAGAACGCAGCGCTTGCTCTCGAGGTCAAGGAGCTGCTGGATGAGACGATCCAGGAGGGACTCGCGGCGGAAGCGGCCGGTCGGAATGCGCTGGTCAAGGTGAAGAACTCGATCCTCAAGCTGATCGCCGCAGCCCAGGGGGTGCGGTCTGACAGTGTGCGGCCGCGCGAAGGCACTGAGGACATTGACAGCGACGCGATGAGCATTCGTTCTGGTAGCGTTCGACCCTCGATTGAGCACCCCAGTAGCCGTCGGCGGGCCTTCTCACTGGAACCCAGCATCATGGAGGAGGACGAGAATGACGATAGCCGAGGGACGATTATCAAATCGGAGATGCATGACGAGTAGTTGGTTGCCTGTTTGAGTTTGCAAAAGATGTGTTTTTGTTTGCGCCGGCGTTGCGAGGGGCAGGAGGGACGGATATGGGTTCTGATGCATGGACTTGGATGGACTTATGATTTTTGTACTGATTGAGATTCGTGTATCTAATTAGTGATTTTGGGTCTCTTGTACATGATTGATCCGCCTTTTTTTTTCTACCCCGAATTGGTCACGGTGTCCTTCATCTGGAGGCATCCATGTCGCTACTAGCATTGTAGTCCATTCTGATCACGACCGATGAACCTATCAGAAGGGGGAGATGCGATCTGGCATGTTCAAGAGTCAACCATGACTGATGCAGATTGGATAGATGAGAGGATGATCAGAAGATGTGTTCTTGGTTCTGTCTTGCTGATTGTTCTGATATTTGTCTCGATATACTTTTACTCTCAAGTGCTTGATGGGGGGGGGGGGTTGGTTTCGGGGAGAGATTATTAGAATGGAATGTTTGTGTCTGAGCTTCTGAGGGAGGAATGTATTATTACCTATGAGATGGATGTCTCTCGGGAAGTAACAAAGTGACAGGTCTCCTGGCCCAATGATGCTTGAGAAGTGCGCTGTCAGTGGGAATGGAATTCTCGAGGTAGTTAGTTAGTTTCTATTCTATCTCACCGATTCCAGGTGGGATTTCTCGCTGTGGTGGCTGGATATACATTGGATAGGAGGACGTGAGTGTCATGCTGTATGTCTGTCCTATTGTCTTGGGGAGAATTGATAATCGATGGTAATGGATGCATTAATTGACTCTATCTATCTAGCAGATTCTTATTTCTTGACTGTCTCTCCCATAGTCCCACTCCTCGTTTCTTTCTCTTCTAGTTACTAGTTAGTCTATCCTCTAAGGTAGTTATCTTCTGTACCTGATTTGTTCTGGATGCCTCAGGTACCAAGACTCGATCACTGCGATCAGGCGATTCTTTCTCATCTCGTCTCATCTCAACTCAACCTCATTGACAGATTTACATATACTCTCTCTCTCTCTCTCTCTCTTTTTCTGTTCTCCGAGGATTTTAATTCCATCTCGGTGTACTTCTGACTGTTTCCCCCCCTTATTATTCCCAGTTGCCTTAATATACCCTCGACGCTCCACCAGACCAAACCAAACGCCGCAAGTCCAATCAACGGGACGCCCAGCTGGACTTAGTACTAGTAAGTAGTACTCCGTAGTAGTTGAGCAACCTGTGTGTTGCTTTCTTCCCTCTTCCATTCTCCCTCCACTCTCTCTCTCTCTCTCTCTCTCTCTCTTTCTCTTTTCTCTCTCTCTTCGCTCTCTCTCTTCTCTTCCAATCCCATCCATCCTCCCCTCCCCCCCCTTCTTTAAAACCATTCTCGACTCTCCTCTTCCTTTCGTTCTGATTTTGGTTTGTTGTTTGCATCGGTTTTAAAAGAAAATCACGACGGTTCTTCTGTCGTGATTGCCGTGTCTCTTTTGTAGAGACGTTCCATCTTTTTTTTTTTTTTTTATTTTATTTTCCTTCCCTATTTTTTTTTCCCTTTCTTTATTCCCTCCCGCACTTCCCCCTTCTGCCGCTCCCGCTGGCACTTTGAGAAGAACCACCAGATCAGCCAACCTCTCAACGACAAGAGAGAGACACCACAACGATGGCCACCGTCTCAGCACCTACTCCTAAGTTGGATCGCTACATTGTCATCCACGTCGCAACCACCTGCGATGAACATGGCGTCTACGTCACCAAGGACTCTGCAGAGGTGATCGAATTGGGGTGGATTTTGTTGGATACCAAAACCTGCGAGGAGGTGGGCTTCTTTCTATTTTTTCTATTTTTTCTCTCTCTCTCGCATTGCAATCCAACAGTGCACTCAATTCCGTCTTTTCCCCCTTGTCGTCTATCCCCCCTCTCCTCTTGTCTGGGTGCTTAGGCCACCAAAGCCCCCCCCCGTCAACACGAATTACCCGCGGTTCATCCGATCGATTCCATGCTGACTCGGTCTCCTTTTCCTGCTTAGTTACACCGCGAAAGTGTCCTCGTTAAACCCGTCAACACTCCGATCACGCCGCTTTGCAGTAAGTCGCTTTTTTCCCCCTCTTGGTTTCCAGACTATCCGTCCGACCACCATTCATCTCCCTGTATGATTTGAGACACGCGATTCCTTTTCATTCGAAACCCCTCAATTTGTCCTTTTACAACCTTCCTCCTCCCCTTCCTGTACGGTCTCCTGCGTTCCCCGGATGCATCGGTCTGTTGGTTCAATGGCTGACAGTTTCGGACAGCAAGCCTGACAACTCTGACATGGGAACACGTCCGCTCGGCAGGTACCTTCCGCGACGCGATCAACCGCTTCGATGCTTTTGCCCAAGAACACCTCATCAGCAAGAATCTCGAGTTCGCCTTCGTCACGTTGGATTCGTGGGATCTGCGCGTGCAGCTGCCCCGGGAGGCTCGAGACAAGGCCGTTGTCCTTCCTCCATATCTTCAGCACTCGCGGACCTTCGATCTCCGCACCGAATACCAGCGATGGCAGACGCATCATCCTGAGTCCCTGCCCTTCGGACCCAGCTCGCTTTCCAACATCTGCGCCGCTCTCGAAGTCGAACCCGTCCAGTCGTCCGCTCCCATCAAGCACAACCTTCCCTTCCACCTCCAGGCCTTGGCTCCCGCGTCTCCTCGCCGCGCAATGGAGGAGGCCATCACTCTGGCTCGCGTGCTGCGCGGCTTGATCCGCAAGTCCCAGCCCCCACACGAGCATCCGGAGATCCTGACTCGGCCTATGGATGCCCGAGCGGATGTGCGTGCCTTCTTGACCGAACGCAGCAAGGTCCTGCACCTCAGCGGCTTGCCCCATGATACCACGCAGTCGGAATTGGAAAGCTGGTTCACCCAATTCGGTGGCCGTCCCATCGCCTTCTGGACGCTCCGGACCCCCGATCAACACAAACCCACGGGTACCGGCTTTGCCGTGTTCTCGTCCCACGAGGAGGTATGATCTTCTGACACTGTTGCTCCAGACTGTTTCCCCTCATGCTGACCGTTTCTTTTAGGCTGCTGAAAGTCTCTGCATGAACGGTCGCGCTTTGAATGAAAAGGCCATTGAGGTCTCTCCCTCATCCAGCCGTGTTCTGGATCGTGCCGCGGAGATCCTCACCCCCTTCCCTCCTTCCAAAAACCGTCCCCGCCCTGGTGACTGGACTTGCCCCTCTTGCGGCTTCTCCAACTTCCAGCGTCGCACCGCTTGTTTCCGTTGCTCGTTCCCTGCCATGGCTGCGGCTCCGGACCCGATGGGCTACGGGGCTTATGGCTATGGCCCCCCATCCATGATGCCCCCTCACATGGGCCACAACCACGGCATGGGCCATTCTCGCGGCTTGGGTGGCAACGGTGGTGTGGTCCCCTTCCGGGCCGGTGATTGGAAATGTGGCTCGGAGGGATGTGGCTATCATAACTTTGCCAAGAACATCAACTGCTTGCGCTGCGGAGCCCCTCGCTCGGGCGCTGCGGTGGTCGCTGACTCGGCGTTCCCCTCCCCCATGGACCCTCCAGCTGGCTTCGGCATGGGTCCCAACTCCATGACGAGCACTCCGGCTCCTGCGCCCTTCACCTCCGCGGCCGGCGGCTTTGGTGGTTTCAGTCAGCAATTCGCTGCTCCGCCCAACAACTATGCCCTGCCCTCCGGTCTGGGAAGTGCTCCCGGTGCCTATCCTCCCATGGGTCAGGTGAACGCCGGCTACGGCTCCACCAATGCCTCCCATACCGCATCCTCGTTCTCCAACCCTGCCACCCAAGCGGCCTTCAGCGGGGCTGATCACGCCTCCTCCACGAGCGCGTCCAACGGAGCCTTCTATGGCACCGATGGCTCGAACGATCCTTTCGCCTTCCTGTCGACCGGATTGGGTGGGTTGACCGTCTCCGACGATAGCCACTCTCGCCGTAATGGCACTGGCGCGAGCAAGTCCCCTGCTTAAATCAAGCACGTTTTTGAAGAGGGGCAAAAATTAAACGACCAGACCACGGGAGGCTTGAAACAACCTTCAAGCCGTATTTTTTTGTCTTCTTTCCCACCGTCGTTCTGTCACATATGGAGGTCTTGGTCAGTTGGTATATGTAACGGTTGATTTTCGTTGAACACGCGTTTGTATAAGGGAATCTGCAGTTTCGGTGCATTCGGTTGGGAGGAGCAGGCCGGTAGCGTGTCGTCGTTTCAATCCGATCCTCATGTCTTTTCGTTCACCTCGTGTCGCCGCCTTTTTCCGTCCACCACATTTCGGCATGTTTTACTATTGCGTCTTTGGAAGCGATGTTTGAGGGTTATAGAACACTGTCCTGGGACAGTCAGGGGCTTAGGCGGGCACGGGCGCTTCGCTTCATTTGTCGATACATCTCGACTGGTTTTTTTTTTTTTTTTTTTTTTTTTTCTTTTGGATCATTCTCGTTCATCTTGGGTCGGCATGAGCTTCGCACATTGTTTCTTCGCATGCACATCTTTTTTCAACGCAGCCTCTCTTTTCCTCCGGGGGAGAAGCAGAACGTGAAGGCTCAAGATCTGGCATTTTTGCATTCTAGATATTCTTTTTTTTTCTCCTTTTTATCCTCCTGTTTCCCCACTTTTTTCATCTCTGCGCGCTTCTGCACTGCACACGGAAATATTGGAGAATCACGGTCTTGATTACGGATGGGATACAAGGGAAATACGGACTCTCGCGGGGGGGTGTTGGGGGTATTTCTTCTGCGCCGGCAAAATCTTTTCAACAACATTTGGGACTAGTTATTGGAGAGGCACTCGGGATCGGGTTCTGCGAGTGCAGGGAAGAATCCCATTTTCTATCTGTCCATAATTTTCTTTTTCTTTCTCAATCGATCTTGTCTCTTGACCCACCTGGTTTAAATATCAAAGTGATCTCACTCCTTTGCTTCCGTATCGTGTCTGTGAGCATATGAGGCATGTGCCACATAGGACGTGCTTCAGTATTCGTCAGATTCGTAAACCGCGACATATATCCCGTCGTGTTACCTGTACGTTGGGTTCCTGAAGCTCCAACCCCAAGACAGAGAGCTAAATATTTTGTTCGCGTGCGGATATCCTTCTGGGTTGATCCGGGAGAAGACGAGGGCTCCGACATCCTTGACTTTGAAAGGTCCTCAAACAAACATTGCACAGGCGAAGATTATCATAGAAGTGGCAGAAACGGGGGGGCTCTCGGCGGGGGGCTTTTCAGATGCTCATGAGAGGCCAGCCAGTGATATATGGCATATGGCTCCCTATCCGGATTTGCGAGGGTGTTGTTTGCCTGGTTTTTCCGTTCAAGTGAGGATGGGAACGTGTGGTCCCTGGTTCGCATAGAATCCTGGTACATTCCCAGATCTACGTACTCGGTACTCGGTACTAAGTAGACATAGTAGTAGGTAGATAGTAGATAGTAGATAGTAGATAGTACTAGATAGTACTAGATAGTACTCCGTAGATACCCCCCTGCCAAGTAAGAACCATTTTAATCAGCGTCGCCAGTTTTCCGTTAAGAGTCTCTAGCGATACGCTCGACCGCTGGATGAGTCTCGCCATAGCTGTCATGTGCGATCTCCATAGAACCGTGTCCCCTTGAAGATGTAAATAGCATGCTAGCGCAGTCATTGCACTCAATGTACCCTCCCAAGGACTGCTTGCTTCCCTGTGAGAGGGTTCTGATGTCATTCTGCATGCCAGACAGCGCTCTAGTGTGGTTTAGGAGTATAAAGCGCTCCAGATCCTCTTTCACATGGAAGTGCGAGATTATGAGTGGCATATGTAAGTATGGCCAGCATCTGATTAAAAGGCAGAGAGGTATTTGTGACGCATACTGGGTACCACCAGTCTTTGTCGACCCGAAACCGAAACCGGCTTGGAATGAAGAACGTCTGAGAAGACTAAAAGTGTGTGTCAATCGCGCCAGCTACAGCTAGATGAGGGGACTATGGAAAGCGACATACTGGTGGTGAAGATGCCATAGCCATTGTGCGCGACTCCCCTATCCAAAACACCCGGACTGACCAGGGGTGAGAATAGTGGATATTCTACTCCCTGGAGACCTCCCCGACGAGATATCAACCGGGGTATTGACTAGAACATGATTCGGATGCTGCTGTACCGCTCAAGGTGCATAATAGACCCAGAAGAACATTGAGGTACGGAGTACTGCGGGGTGATCCTTGCGTCGGGTATAACCAATCTCGCGCATACCTCGCTGTCGCATCTGGGATCGCTGCCCCTTAGTCGGACGGGGGTGTGCACAGGAGAGGTGGTGATGAAAGCCACCCACTCGTTGGGACGAGAATGAGAAATCGGCGCCGTAGTGCATCATCTCACCACCAAGACTTACTTTCTACCAATATGATGATAGAGGAGGAAAGGAAGTTGGCTTAATGGTACTTGATGCTGGAGAAACAACCAAGTCCTTCGGACCTGGTTGCATTATCCCGCGCTGCTCGAGTCAGGTGATATCCCCCAACGCTGGACTTTCAACGTTCAGACAATGACTGATAATGACTGAATGAAAACAAGAATTGAGAGAGATAATGGAGATATGGAAGACAGTACTGAGGCTAGAGCTGAGCCCCGGGAATTCGAGACTGGTGAACGGTCTTTGCTCAGATGGCGGAGAAGCGCACGCTACACCTCATACTATCTACGCCTTTTTAGCTCTGAAACAGCTTATCTCTCCTTGAACTTCAGTTACAACTCTTCTCTAAGGTATGATCCCTCGTTACGCGTGAGATCGTGACCGGGATCGAAGATTGTGCGGGAGAATAGTTTCATGGAACATCAATCAACTGGCAAACAGAATGCCTCCACAAACCGCCTTTTTAGGAAAGAAAGCGCGGCACTTAGGCACATGTATCATTTTCTGCTTATTATCTGCATTGAGACATTGGCTGCAGCCGTCTATATGAGCTCTCTGCCACAATCTCGGCTGCTCTTCCTGGCAGGTGGTCGCTCGTGGGATGCGCAGACGGCGTACACCAAGGCGATACCAAATGCCAGTGCAGCCAGTCCCACAGATACCCACAGGGCAGCTCGGTACCCTTTCAACAACTCCCTGCCGTGATGGTTGACTTCTGCCTCCACAGTGCCCGCTACACCCAGGCCGATGGCGATAGAGTAATCGATCCCAGTGTTCACGGGCGACGCCGAGGCTCCCTGATGCTTGACGGGCACTGAATCGTTCAAGATAGTAGCGGACTCAGGGAAGGGGATATCCATGCTATAGATGGTCAGGCTAGCTTCGCACATATTGAGCACTCGAGGCTTATAAGAAGCTTACCCCCAGGCCATGATAACAAAGGACCAAAATGTATTCAACCAATATGACTGCTCTACCGGCGCTGTACTCTGCAGGACACATCCGGCGAGAAACACGGCACACGCAATCGCCATCAACCAGCCGCTGGAGACTACAGCCATTAGGCAGGGCGTGGTCAGAGCAGCAGGGATCCCTGAGATAGCTCCTGGCGCAAACTGTGCTGCCGAGTCTAAGGGGGACACATGTCGGAACTGTTCGATAAACTGAAACAGATAGTAGAACCAAGCACCAAGACTGCTCCATCCTAAGCCGGTGTGGTCACCAATATCGCGACAACACGTCTGTTCAAAATTGATAGATTTTGAATCGGGTCCACCGCACGCCGTTCCTGAAGAGCAAAGAGCCCTAGAACGAGAAACCCCGCCATCAACAACACATAAACATACAGCGTTGACCAGCCGTCAATGGGCGCTTGGCTCCATGAGATATTGGATAAGAGCAGGCCTGTAACACCCAGAGCAGATCCGAGATAGTCAAACTGGGCTCCTCCACCAGCTTTCCGCTGGCGCTGATAATCCGACGGAATCACCCAAAACCCAAAAACAGGGCTTATAAAACATCCAATGCTGTACACCCACATCACCCACGGCCACCCGACATATTGCGCAAAGGCGGAACCGATCGCTTCAGCAGTAGAGCATCCCAGCGGCGCAGCCACGGCAAATGAGGCGAGTATCATATTTTTCTTCTTGCTTGGTGGGTACGTCCTCCTCACAATCGCAAGCGCATTTAGGAGAGGCAACGCTGGCCCAATGCCCTGGAGTGCGCGAGCTATATCGAAGAACACCGCGGAATACGTGAAGGCACTGCAGCCCCCGATGACGGACCAGACGCCGAACAAGGCCCCTCCCACGAGCTGCATAGGCTTAGACCCGTATAGTTCACCGAGTTTTCCGGCGATAAGAATGAATGTGCCCCCTGTCAAGCTGTAAAGCTAGGTCATCTGGGTTGCTTCAGATGACCCCTGGCCGAAAGTCTGGGCCACGGTATGCAGGGGGAGAAGAATGTACCCGAAGGTACTTTGGACAAAAAGCTGTGTTGAGCATAGGACGATGATAAAGAGCCATTCTTTTAGTCCGTGCGCTGCTGTCTGATAAACGTCAGATTGCTCGGTGTCCAGCCACTTAAACAGCAAGAAACGTACAGTGATCCGTGACCGCCTCAAATTATAATGGTTCCCCAAGTCCTAAGTCACAGTATTGAGGTCTTATCTGCCTTGATCTGAAACTACTCCTTACAAACAGAACCGCCAAACGTGTAGTACTAAAAGAGAAATATCGGGGGCCATCAAGCCTGTTCGAAAGTGGATCCGGACAGGGACCAAGGCTCTCGATCAGGACTAGCCTCAATTTTAAACTCCCAGAACCATGTTTTTAAGAGTGGGGCTGACAGGGGATCAAGCACTAGATCAGGACTAGTATTATTTCCAGATATGACAGATTCACTCAGGAAGTCAGGATACTTCGTTTATAACTTGCGGCTGATCCTACTAGCATGAATGTCCCTGGCGAATTTCTGCAAGGTGCTCGCGCATTGTATGTGGAAGATGCAAGAGCTGAATGGTGAGCTGTCAAACCAAGCCCATCTAACTTCAATGACTTGTACAGTAACCGTTGCAGGCTATATCCAGTTACCATACAAAACCCAAGCTACATGATGCAGTATAAGCCCTAGCTAGGTCTTGTATACATCTCCATTGTCCTGTCGGCGCTGCTCTTTGCCGCTCTGCTTCCTGTGCTCCTGAACCATATCTCCATTACGGGTTGTCGGGACCACAAGATACAAGCCCAACTAAGGGAACCATTTTCAGGACTTACATCTTGCCCTGACTCGAGTCATATCGCCAGACTGCAAGCATAGGGACTAGGAGAAACGTAGCTTAACAGTCATTTTTCTATCCCACTGAAGGTTTGCCATTCCAGAAAGGCATTGGTTGCGCGACAGCCCTCAACAACATCTGAATGGGTGCCCTAATGAGCACACTAGGACTGGTTGCAAACACCACATGCCTATGCGCATCCTCATTACTGAAGGATGTAGGTGAGGTGACTGGGTCAGTAATCACCATTGGGTCTGCAAGAATGAGCCTGCCATTATCAAACACTAAGGAAATTATAATCAAACTATAGAAAGGCAGTAACGCCAGTAGAGACTAAGAAGAAGGTACTTGCTGGGCCACGCCAGGCCATGCGGGGTGGGAAACTGGTGTGTAGCAGGTCAGACTGCTATATGCCCCGAACGCGGTAGAGAACCCCTGGTTGTCAGAGAGAGGAGAAACAAATCGAACACGCCAGACCAGGCGGTCAGGCCTATTTTAGGAGTAGAGGCTCGAGCAGGAGGAATAGCAAGGATAAAGTCAGCTTGAGACACCTCAGACGCTATGGTCTCCATAGGGCATAAGTAGGTTGATTATCTGAGGCGAATGATGCATCCAGATGCATGTCGGAGAGCAGATGAGCAATAGGTAGGGATAGGAAGCTCTTCCTACTATTCGTCTAGTAGCAGCAAAGACATATCACAGCCGAAAAGAAAGCAATATAACCACGGAAGAGGAAAAGAGGATTATGTTGTCACCATGCAAGGATATTATTCGTTCTTCTACTATTTCCGAATCTTTCAACCTGCCGATCTATGTCCTCACTTTACACATTGAGCCACACACACCAATGTCTTCTCAGCTGCCTACACAGCGTTGAGTACTAAAGTAGAGTGCCCAAAATGCACGACGCCTGCCTCAGGAGGATTGCTGATTGCTCACCAGTTGTACTTGAGATCTGCTCTCAGCAGAATTATATCATAATTACGGTTATTATTGTCATTTACATCTCCCTTCTCTTGATCGTCAGATCAGCTAGTGTACCCCAAGGGCTCGTTATTCTGGCCATCTGGACCTTGGAGGTGCTCACCTAGAGCTTCCCTTTGGGGTTTTCTATGGAAACCCGTCGAGTATGTCTGCAGTGCCGGGCGGGATATGCTGATTGACATCTCTGTGGTGGCTGCTTCAGAATGAATTTTGCGACGCGCGCGAAGTTGTTAGGTATAGCAACAACAAGTCACAAGGAGAATTGAGCATAGAAGATGTATTAATCTGGCATGCATTACTTGATGATAAAAGCATCCTAAGAGATAGGCCTACCTTCACGCGAAGCTAGATTACAGTGCATATTGGTAGCATGGAGGTAAATGCAATGCGAAAGACATACTGGGTCGGAGTGGCATCACAGCTTCAGTTGTTTTGGCTATCATCTTATCATTCTCTCGCGAGCCCATACTTATACCCTAAGTCAGATCATATCACGTTAGTATGTTGATCTCGTTGCAAATTCCCCGAGCACTTAACTACTAAGCGACAACCGCAGACCGTAGTCTATCACTTATGGAGCCCCTGGTTTGAACCCGTTGGCTATACATGTTGGGGTCTGAATCAGGACGCTAAACACCCTTACCATCAGTGGAATACAGATATAGGTACCATCATGATGACTGCCCTATCCGCTTCAAGTTCCTCGGTCGCCTACAACGGCAGTGGAAGATACCTTTATTTCGGTTCGCCTCCCGCGAAGATCCCCAAATCGGCCATGTTTGCAGCCTGCACCGATCTAGCCGGATAGAACCTGGAAGACCAGAACTGCATCGATATTGCGAGCTTACAGTAGAGGTATGTACCTCACAAAGTCCTACTTCTCCTGAATCTAGTACTTATATCCTAATAAGATGTCTTTGGTCAATCACTGCTTATGGTTCTATCACCGGCATACATAGTAGATTATTGATCCTTTCGGCGTGAAGATACATATAGGCGGTGCCTAACCATCCTGCGGCTTCCGGTGCTCATGTTGTCCTGAATGGAGGCAATGGGGGTATTCTTGGCCTGGCACATTTCTTTAGACAGGCTCACCATAAAGTGTTCGTCGTATGCCATGTCGATTGCATACCGTCACGTAGCTTCCAGAGAAAGATCGGCTGCAGCGATCTGATCTGATAGTAAGTCTAGCCTTCGCTCGCGCGTTCTGGCATCTAATATAGCCGACGCAGATTGCAAGGCGTCAGGTATTCCATGTTCGGGTTGCATTTCGCCAGATCATTCACTTATTTGGGCTTCGATAAGTGCTTCTTTGGATTCATCTGGGCGTTGCACCATTTAGACAGTTGGCAAGATGTCGATATGGGTAGAGCCATGCTGTCAGCTTGAAGTAATTTCGAGAATCCTTTCTTTTTCCCTGGAGATATGAGTTGTTTGGACACTAGATGGCAAAGGCTCCTCCCGCTGCGCCAGGGATGTCTTGTACAAGGATGATTGCGCGGTTGAATACGGGCATTGGAATGACGCAGCAACTATGGTGGTGACTGCTTTGAGTCAATCAAGGGGGAAGCATTGGGGACATCGCAAAGATGGAGGGACTTTGGTGGAAAGGTGATCTTGATTTCCGTACTCTACTGGGCTCGGAAGGATATATATGAGGTAAACCAGTGGTAGGGATTATAGTAGCGATGGTAGCCTGGTATTCCTGGGGGTTCTGTTAGCCCTCACATAATGTCGATGCGAACTTCTCATGACTTGGGTAATTACTATTAACGAGACACCTGCAAGTCAACACAGTGGGTGTTGGTTGATGGTCTATTAAGGTGTTTCCCGTTTCTGTATGATGTCCACTGGCCAATAACCGCGCGGCTAGCGCCTGGGAGCTCTGGAGGCAGCCGCGGGACTCGCGTCCACCTCCATCCCGTCATCACCCCAAGACGAAGGACAGCACCCTCAGTTTTCCAACAGTCAACAAATCGAGCCATCTTCTACGCTCTCTACATCTATTTCTCTATCGTTGAATTTCTTATCTTCAGCTTTTCTCGTAATCTCAGCGTCTCTCACAGCTCATAATGTCCGGATATGATCGAGCTCTTTCAGGTAAGGCAGCTTAGCTACCTGAGCTTCTGGCGTCCTTGTTTCGGAGAACACCTTGGTCTAACAGAAATATAGTGTTTAGGTATGAGCGTTTGGAGTGTTTAAGCTATGATCGCAGCTATCTGACCATGATTTCAGCCCTGACGGGCATGTCTTCCAGGTGGAATATGCTATGGAAGCTGTGAAGAGAGGTGAGTTGTTTGACCCGAGCGGGAGGTTGTATACCCAGATCATAACCAAGCTAATCTGTCTCCCTTTGTTTTCCGATACAGGAACCTGCGCTGTTGGAGTAAAAGGCAAAGATGTTGTCGTTCTGGGCTGCGAGAAGCGCTCCGCCCTCAAGCTGCAAGATACCCGTATCACACCCTCCAAGATCGCCCTGCTGGACAACCACGCCGTCCTCGCTTTCGCCGGTTTGAATGCCGACGCTCGTATCCTCATCGACAAGGCTAGATTAGAAGCCCAGTCGCACCGATTGACCGTTGAGGACCCCGTTACCATCGAATACATCACCAAATACATCGCTGGCGTGCAGCAGCGGTACACACAGAGCGGTGGTGTCAGACCTTTCGGTATTAGTACTCTGGTTGTAGGATTTGATCCCAATGACAAGGTCCCTCGACTATACATGACCGAGCCATCGGGCATCTATTCTGCTTGGTATGTTGGCTTCTGTCTCCCTATTGCTGCAAAGGATGTTGGAGGGTGCTGACTGAACGGCTGTGCACAGGAAAGCAAATGCCATCGGCCGCTCTAGCAAGACCGTGCGGGAGTTTTTGGAGCGTAACCACCAGGATGATATGGACCAGGAGCAGACGATCCAGCTTACCATCAAGTCGCTGTTGGAGGTTGTGCAGACGGGTGCGAAGAACATCGAGGTGGCCATTATGGCTCCTGGCAAGGCGCTTGAGATGCTTCCCGACGAGCAGATCGAGGCTTATGTCAAGAGCATAGAGACGGAGAAGCAGGAAGAGGCAGCGAAGAAGAAGACCGGCCGGACAGGGACCACGACCGCGGCCATCCTCACGCGGCCCGGCGGCGGAGAGACCACCGAGTCGACTCGGGAGTCGGCCGACTGAGTGAGGCAATATTAGGTAGAGGAAGTATACGTGGGATACGTCGAATTACGAGATCTGATTACACCTTTCTTTTCCCCCTCCATTTTTCAATCTCTTCCTACCTCCGGGCGATTGCCGTCGACTTTTTGAGATCTTCGTATATGCAATCGAACTCTATTGGTAGATATGTATGTGAAGATGAGGTGAATATGTGAGCATTAGATCGTAATTTTCGTAAGCCGTCGCGCGTACCCCCAATTCCAATTTTCGCAACTTAGCCCAGACGATCCGCCGCATCTTTGGCGCTGAATATCGATCGTTCGTTATGTCCACGCACACGGTCGTCCTTGATCATTCTGAGGAAGTCCGGTTAGCACCACCAAGGATTCATCCTCCCGCTTCGGGCAAGAGATATTCCAGAAGAGGTGAGTGAGGCTTTGTAAGCGGCATACCTGGCATCTACACGGGCATCCTCGCCCTCGACCTGCAGCGCAGCCTTAGGAGTCAAGGCGTCGATCACGAAATGGTTATCGCAGTGCGGGCAGTATTCGTCACTATCGGTCCGGTCAACACTCGGGTTATCCCACTGCAAATCTGGTGCGTCGAGCTCCTAGCAGGCGTACCTCTCGTCGAACTCAGTGGCGTCCTTCCGGAAACACTTTTTGCACTTTTTACAGGCGAATATCTGCAGACATTTTAGAGATGGTTGTTATCGAGACTGAAGACAAGGTATGAGGAGAGATCGAGGTACCATTTCGGTGGATTTGGCGAGCGGGTGGGGTTCTTGTTCTTGGTGGCATTCGGCGCAGTCGAACCATTTTCGACCTGTTTTCGACAGGATTATTAGAGTTATACGGGGTGAGGGTGATGTTTGACTTACAGCAGGGAGAGCGGATGGATACCTGGGCGTTGAGGATGTGCTTGCTACGTCGAGGTTAGAGTGAGATCGCTGTGATGGATAGGAGGGATTTGGGGGATTATTTACCACATGATGAGATGTATCAAATTATGGATGAGACTGAGACGAAAAAGGAGGAAATATACAAGTATGAGTATCAATCGAAGGATATTGCTGGCGTTGAGAAAGTGACAAAAAAAGAAGCTAAAAATAAAGGCTTGGCTGATGGGAGTTGCATTTATTATTATTGCTGCATCTGCGATGGATCGATGGATCAATCTCTCTCTCTCTCTCTCTCTCTCTTTCTGTCTGTCTATGGATCGCCCTTGTTTGTTCTTCTGTCACTCATCTCATTCATTCATTTATGACTGATTGACGGATCTGATTTCCTCCTCCTTCTTGGTCTCCTTTATTGATCCTTCTTTTCTTCTCTCTCTCTCTCTCTCTCTCTCTTTTCCCACTTGTTCAGCCCCGCCTGTTAAATCGTCATCCTCAACTCCCCCACACGCGCGTTTGCACCGCCCCCCTGTCTCCCTTTGATCGTCATCTTCATCCCCCGTCTTTCACTCGTCTGGACTCTGGACGCTTCCCAGCTCCCGAATATCACCACCGTTTCGAGCTCTCGGTCTCCGATATATTGAGTCTCTGACCATCCATTCGGCCTGATCGTCTTTCCACCCTCGATCTGTCCTCGCCCCCTGTCCAGCTGCCTTTTATCGCCAGCACCCTGACCGCTTCCGCCCAAGCCTCTCCAACCACCCGCCACAATCTTTTATTGTCGGTATATTTTTTCGGCTTCTTCTCCTGGATTGATCTTTGATAGCTAGACGGTGGCTTGTTTCTTCCAATTTTAGGCTCTACAGACAAACATAATTCAAGGAGCATATGGTTTATATCCCATTTCCGTTCGCGTGCCCGATCTGTCGTTGTGGTCATGGAGGGAAACGGCAAGGACAAGCAGAGCACGGATAATGCTCCCATTGTAAGAACCTCGCAGACCTCCGTTTTTGTATGCTGGTTGCATAACTCTTACTAAAATTGACGAACTCTCAGAGACCGGTCTCTTCACTACTTTCGCATTTTGAGAATCTATCCCATCGTCGATCCCCGTCCACCTTCACCAATGGTCCCCGAGATTCAACTGTGTTCCTGAGAACCCCCGATCCCGTTGACGATGCGCGCTCCTCGCGAGTTTCGCTCGATCTACACCGTCCCAGTTCCCCTTGGCTACCGACGGCGAACTCACAGAGCACTCCGCGATATGACCATGCGAACGGCCTTCTCCCGCGGCGCGGATCTCCCGGAAGATCTCCAGGCAGCCGCCAGAACAGGCCCATGTCGATGAACTTCCACTCGTCCCCGCAATTGGCACCGACGTTGACCGTCGACTCACCTCGATCGCCCCCGCGAGGGTTTGGCTCCGCGGAGCAACACGATCATGTTCTCGATACCAGGACGTCGCGCAGTCCTCCGAACCCCTCCCGGGGGTCATTACCCCCGCCAGCCAACCGGCCGACTACCCCGAACTTCTCGACAAGCCAACAGAGGCCCGGTCACCTATCGCCAGCGCATTCACCTTCGGGAGGCTACGTGCGCGACAGCTCACTGGATCGAAAGCCGAAGAGCGCTTCGTTACCTCCTCCTGCGAACCGAGCGGATAAGCCGAAGGTCCCTGCGAAGCCGGCAGCGCTAACCACCCATGATGGCGCGACTCTGGCCCCTCGGCCTGAACGAACGGCAGAGGAGGACCGGATATCACCGTTCAGTACGCCCCCTAGCAGCCCTGAGAAGTCACCTCCGAAATTCTCATCTGCTAGTCGCCCACTGTTGCCGCGATCTCCTTCCCGACGAGAGACCGAACCTCCCAGCCGCATGTCCTTCGATGAAAGATCACCGGCCCCGACAGCACATGCTCTCCGAGATGCACGTGAGCTTGGGTTTTCGCGAAGACAACCGATTCCGGAACCCACCCGAGATACGAAACCATTGGTGGTGCAGATTCCATCACACCCAGTTAAACAATCGGAGCCGCTGTCAGCTGCGCCGCTCTCTGCCCATAGACTTCATTCGATAGATACCCCAACTGAGCGTCCCAATCTCCCCCCACGACATCCATCAGTGGTACGGAGGGGTGGTGTGTCTCCCGCCCGTCCGTCGCCACACTTGGATAGTGCTGCGAATGCTGCGCCGACATCAAGGCCACAATCGTTTCAAGTACCTCAAAAGGACGCTCACACGCCAACACAAATCCAACGACAGCCGTCATTTCCTAGAGAACTGAAACTGCCTCAAGGGCCTCCGGTGCCCGAACGGCATATTAGTCGCGCGGAGATGACTGAGGAGGAACCCGTAGAAGAGCCAACAATCTCACGAACAGATTACCCCGATGCATCCCAAGCAAACCGTCGGCCGCCTCTCCTCAGAGATGGGCCGAGGGAAATCCATACCAGATACGACACGCGTCTGATGGACGTGTGCGGAAAATATGTCTGTACGACAGGGTATCTCACCCGAGTTTGGGACCTCACCACTGGCGAACAGATTATGAGCCTCAGTCACGGGGAGACTGTCAAGAGTCTATCAATAGCCTTCAAGCCAGGTACAGGCTTAGACGATGAGGGACAGCGGTTGTGGCTGGGCATGAGTACTGGTGAAATCCATGAAGTCGACATCTCTACTCGGTCCCTCATTGCCACACGGTCGTATCCGTCGCGACGCGAGGTAATAAAGATTCTCCGCCACAAGAAGGAGATGTGGACCCTTGACGATGAGGGGCGTTTGCTCGTATGGCCACCGGACGAGTCTGGCGCTCCGAATCTTCAATATAGCTATCACAACCCTTATGATCGTGTTACCCGGGGACACACATTCTCCATGGTTATTGGTGATACCCTCTGGCTGGCCACGGGCAAGGAGGTCCAGGTTTATCGCCCCAACGCACACGATGATGTCTCGTTCAAAGTCTTGAAGAAACCATTGGGCTCCCAGCACACCGGCGATGTCACCTCTGGAGCCTATACGACCAAGGACGGCGGACGTGTGTATCTGGGCCATGCAGACGGCAAGGTTACTGTGTACTCTCCAACTGATTACACGTGTCTGGCAGTTGTCAATGTAAGTGTTTACAAGATCAACTGCTTGGGGGTGGTTGGCGACTATCTTTGGGCGGCCTACAAAACTGGTATGATCTATGTGTACGACACCCGCACCAACCCGTGGCTGGTAAAGAAGGACTGGCGAGCGCACGAGAGTCCTGTCTCGAGTTTCTTGCTAGATACCAGCAGTGTCTGGACTATGAATCGACTGCAGGTTACCTCACTTGGAGACGACAATTGTATCCGACTATGGGATGGCATGCTGGAGGATGACTGGCTCGGTGAGTAATGAATGACCTCGAAGGATGAATATGTTTACTGACAACAGTAGAATTACGCATGCAAAGCAGAGACGTTGAGTTTTGCAAATTCCGCGAGATCTCGGCTGTGGTCATGACTTGGAATGCGGGAGCTTCCACACCAGGCACTGTCCGTTCCAGCACATTCATCCAGGATGCAATTCGTCCGGAGAACCCACCCGAGATTTTGATTTTCGGCTTCCAAGAGCTTGTTGATTTGGAGAACAAGAAAATCACAGCCAGTAAGTACTGCATCCATGAGTATCATTATGGTTTGAGCATACCTTGACCTCCTCTTAGAGAGTTTGCTTCTGGGAAGCAAGAAGAAAGAGAGTGGCGAGAAGGAGCATATGAGCCGTCAGTACCGGGTCTGGATGGAGCATCTGACGCGCTGCATCAACGATTGCATGCCTCTCGACGAGTCGTATGTTCTGCTTCACTCGGCCAATCTTATCGGCCTTTTTACCTGCGTTTTCGTCAAGCACAAAGAACGGCAGCGGATCAAGAATGTTGGAGCTGCAGAGGTGAAGCGTGGTATGGGTGGATTGCATGGAAACAAGGTGTGTGGTATCTATGTTGATTGTTTGAGCTGTTTTCTGACTCTTTAGGGCGCCTTGATCCTTCGCTTCGTTCTCGACGACAGTTCCTTCTGCCTCGTCAATTGCCACTTGGCAGCTGGCCAGACACAAACGGCTCACCGCAATAACGATATCGCAGCTATTCTGGAGTCCGAGTCGCTTCCCGCTGAGAGCAGCCTCACCACTCGAGCCAATCACTTTGTGAGCGGCGGTGATGGGTCAATGATCATGGACCATGAGATTTGTATTTTGAATGGCGATCTCAATTATCGCATTGATTCGATCCCCCGAAACGTGATCATTGAGGATATCCGCAACAACAATCTCGCCAAGTTGCTAGACCGAGACCAGCTGCTTGCGTCACGGCGAAAGAACCCTGGCTTCCGTCTTCGATCGTTCACCGAGGCCCCAATCACCTTTGCACCGACATACAAGTACGATGTCGGTACAGACGAGTATGACACGAGTGAAAAGAAACGATCCCCCGCCTGGTGTGACCGCATTCTCTACAGAGGTCTCGGCCGCATCAAGCAGCTAGACTACCGACGGCTCGAGGTCCGAGCCTCTGATCATCGGCCGGTGAGCGCCTCCTTCAAGCTCCGAGTCAAGACTGTCCTTCCCCAAGAACGTGCAACGGCCTGGGAAGCGTGTCAGCAGGAATTTCAGAAAGAGAAGCGGAGACTCGCTTCTGAAGCTAGGTGAGTCGATCCCCTCTTAGCATCGCCACCTTTTAAGAGCCCATTTACTAATCGGGCGTAGCATTGAATACCTAATCAGCGTCCTGGGAACAGACCCTCAACAAGCACGATCATTGATTCTGGGCACTCCAGCCCAATAGCCCTACTCACCTGATTCACTTTATTTCGTTTTCGTCTCCTTTTCTCCCTCTTCAATAATTGGCACAGGCAAAAGTTGGAATCGTCCGGTCTGCAGAAGACAAAAATCAACAGGGAGGATATAATCGAGTGTAAAAAACGCGATGGATTAGCGCCAGCGGGTATTGTTGTACGACTAATGAATTCACGATAGACATGTATCATGAGAAGAGAAGAGAGGGTCCTGGGTTGGTCGATACAGAGAACCACCAACAGCCAGCGAGCGGGGGTTTTAGACAAACAACTGCATTTCTAATTCTAATCTATCCATCGCATTCGTCTTTGTGGTCTTGTATCTGGTTGATGGTCAGCAGGCGATTCTATGGACACTTTCACAGTGCGAAAGACCAAGTGGCTTACCCCGTCCCAAACTACACATAGATTCACCCAATATGGGAGGTAATAGCTTCTGCCCACCGGGTAATTCCCCTTGACTCCCATCCAAGCGAGTCCATGTACTTACCTGTTCAACAGAGCTTACCCCACACTCTTCACCAAAACCCCTGTAGGCTGCACGCAGTACGTGTTGGAGTAGATATGCACGCTCCTCCTACTCATTTCAGCACGGTGTGCCCTCCGCATATCCCCCCCTGCCTGTCTCCCCCGGTCTCCCCCGGTCTCCGTCCTTGTCATGCATGCAACGGTTGCAGCCGTGACTCGCGCCTCCACGGGGAAACGAAACAAGTCACCATTTTGGAAATTGGGGTTATTTTTGTGGATTTCTCCGGCGGAGAAAGCTCATGCTTGAGTGATTGGTGCAAAGTAAAAGGGGGGGGTCTACTGGAGATGATTTGCAGATGCGGAGTAGGTGAGAATTTGCTGATATCATGCTTGCTCGCGGGCCTTCCTTGCAGATTTGTAGTTGCAGTTGGGGGCAATGAGAAACTTGTTGGTTGGTTGTGGGGAAGGAGGGATAAGGGATATATATAGAGAGAGAGAGAGAGAGAGAGCTTAGGTTAGCTTTGCTCTGCTCCGCTCTGATCTGCTTGATGGTTAACCAGTACCGTGTAGACACCCAGGTGTACTGACAAGAATCACAATGTCGAGGTTTCATCTCCCGCTTGCGGCAGCGGTAGTACTGGTTTCTTGTCTCTGGAGCGCAAATGCGCTGGTTAGACCGGATGGCGTGGTAGGGCTTCCTTCTTCCCCCCCGGGCAGTGAAGCTGGAGCCGGAGCCGGAGCTGAAGCTGATATCCTTAGGGTAAACTGCCCGCGCTGGGCTGGAACTCCTGGAACGCATTTGGCTGCGACATCGACGACGCGAAGATCATGACGGCGGCAAAGGAGATTGTGAATCTCGGTCTGAAGGACTTGGGGTATGAGTACATCAACAGTGAGTGGCTGCCTCTTCGATGATCTCTAATTGGGTGTGCCGTGGTAACTGAAACGAGTGTAGTCGATGATTGCTGGTCCGTCAAGAGCGGACGTGACAAAACCACGAAGCGCATTGTCCCGGACCCGGCGAAGTTTCCCGACGGCATTGCGGGTGTTGCGGACAGAATCCACGATCTTGGGTTGAAGGTTGGGATCTATAGCAGTATGTTCGGGTAGAGTTGTGTTTCTTCCAAGCGAGCGAGCTGACAGGATCCTAGGTGCCGGCTTGACGACCTGTGCTGGATACCCTGCCAGTCTGGGCTACGAGGAGATTGATGCCCAAACCTTTGCGGAATGGGGCATTGACTGTCTGTTCCGCGTCCCGTCTGCTCCAGCATAGGATCTAGCTGATTACTATGCCCTAGATTTGAAATACGACAACTGCGGCGTCCCCTCCAACTGGACAGATGCGTATACATTCTGCGTCCCCGACCCCGGCAGCGCCTCGACCAACGGCACCTGCCCCGATAACGAGAACCCAGCGCCGCAAGGCTACGACTGGAGCACATCCCTGACAGCCCAGCGGCACCAGCGTATGCGCGACGCCTTGCTCGGCGTCGAGCATACCATCTTCTACTCCCTCTGCGAATGGGGCCAGGCGGATGTGAGTGCCTGGGGTAATGCCACGGGTAACTCCTGGCGGATGTCGGGCGATATCACGCGTATGTTGAGATGCCTCGCTCCCCCAATCCCTTATGGCCTATTTTTTTTTCTTCTGACGCACGGCAGCATCCTGGGACCGCATCGCGGCCATCGCCAATGAAAACTCCTTCCTGCTGAATCACGTCGATTTCTGGGGTCACTCAGACCCAGATATGCTGGAAGTTGGTAATGGGGACCTTACTTTGGCGGAGAATAGAGCGCATTTTGCGCTGTGGGCGGCGATGAAATCGCCCTTGATCATCGGTACTGCTGTACGTCCGTCCTTCGCTTTGCTTTGCTTATCATTACCATGGATCTTGTGAGGCCACGCTGACTGCCATAAGCTCGACGGCATTGATCCCGCTCACCTCGAAATACTATTGAATAAATACCTCATTGCGTTCCATCAGGACCCCGTCATCGGTCGTCCTGCATATCCCTATAAATGGGGCTATAGTCCTGACTGGACGTTTGACCCGGCCCACCCCGCAGAATACTGGTCCGGGCCATCTTCGACGCTGGATGGGACGTTGGTGCTGATGCTGAATTCAGAAGGGAGCAGGCAGACGCGCACCGCTGTGTGGAAGGAGATTCCGGAATTGAAGGACGCGCTTGGAAGAAAGGGGAGACGGCAAACGGGCTTCCGTGTGACCGATGTGTGGACGGGTAAGGATTTGGGATGCGTGCGGGATCACTACACTGTCACCCTGGAAAGTCATGATGTTGCAGCCTTGCTTGTTGGAAAAGGATGCTAGGTGCGATTGTTCCTGTCCGCAGCTTGACCTGGGAGTTCAGCGATGCGAAGAATGACAGTATGAAAAGGTTAGCCATGAGCCTGCAGCATCATCAAGACTTTCTCAAAATGTGACAAGAGTTATCAGAAATTTGAGACCCAAATGAGACAGACCCAATCCAAAATTGACTCCAAGCTTCACAAAGTGAAATGTTCTATGTACACATTTGATTCCTAAAACGACTCGCAATGCTTTCTTCCATTCGAGAGGCCACGGGGACTATAATATTGGCCTCCATGGAGTCAGCGACTCTGATTCTGACGTGCCCATCCTAGTAATTTCGCCAATGTGATATTAATCAACGCTTCTATGTCCAACAAAAGGCCATTCTCTGCGCAGACTAACAGAGACGAAAGGACTCGGCAAGTTGCATCAAATCAACCCCCCTATGCTTCTCATCTTCAACCCATTCATCAACGAGTTTCGTCGTCAAGTCCTGCGTAAACTCGGGAATCTCCTCGAGGATATGCCTGGGGAAGTTGAAATCGAAGTGACCTCTCTCGGTCTCGCATCTCAAAACCTCCACCGTGAAATTCACAACTGCTTTGCGCAACAGTCGATGATGGGCCGTTGTCATTGCATATACTTCTCGGACGACGCGAGGAAACACAGTCGGAAAGGACGCCCTTTCTAGAGATTCGGTAAACTTATGTCTAGCGAGATGCTTCAGCCCTCTTATGAGGAGGCGGTCCGCAAGGAGGAATACGTGGATATGGATAGACAATTCGCAGCAGTGCAGACGATCTGGCGTTGCCATGATGTTAGCGCTCGAGCTTCAATAGAAACACCTGGGCTTGACTCAACCGATAAAATCGTCTGGTGGGCTTTGTCCTTCCGCTAAGAATGACGCGGGGAAATGATAGTCGAGATAAAAGGTATAGCTGCTGGTATACAGATAGTCGAGCAGTATACGGACAATGAGTGGATGGTCCGGCAGCTTGATACGTCCTGTGTGTGCTTCCTGGCAGGCCTAAATATTAGCCATGTCGACATCAAGGAGAAGAGTTGAAGAACCAACGGAAAAGTGAGAATCGAAGACTTTGGCAAAGAACTCCGACTGCGAGCAGACGATCGCTTTGTGGGCGGGAAAGACCTTGTCGCCGGCGAGGATCTCGAAATCGCTGTATTTGGGGTTGCCTACGAGACTTTGGGGGATACTTTTAGCAATTGTCCGGATACAAGGACTCACAAGGCATACGATGCGATGGATGATTTCACGCCGTAGATGTGCCGAAGATCTCCATTAAACTCGCATTCTGTCTGACTCTCGTCGCCAACGTCGACAGGATCATCGGTATCTGGGGGTGTTACACTCATGCTTCGCTCCTTTCAAACGGAAGCGTCAAGTGCTGAAGCAATCAGAGGCTCCACTCGGTACTATGGCCTAAGAAGACAAAATGGATGCATAGTGATCAAATATATGGGAGAAGTCAAAGAGCTGAAGGACGAGAACGAAGCCTTGTAACAAACAGCCTTGCCATAAGTGGAAGGAGGCGGGTGGAATTTGTCCATCGAAGACAACAGCACAACCAAATCTCGACCAGGGTATATATATTCTCATCAGCCCATTACTCCATTGCTCGTCGTTATAGCACTTAGATCACAGGGTTAATTCTTCATCTTTCACTCCATCCACAATTACCGCCACAAGTCTCCTCGACTGTCACGCCTCCAACCTCCGCTGCTCTTGGGACGCTCTTCATTTACAGGAATCGCCAAGAAGCCGCCAAAACCGTTTCCGACAAGCACACTCTTGCGCGCATCACCACCCCAAGTCCGACTTAGTTGCGCATCATGGAGGCTCACCGGCCGGGTAGTACTGTCCCGTCGGCCTCGCGTCTGGGGTGGTTCGTACGGCGTGAAGTTCCACTCCAGTTCATCCAGGCCTTTGCTGTATACATTAAGCGGCTGTGAGAGACCACCGCCGAAAGATTGTGGTCCGCGTTCACCTCTTCCGAAAAGCCGAGGCGGAGGGGCGAGTAACAACGCCTCCGGGAAGCTGGCATCGCGAACGTAGAGATCGCGCAAAGCCGGGAGAGCATTGGTCATGAGAGAGGAAATCAAATAGGTGTAGTATGAGCCTGCAACCGGGGGCAGGCCGAACGATGAGTTCGACGAAGTGATTTCGTAATGCAACATGCTCAGCGAGGTAGATGTCAACGGTGGTATCTGCTCGGTAGGGAAGGATCGCGAGACTTCCTGGATGACTGAGAGTCCCTGGAGATTTGGTGCCGAAGAGAGAATCTGATACAGAGCGGAGGGGAGCACTCCCGTGGACGAGAGGGTCAGGAACTGGAGAGATTTGCGATTGATGGGGAGGGCAAAGAACGCGGCAAGCCCGCTTGCCGTGACGTTCGGGGTGTCTCGAAGGGTGAGCCGTTGTACGGCTGGGAAGGGAGGCAGGGATTGAGTCTGCGCAAAGGCGGAGTCATCAAGCCAGGGGAGCTCCTCTAGGGTCAATTCGCGGAGGCGAGGAAACGAGCCCAGAGCGAAGCGCAGAATGCTGGGCTCGATCTGCAAGCGTGACAGCTCTAAAATCTCCAAGTTCATCCATCGCTGCGAGCCCGGTAACTGAGAGAAGCTCCCTTCGGCGCCGTGGCGGTAGCTCATGCGGCGGATATCGGGGCAGCGGGCCATGAGCTCTTGCTTCAAGGCCAAGCAGGACGGGTCATCACTGAATATACCCACCGGCAAGTCCACATACCGGAGGTTGGGACACACCGACACTGTGCGAGCGATACCCGCCTTGGTAGCTTCGCGGGTCATATAAGGCATTCGCAATGACAAGACCAGACCTCCCAGCTCGTATGATTGTCGCACGGAGCGCATGAACAGCTCCAATCGGGCCTGCGGAGCATCGATGGGGTCGCCATTGCGGTCAAAGAAGGAACGGCGCTTTCGTCGGGCCGCTAATAGGACTTCGAGTTCACAGTAATGGACGGCGTCGATGCGGACATTGGAGTAACTGCAACGCGAGAAAAAAAAAATTCCCCCACAATTAGCCGGAGCAAGGCAAATCGAGAACCTTCTCAGAAAAGACAAAAGCACACTCACAGTAGAGCTTGAGCTTCCGAATACCACTGCTTGCACACCATCGCACAATGAGCCAGGTCACGCATGTCACAGAGCATGCAGCCATCTTCGGTCATGGACTCTTCCGAGGTTGCATAGCTGTGATCGGCGGCATGAGGACAGACCGAGGCCAAGATGCGGGCGAGGACGGGTCGGGGGAGGTTCCTTGTGAAATCCTGCTGTCGTCGTCGCGAGGGAACTGGAGGAATGGGGTTGTGAGAATCGGACGCGATGCGGAGATGTTCGTAGCTGGCGGCATTCCCCACACGGCTATGGCTTTTGGAGCGCCTGCGAAGCCGGTCTAAGAAGCCCATGGTAAGAGTGGTTTAGTGCTTCAGGCGGGGTGTCGAAGGGGAGGGAGGACACATTGATAAGGAGGAGTAAGTCGTCGTTCAGGGGGTGAAATAATAAGAAGAAGAATAATGATGATGATAATGATGGCCGAAAAAGGGAAAAAAAAATAATCAATGGAAGGTAAAATTAAATGGATATGAAGGAGGTGGACGATGGACCAAACTAAAGGGTAAGCGAGGTGTTCAAATCAAACGATGGAGACTGGAGAGATCTGAGACTATCACTTATTTGAAGAAAAGAGAGAGAGAGAGAGAGAGAGAGAGAGGAAGGGAGAAAGGGAGAGAGAGTGAATAAGAAGAATAAGAATAATGGCTAAAGTGAGAAACTGAGGATCAGGAAGTACGAGGAGCTTTAGCTTGATATTGCCAGATGGGATGGAAGAGGCCGGTACAAATAACAATCGGACTGTGATGACTGGTAAACTTAACTCTGGTCCTTGACTCTGTCTGACTGTCTCCCTCTTTCATGCATATTCCCGTGGAGCTTCAGGAACCATCGAGCCTAACAGAGCGCATCCAGAGGCGCTGGAGGCTTTTCTTTATCTTGGGGTCTTCTTGGCTGGCTGGCTGGACTGGACTTGAATGGCTGCTGGGAAATGGGATTCTACACCCTGCCCAAAGAATGCTTTGGGTTTATTTTTATCGTTCCAGTCACTCCCAACCTCCGTTTGAATGTACGCTGGAGCAATCCAGCAGTCACAATCACATTACTAGATAGATCCTACGGAGGATGAATTGTAGATACAACCTGGAATCACACTGGCCCATGACTCGGATCTCCAGCGTTTCATCATCCTGGAGACTTCAATAGTGCGGCCAAGACTCAGGGGCCTTTCCACGAAACACACTGGTGGGTGTTTCAACCGTGGCCGTTAATTAGTTAGTTCGATAGCAGCTCAATAATGAGCTAGTTACTGTGTAGTTAGCTGGACTGCTGGAGTCTCTCTCTCAGTCTCTCCGTGTGGTGTTTCACTGTTTCAGCCCTTGAACAGTTGAACTACAGTCTTTGCTCCAAATGGGCTCTTATTCCTGGCTTTTATCGACGGGGATGAGCCTGAAGTTCTGGAACCTCGATCTTAATAAGAATCGCGGTCTTTCTTTTCTTTTCTTTTCTTTTTCTTTTTTGTTTTATTAAGATTGATTAACATGGATGATTAACTCGGCACAGTATGAACAGTGGCTCAATGACAATCGTCCACCGACATGGTTCCCAGAGTCCGATCACCCGATGATCTCTCTATAGGCTCTCTCTCGAAGTCTACTCAAACAAATTCCGTCAGGATGCTTATTCCACCATCTATATGATCCATCACCGGGCTGGTGGTTGTCCGACTTTCATTTAGCAAATTCAGCCAGTTGCCAGTTGGCTGGCCATATCGCCGCTCTGGACAAACATTGCATGTGACCAGCCCCCAAATCAAGAAAAAAAACACATCCTCAATAAGGTTCTTGTTCCTGGATTTGACCGAGTTTTATCAGGAAAATTGGGGGTCTCGATGTATGGTTGAGATGGTCATATTCAGCTTGACATCGTCATGACATCATGGCTCGTTGGATGCATGCAAGAAACGCGACAACAAGAAGAAGACAGAGATTGTCGATGATATAAGAGGCTTGAAGACACTGCTTGGGGGAAGGGGGAGAACGAACCTCAAATAGACCTCCCAGTGTTGCTCGCAGATCCTCAAATACCTTCCTGCTCTGCACACGGTTCGCTTTCTCTCGCGGCTGCAACACACTGGTCACGCCAAACAGCAATCAGTCGCCCACTAGTACTTCGTACACTAGCAAATCTTTCGTCGATTCGCTTTCAGGTCGTCTGTCAGGAGATGGCGGGAGATGCACCAGATAGAGGCTCGCCTCTGCCACCCAAGCCCAATGCCACCAATCCACCCTCCGAACACAGCCAGGAAGACGACTGGAAGCACTGTCCGCCGTATAGGATCCAGTCACCTGAAGAGTTCGGGCCCGTGAAGTGGCGTGCCAAATGCCAATGTGGTCAGGTCTCCTACAGAATCAGTCGCGACAAGCCGCTCAAGGCCAAGTACTGTCATTGTCGGGGATGCCAAGTCATGCACGGTGAGCGTTGACCTTAGTTCGGTCCCGATAATCATTCTCCGTGATGGCAAAAGGCGGATATAGTATAGCAGTCATCGTATACTGATCACCAACTCAACAGGTGCTCCATTCCAATGGGCCGCCATCTTCCACAAGTCCGACCTCACCTTCGACAAGGGAGCCAGTGGACTCTCGTTCTATTCCTCCGCCCACCGCACCCGAGACTACGAAGTCCCGACCAAGGTCTCTTGTTCATTCTGCCGCACGCCCCTCCTGGACGAGGGGCGGAATGTATGTCTAATTTTCCCGGAGGCGATTCAAGTCGGCGAGTCCGACGAGGAACACCAGAAGTGGAGGGAGGCGTTTGCACCAGAGTATGTATCGCTAACTTTGTCCGAAGACATGTTTCAGCTGACCTCGGCTCGCAGTGGTCATATCTTCTACGGAGAACGATGTATCGAAATCCTGGACGGCAAGACGAAGTGGGCCGAGATGGATGAGGATAGCGAACAGTTGGATGACCATGGGAATAAGATTTAGTTAGCTACAGAGTCAATCGGGATGAATATTTTTTTTTACTGTACATCAGGGTCTGAGGAGCTGGTTGAATAATCTGAATCATCATGTATTTTTTTATGCGGATGACACTCCTTCTTTTTAGGATAGTACACAGTAGTAAACCATCTAGATAGTAACTATCTAAGCACTGCTACTACTTTAGTCACACTGTCACAGACTCACAGTCTCACAGAATGATCCTTCGTCTCCGATCTCACCTGCCTTAGTCAACTACATCGGGAAAATGGCCCGAAGCTGGTGATCGGCATACATTGGTCACTCGCCGTGTCAATTGAGACATCCATGCATGATGACCATTCCCATCAGCATCTGCTAATAACGCCAGCCAATCCACTATCCTCAATCAGAATAAGGATTACTCTCATCCTTCAGTTCAAGTGGTCCCTGGAGAATTTTCTCACTAAGAACCGTCTCATCCGCTTGACTACGGAGTACTTACTCCAAGACACACCATGCTGACATGGGGACCTGCAGGACGGCCAGAGCCGGCCATCCTTTGATTAATCAACATGATTCTATATAAGCGAGTACCCCAATTGATGTATTTAAAGGAGCCATGAGTGCCTAAGGCGATGTTCATCCAGAAGGAACTCTCTGGTCCTCAGCAAGTAGCAACCTGGACAGACACACACCATGTGGCCCAAGACTCTCCTCTTACTCCTCCCCACGCTCGCGGCCAGGCTAACCGCAGCAGCCACCCAGCTCAGCGACGATGAGATGACCAGTCTCCTCAACGCCGGCGGTGTCGAGCTAGCAGACCGCTACGCCCCGATCTGGTTCTTCGGGCAGGCCCAGAAACAGCCCCCCTGCTATCCCACCTGGGCGTTCGGAGGCTCCCCCTCCACGCCGGACGTCTACGACAGCGCGCACAAGACCCCACCCGCGCCGCAGTGCCAGTATCCCGATGTCGGTTGCAACTGTCGCAACCCCGGCGTCGGAATCGGGAATCCCGGGCCGGCATTCCCAATCTACTACACGTATAAGAGGTGTAGCGATACCGAGGTGCGCGTCGTGTATAACCTCTTCTATCAGAAGGATGGGGCGGAGGTCGTTGGCATCGAGACGGGGCATGACTAGTGCGGAACAATCCTTTTCTTTTTTTGGCGCTGAGTAGTAGGCTGACGCGGTTATGGTGGTAGTGACTGGGAGCGCGTGATCATCATCCACTCCCGCGATGGGAACGGCCTGTGGGCGCCGTCGAGGGCGCTGCTGTCTGCGCACAGCGGCTACCACAACAAGGCCTGGGGAGATATCCAGAACACGTTGACGACGCAGGAGATCCAGGCGGGAGATGCGAAGACTCCCAACGGCGTGCGCGGCAATGATCACCCCAAGGTATATGTCTCATGGTCGAAGCATGCGCATTTCGATACCCGCAACACTGGCTGGAATGATCCCATCAGTCAATCGACGGACAACGCCTTTCGGAGCCAGGACTGGTGGTACTATGTTGACAAATCGTATTACGTGAGTGGATTTCCCCGGTTTGTCCTTTTGTTAGGAGACGACGGTGTTGACGATGGGGGGTAGATTCGGGCAGACGATAGCACGGATGCTGGCAAAATCCTCGGCTCGACTGATTGGGGGCATGCATCGAGCAACCCTCCATCTGTGCATGCAGGGGTGTGCTCTGCTTCATAAATTGTCTCCAACAGTCACCGATCAGGTCCTTGCTTGCGAATTTGTCCGGTCCGTATCTCTGGGTTCTGAGGGGCCGAAACAAGACAAATATGCACGCCTCTAAGCATATTGTATCATAGCTCAGTGCCATGATTGTAGATAGAAGCTTTTTGGAACTGATACCACCACTAGATGTTGTTGTCAGTGGTCACCCTTTGCTTAGGTTTCTGTAAGATGAATTTAGCCGAATGACGTCGATGCCCAAATCAGTTAAATTTCCCCGCCGTCGCGACAGACACTCGAGCTCTCTAGACGCCCAGTTGACTGCAGCAACTACATCCCTCTCTGAATAGCGAAAACCAGACACATATATCTAAGAAGTAAGATAACTACGATTCACATATACGGGCAGTGAATTGCCTCCTTCCACCATCAATCGCAAGCACTCCCCCAATTCCAGCCCCGCAAATCACCCACCACCCATCAAAAAAAAAGAAACCATCACTAACAACAACCCAGCACCAAACCACATCCCCCATCAATCAAAACAGAAAGAAAAAAAAAATGTCCTGGTTCCAAAAAACATTCACCCTCCCGACCCGCTCCCGCGGCTCCTACCTCATCACCGACGAAGTCCTCTCCCAGCTCCCCGAACTCCGCAACTACAAAGTCGGCATGCTCAACCTGTTCGTGCAGCACACGAGCTGCGCGCTCTCGCTGAACGAGAACTGGGACGAGGACGTGCGCGCCGACATGAGCGATGCGCTGGACCGGATTGCGCCGGCGGACCGCAAGGGGAATCTCTACAGGCATTCGGCGGAGGGGGAGGATGATATGCCGGTTTGTTTGTTTTTTTTTTTTTTGGGCCCTGTTTCTGATTGTTGTAAAATGAGAGGACCTTGGCTGATTGCAAATGTTACAGGCTCATATCAAGTCCGCGCTGGTTGGCGCGTCGGTCAATATCCCCATCTCCAATGGGAAGTTGGCGACGGGGACGTGGCAGGGGATCTGGTACCTGGAGTTCCGGACCAGTCGGCACACGCGCAAGGTTGTGGCGACGATTCAGGGTGAGAAGGCGTAACTCGATTGCCGGGGGTGGGGGGATTATCTGTGAGGGCTGAACGAGAAGACATGAAGTGGCCGCTGAGGGCACTGCGGGACCGATCAAGGCAGTATTGGTAGATGGGGTGAAATTTTCCAACATACTGGGCGGCTGTACTTTTATAGTATTGCAAGTCCGTCGTACATATGATAGCTACGCAATATCCGCCAAAATCAAACCTAGAGAAAGAGAACGAGTTTAATCTAGCAGTTCATTGATCTGGTACAAATCTGTACAGAGCCCAGGCTCAAGGGCTAAAGAATATCAAAACAATTCATCAACGCCAGCAATGAAATCAATCACGTCTCTACCGCTGCTCAAATGCACCCTCGACAACAGGTTGCTCATCTTTCACCTGGGCGGGATCAGCGGTGGGTTCCAGGGGATAGCTGGTGGCAGGGAGGGACTTGAGGTATGCACGGTGCTTCTCCTGGGCCTATAGATAAAACCAATTAGCCTTTGCATGCTCACCCTCCAACGGCCCGTCTGGTAAACTCACAAAGGGAAGACCGCAGTAGCCGCAGGTAGCAATCTCGGGCTTATCCGTGTTGATGAAGACGCGAGGGTGGCCTGTGGGACCACCGCCACCGTCACAGCTGACGATTCTCTTCTTGGTCCAGTTCACGGGCTGCTTGTGAATGAGCTCAATGGCGGCCAATGGTTGAGGCTAGAGAGAACCCGAGTCAGTCATTGTCGTCCACGCAACCGCACCGCCCCAGATCCATGAGTCCGAGCCAATTGCATCCCAATTTCACCGATCTGCGTATACACACCTGGAGCTCGAAAATGGTCTGCTCGAAACGAGGGCCGGTCATGCCCTGCTCGCGAGGCTGCTGGCTGGCAGCCCATGTCGTGGCACGGTTGGGGGCCTGCAGCTCGCGGCTCCGCTCGCCGGCCTCGACGCTTTCCTGCAGAGGGGTATCCCAGCTACCGTATGAGTCGGTGGGAGTGGCATCGGTAGCGGAGACATTGGGCTTGGGAGGACGCGGGGTCGGGTCGTTGGCTGCCATGCGGTTCTCTGAAAGGCGAGGGATGGTTGTTGTGTAGCTGGCGCGGGCGATGGCGCGCGGGGCCCACGTCGAAGAAAAGGCCGCGACGCGGCTTCGAGCACAGGAGAACATGCTGGGCAATTGAGGTCCCTGGACTGGCGCGGAGGGCAGGTGTGGAATGGGCGGCAGAGGGCGGGAGAGAGGTTGAAGTCGGGATGAAGGGTGAGGTTTGCGGGAGCTCGCGCGGCCGCTTGCTGGGCCAATCGGGGTGCCTCCTGCGGCTGTTGCGGTGAAATTCTGCCACTCACGATGGATGAAATAATTTCTTGCCCTTTTTGGTCGATGTTTGTCTGGACGATCTTTTGTTGCTTCTGTCTGGGAAGGATTCACCAGCGACTTTCGGGTACTACATTGAGGACTTCGTATTTGCGCTCCTGGCTTAATTGCGCTTTCTCTGTTGAGACCTGGACGACTTTCCTTGACCACAATTTTTGACCATGTCTCGCCCAGCTCCATCTGGCTCAAAGCCAGAGAAGACCATGTCTTCCCGTTTACTGACTATGAAGGTCTATTTCTGATCCCCCGACTATAAGCTGGTGGTGCAGACCAACTGACTTGCTAATTATAGTTCATGCAACGAGCTGCTGCCACTGCTGCAACAAAAGAAGCTTCGCAGCCTTCCTCCGCCGCAGGGTCTCCCAAACCAATTTCGAAGCGACAGAGACTCTCGACTGATGGTCTCTCCCCGAGTCCCGGTGCAACACCTTCTTCAGACTTGGAAGCTATCTCCGCTGCGCTTGCGGCAGAGGAAGAAAAGCGCAGAGAAGCTCTTGCCAGACAAGCTGCTGATGCCGGTGAATCGGAATGGGTGCTGGACTATCCCGGGGCAGTAGAAACCGGCGAAGAATACGCAGCAGAACCTCTTGTGATTGCTGCAGACTCCCTGGATGCCGACGACGACGATTTGGTAAATGGAGGTCGGCAGGCATATGGAAACTTCAAGCGCAAAAATAGAACGGTTCGTTCACTTCCTCTCAGCTCTAAATTACTATTCATATCTAATTGGAGGCTAGGTTCAATATACCTCAACCAATGACGGCGATGCTGAAGATCCTGATCAAATCGATTCGATGATCAAGAAGGCGAAACAGGACGCCTCCCGACAGAAACCCGTACGACTGTCTCAACTCACCAGTATATCCGGAGGCCGTCAAAGTCTTGGTGGAGACAAATCGCAGAAGAAGCGCAAGCACAAGTAGAGATTTGCTGAAAAAATCCGTGAAAATAACATTACTTGGACGACAACTCCGCAGAAGGCTGCATCCTTTCCAGTCTCCATGACACCCTTACTGCACCTGCGACTGGCGTTTCCCGTTTCTATGAGGAATAAATCATCTTGCACCTTACGAAAAGAAAGGGGTTCTTGTCTTAAACACGATGGTTTGTTGATATGTCAACGTCACCATGCGGCGTCATCTCGTGAGAATCCGATTGCTTCGAAAGAATCGCCCTTGTCAACCCCAAGAGGATACTCGATGAGCCTCGTGCTTGAGGGGTCGCGTTCTCCGTCTGAGGCCATAGTCCAGGGACCGACATGGCTCCTCGATGGGAATGTTGATGTTAGTGGCGGTGAAAGGATATCCATCAGATATATGATGGTGTATCCTACCGAAGTCGACACACCCTGTTTCACTGGGATCCAATGCACGCACCGCTGCTGGGATGGACGAGGATATCTTGTCGGCTGGCGGTATGACTCGGACCAGGCGAGGCCGTCCTATATTCAGGCCCTTAACCAGGACATCACGCTGTCCATTGAAACAGCAGGACATCTCGGAAGAGTCGATAACTTTGAGATTTGAATGAGTCAAGCAGGGAGGTTCTTTTTCTCTACTCTCACCCACTGCTTTTCGTGTGCTATTCAAGGCGAGAGGTATTCTTGATCACAATGGCCAGATGGTATGGGCTGTGTTGGTCGAAGCAAAAGAACCACAGCTGAAAGAGGCTTTGTTCCCTCCCATCCTTCCTGAATAAGAACCTGCGATGGATTCCCAACATTGGGCCCATTTATACAAGTTTTACATGTTTATCACATCATATCAAAATCCCCCACATACAACACTATTGCAGACAATTGTCAGAATCGCTCCCGATATAATTTGTACATTCAACTGAAAGACCGCCCTCAGTATGCGCTGTCTATGTAGATATTAAAAGAACCCAAACTCCAACCCACCCAATCGATCATAACTTCGCCTTCTCCTCCTTCTCATTCTTCTGCCAACTCTTCTGCGTCGCGAAATTAACCGCAACATTCCATAGCGCAGCCCCGACCCCCAACGGCGGCGCCAACAACAACACCCACGCCCACCACCGCGGACTCGACGCACTAACTGTCCCCATCGCCTTGCTCACCTCCGCCTTCAAATCCGCCTTATCCCCATCATTCCACACTATGACCCCCCGCGCAGACCGCGTCCCCCGGAACTCCGCCTTCGCAACCTTGCCCTGCACATCGCCCTGGCTGCGCACGCGGTTCTCCGCATCCTCCGCCGACAAATGCGGGTCTCGCGCGCGCAGCCGCGCCATCTGCACCCCCGGGTCCCGCACGCCAACCACCACCACCGTCCCGCAGATCAGGTCCATCCCGCTCTCGAACAGCAGCGGCACATCCAGCACCACCGCCCACTGCCCGCGCACGTAGTGGTACAGCAGCGCCTTGTAGATCTCCCAGCGCACGGCCGGGTGCACGATCTTATTCAGGATCATGCGGTCGCGCTTGCGCTCTTCGCTGGTGCCGAAGACGCGGCGGCCGAGCGCGGGCCGGTTGAGTGGGCGCGCGGCGGTGTTCGAGGTGGTGGGCTCCGGACCGGGGAGGAGGAGATCCGGCGTGCTCGGGCCGAAGTAGTTGACGATGGCGGTGTAGCCGGGGGTCCCTGGTTCGACGACCTTGCGGGCGAGGAGGTCGGCGTCGATGATGGGCAGGGAGTATGGTGGGGAGGAGAGGAGGGCGGAGACGGTGGATTTGCCCGTGGCGATGGAGCCGGTGAGGCCGATTATGAGCATGGTGGAGCTTCCGGTCCTGGGGTTATGGTGTGGTGTGGTGGAGATGTGGGTTATTTCGCTTCGAGGGTGTTTGGTTGTTGAAGGTCTGTAGCTAAAAAGACAGAAGCTGTGCGCAGTTGATGCTGAAGATGGGGGAGGAGGTTGGAGTTGGAGTTGGAGTGTCAGAAGGTGAATGCGGGATGCGGGGACTGGAGGTTCCTTCAACCTCGGCCAATCTTGAAATCAAGCCATCTACATATCTACTGGCTCTTATGGGCAAGTCAAAACATATGACTTGGCATTGAGGACTTGAATAATGAGTTGAGGATATCGTTCTATTTTACATGCATATTAAACAAGATGATCATAACGCTTTTCGTGATAATGTACCAATCCACCCATGGCAATGAGTAGTCGTGATGAGTCCACCGGTATGATGGAGTGAAGAAGCAAGCCGTGAATGTAGCATGGCTTGCTCTGGCATGGGTGCCATATCGCGTACAGAGCCAGTGATCAGTAACACCATGCTGCTCCATTCTAGAAATGAATCAGACCCATCAGAGCCTGTCACTCGGCGCGCGAGGCTGTAACAACCATTGTCGTTCGCGGTCTGACCTTAAAGAGGTCAAGCAGCTCGAGTATATAGGCTAGGAGTAAATCGCCCGGCTTACCGACAATTCTTGCAGAATCTGTTCCCTGTAACCAAAGGCACTCTAGAAGAGACCAGACGGAAGGTTTGTTGTCTTAGGACTCGGGAAGTCCTTTACTGGGGTCTTGCTTCTGGCCCTTCCACCCGACATACGGCCATCCCTGGGGGAGACTTGAAAAGGGCGGGAGTACATAGCGCCCGGTGCATCCACCATCAGTCGGGCAGGAAAGGTCACATAGACCAAACACCTTGCAATAACACTCCTCCGCCGTAGGACAGTAGACGGGTCCTTGGCCGAATATCACTGTTACATGTTAGCACCCCAGTCATTGCATTGTCAAGCTGCCATCGGGGCCAGATGAAGCACATACTATGCCATGAGTATTCCATAATCCGCCCACTAAGGTCATCCTTGAGCGGAGTTTCAGCCAGCCATTTTCGGAACCGCTCATAGTCACTCTTGGGCCTCTCGCGGACCTTCCAGCTTGTAACTCCGAACTGTGCACAGCAAGAAACCCCAACCGTTTCCGGGACCTTCTCACCGGGAAATAGTTCCATAAACCCTGTCTTGAAATATTCGCCCGCATGCACGTCCTCGCGGTGTGTGTCCGAGAGCGGGCGGATCTCCGACGGACATCCGAGAACCCACGCACAACGCAAATTGACATAGCCTTGCTTCTGGAGATAAGGCACCTGGAAGTGACGGAGCACAGGAACTCCGTCGTAGTAGGGATCATCGTTGTGCCATTGATAGCGCTGCGAGTGAATGAAGAGCATCACATCCGGCAGATGCTCGTAATTATCAATTATGTACCTGGCATATTCGTCAGAGGGATCGATCGCGAACAAGACAAGCTTTTCTATCCAGGAAACCGACGAAAAGGGAGACACCCACGTCAAATATACCATCGACTCCCGCCCTTTGTTCTGAGCCACCGTCAACTCCGCCTTCTTGTCGTCGACCACGTAGACACTTTTATGCCACTCGGGGAAGTTCTCAAACAACCACGACGTATCATCGCCCTTCATACTGGCGATCACCAAATCCCCCTCGAGGCGCTCGGCTTTCTGCGACGGCGATGTCTGTTCCGAACGCGAGTCCCGATTCAACCCCTCGTTATGTACAGCATCGTGGACCACAGCTGCCGGACTTCGATCCCCGGATTGTCCAGCAAAGAATAGGAAGTAGAGCGCGTAGACGATGAGGATCGTGAGGATGATCGCTTTTTCGCGATTGCGACGGCGCGGGCTCTGCACTCCGCTGCTGAAGAAGGGCATGGTTGCAGATTGGGGAGGTCGGCTGGGTCCAGAGGCCCACTGAGGGTTTGAAATAACCGTCGCGCTGACTGGGATGGATCGTGTATCGTGACTATCAGCGAGTGGGAGCCAGAGTCATGGCTGCGTGCTGGGAGAAGGGCGGACGATGCGCAGGAGTTGGTTGCCTGACGGCGGGTTGGAAGTTGACAGGGTGGATTCTATTGCGTAAACAGCGAAGGATTGGAAGGGAGGGAGGATGAAAGAGAAAATATCATCGGTCGTAGAGAAGTGTGCAGTTCTTCATCCAAAAGGCCATTCCGCAGAGATGCACTTCATCGAGCCTGGGTTGTTCAAGGTCGGTCGGACTTGGAGATGGGGAAATTCGCAGCGAGACTCGACTTCTTCAGATGTTCAAAGACTCCAACCCAACCAAACTGCTGCTAAGTGCCAAACGACTTCCCCGGAGCCACCAAAAAGTCCACTCGGTGGATCCAATGATTATGGAGATCCGTTGTTTAATTTCACCAGGCTATTATTACTCTTACAGATGTGAGTCTTGAGACATATAATCAGCCTATCCGCTTGGACTGAGGCAATATCGAGCACCAATGGTGACTGTTGATGGAACCAAATCGCTGTTCTGGTAGAGAGATAGACCATAAACTCGTATTCCATTCGTGTCTGACCGACCCAATATTCTAGTCAAACTGGGCCCTATCCAAAACATAGCTCTATATATATGTATAAAGATCTACTGGCACGCATCAATGTGGACGATGTACCAATTGTGTGCCTCGGTGCTAGTGGTAGCCTCTCCAGTATTGCCGCCCTTGGAGTTGATCCCTTCAACGAGGTTAATGTCGGCCGCTGTGACGGTCGCTTCATTCGGGCTCGTGATCCAGTACTCAGGGCTGATATGGCTGAACCCAGCGATTCTGGGAGGGAGTCTGGGCACAAGATCGTTCGTGTGAGTGACACGGTAGTTGGATCCCTGAGCGGTGATGTACTCCGCCAAAGCCAGGTTACCAACGCGAGGCGACGCAAAGGGGTACTAGATGTAAACGCGTTAGTTCATTGCTTCTCGCAGGATCAATCTCTAGGCGACGGCTTACCGCAATGGCTGCAATGCCTGCTTTCCGTAAAACCGCAGCACTGATGGTGGCAAGGGCAGCACCGAAGCTATGTCCGGTGATCACCAGAGTATACCCTGGGTATGTCTGTTGCGCGGCGAGGATTTGAGCCGTCAACTTGTCCGACACCACTTCCCAAGACTTCCAGAAACCAGAATGCACGGCGCATCCAGTGCACACATCACTGATGCTGCGCAAGCCGAAGTCCAGGTTCGCAATCCAGGTGTCGAGTGTCCGACTTCCTCGGAAGGAGACCACGAGCAGTTCATTCGTGGTGTCTACGGCCAAGAATCCTGCTACATCTCCGAAGGAGGAAGACCTATTTATTCCCCTGTTAGGTGATTGGCCTAACTCGCAAGGGGCAGACGACTTACTCGTTGAACTCGGAAAGGGACTCGGTGTTGGCTGCCTCGACCAGCGGGCAATTGCCAGCAGAACATGTCAGCTTGGTGCCCGGGGAGTTGATATTATCCGTGCAGTAGGAGGCAGCAGACCACTGTGCGAACACGGTCAACTGTTGCAGGATCTCCGACGAGACCGCTACCCTCGACCGTTAGCATCGACACCCAATCCCTCAGACCACGTAAGCATACCTCTCGCCTCCAACCCTGTAGGAGCAGCGACACCCAGCGCAGCGAATGCCGCGACACCCAGCGCGTAAACAGACTTGAGCTGGACCATGATGCCGTCCCGATAGCCAAGAATGGACCCCTTCGGCGGATTGTATATACAAGACTCTTAAAGCTCACACAAGGAAACGCCGCGACACCTGGGACTGCCCAATTCCAGCCATCGGCCAGGAATTTGGACACTTTATACCCTGCCCCATTCCTCCTCACGGCCCCAGCCGTATCCCGTATCCCGCCTCTCTCTCTCAGTCTCACTCTCTCCCCCTTCCCCCTTCGGTTTGTCAGCTGAACGCCTTGTTTCGCGTTAAGGATCCCGAGTGGGGATAGGTCAATAAACCAGATGCACCGCAGCACCAGTCGCAGTCACGCAAGGGCCTGCAACGTGCAAACAAGGCGCATGTCTTCTCGGACAAACCGACACATTCCCCTGGTGCGAAATTCCTCCATTCCGGCCTCCCTCGAATAGGACATTGGCACGGGCGGCGTGATGAACCTCGAGCAGCGTGGGAGTTCCTTGTACCCCACCCGGGCGAAAAAGAATCCCCGCGCTCTGCAGAAAGCCATTCCAGCTTGGTTGTCTAAAAAGGTGGGAAGGCCGTGAAGATCATGAGACTAGGCTTGCTGGTGAGAAAGCCATTGGTGGCTGGTCTAGTGGCTTGTGGATGTCCAAGAAAAACAAGTCCACCGGTGGCCGGCACCCGCATGCGCTTATTGCACGGCGTGACAGCGTGCCTGGCTTTGGGCCGTTGAAGGCGTGATAAGAAGAAGATGGTTGGCAGCTAGAGAGAAATGTCTCACCCCAACTCGCAGGTCAACCATTTCCAGTCAGTGATAAGCGGGAGGAATATTGGCCCCGATCATGGAGTATCTAGAGGATTGAACGCGAGGAGGCAAAACAAAACATGGTGGTTGCTGAGGGAGGTGATCCCTTGTTGTTAGTCTCGTTACATGAGTAGTAGAGCAATCCGATTACAAACAATACTTTCGAATGGGATGCCAGTGAGGGTGAAGCTGCGAGAGAAGGATGCCAGCAATAGTTAATAGCTCTCAACAACTATGCCGGGTTAAGTGCGTCGAACTCCACCCACGACTTGCCGTGTGTATGCAATGCAACACTATGCAATGTACGTACTCCCAAGTACCGACGGACTTGCGGAGCAAATAATCGACCGGCTTTGTAATTGACTAATTGTACCACTACACAAGAGAAGACTATCCACGTGGGACACGCGGATACTAGCGAGTCTCTAGGGCCGTCGTTTAGAGGCCTCGGAACGAACACGGCTCTCATCTACTGTTGTTATTGGCAAGATGGATTCAGTTCCCTACAGGGCATCTTCAAACCCCCACCAATCAAACGCTCTTCGTACCTCGATCACAGCGCCGAGGGGGAGGAGAAGAAGAAGAAACAAGCAAAAATCATATGACAAAAGTTCGCTCCTTTGAACGCCGGCCATGTACGATAGGTAATCATGTCTGTCTTTGAAGTAAGAGGAAGCTAGATGAGAAGATTGCCTGACTAAAGATAATGTCGCTGCTGTAGGCCAGTTAGCTCAGTCCTTTGGCCGAAATAGAGTGATAGCAGTAGACAAAACATACCAAGCCATTGGAAGAGTACGATGCCCTCTCGAAAGGTATCATCGTTCTTTACTGTACGTTCTCCCCACCATTCTCCCCTCCTTCGGTGTAATCTGTCATGCCAGCATCCTGTCCCTCGGTGGTTTCGCCTGCGAGAACCTTGGTGCGGGGAATCTGATGCTCAGGCAGAGGCGCTCCTGGTGTAGCTGCCACAACATTGTCGTTCTCGTCAACAAACTCAAAGTTGTATCGGGAAAGAAGATGAGGGATGGCGGAGAGTTGTGGGCCGTAACGGGCCGTGTTGTCGTATAGCTCGAATAACGGTACAGCGAGCAGCTTCATGTTCTTAGGGACCGAGAGGACCTCTATCGTGTCGCAAGCGGATTAGATATGGTCCGATACGCCAGATTCGCGGGACTGGTTTCTAGAAGGACTTACTCTTCTTGGGCAGTTGAATGAAATACAACTTCTTGCACTCCTTAGGTCGGGTGACGTGTCCGGGGAGGAAGGGGTACATGAAGGTCTCGAAATTCGGCCGCCACCACTGGGCAAGCGTGTCGCCGACCTCCCAGTCTTCGTTGACACCCTCTCCGGAGAATTGTGATCCCACCGGCGCCAGACGCTCGTTAAGTCGCTTCTTGAACCCTTCAACCTCGTCATCCTCGAAATGAAGGTAATCACCGGGTCTAACAGGGCAGGGCATTAGTTCATCCCTTGTCTTCAAACACATTCCAATAGGCCGAAAAGTGCGACTGAGACTGGTTCGTTCAGGCCCGGAAAACGTACAGCTTGAAGAATGCATTGGCGATCTGCAGCATCAGAACGTGCGGATGGTTGTGCTCGTGGCACACAAGGACACCTTCGCAGGTCCGCCTCATACCGTGCTTTTCATAATGCTCTTCGAGACGCTTTAGGCGGGCTAGTACCGATGGATCCTCTTCTGGCTGTGTTTCCTTGGTACCGAATGTGTAATTGGAAAGGGGGTAAAGACGAATGGTCTTGGGTTGCTGTGCGGAAAAGTCCTTGGGAGCTATGGGCCTAGAACGCAACCACAGTCCATCAGTAATCGGTGAAGTGCAAGCGCAATAGAGAGTGTGTGCAGCTCCAAGCATGTATATCGGGGGGGGTGAGTCTAGACGTACGGATGAGAGCTCTGCATGGCTGTCACTGTGGTCGTCGACATTCTGTGTGCTAGCTGTTTAAAGCAACGGTGGCTAGTCTCCCCTTCCTGATCAGCGAGGAGATGTTGGGAGGAATTGGAGTTGTTCAGTGTCACTGTGCTTGTCGCAAGTCGGAGCTTTTGTTATGGAGATCGGAGCTGCCATGCTCCGCGAAAACGTTCGGCCGGCCCGAGGCGTCACTAACCACTGACTACTTGCTCTACTATTACTAGTACTACTGCGACTTGAGCATCACTAATACAACAAACAGCGAACACGGTTAATTCAAATCAACTTTGAATCACTAATAGAAACCTCGCTGTTAGATCTGGATTCACTTGTGGACTATTACATGGCCGCCATTATTGGCTCCAGGTACTAAGCAATAATTGCAACACATTCTTGCCATGATACTCATTAGTGGACAAAACAGTCTGGGGACAGCTAGCTCGCCTAGAGATAACATCGCGATTCAAGATGCTTTGTTTACTTGGCAGCACTCCTTGGCCATATGTCTGACCAGAGTCGTTCGTCAATCGCGGGAGTCATCTCAAGATGTGCCCTGAAAACAGTACGAGTAGTCCCAATCCAGGCTTTTACAAGTACGCACGATGATATTCCATCCATCGTGCAGTCCATATTGGCCTACTACCAGTGCTCTCCACTTGATAGATCCTTGCTTACTGGGAAACTCATTAAAGAAAATGAGACCCAGGAATAGTTGAACTACTTATTTCACCATTGGCTCCGATACTCGTTTCATGACTGTGCACCCGCACCAACATATACTACATGGTTTGAAACCGATATCAGAAATAACAACTCTCGAAGAAATTTCATTAATCAATTAGGCTCTAGCTTGAATTACAACTCTTGAAACCATCGGCAGACACAATACGCTCGCTCAGGAGGACCTATTGAAATTGTCCAAGGGGGCGACATCCTTGATCTTCTCCCAAATGGCGTCAATACGCTTCACAGAATCAGCATCCAAAGGTCCATGCTCGATCGCCGCCAGCGTCTGCTCCAGTTGGCTAATCCGACTTGCTCCGACCACAACGGCATCATTTAGCTCTCGCCGAAGATCTGAGTGATAAAAGATCCACCGGTATGCCAGCTCCGCCTTGCTGACGCCCGCCGAGCTCGCGATACTTCCCCACTCATCCAACGCGTCCAGCATGAGCGGGTTGCCGTACACACTGTGGTAGACCTTTCCAAACGGGGAGTTGGGATCCCAGCGGCCCTCGCCACCGCCTAGGAGCTGCTCCTTGGTCTTGGTCAAAAAGCCTCCTGCGATGGGGCTGTAGGCGTAGAATCGGATGTTATGTTCCCGCAACACAGGGAGGAGCTCCGTCTCTACCCGCCGGGAGACAGCGTTGTAGTTTCCCTGATACACGGAGGGGGCCACGAAGCCCTTCTCCTTGGCGACGCGGACAACGTCCAGCACCTCATTGGCGCGGAGTTGGACAAGCCGAAGAACTTGAACTTGCCGGCACGGTACAGCTCGTCGATGCCCGCCAGGGTCTCTTCGAGCGGGGTTTCACGATCTGGTGCGTGCAGGTAGTACACGTTCATCTTGAACATCCTCCATCAGCCGCGGCCCTCAAACGATAAACTCAAGAGACGAGGGAAAAACGTACCTGGTCCGTGTCCAGCTTCTGGAGACTCTCATTACCGATCTTGACGATTCCCTCCTTCGAGCCAGAACCGGGTATGAAGCCGGCAGCGACCTTGGTGTCAATCATGAACCGCTTCGCGGCCCCGACCTGCCCAAGGAGCTCCTCGCTGGTAGCATATACCTGCGCGGTGTCGATCTGCTTGACATTGTTCTGTGCAAGCACCTGAAGAAATTCTTGAACATATTCTGGAGTCGACGATTCGGGGCTCTGGCCAAAGAGGGCACCACCAAAGACGATTTCAAGCCGAGAAGGGGCCATTGCGATTTGATCTGAAGATGTAAACACGGGACGAACGGAGAGGATCTTGTAGGACTGGTCGAGGATGCGATGGATGCTGGTTTGGAATTCTCATTCCGAAGATTCCCATCGACGCTGTATTTATACCTTCTTCCAATGCTCGAAGGAAGCTGATTGATAATCTTTTTTTAATTATTATCCCTCCTCATATCGTAAGATCCTCTATAGTAGAATCCGCATCCCTCAAAAATGCCGTGGATTATCAATCTCGCCATCGCAGCCATGGTCTCTTGCGCCCAATCGTGTACAGACAGGAGACAGTATGAGGCGGCCAAGATGATGGACAAGTATAGTCTCCTCCCTAGCAGCCGCAACGCAATACGAGCCAGCCAACCACACAGCCCTAACAATCTACATAATCCAAGCTACCTTACCCACCCTTGAAGTAGTAGTACTTTCTGTCTCCGACTCCGCACCAACAAGTTTCTTTTCATACTCCGTATACTTCCATCTAGATAAACCCACACGATTGGATCCGCTGAGAGCAAAGACATCCAGATAGTCTAGTGGTAAGGTTAGTAGGAGTATGCAGCAAAGCCATAACTCATACTAGTACGCCTCGACCTTCATGACTCGACGGAGTGACGGGACAATTACACAGTTACATCATCTCCTTACCTACTTTTGGTATGGCGGGATTTGATTTCAATACGAGCTAGCCAACCACAGGCGCCGGTTAGTAGTTAGTACGGTAACTAGGTACCTACAGAGTACGGAGTACGGAGTATAGGGGATAACCTCAGCCATCAATTCCTGTCAACGCAGAGATGGTCGATTTGTAATGCGTCGCGCGGACGAATTCGCTTCTCCGATGGAAGCTTCTGGCTAGAATGGTGTAGTCTGGCGGAGATGGATTGGGGGTTGGGTGGCAGATCTTAGTATACAACTTGTGGTATCCTGCGGGGCCAAGATATATATCTAAGACGGCATGTGAGGTAGGGTGTGCTTTCTTTTGGGGATGCAGTTACGCGGATGGGGGGATTGGTCTCGTCTTGTTTCTGCTTTTTTTTTTCTATAGAAATGTATCTGCTAGTGGTGGTGGTCAAGTAGCAATCTACATACGCATGTGCGGACTGCGGGAGCGTGCAATTGATGCGGGCTAGCGGGCTAGCAGACTAGTCGCGGGGCAGATAGAGTGGACGTAGACAACATCTTGGGACTCGGTGCCAGGCGTTGATATAATTGTAGTAGATAGACTCGACTGATCTACGGAATCCGCGAGCACCATGAAGCTCGGTCATCGCAATACATGGCCCAAAACAAACACATCTATTACAGACATCTCAGAGATATTAAAGCTCTATCCATCACAGTTTGGCGTCAAAGTCTTCAAACTCAGTGAGGTCCGTGGCCGCAAGAGGCCCCGCACTCATCGACAGGCTGGCTTTGAAGTCCGGTACATTTGTGATGTAGGTGACCTTCTGCTTATCCTGGGCCTTACCGGTGCCGTTGGTCAAGGGCTTCGAGTCCTGGTCGACGGCTTCAATGCCAAGCTGCTTCGCGTGAAGTCCAATGTTCTGTTTGGCTTGCTCCAGGACAGGGGCAACCTGTTGCTCGGAAAGACTCATTTCGGAAGTCAAGAATGCCTTGAGGACCGACAGAATCTGCTCGGTGTTGCCGGCAGACACATCGACGCTCTCAAAGACTGAGCCGAAGCGTTCGGTGTCAACTGCAAACCCGGCAGTCTCTAACTGCTTGCCAAATAGCGACACCAACTGCGATCGCTGTTCCTTGGGGTCGATTGTATGTGTGTGTCCACCTGCCTGCGCGTTCAAGTAGATAGACAGCTTGCCGCGAGTCGGGGACCGGGGGTCGATAAGCTGCTTGTAGAAGTCGACGATATCAGCCTTGGTCAGGGTCCTGACGTTGGCTGCGTCGGTCTCGTTCTGTACAAAGTCAAAGTATTCGGAGCCAATGTGACTCCAGAAGCGTGATGTTTCAGAGCTCAGATTCTTGAGCTTCTCCAGTCTCTTGTTGACTACACTCCGCTTGTGTCCCTCAAAGTCCTTATCGGACATATTCTCCAAGGTCTCCCCGGCTTGAATCAGGAAGTTGTCGATGCGCGACTCCAGATACTCGGCCGTACGCTCACTCTGGATTATCACTCGGTAACCGATAGTGGTGGCGGAGTAGCGCGCGCCGCTCCAAACCACATATCCGAGCTGCTCCTTACTCCGAAGCTGGTCGAATGCAGGTTCGTCCGTCATCTGCGCGAACAGCAGAAGCTTCGCGCGAAGGATATCGTCTCGAATGCTTCCCACATAAACATAATACTCGATGCAGTGGTTGACATTGGCAGGATCTTGAAGCGTGCGTTCATAGACATAATTGCTTCCAGGGGGGATGATGATGTTGCGCCGCACATGCCACTGCGACTGGGGCAAAGGACGGCTTTGCAGAACATTCTCCACCAGGTCGGTCATTCGCAGTGCATCCTCCTTGTAAAGGTTGCCGTGTGCCAGGACCTCGACGTGATTCTGCTGAAGCAGCTGGGGAAAGAAGTTCGAGATATCTTCCGGCTCAATATGCTCCAACTCAGCAGCGTATTGTTCATTGATCCAAGTCTTTTCAGCGGTGAGGTGCCTGGTGTAATCACCAACCTGGTAGAACGGCTGCTGATACTCTGCATTCCGATATCCTCGAGACAAGCGTTCCTTGATAATGTGGAACCGGTCAGGGTTGACTACCAAGTCACGCATGCTCGTCAGCACTTTCTCCAGGAGAACGGCCATCTTGTCGTTGTAGCCACCAACAGAGATATCCAACCCGAATACACTGGCGGAGAGATGGTAGTCAAGCCCCGCCAGTTCGGCATCATATGAATATTCTACTAGCGCATCCTTGACAAGCTCACAATAAAGCTTGGACTTCACCAGATTGGCCGGGGTAGCCCACGCCAGCGGGTTTCTCAACGTAATGTGGACCGTGCCTTTCGGCACCCAGAAGCGATCGTCTTTCTTGAACCACAGGCGCACATGTTCATCGTGACGAATCAGCTTGGGCGTCTTGGCAGGTTCCGAAATATCTTTCTTTTCGACCGACAGCCTTGTTGGAACGAATTCGTTCTCGTGAGGCATGTGGAGTTCAGACAATCTCGTTTCTGGCGTCGTGGCCAATGCGTTCTTGATATCGGCCATGAAGTCTTGCGGTAGCTTCTGGACCTTGTACTCGGTTCCATACCACTTCTCCTTGGAGTCCCAATCTCCCGGATGTTCCTGAGACACAACGATCATCCTGAAATTGTCGGGTTGAAGGCACGCCAGAGCCTTCTTGATGAGCTCCGGGTCGAATTTCCGCAGGAGGGATCCACTTAGAAGCCACTCTCTGGGCATAGGCTTCTGCATGACACTGCTCAGACGACTTGTGAATCGGCTGGCGGGGGACTTTTGCTTAAAGCGGAATTCGACTTCGGCCAGGTTCTTCATTTCGTCAAAGACCCACTGCTGCGGTTCGCGTTCCTTCAGCATCGCGATGTACTCGAAAACCACCTTGGCGACTTCACGATACTGCTGCAAGCCCTCCTTGGTCAGCCGAATTGAGATTGTGAATGCGGCAGATCCTGGACAAATCGGCATGACGCCGGCCGACAGGCCATTGGCCCATCCCTTTGCTTTGATATAAGCCAAGATGCTACCAGGGCCTTCATGACCGATCAGGTGACTGATATACCGACTTGGCTGGGACTCGTACAGATATTCCTCATCCAAGAATGGGAAGTAGATATCCAGCGACCGATTATCCATGACCGGTTTCGCGAAGATCTGCACACCTAGGTCCTCAGGCCGCCATGGTTGAACGTCATCCCAACGATTCTGCGGCAGATCCTTGTTCTCCACTTCGGAGAACAGCTCCTCAACCCATTTCTCGAGCTCATCCAGCGACTCTCGTCCAAGGACACACAACCTCATTCGGTTTGCCGAATAGTGCTTTTCATAGAATTTGATGAATTCACTGCGGACCTCCAGACCACGCTTCTCAGGATCTTCCTTCAGGGTCTTCAGGTTGCCGGTGGAGAAGTGGTGATACGGATGACCCGGGTTGGACAGAGATTTGTTCAGCTGCATCAGCCGCCATAGATCACTCTGGAGGTTCTTCTTGTTCTCCGAATCCACGGCCCGCAATTCGCGATCCAGCGTCGACTCTAAGAACAGAGGAGAAACAAAGAACTGGGCAAAGCGATCGAGCGCGCCGTATAGTGGGGATGAAGGCTTGGAATGGTCCGATTCAGCTGTTGCGGAGACGCCGTTGGTTGTTCCGTTGGTCAGAAGGCCGTTGGGCTTCTCTTCAGACTCGGCGGTAGCAGACACTTCGAAAAAATAGTTGGTTTCAGTGGCAGCCGTGTAGGCGTTTGACGAGCCAGAGTGCGAGGCTAAGTATTGGTTGTAGGCATTCTCTTTGGGAAACTAAGGATGTTGCAGGACATGTCAGCGATGGACAGTCAAGCGAGGTAGACGAGGAGACGCCGGCATTTTTGACCGAAGTCTTGCGCTGTCACCATTTGCAAAGCTTACCTTCTTTGTTCCCATGAACAGCAGGTGCTCAACTGCATGAGCCATTCCTGGCATGTCATCTGCATCTGAAAAGTTTCCGACATTGACATTGACAGATGCGCTAGCCTTGTCGGTATCAGGATCATGGACCAGGAGGGCTTCCAGCTTGTTTGGTAAGCGTATAACCCGATAAGAGCGATCATCCAGCTCTGGCTTCTCCAGGCTCTCCGTAAGATGTTCGATCGAACCCATCGTTAAATTTCCAGCCGAGAAAGGAGCGCAAGCGGATCGGGAAAAGGAGCGACGGGTCCACGAGCCTGGTAGTGGATGCAGAGAACAAATCGGGCGCAGTCGTAGCGAAGAAGAGAAAGGAGGGGCAATCGCCGCAGAGGCGAGAGTAGATACAAGAGAAAGGGAAGGAAAATAACGCGGACCGGGGTATGCGAGACCTCTGTAGTAGCACAGGCGGAGAGCTGCAGAGGACCTTGGAGGCATCCAGGGAGCGAGAGTTGCCCAGGGAAAGCCGCTAAGTGCAAGCGGAGTTGAACAGTGTCCCGACGCTACCAGACTATCGAAACGGCTATGCAAGGACCGAGAAAGGTTGGCTTGGAAGGAGAGACGGGGGTAGATATGTACAGATGATCAATGAGAAGGTCGACCTGAAATAGAGCAATGATAATGATGAGGAATAATAACTCTCTAATAGATGCAGGGGAAGTAAATTAATCGAGATGATGAAGAACTCATTGACTGGATGAAGAAAGGAAGGAAGGGCAGGCTTGAGCCTGATCGGGGAGGCGGTGAGCAGACGATGCCTCGGCAATCAGGCGGTGACTTTCGCCATCTGATGGTAACGGACTGTTGGGACGGTGATATTTGATAGGCGAAGTCGACTGTCCCACCCACACGGAGAAACAGCTTGGTAGGGAATGGAGCTGTACCGGTAGATCGTGGAGTTGGCTTGCAGTAAGGCTAGTGCGCATGGCCTCTTCATCTTTTCGGGTAGACAGCTTATTTTCCAAATTGTACTGATATGAAGGGAATTGGGGGGGAAGGATTCTTTATGACCAGATCATTTTGGTGATCATCATTATTAGTATTGTTATAGATCAACTAGCCTAGTGCCTAGATAGACCCAGTGCGCTCATATTTCGAGTGGGATATCCTCGGCGGGGTGTATGATACAGGGTTAGGGTTAGAACTTCAGAGACTGAATCAGGGTTTGTTGCACCTTTGAGATCCAGTGGAAAGGGATACAAGGCGATATCTGGTGATCCTGACATGAGTATCCTATGTCGCCATCTACCAACATGCATCTGGTTGGTATATTCACCCATATATATATATCAGGTCACACCATTGCTCTATATCAAATGTTCGCCCTAAGATGCAGTGCTGACCTGGAAGATGGAAGCATATGAGCTGAACAAACACAAAGCAGACACATTTATTCATCCTAAGACTATATACCCATCGTTCTCAACATAAACACATGCAGGATAAAATTACCATTAGACCACAACCATCTCCATCGCACCACATCCGCAGCGTAGATGGTTCACCACCTACAACCCCAACCACAACCATCATCAGCACACATTGCCACATCCACCACACCCAGACACAAATCCAAACTCACCTAACAGCTCGCCGCACAAAGCGTCAAATTCAAATCCTTTGCTGCCCCACAGTTCTTCACCTGGCTACCACCAGGCGACACCCCGTTGGGCCAGCAGATAGCCGAACACGCCCCCTCGACGGGCTTCACCTTGACCACACTGCCGGAGAACGGGTCGCCGAAGACATCGCTCAGGTCGTACCAGACAGTGTTGCCGTCGAGCGTGTACGCAAAGTTCAGCTGCGCGCTGCCGTCGTACAACCCGTTGTCTGTGCGGGTGACCTTCAGCGAGACGCCGCCGGACGCGTCGTCGTGGTGCAGGGGCTCTGCGTAGCTTGCGCCAGGCAGGATGGTCTGCTTGGGGCCGACGGAGCCGCCGACGGACCATAGGTAGACGGGGCCGGGGCAGTTGTTTGTGACGACGGCGTTGCCGACGGCGGTGGCGAGAGGTGCCAGGACGGCGAGGAAGGGGAGGAGGGTGGTGGTGGTGTGCATTTTGAGCTTGGGCTTTTGATTCGTGCTGTTGTGGTTGGGATAGTGTTGTGATGTGAGCGTGATGAGGGCAGGAAAGTAGGAGTCGTGAAGCAAAGGGAGACAGATGGCCTTCTTATACCCTCTTCGTCCTCGCCTCGGTGCTCCAGCACCATCGTCATTCCTATCAGGTGGATGATGCATGATCTCCTCAAGGGCCAAGCCCGTGGTCGTATTCATGACGGCATTCACCGCATCATGACTCTTTGTCTGAGACATCTCGTGTCGAGACACAGCAACTAATGGGATAACCCTGCATTCCGAGCCTCAGCGTCCAGCAATCATCCCATAGAACCCACGAGAGGGGAGGGGAGGGGAGGGGTGGAAATCAGGCAACCAACCCTGCCAGCATCCAAGACACTTACTTCACTTCACTTCACTTCACTTCACTTCACTTCACTTCATCCAAACCAAGTAGTGTTTCGCTGAACAGCAACAAGCTGCAGCTACCCACTCACCTCCAAGCCTATACGTAAAATAAAAAACCCGCAGCTACACATCTCTAAAGGACAGATCTAACACGGTATACTCCTGCTCTATCCTGCTGCATAAGCACATACTGCACATACATACATATTGACTCAGCCATCTCAGTACACAAAAAGCAGGACCAGCAGCCTCGGGGCAAATCAGATCACGGCACACCTGCATATCGGGCGTCGAGGTATACATGTAAGCTGCATGGCCATGCATGTCTCAGGGTCCTGCGGGCCTCGCTTGAGGAATGGAGATGGAGATAGAGTCATGGCAGTGGCAGTGGCAGTGGCATGGTGGAGCAAGAGTCAAAGTGGGAAAACCTACACCCCCAAGTAACTACCTAAACTACGTGAGGTACATCCGACTTCTGAGGAACCCTGGCTATACTTAATACCATACTCCGTACCTTTGATGTCTCTGATTCTCTGATTTGGCAGGGCGTTTACCCCGCGGGGTAAACCAAGTGAGACAGTTACATCTGCTGAAAATATAAAATGTACAGATCATATTACAGTGGGTGGGACTAAAAATAGAGGTGGAACTGGCTTTGTTCTGGTTGGTGAGGTGTTACTTTTGTTGTCAGTGATGGGAGGCCTCAGATTCTGGGTTCCTTTCACATACATTATTAGGTAGGTAATAATGGATTAAGGGAGTCAAGTCAGCTACCGTGGGATAAACAGCTTATCATCTGACTCATGGTTCGTATTGTCATCAAATGTGCTTCTTTTTTTCTTATGATGATGAAATATCCCAGATGCAAGCATGCTGTGTTACAATGGAGTGAGACCGAACATCTACACCAGCAGATATTATCTCCCAAGGCAATTCATTGCCCAATCTAATCCGAGGCAAAGAAAATAAAACGTTAAACAAAACCCCATTAGTATATACGCTCCCGGCCAAAACGCAGCCAGAATGTCAGATTCCCCCCATCACAAGTCCATTCCTTTCAGCTCGGGCCAGGAGGAACCCCAGCCGGCTTCTCCTTGGTCGGCGACCGGCTCTTGCTTTTACTCTTGCCCTTTCTCGCGTCTTCCTCTTCCTCCGTCACAGCCTCGTCGGCCCTGTCTTCGATCCACTTGAATACTTCGTTTTTGTGGTGCATCAGCATCTCGCTGAGTCCCGCCTTGGGTGACTGGATGAGGTGACCGTAGCGCTTCGATGGCTTCCGTCGAGACTCGACATTGTTCCAGACACCGTGGGTATGCGAAACATAGACCAGGGAGTTCTGTAGGTCAGATTAGTAACCCCCTCCACTCACAAAATACACAAATTTGAAATTGGACGGCAAGGAAAAGTGATACGCACATCTTTATACCACCGCGAGAGCCAAACCTGCGTGTGCGAGGCGATCGCCCGAACAGGGTTCTCGGCGACAAAAGAAATAACACCGTTGATCCGTTTGTACAGCGTATCTATCAATGTCAGCCGCCGCTGAGAGCCACACCACTCGGAAGAAAGCCCACCTCTGTTAATCAACAGGTTCGCGACTCCGTAGAAAGCGTTGCCGATGCCGACAAGGAAAATCTCGGTTGCATCGTTGGGCCTGGCGCCATTAGCGACTCGACCAACCATTGATTTTCTATGACTTACTCAATGTAGTTGTCCCACAGATATCCAGCCAGCTCCTCGGTGGCCGTGGGCCGGTTTTCGTCCTCGCCTTCATACTTTCCAGTCGCCTGAGCAATCCTTAGCAAGCTTCACCAACGGGCAGCACGAAACTTACAGGCTCGGCCGTCACATGCTTGGGAATGTTGACATCAATCACAGCGTATCCCTTTCCGACCGCCCATCCAATATAATCCTTCATGACATCAGCCTTGTTCCGGTTAGCGACATGCTATAGAGCCTGAGGTAGCCATCACATACGACCCAGCAATTATGAGCCTCGAGCTTATTGGTGACCGGATGAGGCAAGCCCATGATTTCCGGCCTAATCTCCGTTAGGATCTAGTCAGTTCGCTCAATTATGGTTCAAAGGATACGTACGGGTCATGAAAGATGACAATCAATGGGTTAGCCTGATAATAATTGGAGCTACAATGCAGTCAGCACGTTTTACTCTCAGCCAGTGATGCTGGACCCTACCTTGCCAACACCTGATTCTCAAACGACTTGGAGATGCTCGTCCGATAGATGTAAAGTGAGGTAAGTTTGTAGTTGTCGTATAATTGCTTCGATTGATAGGTACGAATAACATCTACTCATGTTATTCTCTTTTCTTCGATTGATCCAGCTGGGCTCGAGCTTACCATGCAGTCTATCGGTCCACAGTCCCTCTTCCTGTGGTCCTTTCGGGTACATGCAGCGCCAGTAGCGAGATTGGATCATCATCACACGCCTGACAGTCGAAGTAGCAAGATCCGACGGGAGCGTCGAGTGTAATCGGTCTGGTGGATCCCCCATGAGCGTCTTTGTCACGGCAAGGGCGGATTTGGAGATGGATCTGAAATTGTAGCCCCCCTTGTGATTTGTCAGTAGAGATCCGACCAGCATAAAGGTATGGTGCTAACCTCTAAACAGACTGCGACTTTGCCATTGGCGAGGGTCATGAGCATATGCGTCATGTGAGCATAGCAGGGCGGTGTTACGAAGCAACCTCCGAGCTCATCGCCAGCAGCGGCATCGAAGCCAGAGGCAACTACCACGAGTCAGTGATCTACAAGTGCTTTTAGGCCAGGGAAAGCTTACCAATCACCAGATCAGGGTTGAACTCTTGGGCAATGGGCATGACAACCTGTTGGAAAGCGTACATGTAATCACCATCACCCATGCCCTGGCTAGGCCACGGAATATTGACGTTCCTGCAGGGCTAATCAGCGCACAGAGCTCGCATCGGAGAGAGCCCTCGCAAAAACATACCTTCCAAGACCTGCACCAGCTCCGCAGTGGTCCCAGTCACCTTCATCGCCTCCGGGATAGTACTTCCCGTCTTGATAGACGTGGAGCGAGATGTACAAGACGTTGGGGTCATCATAAAACGCTTTCTGAATACCGTTACCTATACACCGTGAGCTAACCATTCAAGCTCTGCAGTAGTTGCATCAATCTTGTATTACCGTGGTGGACATCCCTGAACCAGTCAGCGTAGCCACAGACAAACTAAGAGGATACATACCAGTCGACAATCAATATCTTTCGGCAACTTTCCCCAAGCTGCTTCTGACAAACGCGCGCCGCCACGGAAACATTGTTGAAGAGACAGAACCCCATGGTTTTGTCATGTTCTGCATGGTGCCCGGGAGGCCGAATGACAGCAATGGCATTCTTCACTTTACGAGTCGCCACGGCCAGACAGGTCTCAATGGCTCCACCCGTTGACAGAAGGGCCGACGCAAACGTCAATTTATTGAAGTAGATCGAGTCTCGCGTATGTTCCAGGGCGATCAGTTCGTCGTCAGACATATCTAGGGCATATGGTTAGGAACAACCAGACCGGGGACAGAGTTGAGGGTGATCGCCTTCGCTTGTTTACCTTTTGTACTTTCCACGAAAGCAAAATGATCCGGCGTGTGGACGAGAGAGACCTCCTCCTCGGTAGCATTGCGGGCATGGATCCGCTTCAATGGACGCGCGACAAGCGGCCTCGACGATTCCGGGTCATCAACAAGGCCTGCTCGGCATAGCTCCTTGTAGATATAGTAGATCCGCCTGGGATCTTCCGGATGGACATCTGCAGTCGGCCGCACCTCGCAATGATAGCGCATTTGCACATCATAGCACAACCCAGACGGCAAAGATGCAAGCGGAAGACCCACACGGGCCCCCAAGTCTTCTTCAGACCAGTCCGAAGTCTCCTCGACGAGACTATCTGCACGTTTGGTTGGCGCAGGAACCACAGGAGCAGCAGCGCTAGATTCGGCTGGCTTCTCCACAACGCTGGCCGGTCCTACAGGCTGGTGAGCTGCAGCCGGTGCAGTCGCCTGTGGATTCCCCGACTGATGAACAGGCAGGGGCAGATTCATCGAATTCCCCAAAAGCAGCGGAGCGAGCCACGGGTCTGTGCCTCCCTTGAGGGTTCCTGGAACAGCAGGTCTGCTAGGATTGCTAGAAGGAAAGGCATGTGAAGCACCAGGATTGGATTGATGGGGGCCAGCCTCTCCCATCACCGTGTCTCCATCCTGCTCCATGGTCACCGGGGTGGACAATTCAGCCGGAAATCGTTTGTTTCTCCCTATGCCAGACAACCTAGTAGCCCCCACAAGTCATGGCCGGGTCTGTAGTTCTGTTTCAATAGTATGCTTTTCAATTGAGCCGGGATGCCTGCCAAGGTTGGCACCTGGTCGAACAAAGCACGTTGTGAAGCTAATGTGAGAAATATAAGAAGAAGGAAAAATGGATAGATGGATAAAAGTTAAGGTCAAGTGTAAATTGGATAACAAAGACCTCCCAGGGAGTTGTGAGGAAGCAAATAGATAGATGCTATCTACCTAGGTGAAGCTTGGGGCCAAAGACAGACCAATGCGGATCAGTCTTAGGCAATTCGAAAGATCGCAGGCGACAAAGTGCAAGATGAATGATTGATGGGCGGTCAGTATCCTTGTATTTTACTTCTGGGTACTTTCTGGGTGGATCAACCCCACGGTTAACAGGATGGCGTGCTGGTCTAGGAGTTTCGTGGTTTATGTAGTGTAGGAAGCTCTAAAAAGGCGTTTAGCTTAACGTGCACGTGACTTACAGATAGGATAATAGTGCCCTTTTTGAGGATGATGACTTACCAGCAAGATACCACTTGTCTTTGAGTTTTGTAGTTGAGGAGAGTCACTCAAAGATCCCGGTCAGTGATGGATGAGATAGATGGTCCTCAGGTCAACTGTGAAAGTGACCTTATTCCTGGCGATATTCCAATATCATGTGACGGCCTTCCGAGATTCCGCCGTCCGTTTGCCACGCTATCTCCGAGGCGACTAATGCCTTCAAAAGCATCCTTGTGAATGCAACAGCTATGCTACAAGTGCATTACTCGTCTACTTCTTGATCTAGTTTTGAGACAAGTCTCAGGGTGGAGAAACATTCAGAAGTTATCAACATTAAGTCATTTCATTAAATAGTACGTTATCGTGTGCTTTTATGCCCGAGGAGGTCTTCTGCGGGTCTCAACCCCCATGGGCATGCAGTGCGCGACTTTGAAGAGCCTCTGTTTCACAGGTGACTTTTGGTTTGAGGTTTCCGTCCTGATTCCTACTGGGAATCGACCTTGGCAACGTAGGCTAAAAGGCGAGTCAGTACCAATCAATGCGCCAATGGAGGGGCAACGAGAACATACCGATCAGGTCAACAACACGGCGGGAGTAGCCCCACTCGTTGTCGTACCAGGAAACGAGCTTGACGAAGTTGGGGTTCAGGGAGATACCAGCGGCGGCATCGAAGACGGAAGAGCGCTCATCACCGTTGACATCGGAGGAGACGATGGCGTCCTCAGTGTAGCCGAGAATGCCTAGCAACGCGGTCAGTAACAAGAAAAGAGCTATCATGACGCCAGGGAGAACCCAAAAAAAAAAAGACATACCCTTGAGCTCGCCCTCGGAGGCCTCCTTCATGGCCTGCTTGATCTCATCGTAGGAAGCGCCCTTCTCGAGACGGCAGGTAAGATCGACAACGGAAACGTTGGAGGTAGGAACACGCATGGACATGCCGGTCAGCTTGCCGTTGAGGGCAGGAATGACCTTGCCGACGGCCTTGGCGGCACCGGTGGAGCTGGGGATGATGTTCTGGGCAGCGGTACGGCCACCTCTCCAGTCCTTGTTGGAGGGGGCATCGACAACCTTCTGGGTGGCGGTGTAGGAGTGGACGGTGGTCATGAGACCCTCAACGATACCGAACTTGTCGTTGACAACCTTAGCCAGGGGAGCCAGGCAGTTGGTGGTGCAAGAGGCGTTAGAGAGGACATCGACGTCGGGGGTGTAGCTGGTGTGGTTGACACCCATGACGAACATGGGGGCATCGGCGGAAGGAGCCGAGATGACGACCTTCTTGGCACCACCCTTCAAGTGGGCGGAGGCCTTCTCCTTGGTGGTGAAGACACCAGTGGACTCGACGACGTAGGTAGCACCGGTCTCGTTCCAGGGGATGGCAGCGGGGTCACGCTCGGTATAGAAGCGGACCTTCTGGCCGTTGACAATCAGACCCTGGTCGTAGGTCTCGATGGTACCCTTGAACTGGCCGTGGGTGGTGTCATACTTGAGCATGTAGGCCTATTGACGAGCAGAAACATCTCGAGTCAGTTTGCTTTTCTGTTGGGGGACCATTGGCTGGATTCGTGTCGCGGCTGGCCTCCTGAAGTGCTTTTGGAGAAAGACATACAGCATAGTGGACCTCAATGAAGGGGTCGTTGACAGCAACAACCTCGACCTCACCGTGCTCGATGCTGTTCCATGGAGAATGGTCAGGAGATGGTATTCATCAATGAATCTCTCGAGAAGTAATTACTCACGCGTTACGGAAGACCTGGGAGGGACTTGTCAGCTTCTTCGTTCGTCACTCTCTCAACGAGGAGGGGGATGAGGCACAACTCACAATTCTTCCAATACGACCGAAGCCGTTGATACCAACCTGCAGACACAAAAGTAAGTATTTGACTGGCGCAATGATGCAATCCAGGGCCACCGCAGCTCCGATCTGTCATGTCATACCTTAGGAAGAGCCATTGTGAAGAGTTATCTGGAACTGAGTGGGGTTAGCTAATAGCTCAAGCTTCACGAGCAGTCCAAAAAGGATGTGAAGAAAAAAAGGGAATGCAGAGTGTCGTTCAGGGAGATGCGAGAACACGTACTGTATAGAGAGATGGAAACAGGATGAAGATTGTAAGGAACACAAGTTGATTTGGGAAGAGAGAAGAGAGAAGAAGAAGAAGAAGAGCACTGGCGGGGGAGGGGCAGGTAGAAAAAGCAACGGCGGGCGCGGAATCGACTGACGCAACGATCTGATCACCTTGACCTTGTGGCCATATTCAGTCGAATGCGCACACCGGGCGGACAGACGGGGCTAACGCTAATCTACCAACTAGTCTATCCATCCTCTTGTCCTCTTTTTGCCTGGAAGCATCCAGCTTGCTCTCTCTGGGAGCGTGGTTTTTCCCGAGATGCGCCGCCCAGCAGCTCCTCCGCAGTCTTTTCCGGTTTCATACACCGGGCAAAGCAGGAGACTCACGATATCTGGAGACTACTGCTCCCCTCAACAGCTGCCGCCTGGGCCAATGAACAGGCGGCGTGCATGTCAAGCCGGGTACTCACTCCTACAAAATCTCGTGATTCAAAATGTTTTGCCAGTTCTTCGGAATGGACTGATTTGACTACAGTATGAGACTACCCAGGATGTTGTTGTTACCAAGGCTATTGGGGTGGGGGGTGGGAGAGGGGACTGTCTACTACTACAGCCGCTTATTCTCGCCCTGAGGGGTGAGAACTGGCCTAGATGAGGTGATGATGTAATAGAAATGGAGGGAAGTGGACTGATGAGGGATAAGTTATGAACTGATGAGCGATGAGCTCTTGACTGTTCTTGATAACAACAACAACAATGATACCTCTATAATATCGACAATACTATAGATACTGTTACTGTTCAATAATAGCTTCAGAGCTCCATGGGTAGCTAATAGCAAAGATCTCTCTGTCACTCCTCACCATCAATGAGGGGCAGTCGGCTTTTCCGCTTTAGACGCCATGGAAACCCCCAGCGGAACAACGTTGATCCCGTTCCCCCCCCCCCTTCCTTCACGTAATCCACCCAGTCCCAGTACTTACAGAGTACTACTGACTACTACTTACTGTGTAGTACTTCTGGAACTGCATAACTCACATAACTCACATAACTCACATAACTCACTCTCACGCTTATCAATCAATCACGCACTCTCAGCTCATCTCCTCCATCCGCCTTCTCCGTACTCCAGAAATACTCACCGGAATAATTGTCTACAGAGAGGACTGTCTACTACGGTACTACCTTATGTTTGAGGTTGGGAAAATCACCACGCTAGCTTGGTTTTGAGATCTGTGGTTGTCCCACTAGTTACTGCATTCGAAATCTCTGTTTTTCCCCCTGTCTCCATTCCCTGGTGATCGTGTTGTCTTGACTCAGAACTGTTGGCTTATGGCTGTTGGCCGTTCGTCTATCTACACCCGGTTCCATTGGCTCATGCCGCCGGTGGCTGTTGCATGACACCTGCAGCATCTAGACTAACATGGGTGTCCTGAGTCGATTAATCACACAGTAGATCTGACGGGAACTGATGATTGATAGATAGCTGTGGTATTGGTATTATTATTAGGATCTTCGCCTCCGAGACAAGGCGACAGGTTGTGGAGTCAGTACTCAGCAGTAGTGGTCTCCAAAAATGACTCTTATCAATGGAGTAAATCATCCATCGAAAGCCCAGTACGTACTTCTGCGCCGCAGCGACATCGAGCGTCGGAGCCCGGCGGTTCGTTTCTTGGTCAATTCTCCTGGAGATGTTCTTGAACGAGGACACGCAATGGAGGTACTCGAGCTAGGTCGACGAGCGGCTTCCAGTGATACCCAGGAAACTCTCCTCACGACTACAGCGTTGAGCATAACTTGATACTGCTCTTATCGCTGTGGGATAACCAACTCTCGAGTCATACGATACCGTTCGACGTTGCGTTGACTGAACGAACCCAGCGCAATCATACGTCGCCCCGGGATGGCCAGGAAACAAAGTCCAATATTCATACATGGTGATCATATTGCCGTTATCCTGACTTACGAGTCACGAAAAGAAAGAACGATCCAGTGTCGAATCTATATCCAGACTCTGCGTTCGCATCGCTCTCTATAGATACAGGAAGAAGAGAGAAAAAAAATCGCGCCCCCTTTACAGCTGGTCTCCCACCCCACGCCGTTCTTCGCGTGTCAAGCTTACTCCTCCTTCACACCACCGCGCCAGTTCTTCTCCGCGTTCTCGACGGAAGCCTTGTCGCTCTTGACCTGGCCCTGGTTCAGGAAGCTGTTAGCAGCCTTGAAGGGCCGCTGGAGATCTCCAGTCGCAGGCTTGCCGAAGACGTGGATCTTGACCAGGTTCGACTCGAGCGCGCTCTTGAGAGGAATGATCGACTGGATCAGAAGAGGGTTGGTGTACTTGAAGTACAGGTGCATGACACCCATCATACCAACACCCATCAGCTGCGACTTCATCAGCTGGCGGAGCTGTCCCTTGTCGTAGTCCATGTTGGTGGTCGTGACCGGACGGGGCTCCTCGCTACTGCCCATAGGGGCAGGCTCGACATACTTCAGCGTAGTCATGTCTAGTAACATCGAAATTAGTTCTCATCGCCAGTCCCCAACTGGAGCTTTCGGGGAGTTTCCGGAGTTGTAAAGAGCATACCCTTCTTTTGGCTGATCTTGGACTGCGTGTACAGGTAGGTTCCGAGGATGATCGCATTGGATGCGATGTACAGGCAACGGACAAGGAAGAGAACATCCGGGTCTTCGAATGCAATCTTCTTCGACAGCTGCATCATCACAAGGATGATGGCCAGGTTAGTGCTGTAGGATAAAGATACCATCAGTCATTGCGCCGGTGCATGTTTTGGATGCCATGGTGTCTCAAGATGATTCTTGAAAACAATCCCTCAAAAGAAAAAACATTGCGCAGGGACCGGCTCACACTTGAGAAGAAACCATTTTGGCGACTGGAGAATAGGAGGCCCTGGATATAGAAAGGATTTCGGATGAGCGACAGAGCTAGGATTTGAAATTGGAGGGCCGAGGAAGGAGGCGCGTGCAGATTGAAAGACAAGAAACCTTTTTCTCACACGCGGATCTTGGGAGCCCCCAGAAAGTCGGACAACTGTCCAGATGGCGCGGGTCACGTGAGAAAATCCCTTCCTCAGTGGCCGAAAGGGGGGCACGTGACAGTGTTTGTCACTGATAACGCGCGATAGCAGAAACCAGCTTGTCATCGGTTTGTGTCCTCAGCTTTCAGGCATATCGTTCCTTGAGACCTCAGGCATCAAGGTCACCTGCTTGGTTATGTAATACGCTCAGTAACCACCATGATGCCATGCAGCCTCCATCGTCCACCTCAGGCTGGCTCAGATGTTTGGGGAGCACGTCCACCTGACCACAGTTCTTAAGATGAAATCTCTTTCAAAGTACGACGAAGGCTGAGAGGTAAGGCCTGCCCAATGAACAATGTCCATCAATCTACTTGGTTTTGAGCCGTACCAGTTGCTGAGGAATGGCTTCATCCGTGGGCCGAGTCCTCAGCACTGTCCTTCACGAATGATGTCTTTCCCGGTCAAACAAAAGGCAAATTGGCTCGAGAGACGATCGAAAACATGGCCGGCAGTCTTGTTTAATTGACCTGACTTTTATCCGATGCTGGGGGCTGCTTCATCTGCCTCCCACGGCCTGCTTCTCCGAGCTCTCTCGAGTCGAAGTTGAGCATTGTTCCCAATCGGGACTAGCGCCGCTCCACGTTCAACGCCTTTAGCGACCAGGACGGCTTTGACATTTCTGACTCCTTCATCCATCAACAACGCGCCTATTTAACGACCTTCGGATCGCTTTCACATCCACCATCGCGCCCCAACTCTTCTGAAACTCATTCAACGCGACACTTTCAACTCTGCGACCCCGAACCTCGACAGTTTTCATCATGCCTGGCGGAAAGGGAAAGTCTGTCGGTGGAAAGGCTGGATCGAAGGATGCTGCGGGGAAAACTCAGAAGTCCCACAGCGCAAAGGCTGGCTTGCAGGTTAGTATATCGCGTTGGATGCTCTACTATGCGCAGTCGCACGGTTGCTTCATGATGCCTCGTATCCTTGCGGTCTGTTGTGATGATCCGACATTGTGGAAGATTTTCTCGAAGAGAACGCGTCGTTTTGGCCAGATCCGGAGGAGCGACAGCGTTCTCTTCTTCCTGAACGGTGTCTTTGCCACCGACGACGCGATTTAACCCGAGAAAGTCCCATGCCACCATAAGTCATTTTTCGGAACCACGAACATGTCCCCGTTCAACAGACCGTAACGGGAGCAAACATTTGGGGGAGATCTGAACTAACATGTGTATTGAATGCAGTTCCCTTGCGGTCGTGTCAAGCGTTTCTTGAAGAACAACACCCAGAATAAGATGCGCGTTGGTGCCAAAGGTACGAAGCCTCCATCCACCAGATCTATGCCCCTCTTTCAGTTTTATGTTCCCTTATTTGTGGCATTCTGTTTTCCTGAAAAAAAAGCCACTAACACAATGAGTTTCTAGCTGCCGTCTATGTCACAGCTGTTCTGGAATATCTGACCGCCGAAGTCCTCGAACTCGCGGGCAACGCCGCCAAGGATCTCAAAGTCAAGCGTATTACGCCTCGTCACCTGCAGCTCGCCATCCGCGGTGACGAAGAGTTGGATACTCTGATCCGCGCCACCATTGCTTTCGGTGGTGTCCTGCCCCGCATCAACCGGGCCCTCCTGCTCAAGGTGGAGCAGAAGAAGAAGAACAAGTCCGAGGCTTAAACACGACGAATACCCCATGAAATACGGCGTTTGATCTTGATGATGAACGGAGAGGTTCCTTTCACGAGCCTGGCTACAGCGTTTCTTTCCTCCTTCGCTCCACGAGGCTGTGCTTAAACAAAAAAAAAAAAAAAAAAAGTCGCATGCTCGGAATCCCGCAACCAAAAACCGAGGATCCGACAAAAATCAAAAACCTTCGACGGAAACTATCTCAGGCGCATCCTCACCTCGTCTTCCATCCCCTTCTACCTTTCACGCTGCAGTCGGACATGACTCTTTTTTTTTCTCCTTCATCCCCAAACCTCCTTCCCTTGTCTCTTTCTAATGCTGTTTCTTCTGTCTGTTTATACCGTTATGTCTTGAATTGCCAGGGCGCTGTAATGGGGTCACCAAACGTGGGGGGGGGGAGTGGGTGTCATCTCGGTAGTGGAAAACGGTTCCTCGAGCTTTTGTCTTTTTTTCCCCCTTTTTTTCTTCCCTTTTTTCTGTGTTTCCTTTAACTTGATCACCGGTGTTGTGAGTTTTCTATATTTGACCTATCCATTCTATTCATGCTTATTCTGCCTTGGGAGTTGTACCAGTAGGATCTCAGTACTCGTCTGAAAACAAATTCAAAATACCTTCAAAAGAAACCTATATAACCTTATTGAAAATTTAAGAAACCAGCTTGACACAGCATAGGCGGAATTTCTCCTGCTAACCCGCATACTTCCACACATATGTATCTATAACGAGTACCCTAATATCTAGTTTCCATATCCTAGCGGAAATATATATAAACCACGACCCCCCCCCTCCGTCCCTCGGTCCCATTCCCCTCCAAATATCGCGATAGCGATCACCTTCCCTATCAGTTACCAACCCGGTACTTGTGGCCCGCTTATGATCTATCTATCTATCTATCTATCTGATTTTCTACACAGTATGTACGTTGGGAAGAAGTGAAGTGAAGTGTAAGTGCCAAGTTCCCCCCCCCCCCCTTTCTTCAACCCCCGTCCTATCCCATCCATTGAGTTTCCGACACCGCATGCAGAATACTTGCATCATGCGGTACTTTCGGCCAATGTTTTGCTGCACGGAGCTCAGTAAGCAGCAAGTAGTACTCCGTAGGTGTTGGTTTTTTTTTTTTTTTTTTTTTTTTTTGGTGCGGAGATAGCTAGGGTCTAGGGAGCCAAGTAAGTACCTACATAGTACCTACGTACTACTACCTGCTAGGTCCGGTATGTTGTCCTGGGGATCTTCACCGCTATGCGCGGTGGAGTCCATTATGTACAGTACACTACATGACGGAGCTTATATATGTATATATATATATATATCTATACTGTATAGTTAGAAAAACAAAAGGAAGAGGATAAACAACATCATGAGGTAATTCGATTGACTAGATAGCACATACATAGATTCGGAGAACATGGAGTAGGACATAAGATCGATGTTGGAAGTCAGCAATAAAACAAAAGAGAACGGAATAAGCGAGGCCATGCAAAGAGGATCATGGTCTCGACCGTCAAAAACGATGCAGACCAAAGAGCAGAGAGCCACCGGGTGGAGAGTTCATAAACGAATGCAGGATCGAGAGCTATAGGGCTCTCGGCCTGGGAAACGGAAGAGGATCGAGATGCTCTGATTCCAGACTTTTGTTTGTTCACTCTTTGTTTACTCTTTCTCCTTCGTACTTGGGACAGGATGCAAGGGGACAGGAAGACTCCCGGCACAGGGAATAGATCATTGGACATGTCGATTCGAGAATACCGCGCAAATGTCCGATTACCGTGTTGCCAGTGCCAGTGGCCAATATTATGCAAGTCGTGCAGACGGCAAAGAGGTGTATCAAAGTGATGAGCATCAGAACAAGCCAGATCGATTCCATAGGTAGAGAGATTATAGAAGAATACAGTGTAACAATGCTGGGGATGGAACAGAAATAAGAAGGGGAAAAATAAATGATAAGTAGAAAAAAAAACAAACAGACAAACATTAAAACGATGCGAGTTGCCCTAGTACAGAAGCAACAGTATGCGAATGCAGGTATGTCATCTCTCTTGCGGTGGTCCAACACATGAGATATTTCTTTTGTCGTTCTTCGTGGTCTTCCTTTCAAGTTAAAATCGTTTTTATTTTGCTTTCCGCCGCAAAACGCAAGATCGGAACATATGACAGAGAATGGAAGAAGAAGGGGATGCTTTTTCTTTCTCGCATGCAGGGCGCCCGCGTCTCAGAACTTCAAGAGCTTTCTTTCTTTCTTTGTTTGTTTTTTTCTTCTTCTTTTTTTTTTCTTTTTTTTTGTTTTGGCAGATGGTGTGTGTTCTGAGAAGAAAAGAGGAAAGGCAAAAATAAAATCAGAATCGAAGTCCATCCAAACAGTGTGTGTGTGTGCCTGACGGGCTGCCCCAAAATAACGTCTAAAACTTGACTAGATCAGAGAAAAAGAAAAAAAAGTTTCTTTTGATTCTCTTGGAGTGTCATCGCGTCATCCCTCATCGAATCGTAAGCCAGTAATCGCACATCCGGATCAGGCCTCGTGATATAAGAGTCGTATTTCATCTCGCGGCAAAGCAATCTAAACAAGTTTCCGTTGTCTTCGTCTCTCATCGATCATGTGCTTTTGTGTGTTTGTGTGTTTGTGTTCAACTTCCTACTCCACAATAATCTCCACGCCAGAACTGGGACGCAGTTCATCACTTCCACGCGGTTGGTGCCCGTTCGATCGGCGGAATCCCGGGCCCTTCTCGGACATAGGGCCTCTGGGCTGCCTAATGGGCATGCGCTCCTGTGACTGACCGTCAAATCCAAGTCCGATGGAGCGGTTACTACCGATGGGACCAGCACTGGAAGGCTGACTTTCCGGCTGTTCCCAAGAGAACATACCCCTCAATCTCCTCGGGCTCGCATTCGGCCCCCCAATTCCAGTGCCCAGGGAAAGTCCGCCCAGACTATTCACTAACAGATTGTCGTCCCGTTGCAGTCCAAGGTTGGAGCCGGATGGGGCGGGGGTCAGAGTCGGGGTGTTGGACGCGCCACTGGCCGCACCCTCATAATGCTGCAGACGAGCGCCGTTGGACTGCAAAGCCGCGGGAAAGCTAGCAGAAGACGGCACGGGGGAGGGAGTGTACGAGCGCAAATCGGCAAAGGACTTGGCCGCGCGGAGGTTCTGTGCATTTCCGTAGTTGCCGGGGGAATCCAGAACACCGAGGAAGCCAGAGGTTTGTCCGCGGAGGGTGCTGAATGGTCCAGGCCCTCCCTCGTTTCTAGCTTCGCTGAAGTCAATGGTGGCAGCGCGGTTCAACCCACGGCGAGCAGTGTCTGCTGGCTGGACTGCTGTGGGGATGGAAGTCAACGGCGGGCTTACGTTGGTGCCTGGAGCGACTTTGAAAACCTGCACCTGTCGCTGCTCGCCACTGCCACGGGAGGCATGACCTAGCCCCATGTTGTGCGCAAGGGTATGAACTGTCCGACGCTGGACAGGACTGAGGGTAGCGGGGAAGAGGACAGAGTCCCGGCTGGGGTCCTCCTTGAAAAGGAGAAGCTGCGAGTAGTATGAGAGCGTCGTGCTATCATTCAGATCGACATCTACTGAGGAAAGAAAAGTGGTTAGCTGACAAATGAAACGCACGAGGGGGGGAAAGGGGTGGAATTCGAAAGGGTGGTGGATGATCGTCATCATCTCGGACTTACCCAGCTTCTGACCACGCTGAGACACAGGGGAAGGCGACGTGGCAGGAATGTGGGAGGTCAGCGAAGACATGGAGCTCTGAGTTTGGAGCTGCGAGGAAGCCATGGGCCTGTGCTGTTCTTCCAGCTGGCCGCGACGTTCGCGCTTCTCCCGTTCAATGCGCTCGCGCTCCTGCAGCGGGAGCATCTTCTTATATTCCACACGCAGCTTCCGGCCCTGTAACTCAAAGTGGTTGAGAACGTCAATGACAGTGGCGGTCTCCTCGGCGGAAGTGAAGTTCGCAAAGGCCAAACCCCGGAATACACCATTGTCGAAGTGGTAGTTGAACGCATACGGAAGTGGAAGACTGAGCTCTGTCATCAACTGTACCAGCTGCTCTTTCTTGACGGCGAAGGGGATGTTCTTGATGACGATCGCGGTCGGAATCAGCTCGTCGTCTGCCTCCGAGGGACCCGTGGTTTCGGCGCGTACTGCACCACTCTGAAGAGGTCCGGGTCCAAGATTGGAAAATGGACTGGGGATACCAGGTTGTTGGTCAAGCCACGTCTAAGTGAAGAGTTAGCACCGTCACCAAACAGATAACCTGAAGAAAGAATCGCAACAAGGATCGGCATCGGCACATACCGTAGGCAAGCCCGCCCGACCGGTCCGTGAGGTGGACTTGAGGCTGGCCGAGGCCGACCGGATGGCTCCCAGAGTCTGAGCATTGGCAAACCCGTTGGGATTCCACGTCTGCGAGCCAGGAAGATCATACGCATAGGAATTATTGTGCAAGGACGGGTTCAATCGCTCCAGACGGCCGATATCGTAGCGAGCCATTGGATCATCGTACAGATTGACAGGCATTGGGCCGTATGCGTCGAATTGTCGGGAAGGCTGACGGTGCAGAGGCTGCTGGTGACGCTGCGAGCCAGGGGAACGCGCAGAAGAATTGTCGTGATACATCTCCTGTGATTGTTGATAACTCATGGCGGCCGAGAAACGAGAATTCCCAACTAGCGACCAATCGTGGAATGTGGGCACTGGATTACCCACCACACAACAAACCCGGTCAATGGAGAAGCCGATAAGCCTAGAAGGAGGTTCTTAGAACATAGGAGCAACCTAGCGCAGGCGTCGTGAGGGGTGATGAGAGGATTAACGACTCGACAGAATTGTGGACGGTGAAAAGTCGACAATCAGAGGAATCGGACTGAGGGGGGTCTGAATTTGACTCCGGGGAAAGCGACAGAAAAAGTTTCCAGCGGCGGAGGCGGTTGATGCCTGTGATTTGAGGAAGGCAAGCAGGGCGACAGGGAAAAAAAAAATAGAGAACAATATTGACGTATCCGCGATACGATTGGGAAAGCAAACCAAAGAAAAGAATTGGAGAAAGATCGAATCTTCGAAATAAATAAGAACGATCGCTCACGATTGCTGAGATGATTCGACTGCGACGGTGAATAACATGCAAACCAAGCCGGGCTTCGATTCCTTATGTTTCCTCCCCGTATCAACCGATACAGAATCTTGACAGAAGATGTCAGAAGAGAGGATCACACCGACAAGGGGCGCAGAAAAGAAAAGGAAGAAAAGAGGAGAAAAGGAAAAGGGAAGATGTACCACTACCTAGACGACAGGACGTTGGTTGGTGGTGATGGATGTTGATTGAGGGGAGAGAAAAAGGAAGAGTGAGAGAGAGCGAGAGCGAGAAGAGAGAGAGAGAGTTGAGGAATTGCGAGGATGCGGAAAACCTGAGGCAGAAACCAAAAAAAAAAAGGGTCACGATGTTGGATGATGTATGGTAATTTGGGAAATTGGTAAGGTAAAGTAACCGTCAGGTCTGGTCAGGGGCGGGTAACGGTACGGTAAAGAATTGGGGGTGCCAGACCAGACAAGAAAAGACACAGGAAGAAGAAGAGGTAGAGAGAGAGAGAGAGAGAAAAGCACGCACCACCACAGAGTTAACCAACGATCAGCGAATCCACTCGCACGAAACCGCCAAGATTTGAGAGGCAACTTGCTAATAGGATTGTACCGCAAGGTGGGTTTGGATAGATCAAAGGGAATTGTGATGCTTATCAGCTCACAAGCAACAAGACAATCCAGAGCAACCACTCCCGACGACTCAATCAAAGGAGACTGGAGATCAAGACAGTGATCAACGATGATGATCAAGCAACTTAACAGACAATTCCCCGTCAGATTGCAATGGAATATTTCACCCGCGGATGCAAATGGGGTGGATATAGCGATGCCGATGGATGTGAAGGAATGCGGAACAGACCAGATGGGAGAACAATCAGAGCAATCTCACTGAATGCACAATGTCAAAAGGCCTCCGAAAGCTGGATGATTTATGGAAAGGACGGATGTTCCAGAGTAGTCACGTTATCAAGTCTCGCCGATAGATATCACGATTCAGGGGGGGGGTGTATTGCGACGGGACGATCGAAATATGCAGCAGAGGATTCGGTATCTGATTGTGATACAGAGTAGCTAGCTCATGCGCCGCTTGGAATTATCAGTCCGATATGTGGACTGGTTCTTCGTTTCGTCTCTGGGGTCTTTCAGGGGGAGGGAGACAATAGGCCAGAGGAGGTCTGTCAGGAGGTGACAGTCGATGATATCGGTCCTGAAACTGGGACTTGGAGAGAGAACTTTTCTTCTGGATTGAGATTAAGATTAACAAGGACGAAGAAAAGCAATGATATAATGAGAGAAGAACCAACCAGACGAGAGAGACCAGAAACCAACTGAACTTCGGTCCAGTGGGTGGCACACTCTTGTACTTATATTCACGGCATGAGCAGCAGAGATTCGGCAACCACCTAATGTCTTGATATATTCCGTTTTGGTCTGGGCGATTCCCCTCCGAGCAGGTACAGTACAGTAGATAGGAGTCTAATTCTCTAGTCTTTTTCCTTCCGAATCCCCCACTGGTGTCTTCGTATCATTTCTCTCCCTTTGCCCCTGGACCCTCTCTCCTGGACGTCTATTCTTCCTCGGGACTAATGGGGTTGCTAGATGGTCCCACTTACTATCTATTTATTTCTTCTTCTGTTTTAATTATATCACGGTCTTCGATTTCCTCTAGTATCATTCTCCCGCTGGCTTACGGGGTTACCAAAGTTCATCCTTTCTCAGATGCGTTCAACCGTCTCTCTGTACATGCTGACCTCCCGTGCCCCCTGTATATCTGTCTCAGACTCGTCCAAAGGAGTGTCTTGCCTCTGCTTCCCATTCCCATTGATCTCCCCGCCTCTCCTCGAGTTTCCCACTCCAACAGCACGGGGCATCAAATGAACTTAGGCAGTCGGGACGCTCTGACTGACCTGCCATGCCAAGTTGATCCTTTTGCTTCGCCTTCTCCCGCCCCTGACCGGAGCATTTCCGGCCAGTCAGGTGTTATTTTACTCTCGTCAAGAGCACCAGTTTGAGGACATAGAATCTTCGGATCCTTATAAGATGTCTATATACAATCGAATACACCACATCCCAGAGACAGAACCGCGCTAGATACGCTAGATACCTGTCGTCTCGTCTAGTCCTCCCGGTAGTTAGTCTACCCATGGCAGAATATGGTACCTTTTCCTAGCTTCCGGCTGACTGACAGATTTCCCCCTGAGCCGGTGCCTGGGATTCTCTGAGTACTTAGTTACAGACGCCATTTTTTCAACCCAAAGCTAGATGGCTGGAGCCTTGGAGGGCGTGGGATCCGCCACTGTGGATTCCAGGCAGCCTGTTCAATGCCGGAAGTAGTCTTGGGAGGTATGCTTCTTCATTCGGCCATGTCGATTGGTCTTTGGGCTGGATCAGCAAAGGGGAACAGCCCACACGAGCTCTTGCTGCTCTAGTTCACCTGCGTTGGAGTAGATCAATAGCTTCTCTGATGGACTGAGAGCTACGGGGCATGACCATCAGTCACGATTAACACACATCATCGAGCTTGACTCCAGCGTTCCTTGCTGCTTGAGCGTTGAGCGTTGAGCCCCTGAGTAAGTATGGAGATCAACAAGTATCAAATCACTCAGACGACGGATACAACCGTTGCGAAACAAAGAAAACCTCAAACCCGGTCGATTCAATCTAATTTCTGCTGCAAGACAATTGCTTCTGACTAACGGACGACTAACCAAGTATCCCCAAGAAATTCCTCAAATTAAATCGATCCGTTTGACCGTCTGTGTCAAATCTCAATAGTACCTGGAATGGGCCCCATCCGGAGTACATCTTCCGTCCCCGTAACTAGACAACCCCTATTCCATCGACTTGTTTGAGTCTATCAGCCTTGAAGCTCTCAAAGCAGAAAAAGCTCCAGAAATAACTAATATATGCTCTCGACAAATGATGTTAAGCATAGCTCGCAGCTCCATTCCCGATGTTGCTCGAAATTGGCGAGATGACGGTTTCTGGAGGGGGATCCGCCGTCAATCCCCAATTTCTGGCCTTGGGAAATGGCGAGTGGGAATTCGCCTTCTTAGACAGTAAGCTAGAACACACTAGAGGGGGACCAGAAGTCATTAAATCTCTGGCAGACGTTTTGTCGGAGTACTGACTGTCTCAGAACTCAAAAGTACTTAGTCAGTTGAGAATTGAGATGGGTTTCTACCTTCTCCAACTATCTACCATCTACTTAACCGTGCGACGGGGGGTATCCGTTGTTGGCGGTTGATACGGGGTAGAAGTATAGCATCATGGAGGAGTTTACACAAACAAGAACTCTTTGCCTACTCAGTACTCACTCGATAATACTCCATTGGTGATGATGATTATTCTTATTATTCACTCCCCTTAAGCTCTAGCCCAACTCAGTGGCTAATCCCACTGCAGTCCCCACCTCACCATTAAGTGCTAGATATCTCTTAGTCCAAGTGCTCTAGTTAGTCCCGCGGCGTGGCTTCCGGAGGCCCTTCTGTAGATGATCCCGGCACCGGAACTCTCCACGCGTATTCTATGGAACATTCTTAGTCTGTTCAGTGGGCTTGCTAGAGTAGCCTATGCCTTACTAGCCCTGCTAGGTTTTGAATTAATAAAATTTCCTTAGCTGTCGTGGCTTTTACTAGAGTAAGGCGCAGTCATACGCGGTTATATTACCGTAAGCTACGGTGCTGGTCTGGTCAGGAGTCGAGACTCAAGAAAGAGTTGACTTCGAAGTAGGTACCTTACCCCTCCAGGAGACAGACGTATGCAGATAGATGTAAGTCAGTCCTTACTTGGATCATCCACATTGATGGAAAATGACGGCTGTCGTCAGTCGTCACCGTCTACTGTTGCGTATCCAGTTGGCTTTTTCCGATGATTGTGGGACCAAGCGATGGTAAAGGTGCTCGTTGTTTGCGAGTTGAGTACTGCCCAGGTATCTATCCAGATATTCATACGTTCATACAACGGAGACAGAGCGAGGATAGCGCATAACGCTCCACTTGGCTGTGGCGAGGGTATGACAAATCCAATCATTTAATCCAGCTCGACTTTTATACAGTCCAAACAAACTACCTATTCTATGGCGCAGATATCTAGACTCTTTGTGCCTTACTCCGTATGCGTGGAGGATTATCTGGATATACCCCATCCCATCTTCTGATGAAGAGTTTCTATGTACTACTACTATGTACTTACTAGGTGTTTGAGCATAGCCGTACTATCTAGTCATAGCCTGCAATCTATCACGATCTTCAATCTCCAGAGTCCTCGTAGGTAGATACCGTAGATTCCCACATATCACTAAAAGTTGCATAATGCAGGTCGAAAAAGCAAAAAAAAGAATTGATCATCCCCCAACCCTCACACTCACTACTGCCATTGGACAACGCCAGAGCAGGAATGATCATCAGGAGCTGCATGTCGGCCCCCATTGCATACAATATGTCATCGGTCTTGTCAGACTCACATCCCTAGACAGGTGTTGTCCGGTTGGCTCTCTGGAGTACATACATACATACCTACATACATAGGATAGATAGTACCTAGGTACCTACCTACTTCCATACAGTTAAGAACGGAATAAACCCCCCCCCAAATGCATATCCTATTCCTACGCATCTGGCGGCAGCGGTACTTTGTACTCGATCCCAAAGTACTCTGTATGACTTACGCCATAGTCCATCATCGACTCCTGTCTCCCATCTCCATCGACAATCGACCGATCCAGGTCCAACAAGACGGACAAGGCGCATGATCTTGATTCCTGATCCCCCTGTTGTCGAACTTGCCACTGGGACTAGGAGCGCCTGTACGCCCACAAAGAAGCCTTCCTTTGAGTCGTCTATACCAGTATCTATCTAATCATCTCAAAGAATGTGAAACAGATTTCCTCCCCCCGGGGAAAAAGAGAGGGGAAGGAAAAGGAGGAGCCAGCGGTCTTGACTTGTACAACCTGGTTTGATTTGTTTCTACGGAGTATGGAGTGTCTATCTAGATAGTTAGTCGGTGTCTACTTGTTGGATCTCTTTCAGGGGATGGAATCCTTAGAGGATTATAGTGAGGCCATGGTCCATCTCACGTCTTTTCTTTTTTTTTCCATTTCTTCTGTTTCATGCATTGTTGGGGCGTGGTACATGTTTGCGGCATTTGCGGTCGTACTTGGGTTCTGGCATATGATATCAGTTCCTGGTCAACCAACAGGCTGTGGGATGCTGATTGGCAGTTTTTTTTTTGGTTAAGACCGTTTCCCGGATTTGGATACGTTGTTGGAAGCATCGAAGGCAAAGGTACTTGGTACGGAGACCAGGGGTAGTATCTGTAGATCACTATTGACTACTCTAGTCTCTACCTTGTAGGTCCGTAGATTCAAGAGATTCAGACACGAGCAATGAAGACAGTCTACCCATGCATCGGAAATGCTGCCTCAATATTTCCAGGGTGTCCCCAAAGCATGGATATGATGCCAGAGGGCGTCCCTTACACAGTTATCAAAGGGAAAAATCAAAGTTGATTGGTCAAATCAAAGGTATTACGGAGTAGTTCCAGTGGGATTTACTTATGATTAAGAGCACACCTATCCTCTACATCCACTTTGTTATCATCATGTGATCAGAGCCATGTATAGTGAAGTCTCTCCAAACTTGCCATCACTGTATCTACACTTAGGAAACACCAATGATGTTCAGACTTCACAGAACTTCAAAGCTTTTCTGCGTGCAGTCAAGGTCAGTTATGGAGTTCAGGAAGAATTCAGAGTTCTTAGAGCAGACCCGCTCTGCGAACCTCAGGCAAATCGAAACAAACCATGACTTCTTTCGTTACACATCCGGTCGTTGGCTATATAACGAGCAATCACAACTCGAGAAGCAGTATGTGAAATTTAACGTTCCAGCGCTGCAGCAGACTGCCGGTTATATAGTTGGCAGTCAGTGTGTCAAAATGATCAAGTTGCCCGAGGGGCTGTACAACAAAGTGTTCTCTTTAGAAATGGAAAATGGCAGGGAGATTCTGGCGAGGATTGCAAACCCAAATGCTGGCCATCCCCAGTATGTTGTGGCCAACGAAGTTGCAACACTTGATTTTGTGCGTGCTGCCTGTTTCACCCTATTCAATCTGCGTTGGCTAACATTTGGTGTAAATCGCGTGCAGCTTCGCAACGTCCTTGATATCCCAGTTCCAAAAGTCCTTTCTTGGAGCTCTCCGTCTTAACCTAACGCGGTGGGCGCTGAGTATATCCTTATGGAGAGAGTGAAAGGACGCCAGTTAAGTGAGGTCTGGGACGCCATGTCTGAGGCCCAACGCTTTAGCCTAGTGAAAAGTCTGGTAGAAATCGAGCAGAAACTTGCAAATGTCAGGTTTGCGCTCCACGGCAGCTTGTACTATAAGGATATGTATCCGCATGGCAGAAGCATCATTGACCCCACTGAGCCGGAACAAGAGGGTACATCGAATTTTGTTATGGGTCCAACAACGCAGCGTTCCTTTTGGGAAGACGAAAAGCAAGAACTAGGCATAGATCGGGGCCCTTGTATGACTCTTTTTTTAATGTACACTGACGAGTCACTAACTAGGGGAAACGGCCCAAGAATACCTTTCATCTGTCGCAAGCCGTGAGATTGCCTTAAAGAGATGAGTCCTAGAAGATCCAGCGACACCTCTACTCCTGGGAAAGACGCAATCGGGGCGCGATACGCACATACATCTTCTTAAACAGTTTCAAACGCTGCTACCTCACATACTACCCCCAAAAAAAAACTCTTCGTCCTGTTCTACTGCATCATGATCTTCATTCAGATAACATATTTGTGGATTCATCAGATCCAACAAAAATATCAGGCATAATTGACTGGCAGGCCGTCTACACTGCTCCGCTCTTCATGCAAGCCAAATTTCCTTTAATCTTTGATTGCGACGACCCATATCCGTGGGGAGCTGTTCAGCCTAAGTTGCCGGAAGGCTTTAATAAATACCCTTTCACCAGCAGAGAAAAAGATGGCCGAGGCACGACTTGGCAGACTGAGGTTGAAGAAGTTCTACGAATTAGCTTCGAGGAAATTCAACCCGCCTCTCATCAAGGCCATGGATGCCATGAGAAATGATGATGACCCTACTTCTTTCGTATTTCACATTGTCAGACAGTCCTCTCAGGATGGTCCAATCCCGCTCAAAGAACTTCTCATACAAATTTATGAGAAATGGGATCGAATCATGAAGCGCAGAGGTTTAGCGCTGCCATGTCCTATTTCTTTCTCAAAAGAGGAAATTGACAGGAGTCGGCAACAGATAACCGAATGGGCAGACGTGTATAGTGAGTTTGACAGGCTGCGAGCGGATACCATTGGTAAAGACGGTTGGGTCTCACATGATGAATATGACGAAGCCATGCGCAGGTGGGAGAACAATAGAGGTCATTTAGAACTCCTTCGAGAGCGACTAGACCAGCTGTTGTGAGATCCTTCTGCAGCTGTCACTGCTACCTTTGACGGTTACCTTCCTTGTCCGATATCTATCGGACAATATTAGTTGGCAGCGTCTTATTTCCCTTTTGACGCAATTTGTTTCATCCAGTAAAGATATGCAAGGTTAGCAGGTAGACAAGTGGCTCAACCTAGCCAGTAACAGCCCTTATATCATTAGCATTGACTTTATGCATGGTGAAGTTTAGCCAAAGTCAAATTTAATCCTTTCCAGCTAAAAAAGGTTGGGCTCCACCATACTTGACGAGACGACGAGCCGACTGTTGCAGCTTGTCTTTCAAAAAGGAGTGAACCATGAGCTGAAACAACGGTTCGTTGACTGCATGAAGTCCTAGCAGAGTGGAGGACTTTCTACCCTACCTCTAAGCTCACCCTGGGTTCGTATCACAACATACCTTCTCGTCTAAGGGGAGGGCCGATAGCCAGCTGTGGGCTTTCCCACACTCAAAAGGATCGTTAAGGCTGAGTCAGCTTCATGATATGGGCTCGTGGCTGCAGCAGCCGACCTCCAGGTGGTCGTGGGCAGGGAGCAGGATGTGAGGATCTCGTATGCGTCCGCCGGAATCTGCCAGTGTCTTTTCTTGAGTGAGGAACTGCAGGAAACGCATTTTGCTCACTGGATGAAGAAAGTAGGGGGGTGATTGGATTGATAGAATGAATTGTTGACGGCTTGTATTGGAGAGCTGGTTTTGATTTCAACTCATCCAAAACGGGTCGCTGCGTGTTTATATATCGAAACAGTCCACCAACTCTTGGCATGGATGTTTCTCATAATTGCTCGGTTCCTGGGATTGAGGAGATTGTTGTCTGGAGTTCAACTCCCACGCTGATTGGCGAACAGCTCTGTCGGCTAGCTGCGATGCTTGACAGAGGCTGCGAGTTGCTAAGCCTCTCCAGGGCAGATGTATCAAGCATTGGATTTGTTGAATGAGCTCACAGATACAGACAGACATCGAAAAGAAGCGTTCTGCCAAGAGTGTGTGGTTATCGCTACCAGACGGAGACGGCGGGGATGGCCGCCCTCAGCCTCTAATTTTGGACCCTGGATGGGGACGACCATGGAATCAGTCGATATTCCAATAACAATTGTACAGAGTATGTCTAGTAGGACTTCAGGAATCTCTAAAGTGGGTCAATAGTGTGGCAGGGTCTATGCCTGCAGTTGTGTCACTGGTGTATAGAACAAGCATTGAGGATCCCCAGGTGCCCCGGAAAGTCTCCATCATGAGCTGATCTTGTGCTCCTGTAGCTCTCGATGATACTGTCAGCACTTTACCGGACAATCTATTGTTCTACTAATGATGCCCTCTGGTCTGTACATCTTCAATCAGAGTTTTCGCAGTCATTTTGAGCTACTTTGGAGTAATGGAATAGAATATCCCCGGGGGTGCATTTCCAGGTGGCAGATGAGCACGTCTCGATGATAACGAACAGTAACAGCGCAGCGTCAATACAGCCTCGATTCTGCAGATTGAGGTTCGTCGTCCAGAAATGTTGTGCAGACTGCAGAATGCCGGAAAACTTCCAGTGTGTCGATGGGACTGGTGGATATTGCGGGTAGCAGCTGGGGTTGTCCACAGCCTCCCCGCTATAGTATATAGATGGATCGGCAGGAGGAAGTATCGTTATCTTGACAGCCTAATTCTCAGTGCTTATCTACCAGTGATGAGAGGAAGAATGATGATGCCTGTGGTATTGGAAAGTTCTGCAGCAAACTTCAATTATGGATGATATTCTATATTCTTCAACTGAAACGTAACTTGAAGTAGGATATGAGCATTATAATGATCAAGGCTGATTATGATAATCAAAGCACCGGCATGAGATGGGCGTCTCCTGCATCTCGCATGGATGGTCCAGGATGGCAATCACGCAGTCGAGGATAGAGTATCAATCAGGCGCTACCTACTGGGCGATGTTGATAGAACTTCAGTCATTCACACTAGGTTAGTTGTCTCTGTTTAGGTCATGATGAGGTCAAGTGGACTGATTGGATGGTTCAGCCGGAATCAATAACCGCCCCAGGGGACGTCTTTTGTCAACTGCAACGACTCTCACCTTTTTCTACCAACCTGTCAAGGGCGCTCTTTGTTCGACAAATACTATTTCAAACCATCAAGAATTACCAAGCAGCGTATGGCTCGAGCTGCGACCAGTAAAATGTCCTGGGATAAGTATCTACTGCGTCCCGTCCCAAGCGCCCCATCCACTTATCTTCCGGTCCTCATCTATGGCACGGCATGGAAGAAAGAGCGGACCGCGGACCTAGTGTACCAGGCATTGAAGGCAGGGTTCAGAGCAGTAGATACAGCTGCCCAACCAAAACATTACCGAGAGGATCTGGTAGGAGAAGGCATTCGCAGAGCGATTCAGGAGGGGGCAGTCCGACGCGAGGATATATATGTGAGTTTGACCTTTACTCTCGCTTTCGGAAGAGGTCTAATAGTATATCTAGCTCCAAACCAAATTCACGTCCATCCAAGGGCAGAATCCTGATAACATGCCTTATGATCCCAAGGCTTCGGTGACGGATCAAGTGCATGCTTCAATCAGCTCGTCTCTGCACAATCTCCGTCCGTCAGACGCGCCAGTGAGCGTCGAAGATGCCTACATTGATACGCTCGTTCTTCACTCGCCTTTGCCGACAATGGCGCAGACCCTGGAGGCCTGGATGACGCTAGAGACATACGTTCCGCATCGCATTCGGCATCTAGGTATATCGAACTGTACCTTGCCTGTGCTGAAAGAGCTCTACTCCCAGGCGAACATCAAGCCGGCAGTGGTGCAGAATCGCTTCTACCCGGATACACGATTTGACGTACCGCTGCGCGCTTTCTGTCGCGACCAAGATATCATTTATCAGAGCTTCTGGACCTTGACGGCCAACCCAGAGTTGATTCGATCACAGGCTGTCCAGTCCCTCGCGGAACACACCGCTGTCAGCCCCGCCGCGGCGTTGTACTGTCTTGTTCTGGGGCTAGGAAAGACGACTGTTCTGAATGGAACGACCAACACAAGTCGGATGCAGGAGGATCTGATAGCGGTGCGAAAAGTCCAACAGTTTACACAGGTCAACCCCGAACTCTGGGAGAGGATGCTGGCCCACTTCAAGAGACTGACAGGGGATGTTGCTGCTCTGTGACGCGTGACGGCGTGAGCAGACCTAAGCTCGATCTCACTATATGATCCCGTCTCATATAGCCATCTAGTTTTGATTCTGCTCCATGGCATTGCTTCCAATGGCCTTATCGCCGCCAGGAAGAGGCATGCACCGTATGGATAGAATTCGATGGAAACATCTAGAGCCTACGATAGGAGCAAGAAATCAATAGGAGCGCAAAACAACAGGGCAAAGGAGCGTGAAACTGGATTCGGCGATGAACATGGAACATGCCTGAGGCCGCACACCGCAAAAAGGGCAACACAGTCCGAGGTTGACGCGTTGTGATTGGTCCAGTTCCTCCCAATGTGGGGTGGTGTATGTCAAACTAACCTTTTTGGCCAAAATGTCAAGTGTCACGTGAAAGGAGTGGACACCACCCTGTAACCAATGGGAGAGCAGCATTTCAAAATTTAACTCATCAGGGTATATACAGAGTAGGTACTTAGATTTCTCTATCACGTGATTCTAGTAGTCTACTAGAACTGACTGGAGATGAGAGACCACTCACCACACCTCATCAAAAGATATATCATTATTGTTTAGATACTTATCCACCAGCATATGGCAACATGGGCGGTAGTGGCTCTAGGAAAATTCAACTTTTTCTGACAAAATTATTACCTCGTCAGAAAAAAAGTCAAAATGACACGTCATTTGGGTCATTTTGACATTTTGATTCTCCTACGTGACAGGTTGATGCCTCAGGCACCAAATAATCTTAATCACGGTAGTAGTAGTAGTAGTAGTGTCAAGAGCAACATCTCCGACCACAGTATATTGGCTACATGTATGCTAGGGAGTCTCACTATTCATGCGACTCATCACAAGATCTACCTACATATTCTAGGTACTATCCCATAGGTATCTACTTTGTACGGAGTACTGCTATACTGTGCAGGGCATGAGCCTTGACACCTGGCTGACTCAGCCCGCCAACCAATCAGCAGCGGCTCCTTGGCGGGCCGACTCATTGACCTCATCCACCCGCCGCCAAGCCTGTTTGACAAAGTGAGATTTGCCAGTTTGTGCTTTTGTACGCCGATGGGCTCCTCTTTTCCTGCGCTGAGCACAAGTCTTCTTCTTTTGGGTATCCTGAACCTCATCACGTTTCCTGACGCCTTCTATTTTTGTTGGACTCCGTAGGGCATCCCCTCGTTCTCAGTTGACACTGCGCTTGTGAGACTCGATTGGGAAAAAGACTATTACCTACCTACAATCGAACATCATTTCTTATTATTGATTGATTGATTGATTGATCGATTGATTGCATGCTACTTTCACTGCCCGCCTCGCCGACCTCGACCGCCTAGACGGAATTCATCGACAGCAATCATTTCCAGCCCATCACAACGGCTCTTTCTTTCGACTGCGGAATTGCCCTCCGGATCTGCCTGCCTATTGTCTGCTCTTGCGTTGATCCTCGCGATAGCGCCTGTCGCGTCTGTCGCGCCCCCCGCCATTGACAAACGCTTGATTCTTGCCCCGTCAGCAGTGCCGCCCTCCTCCCGCCATCAGTCGACCTTGGTTCTGCTTCGGTGCTATCGCCTTGCATTCTGAGTTCCACACGACGTTTACGACTACTCGTTTCGCCATTGCCTTGATAGGCCGTGCCACCATCGCGTCCTCCTCCGACCCTTCCTTGCCCGTTTGTCGCTCGTAGCAAGACCGACAAATTTTGGCGCTGCATCTCTGCCCGCATCCCACCGAGGAATCTTTCACCATCACCGACGACGTACTGGCTTCACGGTAGCGATCGATCTTTCGACACGAGTCCGAGCTGACGCATTCCGACCCGCGTGGAGGCCGGCAACTCCATCGCCTGTGATGAGTCCTCAAGGCGTAACCCGCAAAAGACCTGCTCCTGGCACACCCCCTCTCGTCCATCCGCAGATAGGCCCAGCGTCCAACTATCCTGCGCCGAACCCCGGCACCCAGCTCTCGAATGATCAGTTCTTACAATGGGGCCAGAATCCTCCCACGGTCATGACACCTCCCTACACTGATGTCGGCTCCTACAACCTGCCGGCCTACTCGACAAATCAAGAAATCCAGGGAAGTGCGCCCGCTGCATCAACCCAGATCGCTCGTAGACAGCTGCCGAATCAACTCGTCAATAGAGGTCGGGGATATGAACAGACGACGGCGAACTACCCTGAACATGGAGTTACTGGAGGAGAAGCAGGAGCATGGGGGGAAAGTCTCGACGAGCTGTATCGGCGCGCAATGGTTGCGAAGAGGGAGGCGCAGGCCAAACGAAAACAGATCCCGCCCTTTGTACAAAAGCTGAGCAGGTAGGCTGATTCTTTACTCTTCCCCCGTCGAACGTTCTCTGAGGCGCTAACCATTACCGTTCAGTTTCCTGGACGAGTCAAAGAATACAGATCTCATACGATGGTCTGACGATGGGAATTCTTTCATCGTGCTTGACGAAGACGAATTTGCCAAAACATTGATACCGGAACTCTTCAAGCATAACAATTACGCTTCGTTTGTTCGCCAACTGAACATGTACGGATTCCATAAGAAGGTGGGGCTCTCCGACAATTCAATGCGAGCCAGTGAGAGAAAAAACAAGAGCCCCAGCGAATACGCAAATCCCTATTTCAAGCGCGGCCACCCGGATCTGCTCTGGTTGATCCAGAAGCCCAAGAACACGGCAGGCCAAGGGAGCAAGACCGGGAAAGGGAATGTGCGGGTCAAAACCGAGGAGGTGGATGACAACGAGGGGGATGAATATGGTGAAGATGGTGCGTCCCGGGATGACCGTAACCGCAGTCGCCAACTTTCTCTAGTACCCGGGAGTCTGATGCCCAAGGATCAACTTGCCGGTGTCTATCGCGAGTTGCAAGCCATTCGTCAGCAGCAGCAGATCATCTCCAACACCATCAGCAAGTTAAGGCGAGAGCATGAGCAGCTGTACGCGCAGGCGGCCAATTTCCAGGAACAGCATAACCGCCATGAAAACTCCATCAATGCCATCCTGACTTTCTTGGCGACGGTATACAATCGCAGTCTCCAGGGCTCCGACGGCACGCAGAACCTTGCCAATTCGTTTGCTGGCGTCATCTCTCAGGATCAAGGTAACGTCGTCGATATGGGGGATAACTTCCCGCTGAGCGCGCTAGGTGCTGCCAACATGAATAGTCCTAGCACACAACGGACACTAAAGAAGCAGCCGTTGCTGCTGAAGGCGCCCCCCGTGCCGGAACGCCATGGCCGCGCGACCACGTTGTCCCCCGCAGCCAGTTCCTACGACCGCTCACAGTCTCGCAATCACAGCCGACAACCCAGTGTTGCCCAGCCTGGCCATGTCGAAGAGGTCTTCGAGACCAGTCCTCGACCCAAGGGCACACCGCCATCGCAAACCCAGCAACACCCACAGCGGGATATCATGTCTGCGATCCATAATTCCAATGCGCAGAATGGTATCCCGACGACATTTGCCGATTTCCCCAATGTGCTCTCCTCTCTTGAGACGTCTGGTGGTAATTCTCCGCTCACCCCTAATCAGCGCGCCGATATGCTCCGGCTCATGGCCAACGAGACTCATAACGACGCAAATATTCCCGTTCCGACGAACAGCGCTCTAATCACCCCGACCCCTCCACCCATGCCGCTTAATTATTCCGGCCGCCTTGCAAATACCCGCGCCGAGATAGATAACCTCATGAAGATGCAAGCCGAACAAGATCGCTCTGTGCAAAACTTGACCAACCTTCTGCAGCCTTTGAGTCCCAACGGATCCATTCCCGGCATTGCATCGGAAAATGGAGGCGTGCCCCCTCCCCCACTTGACCTTGACGCATTATTCAATAACGACTACTTCACCGATATTGGAGACCTTGAGCACAATAAGAACAACCTAAACTTCGGTGACTCGACCAGCTCAGTTCCACCGGCCGTCCCAGCTGAGCCTCCCGTTCCCACCGGTGTGGACGACCTGAAAGATGGAAGTGATTTGTTCGACTTTGACCAAATCCCTGCGGAAGCAGATCTCTTTGATCCCCCAGCCGCGCCTGACCAGACTACCGGATTCTTCCATGGCTACGACGGTACTGGCTACAGTCCCATTGGCGGTGCAAGCCCGCAGCTGCCGATCGGCAACAAGAATCACAATATGGACTCCGGCCGGATTGTCGAAACGATCACTGACAGTGAGGCAACCAGTCCTAGCGGCACTGTGGACGAAGCCCCCCAATACAATGGTGCGAGCGGGGCTAGTGATTCTCAGGGAGGTAAGGGATATGGCGGCAATGCAAAGCGACGCAGGAAAGCTTGATATCTGCATGTCATCTACTAATCTGGCTTCGTGTCAGTGAACCAAGGCAAAGACGTGCTGTCGTGAGCCGAGGAAAAAACAAAAAAGCGCGGAAAAAGAAGTCAGCAGTCAGAGATTGCTGAACCATGGAGCGTGCATTCGGGCGATTTGAGGTTTACGAAGTCAAGTCATCTCCTTTTGATGCCATCGTTTATACATTGTTGTGTCATCCCTTTCCATTTTGCGCAGCTAGCAAAGTAGCAGCAACAGAAACACTTTGCACCCCGAGACCGGTACATAATAACGACTTTTAAATCCTTTTCTCTCCTCTTCTCTTCTTCGTGAACCCCCCCCCCCCCCTCCCCCTCCTCCTCCCTCTCCCTCCCGCTTCCCATAAGGAATCGTTGTTTTGTTTCGTTGATGGCTGGATCTGTCGCTAGACGATCCTGCTTGGTGTTTTCTTGACGAGTCCATCTCAGAAAACAAGGGAGATGGACCTTGGCGCTGGAGGAATTTGCTCTTGTCGCTCATACTGTACGGCCGATTTGAAGATAATGAGTACATATTTGCAGCTATACCAATAAAAATCCTGTTTGTGTACATGCCATCTACTTGTTGACGTTTTCTGTAGGCAATTGATTCCTGCCTGGGGGCCATGCTTGTTGGTGCCTGAGAAGCCAGGCTGTCGCTCGTTCGCTTGTTGATGATGATCGCCTCTGGCTTTCCCAAGTCTCTCACTACCTCTAGGATCAGTTTGGGAATATAACACTGTACCACGAATGAGGATACTAGACCCGTGCTATCTCCAACTGGATCGATCTAAACGCGGCGCCCCTCTGTCCAAGAAGGAATATTATCTCCGCCTTCGAAGCCTTTCGCAAGTGCTTACGGAGTCATCTACGCGTACTACATCGCTCATTACTTTCTTGCACAGGGAAAACTCTCACTGCATCAGACCGCATTCACATCTACACCCAAGAGTATCAACGCCTCAATGATCCGGTGGTTCCCCGCTTCCGCTGCCACCTGCAAAGGCGTCAGACCCCGGTGATCCTTCGTCGACAGACTCGCGCCCGAGTTCACCAGTAACCGCACCACCGCAACATGATCCGCCGTGTTCCCCGTCGCGGCACACACATGCAGCGGGGTGCGCCCATTGCCGTCGACGACATTCACATCGGCATTGTATGCCAGCAGCGTCCGCACGCATTCGACGTTCGCCGAGACCGCGGCGAGATGCAGCGCGGATTTGCACTGCACCTCGTCGAGACCGGAGGGTTGGGTTTCGTGCGCCCTGGCGATCGTGCTGGTGAATGAATCTCCGCTGCTGCTGCTGCTGCTGCTACTGCTGCTGATGCTCCGCGCGGTGGCGGCTTCGGATAGACCCTTGGTGGGGCTTGTGTCGAGTTTCCAGTTGTCGACGCCGGGTAGGGAGAGGTCGAGATCGAGCGGGCTCAGCCCGGATGCGTCGTGCTCTAGGCAAAAGGCGGGAGGGGGCGGGGGGCTTTTGAGCAGCTGCGGGAGCTGGGACCGGGGCTGCTGGCCGGGCGGGCGGCCGGAGCGAAGGAGACACAGATGCGACGCATCTTCGAGACTGAGCGATTCTTCCCATGAAGAGCTTGAGGCGGTCGCGGGGGACAGCGCGGGCAGGACATCTGGGGAGAGAGGGCCGCGGCCGTGGCGCTGGGACGACTTCAGAGCTTCCAGCTCCGCTAGCTTCGCTCGGGTTGCTTGTCCTGTTTCAGTCAGCTAGAGTCCGCATGATCGAGCTTGCAAGTACGAGCAGGAAATTGAGTTCAGGCACGCACGGTGTCGTCGCTGTGCGTCTCTGTTCTTTGCCCGGCGGCGGGCGATTTTGGAATCTTCAGATGACATCTTTCGTTGGGTTCGGGGCCTGGGTGACAGGACAGGGTAGATGGAGTCATTTGCTCTTCTTACGAAGACCCTGGTTTTCCCCTTTCCGCGTCGTCAGACGCTGGGAATTATTCTACTCAGGATCTAAGGGAAATAATCTTTTCATCCTCGACTGCCAACTACACCAGGACAGGGATATGGCGAGACCGCTGGGGCTTGGATGGTGTCAACACACATCCTGGTCCTCGAGAATCGCCGGTGGCCGAGTGTGCAGTCCACTTGATATTATTATTGTCTAGAATCGGAGCCAGAATCCGTCGTGGGCTCGGGGGCGGAGATTTTGAGGCCAGTGAGATTGACCCATGTCGATTGGGGTTACATCGCGTGAAGGGAAGGCTTTGATGGCACAAAGGATGCTTATCAATCACGTCGACCCGTCAATAACAATGAGTCGCTATGTTGATCTTAATTGGGTCATCTTTTAGTGTCGAATCAAGATATTGACCAAGCTTTCACTCTACTCTGTTTGGCTTTTCAAAATTGCGCCCAATGCAGAGTGTCGCCGCCAAGGGCATCAAAACCATTCGCCGTCTAACCAATCAATCACGATGATTTTCCAACAGAAACAAGGAACAATCGTCGTCAGCGTTGACCCACTCGTCCAGCAATTGAAGGCCTGCCGCTTCGAACACGCTTGTTGCGTCTGCTCGAGTATACTTGTAAGACTGCGCCAGGAAGACGTGCTCTCCTTCGGGGATGGCCGTCTCTCGCGACTGCAGGGCCCGCGGTCGAGTGCTCTTTGCGAATCTCTGTCAATGCATCGTTAGTGCTGACGGAACACTTCATTCGACATTCACTTTCTCAACCGGCCGAATCACAAAGTCAGGAGAGAGTCGGGGCAATGACATACCACATGCCGGCCTTCTGCAGCATCCCACCGCGCCACATACTCCCAATCCCCCACCAGGGACTCCTCTTGCAGGATTTCAGCCGCATTGCGCATCCCGTTCTGCACATACCGTTGCCAGGAAGGTGAGGATACGCTATAAGCCGCCATGACCTTGTCCACCTGCCTACAACGGTCGATCCCAACCAGCATCAAGTCCCCTGGTTGGAGGACGCCGTTGCGAGTAAACTGGCGAAGGAATCGAGCAGCCTCCGTGGGTTTCATGTTGGTGAAGGAGGAGCCAAGCCACATTAGACACTTGCGGAAGGGGCCGCCATGGTGCTTGAGCTCGGGCGTTTCGTCCACCAGCCCTCCGCTCGCAAGGTATCCCATCGCGTCGTAGTAAGATCCGCATATCCCCTGCGCGGAGATACTGCTCTTCAACTTCATAGGGCTAGACGTATCGACATGGCCGCGGCTGAATTCGGGCCTTTGTCGGACCAGTTGGTCGATCCTCCTCTGCAATTGCTCATGCTGGATGTCCACCTAGGCATGGATAGACGGGTCAGCACTAACCGTATCTGAATTCTGCAGCAAGCCTGGTTCGATTGGCTTTCTACGTCAATCCTTCAGGTAAATGAGGCAGGGGTACCTACGGCACAATAGGTTGCAGATGTTGTCTGTGACACACCTTTGCTGCTCAACAGTGGAATACGCTTTGAGATCGCGTCCAATAAACAGGCAGACTTGTCAAGGCGCCTGGGTAGTTGAGCCAGTCAGCGTTCGCTCTCGCTTCAGGATCGGCCATCGTGTTGGCGGAATCGACTTACCCGGCGCCTGTACTTCGTCAGCACTGTTGCTATGCACAGTTCCTCAGAGGGAAAGAGGTAAAGAGCACTCCACAAAGGGCAACTGACCGAGATCGACGAGGATGAGATGGGTGTCCTCGGATGACTCGGGCTTGATGAGGCTCTTCGCCTCTCTTGCGTTTACCGGTCTCAGGAGAGCCGTGGCCTGCCCTGGAATTAGTGTTCTGCCACTTGCTTGATAAGCTGTATGCAGCGTACAATGTCCTGCGAATATCTCTGGAAGATGGAGAACTCGTCCCGGTACAGATAGTACGCGGGGTCTCTGGTGATGTTTTCGTACAGGTCAATGCCTCGACCTTCATAGAGGACGCCTAGTGCTCGACAGATCAATGGCGGATCTCCTGAGTGCCAGAAAGGACTTACTGGTGGGAATGGATCGACTCCACTCGATGGGCGGCTGGCACCCATCACTAACCGACTGGACGGCATCGCCCCCTCGGAGAGAGTCTAGTAGCTCGTCCTGCAGTGGCCGGCCGGTGGCCGTGCCCGATTCTGAGCGGATGTCGATGACATGTCCGTAACTGGTGCTGGACTGAAAACGCATATTGTTCTAGGACACGGCAGTAGTCATACTATAGGCTTGGGCAATACGCTGAAGCCGTACTTGTCCTGATACGGATACCACTATTTATATGGGAATGGACATACAATGGCATTAGGGCTTACTATACAGCAGTCATCTCGCCTTCCCTTGCTGACCTTCATCTGCGCGTCTTATGGCCAATGAGTCAGGGATTTCGGAAGATCATTCAATATGTGACATGGATGGAGTTAGGGGCGGGGACAGTCAGCCATTGATTTGAAGTGATCTGACACCGGCCAGATCTGACGATAGAGACACACGTGGAGCTTGTCATGGAGATGACTGTAAGGCCTGGCCGCCACTGATTGACAGAGATCTCTCCATGCATGACCGTGCCCTGCATCGACAGTGTCAACTGTGCCATGACAGAGCGCCGGATGACGTGTAAGATGTGGACTATGCGTGCAAACTCTCTAGATGGTCCTTATATACGCTGCTTGGGCCTGAAGCAAGCATCTCAGCACGATCATCTTCCCATTCAGTCGTATCACTCTTACTGCCAGCATGCCCCAACTCACTCATTCGAGCCCGATCATAATCGTGGGCGCCGGTGTGTTCGGTCTCTCCTCTGCCTGGTGGCTGGCTCGCGCGGGCTATCGTAACGTTCGCGTGCTGGACCGATGGCCAGTCCCGTCGCCGTCGTCTGCGGGATATGATCGCAACAAGATCATCCGCACCGAGTATCCGGACGATATCTACTCCGTGCTCTCTCAGGAAGCCATCGAGCTGTGGCGAGACCCGCTGTGGAAGGACGTCTTCCACCCCACGGGCTGGATCTACGGCACGGACGGCTCCCAGGACCAGGACCGTGAAAAGACCTTCACGACCGCAGTGTCCAACACTCGCGCACTCGGGGACCCGTCCAAGATCATCGAACTGCCAGACTGGCAGGCGGCCTTTGAGCTGTACCCGGCGCTGGGCTACGCGCATGACCGTCGCCGTGCCCAAGTCGGCGAGTATGCTGGCGGCCAGCCCGTGCCGAGCCCGGATGGCAAGCCCACGTTCCGGGGCATCTACAACGGGAATGCGGGGTGGGTGGAGTCGACGAACGCGATGCTGATCCTGAAGCGCGAGTGCGAGCGTCTCGGAGTGGAGTTTGTGGCCGGCGAGTCTGGCACGGTGGTCGAGTTCCTGCATGGCGCTGACAAGACGCACCCACGGATCGTGGGCGTGCGCACCGAGAACAACACGACCTGGTACGCGGATAAGATCATCGTCGCGGCCGGCGCATACTCGGAGACCCTACTGGACTTCAAGAACCAGCTGCACGCCTCAGGCTACTGCGTCACGCACATCCGCATGTCCGAGGAGCAGTACCAACGGTACAAGGGGCTGCCGGTGCTGAATATCGCGCGCCGTGGATACTGTTTCCCGCCCAACGAGGACCGGATCTTCAAGATCTGCAACCTCGACATCACCGTCGTGAACCGCGAGCGGTGGGCGGACCCGCGCGGCGCACACGGCGAAGTGCGAAGCCTCCCGCGCGACCAGGCGTACCACCCGACGGACACGCAGCCGCGCGTGGGACGCGAGAAGACCCTGGAGTTTGCGCGGTACATCCTGCCTGAGTTCGGGGACGCGGAGGTCGAGAGCAGCAAGGTCTGCTGGGACGTCGAGACGCACGACGATAACTGGATCGTCGGGTACCACGAAGACGGGCCGGACTCGCTCTTCATCGCGACGGGGGGCAGCGGGTACACGTTCAAGAACCTCACGAATATCGGCAAGTACGTGGTGCAGGGGCTCGAGGGGACGCTGAGCGAGGAGTGGAAGGACCTCTGGCGGTGGAGGCCGGATCGTGTCGGGGTGTATCCGGAGCGCGAGGGGAGGAATGCGCGGTTCAAGTACGATCTGAGGGATTGTGAGGGATGGAAGCATCACGCAGTGCGCCTGTAAACCGTTAAGGACGCTTTTCTTTTTTTTTCGCTTGCCGACTATGAAACCTATGTAGATAGATACTCTTAGCTACACATACCACCGAAGCCAATGCCAATCCAATGCCAATACTATCTAAGCCGGCCAGGATTTCTCGGTCAACTCAATGCTAAACTTCTCCTTCAACTCCTCCCGCAGCAGCGCAGCAATCTCCGAGCTCGTCCACGGCGCCACCATCCCCTTCTCGGTGATGCGTCCCTCCAGCACGGCCAGCACACCCACGGCACACGGCAAGCCCACCAGCTTCGCCATGGCACTGCGCGAGCCCGGCGCCAGCGGCTCGCCGTACTCGACCAGCGTGCTCGACCGCTTCTCGCGCGAGCCATCGGCATGCTCGATGTCAAACACATGCTGCAGGACAATCATGTCGCGCTCGCCCGGCGCATACGCCATCTTGCGCTCCAGCACCCCGCACAGCGTATCCAGCGGTGTGGCCCGGCCCTGCACCGGCGTCTCCTCCTCAAACAGCCCGATCCACCGCAGCCCGTCCACCACCCGCCGTCTCTCCTCCTCGCCCGCGACGACCGCCGCCACCTTCTCCTCCACCGCGGCCACCAGCCCCGCCGAGGAGACCCCGAGCATCTCCGCCGTCAGCGCCGCCCAGCTCACCTCCCCGGGGACGGCCCCCGGGGCCAGCGCCGCCCGCGCCTCCTGCGAGAAGTACCCGATGGCCGCGAGCGCGCGGATGATCGCGGGAAAGCCCGGGTAGCGCAGCGTGCCGCGGAACACGGTGCGCGCCTCGGGGATGCGGTAGAAGTCGCGGAAGCCGACGGAGTCGCGGTTCGGGTAGCCGACGAGGGCGAGGTCGTCGATGCGGTGCGGCTGCGCGGCCGCCATGAGGTCTTCGCCGGCGACGCTGGCCACCACGCCGTCCTGGTACCACTTGCCCGGGTTGCGGAGGGCGAGGAGCCCGCCGCGCGGCGACCACGAGAACTTGTAGCCGAGCGGGTTGTCGGCGGCGTCGGGCGCGGGGAGCGCGCCGCAGTACGAGGTGAAGGAGCTGATGTGGCCGCCCGCGCGGTGCACTTCGTCGATCGTCTTGACCGCGTACAGGTGGTCGATGCCCGGGTCGAGCCCGATTTCGTTGAGGATGGTGATGTCGGCGTCCTGCGCGCGCGCGTGCAGCGCGTGCAGCGCCGGCGAGATGTAGCTCGTTGTCACGACGGGCTTGCGGTGCGTGATGGCGGCTTCCACGACGAGCGGGTGCAGTGTGTAGGGGAGGAGGGAGATGATGATGTCGTGCGCGGCGATGGCGCGGCTGAGCGCTTCCGGGGACGAGGCGTCGAGGGCGACGGCCGTCGTGTTGGGATGCTTGGAGGCGAGGGCCTGCGCGGCAGAGAGCGTGCGGCAGGCGACGGTGACGTGCACGCCGGCGGCGGAGAGGGCCTGCACGGTGGGCTCGCAGACGAATCCGGCGCCGAGGAGGAGGGCTTGCTTTCCGCTGGCCATTGTGGATGTTCTGAATTGGGGGGGGGATGTGTGTGTGCACTGTTTGTTCGGGGATAGGAAGGGCAGAGTGGGATGAGGATGGAGGGGTTGGTGAAGGCGCGATGACTGTTGGTGATGGTGACTGTTGCTGGTGACTGTTCATGACTGTCGATGACTGTAAGGGATCGGGATGTCGTGATGACAGGGATTAGCCGTGACGGTCGATCACTGCTGGTCTACGCATGACAGAGAACAGCAAACAAGGGCTGAATGAGGACACGCCGGATGGATGACGTTCAGATAGATCACTGTCGATTATGATTCTACACAGTACGGATGTGCGACTACTACCATCAGACGATAATCGCCCGATCCAACTTCCTAAACTTGAACCAAAAGCCCACGGTGATCAAGATCTGCACGCCGGTCAAACACGCATAGAAGATCGTCATGTTCGGATCCTTGGCCGCGGGCGAGATCGCAATCCCCAGCGCATAGCTGATGGACGCAGCCCCCACGAACAGCGCCTGCACAATGGACTTCATACTCTTGGGCGCGCGCGAGTAGCAAAACTCCGACCCCGTGGTGACGCAGAAGATCTCGCCCACGGCCATGAGCGCGTAGCAGGGGACCTGGAGGAAGACGTTGATGTGTTGCGGGATCACCGACCCATCGGCGCGGCGCGCGGCCGGGCAGTCCAGGGGACGATCGTAGCAGGGTCCGGCGCGGTAGATGAAGGCCTGCAGGCCCGCAGCCCAGGCGAGCGAGGCGCCCATGAGCAGGAAGCCCACGGAGATGCGGGCGATGGGGCGGAAGGGGATCTTCCGGCGGTTGAGGAAGGGGAAGAGCCACTGCTGGATGATGGGGCCCGCGATGATGCAGGCGATCGGGTTCACGTTGGGCATCACGTCGTTGGGGATGCCGTATGTTTCCATCTGGCCGGCCTGCGAGATGAGGTTGTTGTAGGTTTGGCCCCAGCAGAGCCAGACGATCGGGAAGGCGAGACTACACCATCACGCCGGTTACCACTGCTTAATTGTAAGAGTGTCAAGGGGTTGGAACGCACCAGATCTGACAGGCCACCAGGGCATCGCGGATGCCCGAGATGAACTCGTCATCCCAGGGCACTTGTCGTCCGTACTTCTCCTCCTGCACCTGCGGACTGGCGGCCGTGAGCGACATGCCACTGCGGACCCCCAGCCATATCGCCCGCAGGACTTTGGGCATGACAGACCCGGACGGAGGAGTCCTAGCTACATGGTCCCTGCGAGTCAGCGAGGAGGAGGCGGTGGTTGCGGTTCTCGAACGGGGTGGGCAACTTACAGAACTGATTCTTGAAGACCAGCATGAGGATCAATCCCACCCACAAAAAGCAGAAGCAAAGCAGAAAGGCCGACCAGAAGCTCGAGTACTTCTCCATGAACGTGGTGGCGATCCCGGACAGCGACGCAACGTTGATGAACCAGAAGTACCAGTTGTACATGTACTGGATGGTCAGGGATCGCTCCACGACCACGCGTTCCCCGGACGGCAATTCTCGCACAAACGGCTCATGGTGAGGGTATTGATCCGCAATGAACGGATAGATAGACGCCTTGACGCCCCCGATGCCCAGCGCGATCAGCACGAGGGACACCCCGAGACCAGCTGCGGAAGCACCCGCCTGGATGGCCGCAGGGAGCGACGTCGCAAAGAGAATGCACGAGCCCACCAGGTAGATCCTAGACGAGAAGACGCAGTCGAATCAGCTCTTCCATTCATGAAGTGAGGAACCGCAACCAGCCCACCACGTACATCGTGCTCAGCAAGATCAGCTTGTAGCGTCCCAGCCAGCCGTCCGCCACCACAGCCAGAGGCACGGGCGCCGTGTTAACCAACACCATAAACGCATAGTTCACCGCGGTCGCATCTGCCTGTCCCAGTCCCAAGACCCCCGGAACCAGATCGTGCGGGCGGTTCTGCAGGTAGTTCTGGAGACAGGTCGACGCGCCGTAGAAGACAAACCGCTCGGCGGATCCGATGAGAATCACCAGCCACACCTGGTAGGGAACGTTATCCGCGACATGAACGAGATCATGCAGTTCTTGCTCGGTGGGTCGAATCAGCGATTCTTCTTCGACGGGGGGGAAAACGGACCCGGTCTTCTCGTGGTCATTTGGCACAGTCATGGCTGCGGGAGAGCGAAGTGGAAGACTGTTACAGGACCGAACGGATGGAAGAGAGAGGACGATAGGGGAGGAGACAGCATTGGGGATGTTGGAGAATCGCCGATCGGGGTGACTAAAGCATTCCTGACTGATTTTTTAAGAGAGATAGTAAATCATTGGGGATGTCGTGGATCTGCACTGCTGCAGGGTTGCATCTCGCCGTCTTTGTTCGTTGTTTGGCGCAAAGTGAGTCATGCATCTCTCGTCGACTAATCAGTAGCCAGTCCTTACTCCTTAGTCCTGAATAGTTAGTTAGCACTCGAGCGATGACTGTAGCGCTGAGAATCCGCTTAGTAGTGCTTATGGTGTATCTACAATCTACGGAGCAATGTCAAAGCAGCGCAGTCAATATGAATCCAGTCGTCGAACAACAGACTCGAAGCTCCATCAGTTGCGAGAATGGCGCCTCCCACGACTCCTCGCGACACCGAGACGCGGCCAGTGCAGAAGTCGCAGCAGCAGCAATATCAACATGCTGAAATCATCCTGAATGCGGGTTATTCGCAGGTCCGTCTCCAGTGCCAATACCTCCTCCCGGTCCGGCAGCAGAAGGATTTCTTCGGCACGGTAGATCTCATCCTCGCGGCCAATCCGCATACCTTTCCCACCGGCCTGTCGATCCCCTCGCACACCCATCAGGATGCGTTTGTCTGCGAGCTGGATGTGCACGGGAAGACCGTTCGAACCGCCCGGATGGATGCGTCCCGTCCGGTGTTGTGGCTGATTCGGATGGCGGCCGCTGCACAGGGAGTCGAGACGGGCGTGAAGCTCATTCTGCCCGCGCGCGAGGGATACATGTGCCGGTCGGATCTCATTGAAGAACGGCTGCGAGGCTGCGGGCTGGTGCAATCGGCTGCTGGGTTTGTGGCCTCCACCGAGGAGCGCCTCGTCCCATGTCAAGAGGCAACGCTGTCCGCGATCCTATCGTCGGCCTGCGGTGGGCTCGTCACGGCGGACTCTCCATCCACCACCAGCTCCGTCCAGTCCATCCTCGATCAGCTGGAACCGGAGCTGGACAGAAGGCTCTCTTTCCCCTGGCTATCGGCTGCGCCCTTCCCGCGCCGGCGACTGGCCGTCGTCCAGGCCCGCAAGGAGTACCGCACCATCGAGCGGTTCTACATGGCCGCCCGAGCCCTGAACATCAGTCTCATCGCGGTGGACTCGCCCGGTCACTGGCTGCAGGACGACACAGGGCCGAGCGCCTCCCTCCGCGAGGCCTTCATCCCCCTGGACATGACCGTCGACGAGAGGTTCCCGCACCGGCTGTATGCCGCCCTGAAGGACTACCGGCTCGACGGGATCATCACCTCGAACGACCGGCACCTGGTCGGGGTCGCCCAGGCCGCAGAGATGCTGGGCCTGCCGACCATGCCTTCCGCCGCTCTCGCGATCACCACCGACAAGGCCGCGACGCGCGCAGCAGAGGAAGCAGCCGAAGCAGAGGACGCAGCAGCGGCCGGCCGCACCCACGGACCCGCCAGCTTCAGCGTCGACAGCCTCGCCGAGCTCGACGACCTCCTCGCCCGTCCCGCCACCGCACTCCCCTTCCCCCTCATCGTCAAGCCCTGTCTCGGCTGGTCCAGCGACTGCGTCGCCCGCGTCACCACCACAGCCGAGCTGCGCGACGCCGTCCACCGCGCCGCCTCCCGCCACACCCACTCGGGCTCCCTCTCCTCCAGCACCAAGGTCGTCGTCGAGCCCTACATCGCCGGCCCGGAAGTCGACACCAACATCCTCCTCCTGGACGGCGAATGCCTCTTCTTCGAGGTCGCCGACGACTTCCCCTCCACCGGCGACGCCGCCGCCGGAGCCGGCACCGCCGGCAACTTCCAAGAAACCCAAATCGTCTATCCCTCCGCCCTCCCGGAACCCGAACAGCGCCTCCTCCGCTCCAGCATCCACCGCAGTCTGCTCCGACTCGGCCTCCACACAGGCGTCTTCCACGTCGAAGCCCGCGTCCGCGACTCCGCCGCCTCCTACCAATCCACCCCCACCGAACCCCTCGACCTGCTCCCGCTCCCGCTCCCCACTCCCACCGCCAGCCAGCCCTCCTGCTGGCTGCTGGAGATCAACGCCCGCCCGCCCGGCGGCTTCTCCGACTGGGCTTCCGCGTACGCCAGCGGCGTCTGTTACCACGCGCAGGCGATCCTGGCCGCCATCGACGACAAGCTGCGGTTCCGGGTGCTTGCGACTCCCTTTGCCGCGCCGGGCCCCGGCGACGTGCGGGGGGGTGCGGATGCGAATCCGAATCCGAATCCGAATCCAGACGCCGCGGGCGAAAAGTCCTGCCCCGTGCCGCAGTTCGACTGCATGCTCGCGTATGTGAGTCCCGACCGCGCCGGCGTGCTGCGCAACGACCCCTGTGCGGAGCTGGCGCGGCGGGCGCCCGAGCTGCAGCGCCACGTGCTGCGGGACTGTTGCTGGTATCGGGCGGGGGACGCGGTGTCGGGCCCGCAGGACCCGAGTCTGGGCTGGTTGGCGACGTATTTGGTTTTTGGGACGGGGCGGGGGGAGGTGCTGAGGCTGGGGGAGAGGATTCGGGGGGAGTTTCGGGCGGAGATTGCGTAGGGTTGTGTTTGTGTTGGGGATTCCTTTCTATGCTGGTTGGAAGTAGAATGGGATTAGAGTATAGAATGCAAGCGGAACGGTGGATGTGGTTCGTTCAATGCAATGCAATGATACCAAGAGTTGAACCTCTCTTTCTACTGTACATCTTCTCCGTCCCCCCTTTTGCCATTTCATTTCCAGTCATTTCCGCCGATCCCACTCGCGATCTCCCACGCGCTCGCGCTTTCGCTCCCGCTCCCGATCCCGCTCCAGCCCCCGCCGTCGCCCACCTGTAAGCTCCTTCTCGCGCTCCCGCGGATCAATGACGACAAGCGAGTCCAGGTCCTCCGGGTGCTCGCGCTTCCAGTTCAGATCCTTGCCGAGCATGTCCTTGCCGAAGCGCAGTTCGTGCGACAGCCAGTTCCGGTCGTCCTCGTCCGCTGCGGTTTCCGCCGCGCCGGGGTCATCCCACGATCTGCACGACTGGCAGTTGGCGATGAAGTGCAGATCGCAGAGCTGAGCCTCTTCGTCCTCGGGTTCGGCGGTCGATCCGCCAGTGGGCTGTTCGGGCCTGCCGCCGCCGGCGCTGGCCTTGTGTGATGACGCTGGCGTTGTGTCTGCGCCCTCCAGCTTCGCCTTGAACGCGTTGAACATCCGTAGCGCTTCGTTCTCGGCGCTGCTGAAGCCTGTCACGCCGTTGGTGCTGCTGCCGCCGCCGCCGCCGCCGCGGCTGGCGTTCGCCACCGACCCGGGGGGCGGGCGTTTGCGGCCCCGAATGGCGGTCTCGGGGATCATGGCTTCCAGCGCGGATTTCTTGCGGCCGGTATCGGCCGGGCCGGTCGCGACAGTGCGTCGCATCGAAGCCTTGAGATTCTCAATCTCGGCGTTTGTTCGCGACAGGATCGACGGTCTTGCCGGCGGCGAGTGCGACGGCGAACGCGCCGGACTTTCGGGGTCGGGGAGGGGCAGCTGCATCGCTGGGTCGGGTGTCTTGGGCCGGGTTCTGCGTTCGAGAGACGGTGAGTTCCTCGTCGGCGAGGGTGAGCGCGCGCGTTTCCTCGTTTGTGTCTTGTCTGCTGCTACCGCGTTCTTCTTCGGCGCTTCTTCCTGCCCCCCGATCTTCGCATCCGTCACTAGAGTCGAGTTGAACTTGGGCTTGGCCGGCCGAACAACCAGCTCCTCGTCCCCCTCATCCCCACCAAAACTCAGCAGCGTCTTCCCCGCCTTGGCCTTCTTCTTCTTCTTCGCCGCGGGCGGCTTCGCCTGCGCCTCCGCCGCCGGCGCCCTCGCAACCGTCTCCCTCTTCTTCAGCTTGCCCGCAAACGGGCCCAGCTCGCCCACCTCGCACGAAAGCACCTTGACCGGATACACGGGCCGCTCCGTGCCCTCCACGCGCTCTGCCTCCGCAATCTTCAGCACATTGTAGATACTGTCTCCCTCGACGCGTCCGAACAGCGTACACTGCCCGTTCAGCTCGCGCTCCGTGTTCGCCAGCGTGACGAAGAACTGGCTCCCGTAGCTGCCGTCCTCGCTCTTCGCCATCCCCACCAGCCCGCGCCGGTTGAACCGCAGCCGGCTGTGCAGCTCATCGCGCAGCACCACCTTCTCGTTCGGATCGCGCGCTTCCGGGTCGTACTCGAACTCCGGGTCCTCGTAGATGGAGGTGCCGCCGGAGCCAATGCCTGTGGGATCGCCGCCCTGGACAATGAAGTCTGGTACGATGCGGTGGAAGATCGTGCCGGCGTAGTAGTCGTCGAGACAGTGTTGGAGGAAGTTTTTGCAGGTCAGAGGTGTTTGAGCGGCGAAGAGGGAGATGTGGATCGGGCCGAAGGTGGTGTTGAGGGTAGCGGACGCGGTGGGAGCGGGCTCTGTGGTGTAATGGGAGGACATTATGTCGGTTGGGCTTGTTGGGATTGTCTATAGTCTTTGGTCGTCGACGCGAATCATGAAGATGGGGGGGGGGTTGAGCAGAGTGCCTGACGAGGGCCAAGGAAGCTCAAGATAACGGTTATTGTGGTTTAAATCGATGTGTCAGTCCATAGATCAGTGCTTAGAAACGATTTCTCAAGTAAGTCCCACAGTCTGGACAGATCGTGGCCCGTCTATTGCTGTCTGGGGATGAATTGCGGGAAGATGAAGCTTTTTCGGAGTTCCCGTCGTGGTCACGTCATGCCGTGTAGCACGTTTGCCAGTTAGCAGTGCTCCAAAGCACCATCGATCAATCTCTACTGCGACACAAATCTCGACTTCTTACAGCTAATTGGGTATGCTTGTTATTGTTGTAGAGAAGATATTATACATATACTATTATATCCCCAAGTGCTGAGGGCATATGTGCGATCCTGCCCCTAACAACCTTAATCCATGTCAAGTCGTAAATATCAACGACGACAGAGCCAGTCCGTCGAAGAGTAGTATGCAGAACTGAGGAATCACCAATCGAGCTCGAAGATCGGATCCCACATGTTGTCGACCGGGTTCCATAACCCATAGACATTGCCGTAGCATTCGCCCATGTCGGGGCAACTACACGCATCATGTCAGTCAGTCCAACCAAACCATCCTGGAATGAACAATGAAGTCGCAAACTCACTAGACGGGATCCTGCCCGAAGATTATATGCCACATATACTCCATGACCCTGCCACTAGTCTCATCCGGCCACTCCGTCTCCATGACCCACTGGTGATAGCGCACATAGTCATCCAACTCCCGCTCCCGAATCTGTTTCCTTGACACGGCGAACTGAGCGCAGCATGGGGCCGCAATCACCTCAGGCACATCGGTCCCATTGAAGAAGTAGTTCCAGGCTTCCGGAAACGCGTGCTCGGGCTGGCGTCCCTCGTCCCGGGGCTCGCGGAACGGCCGCACCTCGTCTGGGCAGCCGGGATACCAGTTGCAGCGGAGGTTGACATAGCCGTTGCGCCGGACGACATCCACGTTCATCATCCTGACCGATTCCACATTGCTTTGGTCGACGAATTCGTTGTGCCAGGCGCGCAGGTGGCTGTGGAGGAAGACCACGGTCTCGGGCAGTTTGTGGTAGTTGTCGATGATATACTGCAGATACACATTGGCCTCGTGGCCTTTATTCTTGGCCACTTTGGGTTTCGCGTCGGGGTCATCGACGGTGTAGACCACGTGTTGCCATCTAAACGCATAATCAATTCTCTGCGCAGTAACTGACAAGAGCCGAAGAACAGAGAGAGTCGCGTCTTACTCTGGCAAATCCCTAAGCAGCCAACTCGTATCCTCACTCTTCAGCTTCCCGACCACAATCACCCCATCTCGCCGGAACTTCTCATCCAGCGACCACTGCAGCGGCGCGGGCTTCTGCGCAGGGAGCAGGTCCTTTATGCTCGGCCGACTCGACCGCACAAACCCCGTCGACTGCGCACTCGCCGCACCCGGGCGGACAGGCGCTTTCTCAGGCCTGCCGCCGAATTCGCCCTCATCCAACGAGAAAGCAGTGCGGAATTGTTGCTGGCGGTACTGCATCGAGTTATACTGATAGTTCAGCCCGTAGATGGTGGTGAGGACCAGGATCACCGCGGCGAGACGCACGCCCGCTTTGACGAGTCGATGCGCCATCAGGCGTTTCCAGATAGGCCCGTATGGCTATAGTGAGAGGGCAGTTGATTCAGATCCTGGCAATGCACATCAACAAGTGGGTGGACAGGTGCATCACAGCTCGCCTGGACACCGAGCATGGGGGGCATAGACGAATGGCCGGTGATAGAGAGGTCCACTCGATATGTATGTCACGCACCCTTGACATTCTCGACTTCCATCTCGCATCGGCCGGCTAAGGCTGATCGCCAGACGCCCCACGAGCCTAAGTTGTAGATGTCATAGTCATAGTCCCTCTCCCTAGACCACCGACTCAGGCTCACAGCGGCGCAGCCAGTCCTAGTGCGCGGGCCTCGCCCCCGGTTCGAGCCGGGTGTATCAGAACTGTAAATCATTATCTGGAGATCCCAGAACCCAATCTGCTTCGCTCGGATAGATAGATAGTTGATAAAAGATCGTGCAAGGATGCAACGTTGTTACTTGGGAATTGGGACTCTGGACAGCGCGATTCGCGGACAGTGGATCCAACTGGTGCCCGTGCCGTGGTTGGCGATTATCATCAAATCATCGATATGTGTTGTACGTCAGCGATTTAAGATAGGAGGTGGTAACTAAGCTGATATTATCCTTTTATGAAAACAATATTGTGCTAGCAAGCAGATTGCAGAATTGAGATTTTTCGATGGTGATGTTCGGGTTGAGGAGGGGGGGAAAAAAGAATGGGCAGATACAGGTGTACCAGTTGGCGGCGAACTTGAGGGATGTGGGAAAGTAGGAACGGCCATCACGGTGAGAAGCGAACCGAAGCGAACCGAAGCGAACCTCCCTTGGATATAAAAATGGATTATCCGTACACTCAGATGTTCCTGGGTCGCTGGTCGATGGTTACACGGCAGTTTATGCTTATTCTGTTGCCACTGTCCGTGCAGGACGCAGGTCTACTTACATACTTACCAGTCGCATCCCTTCCCAGTATGAGGGAATGGTCGTCAATATCAAGGACTGGAACACTCAATGCCGTTCATTTTATTGATGTCGTTTCTGCATCACTCATTACATATCAATCAACTGCCAGAAGCATCGCCTCATCGTCATTTCCCTCTCGTGATAATCAGGCCTTCTTTCCTCCCTCAACACTCATAGCCTCAACCCCAGAAACAGCACTTCGCTTCTTGGTGATCCGGAACCCACCGAACAGCAGGAAGAGAGCCTCGAGACCTAGGACCACAGCCAAAGTGACCATGGCACCAATGACTCCAGCCACGGGAAGCGACAGCCCGCCCTTCGAGGCATCCGCCGCAGGGGATGAGGAAGAGCCCGTCGCCGTAGCAGTATAGGCCGCGCACTGGCCGTTTGTGTTGCCGCATGCCTTGCACCACTGTTCATTACTCGTAATGGCGATCTTCTCGGTCAACCCAACAAAGTCCGACCAGGGGATGGTGACGCTCGACTGGCCGTACAGCGGGAACTCGGACGGGTCGGCTGCGCCGCTGATCGTGCCGTTGTGGAAGAGGAAGCGGACGCTGATCTCCGAGGCGGAGGGGAACTCGTTCGAGGTGGAGTCGGTGACGAGCTCCCAGGCCATGGAGGAGGCATAGTCCGGGATGCCGGTGAAATCGACCGAGGCGGCGGGCAGCTGCGCAAGGCCAAAGTACGAGAGGAACGTGCCGTATGACCCGAACTGGATGTTCAGCTTCGTCTTGCCCTGGGAGGTGATGGTCTTGTTGAGGGCCTGCAGCACCTCGCCGGCGAGCGTCGAACCTGCGATGGCGCGGATGGAGTCGGAGGAGTTATAGGCCAGGCTGTACTGCTCGATGTTGGCGAGCTGGAACAGCTGCTGGCGCACCTCCTCTGAGGGATAATCGCTGCTCGAGTTGTGGATCGAGGCGACGTTGAGGTAGTCCCAGATGGTGTAGGCGGACTTGAAGCTCATCTGGGAGTCCGTGAAGGTTTTGTCCAGGTACGAGGAGAGCGATTTGTAGACCGCGCCGGTGGAGGCGAGCAGGTCCTTATACAATGCCGAGTCGTAGTAGCTGTTGCTACTGACCTTGGCGTTCTGACAGCCGGTCGCCGCCTGCAGCCAAGTGTTGTCCTCGCTGTTCGCGTTGGTTTCGATGAGCGCGAGGGGGATCAGCTGGTAGCCATTCAGCGGGGCTTCCACGGTCTTCCCATTGCTCAGCTTCTGACTGGCCACCGATCCAACGGGAGGGTACACTCCTTGAAGGAATCCGGTAGCAGAGTTCTGCAGCACCGAGTCCTCCGGCGCAGAAGCACTGATCTGGCTGAGCGTGACGACCTCGTCACTAATCCCCTGGATCTGGTGGGACGAGTTGGACGCGATGTACCGGTCGTGGTAGTAGCTGCCGGTTTGAAACACTTCCAAGTACCCCAGATCGGTCAGTTCGGTGTTGCCCAGAACCTTGGGGGTGCGATCGCCATGACGGGCAAAGATGTAGGCTCCCAACACCTTTTCAGCGGAGGCGAGGGGCATGGCCATGAGGGCCAGCAACACGCTGGTGGATTCCAGAGACGTCCGCATTGTGAGTTTGCAGAAGACTTGATCGCGAGTCAACCGATTGTAGAGTGGGGATCGGAAGGTATTTATGGCGATGCAGTTGCTCTACCGAGGCGCCAATTAGTAGTAGTAAGTAAGTTAGTTAATAATGAAAAAGTGAAAACACGAAGAAGCCCCGCGGAGTCATCAACTTGACTGTTATCATGATGACCTTGCAAAAACCACAGCGGGGGACTGCGACTAGTCCTGCAGAATAGGCCATCTTAGTTAGCGTCGGGCCCTCGGGTCCACGGTTGATAGGTAACTATCCAGAATTCCAGATAGTCTAGTTAGTAGTTAGTAGTTAGTAGTTAGTAGTTAGCAGTTATAGAGGTTCGAGTGGGAGGGGTCGAGGGACAGTCATTATTATTCATTGGGAGATATGTATGGAAATGTCGGAAGGAATCCACAAGCAATATAATATTAATCATGCAATCAGCAGCAGCAGCAGCAGTGAAACAGATGGGAGTGAAACTTACAGAGTAATGTAGAAATGCAAATGAAATGAGTCTTCACCGTTCACACTCTTGACTGCTGCTATCAGGGAAGTCCGCGGGGATGCTGGATCGTCTTTGACCACACAAATAATATCAATGGGGCTGATATCAGTCAGGAAACCAGGCACTGATAACCCGATATGGACCAGAGTACAGTTTACAGTTTACAATGGAATGGAACTCTTCAAAAGGCAATGAAGATATGATCTTCAATATTAATAAGAACCTCTGGACATCCAGCGGATAACCTTCCGGCCTACTCCGTCCGGGTGGGGTGCACCATCGCATTTCCTTGATATGCCTACTCCGTAGCTAGAATTGCTGGGGAGGTAGTGGGAGTGTGGGACATGTTATATCAATTATTGCGAAGTATGTAACAGTCTAACACAGATTCAATGGGAGAATCTACGCGCGTCTGTCTGACATTCGTGGGACATTGGACCAAGTCTCTCCAAGCTCCAGCCAGGTAAAGCTTCGGACGGTCCTGGAAGCGGGATGTTCGGACCCCGGAGATCTCAGAGTCATGGGTATCTATGCTATAGCGGGAACGGTCAGGTATATTCCTCCCTTCCTTGAGATCTCGACACTGCCTTTCCTTCTCTTTGAGCAGAGACTTCCTCTGCGGGGATGAGAGTGGAAATGGAGACCATTGAAGCATGATGAAAGTTCTTTCAATCACACTGGAAGCTCATCGTGCCGTTGCCTCCATCAATTCGCATCCGTTTCGTACCACACCCACCGTTCCTCCAGTTTGCATGGTCTCTGACCCGCCTGCCGCAAGCCGATATTCGATATCGGCCAGCCCCTCTAACCAAGTAATCCTCGTCTGAGCCGGTACTTCGAGCTCCTGCAGCTGCTCCGCCAAAGCAGACAGTATATCAGCCAGGGCGAGGCCTTTGTTGGCCTTGATGGTGGTCAGAGTGTTCAGACATGAGGTGACATCGCTCGTAGACAATAGAGTGGTCATAATCTCTTGGATGTCGGAGGGATGTGGTGCAGCAATGCAGTCGTAAATCGTTGCGTTCGTGATAGTTTCAACCTCGGCTGGCGGTTCATCCTTCGTGGCGTTCTTCATCGGAAGCGGTTTGCCTGGAACAGGGTCAGTTTGATTGAAAAGTGATGAAGACGGTTGCCTATCCTTACTGCTGGCATGGCAGGCCTGGAGCACGTTCAACGCACGACGCATGTCACCCTTGCTCAGCTTAACCAAGCTGCTCACGGCCTCTGGCTGAATCTGCACCTGCTCCTTCTCTATTACGTGGTCAACCAACGACCGGATGTCTTGCTCCTTCAATGGGCTGAAACGGAACCGAGTACACCGGGAGAGTAGAGCCGGTGACAGCTTGTGTGTATAATTCGCGATAATGCAGAATCGCGTGTTTGCCGTGTATTTCTCCATGATCCGACGTAATGCCATCTGCGCTGTCGAGGTCATGGCATCCGCTTCGTCCAATATGATCAGCTTGTAAGATGCCAATGACGAGCCAGTTGAGGCCGAGGGCGCCATTGAAAAGATCTGTTTCGTGCCTAGGAGATTCCCGATGTTAGCATCTCTGCCTTGGGGAATGATTGAGCCCGTCTCATGAACGTACTGGCAAAAGTCTTGATTTGCTCTCGCACCACATCAATGCCTCTGTCGTCACTAGCATTAAGTTCGAGCACCATCTGCCGCATGTTGCTGGTGCCATAGATTCGTCTTGCAAGGGCGAGGATTGTGGATGTTTTGCCCGTTCCCGGAGGCCCATAGAGAAGCAGATGAGGGAGTCGCTATCGATCGTCAGTGTCAGACACCCAGGAAGCTCAGAGGGTTGCCTACGTTTGCTTCGACGAACTTGTTGATTGTAGTGAGGATATCCTGGTGACCGGAGACATCGTCTAGGGTGTTTGGTCGATACTTCTCGACCCTGATGAACAGTTAGGATCAAAATTATATGAGTTGAAGCGATGGGAGGACACCCACCAAGGGAGATTGTCTTGAGCTTCTACAGGCAAATCTGCAGCAGTCCTCTTTGCTTTCTTGCCGGTGTTATCGGAGCTGAATTGAATCGCGTTCTTGGATGGTGGCGCATCCACTTCCATTCCATCTTCGTAGTCGGACATTTTTCCACAAATAAATTGATGAAACCAGAACCGTCGAAATCAAAAGAGAGTGAATATCAATGGAAGGTTGATAAGCGTTCTTGTGAAAATGAATTCTATATCTCGACGCGTCGCAGCTCCGGCAGCGCGTAAAGAGGTTCGGAGCCGGAAAATCATTGGGGATCGCCTTGGTGCCTGAGGCGGAGCTGGTGATGACATGAATGCCCCCCCGTTGTTGTTTGGCAGCACCGCCTTACGACGACCTCCCGCTCTGCTCTACTCTGTACAACGTGCATAATCCTCATTAGACAGGCTCTAAGAGGATTTCCTTCCCTCATCAATCGCAAACCAAACATGCCGGTATGGGAATTGGCCTTGCTCCTCTGTACAACCAGCCGTGCTTTCCTCTAACGCTCTCCAGGCCTACCACTCCATCTTCCTCGAGGACCGGGATGTCCCCGTAATAGGTACGGTCGCATGCGCTCCACCACCAGGCTCCCCAGTAGCACCCAATGCCGGTCTATGCATCGCTGTAATGGAACCATAGCTGACCGCGCGCCCTCATCTACGTTCAGGCAATTTCCCCGTCCTCCCCCTCCGCACTCGGACTCGCGGCCCCGCATATACTCTCCCCGCGCTGCCCGCCGATGTCTCCGAGCTCGACGTGCCCCCCGACAGCGAGTCGTACGACTGTGTAGACGAGATGCTCTCGCTGTTCCGCGCAAATGTGCTCTTCCGGAACTTTGAGATCAACGGGCCCGCCGACCGCATGCTGATCTACGGTACCTTGTTCATCAGCGAGTGCCTGGGGAAGGTCAAGCCGGGCATGACCTCCCGTGAGGCTGAGAAGGTATGTTCATGGGGTGGACGAATGCTCGGCGAATGCTAATCGGGTATACCAGGCTCTGATTAATGTTTCGCTGGATCATTTCGCTATCCCCGGTGACGTGGCATTCCCTCTGAACCAGGCGTTCGAGCCGCCTCGAGATCGCCAGGATGCGGAGACACTGAGAGCGTGGGTGATGCCGTTTGGACGATGTGCTGGGGTCCTGTACTGACACTGTTGAATGCTAGATATCTTTCCCAGGTTCGACAGGAGATCGCGATCCGACTACACTCTCGGATGTACGGTGGTGAGGAGGGCCCTTCGAAGGTAAGTTGTGGTTTACCCCTATTCTTGTTTGATGACCATCAACTTAACTTGATGCAGTGGTGGCTTAGCTTTGCGAAGAGAAAGTTCATGGGAAAGAGCCTGTAGGCGGTTACGCAATGGATATAGTTTGTTCTTTCTGGCCAGCTTTTCTAATAGCGGTGTTCTGAATTGTTTTGTTGTTCTGGGCATAGGGCTGCGCTTTCCCTTCCAATGTGACTATTGCTCTATGATCATTCCGCCAACCGTGGTCCTGAAGATTGACATCTCCGAATTGTGATCGGTGTCCTGGTTAGGAGTGACATATCTTGTACTCCATACCCCCCATGCTGCCTTCTCTGGCATGCGAAATGCAGAACTTTATACAGTACATCTGTCTAATACCCATCCTCATGTCATGACTGCATCTCAACATCCATGCCGCTGCCACTCTCCGCCGGAGTCGCAGATTCCTGCGTGACAGCGAGTTTCCTCTTCTTCCGGCTTGGGTTGCCAGCGGCTTGGATTATCTGGTGAGAGGGTAATACACGAATGGCATGGAAGATGTAGCCTTCAGCGCCGCCGCGTCCCGACATCAGTGGATGCGTGCGGCCAGGGAGGACTTGCCACGTGCGCACCCGAGAAGTCTCGAGGGTGGGCGCAAGCAAGAGAGACGGATCCAGCGCGAAATCTTTGTCGAGATCTGTGAAGTCGGGTTCTGGGAGTTTTGCCTTCTCTTCCCCGTCCTCCGTCTTTTGCTCCTCTAATTCCTGGAGCAGCCGGTCATGCTGGGCGATGATTTCTCGTTTCCGAGTAATGTATGCTGTCCGTCTCGGAGTGGAGTACAAATCGGCCAATTCGGTCAGAGGCTCGATGGTGGGTGAATAGACCACAACTGGAGCAGAGCCGGCGAGCAACGGGACGGTGTGCTTCAGCACACTGGCTGGTTCCATGAGCGTCGCAACGATGAGGCCGTCAAAGTCACCGGCCCGAGTCTCGTTGACAACCCGCCGTACCCGTTCCCATCGACTCCGCTTCTTGTAATATGCGCTGCGTTTGTTCGTCTTAAATGTGGATAGAGTCTCATCGGGAATCAGTGTGGGCTCGTTCGCGTAGATAGTATCCGCCTGCGGATCCAGTAGTTGCATCCACGATACTGTTTTCATGTGCTTGTACAGTGGATGAGACTCGTCGGGATTGTCTTGGTCATAGCCGAAGTATCTCAGCAAGGCCAGACTAGGCTGCTTGTTTGCATGGACAACAGTAATTGTGTTCCCTACAGCGGCCATGTGACGACGTCGAGCCAGAGCATGGTTCATAGAATTCGAGACTGGTTGTTCTGCGTTCTCGCCATTCTCGTTGTTGGATCCCTCGTTCTCCTCATCCTCCGCGTCATGAGGGTAAAGAATACCCATCCTTTCGGCCATCGCTGCAACAACCAAGCCTCCTGTTTCGTCAACCACAAGGTAGCGACCGTTCGGTTTCGACCCAATGGCCCCCTCCAGCGATGTATTTCCCCCGTGGTGCACATTTCCCCAGCACCCGATCAGCCCTATCGATTCGTCACGGAGCTCCATCGTTTTCGCCGCCTCTTTTCCTTCCAAAAAGTAGTTCGTCAACATGCTGACATCCAGGGGTAAGACTGTGAATCGCTTCAGGAACTTCTTCCGTTTCCGCAATGTGTACTTGGCGAGCGAAAATGCCGTCTTCTGATCCAACGCGGAATGCGACTCCAAGAGTTTCGCAATGATTTCTCGTCCCGCGCCCGTGGAAACCTTTTTCAACGCCTCAATCTCCTCCAACGTCATCTTCTGTGTTGATGCATCGTCGACGATCTCACGATTGGTCCGCATCGGGGTGCCATCCTCGTTAACGTCGACCTCGTCGCCATCGCCCTCGCCATCGGCGATGAGCGTCTCCGCATGTAACTCGGCCGGAGGAACGATGCGAAGGCAGTTATCATTGTCCTCGCCCGAAGCGTCGGTAATCTCGAAAGTCAGATAAAACGGGCGCCCGATGATCTGGTTGGAGGGGAAGCTGCCATATTTTCCGAGAAAGACTACTCTATGGCCGGAAGTCAGCACAGTACTCAAGGAGGTAGACACTTTGAGACGTACGTATTCGGCACAATTCTGACAATCTTCGTCAATTCGGAAGGCAGTCGCAAAGCGACATGCTGGTATGGACGGATGTACGAATGCATGATGTCGCAGGAGGGTGTGAGATGGGCAGAATTCTCTCAACGACGGCACATGGCAATTCGAAGCTCGTCCCGGGGTCTCTCCAGACTAAAAAAAAAAAAAAAAAATCCGGAAGAGCGATAAATGCGACCTCGCTCCGTCCACTGATGCTCATCAATGGCCCTCTTTTTTTACTTTTTTTGCATCGATCAGCGCACAGACCACGTGCTTCTTGATTCCGGGCATTGGATTACATCAGCCTGCATTACATAATGCGCATAAAAGAACCTCGGAACATTGGATCTTCCGTGCTCAGCCTCTCGACGTCATAGGCAAGGTGTGGCTGAAGCAACTCTTACAATACAATACCATATAGACATCATTCCAGGCAGCGAAATTGCGCTCTTCGCACTCATTGGACGTACCGCTGTATGAAACACCAGCCACATAGCGACAGCTACCTTAGAGAGAGGACAGACCTAGGTACCTGGAGATACAGACAATGTGACGGAATAGCTCCGGAATCTGGATGCCTTGGGAGCAGCGATGGGTGGTCCGTCTCTTTTATCTTCGACATAATTTCATATATTCTGCTGATGCATTCTGGTATCGGATCAATGGCTTTTGAATGGCGCAATTGGAACGGCATTAACCTCCCATGCGTGCTGTTAATTAGTGGCTGAGCTCTCTATATTGCCCGCATCTGAGCCACTGGTTACGTATACATCTCCAACTGCTTCAATCAATAGCATCAAGCCACCCACGACTCGTTCTACGTGCTGAAGATACATTGAAGGAAGCAACTGTCTTCTAATCGAGTTTCAATAACAAACGAGTTTTCGGTATTACACATTCTGCGCACTACACCCTTCTGGAACCGTTGATTGGCTCCACAGCTTATCCTGTTAAATGGATGCCTAGTAGGAGGCTGATCATGGTCGCTGCAGAATAGATTCGCCTTCATGGTTCTGCGAAAACGTGCGCCACCGCATCTTTCCAATCTAAATCAGCCGGATGCACGTTCTGAGCTTCGTTCTCCAATCTCACCAACATCGCCAACTGCAAAGTCAGTTTCCGCGCCGTCGCCTAAGCGATTGACCCGTCCAAGACGCGCAAAGAGCTCTCCCCATCCTCATCGCATTCCCTCGCTCGATCCAATATACTCTCCCGACTTGAACACATCACCGGCGTTCGATCTGATGCCCTTGGAACAAGCACAGAAGGCCCCGGTGGGGCCATTGTCCAGCGACAACCCCAACCCATGGGCGGACGATGCGTCGGAAAGGCCCGCGAAGAGCGCACATATTCCAGAGCAGACAGCACCCTCTAGCATAGATCAACAGGCTCACCTATCGACAAATGTCGAGAAATTTGATCGTGTACCGCCGATCCTTGTCGCAGGTACTCAAAGAAGAATGGCTGCCAACGAATGGCAAGAAGCAAATAATAACTCTGGGAGCTGGGAGGCACCAGTACAGCTACAGTCCAACAACCCCTTCTTGAAGACAAGGCAAGCTGAAGAGAATCCATGGGATTCGAACAATTCGAAAGCATCGCACGGAGACGGCTCAAGTGGTCGACTCAGCCAGAGTAAGTCGTTAACCATTGATCCATTTTCGAATACTCATACTTCTCTAGCCGAAGGTTACATTCCCATGACTGCGCGCTTGTCGCTTTTGGATCAACCAGCACCTGAGTCCCCGTGGGCTGAAGAGCGATCAGATCCTGCTGCACAATCACCAGCTTGGCCAAATGTTCCGATGCATACTCAACATACTGCTCCTCCTCATCAAGTGCCTTATAACAACGGTCCTACCCCTGGTCAAACATCTTCAATATTTGATGGACATGATTATGCTGTCCAGTATCCGCAACAAACAAGCTATGGGAGGCCGGTCTCGGGACAAAGTCCAGCCACTGCCGGTGCAACTACTTCTACCACGATGCCCCCGTCGTCTCACGATCTAATCGACTTTGGCGGACCTTCCGAAGTATCCGCTTCCCAGGCTCAAATCGACCTTGAATATGCTCCGTACCCGAGTGACGCCCAGACCCCCGGTACTTCATCAAACATCTATACCGAATCAGCACCGCCGTTACCCCAGCGCTCAGACCCATCCGAGTCATTACCAGAGCAATCTCCGGCGCTACCTCCAAGAAGCCCTAATCTAACCGCGGCGGAAGAACAGCGCCAGAAGGGCCAAAGATCCGAAACATATTCGATCCGACATATCAATTGGACGGATCAGACGGGAAAGCTGCGGGAGTCGCCGATATTGGTTCAAAATCAGAACGGGCCATGTCCCTTGTTGGCACTCGTCAATACGCTAGTGTTACGTGCAGACCAGGATACGCAGCCACCCATTGTGCGAGCACTTCAGACTAAGGAACAAATCTCTCTAGGGCTCTTGATTGAGGCCCTGTTTGATGAATTAACGACACGTCTGGGTCCTGATGGCGAGCTTCCAGATATAGAGGCTCTCAGTCGCTTCCTGACAATGTTGCATACTGGCATGAACGTCAACCCGCGACTCACACTGGTATGGACACTCTGGGTATGGAATCATCCGATGCAACTGGGACTGACTGTCGACTAGGAATCAAATGAAGCATTCGGCACCTTTCTCAAGACCGGTGACATTCGACTGTATAGTACCTTTGGCGTGCCGTTGGTGCACGGTTGGATCGCTACTCCCGCAACCGAGGCAGATGAGGCTTTCAGAAGACTGGCCCAGTACCATGAAGATGTACAGATGTTGCCCTTTCGTAAACAAGAACTAGAAGATCGTGTCTTCCGCGGAGATACACTCACATGGGAGGAAGAGCAAGTGATTAAAGACATCCAAGCCATCGAAAAATTCACCGATGTGGAGAATGCTACCCAGCTCAGTGCATTTGGGCTAAAACATCTCACGGAAATGATGCCTCCTGGGTCGTTCGCAATCTTGTTCCGCAATGATCATTTCTCGACTCTCTATAAACACCCTCAACGACGCGAATTGTTTACATTGGTTACCGATGCTGGTTATTCTAGCCATGCGGAAGTTGTCTGGGAATGCCTGATTGATGTTAATGGTTCGAACTCGACGTTCTTTGCCGGAGACTTTCGCCCAGTCGGTCACACCCCGCCTGAGACTTCTGATCCATCTGGCCCACGAATATCAAGCCACAGAACGACCGTTCCTCCGCCTCCAAGCGAGCAGCAAACAGCAAATACACTATCGCCCCAGGAGCAAGCTGATGCCGACTATGCTTACGCACTCTCTCTTCAATACCAAGAGGAAGAGCGCCAGGCAAGAGAGGGAAACAACCGGCAACAGAATCAACGGGCCTCGGCCCCAAATTATCCCCCCGGAACCTCTTGGGGCCCAGACCCGGCTCATCGTCGAGCAGCGAGTGTCGCAAATGGTGGCGGGAGCCGCCAGACTGCGGACCGCCGCTCGACGGGGCAGAGCCACCCTCCTGGGCGATACTCAACTTCCCGCTTGGAAAATGACCGTAATACTAGTGGAAACGCTGACGACCTTCTTCCCCCGTCGTATGAACAGGCAGCCACTAGCCCAGCATACCCGCCACGAGACGCTCCAGATGGCCGATATCAGCGACATTCCACGGGACGGCGCATAGCCCCGGGTCCGGGCACGGGTCTACCAGATCGGCCAAAGGATCGAAACAAGGACTGCGTGGTTATGTAGTATCTGTGCTCTTGAGGATTCAGGATTCTGTGCTATTTTTGGACGATGGGATTCGAACTATAACGATAACGTAGCATGGGGGTTTCCAGATTTCTCTCTCTCTCTCTCTCTCTCTCTCCCCCCCCCCCTTTCCAGTCTTTCAGGGAGTATTGCTACTGCTGTGTTTGACGATGACATGATATGATGCGCTATGTACTTTATATAGATACCACAGGAGAGGCAAATTTCAATCACTGATAACGTACTACATTAATATAACTGTGAGAAATTCAATGTGTATGTTGTTCTCATTCTATGACTCTTCTTAAGCAACAACAACAACAAGCACAGGCTAGTAGTAGAACCCAGATTGCCCATACATATTCCTACGAGCTACGTGCTGGAAGAGTTCTACATCTCATCACATGATCGAGATATATCAGTTGTTTCTCTTCCCAGAGACATATTCTGTGTCAGCATCACCATCAAACTTCGCATCAGCCTATCCAAAACAATATCATTACCTCAGTCAACCCGGGACTCGGCACCTCAACGATCATCTCGAACCTTTCCCTAATCCTCCACGGACAGATAAGGCCATGTCAGGGCCAGTCTGACAAGGGCAGCTTCTTCATTGAAGACGCGGGGTTGCAGGAGTCCAATCAATGCTTCTGTTCGCTGACAATGAAAGGACACGCCGGAGAAGATCCTTCGGCAGTTTACCATGTGTCGAAGCCCCGTTGCTGAATATAGATTAACTGAGGGAGGGATCATGTTCAGTAGCACGATTATGGGATGTCGCATGTGCATTTGGCCGGGGGATGCTTGGTTGATCCTAATGGTGTCCAACCACTTCGACTCAGCACCTTGTGTGCATGAACGAGGATACATAAACACCGCTGGATCCTCGCTGTCAGATGGAACTGATCTGAAGTGAGCTTTAGCCGGGGGTGAATTAGTCCGCAAATTGCAAACCAGATGAAAAACTCTCGGTATTGCTGCCCTCGCAGCCTTTGGTAGCAGTGCATGGCCCCAAAGCTGGCGATTGTTCAGGCACATTCACTCCCATTTCAGCTTCGGACTTTATCTCTAATCTTCGGCCCGGCTGGAACCGGGGCAGTACGCTCGATGCTGTTCTGCGGCTATCGACGCTGTCAAGGCCGCCGGTGAGAGGACGGTGTTTTCGTTCGAGTTCTACCCGCGGGTTGGTGGGAATGCGAATACGGTGGATTGCACCTTGACCGTTTGATGGGAGAAAAAAATCAATGCTTCCTCGAACTGTTTGCCATACGCAAGCAACAAGTCTTTAGTGAATTCATTAGCTTCATTAGATTCATTACAGGTGACACAACGATCTTCATCCCCCGCAAACGCCTCCCTTTCAGTAGAGAATCTTCAGCTCCCAAAGCGGCAGATTCGGATCATACTTATCCCACACAATCTTGTTCCTCTCGTCGAGATGCGCCCCCTCATCCGTGATCGGGATGGACGGATGCGTCTCCAGCACCTCGTGGCGACTAAACCCCCACTTGTCGCGCGGGATCCACAGCGTGGGCGTGCGCGCGCGGATACACGGCTCGAAGTACGCATTGCGCTCCTCCTCCTCCGAGTACTGGATGCGGACATGGTCGCGGCGGACCTTGCGGCGCAGCGCCGCGTAGTCGCGGTACAGGTTCGGGTGGAACCATTTCCAGACGGCCTGCCAGCGGCCGCGCGGGGTGCGCAGGCCTCCGGAATCGGTCTCGGAGTCGGCTTCGCGCGCGTCCTGCTTTGCCTGCTGAATCTCTTCCTCTGTGTCGAGGGTGCGCGGCAGGAAGGAGTAGAGCGGGGCCAGAGCCTCGTTGAGCGACATGTGGGCGAGGATGGCGGCGATGGTGAAGAAGATCATGATGATGAGGGGGCCGATGGCGGCGCGGATGGCGAACAGGCCGATCATGCAGATGGCGGCGAGATAGATGCCTGTGAGGAGGTGCTGGAGGGCGCGCGGGTAGACGAGGCCCTTGGTGTCGGTTTGGATGTCGTAGACGAAGAGGAAGTTGTAGCGGTAGGCCTGGTAGACGAGGAAGAGGCCGATGAAGGCGAAGCCGAGGATGAGCGGGGCGATGCAGGCATAGGTGAGGGCTGGGAGTGGTCAGTGCCAGGAAGAATGGGGGAGGGGATAGGGAGAGGGAAGGGGGCCCTACCAATGACGCCCATGTTGGTGAAGACGGGGAAGACGTTGCCCCAGCTGATTCCGCTGAGGGAGGCCCAGCGCTGGTACAGGTGCCGCGGAGACCGGTCGAAGAACGTGCTCATGAACTTGAACACGATCATACCGGCGACCTGGACCACGGCCATGGAGCTCATGGTCAGCCCCTGCAGCAGGAAATAGGAGATGTAGAAGTTGGTGGCCTTGGGCAGGTTCTCTGCGAGCAGATCCTTGGCCGACAGCGGGTCCTTGATAATCTGAGCTGTCGCGGCAGACGCAGCCGACGTGAGGGTCGTGACGAGGAACACCTGGACGACCTGGAAGCAAAAGTGGGCGCTCTGCGTGAAAAGCTCGACGTGGGCGGTTGACGGGGAACCGGCTCGTCGGGCACAAACTAGGTTAAAAAGTCAGCAGTCAATCAATGTCCGGGGGCGATTATGCGAGGGACATGGGGGCATACATCGACAGATGATCGGGACCAGCGACATGAGAAGAACCAGAGCAGCTGATGGTAGGAGGCCGGCAATTACCCCTTTGAGAGTATCGGGCAGCTTGTCGATGAAGCCCAGAATGGGGATGAGGTGGGTGAGATAGGTAATATTCGAGATGGTGCCCACGGCAGCGGAGGGGATGGACCAGAAGATGATCAGGGCTGCGATCCCTCCCTTGATGGCGAACTTGCGCACGATGCGTTGCCACCAGCTGAGATTGAGGGAGGACCAGACGACCTCCCTGGGCGAGATGCCGATGAACCGCGGCGTCATATGGAGCGGTTGGTGATGCGACAGGGTCTGCAGCGCGATTTGTGCATCAGATTGCGTGTTGAACTCGATGAACAAGGCGGACAGATTCTTCCTCTCGCCATTTCTATGCTTCTGCTGGAGGTCGTCCACTTCCTGTGATGCCTTGACCAGCTCCTCGCGCAGCCAGTCGATAGAGTCGACCTTGGGCCCAAACAGCTTCAGCCGATGAGTTGGCCGGCGGATTTTCTTACGCCATGCATGTGCTCCGCTCTCGCAGTCGAGGCATGTATCCGAAGTGATGACTCCCTTCTTGAAGGCCTTGAGACGCGCCGAGTTTGCTGCTCGGATCAAATGGGTTTCAGCTCGCTCCAGGCGTAGAGCCAGTTTGTCCCTTTTCTTGACCTTCTGGCTCAGCTCTTTGCAGTCGGAGGTGATCCAGATCTTTTGGATGGAGTCCCCGAAGACCTGGCGGAGCGTTTTCTCGCTCTTATACTCGTCCGGGACCGACATGAACAGCACTGTGCGGGACGATATGCGGCGCACATACGCGGGAGAGTGAAGATACGTCTGCCGGAGATTCGCGTAGAAGATGCTCTCTCGGGTGACCACGTAGAATACGAACGCTGCGGCATGACTCATTGTTAGCTTTCATTCCCACAGATCCAATGTTTGGGCAAACTCACTGAACAGGACACATGGCATGACCGCGTGAGCGTAGTACCGAGACGGATCTTTCACATTGCTGAAGCTGAACGCATCGAGCTGAGTGTTGCCCCCGCCCCCGGTGACATGGATGGGAAGCAGAATCGGCCATGTAATCAAGCAGCCGGTGAAGCATGTCGCGCAGAGGACCCGCAGAAACCGCAGAAAGAGGTATCCGTCCATGGAGGAGGAGTGAAGCACATGAGCATCGGATATCTTGAAAAAGTGGCCGAACCAATTCACAAATCCCGTTGGCAACTGGGGACTCCGTTCGCTAGAACGATGTTTCTTCTATCAGCATGAAACGGCGCGCAGGGAGCATTTCGAGGGGAGTACACACTGCTGGTGCCAGCATGGCAGATGAGACCTCGGGGCATACCACCGGAGTTGTGTGCGCCGACAGATCAGGAAGAGGCCAAACCAGAATGCGGCTATCACCAACGCCGGCAGAAGTGTAGTCAGCAACGCCGAGAGCGAGGTGGATTCCTTGACTCCCAGGTTTCCAATCACTTCCGATGTCGTCGATGATGCGTTGCCTCGAGACGAGCCGATGTTGGGGTCATTGCTGGGATCCTACCACGTCGAGTGTCAACAACATACCCCAAATTATGGCTTACAGGCAGTTTATACGTACAAGAAGATTCTGCCTCTTCATTAACATGTCAACCCATACGAAGGCGGCCATGATGGACACCAGAGGGTCTCCCTCGTGGCCCTGTCCTGCAAGGTGAACCGTTTACAAAACGTTGCGATAGTCGGATCTGAGGGGTGATAACGGTTTCCACTCATGCAGTGAAGCTAGGGGCGAATGGCTCTACATATATCCTCAGGGACCGGCCCGCTCCTCACGACAGAGAGAATGGTGAGGTGGGTTGGACCTGTCATTCTGGGCTCCAGGAACATTGGGTCGTGGGAACGCGACGCAAAGACTGGGGACCGTAACACTAACAGGCACAGAGATATCCCGGCCGTCACTAGCCAGCTTTAGTGTGACAGAGATGCCACCCGGTGGGCCTATGGAATGCACATCCAGGCGCTCGGAAGTCGGGATTGCAATTGGAATGCTTGACTCGAGTGCTGTCTCTCGTGATTCGTCGATCATGGCTTGAAAACGCCAGCAATTCAGCAAATGAAGGACAATGCGCACATTATCTACTCCGTACTCCGTACTCGAATGTTATCGTTCTAACGAGAAGTTGAGAACAAGAGACTTGGACAGCCTTGTTGATCGGGTGGAGACTGAAGAAGAAAAGCGTCCAGTCGATCCGTTTGTCTCGCAATTAGCGGCAGCCACTAGATGGATGAGATTGCCTGCAATTGGACCGTCAGGGTTGTAGATCGTTTGGCCAAATCCTCATTGGAAGTTGTCAGTCTGTGGAGTGTGGACTGTGAAAAGTCGAATATTTCTGAACCGTAGATTGCCTGCGACAAGTATGGTCCGTAGTTCACTCTCCAATCTCCATACGGTCTTTGGCCTCAATCCAGACTGCTGAAAAGACCAGTCCAAAAATCGCCAGAGTGAGAACTCCTGAGTATCGAACCTTGACTGAGGAATGTGGAGCATAATTACAATCATATCTTGCGTGTCACAAACCAGGGCGTGATGAATGGTGGACCCCAAGCCCTAAAGCCTTGAAACTATTGATTCTGCAATCTCCATTAGTGTCGCTGAAGGTCACCACCCCCTGTCGAGTGCTGACTCGATATCTACTGAGTCTTGGGTCAGTGCTTTCATTATACTGGAGCCTGGAGAGGAAGTCGATAAGCCTCTCGTTAGCCTTTTTTGGCTACAGTGGACAATTGCCGCTGCCGACAGGTCACATCAAGCAAGGGGTGATCTGTGCTGTTCTTTACATACTGTGTACGTGCGTGACGATCTAGTCTCTGCTAGGTCGCCCAGATCTCGACTCCATCTCTGGGAGCCGATGCAGAAGAAAAAAGGTGGTGGTATGAGCGTCATCTCGAGAAAGAAAAATAAAAGAAACTTCATACCGCTCCCTTTGTGTGACACGAGCTGCATGTCGAGAGTGCTGACTGACGACATATGCTAATAATGGGCTGTAGACTTGTAGCATCATGGCCTGGATATGATAATGCGACCGACAGTCTTATTGCTTGGAAGAACAAGATGCTTCGTAACCTAATCTCCTCAGCTCGATGCTCATTGGGATCGCTTGAAGCCCTTTGCATGGAGGATCCAGCAAGATCGTCTGGGGTGGTGCTAGACCGTGTGCTATCGAAACTAGACATTCGGATCATCTATCGAGTATAGATTGGCAACTTGGCCTTCGGGGATTGGGAGACCGAGGTACTCAAATGCATCGCGGATGTCCTCCTCGTACAGAGCGATCAGGTACGGAGTAGATTTGACGATAGGGAGTGTTGCGAGGGGCACTGAGACCACCCCTTCTGCTTGGGCTTGGAGCTCACGAACCAGTGCTGCCAGCACCCCGACATCCGCCGACGCCGACAGTCCGATCCATTTGTGAAGGGAGCGAAGTGTTTCGCGGGGAAGATCCTGGAGTTTCTCAGGTGGTTTGACATAGGGGGAGGCTATTTCAGTATCATTAGATGGTGTGATACTATGTTGCCCCGAGCCAGAAAGAGACAGACGCGAGATGTGTGGACTGTGGATGAGTACAGCGATAGCCGCCGGATGACCTCTTCATATTGGGATGAGCCTTCCACCCCTCCGACGTTAGTTAACCACCGTCCCGTTTGGGAAGCTCACAGCAGCTGTGAGAGGAGGCAGGATCTATTAGACCCCATCATCCACTCTTGCTTTGGAACCAATACCCGTAGAATCCCGTCCAGTCTATCCCGATGCCCGGGCACCTGTGCCGACAGTGGGGGATTGGGCTCGTCGTGGTTGGCGTCATTTCCGGACCATAGATGGAAATGGTCGCCCAGGATCAGAAGAAATAAGGCGAAGCTAATGCCTGTGGATGTAGGAGTAGGCTGAACTTTCCAAGTTGGTGCCATGATAGACAGACTGCACGTTGAAAGTAAGAGTGAAGTTGCACCTGGTGCAGGCAGCATATGTATTTTAGACCAGCCAAAGTGCCGCGCTAACTGGCCCAACTGGCCTTTCACTCGCCCTACGGTGTATTGTGACCTTGAAGGCAGTCACTCTACAAACATATAAAGTCTCTCTGATGATCCACGGGTACGTATAGAGTAGTCGATGTTCACCCGAAGACTGGATTCAGCATCTCGCGCTGGCTTTTCTGGAAAAGCCAGTTGGACGAGCTCAGGAGCTGCGACCATGAAGAAACTGCAGCCTTGGCTCTTTGGGGGTACCAGAGTCATGAAGTTTTGGGACGAGAGGATCCTTAACCCTGAACAGAGGAAATCGGCGCAATAGTCCCTGGGCAGCACAAGGTTGGTGGATCTTTTCCAGTGTCTGTATAAGGAAGTACATGTACCCCAGTGATGACACCGCCTGCGAACTTAGGCTTCTCTGCACTAGGATATTAGTCCATCCTCCTTGTTCTGCCTTTCATGAAGCGGGTGTGGTTTGGCCTGTGTTTTCAAATGATGCTGGATTTGGGGATTGACTACCTAGTCAAGGTATATATCTTACTTGGGATATTTTGGGTCGAAGTATATGCTAGCCTGGATATACCTAGCCCCTTGGACAGCTAGTGCCTCGAGCCCATACCATTATAGTTTTTGAAAAAAAAAAGTTATGTTTGACCAGGAAGATGTCGTTGCACGACATCCTTCAACATCTACAGAGAGTAAAGCATAAGCGGTGAGACGAGGCAGTATAAACAGCGACTGGACAGATCCAACAGCTTCTCTTCACAAACAGATGCGCTGTTTTACCACAGCAAGCCGATAATCAAATATCTCGCTGTCAGGCAAAGGGGATGAAGACAAATCCCACGCAACGACGCAACTCCTAGTTCTGCGCAAAGTATGCCGTCCATGGAGTCAAAACAGCCATTTCCGCCCCTCTCAGCAGACGAACTCGCGACAACAACGACGACCCATGGCATCCACAATACCGGCTATCTCGAGCACGAGGAAGAGATCCTGTCGCCGACATATGACGATCTGGCGGAGGATGATGCTGACTTCCAATCCAACTATTCTCTGGACAACCAGTTCTTCTCCGACGCCTCTTCGGAATCAGACGAGGGATCGCCCGAAGACGCGATTGGCATGCATCATCCTTTCCAACAGTCGACCAGTTCGCTTCACGGGCCGAATGCCTTTGCGCCTCCATTCTACAATAGACCGCCGACCCCGCTCCCCCCATCCCCCTCGTTGACCTCGCTTCTTCGGCCCCCTTTCTCAACTACAACATCCCGGCCGACTACCCCTGACAGCTCTGACGTGGAAACGCCGAATGATACAGAAGCGGCTGTTGCAAAGTCGGCCCGTCGTGCGACAACTGTCCCACGCGCCAGCCCGAAGGTTCCGACATACGAGTACTACGGATTCGTTTTGTACCTGACTTCCTCCCTGGCATTCTGTGAGTCAGATCGAGAGTGCGCTGCGCATGCTGATTCCCAACTCTAATCGCTCTATTCAAATAGTGATATACATCCTCTGGTCCTTTCTGCCGTCGCCGTTTCTGCATCAGCTCGGCATCAATTATTATCCTACACGATGGTGGTCGCTCGCAATGCCTGCGTGGCTGGTCATGCTGATCATATACATCTACGTTGCCCTGGCATCATACAACACCGGGTATCTGACCCTCCCGATGAACAGTATCGAGAACATTGTGGACGATGTCGCAAATGTAGCCGTGATCGATGGCAAAGCAAGACGCCGCCCTGGCGGCGCTGCGAAGATGAAGCCTGGTGCAACCTCGTTTCAAATCATGGGGCCGCAGAACCGCAAGGTCAACTGGAAGGAGATCTGGGCCGAAGGCACAGATGCCGTCATGGACATACCTGTCGGAGGAGTTTGTGAGGTCTTGTATGGGCCGGAGAGAGACGATGACGAGCTCTGCGGGAATTTCGCGACTCCTACAGAGGAGACATGGCAGGGCTGATCCTACCATTGTACTTATCCGAGCCAGCGGTAAATATAAAGGGTACACCTGCTGCGGTGCATTGCTTTAAAGGATCGCGCAGTCATAAACCTCGATTCCTTCCGCTAATCACGGAGGCTGCAGCCTGGCCTTATCAACTATCAGCACGTGATGTGGCGTCGGGTTTATCCTGCAACTCGTGCCGAGCATCGCGACACTGACATGTATCTGAAGCTGCACTATACCAGGGATTCTCCTTTGCAACAATTTCTCTTATATCCCAGAACTCCGGCACAAGATGGAAGGTGAGCGGCCTTCAACACCGCCTTCGAAGCCGAACGCTGTGAAGCCTGGCGAGCTTCCTCGAGGTCCGCTTACTCCAGAACAATTACGCAGAATTGTATGTGACGCTGTTCAGACAGATTGATCGCTCAAGCTTACACCGATTCTCATATTCGCAGGAACTCAACCGCATGAAAGCCAAGGCGATTCGAGAACAACGGGAAGCAGAAGAGGCCAAAAAAAGAGCTGCAACACCTAACCCTTCCAGCGCCGGAACAGGCGTCAAGAGAACGTATTCCTCCATGACTGCGTCCGAGACCCCCGCAACGTTACGAGATGCTTCGGCGAACCGACCCCTTGATGCGATCAAACCTGCCCGCAGTTTCGCCAAGTATGTCGAGTACGATTTCAGCAAGATGACGGACACAAAGGGAGGTTTCTTGACCGCAGAGGATGACCCCCACAACAAAGCATTGCATGTCCGAGATGGCAAAGAGGAACAGAAACCCGCGCATATGACGCAGAAGGAATGGGAGCGACAGCAACTGCTCACCTCTCTGCGCCGGGAACGAGCGGGGCCATTTGAACCAGGACTCAGCGTTCTAGATGAGAAAAGCAAGAAAAAGGCATGTCGCGAGTGCGGAAGTCTTGAGATTGACTGGAAATGGGAGGAATTGCTGCGGTGCTGTGTGTGCAATGCCTGCAAGGAGAAATATCCGGAGAAGTACAGCTTGTTGACCAAGACGGAGGCAAGGGAAGATTATCTGCTGACAGATCGTAAGTAAAAAGCCGGTTCCTCTAGAATCAATACCGTTGCTAACCAACACGGCTTTTTCAGCGGAACTTCGCGATGAAGAGCTCCTACCGCACCTGGAGCGACCGAACCCCCACAAGTCGACTTGGAACAACATGATGCTTTACCTACGATACCAGGTCGAGGAGTATGCGTTTTCTCCGAAGAAATGGGGCTCCGCGGAAGCACTGGATGCCGAATTTGAGCGGCGGGAGAACGAAAAAAAGCGGCGCCGTGAAGTCAAGTTCAAAAGCAAGTTGGAAGACCTTAAGAAGCGTACCCGTGTCGAAGCATACCGGCGCAATCGACAAGGAGCTGCCGGGGGAAATTTCGGCGACGATCTTGGGAAAGGTGGACGGCATGTCCATCAATGGGGTCGATCAGTTGAGAACCCCGAGACCGGTATAGGGGTGAAGACGTGCGTTGACTGTGGCATGGAGGTTGAAGAGCTAGAGTTTTGATGCTTGCGCATCGCCTGGATCCTGAATCTAACGAGTTATGATCAAGTTAGTTTAGTCAAAAATCAACGTAGCGTCTAATAATGATTCAGATAGATAGATAGATAGTATTTAGCCGTTATGTTCTGTAGAGTTCGAGTCCTTAGCGGCATTGCTTGGTCGCCCCGTGCACTGCAACTGAGGTGCACATGGCGAGGCAGAAGCGTAATACCACCAGAATACTTTTTAAGTAGCTACTTCCGTGGTCGCCTCTGAAATACTTTGCCAGCTAACACCAATATTCTGAGATCTATCCCACTGCATAGACAGCTGTCTTTTGGTGTGTAGGTTGGCAGCAAAACAACCCCCCTGCGCTAAAGGCGGTTAGGAGGGACTTGCTGAGGGCGTCTATGGCGGTGACCCAAGCGAGGAGACCGAAAGAGTAGAGACACCCCAAGGACAGACTGACCTGACCTCACGCACGCCAGCTCTCCCTCGAATCTCTCTGACGACTTAACTGTCTCATAATTCTCGTCTCTTCCTGGTTCATCGGAATCGCCCTGTTCTTTTAATTAATACTGTTTTCCCCAACCGGCGCTGACGCGGTCTGGAACGTTGTTTCCTGCCGCTGTCGCCCGTCCCCCCCGATCGGGGTTGCTTACATCAACAAACTTTCAGGACTGCGGCCACCAAAAGCTCTCCAGCTCCGGTGTGGGAATTGCTGTCACAACCGAGACTCGCTGAAAGGCCGATACGAAGCTGTACCTCTGTACCTAGAAGCTGCGTTGAAGAACATTACGATCGCTCGTTGATTTTCGCATGGCTTGGCAGTCTCCCTCGGCCATGGCTGGGGGCGGAGGATACGTCGGGCCTGGGGGTGATGGGTCGTCCAACGGCGGACAGCCTCAGGGGACGGAGTATACTTTGCAAGGTGGGTTCCGGCTGTGCTTTTTCCCCACGGAGGGGGGACGAGAACGGTGTATGGGCGCTAACCTCCCTGTTTCTTTGGTCTTTAGGCGTGATGCGCTTTTTGCAGACGGAATGGCACCGGCACGAGCGAGACCGCAATGCGTGGGAGATCGAGCGCGCGGAGATGCGGTCCCGGATCGGCAGACTGGAAGGCGATGCGCGAACGAGCAAACGGCTCCATGAGTCGTTGGGCAAGCATGTGAGGCTGCTAGAGGCTGCGCTGAAGAAGGAGCGCGAGAAGGTCAAGAAGCTCAGCAATAATGAACCGATCGAGGATAAGAGGGATCCTAAGGAGATTGCTCGGGAGAGCATCAACGCCTTGAAGGGTATGGAGTCATTTAGCATTGGGGTTTTTATAACGCTGGTGGTGATTTTGCTAATCTGTTGACAGCGCAACGTTCTCAGTCCCACATCGAGTCCCCGCCTGTCGAGAATGATTCCGACAATCAACCCGGTGTTCGTCAGGAGAACGAACGAGACAAGTCGCGTCTCTATCTGTCCAAATGCTCCCAGGAGGTTGCATTTCATATTATCCCTTCGTCGCACCCTCCTCCCGATCTGAACGATATGGAGATGTCAAATCATGTTTACGCAAACCATAGCATGTCCCAACAAAGTCTGGAGGAAGCTTATATGCAACAACAGCGGCAGAAGCAGCAGCAGCAGCAGCAGCAGCAGCAACAGCAACAACAGCAACAGCAACAGCAACAGCAACAGCAACAACAACAACACCAGCAGCAACAACAACAGCAGGCGAACCATATGATGGCACGGGAAGTGGCGTTACAAAATCACCAGCCTGCTTTGACTCACTATTCCGACAACTCCAACTTGTCCCGGGGCAATCAGTTCCTCCCGTTGGGCTCGCGGGATGTCCTGGAGAAAAGACCCCTGGAGCCACAACAGACTTCTGTAACCGCTCTCGACAGCAGAAAACAAGGCTTTGACCATATCATCACGGACGAGCGCGTGGGCTCAACAAGGCAACAGTTCGAGAATGCACCGGCAGCAGGCAAAGAAGAGATCAAAGCGCAGCATTCTGAAGATCAATCTCAAGATACCGATGGGTGGAATTTTGATGACACGCCTGCCCCGGAGCCCCGAGCCGATCACATACCACCTCATCGTCCTGATGTCGATGTTTTCCCCAATGCGAACTTCTCCGGGTCGAAATCGCCATCGAGAGGCGGCTCGCTCTCTCACCGAAGGAAAAGTTCTGGTTCAAAACGCAAGAGCGAAGGAGTCATTGACTCCGGTGCTGGCGCGGGACAGAAGCAAGATTCCATCTTCAAGGTGCGATTCGCCCTGCGCGGTCACCTGGACGTCATCCGCTCCGTGATTTTCACCGGAGGTGGCAGTCCCTCAGAACCAGAAATTTGCACCTGCAGTGACGATGGGACGATCAAGCGATGGATTATCCCCGCGTCGTACGGCGCTTATGGCTCTCACGGAGCTGGCTCCAGCAACGATCTAGACATCACGAGTTACTTCACCCACCGAGGTCACGTCGGAGCTGTGACCGCACTGGCTGCGTGCTCCCCATCCCAAAACTTCTCCAACGGTGGACGTGCTCTGGGCGACGGGTGGGTCTTCTCAGGTGGCCAGGATGCCAGTGTGCGGGTCTGGGAGCGAGGACGGATTGACCCCAAGGCCACGTTAGATGGCCATACGGATGCCGTTTGGGGACTGTGTGTTCTCCCCGGGACTGTTGGATCTGTGTTTGGAGATTCCAGCAGTCGATACGGAGGACCCGATCGCATCTTACTCGCATCTGGCGCTGCAGACGGACGGATATTGATCTGGGCAGTCAGCGCACCGCCTCAGCTGTCATCACCACAGGCGGGATCCAGACGAGCCGGTGGAAGTCGACGGGCCAACTCGATCTCTTCCGGATCGAACTTCCCATCCTCCCCTCAGCCAAGCACGGCCACCACTACACCTTTCCACTATACTCTTGTTCATCACATTCTCCGAAATGCCTCGCCTTCACCGACTTGTATCAGTCCTCTGTCTCTTGCTGGCGTCAACTTTGTCGTTTCGTACACCGATGCTTCCATTCTGGTCTATGATACCAGAACAGGCGAGGAAATTGTGGGCATGGCTAGCTTGGAAACTTATGACGGCACCCCTTCGACGGGCGTCAATTCGGTTGTTGCAACGACCGTTGGCTTCGATGGGTCTGCAGGACTTGACCCTAGTCGGACCATGGCCGAGGAGGAAGTTGTGCATGGAGCGACCGGTTCCAGTGCTGTAGAGGGAGTAATTATCAGTGGGTACGAAGACAGATATATTCGTCTCTTCGATGCCAACAGCGGTACGTTGCGTTACACTCGTCTTCCCTAGATTTCCAGGCGCTGACATTAACTATCTTTACAGGCCAATGCACATACACGATGCTTGCCCATCCCGCGGCAATTGCCGCCCTTTCACTATCTCCCAATGGACGTGAGCTAATCTCTGCTGGCCATGATGCCAGTCTACGCTTCTGGGACCTTGAGAAACGCAGTTGCACCCAAGAGATCACGAGTCACCGGTTGATGCGTGGCGAGGGTGTCTGTGCGGTCACTTGGAGCCGTGACGGCCGCTGGGTTGTCAGTGGAGGAGGAGATGGGGTTGTCAAGGTCTTCTCGAGATAACCACGGACTCTCCGCTCCTTAATTGATGTATGAGGTCTTTATTTCTTTTTTTAGTATTGTCGGTCGGGCAATATTTTGATGCCACTATTCATGGATGAGCGATTGGCCAGTTCTCGAGCATTTGCAACGGTGTCAGACCCCCCTCCCCCTGGCATATGTTCCCTTCTACTCTTGTGGTTATAGCTTCTCCCTCTTCATGTCCATTTCCTTGACTACTACCCCTGTCCACTGTTCTGTACCGTTTACCTTCATTTCAAAAGACCCCTTCTTGCATGCCAACAACAATTTTTTCCCCAGCTCTCTTACCTTTCTTCTCCCCCATGAGGGAGCTTTTGACGATGTGATTTGACGGTGTTATATTACGACGTTCCACTTGGACAATCTGCAGTTCGCAAGCCCGAGCCATGGCTGCTTCCAGTGTCTTTTATGGCAGTGAGATGGCATCGAAATAGCTCTGTCATATTTTACCGATCTCAAACCGTCCTCTTTCGCAGGAGATATCGGAGCATGGTTCTCCTCTGACTTTGATGCGTATATGTTTGTGTATAACAATTAATTCCCATACCTCTACTTTGCCTCTTACATCGAATACGTTGGATAACATGTCCTGGGCACATTGTCTCTGGAGGCCAGTCGACCGATTGTAACGGATATTATGCATTTTAGTAGCCACCGCCCTGCCCTCATCCGAAGCATCCCACAGGCTGCTGCGAAGCTCGTCGAAAAGGTATCATTAGTGGATTATGTACAGGAGACAAACTATTGAGTCGACCTCCACGCCTCATTGAAAAGTTTCCTCAACTTCTTCGCCTCATCAAAGTCCTTCACCCTCTGCTCCAGGAATCCCTGCAGATCATCCCAGAACGCCTCTGTCGCCACAACGCTCTCACCACTAGGCCCAACCGCCGGCTTCGGCGGCGCCTGCTCCTCCACAGCCTGCTCAACCGGCGCGCTCTCGCCCTGCACCACCTGCGCACCACCCATAATCATCACGCCAAACTCTACCTCCTTACCCCCGGCAAGCATACCCGGCTCGTCCGCCAGTACCTCCGCCACCGTCTTCCCCGCCACGGGCTTCCGCTTGTACAGGACCTTGATCTTGTCGAGCGGGACCTTGTTTCCCTGGGCGTCTGTGACCCGCTCACGCACGGCGTCCTTGAGGTCCTGCACGGAGGTCGTGGAGAGCGCGGTGTTGGGGAGCGAGAACTCGAGGGCCGGGTTGCGCGCGGACTTCAGGTGCACGGTGATGGATTTCGAGGAGCCCGGGGCTTGCGTCTTGTGTACTTTCTTGGGCATTTCGGGGTGAGGCGATTGTAGGCGGGGGAGAGTGTACTGTTTACCAGTTAGTTAGTTCCGATAAGATGGATGATTGAAGAGGGGGAAAGTAGAACGTACGGGGACACGCAGTCCGACTTGCTCTGGGTCGAAGACATAGTCGGCGCGGATCTTGACGGGGCGCGAGTCGAGCGCGGCGAGGAACGACTTGACGAAGGACACTTCTGTCATTGTGTAGGGGTCGATAGAGGTGAGGATGTTCTGCGGTGGGAATGAGGTATGGGTAGTATCGCTGAGGGACGTCACTCAAGGACAAGGACACTGGGGTTACCCAATCGGGAGCTCTTTGAAGCCACAGAACCCCACGGCGAGAAATGGCGGCCTCAGGCATGCATACCTCAAGCCACAACAACACACCGCCTTCCAAGCCGCTTCTGCCGCTCCTGACCGCCTGAAAAAAAGAAGCTGCCAAAGAAAAAAAAATATGCTTGGTCTCTCCGTGAGAGCGAAAACAGTGATACTCAACCACTTTCTCCCCTCCCACTACATCAATCTGTCGCAATGGGAAGAGGTCGTCGCATGAAGAAGCAGGGCCCTCCGGCCCCTCTGGACGAGTCGAAAATCACCCTGTACAAGAAGCGCAAGACCGGTGATGGCGAATCCAACGCGGAATCGGGCAAGAAGCGGAGGAGAGCAGAAGAGGAAGAGGAGGAGGTCTTGAAGGCTGTGCCGAAGAAGAAGCTTAACGGGGCTGTCAATGGGAAGGGTAGCAAGGTTGCAAGCACACCGGCTACTAAGAAGGATGTGAAGAGCAAGAGCAAGCCGGCCAAGAAGGTGACCGAGAAGCCTACTTTTATGGATTCGGACGACGAAGATATGTCGGATCTGGACGAGGACGAGATGCTGGACGATGAGTTTGATGATCTGGATGGCGTCAGTGATGGGTCTATGGATAGTCAGGAGGAGGCGGGTTCGGATGAGGAGGAAGAGGACGACGACGAAGACTCGGTCATGGACTCGGACGAAGATGACCACCCCCGAGGCGCCATGTTTTCCGACGACGAGGATCTTTCTGACGCAGAGGAGAGGCTCACAGCCGCTAATATCGAGGGATTGTCTCAAAAACTGGACGCGACCCGGGAAGCAGAGGAGGAAGAGGCGGAGCGTGAGTTACAGGAGTCAGCGATGCAAACCAACATCGCCGGCGATCGGCCGGATGTCTTTGCAGACACTGAGGGCAAGCCCGGTCTGGCTCCCGATCTGCAACTGCTGCGTACCAGAATCACAGATACCATCCGCATCCTGGGCGATCTCAAGACCCTGGGACACCCGGGCAAGTCCCGTGCCGACTACCTTCAACTCCTCCTGGACGACATCTGCACATACTATGGCTACACACCGTTCCTTGCTGAGAAGCTGTTCAACCTGTTCACCCCCATGGAGGCGTTTGCCTTCTTTGAAGCCAACGAAACGCCGCGTCCTGTCGTCATTCGTACCAACACCCTGCGGACCAACCGACGGTCCCTGGCGCAGGCCCTGATCAACCGTGGTGTGGTCCTCGAGCCCGTCGGCAAGTGGTCCAAGGTGGGTCTGCAGGTATTCGAGTCGGCAGTGCCTCTGGGTGCCACGCCCGAGTACCTGGCGGGCCACTATATCCTGCAGGCGGCGTCGTCTTTCCTCCCCGTCATGGCGCTGGCCCCGCAGCCCAACGAACGGGTTCTCGATATGGCCGCCGCCCCCGGTGGTAAGACAACGTACATCTCGGCGCTGATGCGCAACACGGGCTGCGTGGTGGCCAACGATGCCAGCAAGCCCCGTGCCAAGGGTCTGATCGGTAACATCCACCGTCTGGGCTGCAAGAACACGATCGTGACGAACCTGGACGCGCGCACCGCCTTCCCCAAGGCGCTCGGCGGCTTCGACCGCGTGCTCCTCGACGCTCCCTGCACCGGAACAGGCGTTATCTCCAAGGACCCCAGCGTCAAGACCTCCAAGAACGAGCGCGACTTCCTCGCCATCCCGCACATGCAGCGCAACTTGCTCCTCGCCGCCATCGACTCCGTCGACCACACCTCCAAGACCGGCGGCTACGTCGTCTACTCAACCTGCAGCGTCACCGTCGAGGAGAACGAGGCCGTCGTGCAATACGTCCTCCGCAAACGCCCCAATGTCAAGCTCGTCGACACCGGCCTCGGCGACTTCGGCACCCCGGGCTTCACCGCCTACATGGGCAAGAAGTTCGACCCCAAGATGACCCTGACCAGACGCTACTTCCCGCACCGCGAGAACGTCGACGGTTTCTTCGTCTCCAAGTTCAAGAAGACCGGCCCCACCCCGGCCTCTGCCGCCGCCGCCTCCGAACCCGCCGCCAGCGCCAACAAATCAACCGCCTCCACCACCTCTGATGACGACGACGCAGTCAACAAGACCCCCATCCTCGACGAAGACGGCACCGTCCCCGACCTCGAGGGCGGCGCCTTCGGCCCCTTCAGCGACGACGAGGATCAGGAGCGCATCGTGCGCGCCGAACGCAACCGTCTCCGCCGCAAGGGCCTGAACCCCAAAGCGTTGAACAAGCCCAAGAAGACCGAGTCTGCCGCCGAGGCCGCCCCTGAGACCAAGCCTGCGCCTGCGCCTGAGCCCAAGGCCGAAAAGAAGACTGAGAAAAAGACCGAGAAGAAGACCAAGCCCACCGAGTCCTCGTCGAAACCCGCCAAGAAGGACAAGGACGTGAAACCCAAGTCCAAGTCCGAGGAGAAGAAGGCCAGCAAGAGCGAGGAGGCGAAGCCGGCGAAGTCGGCCAAGAAGAGCAAGAAGGCTAGTAAATAGGCCTTTTAACTCACGTTGGCTTGTTTTATCTTCTTCTTTTTCTTCCTGTTTCGCGCTTTGGGTGAGTTGAGTGTAAAAAGCATCATGTCACGTCGAGTCTTTTTTTTTTGGTATGGACGGCGTATTTTGTCTTCTTTTTTTTCACTGTTTTCAATGTATGGAATGGACGACTGTGTGAGGTAGATAGAAGAGTTTGTGGTACCTAGCATAATTGATACCATTTGTGGCTATTATTGCCTTTTATAGAGGATTGTAGTTTATGTGGACTGGTTACTGATGGGTCTACTTGGTATTGTTATTGTGAGTGAAAGTTAAAAGTAGGATTGATATATATATATATATATATATTGCATTGCTTCCTGTATAAGCCGCCCAAACCCGATGATCATCAACATTCTCAAAGAATCAAAATCAAACCAAAGAATCCAATTTCAGATCTCCATAACATCCAGGGTATGCCGTTAAGTCTTCATGCGCAAAAGAAAGGGGGAAAACGAAAAGAAAAGGAAAGGAAAATGTGTATAACGGCCTTCCAGGACTATGTCCTATAGATCTTCACCACACTGATGATATTCTTCCGGCAAATGGGACAGATATCGACCTGGCGCGCGCACGTCACACACGCGCAGACATGTCCACAGTCGTAGAAGAGCGCATCCTGCTCCTCGCTGTAGCAGATCTGGCACAGGTCCATCTCCTGGTCGGCGACCTCCCAGTAGCTGATGCCGCGGCCGTGGCGCTTGCCGTCCTTGTAGCCGCCCACGTACTTGTTGCCGGTCTTCTTCTCGACGAAGGTGCCCTGCCCGTGGCACTGGTCCTCGTACCAGTCGCCGTCGTAGGTGTCGCCGGTGGGGTACTCCATGGCGCCCTGCCCGTGGCGCTTGCCGAAGATGAAGTCGCCGGTGTAGGTGGCGACAGAGTCGGAGATGTGCCTGCCCTTGCCGTGATAGTAGCCTTTCATGAACTCGCCGCTGTAATATTCACTCGTGAAGGAGGCGTCGATGGTCTTGGTGCCGGTGAAGGCGCGGAGGGGGTGTTTGCGCTCCGCAGCGGAGAGGTAGTTGATCAGACGGTCAGGGTTGGAGAACAACCCTGCAACGCTGAGCTCCGTGCGTCTATGACAAAACATTAGGTGTGGATTCAAAACAAGAAATGATGGGATAACTGACCGGTCCTTGTTCAATTTGTCGCCGACGATGAAGCACGTTCCATCTGGCACATAAGTGTCAAAGGTAGCCACGGAGGACATGGTCGTCACGGTGCTGCCATCCACTCGCTGCCAGATTGCAAAGTCCTTCATCAGAGGCCACTTCAGGTGCTTGCGTAGAGCGGCCTTGACCTTCTCCTCCTTTCGGGAGAAGAACGATCCCACTGTGCGGAGGGCTTGCGCCTCGACATCAAAGATCTGGATGAAATAATAGACATGCTCAACCGGCAGCGGGATTTCAGGCTCCTCAGGAGTCACCGGCACGGCCTCAGGGGCGGGAGAGGGAGCCCGATTCTCAGTGGGTACTTCTGATGCAGAGCCACTAGGAGAAGGCGTTTCTTGAGAGCCCTCTGGGGACTCATTCTCGGCTTGCTGGAAATCCTCGGCAATGATTGCTGCGATGACCGCATCATTCTCAGCATTGGTCGTGGCGACATCAGTGGTCTCGGCTCCGAGGGCAGGTTCGGATGGTGAATCCGTAGGCGTTTCATCTTCCCCAGTTTGCGGCTGGGATGGCTCCGCAGAGCTGGTTTCACCAATGCTCAGATCGCGTTCCGTGACGTTTCCAGAGGAGCTGGCCTCAGCCTCTCCATTTCGAGCTTCGGAAACGGGAGGGTGGTCATCGGACGATTCCGAGCCGGCCCGTTCGACGATCGCTTCCTCAGGCTTATTCTCCGAGACGACCGCCTCGCGAGGGTCCCTCATGGCAAAGTACTTCGCCTCGTCTAGTGCTGTCGTCAGTTTCACGCTACAACCCATACTCGAGGAAAAAGTAAACTTACCGTCCGCAACCACCTGCATCCACAGACGGACGGTCTGCGTGGGTATATCAAGGGTCGTGGCCAAGTCCGAGACGCGGTCGAACGCCAAAGTCGGTCCAAAGCGATCAAGAGTGTGTCCAAGCTGCCACAGGCGAATATTCTCCGGCGAGGCCGGCTTTTCACTGCCAGCCGACGCCCAGAGCGCAATCTTCTTGCGGAGTTCCACGAAGCTCTCGTAGCGCGGCACAGTCATATACAGGACCCGGTTGGCAGACTTGGCCTGAGACATCAAGTCGTAGCTGTCAAACAAGCTGGGCAGCTGTTCGTATTCAGGCGGTGCGTAGACCTCAACCTGGATCTCTGTCGCCGGAGCCCTCCCCTCCGAGGACTTGGGAAGAGGATGTACGCCGGTCTCATAGTATTCCTTGAGCGCAGGCGAAACATCCCAAGGACCCTGCGGTCCGGGAAGGAAGTCCTTGGCCACATCGCTGCGAATGTACATCACCGCGATCGCGACGTCGTGACCCGTCTTATGGTCGACCTTGGCGGATTCATCCAGACCCAGGTGCGGCCCGAGGGCCGTCTTGCGCGTGAGGCATTCGACCCGGTTGTCACTGCCATCGTCAAAGGCAAGCCATCTGGTACCGGGGCCACCGGGACGCAGGATGCTGAAGAATTTGCCGGACGTGCGCCGACCGCGGTGGACGATATAACCATACAGCACGTAGTGTCCGCACTGACCGTCCACCAGATGCGGGGTCAAGTCCAGCTCCTCGTCCAGCTCTACGCGATTGTAGATCAGCCGCCATTGGCGGGCTGCCTTGTCCAACCGGTGCCGGCTCAACTCGACATGAAGGATGGGGGGCAGCACCCAGCACCCGGATTTCTGATCCAGATACCAGCCGAGAGCCTCGCGCATGGTCTTCGCCTGGTCTGCCGGCACACAGATGCGCGAGTTGAAATCGGTCGGGATGGTGTTCACGGCATCGGCTGCCGGGGCGTCCAGCACGGGGCTGTCAAAGAGCTTGGCCAGCTCCGTGGGAGCATCGGTGTCCGCCAATTCGTACTCGATGGTGCGCCGGAGGCGTTCCCAGAACTCACAGACATCGCCCGAGTACTCCTGCAGGTTGCGGAGAGTGGATGTGATGTCGTCGGTGTCAACATACTGCAGCGACTGACTGCGGGAACGGAGACGCCAGAGAAATTTCTGCAAGGCATCGCAGAGCGGCTTCGGCTTGACATCACAATTGGAGAGATGTCCGAGCACCTGAGCCTCCTGGATGATTTTACAGAAGGGGGCGATGTGCAGCCAGGAAGCGAGTCCCGCGACTTCGGCGCTGTGGTTGATGACCGAGTCCCCCAGGGGGCGGTAGCCTGTCAGACCCAAGCTGTCCCAGGTCGGTTCCGAGTCGCTGGCATGCCACCACAGCGAGCGAGTGGGGTCGTCAATGATGCGGATGTAGGCATCAAACGCCAAGGTGTCATTGCGGAGTAGGGCCTGGCGCTGGCCCCGCTGGCGGCGGTGGATCTGGTCCCACGGGCCGTGGAAATTGGTCCAGCCCCAATCCAGATTGTGCGGGTTGAATTGGTGACACGACGACTGCATCCACCCGGTGCGAGGCTCGTCCGGGTTGTACAGAATCACCCCAATCTGCGCCGATACTCGCCACGTGCCGTTGCCCTCGTCTGCGGTCTTTGCCGCCGCGGGGTATTGCTGCTTGAAGTTCTCCAGCCAACGGTCTGAATCTTCGGTCCGGGCCAACTTCATGTCCACCTCCGGCAGGTCATTATTGAGCACCGCGTCGGCCGGCCCCCGTACGACCTTGAACTCTGTGTCGGGCAAGGTCTTGTCGGGCTGGGGCATGGTTGGCGAGCATTCAAGGTAGATGCTCAGCGAACCCACGTTGTTACCACGCGGGAAGAACTTGATGGTCCACCAGTAACCACCAATGTACGCCGGGGGCGACCGCATGATCTTGTTGCGGTTGGGGCAGTCCTTTGTGCCCCGGACGCCACGGACCTTCCATGTCAAACGGGCCTTTTCGACCGGCTTATATTCCGGATCTTCCAGATCCGGATGGAAGTTCTTCTCCCAGTAATCATCTGTGAACGAAAACGGTCAACATCGAGCATTCAGCCTTATCCACGAATCACACCACCGGCCTCCGCCCGGAACTTACACTCATAAGCACTATAGTCCCCATCGGCGGTCGACTCGATTTCCTTCATCTCCTCCTCGTCTGGCACCGAGGTATCCTCCTCGATTTCGGCCCAGTATGCATGTTCGAGCTCGGGGTGGGGAGGCTGTGGCGGTGTGGGGTCTGATACTGTGACTGGTGGTTGTTGATCATCGTTTTGGGAGGAGGGTTCTGAGGGAAGATCTGCCGGTTGATTGTCGGTGGGAGGCATCATCGGAAGGTCTCCAAGGGTACTAATGGTCACTCGGGGAGCCGAGAGCGTCTCTGTGGGGGGTGAATCGACACTGAGAGTGATGGAGGGCGGCAGCTGCTCCACGGTGACCGAGGTATCAATTCGAGTATCCATGAGGGGCGACGGAGATCGGAAGAGAAGAAGAAGAAGAAGAAGAAGAAGAAGGGACCAGGTCTCGAGGAGATGGAAATCGAGAAAAGAGTCGAGATATAGACGAATCGAGAGCTGCGTCTAGCAGGGCTGAGTGGGATGGGTAGTATGTGCAGCAACAGGAGGATGAGGCTGAGTCTCCAGGCTTCCCACGGGGGAGATATCCTGAACACGAGAAAGAGAGTAGAGACAAGCAACGAGCAGCAAGCAGCAAGTAACAAAATAATAACAACCAAACTCGAGACCAGAAGAAAAACGAAGGCAACAGGAAGCGTGGGGGAGAAGAGAGAGAAGGAATGCTTTATCGATGTATGTATAGAGGCCGATAAGGGGATAAAGAAGGCTTATCGGAGGGAGGGGGAAGAGAGAAGAGGAAGATGAAGAAGAAGAAGAAGAAGAAGAAGAAGAAGAAGAAGAAGAAAAGAGAGATAATAATAATAATAACAATGAAAAGACGCGAGGAAATGCAAATCCGAGAAGAAGAAAAAAAAAGAAAGAAAAAAAAAAAAGCCAGACAATCAGAGGCCAGCAAGAAACAGAATGAGGCGGCAATAATGCAGATGGAGCAGTGCAAGTCGAAGTACGCCGTCAGTAGTATCGACAGGATGGGATGCACACCGCCGGATTCCTGCACTTCAATCCGCTGACTTGGAGGATATTGATTGATGGATGGATGAATATCAGTAGTTAACTAGGTAACCTAGTGTATTAAGTAGATAGATAGATAGATAGATAGATATGTTCAACTGCCTCATCACTACTAGGCAGAGTGTACTACTACTACGTAGTAGATAAATCCTGCTCGGATGAGGCTCTTCGTGACATTCATTATATTCATTATATTCATTATACCCAACTCCCAACTCAGGAACTACAGAGTATAGGAACCACAGGCAACATCAGAAAGAAATTTCTTTCTCGTCCTTGTCCCCGTTTCTCCCTCGTCTCAACCTCCCCCCCCGTCCATTCCGTGTCGTGGCAAAACCCCGTCAAGCAATCAATCATTGTCAACGCGCCAAACGGGTCCGCGGCGATCGATCAGTGGGACGGGGGACTGCTCGACAGAGTCTGGGAGTCTGGGACTGCCCATCGGTCCTCGTATCATTCGTCCACCCGCATTATTCAAATGATCCAAAAATCCCTCTTTTTTTTTTTTTTTTTTTCTCTCTCTCCCTCGGTCAAATTCGCCTCCAATTCTCAACGGGCTCCAGACATCAAAAGAATTCATTGGTTCTTGGGCCCAGATTCGAACAATCCATACTACCAAACATCCGACACTCCGAGCTTCCCAGCGGTCGGTCGGCCGTACTTCTGTCTTGGTGCCTGATCCGCCTGGGTCCTCTTTTTCCCCCACTGGAACGCGGCCTGGTGAATGTTCAATAAATAGATACTGTAAAAGTACTCGGAAAGTCAGTACGCGGTCCCAGGCCTGGCAGGTTCGCCACCGACTGGTTTCTGGAAAGAACATGCAGGACGGTGGTCGCTCTCCCCCGCCCGGTCGGACCATTTGTGACTCGTTCCAGACGCCGGTCTTGATGGGAAAAACAGGAGGGGTATCCTCATAGGCGAGAATCGGGAGGGGGCGGAGAAGGTTGCCAAGTGGACCAAAGCCCAGCGTTACTCACAGGGTCGAACCCGTCTTCAATTGGTAGTATGGTGGGACTCGGATGGAATGGGAGTGGCTCGCGCAAAGGAGGCGGCCACAATGAGCGGGAACGCCACGGTCGCTTCCGCGTAGACCTTGACCGCCTGGGCGTCGGCCTTGATCTTCCCCCAGCTGACAGCTTCATCCGGTCGCGCGCCCGCGTCGCTGCCGTCGAATTCTTGCGCCGTGTTGATGTACACGGCGTGCTCGGCGCCATTGCGCATCAAACAGGCATTGGCAATGTGGTGCTTGACCACCCCGCCGCCCAGAATGATCATGCCCGCGCGGGCCGCCCGCACCGCCATCGTGTTGATCCGCCGGACGTCGTCGACAATGTCCACGCGGAGCCGCTGCGGAGAGGACCGATAGGTGTGGAAGTAGAGCATGTCGCCGAGCGATCCATCCGTGAGCGCCGGGCAGAAGATGGGGATGTTGTTGCGGGCCGCCCAGTAGAGCACCGAGTCCTCGTGGTTGATCTCGCGGCCCAGTCGCTCGGTGATCCGGCTCGGCGTCCAGTGCAGTTCGTCCTCCTCGTCGCCCGTCTCGAGCGCCTTCTTCTTCGCCGCCTCCTGCTCCTCCAGCATCTTGTCCAGGATGGGGATCAACCAGTCTTCGAAGGCGCAGTAGTTGCTGTTGGGGACCACGAGATTGCCGATCCGGTTGAGGCCCTTCGCACGGAGTCCAGCACCGGGGGTTGTGAAGCTGCCCATGTAGGTCGGGGCCAGACACTTGATCAGATCCTCCTCGACGCCGCCCGCGGTGGTGACGATGGCGGAGACATGCTTATGACGGACGAGATAGCGGATGGTGTCGCGTAGACCGGACGAGATCAGGTTCGAGGTGTAGCCGAGGAAGATTGTCGTCTTTTCTCCCGTTTCTGGATGGCGGTATGCTCGCTGGTCAAGTTAGTACTGGTAGGGGTATGGAAACCAACTTGGGGAGTACTTGGCACAGTAGACAAACAGACATACCATCTCATTGACGATGCGGGTCGCCTCTGCAACGGCACTACCCTGGAAACCCATGTGGACCATGTTGTCGACCATCTCAGCCACCGTGATATCGCGTCCGGCAAAGCGATCGAAGTCGACACCACGAACCTCATGCGACCCCTCAGGCACGGGCTCCGAGGCGACGAGGACGGCATTGGTGGCTGACGAAGGGGCCGCCTCCGTAGACGAGGATTGTTGATTGCTGCTCATTTTCAGAGTCGGAGAAGATGCCAACCGCGTCAAAATTGATATGTACTGTCCTGTTCAGTGAGAATGGTGCTCTTTTTCGTGCTCCTTGGTGGGGGGGAATTTTTCTTGTGATGGTGGGGGAATATTTTCTCGCGCGGCCGAGATAAAAGTAGTTCCCTCGGATGCCACCAAACTGTACCCGGACATCTCCCCTACACCATGTATGGAGTAGTCAGTATACTACCTACTGTGCTAGAAGGCTGTTTATTAACATTTTTCAGTAGACTGCTAGCATTGACATACAACGAGATGATTGCTCTTTGCGTAGTTTTCCAAGTCCCAATAGTAATGCGGTGGCATGGCAGATAGACCTGACTAGTTACTGTGGTATCCAGATTAGGCAGTTTTCTGATCCTAAGGCATCATCCGGGAACCAGCCTGATACCCCAGGCATACTTACCTGATTGGGCATACTCGTGCCTTTAAAGGTTCAAGGCCAACACTTCTTGCTGTCTCTCTGCCCCCTGATTTTCATCCTGCGTTGCCACCCTTCCATCTATTCTCTGTCGTCGGTTGGGTGTGGAAACGGCCGTAAATCCTATTCGATCAGATCCCTCCTTGAAAAAAGCTACCACCTACCTATTTTGTTCCTTCCTACGGCCAGTCCGCTCCTTGCAGCTAGCTAGCGCTACGCACACGACTACATACATGATACACGTTGCGTCCTCGGAAAGGTGCGTTTCCTTTTCCTTAGTCTATCTGGTTCTTGAAAACCCTTTTGTCTTAGAATTCATCCGGAGCTGTGATTCATTTGACCATCTCTTGTCATTTGTCGGCATCATGGTCAAGTCGTGGTGACGCCTGAATCTGGACGTGCATTTGGTTTGTGCATCTGGAGAGGACTGTCAATATCTACCACATATCACATCTGCATACCTTGTTTGGGTGATATCGTTGACTGGGTTAGTCTTCCTGAATAGGATCGTTGATTCCAGTGCTCTCCAGCTCCTCAAAATCCCTATTCACACCTCGATGATCTCGATCACTGGCCGAGAAAAATGCAAACAGTTGAAATGTCCCTTCAACAACATCACTAATTGCGCGTCAAGTGGCTCCCGCTAAGCATTCAAATCTCGAATTGCTCCTATTCTGGATTGGCCTGGTGTAGCCCCCCCATCCATAATCAAACAATGTCTCCCGCACGGACCAGAATGAGGAATGTGCATATTGTGTTTTCTTGCAGCCAAGATGGATGGGCTGCCCCCACTTCACCCACTCTCAATTTCTCGGCTTGTTGAACATCATGTTTTCCGCTCCGGTGTACTGTGTAAGGATCTCTAAGAGGAGGACCTTAGCTACCGAGTGCGCTACTACATGAGTCTGGATCCGCGAGCTGCCTGGGTAATGATAGCACTTTGGCCTTGTGGAATACTAGGATTCAGCTAGCATTATTATATCCGAGCGGCTTTACAGCCCGTCACCAGGAATCAAATGTCCTGACCACACAAATTCACGACTTGGTGCCACAAGCCTATGTTCTGTCTCCGGGTCTTGCATTAGAACAGGTGTTCATAACTGATGAGCAGTTGGCTTGTTGTTAACTGCAAATTTAGCTTGAACATGTTTGTCTGGATCCGCAAGATCCACGGCATGTCTTGCCCGCGCTTCTCCGGTGGCGCTTCAAGCAAACCGTGCTCTGTAATATGTGTGGTGAAGGAGGGAGTTCTTCAATTTCATTCCCCCCCCCGGAACCGATATGATGGGTGACAGCAGGGAGGGACCAAAAGCTGCATAAAGAATGGAATGTGAGCGCTATACTTGTTTGCATGGACTATACGGACTAAAGGAAGGTCCTTCATTTGCGGAAGGGTCTGTCTGATATTAGCAACCTTAGACTCGCTTGTTGAGGATTATGTCTAATCTCGGTGATCATTGGCTTGTGGTGAATTGCTAGTAGAGTTTATACAGGGATAGGTAATAGCTGGACATTCATACCTAGTATCTATTAATTTCTAATAATGAACGTGTCTTTGTATTCCACCAATTCGGTCGATCCAAGTCCAGAGTTATATGGGCAGTCATGTGACCGGTTCCCTCTTTCCCTTCAGTCCCGGCGCTTTCAATCTCGGCGTGTCTTGTCTTGCCTCCCTTGTGAGCAAACCACCTTTGGTGTCTTGGTTTGAATTGACACCAAGCTTCTCGTACCTCCAAACGCTTTTATTTCCTCGTGCTCACTGAAACCTGCTGCAGGTTTCCTGCCAGGTTGCTTGGTCTGACCTTTTCTAGCATGCCCTGGTGTGATGTCTTCACGATATCCACCATCATCTGGGTTCAATTCCCGTGACCGTTCTCCACAACGCTTTGGTGACCGCCGCCCTCCTGCTGGCCCTCGTGGTCCCGACGATGCGAACTTGCCTCCCTTGGGTAGAGAGCCTCCGCGGGGCCCCAAGGCTCTGATCGACCATCCTCGAGGCGCGCCGTTTGGTGGTCGAGGCCGCGGGTTCCCCGGCCGCAGCGACTTTCGTGAGCGTGACCGCGACCCCAGAGAGCGAGATCGAGAACGAGATCGAGATTTTCGAGATATTCGCGATGGCCCTCCGCCGTTTCGCCGTGACTTGGACCGGGATTGGCCCCGCCGCGACCGGGAGTTCGACCCTCGCGACACCCGGATCCCATTCGGTCGTGGCCGCTCTCGCTCTCCGCCAGCGCCCCCGCGCGACTTCCGTGACATGAGAGAACCGGTGGGACGGGATCCAGACATCGTAAGGATGCGCCGCGGCTCGCGAGACAGTTTGGTATCCGTGTCCTCGACCGCCCCAGATGGCCCATCTCTCGGACCGGGTCATCTCCCTCGAAACGGTCCGATGCGTGGTCGTGGTCGCGGCGACTGGGAAATTGGTCGTGGACGTGGTCGGATGCCCTACTTGGATGATCGAGATACCTTCCGGCGCCGGAGCCGTTCCCGAGATGGCCGATGGGATCGGGAACGGGAGCGAGAGCGCGACAGGGACCGCGAGCGGGAACGGGAAGCCAGAGATCGCATCCTAGACCGGGATCGTGAAAGAGACCGTGAGCGAGATAGGGAACGGTTGCTGGAAAGGGATCGAGAACGGGACATCGACAGACGCGACCGCGAACGGGACCGCGACCTCGACCGTCGAGATCGGTTTGAGCGACGGGACGAACTAGATCGACGTGTAGACCGTGACGAACGTGACCGACCGCCAGCGGTTCGAACGGAGGGACGCGCCAACAACCTTCCTACCCCTGCTCCTGGACCCAATGTTCCAACGGCTGCAGGTGCTGGACCCGAGCGGATTCCCGAGCGGATTCCCGACCATCCCATGCCCGATTCGGCTCGCAAACCGTCCATGGCAGAACCCCGTCGTGATTCGGTGCGACCTGATCCCCCCCTCGTGCGCCCCGAGACCGTCAAAGAACTTCCACCTCCTGTGAAGCGATCTCCCCCGCCGGCTGCCCCTCAGGTGCCGGCATTTGGCTCCGTCACCGCACCTCTACCTGATATTTCGACAGACAAACCGGCAGCCGATCCCACTCCTTCAGAATCGGCGCCACCCCCGTTGGAGAAAGAGCGCAGTGAAGCTCCCCCACGGGCTCCCGTACAACCTCCCACGGGTCCCAAGGCCGATCGGGTGCTAGCGCAACCGCCCTTGGAACGGATTCGGCGTGATGACGGTCGCCGGGATAATGGCCCAGAGGCTCTCGACAAGGACGAAGCCATTCCGAGGGCCCCTAAACCGCAACCCGGCCTCGGTGCGCAGGCACGGAAACAGACACCGGATCTCTCCCCCCCAACCGCTCCTGCCGCTATGATTGGAAAAGAGCCTGGAAAGGAGTCGATCATCCCTTACCTAGAAGCGCCTCCGGCTCACAAGGCTGGGTCCGCTATGACGTCGCCTGAACTCAGCAAAGCACTCGCCCCAAGCGCAACGTCGCCGGGTCTCCATACATCTCCGCGCATGCCTTACTCCAGTATCCCAACGGGACCCCGCGCCCTCCAGCGACAGCCACCGAACCGAGGTCCTGCCAAGGGTAAGCAATGGGTGCGTCCTGGCTACAACCGTCCTCCAACTGGGCCGGGGTCGGGGCCGCCGACCATGAAACGGGATTCTATCGATGGCAAAGATCGAAGTTTGTCCGTTAGCGAAGAAGCAAAACGGGAGGTAGTCCCTTCAGCCGAGGAGCGTGCTCTGGGGCTAGAGGCTGGCGAAATTCTGCCTGACAAGGACACTGATGGCGATGTCAGAATGTCACCGGAACCACCGAAGCCTCAAGAATCACCCCGTGCAGTCACTCCGGTGCAAACGCCGGCGGCTGACGTTGTCCCAGAACCACCAGTTGTTGTAGAGACCAAACCCGCCGCTCCCGACGATACTATCATCCCCGATTTTGGCCGGACGAGCGACGATGAGGAGGACGAGAACGTGGTGTTTACCCAAGAATATCTGGAGGAGCGAAAGCAAATCTTCGAGAAGGATATGCAGGCCCTTCGGGCCGAATTGCCTGCTCCACCACTCGAGGATCCGCACATTGTTTCCCTGCTAATGCAGATTCAACTTCTGGGAGTCATTGCCCACGAGCAGACCGTTACAGAGATTGTTCCCTCGCCAACGCCGGCGCCGGCGCCTCCCATCGAAGTGGAGGCCGCGAAACCAGTCGAGGAAGAGCAGGAGGCCGTTGCCGTAGTTGTCAAAAAGGACGAGGAGATTGAGGCTCCCAAGACACCTCCCAAGCTCGATCTCGAGACGACACCACCTACCAATGGATTGTCTATTGAGAACCTACCATTCCTCCATTCTGGCCCGCCTACCCCGATTTCTGACCTCGATACGTACCAGGAGAATGTCATGTCACATACTCAACTGAGAGATGTATTCAGCAAGGAGCTGATGCAGCAGCGAAAAGAGATCGCGCGCAAAAACGCTAAGCTCCGCGAGGAATTTCTCTCCTTTTACAAACCGTGGCGACTGCAGGTTTGGGAACTGGATCGGGCCAAGGTCAAACGGGCAGGCACACCAGTCGCAGCGACACCGCCAGCTCCTCCTACTCCCACGCCGCCCGTCGCCGAAGGCCGGAGATACAAAGGTAACAGTGAGCTCGATTTCCAGAATGCTCTCAGAGCGTCGGAGATTTCTGCCCAGGAAGAATTGGAACGCCGCCGCGGGAACAAAGCCACAGCTCAACCCGATTTGGCTCGGGAAGCCGTCATTCCCGACATGCTTGAGCCAAAGGAAGCGAAAGCGCAAGTCTACAAGGATACGAATAACACCGTCGCAGTGGCGGACGCGATGGATGTGTTTGGTTTCCATCCACCCCCCAATGACTTTACGCCGGAAGAACATGAAATCTTTACCGATGCGTTCATGGCGTATCCGAAAAAATGGTGGAAGATCGCCGAGGCATTACCGGGACGGGATTTCCAGCAGTGTATCATACACTATTATCTCACCAAGGAAGAGATCAAATACAAGGCCAAGCTGAACAAGAGATGGAGCCGTCGCGGGCGCGCGCGAAGATCCGCTCGACCCAAGTCGAATGCGCTGATGAAGGATCTTGGAGTGGTCAAACCGGATTACGATGGCGAGGAAGAACCAGCGCCTGTTACTGATACAGGCCGCCCGCGTCGTGCGGCAGCACCCACCTTTGGCGATTCTTCTGCTGCCGATACAGACGCGAATGGCCGTCGTGGTAATGCCAATAAGGACGGCGAACCATCCGAGAAGCCCACAGGGAGACGAGGCGGTCGCGGTGGCACGGGTACACGTGGGACTAGACGAGGCAAGGCTGCGCAGCAACAGCAACAGCAACAGCAACAGCAACAACAGCAGCAGCAGCAGCAGCAGCAGCAACAGCAACAACAGCAACAGCAACAGCAACTGCAGCAACAACAGGCACCACCGCCGCCTCAACCTCAGACACAACCGCCGACTCAGACACAGAAACCAGCACCTACCGCGGTGCCTGAACAGCCGGTGCCAACATTGCCAACGCCAGCGACCGGAGTTCCCGTTGCCCCCTTGCCCAAAAAAGAGGCTATCGAGACATCCATGGATGGTACCATCGAGACCACCGCCGTACGGATCAAGGAAAGTGTTGCGAGGGATTCTATCGAGGCGCCTCCGCGAGCAAAGACTGGGAGAGGCCGCCAGAGGGAAGGAGTGTATGTTTTCGACACTGCGGAACATGAGACTCCGGGGCCTGCCAGGCCGGCAGAGGTTGGTTATGGGTCTTTGCAGCCTACAAGCTACTGGTCTGTGCCGGAGCAACGCGACTTCCCGCAATTACTGGCCTATTTCGGGAGAGATTTCGAGGGCATTTCCAATTTCATGAAGACGAAAACCACCGTGATGGTAAGTCTCCTTTCCAGCGAGGTTACTTTTGGATTTCTATGGCTAATCAACGATCCTGTTAGGTTAAAAATTACTTCCAACGGCGCATCGACTCGGGTCAGAAGGATTTCGAAGATATTGTTGCGGATGCAGAGGCCAAGAAGGCCCGTGGTGAGCGCACTGGTTCGCCGCCTGCACCTACCCCTCCTTCCAAGCGACGCTATGAAGCCACGCCATCGTCAGTCATGCCCCGGCCACTTGCACCTCAAACGGAGCCTGTCCCCGAGGCGGAGGAGACGCGTACAGCTACCAAGGCGAAGAACGTGGCCAGTGGATCGCATTTGGTGCCTCTCCATGCTCGGCCGCCCCCGGAGAAAGAGCGAAATATGTCCAGATACCCTCCGCTGGCGCAAGCGAGCAGTGTGCCTGCGACGGCAGTGCCCATGCCCGGCGAGGATTCGTCTCGAGCAATTCGGTCGCAAGTCGGTCTACCGCCGCGCTTACGGGGTCCACAGATGGGCTACTTCACCGAGGAGAGGCGCGAGGCTCCGGCTGCTTATGCAAATACTCGTCCCCAGGAAGCACCACTCTCCGCGCGCCAGACGGCTATGCCGGGATCGGAAATGGCGCGGCTGGAGTCCCTGCATGCGCAAGGGGGCTATCGCGGGGCGAATATTGACGTGCATGGATCGCCTCTGCTGACGACTCAAGGGGCTGTCCCTCCGTCGCAGCAGGCGTACATGCAATCCCAGTCTCAGCTCCAGCATGGTTATATGCCGCAGGCCACACACTCCCGCCAAGCGAGTCTCACAAAGCCTCCTGGCTCGCCTGCGCAGCCCTTACCAAGGCAGGACCCACACATAGCTCCTGTCCGGCGGGAGTCTATCAGCCAGCGATCATTCTATCCTCTGCCTGGTCAGCATATCGGTATTCCTCAACCGCCGCCGATTCTGTCCCCGCAGAAGGAAGCACCGCGACCCGGCTCTATCCCGGCCGAGCTTGCAGAGGGACCGCGGCAAGTGCCGGCGAAGCGGTCGAACATCATGAGTATCCTGAACGACGAGCCCGAAGAGCCACAGCCTCGGAAGCGGTTCGCCAGCGACCAGGCCACATCCCATGCGCCCGCCCGGCCAGTGTCCCCATCCCGTCCCGTGTACACGGGCACTCATTCGCTGCCTTCACAACCAACCCCACCACGCCAGGATGAGGCTTTCATGGCATCTGCCCCGCAGAAGACTCCGGCCTACAGCCAGCATAGCCAGTACCTACCACCGTCGCGCGCCTATGCCGATTATCAGGGCTACAACCCTGCCCCTGGCGGATCTGGTCCATCGGCCCATAACGACTGGATGGCTCGATTCGACCCACGGGGTCAGCCGCAACTGCAGCAACCGCCTCCACCACCACAGCCGCAACAGCCTGGTCCACGTTCAGCAACCAATATGGCTCCCCAGCCGCCCTTCTCGCCATATTCGTCTGGCCAATCCCAGCCGGCTCCCGGTCATTCCAACCTGTCTGCCCCCTCTCCTGCCCCGACTCCTTCCCCGGCTCCCGCTCAGCGCCCGCTCTATGCGGGCTCGGTTTATGCTCCGTCCCCATCGTCGCATGCCCAGGCGGCGGGCGCCGGCCCCCGCGAGTTGTCCTCTCAAACTCAGATGTTCCGGTCGGCCGTCGGCTCGCCCACATCGCGACACAGCAGTATCACGTACGGGTCTCGACAGGGGCCACCTACGCCGGTTCAATCGCCGGCGAATCTGCTTGGGTTGGGATCGCGACCGCCACCTGCAGGGGCCGGGTCGTATGCGTCGTCTGCGCAATCGACGCCGGCGCCCCCCGCCCACCTGCCCGGTCATTCTGGCGGCCACCAGTCGTATCAGCAGCACGTCCAGACGATGGTCAGTGGTGCGCACCAGCAGCAGTCTCATCGGTCCTCTCTGGGGCTGGCCGGCGCGCCCTATGGCCACAACACGCCACCGCCACAAGCGCCGGGCTCTCGCGGGGCAGGACTTTCGGTGCCGCCGTCGCAATCGGTGGGGATTGGTCGTTCGTACACGCCTCCGGCGATCTTGCAACCGAACCCGGCCGGGGGAATGGGCTATGCACCGGGCGGACCGTCTGGCGGCATGCACCCGCTACAGGCCCGGCCGTCGGGTCCCGGATCGCTGGGGGAACCGGTGCCTCCTGGCCACGGTGGTGCCGGACATCACCGGGTCTACAGCCAAGGATCCAGTGCCGGGTCCCTTCCTGGTCATGGGCCTCGATAACCTGGTTTTATCTTCTCTTCCCTCCTGCATATAGGTGGATCAATGATGTACGGTAGGATTTGGATGTTTCTTTTCTTTTTTTCTTTTTTTTTTCTGGGGTTGCCATGCGTTTTGCACAGGAAGCAGTGGTTTTCCACCCACTATGAGAAACATGTACAGTAGATGATAATGGATGAGTAGTCAACCTATGGCATCTCCATCTCTTTCGCTTCCTTTGTGCTGGACTCGATCCCTGACAGGGCATCGGCCGGAGTGTAGGCTATTGGAAGGAGATTTGGGTCCTGCGCGGCGATGATCCCCGGCATCCGGCGGGCCTAATGCGGACAATCGTCGGGATGATCGACGCTACTCACAAGGGGCAAACTGGCGATTTCTTCCATGCTCGACGGATGATTGAAACACGCTGAAACACTCGCTCAGCGGCATCACGTCAACGATCGTCGCCCCGCGGGGAGAAGTCGATATAAAGATAGATAGGATGCTCGCGTAGTTTGCTGACGTTCGTTCCCTTCATACCTAGCAAAATCCATTAGATAGTTCAGATGTACATCATGTCACGTCTACAGTCCCAGTCGCAATCCCCGTCGCCATCGCCGTCGTCGTCGTCGCAGCCCTACTATCTTTCTGCCCAACATGCTCATCATCGCAACGAAGCACCACGCCCTGCAGACTTGCCACTAAACGCACACGCACACCCATATCCCAGTCGCGGCATCCATCTGCCAAAGCCACATCTCTATCTCTATCCGTCCCCCTACCCGCACCTCCGCCGAGCATATCGCGGTATGTCACCCACCCCCCGTGTTCCCCATGAATATGTGCTTGCTGACCCAACTCCGGATTGGAAACTAGCTCTCGATTCACCGCAACAAGTCCAAGCCAAGCAGACGCGCGCTGTTCATTCTCAACCCCACCCCCGCATCCTAGACGACAGTTTCCTGCGGCGGGCGTATAAGCGGGGCGCGGGGAGCTCGGCGCGGGCGAAAGGCAGTGGCAGAGCTGGTGGGGGGCAGATTTATTTCCATCATTGGGTGCCGAAGGGAAAATGAGATGAGATTAGACTACTATTTGAGTGTGTGTGTGTGTGGGAGTGGGAGATGGACTCCCGGACGTTGGTATAATTCAGGTCTAGTTTGGCCACCGCGGAATGCGCATTCCGCAATGCCGCGCTGCTGGCCTCGGCCGACGGTGTGATCAGCGAATCCGGGTCTGACAATCCCTGACTTGCGACATGGATTGTTACGTATTAATCAACTAGGCGCTTAGCGGGGGAGGAACTTGCAGCAGGTAAGGGATGGGAGGGACGAGGGACCGCTGGGTATACGCGGAGGGCCGGAAATATGCCCGTGTGGATTGTGTATATAAAGAATGGATGCCAGCAGTTGGAGACTGGCGTTGGAATAGATCTTCCAAAACCCCTGTGCTATCATTGCAATTCGCTAGCATGACGCTGCAGACTCTCGCCTTCGCCGTCGTCGCGGCGGTCTACCTGGTCATCCGCTACTTGAACCGCACCGACGTGCCCAAGATCAAGGGCATTCCCGAGATTCCTGGAGTGCCTCTGTTTGGCAATTTGTTACAGCTGGGCGATCAGCATGCCACCGTGGCGGCCAAATGGGCGAAGCAGTACGGTCCGGTCTTCCAGGTGCGCATGGGAAATCGAGTATGTACCGATCTTCTGGATACCCTCACGGCAGACAGCTAAACAAACACCACCACCGCCAGCGCATCGTCTTCGCCAACAGCTTCGACTCCGTCCGTCAGCTCTGGATCAAAGACCAGTCCGCCCTCATCTCGCGTCCGACCTTCCACACCTTCCACAGCGTCGTCTCCAGCTCGCAGGGCTTCACCATCGGCACCTCACCCTGGGACGAGTCGTGCAAGCGCCGCCGCAAAGCCGCCGCCACGGCGCTGAACCGACCCGCCGTGCAGTCGTACATGCCCATCGTCGACCTGGAGGCGACGGCAAGCATCAAGGAGCTGCTGAAGAACGGCCAGAACGGCGCCGTGGAGCTCAATCCGACCGCGTACTTCCAGCGGTTCGCGCTCAACACCAGCCTGACCCTGAACTATGGCTTCCGCATCGAGGGCAACGTGGACGACCAGCTGCTGCGCGAGATCGTCGATGTCGAGCGCGGAGTCTCGAACTTCCGTAGCACCAGCAACAACTGGCAGGATTACATCCCGCTGCTGCGGATTCTGCCCAAGACGAATCGCGAGGCTGAGGAGTTCCGTGAGCGCCGGGATAAGTACCTGACCTACCTGCTGGATATCCTCAAGGACCGCATCGCCAAGGGAATCGACAAGCCGTGCATTACGGGGAATATTCTGAAGGATCCCGAGGCCAAGCTCAACGAGGGTATGTTTTCCTTTCCATCTCTCCGCAAAAGTCCCGCTGAAGCTGACGATCCCAGCCGAGGTCAAATCCATCTGCCTGACCATGGTCTCCGCCGGCCTCGACACCGTCCCCGGCAACCTGATCATGGGCATCGCCTACCTGGCCTCCGAGGACGGCCAGCGCATCCAGCAAAAGGCCTACGACGAGATCATGAAGGTCTACCCCAACGGTGAGGCCTGGGAGAAGTGTCTGGTCGAGGAAAAGGTCCCCTATGTCACCGCTCTGGTCAAGGAAACCCTGCGCTTCTGGACCGTCATCCCCATCTGTCTACCCCGGGAGAGCACCAAGGATATCGTCTACAACGGTGCGACCATCCCTGCTGGCACCACGTTCTTCATGGTATGTCCCTTTCCTGTTTCCTTTTTCGAAGGAATCAGTTACTCACGAGTCCAGAACGCCTATGCCGCCGACTACGACGCCGACCACTTCAAATTCCCCGAGAAATTCATCCCTGAGCGCTACCTCGACGTCGGAGAGGGCTCTGGTACGCCTCACTACGGCTACGGTGCCGGCTCCCGCATGTGTGCCGGCTCGCACCTGGCCAACCGCGAGCTCTTCACGGCCTACATCCGCCTCATCACGGCGTTCACCATGCATCCGGCGCGAGACCCCACTGACCGGCCCATCCTGGACGCCATCGAGTGTAATGACATCCCCACAGCGCTGACAACAGAGCCAAAGCCGTTCAAGGTGAGCTTCAAGCCGCGGGATGCGAAGACGTTGCAGCGGTGGATCGAGGAGAGCGACGAGCGGACGAGGGAGCTGTAGGAGGTGTAAGCGTACCATGTATATAATGTTATTGGATGACGTACAAATAGCGTTTGCCATAAAATGTGCCAGCATGAATGGGACTGAACTGATTAGCGAAACAAATCACGACCATCCCGAGTGCAATGAACCGTTGAATAGAGATACTGAAATGAATGCCTTGGGGATCAGGCATCTACCTCGGCAGCGGAATTCCCCGCCTTTCCTGCCTGTTTTTCTTCTCCTGCAGCGCTTTCTCTCTCTTTAAACAACTTCTCTCTGGTCGGTTTCTCTGTCTACACTGGGCTATGGATCCCTCAGAACCTCCTTTGCCATCCCCGCAGGACCAGCCCCCCGAGAGCGGGTCTTATCCGCGGAAACGACGGCGGAAATACATCGCCAAAGCATGGTATGGTACCTCCCGCCTCACCAGCGCTCAACCACTAATGCCACGCAGTAACGAATGCAAACGTCGCAAGATCAAATGCAACGGCCAGGCGCCATGCCATCGCTGCGGACGCCAGCGCATCGCCTGCATCTACGCGGACAATCCGCGCGAAACCGTAGCAGAGCCCCCGTATGGACCTCCCAGCTCCTATCCTGCCACAACCCATGCTGACCGCACCCGCCCAAGAACCCTCTCCCACCTGCTCGACCGGATGACCGCCATGCAGGAGCAGATCGCCTCGCTCTCCGCTGCCGTCTACGCCCTCACGCGCTCCGCGGCCTCCCCGCGCCAGGACCCCGCGCCGCCCGCGCGACCCTTCCGCCGCCTCTCCACCGCCAAGGATCTCCCCTTCCAGGGCCCCACGACCTCGGCCTTCAGCTTCGACCTGGCCAAGTCCAGCCTGCAGCAGCGCGGGATTGTCGGGCGTACCGAGCCGGACTCGGAGACGCGGGAGCTGTCGCCGTCACCCTCGCCGCCGGGATCGCCATCGCCATCACCGGCGCTGGACGGGCCGGACGTGCAGGCGCGCGGCGACCCGCTGTGGACGATCGGGAAGAGCGAGGCGCTCCGTCTGTGCCGCGTGTACGAGGAGGAGATGGGGATTATGTACCCCGTGCTGGAGCTGGGGCAGTTGCTGGCGCAGGTCGAGGCGCTGTATGGGTCGATGGAGCGGTGTTCGTGGCCGCGGGCGCGGCGCGGCCCGTCCGGTAGCGGGCTCGATGGCACGGACGACGTGCATATCCTGCGGCTGGTGTTTGCGTGTGCGCTGACGGCGGAGGCGAGTGGCCGCAGCGAGCTGGCGATGCGCCTGTTTGAGAGTGTGCGCGATGTGGCGGATAATTGTGTCTGGGGGGTGCCGGAGATCAGTAGTATTATCTTTCTGACGTTGGTGGTGGGTTTTCCCCCCTTCCCTGCTACACTTGACTTGAGGGAATTGGCGCTTTGTGCTGACTGCGCAGGCCATCTTCTATTTCCAGATGGACGAGGAAACGCTGGCGTGGCGCACCATCGGCCTCGTCGAGCGCATGTGTCTGGAGAAAGGACTGCACCGGCGCGCGACGCTGAACCACCCCAGCGTGGTGGCCGCCGGCCGCGACCGCGTCCTCTGCCTGTTCTGGTCCATCTACACGCTGGACATGCGCTGGAGCTTCGGCACGGGCATGCCCTTCTCGCTTGAGGACAGCGACATCGACCCCTGGCTGCCGGAGCCCGAGGAGAAGACCCCGTACCTGCGCGTGATGATCCGGTATAGCCGCATCGCCGCGCGCGTGTGGAAGTTCATCGCCGCCTTCAACAACACCGGCGAGATCCGCAAGGACGAGATGAACTATCTGGACTGGCAGGTGCTGCAGTGGGCCGCGGCCATCCCGGAGTCACTGCGCCTGGGTAGTAATACTAGCACCAGCACCAGCACCAGCACCAGAGCCACCGGCGACGCACCAGAGCCCCGCAGCCTGCGCCGGCTGCGCTCTCTGCTGGCCCTGCGCGGCAACCAGCTGCGCATGCTCATCCACCGGCCCGTGCTGCACTCGGCCACGCACATCGTGCGGTACCCAGCCGAGTGCCAGACCGTCGTGGACCTGGCGCAGGACACGATCCGCTTCATCACGCGGCTCAACGAGACCTCGGACATCTACCAGCTGCAGCAGGTTGCGTTCAACTGGTTCCTGGTGTCGGCGCTGGCCGTGCTCTTCCTGGCCGTGGCGCAGACGCCGGCGCGGTTCGCCGCGCGCTGCCGCGAGGAGTTCTACCTGGCGCTGAAGCTGGTCAAGGGCTTCTCGACGCAGTCGTACATCTCGCGCCGGCTGTGGAAGTCGATCCGCGGTCTGCGCGAGCTGGGGCCCCAGGTGGGGTTGCAGTGTCGGCGGCCGGGCGAGGACGAGGTCGAGGTCGAGGATGGTCGGCAGACTGGCGTCCAGCAACCTGTTACCGCTGAGGCGGCGGCGGCGGCGGCGGCGGCCAGTACGCACAGCCACACGCCGCAGGACGGGGCGCAGATGACGCAGGAGCTGATGCAGTGGTTTGAGGCCGTGGGGGCGCTGGAGACTCAGATCATGGGGGTGGGCGCGCAGGTCGATGTGGCGAGTGGGTATGTACACATACCCATGCTGGACTATGGCGGGGATCTGTCGAGTGTCATGCGAGATCTCTTCTAGGATGTGTATCCTGCAGTGTACTAGTGATGGTAGTAGAGTGTATTGCCATATGGCGTCTATCTCTCTCCCGAGCTATCTGATGTTATCTGATGCTACGTAGGAACCCATCATCCCCGGTATCCTGGAGGCCATCGACAGGGCCACGGCTGGGAATGCCGCCATTCACAACGCTTCTCTTCTGCCCCAGACTTGCCCCAGCTCCACTCTTATCAGCCATCGGCCCGACAATGAGGGTGTATGTATGTATATAGGTTATATGGTCCAAGAGGAAACGGTGATTCATATACATGCAGTATGTACAATCGCAGCGGGGGTTGGTGGCAGCTGGACTATGTATGCTATGCTATGCTATGCTATGCTATGCCTGTCCCAGACTCAGGTTCTCGTACTTGTGCAGCATGTCCCTGACCCCGGACGCCGCATATCCGTGCCCTCCGTCCGTGGCCCCCAGCTTGTCCAGCCCATCTACATACCCATCCCACTTCCCCTTGGCATTGGCATTGGCATTGGCCGTCCCGTTTTTCGTCCCCGTCGGCGCCCGTGGCCACCCAAACAACTCCTTGATCTCCTCCGACACGTCCGGCGACGCTAACACGCGCGCTTCCTGGCCGCGCGCGGGCACCGACTCGCGGAAGATATGGAACAGGTTCCGACCAACCTGCGAGCGGCACGCGATGACGGAGAAGGCGCTGGTGAGGGACAGGAAGTCGCGGTCGAGGATGTCGAAGGCCGGGTGGTCGAGCATCGTGAAGAGGGCGATCATGATTGCATACGTGATGAACGGGTGGCTGCGGCCGATGCCGTACTGGTCGCGGTGGAGCTGCACGAGGGCAGAGATTTGGCGGGCGGAGGCGAGGCTTTGTTCTGTGGCGCGCGCCTGGAGGCGTTCGCTGGTGGGGAGCGAGGGGCGTGTGTGCCCGTCGGGCGAGAAGAAGTGGTGCACGCCGAAACCGTCGCGGGCGAGGCTGATCATGGTGCTGTGGTAGCGCATCCTGCATGACTGTGAGTGGGTGAGCGGTGGAGGGCGTGCCAGGGCCGTGGGGACGAACCATAGTAGGAGGATGTGTGCCGGGGGCCGGTTGGCCGGGTCGAAAGACTCGGGCAACTGGCCCTCCCATTCGCGCAATTTCCCTTCCAACTCCTTCTTGCCCTGGTACTGGTCGACATGGGGCCGAGGATCCTGGTAGAGGTGGCGGGAGAGATCCCGGGCAATGAAGGACAGCCGACATGCCTCGTCAAAGTATTGACTGAGGAAGGATGGCATTCCGGGCTTGCCCGTCGGATAGGGGGCCCATTCGTCGGTGGGGCGGGTCTCGTTGCGGGCGATGCGCTCGACGCTGACTCGACTGACCCGGCTGGGTTTGCGGAAGTTGGTGTGGACGACGCTTGTCAATGAGCATTGACGATGTCGCGAAGGGGCGGGGGAGCAGCCTACCTGTCGACTTGGAAGAGACCCCAGGCGGTGCGTTTGATGGATGAGCGCATCTCGTCCGACATCTGGAGTTTGTTCAGATCCAGATCCTCGCTGTTGATAATACCCAGTGATTCGCCCATCTCAATCGCTCGATGGAGCATGGTGTAGCCCAGGCCATCGTCGCCAGACATGGAGTATCTGCGCGGGTTAGTAGAATCCAGCCAGACAGGAACGGAGGCTCACCGTTCGTAAAGAAGAAGAGTTGCCTGGAGAGATGCGAGTCGAACACTCCTCCCCCGCTCGAGTTGGTAACTGGGCATCAGTCGTTCCGCTTCGGCCAGGAAGTCGCTTCCTTTTGTTTTGATATCACCGGGGATTGCATACGCCTCGGAATACTGGGAATAGTGCTGCCAGACATGATTAGTCCCACAAATGGCATCAAACCCTCAAACGACACATACACAAGCATTGGCGAGCATGGCATTGACCAAAAACGGACTACACAGATCCGAATTGACATTCCCCAGCGACATGTGATGCACAAAGGCATTGCAGTCGACAAACGCGTAGAATGGATAATCCCAGGTGAAGTACAGCGAGATCAGATGCGAAACCAGCGCATCGTCGTCCGTGACCGTCGTCCACGGCTTCGGCGGCACCTTATACGGCGCGACATCGCACAGATACTGCAGATCCATGACCTTGGGCCGGAACGCAGGCTCGCCGCTCCCAATGCCAACCCGCTCCTGCATCTCCTCCAGCTGCTCCCGTGTGTCGCCATCATCGTCGCAGCCGGCCGCCTGCATGTCCTTGAGCGTGCGGTCCACGAACCACCGCAGCTCGTGCAGCGACGCCTCGGCCCGGATCATGCCTAGTAGGGTCTGCGCGTGCGCCTCGTCGACGCACCGCATGGCCCGCAGCAGATCGCGCAGCAGATCGCGGTGGTAGTTCGGGTCATCGCTGTCCAGGATCAGGTTCGTCGCGACCTCGGCGACGTCGCCCATGCGGTCCTCGGTGACATCGGGCCGGTCGAGGGATGCGCAGCCCGTGCAGGGTGCCAGCGCCATGCTCTAATTTCGGATGTTAGCTTTTTCGGGAGCTTCCCTTCGGTGTGATAGACCCCGATGGCATTAGTGCACCGACCTTGGCTTGTCCATTGTGGGTGGTGTGCTCAGACATTACTGGGTAGAGCGAGCTCCCCTGGGCCGGACAGCCCACTTGAGATCAGGAAAACAGTCTGGTGAGATAGAAGCGATGCCCACTGATGGAAGGGAAGGTAAGGGCATGAAGGGCGAGACTAGAAGGCATCCATGTGAAGAGAGAAAGAGAGTTCGATCGTCCACAAACGCAGACTTTTGTGCTTGCCGGTCCAGCATGATGTCAAATGACGTCAGATCTGTTGCTTGGAAGTTGCTCGCGATGCCGTCCAAAGATCGAAGACTGAAGAATGGACTTTTTCTACAACGGCTACGACTTCACGGACATCCCTTGAACACAGACTGCATTGCTACACCTACACAACTGCTACTTCTTCGTCTTCAACAGTCCTCGCAACGCATCCGTCTCCCCCTCCAGCTTGGACACCCGCATCTTCAACTCGTCTCGCTCGCGCTTCACCTGCTCCAGTTCCGCCTCCAGTTGGTTCATGCGGTCGACTCGGCGCTGACGGTACCGTCGCGCTGCCATGGTGTTCAGCTGGCGCTTCGAGACGCGGTTGGACGACTCCTTGGGCGACTTGTCATCCGAGCGTGTGACGGATCGGGACAGGGCTTGGGCCTGGGCCTGGAATTGGGGCTGGGACGGTAGAAGGAGCGCCGCAGTTGACGCGTCGAGCTGGGTATCGGACGAGTCCGTGTCGGGGGATTCATGGAAGAAATTCATGGCGTCGTTCATGTCGAGAAGCGGGGGCGCCGGGATGGCGGTGAAGTCGATGGAAACGGGAGCCTGGGCGGGAGCGAAGCTCTCGAGGGGCAAGTCATATGGTGAGTTGGAGGATCCAGTAGTCAGACTCTGGTAATCCACGTCGGACGGCAGGAAGGCAGAAGGGTCGGTATCGTAGAAGGCGTCGAGCGTAGGAAATGCGGTGGCAAAATCAGATTCGGAAAAGACAAACGGCGCCGAACAAAAGGAAGCAGTAGGGTCGTCAAACGGAGAAGAAGAAGAAGAGACAGAGAGCGAATGCGGATGAGGATGGAGATGCCCACTGGGACTTGAACTATGCCAACTCCTGCCGCTGAGGCTGGAAGAAGGCTCGGACGGTCTGGCGGGCCACCTGCACAGATATGGCGGTGACGGACATTGCTGTATGCTTTAGGCCGGGTCCTCGGACCCGGACGGACTTTTCAAAGCGAGAAAAGAAGAGCTTGGGATCGTCTACGGCGACGATGGAGCGGATGGAGAGAAAAGAAGGAGAGAAGGGCTGATGGAATGGCCTGGGGAAGCCGCCGTTTTAAGGCCGCCAGGGTGGGGCTGCCTCAGGCCACGCCGACTCCGATTGGGGGGTTTATTTTAAGTCCAGTCGTCGGCTTAGGTTGTAGTGTGTACATCGATTTCTTGGATCTCTTTCTTTCTTGATCTTATTGTTATTGTTTCACTAGGATTGTACTCGCAATCGAGCATCGATTCCACTAAATGTAATGTAGGCGAGTCAGTCGGTGCTTCAACCAGCGGAACCATATCACATCACATCATGATCTGTCAAGTCAGAAGATGTCGACTCCTCAGCTTGAGACGGTCTTCCACTTCGTCCCAAGAGCTTCAGTGATGCAAGGCATTTCAGCTGGGAGGTATAATCATTCTTGAAGATATAGGAATGGATAGAGGAGGAGGAAGGAAAGTGTGGCACTGCCAGACGGCTCAGACTTACCAAGATTTCCATAGCAATTGCTTCTATCATCTCAACATCTTGATCGGCTATACTTACTATGCTACCAGGCAATGAATCAATATCTCAATGCTCGAATTCCTTATATCTATCTACTGTAGTCTGTACGATCATCACCGTCGCTCATTGTGAGTCGAAATGACCAGCTTCATAGATACAATCCCATCGTATGAATCTTTTGTCTATCATCAGCCATCATCAGCCATCATCCTCCATCATCCTCACTCATTCTCCACCATCTTTCGTACTTGTCTCTCTCTGTCTCTCTCTCTCACTGTTGATATCAAGATCATTCAGGGTCTGCTGATTGGCCAGTCTGTGCATATCCCAAATAGGCTAATGCAGACCCACTCTTGAATGCCAAGACATGTGCGAAAATGAGTCATGTTGAGTCACGGTTTCCCATTGGTCAATGATATGGATAAAGTGGATAGTAGAGTTCCAGCCCCACACTTATAATCTCACCCGCGTGGATCCTTTCTCTTTTGGGAATTTGCTGTTTCGGGGCTCCTTGAAGATATCAAAGAAGCAACACGTTTCACTCCACTCCGTATGCCGAGTCGGACTTCCTCGGTGCAGTGGGGAGATATCACCTATCTGGCCAAGGCGTATGATCCTGTCTTACCGTTTTCGTTCTACTATGTCCTTGGAAGCTACTCCGTACAAGATTCTGGTGGACTGAAACAGACCGTTGTATGAAGGGAATGGTATTCAACTTGTGGGGTAAGAAGGATGGGATTCAAGCAAAAGAATCACTTACCATCTACTGCTCATTCCAGCGGTCAGATCTTTATGAATGAGTGTCCTACAATCATCTGGACTGGAGGCTATTCCAAGCTTTACGATGATATTCATTAAAGCTGTGGTGTCAGGATGATTGCATTGAGACTATGGAAATACCAAAAGCATTGGAAAGGAAACCAAGGTAAGTGGCCCAGTTCAAGGACGTCAAGTCCAGAGACGAGGTTTGGACAGTCATCGGCACCCCCTAAGCACTTTCTTGCTTGAGGAGCGGAATTAGGTGCGGGTTATTAGCCGCCTCGGCCATCGACATCGCTGTCTTGCCGTTCTGCGAGACAATCTCAGGATCAGCGCCGTGCGCCAACAGCCATTTAATTGCCTTCGCGCGATCATGCCACCTTTCAGCCGCAGCGGTCATGAGGGGCGTGTACCCTTCAAGCGAACTGCCCTGGTTGATTTGCTCCGGGATGCGAAGGTACAGCCACTCGAAAAAATCCATGTTGTTATTCGCTTCCGCGGCGGCATGCCACGCAGTTCGGCCCTGTTCAGGCAGCACAGCCCTCGAGAGATCGATCCCATCAGCCAGTAATTCCTCCGCAAAGGCCGCATCAGCGTGCCGGCAGAGCTGATAGTGAGTGACGGGGTACATATACGCCGTCCAGTTGTCCAAGCGGCGCACCCGCAGCCACATCCGGCGAAACATCTCCTTGCTGGAGTAGGCAGCCAGAGTCAGGAGACACGGGGCGGAATCGCCAAGACGCGCAAAACCAAGCAGGTGAGCCGGGTCCATCTCATCGATGAGCAGCGCAGCCACGTCGTCGGATGTGCCCCAGACAAGCGCGAGTCCTAGCAGAGTCCAGCCGTTCTTGCTGTACGACAAGACATCCAGGCCTGCCTCGATGAGTATCTTCATCACCCGCACCTCATTACCCCGAATGACCCCTGCGATGGGATCCGAGCCTCGGATGATGGGCACTTCGAGGGGGAAGCAAATGCCGTTCGTGCTGATGTGGTTCGGCCCGAGCATATCATTATGGTATGCGTCAACGCTGGCGGCATCTGGAATCGTTAGACTGTTGTTTGCAATGAATTTGACCTTAATTACCTCGATGGCATGGTCCGCCAGGTCCTCGATTTCTCGGACGATGCGGCGGAGCTCCTGGTCGTCGAACGTCTCGAGAATTAATTGAGTTAGTTCGGCGGGTAGAATATCCCCAGCGCTGCGGCAGCGGAGAGCAACAGGTTGGGTGTCGGACATGGTGGATGTAATTGATCGGTATGTTAGAAGAACTGGTTAGCAGAATGAAGATGATTGACAGCAGTCGTGATATCGTCAGAGGAGTATGCGAGGGTGGAATTGGAATGCAGTCTGGTGGATAGTCAAGCCTTATATATACCTGCTTCAAATCCATACACAAGACATTCGTCAAAAAGAGACATTGTCCGCGGCTCTTTCCTACCTATTGAATGTCTTGATCTGAGCTCTCCTCCAAGCTCAAGAAAGACGAAAGCGAGTTCTTTGAGCCGAGCAAGGACAACAGAGTGGTCTTTCTTCCTTCGTTGTCAGTGACAATGTCTATGTGATGGTATCTGCGAAATTTGACCAGGCATTATCCCGAACAAAGCATTGTCTCACTCTGAACAGGGTATAGAAGACTCACTTGGCGCTGAGAGACAAAGCCGTCAAATGTGCCATTGTCAAATATTTCTACATCTGCCTCTAGATGCTGTCGCCTTGAGAGATGCGATCGATCATCCTCTAATATCAATCTGTATCCTATACATACCGCTAAAGTCATATCCACCGGTTCCACCAAAGCGGAGCATGATATTCAAGACATGTCTCATGCTCAAAGCCCAAGCACCTAGTGAAACCCTCACAAGAGCTGGATCTGGGGTATATGATAGGGATTCCATTCGTGCTATACATAGTGATTTGTTGTTCATCCACGCAGAATTGATCGCCAAGGGGGGGAAGGGGGGGCTATGGACTGAGTCTCATTTTGATGCCTATTAGATTATGATATATACAGCATTGTTCCAGATTCCGTTCAGTCCCGACGTTCTGCCTCCCCATTCGCCCCAGTCACCTCCTCCCCGTCCTTCTCTGTCGGGACAGGTGCAGCCTCGTCCGGCTCAAAGGTCGGCGCGAAGTGACTCTTCATCCGCAGGCGTTTCCCATAAAAGTAGAAAATCACCGGGATGGGCACGAGCGCCGTGGCGACACAGCCGAGCAGCGTCGACGCCCACTGAATCCCCATACTGTTGAACATCTGGCGCGAGAACAGCGGGAAGCTGGCCGCGAGGATCGACCGGCAGAAGGTATTGGCGGCAATGGCCGACGCGGCACTATCACCATCAGCAGCTGTCATTCGAATTGAAAAAAAGAATCACTTACAACAGGAGATAGGTGTCGATCAGGTAATTGAACAACTGGATAAACACGACCAGCAGCCCAAACCCGGTAAACAGCCCGCTCAGCGTCGACGCAATCCACGGAATCTCATCCGTGAACCCCGTCCAGCCAAACCAGAAGATGCCAGCCGCAAACAACGCCCCGCCGGCCATCACCGGCGGCAGTCGCCACTCGGGCACCGGGATGCCCCCATTCGCCGCGAGCTTGGCGCTGTACGAGCGGCCGGCGACGAGACAGATGTAGCCGCCGGCGATCAGCAGGCCGGCCACCATGCCGAAGAGCGGCAGGCCGCCGACGCCGGCGTTCATGTGGTACACGCCCTGGTAGACGAGCGTGTAGGCGGTCAGGAAGCAGTAGAGCAGGCCGTAGATGAAGCTGAGGTAGAGGGTGACGGCGAGGATGAGGGGTTCGCGGACGAGGAGGCGCAGCGGGCGCGAGAAGTTGTTGACCAGGAGCTCGCGCAGGTCGACTTCGATTTCCTCCTGTTTGGCGTGGATGCCCCAGTTGCGGGTGCGGCGGCGCAGCTCGGCGGCTTTCTCGACGAGGATGACGGGCGGGTAGGATTCCTGCAGGAAGCAGAAGTTGAGGAGCAGGGCGGCGAAGCCCATGAAGGCGGGGATGTAGGCGGTCCAGCGCCAGCCGAGATAGGACATGTTGATGAACCCGCCGATGAAGGGGGCGAGCAGCGGGCCCAGGAAGACCATGCTGGAGAACATGGCGATGGCCACGCCGCGGAACCGGTTGTCGAAGATGTCGGAGAAGATGGCCGCGACGACGGCGAGCGGACAGCTGCCGAACACGCCGCAGAAGAAGCGGCAGATGAGCAGCGTCTGCAGGTCCTTGGCGACGGCGACGGCGATGTTGAAGATCCCGAAGCCCAGCATGCCGAAGAGGATGGGCATCCGGCGGCCGCTCAGCTCGGAGAGGGGCGCCCAGACGAGCGGGCCAAAGGCGTAGCCGAGGATGTACAGCGAGCTGGAGAGCGTGGCGACCTCGACGCCGACGCCAAAGACGCGCGCCACGTTGCGCGTGGAGCTAGAGAAGACGGCCGAGTCGAAGGTCGAGCAGATGCTGGTGAACGCGAGGATGATCCCTGTGCAGAGTCTAACCCCACTTAGCATGCGATGATGAAGGGAAAAGCTGCCACTGCTGCTGCTGCTGCTGCTGCTGCGGCTACTGCTCACTCACTCACTTGCGGCGTGTGCTCCAGTTCTGCGGGTATAGAGGATCGTCGACCCCATCGAATTCCACCACGTAGTCTTCCCGATTCGGGAGTTGAGGAGGGTAGGGCTTGCCGGCGCCAAAGGCCGGCAGCGGCGCCTTGGCGGATGCACGACTCTTGATACTCTCGCCGACGGTGAGCGCATGTTGCAGGCGCTGTGTTTCGATGCGGTCGAGGGCTTGCGTCGTGGTCTGGTAACGCTCTAGATCGGTCTCGGTGCGGCGGGAATACATCGTCTGGAGCGGGGGTTCTGAGGAGTCGCTGCTGGAGGCGAACGAGTCCAGACTGTCGCGCGAGGAGCTGCTATGCTGGCTGGCATTCTCAACGGCATCCTGTTCGGCGCGCTCGATGGCCTGGTCGACGGCGTTCATGGCGATACTGGGGAGCGTGCGCAGTTCAAGCAAAGCATCACGCGGAGAGATCAAATTCAGGGAAGGACGGGCGTGTCAGATTCAATAAATAAATACTAAATACATCTTGGCCGAACCTAAATCTGAACCGTCATAGCCCATTCTTAGTGCCAATGGTCCATTATATTATCAATCCTCCACGCCCGCTACGTAAAGCACGACTGCACCAGTGGGGCGATTCTCCTTCGTTGCCACAAGAGAGACCAATCTCTCTCGGGCACCAAACGCTTTGGAGGGCCCGCAATTCGGGTGAGCAGAGGACAGGATTGCCGAATAGCCAGCACAGCCTGACTCCGGGCTGTTGATTCTTGTCAGCATCACGGCATTCTTTGTTTGATAAGAGAAGACTCTGTTCGGCACTTGGAGACGAGGATCAGTAATCACAACTCGTAATCACCACGGCTATACTGCTATCGGACTGTTGATGATACAGAATAGACGATCTTCTACGGCGTACGCTCTCAGCCTTATTCAATCCCAGCTATAATAATCATCAAATAATAATGTCTCGGAATTCGGATAGAAAAGGGGCCAGCCAGTCCCCCCACTCCCCGCCAACTGGCTTCATTGTGATATCTGGGGAATGGAGACTATCTTGATCCCAGACTCCCAGTGTTACAGACAAGCCATCCTGGATAACCCTAGTGATTGATGTATCCAGCCTTTCCCGGCGGATACCATTGTCTGGGCAGAGGAGAATTGATACAGAGATATGGAGAGATGCAGAGAATCTAGTGATAACTTCGAATGGATTGATATTCGTGGGACTACGTTTACACTATACTACGATCCCCCTAAGCTTTTGTCAAAGTACCATATATATATACATATCTCCCTTCCAGTTAGAAAGTAATGTCTGGACACACCTTCATAGCTGAGTTGGAATTACGACGGCTCTCCTAATCCTCCTGAAGAATGATCTCCTCCGCCAGCTTCTCCGCCAATATATCTATCCCCAGTCAGCATAATCTACACCTGTCCTGTTATCAAGATACTCACAGACAGTGGACTGCAGATGGAAGAAGGTCATGATGTTCTCGTGAATGAAGTCCAAGATCTCCTCATCACTCTGCACCTCCAGGCTGGGGAAATACTCCTCCCCAATTACGACAGGCGTCATCGCCTCACTGGCAAACGCCTCGCACGCGGTAGCTGGGGGAAAAAAAATGGGTGGTCCCACATGTTTTGGCCGACGCCTGGGAGGTCTACGAGAACGTCGATCTGGTGTTTCTGGAGGGCGCCGGCGGGTCCAATGCCGGACAGCATCAGTAGCTGGGGGGACTGGATGGCGCCGGCGCAGAGGACGACTTCCTTTCAGGCGGAGAGGATTGTATTTGAGCCCAGAATGCAGACGCCTGTGGCTCATTTAGAGGCCATCGATGTCGCTAAGGAACGCATCGGAGCTGCTGCGCGTCTCGTTGATCGGCTGGATCGTCGACGAGCAGTACTGAGTGCCCATCAGGGAACCAGAGTTGAAGTCCTTGGTATCGGGGATTCCTATTGCGTTCATGCCGAGTTTCATCCAGGTGGAAAACGCCATCGCATAGTTCGGATACGACACCTGGACTGGCCCAGGATTGTTGCGATCATCCACTGCCTCGGCCCATTGCAGCATGGATTGTTCTGTTGGCCTATTTCTCAATTCGCCTTTGCACAACCCACGAGAGTATCAGCACACCTACCGTTGGTAGATCATGTAATTCACGGCCGACCTGGCATCTTGTTGAGCATCTATTTAGCCATGTGAAGTGGGAGAGACCCACGATCCACCGAGACACTTCCCCCGTGGGAAATGAAGGCGCCGATAATTGCTACCGGGGCATCCCTCTGCCACAAATCCCCAGTCAATGGGAGACGAGATCGCTGGATCGGATCCAGATGGAAATCACCGCTGCAGCCGGCAACTCCGCCTGAGAGATGTCTTCGTAGCGGGAACCGGCCTCGATCACGGCGACTCGGAAGGAGCGCTGCGCCAGGCGAGTAGCCACGGTGAGGCCTGCTGTGCCACCTCCTACCACGATATAATCATAGACGGTGTCTTCTGCATGAGGCGTATGGGACGTTGCGGCACCCCAGGCATAGCCGGCCAGTGCGAGGGCGGCTGCCACGATATTGCGATATGTCGCCATGTTTGTGAGGTAGAACTACTGTGAAGCTAAACAAATTGGTCAGAGAGAGTTAGATATATCAATCGATTGCCTATGCAGGTGGCGTTAGATTTCATTTCGTGCGGCTGATCAGGAATGCTAAAGGAAACTGAAATGCCTCCTTCGCCTCCAAGACGTAACACCACTCCCGGGAGCTTACAAGTTACAATGATCATTCGTGTCTAGGGTTCCAAAACAAGGCGATATCGACTGGCTTGGTTCTAGCTCGGACCCAATCACAGCTAGTAGCACTATAGATGGCGTGGGATAGCCTCCTCTTCAGCTCTGACGATCAATCCTGTTGCGGCTTGCAGGACGATGTCGAGCGCCGCGGGGATGAAGTCCGGCATGGAGGTGCAGCTAGGTGGAAGGGTGCCCAGGGTGGATTGGATGAGGGCTAGGAGGGTGATGGTCCACGCTTTTGGTAGACATATCTTAGTGGTATCGTAGATGCGGTAAATGGACGATCGAGTATCTTCGACAGCGAATACTTGGACGCATATGGATGGGCTATCATGCTCTGCAGAAGTGTTTGGTTCTGCAGGCAATACAAAGACATTGCATTGCCGTCATTGCTGTTTCCTTGCAAGAATGTGGAGCCAACGGTTGAACCTATTCATGGCCTAGTGGATACTTATACTGGAATGTTGATTCTTCCGACTTTGCAAGTCGAGCGGAATGATGTGTAACTCAGCTCAAGCGCTGTCGAGACTTCGCGATATGCACGCCAGGAAGATCTGGCAGATCGACGCCCGCTCCTTTCTCCTCAAACTACGTAATGACAGCCAAGCCAGCAGAGTCCTGTTGATATGAGGTGTGTTTATCCTGTTATTGGGTCAGCTGAGCCGGGGTTCCGTCGGAGGTTTCGCTTGTAGTTTTTTCTCTGGTGGCTTGGCTTATATGGAGTAATATATACACCTGCAGAGTAGTGATCTAGTAGTTACTAGCAGCGGGAATAGGTTAGGTTGCCTTGCAAGGACATGTTGCCTGCAGATGCGCAAACGAGACACGGAGAAAACGCTGGACTTCAGCCCTATACTGTTCCAAGGACGAGTTGAATAAGCGATATCTAATATCTAATAGTTGGCGACCACCTCAACACATCCTATGGAGTCACCAGAGAGGCAGTGTCTACAAGCAGACGCCGAAGCAGAAATGGCTCACGTCTCAAGTCCCCGTTCCGCGCCCCTAACTAATGAGTTAGCCTGTCTTGGTGCCAATCACCAGCTCTGCCAAGCTATCACCGGACACTCAGGTCACTATCGGTGCTTGTCGAGCCTATGATAGCGTCCAGGCTCCAGCAGACTATCAGGTTTTCATTAGCTGCACTGCTGCAGCCTCTGGCCCCTGGCTCAGGCAATATAAGAGGACGATGGGGGCCCATGGCGGACGCCGATTTCCTCTAGAAATCTCGTATCCACACTTTATCTACCATCAAGATCAGCAATCAATATGCGGGGCGCATCAGCCGTGTGTTTGCTTTGTATAGCCGCACCTTTGACCAGCGCGTTGTCGCTGGTCAAGAAGGATGCGCCGGCGGTGTTGGAGTTAGGGATTCAGCATCATCCGAACGCTGCGAGATCATACGCAAAAAGAGATGACGGTTCTTTCCGGCTGCAGTCCAATTTCAATGTTCGGTTTGCCTCCGAAACCCACGAGGAATTGTTGCTAACATCGGCAGAGCGAGAACTTTTTCCATGCGAATATCTCTGTCGGAAGCCCGCCGCAGTGGATGGAAGTCCACCTGCACGTTGGCACCGACCAGACCTGGTTCCAGGCCGCCAATTCCACCTCATGCCAGTGGTACAGGAATCACATGGACTGCGGCGGCCAAGGAGGATACAACTCGAGCGCATCGAAGACCGCGCAATGGGTCGGCTCCGGGTTCAAGGATATCGACTACTCCGGCGAGGGCGCGGTGCTGACCGACGTGGTGGATCTGGGCGCGGTGAAGCTGGATGCGATGGAGTTTGGGGTGGTCTACGATGGCATTACGGAGAGTAAGTTGCTCGAGGATCTCCGTCGTTGCAGAGGGAGGAGATGACTGAATTGCGCAGGCACCCTCGGGCTCGGATACGGACTCAACAACTCCACGTCCATCTCGCTGCCTCATGCGCTGGCCAACGCAGGCTTCATCCAGTCGCCCGCCTTCAGCATGTGGCTGGAACCCGGGACCTTGCCCAGGTTATCCGCCTTGAACAACGGCAGTGTGCTGTTTGGCGGCGTCAACAAGGCCAAGTACATTGAGCCCTTGTACACACTGCCCATCGTGCAGCCCGCGGGCCTCCCCAAAGCGTTCCGGGTGGAAATGACGGGCCTCTCCCTCTCGACGGAGAAAGGGACCACCACCGTCAACACCGAGCCCTTCCCCTTGGACGCCAAGCTGGATACCCGGACCAGTGTCACCTGGGTTCCCGAGGCCGTCACGAAGCAGCTGTTCGCCCAGTTGAACGTCACGGGCGTCGCCGACGAAGGCCAGGTCATGATGCCGTGCGACTCGGACGCCAACGTCACCTTTTCGTTTGGCGGCGCCAGCTTCGACCTTCAGCTGTTCATGTTCCTGTCGCAACAGAGCCCCATCAACCTGGAAATCTACAATGGGAGCTGCTACCTTGGGATTGTGCCCAACACGCGTCTACACAAGGACGAGGGGAGCGTCATCCTCGGCACGAATTTCTTGAAGTGGGTGTATGCAGTGTATGACATGGGGAGTGACCGGGTGTCGCTGGCCAAGAGAAACTGGGCCCGGCCACTTCATGACGAGATCCTGGAGATCACGCCCCAGGGGGGGATTCCCGATGCGACGGTGGTGAACAGCTTCGGTGGTGATCAGGGAGATGGAGCAAGCAAGGCAGACAACAAGACTTCGGCCTCAGACAAAGGATCGGACAAAGACAAGTCGGGCTCATCGCGCCTCGAGTTGGCCACTGGGCTCGGATGGTGTCTGTTCAGCGCTTTGGCTTTTGCATTTGTATAATTTAATAACACACCTTTTCCATAATGACGCATGCTGTTCTGTTCTGTTCATCTCGCCTCCAGAATCTCCCTCAACTCCTCGGACAGCGGATACTCCTCCTCCAGGGGCACCAACGCCCTCGCCTCCTCCATCCTCCCTTCCTCCATGCACTGCTCAATCTCCCTCATGGTCTCGGTCACCTCCGTGATGCCCACAATCCACTCATCCACATACCTCTCCACCGCCTCGCCGCCCAACCCGACCTGGATCGACCGGTATGCGAGACCCTTGAACTCCAAATCCCGCTCGGGGTCCCACTGCACCCGCACCGGACGTGCTCTCAAGCGTTCCTGCCACGCGGCCTTTCCCTCGGGATCCCTCCCCCCGTAATGCGAGAGACTGGAATGCCGAAGGGCCCATTCGAACCCATCGCGGGTGATCTCGATCGCCAGGACCCGTTCCTGTCTGGGTTTCTTACCCCAACCACACCGATAGGCCATCCAGAGGAATGAGGGTTTGATCCATGTCATGCGTGTGCGGGAGAAGGGGGCCACGAATGTTTGGGCTGCGAGGGCGTTGGTGGCGATGGTGTCGTTGTAGGCTTGGTAGACGGTGATGGTGGTGGGGGTGTATTTGGCGCGGATCTGGCGGTAGGGAGGGTTCATTCTGGTGTTTACAGCATAGGTTCCTGGTACTCCAATCATCATGTATCCATCTGATCCATCTGATCCATCTGGTCTGCTATAAGTATTCGCTGCATTAGTGTTGTTACTGGTGAGTCAGGGGATTGTGGCGCAGCTCGTTTGTATATCGGGGTACATATACGTCCTAGTCCTCCTCCAGGTGGATAATTGCATTACTTTTTCAGTTAGTAAGATCGTATTATTCTACTAGTATAGCGGAGTAGATGGATTTAGTCAGTAGGAATAAGTATGATACTCAAAGGACGATTGGAGATAGCACACGGTAAGAACGATAGAATTGTTCCTCGACACGTCTGAAAACCACGACTGCTGACCATGTTTCTTCTCCTCATGGTCAGGCTAAAGATTGCGCGGGATGAGAAACTCATCCCCAGTAAGGCCCTTTTCCTTCAGAAGAGCTGCTCGGTCATTCAGAAAGGCTTGATGCGGCGCTTTCGGAACCGTTCTCTTCTCATCTTCCCACACCTGATATTTCAGCTCCTCCCAAATTTGCAGCTGCCGGATGAAGTTGGCACTCGGCTTCACTGTCTGTTTCGATCGCACGAACGCTGTGATTTCCTCCCGCTTCATGTCGTACTTGCGCATCAGGTAGGCGATGATGATCGTCGGCGAACGAGAAATCCCAACGTCACAATGAATCAGGATTGCCGCCGGGGGGTCCGAAGCAGGCTCCTCATACTTGTGTTGAATATGTAACGAACGGGAGGACAGTAGAGCGGGAGAGGCCATTTGGTCAATGAATTCGCAGATGTTGTCCAGATGAGCGAGAAGGTCCTGCGTCGACGAATCCGCACATTGCACCCATTTGTGACGTTGTTCTGGAATCCCCGCCTCTCTGGTCATTGTGTTCCACCATTCCCACCGCGCATCAGTCAGTGAGAGTACGGCGTTGATGCCGTTGTCTCGCAGCAGGGTTCCGTTGAATGATGCTTCGACGTTCCCAAGAAAGAGGCCAGGGACAATTTGCCGCATTCGCGCTGTGAATGCCATCTCCCACAGTTCCTACTTCTGTCGCCTGTCCGGCTCGTGATATTCTTTGGATCATTGATTCAATGGATGGGAGGATGTTGAGCCTTGCTGACTGATATCAACTCCCCTGCTCGAAGAGAAACCTCTATAAAAACCTGTATACCTCTTATATCTAGCTATATCTATGCTTTAACATCTTAAATAGTTAATTTCTCCTACTCCTTCGTACATATATTCCAGCAAGCCTTGTGATTGGAACGATTGATGCCTGACTTATAAGGCTACAATACTGTGGCTATGCACGTCATATAGCGAAGAGATAGAAAAAGCTATAGGTAAATCTATAGTATTAAACTTGATTAGCTATCTAGCTAATCTAGCTATTACTACAGTAGAATATAAGGGATTCTTATTTCTCAATGACTGTCTATAGTATTTCTGATCGTATATCCTGCCAAGACGCCAAGAGTTCCGTATATCTTCAAATTTTCGCTCTAGAAGTATAGCCCAACAACCTTAACACCCCTCCAACCGACAACATCTCCAACCTGATGCCGTCCATATGTGACCGGCTGACGGTGATCATCACCACCTCTCCAGCACCCTCCAATCCAGCCACAGATCTCATCTCATCAGTCCTCGAGTCCTTCCAGCAGCACTGCCCCGGCCTGATCGACGCGCGGGTGATCGTCGTCTTCGACACCTTCGAGCGCATCACCGTCCAGCCGCGGCTGAAAAAGGGCCATGCCAGTCCCGAACTAGCAGAGACCTATGAGCAGTACAAGGCCAACATCAAGCAGCTGGTCCTGCAGGCCTACCCGCACGAGGGCGACGGCGTGCTCACCCACTCCCACGCCGCGGCGGAATTCGGCTTCGACGGCGCGGTCGACCTGCGCATCGCGCATACGCCCGACGACCGCGTGACGTTCGTCGAACCCGCCGCGCGCCTGGGCTTCGGGCTCGCCGTGCGCTCGGCCCTCCGCCTCGTCGACACGCCCTATGTCTGGGTGCAGCAGCATGACTGGGCGCTCGTCGCGGATATCCCGCTCGCGCCGCTGCTGGATATCATGTCCCGCAGCGAGTCGGATGAGGTCGCGCCGGTGAAGTATATCTCCTTCCCCTCGGTGCGCATGAAGCACTACGCGGCCTCGCCGCATGTGCTCGACCACCCGGCCCTGCGCGACCTGACCACTTCCCTGAAGAGGGAGTTTGTGGCGCCGTCCGCCGGTGGTGAGACGGTTTCACTGACGCCGCTGTTCTTCTGGTTTGATAAGCCGCATGTGGCGTCGACGGCGCACTACCTGGCGCGGGTGTTTCCGACGCCGTTGGCGATGCGCCGGGGCGAGTTCATCGAGGATAAGATCGGGCAACGGGCGCGCGCGCAGATGAAGGAGGGGCAGTGGCTGAAGTGGGCGACATGGCTGTACTATCCTGAGGAAGGAGAGGTGCTGTGTTTGCGACATCTGATGGGGAGGACGTGGAGGGGGTTTGGGGGTGGGATTAACCTCAAGGGGGGTGTTGTTGTAGAGGGCGAAGTTGCGCCTGTACAGCATGATTCTGCATGAGCTTTTTCATCTTATGCCTATGCTTCGCATTGTATGCCCTGTGATTTGGGTTGGAATCGCCATCGAGACCCAAAAAAAAAAAAAAAAATCTGTAGATCAACGGCCATCATTTAGCGTCCGCACCTGCATCCGCAGTTCCGCAGTCTATGCATGTCTTGATCGCTCGGCGGAGATAACCATCGCGGCGGACATAGGATATAGCACGGAGGAACCAATCCATGAACCAGGATAGGTTGCTGAAGTATAAGTATTCAGTGTCTTCGCGGTATACCTTCACATCATCACACAGTTCCATACATTCAACAAACCGGAGCCCACAAGCAAGATGGCAGACAACAAAACCCTCAAAATCGTCTTCGGCGCCATGACCTTTGGCAAGCTAGGTATGACCTCTAACCAGCTCCACTATCCAGAGCCACAGCTAACCCTCCCCTTCCCGTCCCCCAGAAACACTCGGCGCACGGGTCCACGACCTCCCCACCGCCGCCGACATCCTCGACACCTTCCAACGCCACAACCACCACGAAATCGACACAGCCCGCCTGTACGGCAACGGCTCCTCCGAAGAGATGCTCGCATCCCTCAACTGGCAGGCCCGCGGGCTCACCACGGCCACCAAGATCTACCCGAACGCCGGCGGCATCGCCGCCTCCGAGGACAGCTACACGCACCAACCCGCCGACCTCCGCCGCGGCCTGACCAACAGCCTGCGCGCCCTGAACACCGCCTCCGTCGACCTCTTCTACCTGCACGGGCCGGACCGCAACACGCCCTTCGAGGACACCCTCCGCGAAGTCAACGCGCTGCACGCCGAGGGCCGGTTCGCGCGCTTCGGGCTCAGCAACTTCATGGCCTGGGAGGTCGCGCAGATCTGCGAGATCTGTCGCCGGCACGGCTGGATCGCGCCAACGGTCTACCAGGGCGTGTACCATGTGCTGCAGCGCAGCGTGGAGGCGGAGCTGCTGTCGTGTCTGCGAGCGTATGGCATCGCGCTGTATGCGTTCCAGCCGCTGGCGGGGGGCCTGCTGACGGGGCGGTACGTGCGCGGCCAGACCGAGTTTGAGGCCGGGTCGCGCTTTGACGGTGGGACGGTGCAGGGGAGGGTGCACCGTGGGCGCTACTGGAACGAGAAGTACTTCGATGCGTTGGAGATGATCCATGAGGTGGCGGGGAAGTTTGGGCTGGGGGACGGCGAGGTGGCGCTGCGCTGGTTGAAGTATCACTCGAAGCTGAGAGAGGAGCGTGGGGATGCGATTGTCGTCGGAGCGAGTAGTGTGAAGCACTTGGAGGACAACCTGGCGGATCTGGAGAAGGGGCCGTTACCGGAGGAGGTGGTGGAGGTGCTGGACGAGGCATGGGGGTGTGTCAGGGGAGTTGTGCCGAACTATTGGCATTAAGAAAAGCTAGGGGAGCAAGACATGATATGATATACATCAAGAGATCTTTTGGCCGTCCAGCAAGGCACACATCGCGTGCCTCTAGTCCGTATGTTCCACCATAAGTACAGTGACTCCCCTTTACTGGGACCATCCGAACGGCCTCAGCAGGTGTACCAGCTAGAAAAAAAACCGTCTCTATCCACCCATCCCTATTCTATTCAAGTATCTACGCCGTATATATCTATCCCCCACCATCCCGAACCCAGCCGCATTCGGGTCAACGACATGGTGAATCTCGTCCAGGCCTCTATTCGGGGTTATCGGAGGTTGCGGAGATACGAGGGAGATACGAGGGATATATGTATATATATATATATATATACCCAACAGATACCACAACTCATACGAGGGGCGTAGAACATTATCAGCGGAGAAAAAAAGCGACAATGGCTAGCAAAATCGTCCTCATCACCGGTGCCAATACTGGGATCGGATTCCAGATCGTCCGCGCTCTGTGCAGCTCCAACCAAGCCTACAGCATCATCGTCGGCGGCAGATCCACCCTCAAAGTCCAGCATGCCATCCGCGCCATCGAGTCCGAATTTCCCAGCACTGCTAGCCAGCTTTTTCCGCTGGAAATCGACATTGAGCATGACGATCAGATCCAGCGCGCATTCAGCGAGGTACAGGCCAAGTTCGGCCGTCTGGACGCCCTTGTCAACAATGCCGGTAAGCCTTCCGTCAGAATCTCGTGATACCACCAGGGAATAGCCAGTGACCCTTATCAGGGGCCTCCTTCGACCTTGATCCGACCACTGGTACCATGACCGAACGCGACATGTGGAATAAAACCTGGAACGTCAACGTCGTCGGCACTCACATGCTCACCTCCACCTTCGTCCCGTTACTCCTCCAAAGCACCGACCCGCGTGTCCTCTTCATCTCCTCCGGTACATCTAGCCTCACCGGGACCGACAACCGCGCCCTCGCGATCAACCAGTTCCCGGCCAAGGGATGGCCGAAGGCACCGGGATTCAGCTTCCCCGCCTACCGTAGTTCCAAGTGCGGCCTGAACATGGTGATGAGGGAGTGGGACCGGATATTGAAGGAGGATGGCGTTAAGGTCTGGGGTATCGCTCCGGGGTTCCTGGCAACGGGACTGGCCGGTGTCGGCGAGGAGGAGCTCAAAAAGAGGGGAGCAGGAGACCCAGCGGTTGCAGGACCGTTTATCCGGGCTGTGCTGGAGGGAGAGTGGGATACAGACGTCGGGAGGGTTGTGAGTCGAAACGGAGTGCAGCCGTGGTAGCTTGAGACATACGCTCAGTGTGATATAAGAATGGGTATGCTTGTCAGTTCGTGTCCAGTATAGATGATTTTGCTACAGACAGTGCAGACAGTGGCGACGTCATCCCCGGCCATCAGGCCAATACATTGCTGAATTCAGCCACCATTCGGACATTCAATGAGGAATACATGATAAGATTGATATCCAGGCACCAAGACAGATCGAGCTCACTCGAGCCCTGGTATACTCTTGTCGACCAGAGTGTAAAGAGCATGTTCCACTGTATGACAAATTCAATTCGGTGGCGCAGAACGCAAAGTTGCAAACTTTTTCAAGCGTCCCCAATGTTTGTCTGTTCAGTGGCAAATCCGATGTCGGCGCAAGGAAAAAGTCCTTGTAAAGAAAAGCTTAACCGCATCAACAGGATATATTGAAATCTGCACAGGCGATGGCTGAAGAGCGTCAATAGTGCAGCCACAGACATACCACGTAGAGCTGGGTATCAATTCAAGAATAGTTAGAATACCAATAATGCACGGAGATCGAATGGTTGGCAGGCCCGATGCCAACTCCGAACCTCTGGATGTCATCACCAAAACCCGATACTGAGTGCCAGCAGTGGATCAGTCCGGAGAAAAACCGAATGGAATTCTGTGGAGAAGCCACCACCACCACCACCAATGACACCACGGTTTCTCTGGATGTCGTGCTCGCCTCCAGTCCCGAATAAAAAGGTTTTTCTCCGCCAGGCCGCCACCCCTCTTCTTGAATCTTGACATCTCTTCGGTTGTCTTAGTCGGTGTGGGGGATCACCGTCTACATTGTTCTTGGCCACATGCACAGTACCGACTCCAAGATCCAGCCGGATCCTGCCCGGCCAGTTGGGGAGGAGGTCGTTCCTTACCTCGAGAAGGATGCGCTGCAGCTCAATGTTGGCGGCCGGGGTGGCACCCAGCGCCGGTTGAAGAACTACCAGGTGAGCATGATCGGTTTCTGCGGTGGCATTGGCACTGGTTTGTTCGTGGGTACGGGTGCCGCCTATGCCAAAGCTGGACCGGCGGGATTGCTCCTGGCGTACGCTGTCGTCGGCCTGGTGCTGTGGTGCGTGATGCAGAGTATCGCTGAGCTGGCCACGCTGCTGCCTACTGCCGGCTCGTTTCCGCACTGGGCCACGCGCTTCATCGATCCAGCCGTTGGCTTTTCGCTGGCGATCTCGTACGGGTACTGCTACACCATTGCCATTGCATCTGAAGTGTCAGCGGCCGCGGTCATTGTCTCCTACTGGACCGACCTGACGCCGGCCGTCGTAATCAGCGTCGGCTTGGTGCTGATATTGGCCATCAATCTCATGAGCGTTCGCTTCTACGGCGAGACCGAAGTTCTCGCAGGTGCCATCAAAATCCTGTGCTTCCTTGGCTTGGTCATTGTCGCCATTGTCATCACTGCTGGGGGAGGGCCTAACCACGAGGCCATAGGCTTCCGCTACTGGCACAATCCTGGCGCCTGGACCAACTACAACGGCATCACCGGTCCCACAGGCCACTTCCTTGGCTTTCTGTCCGCATTTGTCAATGCGTCCTTTAGCTTCATCGGCGTCGAGACTGTCGTTATTACTGCTGCCGAATCGGTTGATCCGCACGACGCGATCCCCAAGGCTGCCCGTCGCGTCACCTACCGCATCGCCCTGTTCTACGTCCTCGGCGCCTTCCTTATTGGTCTGATCGTCGACCCGCGCACTAGCGACCTTGTCTCGGGATCCGGTAATGCCAACAGCTCGCCCTGGGTGATTGCCATCCGCCAGGCTGGAATCAACGCCTTGCCGTCGATCGTGAACGCCTGTGTACTCATATCCGCCTGGTCCGCTGGCAATTCCTACTGCTGGGTTGGCTCACGGATGATTGTCGCCATGACCACTGACCACCAGCTGCCCCAGATCTTTGGTCGGGTGAACAAGAAGGGAGTGCCGTACTTGGCGGTCATTGCCGCCTGGCTGTTCGGACCTCTGGCTTACCTGAGTAAGATCGCGTCCATTCGCTATTTTTCTGCCTCGATAACTGACTCCTCCAGGTCTTGGATCCGGCGGTGCCGCGCAAGCCTTCTCTTGGCTCCTGAACCTCAGTACCGTGGCTGGTTTGATCGCTTGGGCTACCCTCTCCCTCTGTTACATTCGCTTCTATGCAGCCATGAAGGCGCAGGGCGTCCATCGTGACACACTACCGTGGAAGGGTCCTCTGCAACCCTATGCCGCCTGGGTGGGATTCATCGGGTCAACCATTATTACATTGGTGGCTGGCTTCCCTGTGTTCCTGAAAGGAAACTGGTCTTCGTCCGACTTCGTTGCCTCGTATATTGGCATTCCCATCTTCATTGCCCCAATTATTGGATGGAAGCTATGGCACCGCACCAAGGTTTGTCCGTGTTCTCGATATCTTTGTGGATGTCGCTAATGGCTCCCAGTTTATCCGTGCTGCAAATATCGATCTATGGTCTGGTCGACTGCAGGAGGGAGAGATTGTCGAAAGACATGCCCCGCAGACGTGGTGGGGTCGCACCCTTGACTGGATTTTTTGAATAACTGGCTTCGTGTATATCTTGTAAATATGCATAGACGTGATACCCATACATGGAATATAGATTCGTTATTTTTTGTTATCTGATCACTGAGATTTGAGCTGCTCCGCCAGCTTTCGAATGTCATTATGGGAGGCTTTGCAGCAGCCGCCGACCAGGAATGAGGTGAACGGGCCGTTTGCACCAGCGTCGTTGACGATCTGTCCAAGTTGCTTTTCCCAGGGACGCTACTTCTGTTAGACTTGAAACAGTATACGGATGTGGCATCACTCACAGCATCGTCATTGGTATACCCTTCTGGCTTCTCCCATGTCTGCGTGGTCGTATTGTAAACCTCCCCATTCGTCCCATCTGGATACAACACTAGAGTTGGGACGGTTGATACTCGACCTGCAGCCATAGCACTGGCAATTTTCTCCCCAAAATTCCGCATCAGGCCATTCAGTTTGTGAATCTTGGTACAATTGATCCCAATCCCCCAAGGCACCGACTGATCCGGCATTTCAGCCAACGCCGCCGTCACAACTTCTTCAACAGAACTACCATCTGGCAGGGCCGCCTGCTCACCAGGGAAAACGCATGCTACCCAGAATGGGACATTCAATCCAGCCGCATGAATCGCCCTTTTGACCGCACGAATCTCATCCAGCCGTGGCAATGTCTCGAACGCAACGTACTGTACCCGCTCGGACAATCTCTCATCGGCCTCCTGGAACAGCCGCAGCCGCTCCAGGTGCCATTGGAACAATTTCTCCTCAGTATCATGCTCCGCATCATATTTTCCGCTATATTCCTGCCCAGGAATCATGCATGCGCCATACGGTCCCAGACTCAGTGCAATCTTCGCCGTGCTGTTGCCCTTTGCTTGTTCGGCAATATCGATGGCGGTGCGGAGGTACTTGGCGATAGCATTCCGAGGGATCCCCGTGGGATAATCCACGGTTTTTGTGCGCTCGAACCCCTCGATAGAGACTTGGTATGTTGCTGTAAGGAGGACGTCGGTGTCAGCGTTGATGAAGTTCCGTTGGCAGGCAAGGAGGGTAGTGGGGTCGGAGACGAGCAGGTGGGAGGCCCAGAGGGGAGTGGAGGAGTCAAAAGTAACCCCGTGCTGGTCCTGCAGGGAAGTACCAAGCCCTCCGTCGAGAATCTCAATGGAGGCCATCTTATCAGCTTTTTTTGACTGACTGAACGAAGCTGATGATGTCGTTCATGTGGATGGAATATGGTGTGTGAGATATCTAAGATAGGATAGCGGTGGGATTCTGCCAAGCTGCACATGGAGATAAGCCCATCGTTATCATATCGATTGGCTTATCTCTATCTCGATGTCTTAAGACTCTTGACAAACACCTTTGGCGAGGCATTGTTTTCAAAATGTGCAATTGCTATGCATGCGATCAGGTGGGCATACAATGGATTGTCTTGCCGAATATAGATAACCATTGCCGTTGCCGCGTCAGATGTCCATTTACGTCTCCTTCTCCCCTCTACTGGGGACGATATGACAACCTATGGTACATTCTGAAAACCTCACTGCGTGTGACAGACCAAATACCTTGACGATGCCTAGAGACACCACAATCATTGCTGCGGGGTTCCAATGAAGATCAGCTTACTGGTGATGCAAGGAGTCTAATCCACGCTCCGCTGAGTCAGACTACAGGTGACAGGAAAGCCACTGAGCTAAAAAGCTGGCCAGCATCACACTCAAGTTTCGTTAGTAGCACATGCATGCTATGGTTGTGTTGCCAATAAGCCCCAGTCCTTGCCTGAACCACTGACATGGCATTTCCCTCGCCATAATCCTATCGTGTCCTTGAGGCGAGAGCCGAGATGTGCCGCATGACCTTCCCCATAGAAATCGTATTATATAAAGACAGGCTGGCAGCCCATGTATAAGGGTACCTCATGTCTCCAGCACCTTATCAATCCACAGACCATCTTACTCACCATTAATCACTGCCGTCTTCAACAGATCATCAATCAGTATGAAGGTCTTCGTTAGTCTTCTCCTTCTGGCCACTGTTGCCATGGCTGCCGTCGATACCACCAACGCCGGATGCTCCCAGCCCGGGCAGTATTGCAATGGTGGCACTTTTCTGTGCTGCAATAATCGCCAGTGCGATCTCAGCAAGAACGTGGTGTGTATCATTCCATCTTCTATACAACTAATTGCCTCCCATTTGGAGTCAGGGTGTGCTAATACTTGTCCCCGCAGTGCAAGTAAACCACATTGACAACCGACGAGGGGATGGTTTGCTAGGGGGATCAGTGAGAAGGCAACCGGGTTCATGGATTTCTTCCTCAGGGAGCTTAATTGTTCGCCGCTTTAGTCCATGCAGAAAAACATGATATATCGCCTCGAACCAATAGCAGTAACATCAACCAATATTGGTCTTTTAACGGCCTGCATTTGATCTGTAGAATTGAATGACCATCAATTTGATCACCATTACTGGATCCCAGAGAACCCCGTTCGAATCATTGTCAAGCATAGGATAGAAAGGGGGCCTGTCATAAAGCAAGCTGAGATAGGGAATCGTGACTGCTTGGTTTGCTCCTCAGAAAACAAACAGTTGACCATATGTAGCAGCCAGGTCTTGTTACATGGATGCCTACTGGACCCTCCAGAAGAGCACTGTGCTGAACCACAGCAGTGAACTTAACGTCAATTCCTGTCAATCAAAAGATGGACAAGATCTCTCCATATCACATGACTCTGTCCACGTGAGGTGCTAGACCGTCCTAAACGGGCACATTCTATGCTCTCTCTTGGAGTCTCCAATATGTTGAAGATCCGTGTTGTCTTCGGAAAGCCTGTAAACATTCAATGGATGTCCCAGTTGCAGCCAATGTACTGGGTACAATAGGCGCGGTACTGCTGATTTCACTTTCTTCCTCTCACCGTCATACCCTGCTGACCAGATATGTCTACACGTAGGTCTGCTGGTCTATACAGGTGACAATCCCAATATAATCCAAGAAAGACTTTTCTCTAACTCGGCGTAGCTCATACCCCAGATTGTCATCAACTATCGACGACATGATACAGAGGGTCTTCAGGCCTCGATGATGCTCCTCTGGGCTGTGGCTGGAGTGCCCCTGGGAGTCTATAACATCGTCAAGGATTTTAACATTGCTCTGAGAATTCAACCTCAGATCCTGACTACGCTTAGCTTGGTGACATGGGCCCAATGTTTGTATTATGGAAAGGTTCGTACCACTCCATTCTATTGGCTGATGTGCCCTAAGTTCCGGTCATAGAAATATCCTATCTTCAAGTGTATTGCCGCGGTGGCTCCGCTTCTATCTGTTCTTGGAGGTGTCGAGGTGGGACTTGTGTATGCTCTACGTGCAGCACAGAATCACGAGCTTGAGTGGCCACTGATCCTCATGGCTGTTCTGAGTGCCGGTTTCCTGGCTGCCGGAGTACTTACCCACTACTGGGACATCTACGTCCACCGGACAGTACGAGGCATCAGCTTCCTCTTCGTGGGGATCGATGCTGCAGGGGATTTATTCTCTCTGGTCTCTGTCTGTACGTGGTATCCCCCCCCCTTCCCTTCTCTGAAATACCATACTCACCATCCAAGTGTTCCAACCTAGTATCGACATTCTCGGTATGGTGATTTTTGGCACTGAGCTGGTATTGTGGCTCGGGATCTTTGCCTGTGGAGGCGTATACAACCTACGTCCATGTCTGAAGCGGCTCAAGAAACGAGAAGTCCACGAACTCGAGCCAGTTGCCATGTATATCGACTCTGCACCCTCCTCAAGCTCGGTATTTCGAACAGTGTCGGGTTCGAGCGTGGTGGCACGCCGTCCAACACAACATATATTGTAATTAGCATTCGTAACGAGAAGATATCTACTATTTTGTAGCATATACTCTCTTTCCTGCAAACCAGGTCTCACAGACCTTGCCCTCCAACAGGTCCTCTGCGTTCCACTGCATGTCCAGCACTACAAAATCCGCCCTGCAGCCCTCTTTCAAAATTCCTGCCCAATTCTCCGCAAATCGTGCGTACGCTGCGCCCTCGGTAGCAGCTGTAACCGCCTCAGCCAGTCCTAACCCGAAGTGCTCGTTCGTGGTTTGGGAAGACTCCGGCTCCATCGCGGATCTCCGCGTCGTCGCATTGTACAAATTTGGCAGCGGTAGATGGGCGGCGGTCGGCGCGTCCGTTCCAAACGCCAACTTCGCGCCCCCTTCCGCGAAATCCTTGTACGCAAAAGCGCGCTGGCACCGCTCGGGACCGATTAGATCCGGCCATGCGCGGAGGATAACGGGATCTGAGTGGACCGGCTGCACCGACGCCGTGATTCCCAGCTGGCCGAGTCGTTTCGCGTCTTCGGGCGCCGTGAGCTCGAGATGCTCGATGCGATGACGCCGGCCAGGGGTGCCCACTTCGCCGAGGACATCGATGGCCTGTTTTACGGCCTTGTCTCCAATAGCGTGGATGGCGCATTGGAGCCCCGCTGCGTCGGCGCGCTGCACGACAGCTCTCAGCATATCGACGGGCCAGATCGGCTCGACGGGGTCCTGTCTGTTGCCGTATGGCTGAGTTAGCGCCGCGGTGCAGCCATCTACAACGCCATCACAGATGAGTTTGATGCCTGTGATGCAGAAATGGGGCGAGGTGGCAGGGTTGAATTCGTGCCAGAGCTGGATGGCACGGTCGACATGGGTGAAATTGGCCTCTTGGTCCTCTGAGAAGGGAACGAGCCAGTGCGCTGCAATATGGAACGGTGGGTTTTCTTGTTCGTAGTAGGGCTTGAGGACCGCCCACATATTATCCTCCATGGCCATGTCGACGAGGCCTGTGTATCCGGCTTCAGTGTACGCTGCAAATGCCAGACGAAGTGCATGCATCATGTCCTCTAAGGTAGCGGTCTTTAGCAGAAACGGCCAGACAATCTCCATCATGGCATTTTCACTCAACAGCCCCGATGGCCGTCTGTTCTCATCGCGGTGAATCGTGCCCCCTGCAGGGTCTTGCGCGGTGTAGACTCCCATTTCCTCCAACGCAGCGGAATTGCACCAGCAGGAATGGAGATCAAACGACTCGATCTGGATGGGCCGAGGGTCCAGATCATCGAGCATACTCGCCAAAGCGATGCCATTGGTGGAGGATTGCATCCATCCTCGACACAGAATACGAGGGGCAGAGGGATGAGCCTCAGCAAACGACTTGATGACCTTGCGGATATCCTCCAGGCAAGTGCAGTCCAGGAGACTCAGCCGGCCGAGAGACTGGCCGAAGTTCATGATATGCACATGCCCGTCGATAAAGCCTGGGATGACCAGGCGGTTCTGTAGGTCGACGGTGTCGTCTGCAGTGGGTGCATTTTCCTGTGCGCCAACATATACGATCTTGTCATTCTCGACGACTAGACACTCAGCGAAGACATTGTCATCCTGAGCGTTGAGGGATTGCGGGGCGAAAAAGTGTCCGTGCGTGAAGAGGGTCTTCATGTTTCTTGAGTTGAGTATATGAGTATAGATGAGTTAAGTCGGGATAAATGGAGACTATAGCAAATTCCTGCAGCGTAGATAGCGAACAGGAGGCAACCTCCCCGGTTTATAAGCTGGATCTCTCCAACCTTGTCTTCATGACCATATCAATGCAGTCCATGAACTGGGGATTGTGATTGGTTCAATCAAAACGGACTTCCCCATACAGATGGCGCAAAGTGACGCCATTGGCCAGAATGATATATCCGATACCGGATGGAGTTGTCACTATGAAGCAGTAGAAGAAAACAATGGCAGATCAGATAGAAGGGGAACACTCTCAGTGGCAGATGCATGCGGTTAAGCTCCAAGGATTCTTATCAGGTCGTTGCTCTATACCCGAACCTGCATGTCCATCCGAGGAGAGGGGCGGACACCCCGTCGTCGCGAACGGCCTCGGCATCAACGAGGAAGACAATGGACTTGCTGTACAAACGTACCGACTTCCGCGACAGAATGGTCATCACTGCGCGAGACCGCAAGCCTGGCCATCTCGCAGATCATCACGGCCGCCAAACTCCGAGTACGCCTTCTACCACACCTTCACTCTGGACGGCACGTACCAGCTCAAGGTCAAGCTCACCGGCATGCTCAATACCTACTGCCTGCACCCGTCTGAACAAGCCACCCCCCTCAGCGCGGAAGTCGCCAAGGGCATCGACGCCCAGAACCACCAGCGCATCTTCTCTCTGCACGTCAACCCCGAGATCGATGGGCCCAACAACACCGTCATGCAGAGCGACGCGACGCCGTCCCCATTGGAGACGACCCCGTCGGATCCCCCGCCAACCCCTACGGCAACGGCTTCTACGCCCGCAAGAGACGCCTCCGCACCGCCCTTCAGGGCGCCGCCAACTACTGCCATGAGACCAGGCGCAGATGGGACATCATTAACCCGACCCGCCTGAACCCATCGTCTACAAGATCCTCAAGAACCACAGCCCTCGCCTGCTCACAAAATCAGGCAGCACGATCGACAACCAGGTGTGATTCGCCACCAAAGCGCTCTGGGTGCTGCCCTACCACGACCACGATATCTTCCCTGCGAGCTGCGAATACGTATGCCAGTTGATGGGGGAGCCGGGCCATCCGCACAACGCGACGGTCGTGGACTGGGCGGCGCGCGACGAGAGCATAGAACACGGACATCGCGTCCTACATCTAGTTTGGGCTGACGCATTTCCCGCTCACGGAGGACTTCCCCATCATGCCAGCGGATTTCTGGGTGCCGCTGTCGGATGTGGTTAAGGATATGACGTCGAGGAATGCGGTGGGGGCGAGGGAGGCGAGGGAGAGATCGAAGCTGTAGCGGTAATGCATTTTATGTTGGATATTCTGGCAGCGTGTACGTACAATATACACTAATCCGGCCAGATTTGCCACCCTAAATCCCTGACAGCCACTCTCGATACTTCGAAGTCGAATTCTCCGCTGGTTCTCCGCATTCTCCACTCTTCTCGGTTACTGGTCTTGGCAGCCAGCATCTTATCGCGACTCTCCATCGAATCTACTGACTTTGCCGGAGCAGCACACCAGTCAACCGAAGGGTGGTTAACCCTTCTGTGGACATGCCACACCCGCCGGCGGAAACAGTCCCCGTCTCTACATTCTTCCGGCGACCTCGGCGTCGGCCAGCCCATCTGCGTACCAAGACTGGGTGTCTGACATGTAAGCTATTTTTCAATGTCTTGCAAGCGTTGCTAATTGTGTAGGCCGGTCACGCAAGAAGAAATGCGATGAGACGGGCCAACCGTGCGACAACTGTGTCAAGCGGAAGGTGGTCTGTGTCTGGCCGCAGGAAAGGGGAGCGGGGAAGGATCTGTCGCGGGACGCGGTCGAGGTGGTAGCCGTAGCCTCGGATAGAACCCAGCTCGGTCAGCTACAGACCTCATGTTCCGTGACCGTCGGAGATGGACTAGGGGTTAACTCCCCGGTCTTGGTTCCCTTGAATGTGCACCTCTTCGATTATCTGCAGACCGTCTTCCTGCCGCAGCTGATCCATCCCCTGGCCCACGGCACGTTCAATGAGATGGTCAACCGGGAAGGTCTTGGGCTGGCGTTCCAGCACCCTTTCTGTATGCACGCTCTGCTGGCCTGTTCTGCGGCAGAGATCCCCGTCGAGAACCCACAGTACAGACGTATGGGCCAGGTGTACTACGCCAAAGCCGTCGCCGGGCTCCGCCTGAGTCTGGAGCGCAGCGAGCCCTCGGACCGATGGATCGTGACTTTGTGGACAGTGTTGCTTCTGTGCATCTACGAGGTGAGAGGTTCGATACTATCTTGAAACGCCGCGGACCTGACCGGGTGTAGCGATCCAAACCGCACCACTCACAGGGTGTCGACGTGCATCTGGCTGGCGCGGCCCAGTTGATCAAGATGTACTTCCAACCGGACATTCGCGGACCACGCTCTATCGAGACTGAGATCCGAATTCGCCGTCTGTTCCTCGAATCGTTCATCTTCCACGTTGCCACCAGCATTCCCTTCCAGCACGCATCGACGCAATCAGCGACCATCGACTCGGCCTTTTCCCTCGCGGAAAACATCCTCGGGCTGATCTGTCGCCCGCATCTCTCCATCGATGCGTCCTCCCCCGTGCTCGCCGTGCCTCCCAAGCTCTTCCAATATATCTATGCCATAGCACGGATCTACCAGCGATACGCCGACGGTATTGACCTCGAGCACTGCCGAGAACTCGAGCAGGATCTGCGACAGTGGGACACCGTGATGGCAGCCACAACCACTCCCAACCTGCTACTGGGGCCACGATTATACGTTCTTTGCTCCCGGATTCTCCTCCACCGCATCATCGATGCTGACGCTGACAAATCCAGCGTCATTATCGATCAGCTGGTAACCCTCGCCATGGACCTGGTGAAACAGCTACATCCTACAGAAGACTATTTTGCGGAATACTACAGCTGGCCCTTTCTCGTGCTGGGAATCTACCTCACTGCGGCATCCGACCAGGTGCTCTTGCAGTCCCAGATCCGTGGGTTCTGGCAGGCGACGAAAAACGGGACGATGAGACGGCTGCTGGACATGTTGGCGGCATTTTGGGATGGGGGGCCTGATATGAGAGTATGGGACAACCTGTGGCTTATACAGGGGGCCAATCCAAGCGATCCCGTGGCCGTGAACTAATACTCCGTAGGGCAGAGAGGTGGGAATACGAATGCAATGCTCCGTGGATTGGATAGTAAGACCATTTCCCGCTTTTGGAGAACCAGAAACGCCGCCAATCATGGTTGAGACAAACCCAGCGGCCAATGACACTCGGATAATAAGTGGATCTGTTCTATTCTTGTTGTATTCAAGCATTTGTCAGCTCATAAATCTTATCCGCCACGATTTGTTCTTTGTTCGACCTTTGGGAGAGTTCAATTGTGTTGAGGGGGAGGGGGGTTGTGGTGAATGAATCCCGGCTCTATACATATATACATATATATATACATATATATATACATATATATATATATCTATCTATCTATATATATACCAGGCAAACATGCACTCCCCTTTCCCTCTCCACACTCCTCTCACAATCACAAATCCAACACAAACCATCCCTTGATCAACAACAACAACAACAACCATGGGTTCCAACGGCTACCAGGCTCCCGCGGTCACCAAATCGCCCTTTACCCCCTACTTTACCCCCGCTAACAATGGCGGTGCCGCTCTCCATCCCGAGGACCCCAAAACACCCACCCTCTTTCGCCCTCTGCAGATCCGCAATGTCACCCTCAAGAACCGCATCATGGTTTCCCCCATGTGCATGTACTCGTGCGAATTCGACCCGTCGTCGCCGTTCGTCGGCGCCCTGACCAACTACCACCTCGCCCATCTCGGCCACCTCGCCCTCAAAGGCGCCGGCCTGATCATCATCGAGGCCACCTCCGTCCAGTTTAACGGCCGCATCACGCCCAACGACTCGGGCCTCTGGCAGGACGGTACGGACTCGGAGCAGTTCCGCGGCCTGCAGCGCGCCGTCGAGTTGATGCACAGCCAGGGCGCGAAAGTCGGCATCCAGCTCGCGCACGCCGGTCGTAAAGCCAGTACCGTGGCGCCGTGGGTGGCCGCGGAGGCCGGCAAGGCGAGACTCCGGGCCGACGAGAGCGTGGGCGGGTGGCCCCACGATGTCGTGGGTCCGTCCGGGGGCGAGGAGCACCGCTGGAGTCCTGTGGAGAACGAGTACTATGCGCCGCGGGCGCTGAGCACGGCGGAGATCCAGGAGCTCATCGCGGCGTTTGCGCGCAGTGCGCAGCTGGCCGTGGCCGCAGGCGTCGACGTGATCGAGATCCACGGTGCGCACGGCTATCTGCTCAACGAGTTCCTGAGCCCCGTCACGAACAAGCGCACCGACGAGTACGGTGGCAGCTTCGAGAACCGCACGCGCATCGTGCGCGAGGTCGCGGCGGCGATCCGTGCCGTCATCCCTGCGGACATGCCGCTGTTCCTGCGTATCAGCGCGACGGAGTGGCTGGAAGGGCAGGCGGTGGCGGCGGAATCGGGAACCTGGGACATCCAGAGCTCCATCGAGCTGGTCAAGAAGCTGCCCGAGTGGGGCATTGATTTCGTGGACGTCAGTTCCGCCGGGAACCACAAGGACCAGAAGATCAACATCCACCCAACATTGCAGACCGACCTGGCCGGCCAGATCCGGGAAGCTGTGAAAGCTGCGGGCGCATCGACGCTGGTCGGCGCCGTCGGGCTGATCACCGAGGCCGAGCAGGCCAGTAGACTCGTCCAAGGCGCTGACGAGGCAAGCACCGCCGAAGCGATGCTACCGGGCCCGTCACCCATGGCGGATGCGATCCTGATTGCGCGGCAGTTCCTGCGCGAGCCCGAATGGGTGTTTAACACGGCCAAACGACTTGGAGTGCCGGTCACGGTGCCGCGTCAGTTCGAAAGGGCCGCTTGAGAGGGTAGATAGGGAGTAGTAGATAAAGTATAGACAACCAACTACCAATACGCATCCTTTTATTTTACTATGCATGCATCCAAGCGCTCTATATCCAATCGGAGATTCCCCCAACCATACTCTGTATATCGGCGGGCTCCGGCTGCACAGCTGACTCAGCGCCGTTATGCAGGACTCGGCATAACGCCATTCTCCCCGCGAGTCACGCCTTAAAAGCCCGTTTTCTCCCCACGGTTGAAGCAGTGGAAGCAGTTGAAGCAGTGGAAGCATCAGTACTCAGTCCTGTCTCGTACCACAGCAAAAATGGCTCTCAAACCCGGTGACCAGTTCCCCGAGGGCGTTGTCTTCCAGTATGTTCTCATCATCGCATCGCCATGAACCCTCCCCACCCCCCATCTAATCGAGTCAGGTACATCCCCTACGCCGAAGAAAGCAGCGCCATTACCGCCTGCGGCATCCCCATCAACTATAATGCGTCCAAGGAATGGGCCGACAAGAAAGTCGTCCTGTTCTCCGTTCCAGGTACGGCGCATGCCATCCCTATCCCCATTATCCCCGTCTGTCTCGGTATTCCTAGAGCTAAGAAGTATCTCAGGCGCGTTCACCCCCACCTGCTCCGTGAACCATATGCCCGGGTACATCAAGAGCCTACCGCAGCTGCGCGCCAAGGGCGTGCAGGTTGTTGCGGTCGTCGCGTCCAACGACCCCTATGTGATGAGTGCATGGGGCAAGGCGAACCAGGTCAAGGGCGAGGATATTGTATGTTTGATTGTTTTTGCTTCCTTTGGACCTACTCCGCGTGGCTCGTAGCTGACTGGTGTAGCTGTTCCTGTCTGACCCCGAGGCCAAGTTCTCGAGTAGCATCGGCTGGGCCAATAACGGGCGGACGGGCCGGTATGCGATCATCATCGACCATGGTAAAGTCACGTATGCGCAGGTTGAGACGGAGCGGGGGGTGGTCAAGGTATGTTTATGTTTATGTTTTTTCATGCTCGAGGGCGATAGGGCGAGAGGTGCTAATGGTGTAGGGATCTGGCGCGGATGCTGTTCTGGCGCATTTGTAGGGTTCAGAGGTGATCGCCTGATTGATACGATATTATGCTGTGGTTCAGCTCATTATCTTGTTGAATAGGAAAGATCTTGGTTTCTTTTTCTGGCTCAAAATTAAGCATGTTATTGCCCACTATAGCGACAGCTCTAGCTATATCTACCACCGTTTCCAGACTCCAAACTGTCCAAACCAATCATGCTGCCATAGTTATTAGCCAAGACGGGAGGGATCCAGAATCTGGAAACCCTTTCGATTATTTCCATGAGTGTAATTTGTCTAACTGTATTGAGATTCCACCATATCTTTTGACATTGTGTAGCACTGATGTCATACTCACCTCGTCCCCCCAAAGTGGCCATCGACACCCTATATATACCGTTATATCCTTTACCATCACTCTCAATCCTCCCCATTAACCTCATATATCCCATATATAACTATATAATATCTCTCCATCATGCCTCCAAAAGTGCTGATTGTTCTCACCTCTCAGGATACAATCCCCGCCAATAACCATCCCACAGGCTGGTATCTAGTACGGCAAACCTCACACCTAAACCAAATAGCTCCCCACTAATGCCAATACTAATGCCGGGACAGCCTGAATTCGCTCACCCGTGGGAAGTCCTGCACGACAAAACCGAGCTGGTCATCGCCTCCCCCAAGGGTGGTGAGGCCCCCCTCGATCCGGCCTCGGTCAAAGCCTCCGAAAACGACCCCGTCGCGACCAAGTTCCTCAACGAGCAGAAGAGTCTCTGGACCAATACAGAAAAGCTGTCGGATGTGTTGCCCAAGGTCTCGGAGTTTGATGCCATCTTCTACGTCGGCGGTCATGGACGTATGTTGTCAATCCACCGTTCCACATCCACTGGCCCGAATACTGATAGTTGGTCGCCGCAGCTATGTTCGATCTCCACAACGATGAAACCTCCATCGCCCTCATCGAGGCCTTTTCCGAAGGCAGGAAGACCATCGCCGCCGTGTGTCACGGTCCCGCCGCCCTGATCAAGGCCAAGACGCGCTCGGGTGTCCCTCTGCTGTCGGCCGCGACAGTGACGGGCTTCTCCAACGCCGAGGAGGATCAGGCGCAAATGTCGTCCGTCATGCCGTTCATGCTGGAGGACGAGCTGCAGAAAGTCACAGGCCACCGGTACGTCAAGGCCGATGAGCCGTGGGGGGAGAAAGTGGTCCTGTCCAAGACGGCGGGCACGGCGACCACGTTGATTACGGGACAGAACCCGGCGAGTGCGACGGGCGTCGCGAAGGAGATTCTGCGAGCGTTGGGACTGGCGTAGTGGAGTGATCGGGTCTGTCATGCAGTGCAGAATCGAAGATAATAATAGTATAGTTATGAATTTAATGACTGTGTTCCCCCCCCAAACCACGGCCCATATATCTCGTGGGTTACATTGCAAACTTGCAGAATACCCGCCGGTCTCCGAGACCTGCAACCCCTCGCTTCGCTTTTCAAAACTCGGGGAGGGACGATCGCTGCAGTTCGCAGCGAATCAGCGGAGATGATGGTCAAGCGTGGCCGGCACGATGCTGCCAAGCGCTGGCTGATAAGTACCTGCTTGATAAGCCGTGCAGACTGCAGATGCACGATCATGGGCCATGTAACTTGCCCGCGAGGAGATGCATCCTGAAGCAGTCTAGTATGCGACATCTAGCCAATCATCCCGGGGACGAAGCGTGTTGACACGCCGTCAAGGGAGGTAGTATGCTGCACGATCGCTGGCCATTGACAACTGCCGGCTGACGGGGTTCGAGGAGTCTATAAAATGGCCCGGTTTCCTCACGTCACGATGCAAATTCCCCGTATCCCGTCTCTGCACCCCTGAGGAATAGGAAATTCGTCCCGCAAGATGCAACTTCTCCCCATCCTCCTGAGCATCCCGCTCATCGCAGCCCTCCCTACCCCCCCGGGCATCCCCTCCGCAGCCACCGCCGAGTCCGAGCTGGCGTCGCTGACCGTGGCGCCTCAGGGTAGCGAAGATGGCTACTCCCGCGAACTCTTCCCCCACTGGATTAACCAGGGCAAGTACGTGCACGGTCCACAATCCCACTCTCATCCAGCACAAGCTCACCCTATCACAGCCACTGCAACACCCGCGATATGGTCCTCGCGCGCGACGGCCAGGACGTCGTCCAGGATGACGACTGCTACCCGACCAGCGGCACCTGGTACTCGCCCTACGACGGGACCACCTGGACCGAAGCCAAGAAGTTGGACATCGACCATTTCGTGCCTCTGGCGAACGCATGGAGAGTACGTCGCGCCCCCGCCCCCAAATACCCCACCCTGCACCTATCGAGTCAGGATATCCAAGCTGATGGTTGATTGCGCAGTCCGGTGCATCGGAGTGGAGTACGGCGCAGCGCACGGCGTTTGCGAATGACTTGACGCATCCGCAGCTGGTAGCCGTCTCGGAGAAAGCCAACCGGTCCAAGGGCGACAAGGGCCCAGAGGAATGGAAACCTCCCCTTGGTAAGTGGTTCGGTCCCTGACCGGGATGCTAGATACTGACTGAGTAGCCTCGTTTCACTGCACGTATGCGCGGATGTGGGTCAGCGTCAAGAGCACGTATGCGCTGACCATCACCTCGGAGGAGAAGGAGGCTCTGGTGAGTATGCTGGATACTTGTTAGATGGGGGGTGGTGGCCTATTCGGGACAGCCACGTCGTGCAGAAGCAGTATGTAGAGATGGAGATGCAATCGCAGCCCCATGCAATAATTATGATGCCGTGCATTGAAGCAGGTCATGGAAGAAGATCCATCATATTTTGTTCTTTTTCTTCATGTGCAGTCTAGGGGTCGTATCGTAACTCATCTCGAGTCGATCGGTTAATGCCTACAGTCCACAACACCCCAGTAACCACCTCCATCCACTCCTCCTCGACGGACCCGTCCACTTCTCATTCAGACCGTCGGAATCCCACTCCTCGCGATCCTCGGCAGTCGCATCTGTATACCGTTCCGTCCGAAACGCCGCAATGGAGTCAATCCCCAGCTCAAAGTCTCCCTCCTGCGTCCCGAAGAAGCTGTCCATAACCGTCAGCACCGAATCCCCAACCCCCAACACAATACCCAAGAAAAAAAACAAAAAAACCAAAGAACACTCACCTCCGAATCATAATACTAATCCTCTTCACCCGACTCAAATCCAACGGCTCCGCATCCTCCTTCTCCCGCCCGCGATACGTAGCCTTCAGATCCGCCCACTTCACCAAAACCCTCTCCTCCCCTCCCGCAATCCCCGCGGAAGGCCGAAAATCATACTCCCAGCTCAGCGTGCTCTGCTCGCGCCCGTCGGCCCGCTTCGGCAGAACCTCGTCCTTCAGCGTCAGCGTGTACCGCTGCCCGTCCGACCCGTTGATGCGCAGCGCGAGCCCGTCGTACCCCGATAGATCCCAGGTGCGGTTGTCCGTGGTGCGCTGCGAGGCGAACCCCGCGCCGCCGAGGGCCGTGATGTCGAGGTGGCCGTGGAAGAAGGCGGTGTTGGTGGGTGTGATGGTGAGGCTGGAGTGGGAGGCGCCGCCGCGGACGCGGTCGTCGGAGGAGGTCCAGTCGGTTGGGGACCAGGGTCTGGAAGGGGGAAGAGTTAGAGGGGGGAGGGGGGTACGATTGGAAATAGAATGAGAGGACTTACTGGTCTCCGCCGAAGAGGTAGGTGTGGGATACTAATTGTGACATTGTACGGGGTAGGGTGTTGTCGCTGCGATTGGACTTGACAACGACGGACGATATGCGGATGGCGGGTGTTTTATAAGTTGTCTTTCATGTCCACCATCGATCGATCGATCGGATGAAGTGGAGATGACGTACGATTGGCCAGAATCAGAATAACTGCCCCGAATCGACGGAGTATCAATTCGATAGTTCGGTTGGATTAGAGCCATCACTGTGTATGTTTGTGTAGGTGATATACCCAACGTCGCAATGTTGTGCAGATTTGGCTGCATGATTCCTGCTTCGATCGATGAGATCAAGGCATTTATCAAGTCACAACGGAACTCTCCCACCGGCCCGCTATCTAGATTATCCAGCTGACCTCAATCCATGGGGCTCGTTGTACCTGATCCCTTGAATCTGGAGGTGTTAATGTGGGAGTCTGTTGGAGAAATAGTGCACCCTTTGCAGGACATGCAAGGCTCCTGACCTGCATTTCCCAGGGCCTGATCGTGTCAATCGCCTTTGTCCCGATTCTTTGAACACTGAGAAAGCTATGACCGAGTACATCGGGAATAGCAAGCCATATCATTCAAATAATGAGAATGCTGCAGCCCTCGAGAGTTAACACGTTTCCCACGGTTCTGCGGATCCGGGGTTGGTCTATCCCATTCCCCGCGGCATCGAATTGTTGTACTTGTATGTACTATTTAGCATGGCAATGTGGAGAAAGATCTGCAAGAGCTAGAAATAGAACCATATGAATGCTATGATATGGTGGTCGGAAATCCCAGAGCATACCGTATGCAGGATCTGCTCGACCTTGGAATATAATAGACCATCATAGCTGGAGGTGGCTGGTTCTGGCTGGACCAATCAGATTCCAACTAACCGTACTCTGTAATGCTTGTCAATTAGTCAGGATTCGGCCTCGCGGTTTTCTCGTCCGACGTGCCAGATCCAGACGACTGATATAAGAAGTAAAAACCGAATGAGACAAGATTGGAGATGCGTGCGTATTCCCCCCAAATGGCGCCTGCTCGTCTGATCTTAAATACTTGGCATATTTCCTGGATCACTCTACGTCCACGCGGGATCAGGCTGCAGACGCCCTCCATCGCATCTCCGTTGATACATCCCAAGAGAATCAGCCCGCAGAGATCCCATATCCGACCAAACTCCTCGGTAGCAATGTTCAACCACGACCAGCTCCCGCTCGCGCAGATCCTGACCACCCCCCTCCTCGCCCGCATCTACGACTTCTGGTTCCAACACACCGAGTCGGACGAGAATCTCACCCTCCCCACCCCCGCCGACCTCAAGCACTGGTTCTTCAAAAGCGACGACTTTGACCATGCATGCACGTAAGTTTAATTTCCCTCCTCCCCCAACATCCCAAGTCCAAGTCCAAGTCCAAACCCCCTAACCCTAACAAATCCACCCCCCCCCCAGATCCCAATACGGATCCATCCTCGCCGCCATCCAAAACGCCAACCCGTCCGCAGAGCAGATCCTCTCGCTCGCCAACCCCACCACCCCACGCGACTGGCTGGCCCTCCTCCTCCTGCTCGACCAGCTCCCGCGGAACTGCTACCGCGGGCCCGCCGCGCGCACCGTCTTCGAGTTCTTCGACCCGCTGGCGCTGGCGATCGCGCGCAAAGCCGAGGACGCGGGCATCCCGCGCACGCCCGAGATCCGCTATCGGCTCGGGCTGCGGCTGTGGTTCTACCTGCCGCTGATTCACTCGGAGGAGCGGAGCGTGCAGGAGCTGGCGCGGCAGCGGTACGCCGAGATGGCGGAGGATGTGCGGCGAGTGTTGAACGGGGCGAGCGAGGGGGCGGGGGCGGAGGCGGAGCGAGAGGATGTTCGGACTCTGGTGAGGAATCGGGACAGGGCGCGGGAGCAGATCGAGATGAGTCTGCGCTCTCAGAGGGACCATTATGACCCTGTGGCGCGGTTTGGGCGGTTTCCGCATCGGAATGAGGCGATGGGGAGGCAGTCGACGGAGGAGGAGAGGAGGTTTGTGGAGGAAGGGGGTACGTTTGGGCAGTAGGTAAGGGACTAGAGAGTGGAATACGGGGCAGATGCGTGAACATAGCATATCCATTGAAGAAATTAATTGAGTATCCGTAATGTGTATCAAACCGTTGAAACTACCAGGCCGACTCAATCAACCCTTGATCAGAACCCGAACACCCTTGCTGTCCATCCTGGCAAAGGGAATAAAGATGTCGTGCTTGACCTGGACATCCTCGACGGTGGTCTCATATAACTCCAAGTCCATTCGCCGCAGGAGAGTCGACACCGCGAGGAGGATCTCGGCTTTGGCGAGACTATACACGTTAGCGGGGCAGTTCTACAACAACACGAACTAACCCAGAGAGAGAGAACACACTGGATGCCAATACACTGTCTCGACCCCTTGGAGAACGCCACCATGTACTTCTCCAGACGCTTGCGCTCCGCGGGGTCCGTCCAGCGCTCGGGCTTGAAGAGGTGGGACTGCGGAAAGATGGATTCATCGTGGTGCATCAGAAGGCAGCTCATGCTGACGGGAGTCTACTAGCATTAGCAATCGGTGAGACCGCCCCGGTAGATGCACATACTCCCGGAGGAATCGTCCAGTCCCCAAACTGGAGAGCGTTGTAGGGAGCGATCCGAGGCAAACGCGCAGTGACGCCGTAGGACAGTCGGATCCCCTCCAGCATCACACCGGTCTATTGACTTGCCGTTAGCGAAGGATCCGAGTTGAGGGTTTAGACCAACCTGCCAGATACGACAGCTGCTCTAGCTGAACGAGAGACGGATCGGGTCCTAGCGTGGCCAGCTCCTGCTTGAGCTTCTGCATGGTCGGCGGATCATTCAGCAGGTAAAAAAGGATATAAGTGATCGCTTTGGCCGTTGTTTCTGCCCCCGCAGAGACCAGCACCTGCATCTCCTGCGCCAGCCGCGCCTCACTCTTATCCCTGGCCGGCAGATCACTGTTCAGAATATCATCAAAGATGGTCAACCGGCCACCATCCTGCGCCATCTTCCCACCACTTTCGCGATGCGCCGTGGCAATGGCGCTAATCATCCTGCGGCAGCGGCGCTGGAAATCAAAGAACAGCTCCATGCCCGGGTTCAGCCACGCAGTAACCGACTCCGGCAGCGCAAGCAGAAACGGCAGCGCCCAAGCAACCGGCCGGATGAACACCATCGTCTTGGCCGTGCCGTTCAGCGTCCCGTGCCACTGCGGGATGAAGTCCGGCTCGTCGAGGTAGTGGTACCCGTCACCCATGGTGTAGTCGGTGATGACATCGGTGGTGTAGCAGGTGAGCGGGTACTCGATGTTGACGGGGGTGTCCGAGTTCTGAAACTCCCCCAGCCGACGGCAGAGCTTGTCGACGAGCGCCTTGATGGCGACCTCCTGCTTGCGGATCCGGAGCGTCGAGAAGAACGGGTTGAGGTGGGCGCGCAGCTGCCGGTGCCGGTAGTGGTCGATGGCGTTGAGGATGGCCAGCGGGGCGTTGAGGGTCCGCTGGTAGTAGCCGTACTTGTCGCGGGGGCTGTCGCGCGAGTAGATGACTTCGTAGTAGGTCGGGTCGTTGACGTGCAGCTCGGTGGGACTGATGCGGATGATGGGGCCTGGACTCCAGTATAATCACGGCGTTTGTGTTAATACAAGCAGCACTTATTGACAGGGGGTGATTGCCAAGCATGGATCGCTCGGGGCCAGCTGGGCCAGTTTCGAATTTTACTGTCAAGTACGGAGTGAATAGGGAGACATGGCACTGACCGTATTTCTCGTGCAGTCGACCGATCTGAAACGTGAACTGGCCACAGCAGATAGTGTCCCAGTAGAACTCGTACAGATGGGTCAATGCAGCCAGCTTGGGACCGGGAAAGCGTGCAATGGGGGATAGATACAGTCGGTAAAGAATCACGCCCAGTAGATATCCTGACCCCAGTAGGGCCAGGGCAGCCACGGGGTGCGAACGCAGCAGACGTATCAGCTCCATGGCCAACAGTAGCGATGCAGATGCAGAACCGATCTGGATGACTGCAGAGGTGCAATGTGCTGGATCTCCCAGATCTCCAGGGCCATGGTGTCGGGTCGCATTGGCCCTCGACTCGTTTTAAAACGAAGGGGACGATGGGGTGTTTGTGAACGCTTTGGGTCCACGAAGCGGAAGTTGCTAGGATGCCTGGCGCATCGGTGTCACCGCGTGTCACTGTCTGTTTCTGCTTCGGCTGCTGAACAGGATCCGTCCGGTGGGTCGAGGAAAGAGTGTTGGGGACTGCTTTCCAATGACGATGAGGAGAGATCCCATTCTCGGTTCGACACGAGTCGCTTAAAAGCATCTGTGCTCTGTTCTTCACGGCAAGATGGAGTCTGAGATGGGTCTTTAGCCCACTATGGCAAATGCTGCGTTCTTCTGCGGCTGCCACGGACCCATTGTCCAGCCAGTCACAGATCAACTATCCGGTGCAATTGAATCGGTTGCGCTGATAGAACTCCCAATGGGGAAAACAATGGCGGTATCCCCGGCCGCTAACAGACACTATCGAATTTAGGCTTTCTTCATCCTGCTAGTTGGTGTGGCTCCGTTGAGATTAAGCCGTTTGATAGGTGAATGTCCTCGGAAAGGCCAGGATCCCACATTGTGACGAAGTGACTGAGGACGTTGGACCAGTCCCTCGGGTTGTTGACATCGACGGTTTGAGATAAGTCGATATGGCATCATTCAATCCTCATATACAACTATTGCCATTGTCCAGGCCGCTTCAAACAGTTTCAAAAAGAGACACTACGACTTCTTCGTCTAGGGCAGCCTGGTCCTTCATCTCAGCCAGTGTTCACCGTAATACTCGCCCAGGATCCGCGTCCTCGTCTCCACTGATCTGTCGTGTTTCTTCCTGTTCTGGGCCGGCTAGGCCATTGATTGACTCGCTCTGGGTCCCTCCAGCTATCATTGGGCCTACGGGTCATGGCATGATTCCTGGGCTTGGTTGTCCTGCCTGTTTTAGCCACACGGCACGCGGTCTGGAGGAGAAGACACGGTCTGAGTAGCCCAATTCCCAGCAGCATTGACCCCCTGGCAAACTCTATCCGGTCTTTAGCAGTTCAGCCTTGAGTGGCATCGGTACTGGTGTGAAGGACAGAGTTCCCGACTTTCTTATCCCTGGCGAGTCAGTCTCACAAGATATGCTGAGTTCGTTGGGAGAACAACGGTTAGATGTATCATCGAGTTGAAGTGGTCTCGTACGCAATTGATATCAATACTCGATAGGCCTCATCCCTTTGAAATATACCCATAATTTATGTTCTGAATGTATCAAACCAAAGGATCCCCCGGCATGTGGAGAACAGTATCCGCGGAACGGATAGTGACCTTCCGTGACTCCATCAAAGTGGCTCTTCTCTTTCCCTGTGCGTCTTATATTCCTGCACGATTTTATATACTCCGTAATCTTCTAACATGGCCAGACCAGAAATTAGGTCTGACGAGCTGTTCAAGGACCCTGGAGACTAGATTACTATTATTCCCCAAGTATAGCAGGGAACCCAAGCAATCATCAGACTATGGCAGGCTAACACTGTCTCTTCTCATGAGTCAAGCGACGCTATGACAGATAGACGCTATTAGAGCGAGTTGTGATACTGATATCGGCACTTAAATCGTTCAAGGAGCTGATTATTTGGAGTCCACAAGTGTTCAGTTTAGGTAATTGCATTGACAGTTTCAGAGGCTCCAAGGCTTTCTGAAGCATATTTTACCACTGTACCAGGGGCCAAATGTGACGTCTTGGTTTCTGGGTCATTCCAGAAGAGTGCCTGCTTTGACATAGTTATTGCATATGTGATTGTTCAGAAGACTGGAATAGGAAAGGGTTTCCTCCATGGTTATACTAAAGCTTGCAAGGAAGGGCGACCTCCTGTCCTTAAAGAGGTAAGAACTTCTATCACCCGTCTTTGATACAATGCTTCCGTCTCAATTGCGCATATAGAGGCAATTGATTTTACGTGGGAGGTGGGTGGTTTCGGGGGTATATGGCGAGATATTGATCAGAGAAACAAGACTAGAATGAAGACTCTAATGTAGTCTTCACTATTGCTAATTATATGATATAATCAAAAATATACACGAATTTAGCATATTGTGTCAGCTTATATAAGAGAGTCACTACAGATTCATTAATATATCTGAGCATCCATAGCTTTTATCGCACTTCTGTATTGTCTCAATTTCCACAATTGCATGGACGCGTCCAAGTTTGATACGAGAGCAATGCTTGCTAAATTTATAGATCTCAACTAGCCTAGTGATAAGCTAACAGTGATACATATGACCCGCCTGGGGAGGTATACAGTGATGTGACTCTGGCAATGTTGAGATATAGGCTGATTTCGTGCATCATAAAGCGCTTAAAGAGAATAAAGGAATCAACTGGGTGGTGGCACCTGGAACCTTTTCGTTGCCGAAGGCTGACTGCTTGATCCGATGCCCATTATAGTTCTAGATTATGATGTTAGGGCATCCGAGACTATGTTTCATGTACAGTCAGCTCACCATTTTGCCCTACTACGGCAGTGGTTCTTTCTCCTTGCCCCCAAGGGCAGGATGTTTGCCGGACGACTCTGGTGCTGTGCCTTTGTAGCCTATTCAATGTCAGTATCAATCCCGCCAGACACTACGCAGGCGACTTACTGCTCTGGTACAGCAGAGTGGCTAGGAGAACTCCAACTAGCGATGCCTGTCCCTCATTAGCAGAAGCCCTAGCAAGACAAGTAAGGAGGAGCATCATACCAGTGAAAGGTCCATTCCCTCAGCAACCTCTAGCTCCCAATTTGGCCCTTTACCTGGGATGTAAACCGACACCATGTCGGCCAACTTCGAAGTCATGACCAATACGTCTCCATGGTACACATGTGTTTTGCACTTCCAGATATCCTGACCGCGCACGTTCAGAACCAGGTCGGCGTCCCCGCCAGCCGCATTCTTGAAGTGGATGTCGAACTTATCCTTCAAGGCGTGCCACTGGGGAACGATCGTTGCTATGGGCTGCGCATTGTCTCTCTCTTTGCTGCCCGGTAGGTGAACGAACCAGGTCACACCGAGTTTCTTGCGGGAGATCTCAAAGAGCGGCAGACCAGATGCGTCTTGAACATGCCGTCGCTGACTCCAGGAACCAAAGTCTCCATCGATGGTGAAGAGAGTCTCGGCGGGGGAACCGTCGGTCGGAACGGTCGAGACGGTGAAGTTGCCGGATGACCAGCGTATGCTGTGCTGTTTAACCCGGATTTTGGTCGTGTTGGAGGCCAGGTATTCTGTGCGCAGCGCGATGGGCTGTTTGAGAGGAGTAAGTCCGGGAGTCATGTTGATCGAGGGCTGGGGTTCACTGATAATAGGGATGGATTGTATACCTGTGGAGAATCTTTGATATTTAAATTCCAAAGCAGCCCCAAGCCGCGATATATACTATTCTCGCCGAAGTGAGAGCACTGGCCATGTCCTTGTGGACCTCAGCCTCGTAAGAGAGAAGGAGGATCGACGTTTCACCTGGCTCTTTCAGTGGAGAGAAAGGCTTCAATATCCAATGATCGATGGACTTGGGAATGCTCAAAAGGGTATATACTTTGGCCAAGAGTCAGCCCGATCATAGCGCTGCTTTGGCAACGCCACCCATGTTGCCCAGAAATTAGCGAGAACTGCTGAGTTTTAAGGACATTCTTAGGTCATTGTCATATAAGATTGGGATCCATTAAATATCTTCTTCGCGGTTGGATTGGGGATAGTGCCGAAGCAAGGCTGATCTTCCGCGCCACAGTACTTAGTTCCCCTTCTGTCTTTATCAATTGAGCTCTCTTTCCTGCTCGAGATCCAGTAAAGAGCCATCCGCTTTCGCTTTCTTATCATAAAGCCATGTGTCCGGTTTACTTCGGGATGTTGTCGTGATCAGAGCCCGTTGCCAATATGCCTTGTCCCCCATGAGAAGAGTTCCGCATCGGTTGGATATGTGCACTGCGCGTCGAAGCTGCCGCAGCGAAGGAACCAATGTTGTGATTGCATGCCTTCCTGATGGGTATTATGGACCGACTCCAGCCACGACAGTGCCAAAGCATATGGCCCGCACGTTTTCCAGCTCACTTCACATAGGGTTGCGGGTCAGTCTTGGTGAAGGGATCCCATCCGCTAAGCATGATATACGACTCGGTGACATTGTGATTAGTTGCCCTAACCGCGGTGTGCTTCAGTGTGACATGGGGAAGCTCAACTCACAGACAGGATTTTGGCGAACTGGATCGCTGAATAGCCCGCCTCGGCGATTGTTATCAGCACTCAGCATAATGAGGGCTACCGAGCTTACAGATGACCCCTAATATCCACGGTAAATCGAAAAGACCATCATGGGAAACACACGCACGCAGAGAACTTTTGGGCGGCCTAGTGCACAACAGGCCGATGGTGCAAAGCCAGGCATGACTATCCTCCTGCTGCAAGCGACTGTAATACATGCCTACCAGAGAGGGAGGAGAGCAGAAGCCAACTTAAAAACGATGACCCATAGCCACACTATGGGATCATTGCCTCAGGAGATTCGGTCCTAGTGAATGGACACATCCGGGAGAAGCTTGGGGGCAGACACCGGTGCCCTGGGCTTTGAAAGAGCGGCAGCTGGTCTAATGTTAGATCACCCCTGCATTGTCATCCGTGGGATCTGTGACTACGCTGATTCACATAAAAATGAGTAGTAGCAAGGATATACTGCATTAGCAGCAGCATCGTAGGCTAAAGAGCTTCTCGGTTATGTACCCTCGGGTCAGGCTTCACAAGAGAACCTCGTGGCCGATGTGTGTAGTAAGTGAATGTGCAGATAGCCACCGGAAAAGGCATGAGTCATTACGTGGCATTCTATACAAGCGCTAAAGGAGGAGCTCCAAGGCGCAAACCAGTGACTGGACAGAGTATTCCATCGACAAGAGCAGTAGTATGACGAAGAAAAGACACGGGTTTTGATCGACGCACAGGACAAGTGTCACCAACCATTTAAAACAAGACACTACACGGAACAAAAAGGACAGTCACCCAGATCGAGTATTTGGTACATGGCAATGGGTATTGCAACCCTCATATTAAATCCGCTGGTGGGAACGTTCGTCAAACTATCTCCTGTGAATTACAGCTGATCCGGGCTGCGGCAAGTCTGTCCTTGCTAAATCACTCATTGGTGAGTACTTGGAATTGCCTGACACGACAACATGTTACTTCTTTTTCAAGGATATGCATTGTCATTGTGGAAACGGAATGCGCAGAATCTTCAACATGAGGTGCATGAGCTATGGTCTATCTTCATGGGGGTAGCATCGGCCCGAGAATCATCTAAGATCATTTGCGGATATGATGTAGTTGATGACTGCTCTGAGAATGATCAAGATCAATAGATTCGACTACTTGAGGGCTTTCAGAGCCAGCCAGGCACGTCAACACAGCAAACCTGGCTTAAATCCCTGGTCACCAGTCATCATGAGCAAACCCAGTGTCGTTTCCAGGAATTCTTAACTCCACTACCTTAGATACAATTTGGAAGAAGATCAGATGAATGATCAAATCCAGCAAGAAATCAATCTGGTTATCAGGGTGAAGGTTAAAGAGCTGGCTGGAACCGAACACCTGTCGCCTGATACACAGCAGCGGCCCGAGCACAGCTTCTTTCGTCATTTGAAGAAATGGCCATGGCATTGGGAATTGTTCTCCAACCGGGTGCGAAATGCACAGAAGCGGCTGGCCTACCTGTAGTACATCTGGCTACCAAGCTCCGGCACCTATGCGGTCTATTTGTCTCGATCTGCAATTCACGAATATATCTTCTGCACCAGACGGCCCGAAACTTCCTCTTGAGGACTGAACTTGCAAGTGGTAGTAGTAGTCTCGATGCCTTGCCGCCCTTCTAGCTGGGTTTAGGACTACAGTGCTGAGATGTTATTCCCTCAAGTATCTATATCAGCATCTTTGTGTTCATACTCACGGCCTGGTGATCTACTAAGTGAATGTTCTGGCAATTTGCCACAGGATGTTCGATATAAATGATATAGGTAGGTTGACAGAACATCTAGTCCTGTCCACAAGAGCGGCATGTCTCAGTTCGCCTTCCGCGGAACACACCAAGGGTGAAACCCACTATCCGGGAACACGTACTCTGAGATAATCGGCTTATGGAGGTAGATCATCAGGGAGTGCAGGCTCCGTCTAAGTGCGGTGTTGTTTTGACGGCTTCATTTTCGAGCTTGCGGATCTTGAGTTCGATAGATTCGAGAGTTCGAAAGATGTCATGTCTGGGTCTGCGCTGACCTCTGGTAAGACATTAATATTGCCTTGGACAGAGGAGTTCGCAGCCCAATCGTGGATACTCTGGCATATTGATAATCATTGATCTATAGCGCTAGGTAGTAAGACATGAAAATTCTACTAGGCCAAGGGATCAGGAGGGGGCAAATCAAGGTTGAACTGCATTGCATGACAGTAAAGGCGTGCGCGGCAAGTGCCGTCAGCATGCACCAACCATATCCACGGCATCCCAACATCGTGGCATCTCGGTGCTCCTTGCCTTGATTTCGGAAGCGATGTCAGGGATGTCAGAGATGTCAGAGTCGAGAGATGTATCTACTACTCGGAGTATGTAGTATCTACGGATTAGCGGGTACTTTCGGCTGGTCTCGGAGAAACGCGGCTAGTCTCGCCCTCGTGGCTCGGATGGGAAAATTCTGCATCGAGGAAGGAAGAGCACCAGCCACAGGGCCGCTCATAGCCGACGACCTCTATCGCCTGGTCCGGGTTCATGACTGAGACACTGGGATGTGATTGGTGGGTACCTCTTTCCTGCCCATGCTCCTGTGGCTAGTATGAGGCTGGTGCTGGCACACTCTCAGCGACGCTGGCTACGGAGTAAGTGTTATAGGAACGCTCGGAAAAGTATGGATCTCTTACTACATCACTATCAGCTCCATCTGGCAGCAATTGATGGCTACTCAGACCTGAGCAGCGGGGGGAAAAAAACGAAAAAGAAAAAAGAAAATGTGCGGTCCACATCTATCCAGGCAACCAACCCGCCCTCATCCCCGGGGGTATATACAGACCAGGCCACGCCGGCTGGTCCCTTTGTAGTTCTGTTGCAGATAGACACAAGTACACCGAGTAAGAGTAGGCCCGAGCGGTACAGCTTTCTCTATCCAGAGAAATGGAGCAGTCCGAGACGTCCACATCGAGCTCGCCAAAGGCCTACGAACACGATGGCAGCCATCCCACTATCTCCTCCCAGCCGCTTGACAGCATCAGCGACTACTCCGACGAGACGGTAGACCACCTCGAGCCGATCGAGCTCACCCGCATCAACACCTACCGGCTCCAGCAGAAGACCACCGTGGGATCGACCCGCGGCCCTCTCCCCCGCGATGCATGGCTCCCCATGGGCGCCGGCAAGGAGTATCCGCCTGTACTTCCCGATCCGGAAACATACGTGGTGGAATTCGAGGGCCCTGAGGATCCCCTACATCCATACAACTGGTCCATGCTCCGAAGGTATACCTCCTCTCACTAAGCCCTGTTATTCATACACCTGAATACTGACGGAATAGGATCATGCTGGTCTGCATCCTCTGCTATGGTACCTTCGCCGGTTCCTTCGCCAGCGCCGTCTTCGCCGCCGCCATCCCCGACGCAAGCAAGGAATTTCACGTCAGCCAGGAACTCGGCTCCCTCGGCGTGACGCTCTACGTGCTCGGGTTCGCCGCCGGTCCAACCATCTGGGCCCCCGCGTCGGAACTCATCGGCCGGCGCGCGCCGCTGTCCCTGGGTCTGCTCGGCTGCGCAATCTTCACCCTGGCCTGCGCCACCGGCAAGGATTTCCAAACCATCATGATCTGCCGCTTCTTTGCGGGTTTGTTCGCCGCGAGCCCGATCTCCGTTGTCCCTGCTGTCTTTGCCGACCTCTTCAACAATGCGCAGCGCGGGATCATCATGTCCATCTTCTGCATGGCCGTGTTCATTGGCCCGTTCGCGGCGCCGTTCACCGGTGGCTTCATCGCCATGAGCTCGCTGGGATGGCGCTGGACCATGTACATCTCGGCGATCATGGTGTTCTCGGGCTTTGTGCTGGTCGTGTTCTTCCTGGATGAGACGTATGCACCCGTGATCCTGGTCCGGAAGGCGGCCGTGCTGCGACGCCAGACCCGCAACTGGGGCATCCATGCGAAACAGGATGAGGTCGAGGTGGACTTCCACGAGCTCCTGCGGAATAACTTTGGTCGCCCGTTGAAGATGCTAATCACGGAACCCATCCTGCTGCTGATCTCGCTGTACATCTCGTTCATCTACGGGCTTATGTATGCCCTGCTTGGTGCGTACCCGGTCGTCTTCCAGGGCGTCTATGGCATGAACATGGGCGTCGGGGGCCTGGCCTTTGTGGGTTTGATTATTGGAGAATTGCTCGGAGGCGTCTTCATCCTCTTCCTGCAGGGCTCGTATATCAAGAAGCTGGCGGCGAACGGCGACGTCCCTGTGCCGGAGTGGCGTCTTCCCCCGGCCATTGTAGGCGGCGTGACTTTTGCTATTGGCATGTTCTGGTATGTTCATCCCCCTTTTGCTTTTGCTTTCCTGTGACTTTGTATACTGACGGCTCAGGTTCGGTTGGACCGGCTTCACCTCGTCCATCCACTGGATGGCTCCTATCTCCTCTGGTATCCTGACCGGCTTTGGCATCTTTTGCATCTTCCTGCAGTGCTTCAATTACATCGTCGACTGCTATCCTACTCTGTACGTTTTCACTGTCCCTGTGTCTTGATGACTTTTGCTCATGCCAGCAGTGCCGCCTCCACTATCGCCGCGAACACTATCCTTCGCTCCGGTGTCGGATGCGCATTCCCCCTCTTCTCGCGACAGATGATGGAGAATCTCGGCGTGCAATGGGCCGGTACCATGCTGGGATGCATTGCCGTTGTCATGGTGCCCATCCCGATCGTGTTTATGGTGTACGGCCCTTGGCTTCGGGGGAAGAGTCGATCTGCCAGTGCGCGAGTGTACCAGGAAACGAAGGAAGTTTATGACGTTTGACGAGTACCGCCATCACACTCTTATAGACTAGATACTAGATAACGAATAACGACATTATGAATAATAATTATAGGCTAAACTCGGTGATCCATCACGCATAAGTAACGTATCTCATCCGCAAATCAGTAGTACTGCGGTTACATCCCCACTTCTGCCACTTCCAGCAAATTAATCCTTCTTCCCCGTGCCGTGAGGCTCCTTCAGCAGCATCAAATAATCCCCAATCGACCCATCATCACCCCGGATAAACTCCCACTTAACCGCCTTCTCACTCAGCACGGTCAACTTGCTAAGCCCATAGTGCGTGGTATCCAGGCGCGCCGTGATGTTCGCCGCCTTCTGGCCCTTGTCCAACTCGCTGTGGCTCTCGATATTTCCGGCCATGCCGTTGATGATGTGCGTGATCGACTTGCCCGGGTTGGCACGGTAGGTGTGGTTGTTCACAATCGAGGCGGTATCGATGGTGCCGTTGGCGGCCATGGGGTACAGGCGTTCGTACCAGTGGATATGTCTAGGGATTCACCACCATCAGCATCATGACTACAGCAGCAGCAGGAAAGGAAAGGCCACACTCACCCAGAAAGGTACGCATCAACTCCATACTCCAGGAACAGCTCCTCGAAGGCAGCCCGCAGATTCTTCTGGTACGAGCCCACCTCCGAGCTGTACATCGGCCGGTGGCTCATGACAAACACCCACGGCGTCTTCTTGCGGTCGACGGCCGCGAGGTCCTGCTTCAGCCACTTGTACTGCGCGTACGACGTGGTCTTCTTGAAGTCGCCGTCGATGGCGCCGAAGGGCCCGCTGTCGGTGATGTATGTCTCTGCCGCCTTCGGGTGCGTTTCGTTGCCCTTGATGTCCGCGAGGAAGGTCTTCTCGGGGCTGTTGGCGAAGTCGGTCTCGCCGTCCATCGAGATGAAGTGCGCGAGGCCGTAGTCGAAGGAGTACCAGAAGTTGCCGACGCCGCCGGTTTCGGCGCCGGGCATGCGGAAGCGGTGCTGGTATGTGGTGAAGTTTCTAGAGGATTGGACTTGTCAGCATGAAAGTAGAGAAGTAGAGGAGAGTATGAGGTGGTGGTTTGTTGGGGGGGGGAGTTACCGTTGAGAAGGAGGGCAGCTGTAGTAGGTCAGATTGGCCTTGGGAGCGGTGCCGTTGGCCACGCCGTTGTTGAGATACTCTGTCAGGATATTATGGCCCCCATCAAACTCGGCGCACGACGCTTCGTGGTTGCCCGGCATGACCATGTACGGCAGCTTGAGGGTGATGTTGTTCATCCACTGCTGCCACAGATCCCAGTTAGACTCGTACAGCACGCTCATGTCGCCACCCTGCGGGCTGCCCTGACTCGGAACCTCGCCGGCCGGCAGAGGCTTCTTGTACTCGTCCGGCACGGAGCCATTCCCGGGCAGCTTCGTGCTGGTGCCATTGTAGCAGACCGGCCAGTCGTCCTCGCACGGCAGGATACCAGAGTACCAGTCGTCAGCGTAGCTGATATCACCGCCGTGCCAGGCGAACGCGGCGCCCTCGTGGACCGTCTCGAGGAGCTGCTTGTAGGTGCCCTTGGCGTTGGTGTAGCCCATGTCGTTCAGCACCGCGACGCTGAAGGGCCGGTGGTCGCCCGCGCGACGGGCGGTCTTGAAGCTCAGCACGTCGGACTCGGTGGTGCCGTTGGCCGCGGGGATCTGGTAGTAGTAGGTGGTGTCCGACTCGAGATTGTCGAGGCTGACTTCGTGGAAGAACTGGCTGCACTGCGTGACGGCCTTGATCTGGGAGCAGGAGGGCGTGCGGTCATACCTATACGGTCAGTTTGCGTTTCCTCGAATCTAGTAAAGGAGAACATACGTATGTGAAACCCCACGAGCGGTGCCGTTCAGGTGTTTGGGGTGCTTCCCCCATTTGACGGACGGCGATGCGCCCAGTCCGAACGGCGTCTGGTAGTGGATGTGCATGCCACGGGGCAGGTACGACAACGAAATCACATTCACGTTGTTCGTCGGATTCGCGCTCGCTGGCTTCACCGCAGGAGGCTCAACAAGACGCGGAAAGCCCTTGCCATTGCCATTGATCGTGGGATCGACCCAGTCGCCCACCGGAACCGAAGGACCAGTGTACGGATAGGTCTCATCCACCACAGGACGAGCCTGCGCGGCGGTCGCGGCCAATGCCACCAGCAGGGCCGACGCAGTAGTAGTCTTCATCTTGCGTGTCTTGAAGCGAGAAGTCAACAGACAAACACCTTGCGAAGAACGGCGGGCAGGACGGACGGTTGCTTTTTAAGTCTTTGTTTACATGTCTCATGATCGAGATAAGAGACGGAATCCGCCGATGCTAATGCACGATGAGGTTCGAAGGGGGGCGTATCACACGTGTACATGCAGAGATCGGCAATTGGCCACGGCCCGGAGCTCCAAGTAAGCGATAGTGAGGTTGTATTGACTATCGCAGGGCTCTAACCAGGCATCGACTTATCATGGCTGGTCGAGAAAGCTTCGGTTAAGCTTGAATCAGCATGTGCGGGCTGATAGACGAACTGATTGGCCTGTGAAATGCGTTGATTTTATGCTAGCTGCACCGCTAAAGGACGGCAGCAGGAATCAATGTCCCGCTATTGAACGAGGCGCATTAGTCTCGCTATATCGACTCTCGGACTGGCTGCATCCGAGAGCACCCGCTTACGATTCGCTTTCGGGCAACTTGGGGGAACAAATGCATGGAGCGTTCGAGAACGAACTGCTGCTAATGCGGTTATTTAATCTGCCTCCACGATGTTCAGTCGAATGAATATGCCGCATTATTCCACGAGTAATCCTTACTGTGGATGTCGCTGGCTTGAATGCTTACCGTGTAGGCCGGTTGATTTGAATTCAGTTCAAATGGTGCCTTTTGAAGACCGGCTACCCTTGTTTACACATTTATATAAGGAGGACGATGGATTGTGTTGTTGTTTGGATGACTAGATTTCCGTTTTCGGAAATCTACCCTACCTTGGTCGATGGAGCTCTTCAATTAACCAAAGTCCGGAGAAAATATCGGGAGGAAAGATAATTTATTCAGAAGCCCCGAATCATCTGAACTCAACTTTATTGTTTGAACATACTCAGATAATCAAGCCGTTCTTGGACCATCCCCACATTGTCCGCCTCTTCGTGAAGAGCCTTTCGTAACGCCCTCACAGCCACATCGATCCTCTCGATCTCTCCCCTCTGGCTATCTGTTTTGTTTGGCATTGCGTCAATCTTCTTCTCCATCAGCGCCATCGTCTCCATCGCCGTCCGAACCCTTGTCCAGAAAGCCGTGGTCTCGTTCAGGTATTGTGTCTCCTCCAGCGGCACTTCCCACCGGGTCGGCGTGATTTCCACGATATCCAGCCATTTGGACATATGCGACCATCGATGCTCCTCGAGTCCGGGGAAATGCACGAGTAGATTTCCTCTCTTTCCTTCGTAGGCGTGCGTCCATTCGTAGGTGTTGATCCATGTTCGCGGCACATATACCAATCCATCGACGTATCCCTCCCCCTTGGGACCTCCTGTCGTTTGATTCAGTACGCGGGCCATACTCTCTTGGTCCATCGACCGACCGAGAGTTTCGTTGGGGAGATACAGAGGGTATGCCAGACTCTCGACGAGCATGTTGATCGTCCACGGGTGGATGTGCAGGAACATGATGCCGGTGTTCAAGCCATTGTGATCTTTGGTCGCGACGAGGTGGATATCCTTCAGATCACTTGGGGGGATGAACAGGTCGGCGGGAATAGCGCCATTGAGGATGATCGAGTCTGCATCCACCCACCTGCCGGAATCAGGAATCAGTATGCTGCCGTTGCACCCAAAGGCTCAGAAAATCAAGAGACGCACATCAGCCACTCCACCCTTTTCCCCGGTGGCTTTGCCAGCTCACCAATCACGAGCGAAAGAAGATAGCTCGGTTTATTCCAGAACCCCACGGAGATATCCTCCCGCAGGATGTGCATGGGGTATCCCCAGCGCTGGGCGTGTCGGGTGTGGCTCTGCAGCGCTCTCTCGTACAGCCGGTTAGGCCTCCCGTACAGCATCGACACCTTGGCGATGCGCTGTGGTGAGGGCTCGGGAGATACATCGGGCCAAGAGAATGAGCTGTAGGGTGGGTAAATGAGCCAGATCAGACATAGCACCGAGAGAGCAGCGAGGATGGTGAGAAGCGGCCGGCAATGGCGAGCTTGTCGCATGGCGTGGGCGATCATGGTGTCACATAATTGAGATTTCCTGACACAACTACCATGTCAGAAACATGGCAGTAAGATCATATTAATTGTCTTCTGGCCGGTGGGCGTCGGACTTGAAGCCCGAGGACTCATGTCAACCGCATCCGGATGCGGCCGTTTTAGGCAACTGTCAAGTCCACATGGTGACTTCATCTGCAGACCACGTTATTGTCACATTACAATGTGGACCAGAATGGCATTTATTGACGACCCATTGAGTAGTGGTGCTTGGCGTCTGTCACTCGCATAATCATCGCGTCGAAATTGAGAGAGAGTGGTCGGAGCTTGAGTCCGTGTCGATTAGAATTGGTGCCTACGCAACTATGAGCGGAGCCGGTACCAAACAGACACTCGGAGGTCTAATTAAATATTCACCACAGAGTACCCATGCCTTGGGGTCTAGGGAATTGAGCTATTGTCTATTGTTGGACGCTTCGAAGCGTCTTCTCTCTAGGATAGCAGTGAACCGGGATACAGACAGAGACAGCTAATAACCGTAGGATGATATTGCACGGCTCTTATATATTATTCGCCTGGCAGAAATTAATACTATTATAGATAATTTGCCTCCAATGATGTTTATGTTTTCCTTCAGATCGATTATCTTCAACTAGTAAGGCTTCCTCCCATACACCACGACACTATCACCCATTAGCACAATCCGACTACCATCGGGAAAACAATAACATACATCTTCGTATACGAATGCAGCCTGGGATCCTTCAACTGCTGCCTCACCAGAGCCTGCAAGATCTTGGTCTGGTCCGAGCTCCAGCCCAAAATCTGCGTGCACAGCCGGAGCCCATACGCCTCGACCGCACCCTCCACCATGTGCGCCTGATACCGGCCGATGTCCTTCTGATACGGATCCCGCGGCCACGGCGAGAAGGGCAGGAAGTATGTTTTCTCATGCACGTCCTCGAACCCAGCGTCGATGAGCCACCGCTTCAAGTCCTTGTAGACATTGAGCTCGCGGCCGATCTTCTTGCCCGCGGCGTCGAGGGCGGCGAGGTACCGCGCAAAGGGCGACTCGGGCGTGAGGGAACCGTCGTCGCTCCAGGCCCAAACCGCGCTCTCCTTGAGCTCGAAGTAGCCCCCGGGTTTGAGGTGGTCGTATGCCTGGCGGTAGAGTTGCGGCCAGTCTGCCACGCATCTGGTGACTGTTAGGCGGGATCGTAGTGAACAAGAAGGGAAAGTGACCTACCCGGCAAGATTGCGCGAGTGAATAAAGTCATATGTATTCTCCTTCTCCAGCCAGTCGCGCTCAAAGTCATCGATGATGAACTCGACATTTGGAGGCAGCCAACCGGGCTGGATGGGGCTGATGTCGTTTCCGATGACCACTGCCCCGGGAAATTCGCTATACTGATTTAGTAGATATTGCGGTAATTAGATTCCTGGGTGGAGTACTCGGCAAAATCAATAGCCCAGATCCCTGTGCCGGTACCCAAATCCAAGACCTTCTGTGGGTTCTTGAGCGGCGCGTTGAAGAGTCGTCCGCCAAGCAACATCAGATATCTGGATTCTTCTTAGTAGATTATTGCGCATGTCAAAATGGCGAAAGACCAACATGTGATGCGTCTAAAGACAGGTTAGCTAGGGTCAAGGATACTACGCGGGACAACCTGCCAAATCAAGACGTTCTTGTTCCACCTCATCATTGGGCATCCTTTCTGGTCAGTTTCACATTGATAGACGCGGCTCGATTGGCATACATGTAATTTCCCTGGGCAGATGCTTAGCTGCTGCAACTGTACCCACCATGCATGCACTTACCGCACGGCCACTGGGGTATCTGCGGCCATTTTCATACTCATAGTCGATGATGCTCGAGGTGAGCGAGTTGGAATCAAGAAACTCCTCGCCGAAATCACTCGCTTCAGTCTAGTAGTTACGCATGAGCTACTGCGGGACCAATCGTCAAGATAACCCAAAACTCACGCTGCTGTCAAAGTCAGGGGGAGAGGGGGGACCTTGCGCCTCGGAGACGCTACCCGTCTCGCTGGGATCTTCAACACTGGCCATCGTCCCGGGGTTTGCTGGACTGTGGAAATCGCTGGATGTTCCGATCGAAGTGTCGGCTATTATGCTGCATATGGTGGTGCTGGTGACGAACGAGGATGATGATGATGATGATGATGATCTGAAAACAGGGGGACCTGGACACTTGCAGCATGGAATGCAGAAAGGGGGGGGCTGATTATTATTTGACTATCGGCTAGCTGAACCTCCCCGAGTCTGAAGGTTCCACTGTCATACCCACTATAGAATCTGCTGTAGCACGATGGCCTCCAGATGGTCTTGGTACTATTGCTCATAGATCGCCAAGAGGTATCTGGCTAGAGTGATTGGTGCGATCCACACAGATATCGGTCATCGCCACCCGGGGCGACGACGAAGGAATGCTAGTATGGGGTACAAGATCATGAATACTTTACATGTCATTGTGCTTGACGCACTAATATTGAAACACACGCCTTGAGTCTCTTGACTGGTACTTGCGAATGATAGCACGACAGCCAATGACCAAAACGAACGGACTGCGGAAACCAAGCGATGACTATGCCAAGATAACATCCTATCCCAAATTCCGCTTTGGTAGATACAATGCAGAGATATGACTCTCCAATTTCCAATTCCAATGGGGGGGTTCATGTATAAGTAGGTTGCCACATCCTAGTCCAGCTTGTCCGGTGGGCCTCCCGCGACGGGTCTACCCTTCCCCCCCTCGGGTCCTGCGCTGTGACCATGGGTAGAGCCGCTGTCAGCTATCTGGCCTATGGTAGATAGAAATCTGAGAATGAATTGATCTTCTAACTGACAGCGCTACTCTTCTATCAAACTAGTATGGTCAAATGGACTTATATCTCTGATTTCTTGCTTCTCCTATGGGCAGCATTCTTAATTTGATGCATCTACCTGTCCTCATGCACAAGATATAGGCCTTACTACCACTCTACCAGTCCCAGACATAAGCACCCTTCATGCAACTTGACTGAGCTCTTGTCGAAGTCTTTGGCAGCAGCCGGCTAGGCGAGGTACTTCTGGGCCCCATGCCACTTGCGCGCGGGCCGCCATGGGGAGGTACGAGCGCAGGGTAGGGATGGTGTTCCTTACATATGGCCTATGCTTAACCAAAAATTCTATTAAACTCTCTCCACCACCTATGCCATGACCGCTTTCCAGGGATATGCCATACCTTAATGAAAATGACCGCACTACTGAGCTCGCTGAGGATGTCGCTCCGCGGGCGCTTCAAATTGAGCCCGTGTAAAACACTAAAAACACCGATCAAAGTTCTACCGGCCACTGAACTAGTTGAAGAAGAGCGCGCTCCTCATTATAATCTGAAGCATTTTTACCCTGCCCGCCTCTACGAAGTTCTCGACAACCGATACCAGATTACCGCGAAACTTGGCTGGGGTACCAGTTCAACTGTCTGGTTGGCTCGTGATCTACAGCAGTATGTCTAAATCTGGCTTTCATGGCTGTTGTCTGTTGACTAACGTAGTAGGTGGCGCTGGCGCCCGACCCGTTATGTTGCGGTCAAAATCAAGGCGAACAACTACGCTACCACAGAAGACGCTGAATGGGATCTACGCCTTATAGAACATATCAGTCACACGAACCCGCGGCACGTAGGCTGCAGCTTTATCAGCACGTTGCTCGACTCCTTTATGTTGCCCGGCCCGTATGGCACTCATGTCTGCATGGTGTTCGATCCCTTATGTGAGCCTCTGTGGATGTTCAAACAGCGATTTCATGGGAATGTGCTTCCGTTGGATGTAATGAAACCTGTGGCAAGAATGATCCTGGAAGGTCTTTGCTATCTTCATTCCCAATGCCACATTATCCATACAGGTATTCCCCTTCGTCAAGATCAAAGCGAAAAGCACTCTACTGATCAATCGACAAGATCTGAAATCCGACAACATTCTCATGTCTCTCCGAGAGCCGTCTGTACTTGACAAAGTTGCGCAGGATGAGATGAATGACCCTCTCCCTCAAAAACATCTTGAAGATCGAACAATCTATCTCTCTAGAAACCAGTTTGGCTTAGAGGTAAGGGGGCTAGGGAGACCAGTGATTACTGATTTTGGGCTGGCTGTGGATGGATCTCGGATCCATCATCATCTCATTCAACCTGACGAATACCGAGCCCCTGAAGTGATTATTGGAGCAGGCTGGAGCTACAGTGTCGATATCTGGAATCTAGGGGTCTTGGTATATCTCATTCTGTTTGCCGGGAAATCCAGAGCACCTAATATTGAACTAGATTCTGGATTTAGTGCACGGAAGAGGACCTTTCGATATGCCGCAATCGGATACCTCCCCGTTCTCTCCTGAACAACATTTGGCCCGTATAATATCGATACTTGGTCCTCCGCCCGTGGATATGCTTCGCCAAGCAAGGGACGGCTCTAGATACTTTAACGCTGAAGGTAGTATTACATTCAAGCAATATTCAAGATTTACTAATCTTGGTACAGGAAGGTTTAAATATCCGGAGTTGATCCCAGAGAGCGAAGGACTCAACGGCATCCTTTCCGACATTGAAGGTTGTGACCAACAGGCGTTTCTTAATATGATATCGCGGATGCTGCGGTGGCGACCAGATGATCGAGACAGCGTGGAAGATCTACTCTCGGATCCTTGGTTTCAGGAATAGTAGAAAGCTAGCTCCCAATGTTGAATATGCTCATGAAGCCGCGTCTCACATGAGAAATGAGGAATGAGTATAATGATAGACAATCTTGGATTTACCCTCACGCCCGGCTCAATGGTCTCATTCCAAGATGCCACTTTTCCAATGATACTCATGAGTTTCCTTCACCTATGCTGGTATCACAGGCTATCCATGCTTACTCTACCTGGTGATCTGGATCATGTCTAAGATCGTTCCAAAGCGTTCGCCTCTCAAAGAACCCCTTAGTTTCCTGCTAAAGCATCCTCACCGCTGCTATACGTTGCCACACATGATCGAACTGCCCCTTAGCGGCAACGTTGGTCTAAGTCTTGGGTGCCCGGCAGTGATGACTTCACTCTCCAGTGAGTTCACTACATTCAGCAAACTCGTGGTATGCGCAATGATGATCTGCGGACGGCATCGGGGACTACCATACCCGCTTGACCGTGCCGATTTATTCCCCGGAGAACGCCTGGTGAAGGATGGCCGTTATGAATACCCATCTCTTCCAAAGTTTCCGAAGATCAACCGTTATTGGACCAGTTGACACAGTGTTGGTGGACCATACTCATCGAGTAATGCCCGGAAGAGAGGGAGTGGTGAGAGATATGCGAGATGCGTGTGTGGCCAATTAGATACTCTGCATACTTGCTTTGCTGGTCCTCTGCTTAATAGAGATATATATGGCAAGAATGGGAAGTAGTATGTGGTTAATATGAGCCTCTGCATTAACACTGTGCCTTGACCGCTCTTTGCTCACTCCATGCCCTTCAATCTTGATTGTCTGGTAGATCAGCTCCTCCCCTCGCAATAGCATACATCCCCGATGGCGCGGACGCTACATGAGGGATTTTCTTTCCACCGTTGGACGCTCCTAATGGGACGGAATAATTATGGAATACGACGACTCAGCGCTGCCCAGAAATCCCGCATACACTTTCATTTGAATTCCCTGGCTATACAGTTTAACTGCCTATAGCTGGGAAACAGTTCCTGTCCTATAGGAGTCATGATTGACGGTAAAGAAAGAAAAAAAAAGCAAGAAAAAGCCCTAATCATGATGATTGTGCAGATGTAGCCGGGTACCCGGTTTTCTCTGAACAGCAACACTTGATATCTCTGTCATGTGTCTATTCCGACAGCTTTGATATATAAATACTAGCCTAGGCCCTTTTCAAGCCGCTTTCGACTATCACCGTCCCATTATCCCAGGCATTGCATCCGGGGCGAAAGGAAGAATGCTAGTCAATGGTGAAAAATGGGCTTGTGGATATTGCGTCCGTGGGCACCGTGTGTCTACTTGTCAACATCATGGTACAGTATCCCATAGCTTCTACCCTGTTTTTAGGTTCTACTTTGTCGTTTAATTTGAGCTAGACGTACTAAGAAAGCGTACAGATCGACCATTAACTCGCATCAACCGGAAAGGGCGCCCGTCTGCTACCTGTGCTGTATGCAACAACACCCCTTGTCCAAGACCAAGAGAGCACTCGAAGTTGAAGAGCAACACCAACAACACCGGGACCAAGTCTTCTCCCAAGGTAAGCGTTGCTATGGCTCACCACCAGATAGCTGCCATGATATCTCCATTGGGAACATAAAATACTGGGTTCCGATTTCCCATCACAACATTGTCAAGCTGATCCTATTTCTTGGGATATCTATTAGGGCATCCCTTCAAGACTGCGTTTACGCCGGAAGCACGCTTTGCCACCCCTAGTACCACGGCCCATTAGGACAGTAGATGCTCTTCCTACTATGCTTCCGGCCTCTGAAACTGCTCCTCGTCATAGGCATAGCCATGTCCCCGGCAGCGGGGATGCGCTTATGGCAAAGACATACCCGTTAACAAGCTTGAGCGAGGTCGCGAAAGGCAAGGGACAGCAGGTGCCCCATCCAAGAGATTTTAGGGAGAGTCGGACACCGCTCGGGGCTCCTTTGTCTATTATATATGGCAGTGACCAGATACGTTGCGTGGCAGCACCCAAGGCCATGTCCCCTTCTGGATCTGGATTCTCACTCGCTGGGCCGCCGTTGCCCATGCTACCGACTGAGAATAGGCTGTATAGTCACCCAATTTCATAGATACCACCGATCTCAGCTGTGGCTGCGGAGGGCGAATACCTTTAAGAACGTCATGGTTGATGGAGAGCTTTTTTATTTGATGTCGTTGATAATAGCTAGCTAGCAAAAACGGAGTCATCTTTAGCGCTAAGAACACCATTTTGTCAATCACTTCCAGTGCCATCTATGTAACCTCTCTCCACGTCGGGCCGGAGAAAGCCCATGAGACCCTTGGAGAAATTTAACGACTGCTTGAAGGATCTAAGAGGGATTAAACAGATCCAGCAGGTGTCACAGGGATCGAGCAACGTATGACCCTTCCCTTAGCATGCCAGTATCATACATAGTTTCTGCGGCCGGCGCCGCTCCAACTGCCTTGACCTATGGACCGTCCTTCAAATCCCTGGCGGGAACTCCGACGGGGTCTGTTACATTGGGTATGATACGAATTCTTTCGCTGAAACTGTGCTGAGATTCAGTCGTTGATGCCATCGCAGGATTGAACCGTCGGTTCAATGACATCTTCAATGGTATTGCCGCTGCCCAGAGGTTGCCAGATGCCTAATCTCAATGCGATTGAGCTGGGCAATGAACCAAACTGTGTGTCAAGGATCAGTCTGGGGCAGGTCTGACCTGATCACTAGCAGATAAACCTAGATAGCTATATGTGATGCTACCTTATAGGTCTCCTAGTAGTAGTCTAGGGGTTTTATACTAGGTAAAATAAGTATTATATAGATATATATCTACTTCCTATTAGATTCGTAGAAAGTCTAGGATCTTATAAGCATATAAGGGAAGCTTAGCTGTATATAAGGTGTATACGAATTACTACTACCTATAATAGAGCTTATACTATAATCTAGTAAGATTAATAGACCATACTAATATCAAAAGTAGGTTCTAATAGTTTATGAATGAGGCAGAGGACATACAGACTAGCTTAATGTCTAGCAACCCAAGGTGGGGGTTGGATATACCAGCAGGAGTGACATGTAGAGTTTGAATGTGATTATTATAGTTTTCACAAAGGGATTCATCTCCTCGTAATGGACAACATCGAGTTTGAGGGTTTCTGGGCTCTAAATTCTTTGGTACTTACTCCGGCAGTCTGGGGGACTCATTGTCGTTGGATCAAGAGTATGGGTTCTTCTACCTGACTATATTAAAACAAGTCTTCCGCTTGATCACGAAATAGTTGAAATCTTTGCCGCCAATGGCACATATTGCAGGACAGGAGAACCGGGTGCGAGATGCTTGATTCATTTCTGATATGGTCTGATCTGGGATCAATAGCCGAAGAGCCAATTCTGGGGTCGTCAACAATGGAAATCAGCTACTGTTCTGCCTTTCAGATGATCATAGTGGAACTTCTGATCTGGGGGAAGTCTCAGGGCGATCAAAGCCGAGGCAATGATAGATAGCATCGTGACCCTGTTAGAGTTCATTGAGTCCTCCATTTCATGAACTGCCTACTAAAAGCAAACAGACCATCAATACCCTGCAGGCAAACTGGATCTGGGTCCCAGCTTGGATCGATTCCTCAAAAGCCAACACCGCCGGCAAGGTCGTCAGGTTCCATCGTCATGTTTCCCTGTCCTTGCCTGCCACACGAGCGCTCATTCACTGCTCGGCGGACACTCAATACAAGCTTTTCCAAGGCCTATGAGCAGTACTGGGGCAAGTTTATGGGGTCCCTGGAGGCACATGCTGGACTACAACTTAACCATCTAGCAGGAGGATAATATGCAGCAGAGATCTGATTGCCATGCCTAGTGGCAGTGATATCAGCGAGGATTGCCATGGGAAAGGATAATGCGGCATTGGTGAGGTGGAAGACTATTAAAAATAAGAAGAGAGTTAATATGTGCTTTGAAAAATGGTGAGGGCAAGGTGGAACAGGGGGTGGTGGACTTTCTTGCATTTATCATACATAAAGCTTAGCCATGCAAAGAGATCAATATATGTAATTATACCTGTAGATCTGCTCAAAATCATACCAAGAATTATAAATTTGATTGCACCAGAAAGGGACATAATGATATATAAAATAATAATTACCATGTCCTAAAGCCGCAAACCCCCTAATACAATTCTAAAAATTGGTATCACTCCATCCCTAGCCTGTATAAATCACTCTTGTGACCAGGTAGTTATCTCACACTAGACTAGGGATAATAAGAAGCCAGCCTACGAAGTGGGACTTTAGTTAACGCCACCTTGTGTGTAACTATAACCAGACAGAGGCAACAGATATTGCTAATAACAGAACCCTAAGATCAACCCCTAGTCCAATTCCTATCAGTCTGGCTAACTGCTGTTACTGTGCATCTCTAGTTGCAGGATGATTCTTTTGCGCTGATTATCCTCGCTCACATGAGACACTTATTGATGCTATCTTGTGGAAGTCTTGGATCAGAAGAGCTCTGTCATTAGTAGTGGATTGCAGGCCCTCTGTATTGAGCAAGATTGTCAGATGATATCTAAGTACTCCGAGTATGCTGGTCGAGATAGTCGCCAATTATGTAGTCGTATATCACCGAGAACTTCCCATACCTGACTGCATGATGGCCTCGAAATACCAATATCTATCAGGCTAGGGACAACTTTCTGACATGATATTGTAACAGTATTCTGCTTTTGCAGCCATATTTACAGGTGATATTACACAGAAAAGAGCCACATGTTCAGCTTGACTATGCACTTTTGAAAATCTTTATCTGATACAATGGCTAATGTGAGGTTACACTGAAATAGTGCCTACAAGTTTTGAGGTAAACCCATCAAGAGAGGCATTACGTGCTTGAGAAAGACATTATCATGTGCTCTTCTTACAACTAAGGTCTAGTGCTAAACTGTAGGACAGGAGCTGGCAGATATTGCCCGGGTGTATCTGCTTCCAGAGACCATAAGGATTGGGATCACTACCAGTAGCAGGTTCCACTCTGGAGGATTATTTTGCCTTTAGGGCAAAAGAGCTATGAATGCATTACGCACTGATGCCCAGGAGTGATTAATACCCCTAATTGATTTACCTATTCTGGTTGACGCTTTAACTTCATAGTTCTGGGGTGAATCATCACGTATATATTGTATTCCTGCCCCTGAGCTTCCGCACTATTCATTTATATAAAACATTGAAAACCATTTGGAAACACAATTGGAGGACAGTAGCCATGAGAATTCTTGCACTTCATGGAGTGGGTTCGTCGCCCACAATGTTCAAGGAACAGCTGGTCCCTCTAGCCTCCCTGTTAGGACCGAGGTATCAATTCACTTTCTTCGAGGGAACCGTTCCATGTGAAAAAGGCCCTGGTATGCCTACCCCTGGCATTGTTCTCAGTGGGAAAGGATACTGATGTAGTTCGCAGGAATGCCCAAATGGTATCATGGGCCATGCTACGCATACATGACAGAGCATTCACCCAGAGCGACTGCCAAAGCTCTCAATGATTTAAACACCTTCATCGAAGATAACGGACCGTTTGATGGAATAATGGGCTTCAGCCATGGCGGAGCAGTTGCAGCCTCCTATATCCTGGACCGTCAGATACGATATCGCCATCTACCGGCTCCCTTCAGTTTCGCAATCTTTCTCTCCCCTACCGCGCCCACCTTCCCAGATCCATCTCACCTGCATAGCATGATCAAAGGACTGCTTCGCGACTCGCCTCCAACATTCTTGGCCAGCTTTCCCCACTGGGATTACAAGCTTCTAGGGCCAAAAGAACGTGCTTTTAGCGAATACCTAGCTCTGTACGCTTTGTTTCTCGAGGAGCTAGGTATCAAAATACCAGTACTCAAGCTTGACTTCATTCAGACTCCAAATACTGATGATGTTCCACGTTTGCTGCATCCGGCGCTTATTGAAGACCGCATTAGTATTCCAACTGTGCATACGACAGGGGAAAAAGAAGGCGGGATGTTCGGGCAGATGGCATCATGTGTCCAAGGTCTGTGTCATGAATCACTCAGACGGACTCATCGGCATCGGGGCGGGCATAGTCTGCCATTGAAGGAACATGAGCTTTGGGAGTTGGCGTCTTCTGTACATTGGGCGGCGGAGCGAGGGGGAGACCTGACCAGGCAACATCGGGCAGGCTTCAAGCTCTGATGAATACGTGTAGATCTCTTTGTTTGATATGGCTCGTGGTCGCATATACATGATTTGCAATGCGACGACCAAATGCCTAGTGATTTTCTTGTTTCCAGATCGAGTAGGACTCTCCACAACTCGAGATGGTATGCTATTCCTGAGTTTCTCCCGGTGCCCAACGATCAATTCACTACTGCCCATGCAGTGGGTAAGAAAAGTATGGGGTATATTGAAACGCCCCCTTGCCATGGTCAAACAGTAATTTCCGGAGCAGACCCCCGATGACCGCAATTACTGCTACTATCACACCATGACTCGGCCAGGCCCCATATTTTATATGGGACCTGTTCGCTCCATCAATGCCCCAGAGATATACCAGCAGCGCGATAACACACCCCGTGGCCAACGCGACTGCCAGCGGAGGCTTTCTAGTTCGTACCTGCGACGCTTTTGGATTCGCCGAGGCTTTTCTTTGAGCCTCACCTTGAGTGTGGTTCGGTTTCTTGCATACTTAGCTTATGTGCCGGCAGTCGAAGAGAGGTCACGCGTACCCTGATCCAGCCAGACAGCGTTCCAATCCCAAGGGTCTCCAATATTTCATGAGCAGTAGCCGAATGGCCTGTATAATCGAAGTCTTCCGTTGCGTCCTTTCCAGCAACCTCCATCAACAGTTCCCTACCCCCGGGGTGATTATCAAGATACCCTGTCACGGCATAGACTAAGGCATGTGAGTTCCTTGCATCATACTTCATGTAGGTATAAAATAACTGACCTTTTCCGTGGATGGCGATCCATGCACTCTCCCGGGTGTTATGCTGGGCGATCTCTTCCAAAGCAAAGCTAGTCATCGTGCCGCTCAGTTGGTTGTTTCCTCGTTTAGGGAGCTGGGTGTCTTGTTTAAATAAGTAAGCTGACACAAGATGTCGAACTCTCTTCGACATTCAAGAAGTTCATCTTACTCAATTCTTCGCCACTGGAAATCAGTAAGGGAGGAAAGCCGCTGCATGAGAAGCATGATTGACTAATGAGAATTTGAGATTTGACCTACCCATACCTCCTAGAATACCTGTTGACTTCGGTGTTTCTATTCTATTTTCCTGTTTTGCCACGATGTCTAAAAGCGAAAGCATCTATCTACTCATCCCTTCTTCTTCTCACTCCCGGGGACATAGAACTTGGCTATTACATAACATGGTCTCCCAGTCACCTTCCCAATCTAATCGGAACCATATAACACCACAGCAGTTGCACCAGATTTGCGATGGTGCATGTCCTGTAGAAGCGGAAATCACCCCCACACGGAGATGAACCTGATAGCTCAGCTCTCTGTGCCCTCAAGGTCCACGTCCTCATCAAAGTCTTCAAGATGGCAACCAAATCTCTCTACTTGGAGGGTAGGCCGCCAGAAGAAACGTTGTGTTCTGTGGATATTTCAGGCCTCAAGACGTTGGATGACCTGAAGTATCGTACTGCCAGCATTTTCGGAGTGGCACTTCCTAAGTGTGAGTCCGCCGCTGATTATACCATTGTTTTTTTCTTTTTCCTCCGCTGAAAGAATTTGAGGTTAGCCATATCATTCCATAATGAATCCGGTTTACTGTCCAGTATGGACGATATCAGTACGACCGTCACCAAAATCGGCGTCCACGTGGATGACTCGGTGATCAGAGTGCCCCATGGCCCCCGGGAGCTGCCATTTGTCGGACAATATTTCGAAATTCACCCCGACCACCTTGGGAACCATGAGAGGCTATTCCAAAAGTATGGGAATGTCATCAAGACAGTCGTCATGGGAAGGACTGTCTACCTCACAAATGACCCGCGGGTGACGGAAGTCGTCTTTGGTGAGAACGAATTCTTCACCAAAAAGACCTCCGACTTCAATCATCCATTCTTCTGGGTGAATGACAATATGGCGCTTCTTGTTGGCGACACTGGGGCTCCAGCCGTTAAACTGGCCCACAAGTTCATACCGCCGAGTATGTCCACCGCGGCCGCCCAACACTATATGCCGATTCTCCAACATGCAATCCAAGACTCGTTTGCGGTCTTTGACCAGCTCGATGACCGTCAGGCCGCCTGGAACACTTTCCAGTTTATGTTCAAGCTGAGTGGGCAGATGATAGGCAAGGTGGCGCTGGGAATGGACCTGGATCACTTCCAGACAGTCGACACACAACCACATCAGATTATGCACCTGCTGGGAGAATCTATTCGTCTCACAAGGCAAGCCTCTCTGAGCCACCCTTATCTCGTATATCTTCCCTTTAGCGCTGTACGGTGCCTAAGAAATACGAAAAAAACGCCTCGTATCAGCCCTGTACCAAACAGTCTCTCCATCGCTGATTTCCGAAGCACCCGACCTGCCTATGGCCCAGGCTGCGATCCAGTCCACCTGCATTGCAGACTACCTCAAGCGAGCTGTGGATGAAGATAACCAAAAGATGCCCAAGGAATACATTCTACCTAATCTTGTATCGATCTTGGCAGCGGGTCTATCTACCACGTCCTCCGTGGGGTCCTACCTCCTCTACCTCCTAGCGCACCACCAAGACATGCAGAGCAGAATCCTCCAGGAGCTGATCAATAACAATGTGACTCCAACAGCATCCTGGGACTACAAAACGCTAATGTCACTCCCATTCCTGGACAGCTTTGTCAAGGAGACCCTCCGCCTCCACAACCCAGCCTTCCAACCCGCCCGCTATGCCAAAAAGGACGTCATCGTCCCAGGTGCCTACCATCTACCTGCCGGCGCAGTCGTCAATCCGGTCTTCTTCTCCCTTCACCGCAACAAAGACTACTGGGAGAATGCACACCGATTTGACCCGGACCGCTGGCTGGCCGCTGATGTGCAGAAGCACCGCACGGCGTACACCCCATTTGCTGTAGGCCCTCGGCGATGCGTAGGCTTCAATCTAGCCAATCTTCAGCTACGGTTGATGCTCGCGATGCTAATCTTTCGGTATAAGTTCGTTGATGTGTCGCCTGAGCCCGTAGTCAACGATCATGAGTATTTGCTAGATAGGCTGGTGAACTGTTATGTTAGAGCAGTAAGAAGAACGTCGTGGCCAGAGAAGGAGCTTTAGATTGTGCTTGGTCTCGCTGTGTTGTCGTCTGAGTGGTCAGCATGAAGTTGCTTTGTTTTGTTTGGATACGTGTCCTACATCTAATATCAGGACTAAACCACCAAGGAGCAGTTGTTGTAGCTTGACGTCCCGGCCAACCGCGGGGTCTTTAAAATGCAATTACCTTTTCCATCTTCTGAAACTGGTAGAGACAGCCTCTGCCGGAAGCTCTCGAACGATTCGTGCGTAAAGATATCGGAAGGACGAAATACCCTTTGGTGTTCTGTGTCCTCCTCAAGTATAACATGCCATCTGTAGCTTACATAGTACGCCTTTCTGAACTTCCTCAGCCCTTGTGTGCCAGCATTAGACTCGGAAACTAAAGCCAAGGCCCAATAATGGCTGACTTGAAGCTCGTATAATCAGCCGCTCGGACAAATTACTGAGTAGTGTGTCGAATGTGGATAAGCACGAGGGTTGTCTGCTCGGCTATTTTTCCCATCTGCGAAGCATCAAATGCAGCCACTGCCGACTCCGCCCCAGCCTCAATATAAGAAGTCAATGATATAAATCCCCGCATGCCTTGGACTATACAAGCGATCAGCACGATTATGTAGGCTCCATGGCACACAGTAACCTCTACCTCCTAATCTTGCTCCTCCAGTCCCTCCCCGTATCCGCACAGTATGTCGTTTCGTCTACCGCCGCCTGGTCCTCGCAGATCATCGCCTTCTGGGGCGCGATCATCATTGCCTCGCAGGTCGGCAGAGTCGCCGGTGCCGGAACAGCGCTCTTTTCTAGCATCCGTCTAGCCTTGCGTATTCGCGCCATAACTAACGCTCTCGCCCGGGGAAATTGGTTTTTGCACTCCGGATGGGTGACGAATACCCTCCGCACGGACATCGCAGTGGTATGCTGGCGCTCGCCTGAAGACTTACAAGGGTTGATCCGCCGTGTTGCTATGCAAATCGAGAGCCTTGGTGCGGGCGAATGGCAGGTTCTCGTGGTGGGCTGTCAGCTAGAAGAAGAGCCCTCCAAGGAGAGCAAAGTGCACTGGATCCGGTGTCCGCGAGGTGAGAATCTCTGCGGCGCGAGAATCAAAGCGACAGATGGGTATCTATTTCCTCTGAGCAACGAGGACCTCGACTACGCGGTCGCAATGTTGGAGCAGTCGCCGCCGGCCTCGATGGAAGACATCGTTCACGAGATGGAGGCGAGGCGGGAAAAACGGCCGTCGCGGGTCTCATACCTCTCGGAGCAGCCGCAAGAAGCACAGATGAACGCGACGAAGCTTTCGTGGGGGTATATCTTTACGAGTGTTGAGCATCACATCACGCCGTTTCTGAAGCTGAAGAAGTGGACGAGTTCTTACGGTGCAGACCGCGGTTCGACAATGGTCTGCGCGACGCGCATGTATCTCCTTGTGCATCTGCTGATTTCTTGTGCTGTGGGACTGATGGCTGCGGCAACAGGGAGAGGGCTCGCGGTATGGTTCATGACGGTGAGACCCACGCTCTCGACGATGGGTGGGAAGAATGTGAATGGCAACGATATCCTGCAGTCTCTGCTCTGTACGGATGAGACCGTGTTCCAGTATGAGACAGGCGAGAATTCACTCCTGCTTGCGGGAGATGTCCTTGGCCATCCTCTGCAATGGTGGGCAGCGGCTCTTGTATTTGCTGTTCCTGCTTTTGAGACGGCCGTCATTACCGCGGGATGGCTGTACGGTAGTCTGAAAGCCGATAGACTTGCACCCTCTGGGCTTGTAGGTCACGGCATGCTGTGGTTATCTATTGTGGTGGGACTTTCACTCTGTATTCGCTCTCTCTTCACATTACGGAATCAGGGAAAGGGCCGTCTGGTGGGAATCTGGCATAAACAACAGTTCCCCCAACATCTTGTCGGTATGGAGTCGCTGGAGGTCTCGACGTCAGATCTCGTCCGTTTGGCTGGCGATGTGTCCCCGATTGGTCTAGTTGTTAAGCTACTTCAGGGCAAGGACCCAGCGAACATTCCCGTCGTTGAAAGCTTCTTCCGACTACCAGTGACGGGGGTTATCATCGAATATCTCGTCGCTACACAGATCATGAAGTACAAGTATCAAGGGGACGAGATTCTCACTAGAGGAGATAAGCCCATCTCCCCAAAGTCCGAATCCCCGTGGCGTCAGTCCTACTGCTGTGTAGCGCTGACGATGGCATGTGCATGCGTGTCTGCTGTGTATGCCTACTACCCGCTGCCGAAATGGGTTAAAATAATCACCGAGGTTCTTTTAGCCATCAGTGCTTCCTGGTTCAACTCGCTCGATCTCGTGGGCAGCTTCATGCACGAGAAGGAGACTTCTATCTGCTTTATGGTGGCCACTCTGGTGGTCTCGTCTGTCTGGTACGTGGGATTGGATAACGTTGGGTGATGTGGTGGCCATTCTGTTCATGCTGTTGTTCTTAATGATACACGAATGATTTATCAACAAAATACGGCATTCTATGTGGAAGATCGATGGAACCACATCCAGTAACAGAGATGGTCGTTATGGGGCTCATTTCCCTGTATAGGGCCATCTATCTTCATATATTCAAACGCTTCTGTTGTATCAAAATTAAGCTGTCAGCATAAGTCAGTATATCACAAGCACCCAAGCACGGTTACTGATTCAAAGTCAAATCCAAGATGATCTTCCCTCTGGCGTGCCCGCTATCCAACCTTTTGAAAGCATCCTCAAACTGCTCCAGGGGCCAGATACTATCAACGACTCCATGACACTTGCCCTCCTCGACCAGCTTCGTGATCGTCTCCAAATCAGATCGATTCGCCGCCACGATGAAGAAGAAGTTTTTCACATTCTTCTCCTTGCACTCCTCCGGCTGCACCTGCTCTGGCGGCTGGAAGATACTGATCAGGGTGCCTCCCTCCTTGACACACCACCAGGCATCCTCCAACGACTTCTTCCCAATGCAATCAACCACCAGGTCGACCTGATTCTCTGCCTTCTGACCCCAAGCCTTCAAGTCCACCTCACGATAGTTCACCACCTCCTCCGCCCCCAGGCCCTTCACAAAGTCAACATTCTGCGGCCCACAGGTTCCAATGACAGTTGCGCCAGCCACACGACCCAGCTGCACAACCCAACTCCCCACTCCCCCCGACGCAGCAGTAACAAGCACCCTCTTCCCCTTCCACGCGCTATCTCCCAACCCGCCGATCCCCGATTGCACAAACAGCGCCTGCAGCGCCGTCTGCGCGCTCAGCGGGATGGAGGTCGCGTGCGCCCAGTCCACATTCCTGGGCCGGCGCGCCAGCTCGGCCCCGCCGACGAGGGTGTAGTCGCGCGCGCAGCCGGGGCTCATGTAATTGGAGCGCGCGTAGACCTCTGCGCCGGGCTGAAAGTCTGAAGTGGGCGGGGCGGCGACGATGGTGCCAGCGATGTCGTAGCAAGGGATGAGTTCGCGGGTTTGGAGGTGCGGGAAGTTCTTGGCCCAGTTGAGCTCGTTGGCGCAGGGGCTGACGCTGCGGACGTGGATGAGGTGTTCGTCTGTGCCTTCGCGGGGGACGGGGACGGGGTGGTTGGGGATGAGGACGAGGCGGGGTTCCTCTGCGGAGGGCTGGAAGAGGGTGCGCATTGTTTTGGGTGTGGACATTCTGGTTACTTGGGCCAATCTCTGGGTGTTCATGATAGTTTGAAAGGAGTGGGATTTGAGGGATGAGTTTTGAAGCATTGAGCATGGTCAGGTCAGGTTAGTGGCCAGTCTTTTATAACCTTCAACCAGGTCTAGTAGTCATAATTAATTTGTATACCCGATTTCCCGGAGAATTCGCGAGTGCCAAGCAGCGACATACTCATTTGAAAAGTGATTGTTGCACTGAGATCCGACCCATGGTGCGATATCTCGTATATGCAGCCGGGTATTGGTGATTCCCGGATACCCGATGTCATCTTTCGGAGATGGATATTGGTGCTCATCAAATGCCACGGATGGATCACCAATAGAGTTTACCGGAACAAATCATGAGGAGCCAAAGAATACTCGTCTGATTTCGCCGCTGCGTGATGGTGATGTCTCATTGTCCCTATGGTGCTAAGCCTTACACTAAGCAACAGCGATGTCCTGCGCCCAAGCATCCCGCATAGCTGCCTCATGGAAATCCAAATCAAACAAATTACAAAAGTCCGAATTCGATTCCACAGCGAATTCTGGTATAAACGCAGGCATATCCTCTATCAGCTCCGTCGGACGATGCACTGGCTCGTCTATCATCGGCGGCGACTGCGACGGTCGATCCAGCGACAAAATCTCCCGAGCGACCACACTGATCTCCTGGTACGTCCGTTTACCCAGAGGCCAGTACACACCCAGCGTCTTTAACACCCCCATGGTGACGCGAATCCGTTCTCGATTGAGCTGTAGCTCCTGGCCCTGGAAGACATACCGACAGGCGGAGAGGTGGGCGATGGCCACGTTGGCGACCATGCAGATAATGAAAGGGGTGTGGCCGGCGATATTAGCGGGAAGTGTGAGCAGGGACTCGAATTGCTCGATTGCGTGGAGAACTCGACGGGTGTGTAGCTGGCATTCGGGGGTGTTGCAGCCTCGTAGACTGTCTGGTGGTGCTGGAGGTGCACAGTATGAGACAGCTTCAATCGTGCTGTATGCAAGAGTGGAGAGCTGACGGTGTAGATCCACAATCCATCTGGGAACGTGTTAATCTTTGACTCGTAAAAAGTGGCCAGGACTTACGTATGGAGGATAGCATTTGCTTTAAAGAGAACCTCGTCCAGGGTACCGTCCGGGCGAAATACCGTCTTCTTGGACGGCGGGAGAAGCGATGTCCATGAGGCGACCGTGGCATCAACATTGGCACTTACGGCAGTAACATTCTTAATATCCAGGTCCTTTCTCGGAGCAAGAGCGAGGTCCAAACTCCTGGTCAGTCCCACGAGCTCCGCGAAGGAGGAGAATCCTCGTGTATTCTCATCCGCGAACTCGCGCATATCGTATTCTTCAAGCGTACTTGCAGGTGGGATATTCTATTCCATTAGCCTGGTACAATCTAGCGCAGAGATCTCTTACCCCGGACTCATATTCCTCCTCCTCACAAGGCAGTGAGACAGTCATGTGTATGCCAGTAGTGCGGAAAGGATAAGTATGTGTGCTCCCGGCAATATGGGCATCGGTAATATAAATCTGCCACCAAGTCCGGCGCCAGCTCTCTTCAAGACTAGGGTCATGGCGTCCGTTCTGGACAGCATAGTCGCTTCGGTTCATGCCAAGGTCAAGAGCCAGTTGGATAGCGAGGTCAAGCATACCCAGGCCCTTTTTCGTCTCGTCGCACCAGTACACCGCGATGGAGTATAATAGCACCGCCTGGACATCAAATCCCGTGACTGTTCGACTGCTACGGCGGATAGCTGCCAATTCTCCCTCGGCTTTCTCCTTCAAGGGCGAAGACGAGACGGATGCATTATGTAGAGAGCCAATAAACCGCAGAACCGTACACAGCGGCTCAACTGCCCCGCCATCACTAGCCGCATATTGTCTGAGGGCAAACTGCGGCAATACACACGGATGCGCAGTGTAAAAATATCGATAATATAACGATAGTAGGTGGTCTCCGTCTCCTGGATCCCCCGAACCCAGACTCCGAGTTGGTAGATCAAAGCCCACGCTTTTCGTCCCATCGCCGATTGAGCTATGGGTGGAGCACCCCGCATCGGATGGAACGGGCATGACAGATGCCAACGATCTACGGTCTATTCCCGCCGAGTTGGCAAGCGAGGACAAGGTAGTAGAGGCAATTCGACGACGACCGCCCCGTCTGGATTTGAGATACACGCATTGCTTGTCTTCCTTGAGGCAGCGGGTGCATTTTGGTAGGACAGCGTCGCACCGCACATGTTTGGCCCGACAAGCCGTACAGGCGCGGGATGAGCGATGCTTCGATGAGGCCGGGTCTGACATTGGACTGAAGAAGATGCGAACACCATTAAACAGCAGCGCGAGATGACGGGTTAGCAATACTTGTGTAGCCTTCTGGTGGTCATCGAATATCTCTCGAAGATTTGCCAAGCCGTCAGCACGGAAAAAGTGAGCTGTTATTCCTGCCGATACCCTGGCGCAATGGACAAATCAGCTTTGAGATTGGCTCTATATTTTTTGAAGCGTCATGTCCAAGAAGAAAGATAATGCTATATTTTGCAAATGTCCACTCTAGATAATCAGCTAGGAGGTGACAAAACAGTGAGTTCCAGGCGGCACGGTCACAGGCTTCTTTATCAAGCACAGAGAACACACAGCTTTTACCTTTCACAAATATGAATGGACAACTTCTTGAATCCTAGATTCTAGGAATAAATAGATTCCATATCCCTGTTTGAAATACGGGGGACTCTTTGAAAGCGTTTTCTGGATATTGCTCCTCTGCTCTAGAATATGACATCCAGCGCCCCTAATAGTTGTTATTATCATTGGGAAGACTCATGAAATATGACAGTTTCCTCAATCATTCTGTACAATTGATATAGAATGAACAGAAGCCCCCCCATATTGCACAATCTACGGACACAGGTTCAAGCTATGCCGTATATTTGGGACTAATATTCAAAGCGTTGAAATAGGATAGTTCGTGTCCCAACACCACCTTAGCCTGTTTCCTCTGCACCAAGCTTCGAATGTAATAGCGGCTACGGTGCCAGTCGTTGAAATCCCTCGTCAGAGTGCCCGGAGGGATGCCCTGCTCATAGTTTTCCTCGACATGAAACGCGTCGCCAGTAAGTACAACCGATCCAGTCTGCTCAAGATTGAGTTCCATTGCAATTGAGCCAACCGTGTGGCCTGGGCAGTGGTGCAAAGTGATACCCTGGAAGATTTCGAAGGTCTGGCCGGAGAAAGTTTTCCAGTTCAACCGGTCAACGACAAGATAGTCCTTCAGGTAAGTTCCTCGCTCTGTGCCTGTAGCGTACGTCCAGAAAGCATTCTTGAACTCTTCCTCATGACACCAAATCTCAACGTCTGCGTCAGAAAGAAGATCAATATCCTACTCGCTACTCCGCTGGCATACATTTACTTACCGGTCCCAAGGAAATGTTCCAAGCCCCCTGCGTGATCGCAGTGGAGATGACTCAACACTACTGCCTTCACATCTGTGATTTTCCCCGCCCCGGTAGCTTTAATGGCCTGGGGTAGACCATGGATCGACCTATCCCAGATCCTAGGGCCACATTCCAGAGCCCTTTCACCCCAGCTTTTGATCACGTTCTCGCAGGAGCCCGTGTCAAACAGAACAAGACCTACGTCGGGATGGTAGATCAGACCGGCTATCATGATCAAGTCCCGCCTCTCATGCGGCTGCGGTGGAAGACCGACGGAGAATTGGTTTGCGCCTGCAAGTACATTTGCCGCGTCTACGTCAAGGATCCCTAAATTGAGTAGCTAGAAGAGGGGGCGGTCGTTAGTCGCATCCTGGAGACAAAAGAATTAACATTGCTCCATTATCCGCTTACCCATAGCTTGGCTCCCTTAGGTAAAGTAGTCGGCTGAGGGGACATTGTGAGGGGGGCCACCTTGTTTGAAACCTTGAATATCAGAGAGGAGATTTGCAGCTCATCTTTCTGGGTGAGGATGGACGTCCATTTTAAAATGATATCCACGCCACCACGATGGTTACTGCTTAGAAATATGTGCATTGATAGTTCAACCACAGGCTTTGCAGCGATATCCACCTCGGTTGAGGGCCTCAATTCAAGAGTGTAAGCAAGTTCACCGTTGTCCCGGAGGCCTATTGGCTGCGAGAGGATCCCTTGCAGCCATCTGATATCCTGAATGGACACAATCTATATGCTACTGCACGCGGCCTATACCCAGTCTCGTTAAGTGGATTGTCAGAGCCTAGATAGATCTGTCTTTCGACAAGGATTGGAAGGATCAACATCCATATGACGGGAGCATCTGCTAAATCACTGACAAAAAAGAAACTATTATCATCATCACAGCCAGCCAGTATCAGGGCTCATTTGGACTGCAGGAGAACTTACGACACTACCTCTGGGGTGATACTAATTCAAGCACTCGGGCCTTACCTAGTAGGCTAGAATCAGCCACCCAAATCAGTGTCCCACCTTTCATCGCTCTATGATGGTATCCACTCGTGAACCCCTTCATTTCTCCACTGAAGGGAGCTCTCATCTCAGCTTCAGATAAGCTCGGATTTCATTATGCACCAAACAGTCGAACAGGTTCGATCAAGCCCAATCTCTGCAATGAGATTCTGCTGAAGGAAACGGGGAAGTGGCCCTAGCAAATGTTCGGGGTAGGCCTCGTCCAAGTGAGTCGAGTCCCACTCTTACATAGAGAGTTGTCTCTGGATGAAGGTTTCCCGAATAGGCAAAGAGGCCTCCAGCACAGGCCAATGCCTCCTAGTCGTGAACTCGTGATTAGCACACTTAAGGCCACAGTAGTGAGCTTATCACGGCTGTAGCCGTGCTTGCATACAACCATTGCAACATTCTAACCTAAGATTTCATTTTCCCAAGGGTCTAAGATCGGTAGGGGTAGAATTTTCTAGGCTGGATTGGAGATAGAGACGAACAAACACGAATCAGCAGCGATAATGCGTGAACCGCCTGTCAGGATGCCCAATACCCGTAGCCACAGACTACAGGCTTACATTCTGGAAACACTGGGCCCCATAGTGTTGCCCTTCTTTGCAAGCGCCCAATTGGTCCTCCAGCATCTTAACAGCCTCAAACGATATTATTGGAATCGCAAGGCAAGAAGAACTTAGGTAACTTTTACTCTTCGCTCCTTGTCTCGTTAGTACCCCTGATGGAATGCCACGCCGAATGATATTTTACAATAATCCATTGGATAGAAAATTCAGATTCTCGGTGAGCTTGGATGGAGCACACATATTGAAATGGGGGGCATTTTGCGAAACAATGATGCCACGTTAAGATCGGCAGAGAATATTGGACTTCCTGGCTTTTCATCTCTATCCTCCCCTTCATCGCACTTCTTGGCCGGTTGCAAAATTTATGAACCCGGAATTGCTGATATAGGTGGGAGACAGGTTAGAACGACCGAAAGGACTGCTGGCATTCAGCTACTGACCATATCAACATTGAGTGTTTACATCTAAACTTGGATATACTGAGGGTGGCATCTACTTTTATGTACTCCGTATAGAGTTATAAGATGTAAGAAGAACTCCGTACAGCAGATCCAATCTGTCAATTCATTAAAAGATGGTGGGACGGACAATACTATTATTGACCATATGACCAGTCATACTGTCGTCAATGGCCAAGTTAAAAGAAATAGGAGGGTCTCAATCTGCATTTATTGCTCAACGATCACCAACTAATGGACGCTTGGCTTGCATCCTGCATTGCCGGACTGCCCGAAGCTGAAAGTAGAAAAAGCAAAATATCATACTGTGTTGCAGATCTTCCCTGCAGGTCTCACTAACTGCATCAATTACTGATTTTTGAGCCAACTGTGCACGGTCCTTATTGGTTCAATATTATTCAATTGCGATCGAGTCCGATCTACGGTCTCCAAATGGCTAAGTGTGCAAGCTGTTGGCGCCAGCAGCGTTGTATGGATTCCAGTAGGGCATAAAAGTGAGGCCATATGTAAGGGATGTCCTCCAACGCCCCTTTCCAGCATCGATTGCCTTGCTGAGTCCTAACATACAGACCTCGACTTCAAACCATCATCTTTCCATCTTCATCCATCTTAACGAATTCTACCCCAATAGTCCCCAATATCCATCATATCCCAATTCCAGTCAAAAATGGTCGCAAACTACTCCGGTTCTGGATCGCAGGAGACGGCCCTTCACACAGGTATATCTTGCAACCCTTGCATTCCCGAATCGAATACTGACCAGCCAGGGGTTATTCTCACCACCACGAAGACCAAGGCAGGCACCTACCACGTCCAGCAGAACAAGCAGAACTCCTACCTGGACTTCTTCGGCAGGCCTCTAGGCAATGACTGGGCCAACTTCACCACAACCGTCGGAGTCATCAAGGTACTGCAACCTTCGCACTGCTATAAACGAAACACTCTCTAACACCGACTAGGTCAGCGGGGTGATCAACAGATTCAGCCTCGATACCATTATCGGAGTAAACATTGGGGGAATCAGTATTGGATCGTTCAATGGAAACCCACAGACCTTGATGACCATCAACATTGATCTGGATTGTGCGGCTGGCTCGCTCCAGCTGACCGCACTGGGGGATGATGTTTGGCTCAACGTGGATATGGACGTCTTTCAGATCGATAACGAGAACCGTGCTCAGCAAGTGAAGTTGTCTGATTCAGTGTGTGTCAAGAGCTTGCCACAAGAGATGTGTGAGCCATGGATACCTACTCGGTAGGTACACTATGGATTCGCTCGTTCCTGTTTGTCTTCGCATATGGAGGATGCGCGCCTTTACCCTTCAACCTAATGAATTTGATATGACCCAAATTGCTTTGTCGGATTGGATGTGTCTACACTATGGAGTTTCGGGAACAAATCTTATCTTTCAAACATTACGAGAGAAGCTAAGATCGGGCGACATGCTTCGGTTGCCACCAATCGTCTGAAGATGCAGCAGAGAATCAAACAAGAAGGACTAACTTGTCCTCCTCTATTTAGATCGAGCTTTGGAAGGAGTGATGATCATGCCAAAATATAAACTGGGCGATGTTGCATTCAAAAACGGCAAGAGAAAGTACTCTCCACAAGTCTTGCTTCTGCTATGAGTTTATAAATATATATTGTTCCCGCGGCAGGACAGGATACTGAACGGGATGCGGGATCCTGCTCCGAAATATTTAAAAGAGTCTACCTTATTATGATTCTTCAATTCCGTGCTCATAACATGTAATTCCATAATGAAGCCAATTTATATAGTCAATAGATGACTCGGATTGTCGCAAACGCTGGGGAAAGGCAACACTACTTTAGGTTATATAACCAAAAGACGACGGGTAATAACAACTGAAGCATCATTGGTCTAGTGGTAGAATTCGTCGTTGCCATCGACGAGGCCCGTGTTCGATTCACGGATGATGCATTTCTTTTTTTTCTTTTTCGATTTTTGTTTTCTATGATTTCGCTACTATCGCATTCCATCTCCCTCTAATTATCGTTTTGATTTCTCTTCTATCATGTCCTTCCAGTGGAGCCACAACTACAGGCACAATGTCAAAGAACAGCTAGCCAGCCCTAAACCTGGCCAAATGTCTGCTACCATACAGTTCCGTATACTACTGCTTGTATTGACTATTAGGACTTCATAAAACTGATAAGAGCAGAAATATCATCACTTCCATGCCCTGCATCCACTGCTCGCTGCACAAAATCCCTCATTGGGTGAATAAAGTCCGCAGACACCCCTTGGTCTGCACTTGCATCCGCGATATTCTGGATGGCGACCAACTGCATGGCCATGTTGGATCCCTCGCTGCTGTATTTTCCATCATCAACCTGCTGCGCCATTGCCTTCAGATACTCAGTCATCGCTCCTAGCCAAGGTAATAAGAGGTCCAGAAACTTGGTTGCAGGCGTGCTGGATTGTACGAGTGCTGTTGCATGAAAGAAGCCGGAGAAAAGACCGTACATGCCACTGAGAAGAGCCAGATCATGCAGTGATGCAACGCCGGCGTCGTCGCCGAGAAACCAACCCTTGGCCAAAAGCGAAAGAGTGCTCTCAGTCGTGTTGTAGGCGTCCTTCGACCCGCTGTACAGTATAAGGGCATGAGGTGAACCGATCATTGAGGGTGTTGCCATGATACCACCGTGGACGTATTGAGAACCATGACTGACAAACAGTTCTGAGAGCTTTCGGGCTTGCTTTGGTGTTCCATTCGTGAGATTGATAACCGTCTTTCCGCGGACGTGCTCAAGTGCTTGGTCGAAAGTCGTTTGCACAGCGGCATTATCGAGCAGACAAACAATGATCAAGTCACTCGCATTGATCCCGTCTAGCACCGTGTTGGATACAGATGCGCCCTTATCAAGCAGTTTGTTTGCCTTTTCCGGTGTGCGGTTCCAGACTGTCACTTTGAAGTTCTTTTCGAGGAAGCGGGCAGCCATGGCTGTTCCCATGGCTCCAAGGCCGAAAATGCTGACAGAGGACATCTTGGAAAGGGGTGTAGAGGAAAAGAAAGCTTGATCTGGATGGCTAGTGTGTTGGACGAGCAACTCGCCCTTCTTATATCCTTATATCTCTGGCAAGGGGTGTCATTGATACGAGCTCACTTGGCAGCCAAGATGTGCTTTGAAATCAACTCCGAAGCTCCTCGTATTTGACAAATCATGGTTATGATGCCAATCACCAGTGACTCAAATGTGGAATGTTCCTGATGTACCAAGTAAATGACCTGAAGGTATGGTGACCCTGCACATGCTGAATCTTCCGTGCTCATGTCGATTCCAAGTGTGGGCTGTAACCGCCTCCAGAAACGTCAAGCAAGCCGTAAAGTCTTGCTGAGACATCAAACCATAGCATGGGAAGTTATGTCATACATTAAATATTCGGTTGCTGTCTGAAAGCCTCTTCTGTTTAGACTAAGACTTTCTTTGTTTCGCTATACAGCTGGGCAGAGTACAAGGAAGCTTCAACTAGCTGCCACTATTCATCATATAGACCGGCCAATTGTTAGATACCAGCTCCATGACATGTCGAAACCAAGGTCATCATATTATGTGCCCGTGATGCTTGATAGAGAGAGGATCCTCTCCAACTGTGTGGACATAACCTGCTAGGTTGAGGCGCACGAATAAGAGATCCTGACTTCCTTGGCTGTCGGTTTGAGATTGATGTTTATAATAGCACCGTCCAAGCCACCTTTTGAAACTCATTTAGCCGCGGCCTTTCTGTAGCGTAGCGTTCAAGCGAGGAAGACGCTGGTCAAAGGACTAGGCAGAGCTCAAGACTACAATGACTAACGAGAACCTTGTATATTCTTGGCCCGGGCATCTGGTCTTCTAGGAGAAGGTCGTGGCGCATTAAAATGAGATTGAGTAAAATCCAAGCTCAGTCCCTGTTTGTTCTCATGTTTACCGGCCTCACATTTCCGGCCTCACATTTCCTACTATCGCATCACAGCCAACAGCTGTGAGAACGCAACAATGCGTCTTTATTCCTTGTTACTGTTCGCTTGCTCTAGACTTTCCTGGCTTGTGAGCCCCTCTGGTAAAAGATTGATTGAGATATGATCTATGCTAAACAGCCAACAGATCCAATATTCTTACAGCATGGTCATCGGGATCCTCGCAGCCGTCGCAGATTCTGACCACTGAATCAAGTCTCCTTCAACCCAAGGCACAGACACGAGAGATAAAGATACAGAAAAGAGTTTTCTACACTATGCAATAAAAGAACTCTATCGTTTTCGTGGTTTTTGGTTCTGGTTGCGCGGCATGACAATTTTATTCACTAACGACGTGTTGCACAATACGGTCTTACCTACCAGTGGTTTGTTATTTGGTAGTAGCTTATGGCGACATAGTCTCTGCAAAAATGCCTATGCAGCCCTTCTCGTACCTCTTCAAGTAAACTAGGTACATAGAATCATTACGAAGGGTTCGACAGAGACCTTCTTCCAGCGCTTCCTGGGGCCTACTTGCTTGTCGCATGTCGTTCCTATCATCGCCCTGGAGAGATTATCACGCTGGTTAATGGTTTTGATTACCCTTCTGCTAGAACACATCTTCCTTGATGCTACGGGCATAATAGACATAACGATTTACTGGACCAAAATAACGGCACCGTCAAGCAGGATACATCTGCCAGATTGAAGTCTCTAGATGTGTACGTGGTGCTAATACTCCTGGAATGTTTGGCCTCAAGCTGACATAAATGGTGCCCAGGTTCTACATGAGCGTTCGAGAACTAGGACATATAGCATACCTCGGTGAATTGAACTTTGTAGGTTCATGACTATAAACCCTGTCAAATATCTGGATTCCGCGAATAGGAGAACATCGAAAGCAAACATCAATTAGATGCAACACCAATGATACTTCTAGCTAGGGTAAGCGAAGCTAGATGTCCGAGTACAAAGTAATCATGGACGGATCTCAATGGCTAGATTGTCGAGCCTCAAGGGTCAATGCAACTGTCAGACTCTCACTGGGCATTAGAGCGGCGCGTGTAGCCACATGCTATGCTGTATGACAGTCTTGGAACGTAATAGATATTCAAGAATCTCGAATCCAGCATGCTCTGGAGATATATGAGATGCGCCATCTGCCTAGGTCATGTGCTTGATGCCAGTCGGATGTCTTTGAAACCGAGACAGCACACCAGCCTGATTGATCCGCCAGATGCGATGATGCTCACCGTGATCAGACACCAAGACTCAAATATTCATCTGCAGAATATGATAGGCCTGGAATGTAACACAGCCCTTGAGACTGACCATGTGGACAGCTGACAGACTGCGGTAGTATGGAATATATTGCAGGAATTCTCTCCGTTGAAATCCCTCGACATGATCAAGCCTGCCCCAGATAGTGATGTGTATCTTAGACAAGATGGTGATCTTCTGGCTGGCTAGTTTCTGCCTAACTCTCTGCCTCGCATTACCGGGTCTTCAACTGGACACCGACATATCTCAATTCCATGAGTCCGTTATCATAAACCGTGACGTCTGCGTCATCGGCGGCGGAGCATCAGGCACCTATGCCGCGGTCCGCCTTAGACAGATGGGCCACAGTGTCGCCGTGGTTGAGAAGGAGCCTGTTCTCGGTGGTCATACAAATACCTACTTCGACCCCGTCAGCGGCCGATATGTTGATTACGGTGTCCTCGTCTTTCAGGACATCCCCGAGGTGAGAAGCTATTTTGAGCATTTCAACATCTCCACCACAATCCAGGTGTTTGATAGACTTGGCCCGGGTCAACGCGTGGATATTCGAACCGGGGAGCGAGTGCCACCGCCGGCGGGCAATGTTACTGCGGCCATAATTCGGTATACTGAGCAATTGGCTAAGTATCCCTATCTGTCTGACGGATGGGACCTCCCGAACCCTGTGCCCGAGGATCTGCTGATGCCGTTTGGGAAGTTCATAGAGAAGTATGACCTCGGACCAGCGGTGGAGATCCTCACGCTGTATATCCAGGGTTTGGGTGACTGGCTGCAGTATCCCACCGTGTACATGATGAAGTACTTTAGTCTGGCTGTGGTCAATGGCTCGCAGAACGGGTTCCTGGTGACAGTGAACCGGAACAATGGAGCGCTGTACCAGGCTGCGACTAAAGAGCTTGGAAGCGATGCGTTATTGAGCAGTACGGTGCTCGCCATGGATCGACCGCAGAATCGTCCACACACTATTCTTGTCCGAACCCCATCGGGAATTAAACTGATCAGAGCAAAGAAGACGATCATTACAATTCCACCCAAAGTGAACATCCTGCGGAATTTCAACCTGGATACTGAGGAGCGAAGCCTATTCGAGCAGTTCAGGAATACCTATTACTACACCACCGTAACCAAGGTATCTGGGCTCCCAGCTGGACTGCAAATCATAAACCGTGCTGCAGATACTCCATATAACCTCCCTCCCTTGCCGGCAGTGTACTTGATGTCGCCAACCGTCGCCCCAGATCTCTATTCGATCTATTACGGAGGACCCCAGAACGAACCCGACGATCAAGTAAAACGACGAGTCCGAGACTCCGTACGAATACTGCGTAAAGCGGGATTCAATACCTCCGAGCCCGAGATACTCGCTTTTTCCAATCACAGTCCATTCGAACTGTTTGTGTCTGCGGAGCAGATTGCAGACGGCTTCTATCGAGATCTGGATGGGCTCCAGGGCCATCGCAGCACGTATTATGCTGGAGCTGCGTTTCATACTCATGATTCTTCGGCCTTATGGAGGTTTGTGGATGGCCTACTGAGGAGAATGTATCCTTGAAATTTGGAAACTCATGATCGAGGAGAGATGAATAGTCCTATCAGAGATCTGTGACTGGAGAGTGTACGCGACAACTGGCTGTGGCGTGCGTGCAGCGCAAATCAAATAGTCGCTTAGGATCCTGCTTCTGAAACCATCTTCGCAGTAACTGAACTAATTCTATATCCGATCAGCGGAAAGTCAATCGATTCGACTGTTGTGATCATACCAGCCATCATCTACGTCTGTATGCCTCGATTTCACCATCTGGCGCGAGTGGATGTTTCTCGTAGAAATCACGGCATAACCGCTACTCCATCAACCTGGTTGAGAAGCCCCGAGATGGTAGCAAAATATTGGTCCAGATACTCCGCACCCCCATGCTCAAACATTCCAACAGAGATGATCCAATCGTAGCCCTCCGCTGGCAGGGGTGCAGTCTGATAATCGCAAAGAAGAATCGTGACTTGATCTTGTAATCCTGCATTTGCGACACGTTCTTCGGCCAGCGATTTCTGCTCTTCAGACAGAGTAAGACCCGTTGCATGATGCCCGGTTACTTTTGCTGCCTCTATCACCAGGTCCCCCCATCCACAGCCAATATCGATGATGTGGTGCGTCGATTTGATCTTCGCCTTGTGGATAATGGTGTGCACTTTTCTTTGCCGTGCAGAATGCTGCGATTCATATGGGCCTCCTGACCAGTGGGCGCAGGAGTAGTTCAAGTTCAAAGAGAGAGGAAGTGGGTGAAATGACCATTAGAGGTATCATAGTGTGCAGCAATGTTGAGTTTAGCTGTCTCAATATCGTTGGGCGGCTTCAGCCAGCGCGAGATGCGAAGAATCACTTGGAAGAGGACGTTGCCTGAGTCAAGATGTTGGAGATGTTTGAGATATATCTATCTCATCAGTGCGACCCCAGAATTGCAGATCAAGAACCCACTTTGAAGGCTTTACTCAGATCGCTGCAGTCGACTTCCTGCAGCATGTATGCTTTCGTGAAGCTTTGACAAATTTAGCCAAAGTCCAGTTGAGTTCGCGAGATGCTTGCCAAGTCAAAATCAGAGCACAATCTGAGCCAGAACTTGGAGTCGTTAACACAGAGCTCCAGCTGTTGATCTGCTGCCGCCTCCTGGGTATTGTCGAACAGCACCATGTTCTCTCTATCAACTGTGGATATGATCTTCAGGGGCGCTGTAACCTGCCGCAATGTGCGTTTGACATACTCTGGACCGTACGACTGTACTGAAATAGTGATTGTAGCATACATCTTTTCCCTGTCGAGAGGCGCGACACTCGGAGCATTGACACTGAGCAAGAGGCTCGCTTTCGCATAGAAATACGGTATTATTTTTGGCATGGATTGTCATGACTCGCGTGTCTGCAAGTTGGCGGCCTCAAAAGTGAAGAGCTGAACTGCTCAGGCATAAGCTGACCGCAGCAAGATCATCTTGGTCAACAGTTGGTGCTACACACATGCTCTCCTGTTTGTGGCTATCTCATTAGGAGACACAGAGAGCGACATGCTGGCAATACTTCTGAAGGCCTTGTAAGAAGGTGGATTGCCGTACTTCTAATCCGCCAATAGATTCATAAGATATGCATATCAGCCTGGCGATCTAACTGCCAGAAACCCTTTTCTGTGTCGTGTCTCCTGAGGAAGCTAGTTTTTGTGTCATATTTACACTCGGATAAGCTATATAGAGAGGTATGGACAAGGGAGGATATGCCTCCTAATCTGTGTATCTCTTCAAGGAGCAAGAATAGATTACCATGTTTCAAGCTGATTCACTCTTCTTCACAATTTAGATGATCTCCTGAGGACTCCGATCGGACACCGCCGGCTCTGTGCAGCCACACCCGGCACTTTCTTCCCATCCCAACAGCCCATCCAAATATGGGAATCACAACAACATCGTCAGCGAGACCCAATGGATTGTTTTGATATCATGTTTCCCCTCATCATGGGAATGTTCCACGGTCGTCCGAATGTAACCTCATTCCAGGGCCTGAGTCGGTCTAATTCGGGTTGGTTTCGCAGGTTGGCCCACATGAACCCTAACCAAGCTGCAACCACCTTCCCAACGCCCACTCTTGGCTGCCGATCGCCAATTTCTCTTGACAAAAGCTTGCATAACGCCATCATGTTTATCAATTGATAGCAGTGCGACGTGTCGTATTCTCGGCCCATGCTAGCCTTGTCATGGGCCCGTCTTGACTCTTGACGAAGCTTGTTGATGCTCCGAGGATAATCCCTCATCTTGGCAGATGGGGTGTATAAAAGAAACGGTTGGGCCTCGTTCTTTTGGGTAGAGCGAGCAAGTTCATCTCTTCTCTCCAAGTGAGGTTCAAAATGTGGTTCAACAAGTGGCTTCTACCTCTGCTCGTCGCAGGTGTCCGTGCTGCTCCTGCGAGCACAGCCAAGGACAGCATCTCGTCCATCACCAAGGATGGCGTCCAGTATACCGTCTTTGAGCATGCCGCGACTGGGGCCAAAATCGAGTTCGTCAAGAATTCCGGTATTTGTGAGACAACTCCTGGTGTGAACCAGTACTCGGGATATCTCACGGTGGGAGATAATATGAACATGTGGTTCTGGTGAGTCCATCTCTCGTTCTTCATGGGGTACAAGCCCTAATTTTACAGGTTCTTCGAGGCCCGTAATAACCCCAAGACGGCTCCTCTCGCTGCCTGGTTCAATGGTGGACCTGGATGCTCGTCCATGATCGGCTTGTTCGAGGAAAATGGACCTTGCCACTTTGTCAACGGCGACAGCACGCCTTCGCTGAACAAGAACAGCTGGAACAACTACGCCAATATGCTGTACATTGACCAGCCGATTGGCGTGGGATTCTCATATGGCACAGATGATGTGACCAGCACGGTCACCGCGGCGCCCTATGTCTGGAAGCTACTGCAGGCATTCTACGCGAAGTTCCCAGAGTACGAGAGCCGTGACTTTGCTATCTTCACCGAAGTAAGTGGATTTCACGCAGGAGTCAACATAGAAAGAAGCTAAGCTGTTAGTCCTACGGTGGTCACTACGGGCCTGAGTTCGCCTCGTATGTCCAGGACCAGAATGCTGCCATCCAGGCCGGTACCGTGTCCGGCGAGAACATCAACCTGATCGCGCTCGGTGTTAACAACGGGTGGTACGACTCAGCCATCCAGGAGAAAGCCTACATTGACTTCAGCTACAACAACTCCTATCAGCAGCTCATCTCAGACTCGGACCGTGACAGCCTACTGAGCGCCTACAACGACCAGTGCCTGCCCGCCATCCAGCAGTGCCGCCAGACCGGTACTGTTGCTGACTGTGAAAACGCCGATAGTGTCTGCTACAATTACATCGAGGGCCCCATTAGCCAATCCGGCGACTTTGATGTGTACGATATCCGTGCGCCATCGAACGATCCCAACCCACCTTCTACGTACTCGAGCTACCTGAAGGACTCGAAGGTTCTCAAGGCCATTGGTGCGCGGTCGACCTACCAGGAGTGTCCTAATGGACCGTACAACAAATTCTCATCTACCGGTGATAGTGAGTACCCTTCCGACCAGCGAAACTATTGGTCGCAAACTGACTTGTGTAGACTCGCGGTCGTTCCTACCCACTCTCTCCAAGGTGGTCAAGTCCGGCATCAATGTGCTGGTTTGGGCCGGTGATGCTGACTGGATCTGCAACTGGATGGGTAGCTTTGGAGTCGCCAATGCCGTGGACTTCGCAGGATCCGCCGAGTTCCAGGCCAAGGATCTGGCGCCGTATAAGGTCAACGGAGAGGAGAAGGGTATGTTCAAGAATGTGGGCAACTTCAACTTCCTGAAGGTGTATGGTGCGGGCCACGAGGTCCCTTACTACCGTGAGTTTGCCCTCATTATTCCAAAAAAAATTACACGCTAATGCCATTATAGAGCCGGAAGTGGCGCTGCAGGTGTTCCAGCAGATACTGCAGAAGAAGCCCATTTCCTCAACCTAGTATCGGATCAAAGTCCGGAACCATATAACTAGCTATGATCGATGGATGTACATATAACCACATATAGTTTAGCCACAAATTGGAGACATTTGGCTGTTTCTTGAAGCGCTGAGGCCGCATTCTGGTCGACACGCGGGGTCGACGCATGGACTCTCCAGTGTATACTCGTTGATCCCAAGAGGAGTAGATATCCTGGATAAATGCATTCTGGCTAAATTCCCCCGCAGAATCCTCGAACTTACTATCCTTCATCCCCTTCGATTCGTGGAATCCAGCGAGCCTCTCCGAGACAACTATCTGCAAGACGTAGGTCTGTATGAGCATGCACCCCTCGTTGCCATTATACCAGTGTATAAAGCAGTCCCCCATCATGACCGCAATGCACCCCATCAACAGCAACCATGCATCTTCTCAACACACTGGCAGTCCTAGCTGCCCTTCCCACATCGGCATACACCCTCTTCTCCCCCTCAGGCCACACCTGGTACACCTCCCCCGCCAAAGACTTCTCCTCGACCCTGCCCATCGGCAACAGCCGCCTCGCAGCAGCAATATGGGGCAGCCTGACGGACAATATCACCCTGAACGAAAACTCCATCTGGAGCGGCCCGTTTCAGGACCGTGTGAACCCCAGATCCTACGAGGGCTTCACGCAGGTGCGATCTATGCTGCAAGACGGGAAGATCAGCGCGGCGAACCAGTTGACACTGGTTGATATGGCAGGTATTCCGACGAGTCCGCGGGCGTACAACCCGCTTGGTGCACTGAAGTTGGATTTTGGCCATGATACTGTGAACAATTATACGAGATTCTTGGATCTGGGGATGGGTGTTGCGGGGGTCGAGTATGAATATGATAATGTTACCTATAGGTAAGTTTGCCATTGGGTTATTGGTGCAGCGCTGATCGTGTAGTCGTGAGTATGTGGCAAGTCATCCGGACGGGATTCTGGCTGTCCGTCTACGCGCGAGTACGCCGGGTTCTCTCAATGTGGCATGCTCCTTGGAGAGGAGCAGATATGTCAAGAGCAACACGGCGAATGTTAGGAAAAGTTGGGGGACTTTGACTTTAAAGGCAAACACTGGACAGGCGAACGATCCGATATCATTTGTGGCAGAGGCACAGATAGTCAGTGTCGGAGGTGTGTGCCTTAAAGCTATAATATGAAATAAGCTGACTTTCTAGGACACATGTCGAGCGATGGATCATCCGTTGTGATTAACGGTGCATCAACCATAGACATCTTCTTCGATGCGCAGACTTCCTATCGGTTTTTCGAGGAGGATAGTCGAGCTGCACAGCTTAGCAAGCAGCTGGATGCTGCAGTCAAACAAGGATATCCTGCTGTGAAGAAGGCTGCCACTAGAGATTACGCTTCTCTAACCAGCCGTGTGAGATTGAATCTGGGATCATCTGGCGCAGCGGGAGGGTTTTCAACAGACGTCCGATTGTTTAACTACAAGAAAGACGCCAACAGTGACCCCGAGCTGGCGACATTGATGTTCAATTTTGGCCGACACTTACTCATTGCTTCGTCACGAGGCGGAGACACGCCTGGCCTCCCTGCTAACCTTCAAGGAATTTGGAATGAGGACTACGAACCTGCCTGGGGAGGCAAGTATACGGTCGATGTGAACCTGGAGATGAACTACTGGCCGGCTCAGGTTACCAATCTGGCTGAAACATTTGGCCCTGTCGTTGATCTGATGGATACTGTTGTCCCCCATGGCAAAGACGTCGCCCAACGCATGTACCACTGCGACGCCGGGTACGTCCTTCACCACAATACAGACCTCTGGGGCGATGCTGCACCCGTCGACAACGGGACGTAATGGACTATGTGGCCCATGGGTAGTGCCTGGATGTCCATGAATCTCATAGAGCAATACCGCTTCACGCAAGACAAAAGTCTGCTTAAAGAGCGGATCTGGCCTCTACTCAAAGAGGCAGCAAACTTTTACTATTGCTATCTGTTTGAACATGAAGGCCACTACATTAGCGGTCCATCCATCTCGCCCGAACATGCCTTCATCGTTCCTGATGAGATGTCCGTTCCCGGAAAAGAGGCAGGCATCGACCTATCCCCGACGATGGACAACTCCCTACTCCAGGAGCTCTTTGCGGCTGTTATTGAGGCCTGCACCACCCTTGGTATAACTGGCGACGACATAGACAAGGCGCAGAAATACCTTTCCAAGCTCCCACCGCCACCGATCGGGTCGTATGGGCAAATCCTCGAATGGCGACGGGAGTACAACGAGACCGAACCAGGCCATCGGCACATGTCCCCAATACTCGGCCTTTACCCCGGCTCTCAAATGACTCCGGCAGTCAACAAAACACTCGCCGACGCAGCAAAGGTCCTTCTCGACCACCGCATCGAGCACGGCAGCGGAAGTACCGGCTGGTCGCGAACATGGACAATGAACCTGTACGCGCGCCTACTCGACGGCGACCAGGTCTGGCACCATGCGCAAAATTTCCTCCAGACATATCCGAGTGATAACTTGTGGAATACAGACCATGGGCCGGGAAGTGCATTCCAGATCGATGGGAATTTCGGGTACACAGCGGCGATAGCGGAGATGTTACTACAGAGTCATGCAGTGGTACATTTGCTCCCTGCGTTACCCCCTGCCGTTCCTGACGGCAGTGTGACTGGTCTGGTTGCAAGGGGAAACTTTGTGATCGATATGACCTGGGCCCAAGGCATGCTGAAACAGGCAAAAATAGAAGCCCGCAGTGGAGGGGAGCTCAGATTGAGGGTACAGAATGGAGGGGAGTTCACTGTGGATGGGAAGAAGTATACAGGACCTATCCAGGCAGTTGCTGGAAAGACGTACACGGTGAAGCCGATGTAGGCAGCCAGCAATGCAATGCCAACACTCATATCTGAGACAGAATGGCTCGGCGCAGAGGAGGGGATAAATATAGACGCTGTTCGAGTGGATGATCATCCGCCAAGGCAGCTAAAATGCCGACATCTCACAGGCAATACGAGCATAACAGTTGATCAGCTGAGGCTATTATTGACTTCTGAGGATAATGGAGTATCTGACGTAGCAGAAAGTGGCATGTCTAAAGATTGCCTTAGAATAGTCAGTCTGTCAACTCCAGCTAATAATATAAATCCCACCTTAGTCCCCTCTATCAAATTCATTATCCCCTACATAATAATCTAAGAACAGATCCAAGACAGTCACAATGAAGCTCTCAACTGCCATTATCACTTCCGTTCTGGCTATCGGTGCCTCTGCCTTTGACAAGTACCAGCGTAAGACCTCCTCTATTTCCTCCATCTGCATAGATACTCACATTAGCGCTCCTAGCATGGGGAAAACGCGACTATCCCTGCATCAACGTCTACCAGGGAATTCCTGATAATGCTGCCGTGGCTCCAGGAACTACCATCACCCTCCGCTTCAACCGCGCCCCGACAACCCACTGCTCTGATCCCCTCACAACCTATCCCGGTAACGCTTACCGCGTTTGGCTGTACAATAACCCTGTCCGTGTCCCCAACTCTGTCAACTATGACCAGTCGATCAGGATCACGGATGGGATTGCCGAAACGGATGGAGAGGTGACCATCACCATCCCCGCGGATCTGCCGGCGGTTAACGACGACTCGGTGTGGTATCTGCGTGTTAGTACGGAGCTGTCGACGGCGCCTCAGGTATGCTTCCTTTGGATACACTGTGGTTAGGATGTGGTCTGACTGTCTACAGATGCCTAGTTTGTTTGATGCGCTTGGTCCTTTCACTATTCGGGCATAAGGATCGTAGTACATCCGGCATGGTTCTTGGGTTGGTAATCACCTGAAGGCTTATACAAAGTAGATAAAGAGGCAGAGGGTATGATGTATCAGATGTCGCAGTGTTATTTATAGCGACAACAATGGATTGCTCTATAATGGAATTAATTAAGCGAATACCCCACATTATGACCAGCCACTTTATTTAATAGCGGGCCGGATCCGCTTTGCATCGTAAATTTTGTTTGGATGTCTGGAGTAGGTTGAAGATATATCCAGTTCCAGAACTATCAATCATATACATCACAATGGCAGCCACTATGAGAATATTCAAAGTTCTCCTGATCGGCAACTCTGGCGTCGGCAAGGTCCGTCTGTTTTTCAGCTATTTGGATCTAGAAATCAGACTGATTTATGCCAGACAGCCTTCCTGCGCCGGTATCTCCAGAGCAGATATGAGGATACCATCGAACCAACCATAGGCGTGGAAAAGCATGTTATAGTTCTTAGTACTGTAAGGATGTTGCCGAGTTTATAAACCCAGAAAGCTAAAAGAGATAGACCGCCGGCGACATTCGCTATGAAATATGGGATGTCAGCGGCAGCCAGAAGATATCCGCGTTGCAGTCAGAAGAGTACAATGCAGACGGTGCGATTATCATGTTTGACCTGACGAATCGGATATCTTACAATAATGTCCCCAATTGGTATCGTAAGTAGCGCTCATCCAATTTGATATGCTTGCACTCACCTCCTGCCAGAAACAATCGTGCACAAAGATCGCTCGGGCCGAAACCCCATGCCCATCTGCATCTGTGCGAACAAATACGACGCACCGTCCGATAGCAAGTTACCTGCAAAAACCATCACCTTTCCTCGGAAGAAGGGGACTGGATACGCCGAGGTGTCGGTGATGACGCTCCAGGGAATTAATGAACCCTTCCTTGATCTTGCTAGACGGCTTCTGAGGGATCCAACTGTGGTATGTTGATTTCCCTCCGTAGTACGTCGCACTGTCCTAATTATGATAGCAATACGAATACATGCCCGATCTAGGTGACGGGGTTTTCAATCCCGCGGCCAGCCTGCATAGCACCCGGATCGCCGCGAACGAAGACTATCTCAACTCGAAATTGCCCAATCTCCTGAATGTTCAATCCGTGCCAGGCGAGGTTGAATATATTTCAGCGGAAGAAAGTGTTCCGAGTACCCCGCGAAGCAGTGCTGCGTCTAGAAAGGTGGAAGATCCGTCTGAAGGCCGGCTGAAGTTCCTCTATGCTCCTCGTACTGCGCCCACACCCCTTGTGAACTGGTCGGATCTGGCCGTTCAAACGCAGATAAAGCCTTTAGTGATCAAAGAGAAACGCGAGACGGCAAGGGAGCAGTCGAACATCAGCCCTGACCAGGGCGTATCTGTCGTCGCGGTGCTGCACGAAGAGGCAATGGCGCCGGCCACAAAGAAAGAGAAGCGCAGTCTCCCGAAAGTCCAACAACGAGATCTTGAGGAGCAAAGTCTTTTCGTGCTATGCATTCACTGCATCCGGATGATCTTTGTCAAGTCTATCCAGGGAACAAAACTGGCTGAAACCGTGGAAGCCAAAACACCCTTCTCGTTGACCACGACGGCATGTCGCTCTTGTTGTCGCGACTTCGGGACATCATCGCCAGTAAAAACTTGTATGTCACCCGATTTGATCCGGTATACGGCCATGTATGAGTGTGCGCGCAAGGTAGCAGAGGAAGAAGTAGCGGTGCTCACCTTTAAGAAAAGCGTCGCGCACATTGAGATGGAAGAGTTGACAGAATACATGGGACTGACGTGCCAAATTCAGGGTGTGTCTACTACTCCTGACACGATCGAGAGACTGAGCGAGTTGGAAAAGAAGGATGTGATGATGAGTTACGTCCCCGGAGCGTTCCTATAGTTTGGTCAACAAATCTACTTGGTGAAATTAGACATAGCGCCTGACTCTATAGGAAAATCCTCCCTGGATGGAGATAGAGTAATTTCTTGGCTTGTTTCTATCCGATTCAGTACATGCTTTTACATACGAGCGCTTTTATAACCGACTGGCCGCATTTCGCTTGTCAACCACTGCATCCTTTGGATCTGCCGCTGGCAACTGGGGAACGGGCAGTCCCAATTCCTTTGCCGCAGCTCTGGCTGCCCATAAGCCGGTCACAAACGCCAGGGCCAATCCCCCAGCATATCCCAGATTACTGAAGCCACCGCCATCAACACCAGCCACCAGCAAGCCAGGAATAGGAGTCTTGTCGGCAGTGAGTGCATGGCTTTCTGTGTCGATGAGGATGCCACCGTATGTGAAGGTAATCCTTTTCGATCAGTTGAACGGACTATGCCATTCAGGAAGAAATGACTTACGATGGCTGTACTTCCATGGCAAAGAACGGACCATCCCCTTCCACCAGAGGAACAGGCGGCTTGCCTCCTTTTCCCACCGCGACATCGAGTGTGGCCGTTGTATCTCCGTGGTGTACCACGCGGAAGTACTCGTCGATTGTCTTCTGCGCTTGGGCGCCATTGACGCCCCAGGCCTTGAGAATTTCAAATAAGCCATCAAGAGTGGGCGCGCTAGCAACATTACATCCATGCGCGCGGGCCTTCTCCAGGCGGTCGATTTCTCCTGCATTAGGGAAAGGGGCGGAAATGCAGTGTTGCTTTCGGGTTGAGTCACTGCAACAATCAGCTGGCTTCTTTTAGAGGGGCACCATGTGTCACAAACTCGAACAAGAGGAATCCCCGTCTCTTCTCTTGCTTCGCCAGGTACTGATTGACAATCTCATCGCCGGTTGTCTCGTCGGCGAACCTGCGGCCTCCCTCGTTTATCAGGAGGCAGTATTTGCTTTCTGGCAGGACGTCAGTTCCATGACAGTTTTTCTTGCAAGGTAGACATACGGTATTGGGCTAGTGGCAGGTAGTCCTTTGGATCCACCTCATCTGCGCGAAGGGGAGCAGCAAGCAGGTGGCCGTAATATGTATTCATTCCCCGACTGGTAGCGGCTCCGACGTCCTGCGCCAGCATGAGTCCATCTCCGACGGACCCGCGATTTGAGCGGACAAAGATGTTGTCTCCTCCCTGGCCGAGATGGGTCGAAGTTAAAGCAGAATTACCCTGGAATCCACCGGTGGCCAGCACGACCTGCTTAGCTTTGACTGTGTAGTATACCTCTCTCTTACCGTCGACGGGCTCTCGACGGATGACGGCGCCGATAACGCGAGATCCTGGCACTCCCAGATATTCTTGAATGAGCTTTACAATTGAAGTATTGGTGAAGATCTTTGACTGGGTATTGCTCTGGGCAATGCGTTGTTTATGATATTCATGGAGATGGGGGATCTTGATGGGGAAACCGATTCCTAGTATTCATGTTAGCATTGCCTTCGAACCCCGAAATAGCACATACCGATGGTCATGATTCCCTCGAACCGCTTAGCAGTCGGAATGCCATTCTCGCGCATCCACTGCACGGCTGGAAGGTAATCCTTCATCCAGGCTGCTTGGAGCTCGGCATCACCGGCAGGGACCCATGATCTCAAGCTCTCATAGCTCTTCGGAGCCCAACTAGATCGGTCAGCATGCTTCCAGCTACAATGACTTCCCATTGACGTACAACATGCCTGCTGAGTAGTTCGAAGAGCCACCAACCATCGCCTGCTTCTCAACTACCAATACCTTGGCCCCAGCGTCCGCAGCGAAGGCAGCACACGCCATGCCGGACATCCCTCCACCGCAAACTAGGACGTCCACAGTCAATGTTTCCATGTCGAATATTTATGAATATTGCTTCTAATTGCTTTGGACAACGGTGGAAAGAAAACAGGACATGATCGAGAGATTCATGTGCTGGTACAAAAGCTGCTCCGGCGTATAGATTTATTGACCGGATGACCCACACCCGGTGTATTTATTCATGGTATAGACTAACTGTGCCTCCGCATTTTCGGCAGTATTATCCAGATAGATGATTGATGATCTCAAAATCTATAGCCAAGAAAATAGGCACTTGTTCTGTTCTTCTCACGATTCCGGACATCTCATCATCAACTTGTCTGGGTCTCGGCTCTGAGGACGCCAAGGACATACATAACCGCGGATGATTCCACAATCTTGCATCTCCGCATTTCAGACTAAGTTGATCCTCAGGAACATCTCGATCTCGATGTGATAAGAATAGACTGGGTCTTGGCTATTGTCCCAATAAAAGATATGACTTTATGAGGAGTTTCCTTTATACAGAAGGCCTCAATGGCCACAAACTCTGCGCATCCGGTGACAAGGCGACAAGCCCACCGGACCCCCACTGCAGCTGCAGCATGCGAAGCTTGTCGGAAACTGAAGATGCGATGTATTCGTTCCCCTTCCTCGGCTGGATCAGTCGATTCAATGGAGCCATGCGATCGCTGTCTCCGAAACAATCGCACCTGTCGTATACCGCCGCCCCGTCCGCTGGGTCGCAAGCCGGGGGCCGTCGGTCGCTATAAGGGTCTAGAGAAGGCATATCGGAAGATGCAAGCGGAGCTGAAAAAGGCTGGTACTGGCTTGATTCCAATTGAGGAGCATAGCGAGATACATCATATCCTGTCAGGTGTGCAAAATACCAGGATAGAGGAGGATTCAGGTGTGGCTCGGACTTGCAACGAGCGCACCATGGATGATGGATATGCATTCTCACATTCGGTGGATGACAATATTCATGGAAGCCCTCGACGGACAGAGCAGGGTCAAGAAGTGCCGGCAACTAATTTCGTCCCTAATGCGCCGTATGGTATACAGGATCCCATCAGCAATCCGCTCGCGTTGCTAGCAGATGCCTCCGAGACCGCACAGGTGATGAACATGTCGTATGTGCCTATGAACACTTGCTCAACTACAGAAGGTGGAAAAGGCCATGGCCAGTCAATAGGCGAAGAAAGAATCGGTCGCTATCTACTTCGTCGCCCGAGACACGTATCGCTCAACCTGCAACTGACGAAAGACCAATTGGAGACTGGACTAGATATGCTATTCGATTCTACACCGCAGCTTTCCCAGTATCAAGACTACTTTCGACGTCATGAACAGCGTCCGCCACGCGATACCGGTCCCGACCTGGACCCGGTAGATTTAGGATTGATATCCATGGAGGAAGCAACGGAGCTTTTCGCCATGTAGGTACCGGAGTGCATCGGAAGAAGACCTGTGGCTGATCGTGGTCAGATATTTCCAACGCCTGCACCCGATCAATGGGATCCTCGACCCTCACTTACATACTTCTGCATACGTACGGTCGCATTCGGCCCTCTTGTTTACCTGGATACTCGCACTTACAGCCCAATTCGATCATGACTCGGCAATCATCGCAAGGCGACTGCTCTTACATGGGGATAAGCTCTCCCGGCATGTGCACACCTCCGGGTATAAGTCAGTCGAGATAGTTCAAGGATACTACATCTCGTTGCTGTCGGCGACGCCAGCCAAAACATTGTCCGAGGAGCGTTCTTGGCTCTATACGATGTATGCTGTTGGGGTCGCAATGGAACTTGGGTTAGATCAAGGTGCAAGCCTGCCTCCGCAGTACCTTTCCACCAACCACGACGCCGTGGCGGATAATCTGGAGCATCTGCAAAGAGTAGCTCGTAATCGTGAACGAACTTGGCTGCGAATCCTGCTCTGGGAGAGAGCCAACAGCGCCGCGTATGGTCGCTCGAATGCCTTTCCAGAGACACAGTTGACGCAGAGCGTCGAGACTTGGTGGATGCATCCACTGGCCGATCAGACTGACAAGTATACCTGTGCCTTTATTCTCCTTCGTCGCCACTTGGCTGCGTTGCAGCTGGAACTGCGACGGCAGGCGGGTTTATCTCAATCGAATCCTCGCTGGGTTGCTGAACTCATTGACGTGACTTTGGGGCCGTGGTGCAGGATGTGGCTCCAGGATCCCTATCCTTTACCTCCCTCGGAGCGACTGTCCCAGTTCTTTCTCTACTATGTATATCTTCATAATCGATTGTGGACACTGTCATTTGCCTTGCACGCATCCCTCATCGCAGGTCGTCAGGTCGATGCGATTCGCGAGGATTGCTTCAACGCCGCTCTGCACAGTTGCGAAGTGGCCGTTCGCGACCTTGAGGCCATCGGCGAGCCGTTATACTGCATGCTGGCTCCGACATGGGCGATGATATCCTACGCGACGATCTTAACCCTAAAACTCTACCCCCACATCCACGGTGCTCACGCGGGCTCAGAGATTGAGCTGCTAGCCTTGCTTGCACAAGTCGCAATGCAGCTCCAGAAAGCCGGAGCGACACCATCCCACCGGCTAGGGATTGCGGCGTTGCTAGCGCAGCATCTCCTTCTGATCCTCAGGGCGAAAGCAGCAGGAATACGGGACATGGTCGAAATTATCGATGAGCCCCTTTGTCGATCCTCCAATAATAGCGTCTTCGGAACCTCGCGTGACCCGGACGCAAGGGCCATCTCATCCTTAAGCCCCTTAGTCTCTTCCTACGATCCGATTCTGTCGGCCGCCACACTGGAACCTGACAGCGTTACGACTCTATTTCGGGAGATTTTTGGGCCCGGCTTTGATGAAATCTCCTGAACTTTATTGTAGTCAGCAAAAAAAAAAAAAAAAATGTCAGAAAAATCTACTTAAACGCACCACAATCCATATTTCTCTCTACTGTGTCTTTGAAATTGTTCTGCCCATGACTTCATAGCGCAGAGCGGCTGGGTTTCCCGACTGAGCGATTGCCGACACTGAAAGCTATGTGGAGAAGAATGCGCTGATCAATAAACGTCACTCCTTTCACGTCCAGTCTTACGCGTCAACTTCGCTCACAAGAGACTTTCCTCCTTCAAACATTTCCGCTCACTTGTCCAGTATCCATCAGAGATCTGTCAAAACATAAAATCGCAATGTTCCAGTGGTATGGCGGTCGGAGAGAGGTCCATGGTTGAATCGCTAACTTTGCTTCAGGTACCAAAGAAGTTTGATCCAGCGTCCTTTGTTGACGCAAAGCTTAACGACTGCGGTTGGTCGGACAAGTTCCAGTTGCTTGCTCAAGTAGCTGACCCCATCCCGCAGTGTCTTTTCGCAGTTGGAGATGGCCTCGCGCAGCAAGCAGTGGAGAAGAGAGGCATCGCGAAGCATGACGTGATGCGCACCGGACGGATGGCACTCTATGGCGGAGGTATGGCCCATCTTCCATCCGAACCAAATGCCCGTATTGACGATATCTAGCTGTCTTTGGCCCCCTGGCCACGAAATGGTTCCAGTTCTTGCAGAAGCGCATCAACCTGCCCTCGACACAGAAGACTGTTGTCGCTCGGGTCGCGGCCGACCAGCTGCTCTTCGCGCCGACCGTGATCGGCGTCTTCCTGTCGAGCATGTCTATCATGGAAGGCGGGAGTCCCCAGGACAAGCTCCAGAAGGCTTACTGGCCTGCCCTCCAGGCCAACTGGACGGTGTGGCCGGTCCTGCAGCTGATGAACTTTGCTCTGGTGCCGTTGCAGTATCGCGTGCTTACAGTCAACGTCTTGAATATTGGTAAGTTGTCTTCGTATGTCTTTTCGACCCTTTTAACTGATCGTGTTAGGTTGGAATTGCTTCTTGAGTCTGTTGAATAGCACGAGTCCGAAAGAGGTCACTCCTGTTCCGGGCTTAAGGAGGGAAGCATAAAAATTTTTGCTTTCGCGTTGTACATAGAAAAATCCTGTTTGATAGACTTGATAGATTACATGTTCCATTTCTCCAACCCCAGCATTTGCGGGAGTCGAGGGTCAAATTATAGAAGACAGTTTTCGTTGGCATTTTTTGAGGGCGGCAGATTGCCTAATCGGGTATCCCGCTGGCTCTGTCCCAATCCGGTAGTCTACCGCCAGAGAGTTAAAAGCGCAGTAGAAAATAATGGGCTGCCATATGTATAACAAGCGACAGTTCTGCAAATGGGCCGCACGTCGTGTACTTCAATTGCTGCAGCTATCTATATGGCCTAAAGGCGATCCTACTTTTAAACCCACGGAATCAGTGTCCGAGGCTGGCGCCGAAACCTCACCTCATCAACTAGATAGTATCTACGCGAGCAGAAAAGCAATACAAACAGCATTGTTCTTCCCTCCACACTCATGAAACAGACGTTCTGGACCAAGTGAGCGACCGACCGGTGCCAGTGGAAAGATCATGACAGTCATGACGGCTCTGTCTGGTGGAGCTCAGTGGAGCATCAACAGAGTAAAGCTGGGGTGAGACGGACATGTCCGAGATGGACCTCTGATTTGTGATCTCTGGTGTTCTGAATTTTTTGAGGCATGAGTCTGACTGGAGAGAAACGGACAATGAGTAGGTATTGGAAAAGTAGGCAATATCTCCTTATGCTTATTCTCTTGCGTTGCAGGAGTGGCTGCAGTGATTGCTTGGGGAGCACAGGGTTCATATGTCGGCCATGCTCTTTTCTGGTGATCAGGCCAGAGGACTTGTTTTAACCAATGAAGCTACTGCTTCCATGGTCTAGTTATTCCTTTTGTTTCGTCGAATGAGCTTCTTGGGATTTGTTGGATCAATGGAGTAGACCCAAGTACGGAGTAGATATCCGTATTTGCAAGTTGTCCCACAAGCAGGTAGGCCAGCAGGCTGCGAGCTGTACAGCACGAACCTTTGACCATTCAGATGCACAGATATGACCGCGAAAACTGGAATAGAGACGTTCGCTTACTGCCTTGCGAGTATATAGTGACCCTGACTAGCAACTCGTCAACATTCTGTCAGGATGCGAACAAGCCAGCCGTGACTTATCCTCAACAAGGCCAGCGATATCAGCCCACCACGTCAGGCCCCGGCGACGGTTCGACAAGATCATGACGGGTAGACTTGGCTGTAGTCATGGTAGTTGCAGTCGAACCCTGGCCGGTGCCACTACTGGCCTGCCAGATGCCGCCAATTCCACATAATGACGCGATGATCCTCGGTTCCCCGGATTCGTTCCACCACCACCCCCAGAGTCCCGCCACTTGACCAGATGCTCGAATTTCTGTATGGACCTCCCATGTTCTCTTTCCACGGTCACTAGGGCGTATTGAAAAATTCATGATGTGATTCAGTGATTGCACTTTGGGTCACTGGGGGTTTAATAGGGCTCGTTTCCACGGTAGTTACGGAAAATCGCAGGACACCACGTGAGCAGGGTGGGAGGGTTGATGACCGAATCGAAAGACCGGGATATGCTTTGCCTACCCTTCCTTTCCTTGACTAGAAGACCTGTAGGTAGACATTAGACAGATATCGACGACGTGGAAACCACTCCCTTGGAACTTTGGGATGCCTGTCTGTGTGCTCGTGTATGACCTCATTGCCGGTCTTGGCTTAGAGTCTCTGTCTCTAGAATACTTAAACAGCGCACCTGGCTCTATATTCCCCTGTCGCCGCCGAATGAATCAAATCTAACTCTAATTTTACTAAGAATTCTCTCCTCATCAGCGATGCTGTTCAGGAAGTCCAAGGAGTCTCAATCGAGGCCGGAGAGCTCTATTACAGAGGGGGCCGACTCTGTGGGGGCGCAATCGCAGGCTGCGATCGCCACGGATGAACATTATGTGGATACGCATATTCCACTATTGACATGGCGATCTTTTCTGATGGGTGTCTTTGTGTCGATGGGTGGCTTCCTGTTCGGCTATGATACCGGTCAGATTTCGGGTTTTCTGGAAATGAAGAATTTCTTGCAGCGATATGGCGAGCAGAAGGCTGACGGGACCTATTATTTCTCCAACGTGCGGGCTGGCTTGATTGTCGCTTTGGTATGTACTCACTACTCACGCTTTATTAGCCAAGGAGAAAAAACAAAAAGTCTTGCTAATCTCGGTCAGCTCTCCATCGGAACGTTGATGGGTGCATTAATTGCGGCTCCCATCGCCGATCGTCTCGGGCGGAAATGGTCCGTCACGATCTGGGCGCTGATGGTCTGCGTCGGCATCACTGTTCAGATTTCTTCCCCCTCCGGCCACTGGTGGCAGGTTGCGTGCGGTCGATGGGTGGCAGGTCTGGGTGTCGGAGCCCTCTCGCTGCTGGTGCCCATGTACCAAGCCGAAACAGGCCCGCGGCATATTCGTGGTGCTCTGGTCAGGTAAGGATTGACCGGCCCTCCCATAATGGTCTATACAGCGATTGACTTTTTCTCTCTCAACAGTACCTACCAGTTGTTCATCACGCTCGGCATCTTCGTCGCCAACTGTATCAACTTCGGCACCGAGAGCCGCACTGACACTGGTTCCTGGCGTATCCCGATGGGTATCACCTACCTTTGGGCCTTGATTCTCGGTATCGGCATCTCCATGTTCCCCGAAACCCCTCGCTTTGATTTTCGTCATGGCAAAGTCGATCGCTCCTTGAGCACCTTGTCCAAGATGTATGGCATTCCGAAACATCATCGCGCGCTGAGGCAGGAATTGGAAGAAATTAGGCAAAAGCATGAAGAGGAAATGGCCCGGGGCAAAATGTCCTGGATCCAGCTCTTCCGCGCCCCTCGAATGACATATCGAATCGGCGTGGGAGTTGCTCTGCAGGCGCTTCAGCAATTGACCGGCGCCAACTACTTCTTCTACTATGTAAGCTGTTCATTCCGTCAAGTCTTAGGCATCAAGCACTATTCTGACTCCAAATGCAGGGCACAACCGTCTTCAAAGGCGCTGGAATCCAAAACAGCTATGTGACGCAGATGATTCTGGGTGGGGTGAACTTCGGGACGACTTTCTTGGGTCTATATCTGATCGAGAACTTCGGCCGCCGCAAGTCTCTGATCGCTGGCGCCCTGTGGATGTTCGTGTGCTTCATGGTCTTCGCCTCCGTGGGCCACTTTTCGCTCGATCGCGAGGTACCTGAACGCACGCACTCCGCCGGTGTAGTCATGGTGGTATTCGCATGCCTTTTCATTCTCGGGTTCGCGTCAACATGGGGTCCGATGGTGTGGACGATCATCGCTGAGCTGTATCCCTCCGAGTTCCGTGCCCGTGCCATGTCCCTGGCGACCGCGTCGAATTGGCTTTGGAATTTCCTGCTGGCCTTCTTCACCCCGTTCATCACCAGTGCGATCGATTTCCGATACGGTTATGTGTTTGCCGGGTGTCTGTTCCTCGCCGCCACGTTGGTGTACTTTACCGTCATCGAGGGCAAGGGCCGGACCCTCGAGGAGATCGATACCATGTACGTGATGAAGGTGCCGCCATGGAAGAGCTCCAAGTTTGTCTTTGAGGAGCTGCAGCCCCATGCTCGGGAGAAGTTGGCGCGCGGTGGAACTCATGGCCACGTGGAGACTGCTGGCCAAGAGACCATCGAGGAAACAGTTTGAGTTGGCGGAAATGTTTTTTTCGGAAGAGGAGAGATAGGATTCCCCCCATGTACATTTGAGCTTTGTAGTAATATCAGTATATCTTCGACAGTGTTGAGCAGGTTTAAGATGATGCAGCCGAAAAGGTCTTGGCATAAATCAAGCTCCCGGGTTTCCCGCTAGTCTATTCTGGGAGTATACCCGACCTTCCTATTTTGGATCCGTCGTCAACTATGCAATTCAGGCGCAAATCCAAGACCATTCCTTGCCATGGAATGATTTCTATGTGTCCCTCGGAGTTGTAGAATGGAGATAGCCAGATCGTAGACATCATATCCTTTGGATCCTCCCAGCCAAACTATATATCGTCGGCTTCCTATGCCATTTGAAGTACCGATGGATGCTCTATCTAATACCCTAATGCAAGTGCTGCTCCACGCCGGGAAAGGTGAAAACTGCGCCTTCGCTGGGGTCATTATTACACCTGAAATGGGAGATACCTGTTTTATTTCCTAACTTGGACTGTTGGACTACTACAACTACAAGGCATCGGTAGTCAAGCAGTCGGCTTCTTCTACACCTTCATTTACCGATATTGGGTCCACTCCGCGATCAGCATGTGTTTACCAGTATCATTGGCCAATCCGCTGTCCCCCTTGAGCTGATCGGGGGAGTGAGCTCTCGGGTTTACAATCTCGGCCGAGTGAATTGAACAGGACAGGAGCGTATCCAGGCGCCAGGTACGCCGCTGTCTCACTCACTAAAACACTGTGTACAACTGCTATTTGCTAATACCAACTTGTGCATGAGGCTTGTTGCATGTAAGCTACCAACCGTCACTCGGTCTGTATGGATGTCACACCAAACGTCGCTGCATTAGCCTACGAAATACATATTCATCCAACGGTCTGAACGCCCAGAGTTTCTAAGCATCACACGCGGTAGCTTGAAAGTTACTCTTTGTTCGATTAGCATGTTTTCACGGGTCCTCTTCGAGGAATGTATCATGCCGGCTCAAGGCCAACAATCTCCCTCCAACAATTTCTCCATTATCTATTGAGCTAACGAGGGGTTGGGGGTAGGTTTAGATCAAGCTAGGTTTATAGCGTACCTCATGGCATTAGATCCTTTCACTCTATGCAAGCCAATGTTTCTACAGGGGAAAGGAAGAATGAATTATGACTGGCGGATCTGATGAGCTGGTGACAGATGACCAGTTGGCCACCTGTGATTCGGAGGATCTCAAGGCATGTTCCCAGATTGTCACGATCTCTGTCAGGCGCTATATATCCAGCTTTATCTCGATCTGGAAGGATGCGTTATTGACACTGTCTCGGACATATGGCTCGGGCACATCCCTTCGCCCTTAGCTATTATGCTATATCATTGGTCTAACCATAAAGCTTGTCAGCATGCGCCTATCTCATACTGAGTTTACAAGTCGGTGATCAAGGGAATAGCGTATGTCTTGGGGCTAATCCCCCGCTATTGGCATAAGCCCAGTTTCCTCCGTAAGCTACGAGCTTACAGGCATGCCTACCATGTGCTTCTACCTGATAGTATCTAGACTAATGTTGTGTGCTCTACTTACAATAGTTTCATACCAGTCTAGTCCTTCCATGGTGGGATTAAGTGGATGTTCAACCACACTAGGTGTGTCAACTCAAAACCAGCTTCCATTAGTATCCAAGGAGGTGTGAAGGTTGGCCCACAAGGGTCAGGGGCGGGACAGAATTTTCCATAATCTCATAGATACTCCAGAATAAAAGGAGCTCATGGAGCTTGCTGGAGTGGTCCTCTCCGAACAACTACGCGACGATAGACCCACTCACTGTTCCTTCGAGAGCACAGGTCCGTCGTACTGCTCGAGCTCGCATTGGGCATACAATGCCAACAATGATTACTATGGGGTTGTCGGTGGCGTTATTGGAATACGGCCAGACCAGCGGAATGATTCCTCGTGTGCTTCCCTGGTCCTGTAGTCGATTTTTCTTTACCTGCAAGGCTGCAACAACCGGGAATAATCTCCATGCTGACATGCATACCGATTAGGCTTCCGCAGAACTATTGGTTACAGCAACTCAATTCCAAAGACTGGATGTATACTGTGTGTTGGGAGAGCGGAAGATCAGACGGAGTGGCGGTTTTGTCCAAAAGTCAGATCTTCGCCCTCGGCAACTCTGATTTGAGAGGACAGTGTGCTCCTGTGAAGACAGCAGATCGATATTGGTGTAGAATGAAAGACAGTCAGTACGAAGTATGGAAATGCCCCTGAGACAATTGTTGTGAGGGTATTGTAGTAAGGGGAATACAACATGGGATCCATATCACGTAACTATGGGGCAGGACCCCGTAGTGGCTACGCAATTAGGGACAATCCGGAACATCTCCTCGGAGGCTCGGTACTTACCAGATCCCAACAAGATGGGCATAATGCGAAAAACTATGTTCCAATGGGTCCACTTCAGAACACAGCAGGTTCCCCCCCGCAATTCCCCCAGATACTACCCCAATGAAGCAGGGCGGTGGACAGGGCATCACCACCTTTAGAGTGTGGATGATGTAGCCTAAAGCCGTTACCCCGCGAGCCTAGAAGCTAAGTCTCGGGAATCTATAAAGCTGTCCATCGTATCTGGATGTCCAGAAAGCCAGTGTCAGCAATCCCCCTTCCTCTCCAGCACTCGTGCCCCCGACTACCACTTCAGAGACAACATGTCGAACGGCATCTTCTATGAAAAGGCCGACGAGCATCTCCGCCGGATTCAGACGGCGGAGAGTGTTTTCCTCCCCATCTCTCGAGAGGCATTTGAGAAGCTCTATCTGAGTCCCAAAACCCCGACAGTTGTGAGTGACTTGCGCAAGAAAGTGGCCAATCCTACACCCATTGCGTTGTTGGGATTCTTACTCGCATCTACTCCCAATGCGTGTATCACAATGGGATGGGGAGGGGCAGGTGGTAATGGAGCTGCTATCATGTGAGAATCACTTCGATTAGATTCCCATTATTTGTGATGGTATTGACTCGCTTTTTCAGACCCGTTTTTATCTTTTTCGGTGGATTTGTCCAGGTCCTTGGTGCCATTGGCGAATGGATGATCGGTAATACATTTTCATGCGTTTTATTCTTCACATATGGTATGCATTATCATGCATTGAGATGGGTGCCATTCTCACCTCTCCCATAGGAGCTTTCTGGTTGGCCCAGGGAGCTGGCATGATGCCGTTCTTCGCCACTGGGACACATTTATCCCCCACTGGTAACTTCCTTGAAGGCCAGAAGTCGCCCATGTACGATGCTAGTCTTGGTTCGTCTCCCAGAAATTGCCTGAGTTAAACTACATAGACCACTAACTGGCTCAAAGGGTTCTTCTTTGTCTGTATGACAGTCATCACGTTCATCTACATGATTGGCTCCATCCGGACCAACATCTGCCTATTATCTACCCTTGTAATGCTGGTCATCGCATTTGGTCTTCTTGCGGGCACCCATTTCGCACTATCCTATGGGAATGTCACTCTAGCTGAGAAAGTACAAATGGTTAGTCGATCTTTCTCAGTATTGGAGATAATGACTAATGTTCCATCTTCAAGGCGGCTGGTGCATTCAGCTTTGCTTTGTGTATACCCGTCTGGTGGATCTTCATGACGCAGATCTTGGAGGCTGTCGATTTCCCCATCTCGCTTCCTGTTGGTGATCTGAGTACTGTTGTCCCCGGACGAAGCCAGCGAGCAGCGAAAGGCGAGGTAGAGCCCTGATTGTATTCAGTGAGGATGCATCAGAGGATAAGACCCTGAATGTTATTGTTACCATCTTCTCCAGATGAGAACGAAGCGATGTACGCTTTCTTATTGATACAGGTATCTGTTATAGGTTTGAACCCACTGTATCCAGCAATGGACGCAGGGAACGCAACGGACGATTGGTCGGATGTTACCCCCAATATCTGTGCTTACGGCGCTGCGAGTAAATAGTACGTCTCCTTGGGTGTAGGTTGCATATACGTACGACTAGATGTTCATCGCAAACCATTCCATTGTACCGCCTGCCCAGATACACGGATCCCACCTCTAAGCCTTACGAATGAGAAGTTGCGATAGTTTCAGCCCACGGAATGTAGTGTCTAGCATGCATCAATCAGACCTCGCACTTGTATTCTTTCCCTTTTCAGGCAAGAATTGTCTCCCTCTTTGCATTCAATGTATACAAGCCAAAACCCTTTGTGACTATTACTTGGTTTCACCAGGAATAATCAGTGAACTTGAAAGATTACTACAACGGACTCACAATGATAATCTAGGCTCTCACGACCCTTTCCAGTGTTTTGTTGGCTTTCCCTCTACCTTATCAGGAAGACGACCTTCCGTCGCATTGGGAGCCAGCCAGACCAAGTGACTTTATATGACTCGATATGCAAATTTTGACTTCATCTAGGGCTAATGACCCACGGATCGTGGTCCCCTGTCCCATGTTAAACACATTAGCGAATCATCAATTTCTACCACATGATGGAAGGAACATCACAGAGGATGTCCTTATTCGAACCTTGTCGAATGCGCTCAATTTCGACTCGTCTCTTGACTCTGTCATGTTTAATATGGCTATCATAGCTAACCCTGAGCCGAATGCGACCTTTTTCACTCCGTGAGTGCTGTTTTATGGCTCACATAATGAATGGTACCTGCACCTTCTATCATCTAAGGCTAATAGTACTTTCTCTAGTGATCAGCTCAATGCACATAATGTATTGGAGCACGATGCAAGTTTAAGCTCGGCAGTTACCACTATATCCTGGACCATCTTCTTGCCTAATTTGAACTATACAACTAACCTAATCGTTAGTCGCTCTGACACCTACTTTGGTAACAATCATGTCTTCAACCAGACCATCTTTGATGAGACAAAGGCGTACTGGACGGGAGACATCCTCAACGCAAGCATGCTAGCCAATAGCTGGTTGGCCCGGCAAATCAACTCCAAGGATTTCAATCCCACCTACACCTTCACAGAAATGATGGGGCATTTTACTCTTGGTAAGGTAGCTGTTCCCATCATCGCCTTTGGTGACATGAAAACTGGACTTGTGAATAAGACAGTGGTGGAGTACTTCCTTGGTACACTCGATTTGGCTCAATTTAATGAGATACTACAACAAACTGACGTGGATACAGAACATGAGCGTCTTCCTACCCATCTTTCCTAGACGAAACGGAATGAGCTAGCCAGTCAAGAGGACGTTATGAGAGTGTCTCGGATGATTAGCGAAGTGGGCAATCTAATCACTCCTCCTAGTTCTGTCGTCAACTTGGAGGACTGGGACATGCACCATGATTTGGCTGTGCAACATCGAAGATAGCCAATACGTTCCTCAAAGCCCCTGTGTGAAGAGCTCTATTGTGAACGATGTGTCTAGTATGTCTCGGTTCTTGAATTAAAATAGGATGTCCTTACATTAATGAGATCGCGGATCTTCTGGCCCAAAGCACGACTTGAAAATATGGCGTCCTAGGGTGGGCATCAAATTTCTATTCCTCATTTTCACTGCGAATGAAAGGCATCAACGGTCCATGCCAACCAAAAATGGCAAGCCGTATGATCAAGCCAGATCAAGATCTGCCCTTCGATACGTACTCAACGACAGTTACCCAAATTTTTGTTCCGTTGACCAATCGACTCTAAATCCTAAGCACCGGAACCGAACCATCGGTAAACTAGCCCCCAAGGATAATGCTCTAAGTGGACTATTTCGTTCGGCCTCACTTCACTATAGGTCAGGAGTTTGAGTGACACTTTTCTGTTTCAGTTGGCGCCAAACTCCTAGGGATCCAGCCAGTAACGGTTATCGAACAACTACAATTCATCAATTTCGCTCGTATTGGGCGATTTACAATGTTAGGGACAGATAAGCGCCTTCTCGTAGATATTCCCCGTGTGTTTGTAGCTCGTGATGGCAAGTATATTGACATCGCATGGGCCCCATATTTCGCCTTTGCCCGGTCGAATATGTGTATAACAGGTCCCTTTTCAGAGAGTTTCCCGGAAAATCGTGGCCTTGAGCATCGAAAACTTGAAGCCTCTATATATTTATATTGCTATAACCTCGAGTGGACTTACGGGAAACAATACGATGGGGAATGCACTATCAATTTTGACGTGTTTCGGCACGAAAACATCAGACCGGATGCCAAACCAGGATGTGATAGAGACGTCAGTTTTGATCGATAGTCCGGAGTCTTTTGATATGTCGAATATGGCCGGAAGCCCCGTGGTGGTGGCGAGCCCTGAGTCAATGGAGAGGTCTACTCCCATTGAAACTCGTGCAATGATGCAGAGCTCTGCATCACCGGAGAGCTCGATCCTGGTCGAGAACTCCAAACCGACAGATAGGGCTGCATTACCGGCGAATTCTCTGTCGCTAGAGATCCCGTCGCCAGTGGATAGACCTTTATCAATTGAGAGTTCTGTTTCGAGTGAGAGCCCTATATCGACGAGGGTTCAGGTATCGACAGATGTTCAAACAACGCCGGACATTCCACCATCGGCTGAAAACCTGCCTTCTGTAGCCATCTCGGTACCAGTTGTAGAGCCGTCGATCACAGACAGTCCAGTGGTAGAGACTCCATCGACACCTCAAACTTTGGAGCAAGGTCCGGTATCCGACTCTCAAGCAATGCTCGCTTCGATGCATGCCTCTTCCCAGGAATCAAGTGCTCTCATGCTAGGCGCAGCGGAAGAGCAAGTTGATATGGTACTTAAACCTTTATCAATAGATGCCCTCCCCCCACCCTTCTTGTCGGATATCTCCAGTTGTGAAGCTAAAATGATGCTTTCAGTCACTTCTTACGGCAATCGTCACCGTCGAACAATCGCAAGCAAAGACTATTCAGTATGCATCGCGGGAGGACAATTGACGATGTTTATACTTTTCTGGTGAAGAAATAAATCAGAATCGTTTGGCCTGACAAGTCTCGTACCTAGCAGTTCTCTGAATATAAATAGTATAATATACGGAATACTTCATCTTGTTCACTTTTCTCTCTTGATATGGATTATAGAAGGGACTTCTCTCTCTCTTGGTTTGTTTGGCAGCAATAGAACCCGCTCTGTTCGGTTGCAGGAAGCGATGTCCACTACCTGCCCCTGGATCTTAATTTGGCCATCATTTTTTTCAATCACAATCAAATCAAATCGGGCCCAAGACAATAATAGAATTGTTTAACCGCCTTGTTCTATATGCTAAGGGTGATTCATGTAAGCAAGCAACCAATCAATGGGGCTATCTACGCTATCCTCGCGCCCTTGCAAATAAGAGACCAATGGCATAGGATATCACACCGGATATATCTATGCTGCCAGGTACTAATCAAGCGACCAAGTGGGCTACAATCAGCGCTACGAATGGAAATTATCCCCCTCGTGAAAAGGAGATCGTGAAACAGAAGACGCCGTACCGTCGAAGGAGGGGTCAACTGGAGCAAAGGAAATAATCCCTGCTGGCCTGCTGAATGTAGAGTTATATAAAGAGCATCAAAGGCAGATCCGTATTACTGTAATTTCTATTCCAACTCTAACGAGATCATCAATTGTCTATGACCAAGTGCTCCTTGCCCGTAATCACACAAAAATATGGCTGGCGATAGCGAATCCTCGTTTTATCTTTACGGTGTTGGTGAAAAACCAGAAGCACTAACTCTTGGATCATTGGTCCTCGAAAAGTACTGGCAACCGTTGATTGCACGACACTATACTCATGGAATGCTTAGGTATGACCTCAAACATCTACTCCTACGTATCATAGTTAATTCCTTGCTAGTCCGGAAGATTTGCAAAGCCATGCCTATGTTAGCCATCTCAACGACGTGACGCTGCATGGAAAGTCACACCATGCCCCCTCTGTCAGTATCAGTGGGGTGAACATTGTAGACCTCAAGCTTACCAGGGAAAAGAATATCGAACGAATGGTGACGGCAAAAAAAGGTGTACGAATGATCCTCAAAGAGTATTCCTCTCCAAAATCGCGTTCTGAAGAAACAAGCATCGCTGACACTTCTGCAGCCCTGAAGCATTTCTGACAAATTCTGTTCTCACCAACTCTACGGCACAACAAAAGCTAAAATTATGGCTTTCTGCCTCTCGAAGCGATTATATCATGCGCGCAAAGTTTGCTCGCCGTCCTAAGATCTGGCTCCTCACCGGATTATACATGCTGGAGGGCACCCGCAGCATGTCCTCCCGCAGTCAATCCGTCGAAGTCTCCACAGAGGTCTCGGGCGCGCTGGTAGGCGCTCTGTCCAGTGTCCCTGTTGGTGGATCAATAGGTGTCGGCAATGGCAAGGAGTGGCAGGTGGGCAGTGAATCGGTCGAGCAGCATGTCTGGGCTGTTCAGTATCACTTACTCGATGCTCATTTCATTAAATTGGGTAAAGAGGGGCTGGAGGGATTGAGTCAGCCGCTTTCCATGGGCTTGCATAGAGATATATTATCTATTAACACCCTCCGAGGGGGAGGAAGGGATGGAGTGGAACTGGAATTGAAGAGCTTGAAAGCGGCTCGTGAAAAGCCGAACGAATTCGAGGTTGATGGTCACGAAAGTGATTCAACAGAGGAGTATGAGAAACGACTCGAGGAGGCAATCGCTATATTCGAGAAAGCTCCAAAGCATTTCCTCAGTTGATATGTACTTCAATGGTTAGCAATAGAACTGAAGTCAAAGGAAAATATTCAGTTGTTTCTATGACTCCCTTGTTTATACCAGGTGGTTCACATAAATTAGGATCGCTACTTTCAATGTCTACCAACGACGTGAAGACCATATTATGAGAGAGACATAAGCGCGGACAGGACGATATCAGTTCAGTTCGTCCATCATTTTGTATTTCTGACTCTCCAGAATATCTTGAGCGTTTAAAATCCTTTGCGAAGACCCGATTTCTAAGGCAATAAACATGGAAAACCCGTTTGTCAGCTAGTAGCCAGTCTTCACCCTCGCAGCGGATGGGGAGTTATATGGTCATTTGGGCATTGAAACAGCCATCACCGTGCTAGAAAAAAGAAGAGCATACTCAGTTGCCACGATAATGTTCTCGCCAATAGTACTGGCGCAGCGCCTTCCGAACACTGCCACTCGATATGGCGATTGCCTCGTGAAGATAGTCTTCCATCTCAGCTCCAGATAAGCCAAAAGAATCAAATGATTCTAAAAGCAGCTTCACCACGCTCAAGTTCCCAGCTCTGGCTGCCATGATAAAAAAGGTCTCACCGGTCCCCCCTTTGACAAAGGGATCTGCTCCTCGCTCCAGCAATTTGCGTGCCCGGTCCCGAAACTTCGCGCGGCATACCCACATGAGAGGTGTGCGACCTGATGAATCCAGCTCGTTCAAACGTGCTCCATGACGCAGCAGAAGATCGATCATATCGCCAGCGTTTTCTTGGTCCCTTCTGGAGGCTGCAGCGCTGAGCAAAGGTCTGCCGGAGTGACGAACATGGAGGTTGAAGCCACGATCTAGAAGAGTTTGCATCACTGCGGTAGTTCCTTTGGTTGCTGCTGTTTGTAGTATGTTGTACTCGTCTGGACCACCAGGTTGAGGATCATATCTGTTCTGGAGGAGAATCTTGAAAACAGCTTCACCGGCACGAATCGCCAATAGGTATAGCGGGAACGCGCTACCCAGCTTGTCAAACCGGACTCCCCGGTCATGGAGCATCTGGACTTGTATTGCGTTCCCAAAGCGCAAGACACGCCGCGGGACAGATACACGGTCATTTAACGGGTCTGCTCCACGATCGAGAAGCAGTTTGAAAATACCATCGTGCTGGACAGCATGCTGAAGAGCAACCGACATCTCATTTCCATTGGCTGAGTTGTCCCTTCGGTCGAGTAACAGTGACACGACCGCTTCATGGCCTCCTTGAACTGCGCGCCAGAGAGGATTGCAGAAATCACCCGGCTCATTGAATTGACTTGGATTTGCTCCGCGATCAATCAACAGCTCAACAAGCCGTAGATGGCCGCGGTCTGCAGCCCATGCGAGTGGCGTGAAGTCTTTGTAGAGCAACCCAAAAGCAAGGACATTATCCCCTTTTATATTGGGGGGCAAACCCGCATCCAGCAGGTGCTGTGCCCACTGCACGATCCCCGTTGCAGCAGCCACACAGAGGAGAATGCATCGCTCCTCCTTCGTTTGGACCATGTGAAGATAATCAAAACGGTCCATGAGAAATTCCACAATTGCCACATGGTTGAGCTGCGCTGCCCAGGCCAACGCATATAGAGACGTTTCGTTGTTGATACGAGGATGAGGGTCGGCACCGTGGTCAAGCAAATATTCAAGAATCTCCAAGTGACCCCGTCGCGCGGCCATGCAGAGCGGGGTGAGGTCACTGAAGCATCTGGGGTCCGGATTGGCACCTCGAGCGAGGAGGAATTTGACAACTTCCAGATGACCATTCGCAACGGCGGTCGCAAGTGGAGTCACACCGTTGTAATTGTCAGGCTCGATATCACAGCCCGCTTCGACAAGGAGCTTGACAATTGACAAGTGTCCGCCATGCGCAGCTTGGATCAAAGGGTTGAACTTACTATCTCTCGCCGACCGCTTTGGGTCGGCTCCATGAGCAATCAGAACCCGAATGACCTCTGCATGGCCTTCACTTGCGGCCAGTGAGAAGGCGTTGCCAGCTCCATTTCTCCCAATGGGCCGCGTTGACCGCGACCACTCTGGGACCCTTTCATAGGAGGTATCAGCACCGTACTCCAGGAGAACTTTGACCACATTGGCATGTCCATGACTGGCAGCAATTACTACCACATCATGGGCATTGGGGTCTGCTCCTGCCTCCAACGCTCTGCGAGCTGTGCCATCCAACCCGTTTTTGGCTGCCCATTGTAAGGCTGACATACCAAGCTCTTCATCCGTACCGCTATTGATGCACTGTACGTGGTATTTGTATAGAAAGTCCTCCAGAACTTTGTAGAGGCGGTGATTGGTCCGACTTAGGGCGCTGATCTCACTTTCATAATCGAGGAGCCGTGTGATCATGAGAATAACCTCGATGGGTAGGTTAGGAAGATACATTGCAGCTTGTTTCCTTCCATTAAACCGATGATTACGCACTTATAAAGATGAGAAATGATGATGATTATAAGATGGACGGACGCGTTGGAGGATGACTCCATGCTTTGCTAGTCTCCAGCGGATCGTGCATTGGGCGAATATATAATCTTAGCATGGAGGCCGTCGAATCGTACTGTAGTATCATCCCACAGAAAGACTTAGGAGGGTAATATGCTGCTCAACTACTATCAGTCCATTGACAGACTCAATGCAGATATCCTTTATTCCAAAGTAGATGAAAACTCTTCTTCTTATGTCTATCGATGAGTTATCGATGAGTGCCTGGCAGTCGTGGAGTGGTCGCCCCAGACCACGTGCGCTGGAGTCCTCAGGCATCCGTTGCACACCCCACACCAATTTTCTTCTCCAACACCAGAAATCAGCATCCTCCATCTTCATCATTGTCCCAACAAGTGATCAGTCATGTCCTCATCCACAGGCGCAGACAGCCCCGAGGCGTCTAAATCAGCGCCCGACTCCAAGATCGACCATGCCGCCTCCTTAAAATACTGGAACGATATGCCGGCTACGTCTAGTGGCATGCTCGCCATGCTCGGTGAATATCCGTGGTATTCCCGCATCGACCTCCGCGGCTCGCGCGCCTTCCTCGCGAAAGTCCGTCGCCTGCTACCCTCTTGCAGCACCACAGGCAAACTCAACCAGGGAGTGGACTGCGGCGCGGGCGTTGGGCGCATAACGGAGGGGTTTCTGAGCCAGGTGTGCGAGGTTGTCGATGTGGTGGAACCGGTCGCAAAATTCACGGATGTGGTGCGTGAAAGTTCGCTCAAGCAGAACGGCATCGTCGGGGATATCTACACTGTGGGAATCGAGGGGTGGAATCCGGAGAAGAAGTACGATTTGATCTGGACACAGTGGTGTGTGGGACATTTGACGGACACGCAACTGGTGGAATATTTCAAGCGTTGCCGGGATGCGCTGACGGATACTGGGATTATGGTGGTCAAGGAAAATCAATCCACGGATATCAGCGGCGAAGACATGTTTGATGAGGTGGATAGCAGCGTCACGCGGACGGATGAGAAGTTCAGGAAGCTTTTCGCAGAAGCTGGGATGACTGTGTTTCTGTCAGAAATTCAGACGGGATTCCCCAAGAACTTTCGACTTTTGCCAGTCCGGTCCTATGCGTTGCGACCCAACAGCTGAACCACATCCCCATGTTGACTGCAACACCTCTGAAAATCACAATTAGATGGGAGTGGTCGGAAATTCTCAAAGCACACCTCCAACGATCTGCGCTATAATTGCAGATGGTCGTGCATATCCGGTCGTCACCATACCAGGCGTCTGTGCCATTCACGGGCAATCCGACTTCAACCTGCTCTGGGGAATAATTTCATAGAGATGCTAGTTGTACCCGACACGCTATGAAGGTGGATTCAGAAGCATCTCCGTTCTGGGCGACACATCTCATACCGTCCATGGCTAGTTTGCATCAGCCAGGGGCTGAATTGCGGATTCAGGGGAGATCGAACAGGCGAGAGATATACTGAGATCGCTCGAATGAGCGTGGTGAAATGGGTAAACTAACGATCTAGATACATTGATACCGCTGGATTCGTCATCGATCAAATGTGTAGACTCCATCGTAATTGTTGCACATGCACTCCGTAGGTAGATGCCTCGATCCGATATTAGATACCCAACTGGGCCTTTATCACGTGACTCCCACTTGATCTCCTAGGAAACTGGCACAACACAACCCTCGGAAAGCGTGTGAGCATATGTGCGCATTACCTGGCATCATCAAAGTTATACAAAATGGCGCATCGAAATCTAGGCGAAGAGCACACGCAGTTCATGCAATGGGCCAAGTCCCACGGAGTCAAGATCAACGGTATCACTCCCGCGCACATACCAGGTCGCGGTGCGGGAATGATCGCAACCAGGTGTATACAGGTCCGTCAGCAATCGCTGTTTGAATAGTTCAACCAGCTCATTCTATATTTTCCCGTCTAGGAGGGAGAAGTCATGATCTCGGTCCCTCTGAATATTATGATCACGATTGACTCGATTCCCGCATCTTTCATCAAGCGGTTTCCTAGCGGAACATCCATTCATGGGATCCTCGCTGCGTTCCTCACAGTTGGGGATCAAAAGTTTCTCAAGAAATGGGACTCATGGCGCAAGGTCTGGCCATCAAGAAAAGACTTTGAAGAAAGCATGCCCATCCTTTGGCCGGGACATTTACGGAGGTCGAATTCGCGCTTTCAGGCGCAGCCCCTGGAGAGACCGTATCTGCTCCCTCAACCGGCTTCTGGCATATGGAATACGTTCGATAACATTCAAAGGGATAGTACATCCGTACCAAAGTGCCAGAGCTTACTATCGCAACAGGAGACCAGACTTCAAGGCGCGTGGCGGAACGTCCTGGCTGTTTTCCCTAACATGGACTGGGACGCGTTTTCCTTTCACTGGTTGATTCTGAACAGCAGAAGCTTCTATTATGTGAAGCCGGGGCGCCAACCTCCAGATGAGTGGAACGATGCGATCGGTCTCGTTCCATTTGCTGACTACTTCAATCATGCAGATGATGCGGTTAGTGAATTGTACTCTTTATCTAGGCTAATAGTGGTTGTGCTTATTATGACAGGATACTGAAGTAGTCTTTGATGGGAGAAAATATACATTTACAGCTACTCGGCAGTTTGGTAGATACTGTACCCAAAGCGCTTCAAGGAGTGGAAACTAATTCGTTGTCCAGAAAAGGGCGAAGAGATCTTCATGAGCTACGGGGCTCATTCGAATGATTTCCTATTCGTAGAATGTAAGTATTTCAGGAGAATGATTGTGTCTCCAGCTAAGTATGTCGCAGATGGATTCTTCCTCGACCATAACGAATCCGACGTGATTTTCCTGGATGATATCATTTCCAAGGAACTCTCAGAGGATGAAAGAAAAGAGCTGGAGTCCCAACAAGGGTTGGAGTATGTTCGCGCTATCTCTTCATTATTGGGCCATCACTAATCAATGTATGCGGAAACAGGGACTACCAAGTCACAATGGCCGGCATCTGCCCTCGCACTTTAACCGCAGCATGCCTCAAGTACATGTCTACAGAGGATTTTCGAGAGTATGCTCACGGTCACTCAACGAAGGCATTCGATTCCAAGAAAACATGGAAAATAATTCACGAGTGGGTTGAGCTATATCAACAAGAGTGTCAGGCCACACTTGATTCTCTCGAAGGAATTCTGAAGAAACGATCAGACGAATCTCGAGGGAAGGTCACAATGCTCCTGCGGCGATGGCAACAGATCAAGCTGCTTTGTGAACATGCTTTAGAGAAGATAGATGCGGCTGCGGTAGAGGTTTGAATTCATACAGTGATTTTCACAAGCCAAAGACACTCTAGCACTCTAAGGCTGGTGATAATCCTTGCATTATCAACATTTGAGAACGAACAACAAGTAGCAGAAAAGAAACAAGGGAAAAAGTAATACCAAATATCAGACATCCAAATTGATGGGCTTCCTCTGGCTGTCCAACCGTTCACTTGCGAGCATCCACTCCGGCAACATGGACGACCAGATCCAACACACGGCGACTGTATCCCCACTCATTATCATACCAGCTGACTACCTTGATGAAGTTCGAATTCAACGAGATACCCGCCTTGACATCAAAGATGGAAGAGTGTGGGTTGCCGATGATGTCCTTCGAGACCACATCGTCTTCGGTGAAACTCATGATACCTGTATGCGGTTAGAGCGGTACCAAAATGAACAAGTCGTAGACCAGAGAAACCACGAGAAAAGAAAAGGAGAGAGCAAAGTGACACATACCCTTGAGAGGTCCGTTAGAAGCCTCCTTGATGGCATCCACAATCTGCTCATAAGTAGCGCTTTTTTCGATCCGACATGTCAAGTCGACAACCGAAACATCCGAGGTCGGCACTCGCATTGACATGCCAGTCACTTTACCCTGCAGCTCTGGGATAACCTTCCCAACTGCCTTTGCAGCGCCTGTGCTGCTGGGGATGATATTCTCCGCAGCAGCACGACCGCCCCGCCAGTCCTTGGATGAAGGGCCATCGACCAGCTTCTGGGATGCCGTATAGGCGTGGACGGCGGTCATCAAGCCTTCAACAAAGCCAAATTTGTCATTGATGACTTTCACCAGAGGGGCGAGGCCATTCGTGGTGCAGGATGCGTTGGACACGACGTCCGGTGTACCATCGTATTTCTCCTCGTTGACTCCCATCACGTACATGGGGGCATCCGCCGAGGGAGCAGAGATGATCACCTTCTTGGCTCCTCCTTGCAGATGGGCCTTGGCCTTCTCAACAGTGGTGAAAACGCCGGTGGATTCAACGATGTATTCAGCTCCGCTTTCCTTCCAGGGAATATTGGCGGGATCTCTTTCTGTGTAGAACTTGACCTTTCTGTTTTGGATGACCAGGTGGCCATCCTCCTGCAGAACGTCGTGCTCGAAGCGGCCGTGGGTAGAGTCGTACTTGAGCATGTATTTCTATGGTATGACCAATGTCCAGCGTGTTAGTCGATGTGCTGGTGCTAGACTGTCGATGAGCGAGAAGTACGACAACATACCGCGTAGTTGAGGTCGATGAAAGGATCGTTGACAGCGACCACTTCAACATCATCATGGGTGAAAGAGTTGCGGAAGACAATGCGACCAATTCGGCCGAAGCCATTGATGCCAACCTTGACGACCATCTTGTGTTGCGTTGAGTTCAAATTGGTTGATACAGAAGTAAACCTGCTTCGTAGACGGATATCAACCCAGTGAAGGGGCACTGCAATGGCCGTTTTATACTCCTACGCGACCAGCATCAGATGACACTCGACGCACCGGTCTGATCCATGGCGAAAGTACCTGGGCGTTGCGCACAGAACCAATGCTTTCCTTGTAGGGACGCTCGGTGTGTTGCTCAAGGACAGGCATCATCTGGGAAACAAGGCAACGTACATACAAGAGGGTTTCTGATTAGCGAGCAGCTGCTTACAGCTTGGCCGAATCATCCTACTTCCGGCTTATTGATTTGTCCATGAGCCATCATACAATCGCCCCGGCTTTGTGTCAGCCCTCAAGTTCCGTTGCCACTTCTGTGCTTTGTAATGGCGTTGTTGCCCTGCTATGACTATGTACAGGTTGTCCGACGTCACTCGCATTGAATAATCTAGTGAAGTGCCGACGAAGACAGCTAGATCTAGTAATATTTCATCAAACTAACAATATACGCTATGTATGCTAGCATTGTGAGGTCTCAAGCCAACTCTGAGTCAGCGTCTTGGCCGGTGTCGAGAAAGGAACGCCGGTGACCACAAAGCCAGAACGCTGGGCTTCATCGAGCATAATGCGCAGTAGTCAACCTATCTCCACCGTAAGCCAGGGATGTCAGCTTATGTGATGAAAATGAACTGCCAAAGATACGAGAAAAGAGTGCTACGATGGGTGCGTAAGAGAGGCACATATCTTATAGGTCTGTTGTTGATGGACTCATATGCCCTGAACCGTAGGCGCCTGCGAAATATATACACTTTATCACAGATACATCGCTGTAGCTTGAAAATGAATTGCCGTGGCGTAGTTCTTTGAGTTGAATCGAGGCACTGCTATATTTTACTCAATTATATGAGTCCTACTTCAGAGCGGAGTGATGTGGTTACAGGAGTGTCATCTTATGTATTCCACGCAGACAAGGCAAGTATATACGCATATAAATCAAGATTCAAGATCCAAAAAAACAATCGTGCTATCAAGGTAAGAAAGGAAAGAAAGAAAAGAAGAATCTACGACCAATGCACCACCTTCTCATACTCCTTCTGTGGGATATCTCTCCCAGTAAGCACATCTCTGGCATGAAGCCCTCGACCGGTGAGAGTCCCGTTATTCGCCCTCATCGCCTTCGAATCCAAATCAAAACAGCCAGTCAGAGTGGCCTCCGAGCACAGCGGCCACAGCTCCTTGGCGCACATGTCACAAAAAAGGCCTTCCACGATTGAGACGAAGTCCGGCCCCGCTGCCGAAAGACTCCCACACAGCTCGCTAGCCGTGTGGGCTGCATGCTCGCTCATGATGATGGAGTTGTGATCCGGGGAACAGTTGAGGGTATTCTCTCTGGTCTTGGTAGATCGTTTCTTGACCCCGTACGACGGCTGACGATAACGCCCACTGGTCCACTGTTGCAGTTGAATGATCTGCTTTGCGCTGGGCTTTGTACCCGGGCCGGGCTCGCACATTACCTGCCCGGCGGTCTTGAGGGCAGCAAGATTCTTATCAGTGCCATCAGGGTTGGATTCGAGTGGAGGGTTGAAGATTGGAATGCAGTTCATCTCCGTCAGGGAGGGATACATTTTAAAGCGGGGCGCACTGTCGCACATTGTATCATGGTGTTCCTCAAACTGCTGTACGAGACCATCTGAGGGCGCGAAATCAATCAAGTGGATGCCCGCGCCCTGTGGGTAGTTGTTTGTAGTCTTCCCCGTGACTGGGTCGGGGGAGGCAATCCAGAAACAGCTAGGCTTGAAGGCTGTACCGTCGGTGGCTTGGACGGGCAGGTTGGAGTGATACCATGGAGCGCCGCATCGTTTGGGGATATCTCCGAAGAAGCCCCAGAACTCTTTGCTTGGCGGCGTTACGTAGATGTATGCTATGCAGAGGGGATTTTGGCCCCCGCCGGATATGCTGATATAGGTGGGCGGCCTGTTATTGCTCGTATTGATGGGATCAACCAAAATGTCTTTGTAATCTCCGTCGCCAATGGAGCCACTGCGAGTGCCACTCTTGAAACCGATACGTCCGCCATCCTCGTCGAATAGTGCGATGCCTGGCATGTTGCCACCGGTCGAGGGCGTGTCGTGCTCTCCAGGCATTGACAATCCGGCAGCCACACGAACGCTCGTGGCGCTTTCGTGACTATCTGGGAATACATTTGAGAGCATGGAAATCAAGGATAATCCCCCAATGAGGTCGGCAATTGCATTTCCGGCCATCTTTGCAATATGTAGTCGGAGGGAATGATAGGATACTTGTGCTTGCAGATGATGGCTAGATGGAGAAAGAAGCAGTAAACCTAGACTTATATATGCCCATAGGGCTCTATATTAGAGAAGTTTTCCGAGAGTCTATGCTGTGTCATTTAGTCAATCTACTATGGAATTGTTTCAGCCCGAGGAGACCAACATAAGACGTTTGGGGCCGTAGGTCGCGCACTGCCTGATCTTCCCTAGGACTGATAAATCCAGACGTGATACTCTCTCGAATCCGTCTAGGAATCAGCTGACCGTTGGCTAAGGGCAAGAAAGCTGTTTTGCAGCATGAAGGTTGGATTCAGTGGCGGAGCATGTAGGTGTTAGAAACTCTCAAAATATCATTCCCTTGCCTGTTCTTGCATGTCAGAGCGAGCTATGTACCCACAAGAGAGAAATTGTTCCCTCACATGCTGGCATATCAGTATCTGAGTTTGGTACCTTGGCCTCATCCCATCTCTATAGTCAATAGGCTCAGAGATGGCCCATAAAGCCATAATTCCCGTCCTCAACCTTCCGAGCTGGAATACAGACAGAAAGCACCCAGTGCTTGACCAAATGCCTTCCTCTTGATCAAATGACATCTTTGCTTTGCAATACACTTCTAGATCCCAAAGGTTTGTTTCAGATTTGTAGATACACTTCTGTTTGAGCCACTTCATGTCAGCCCCGTTATTAGTCCTGACTATTCATTATTTGCGGTACAGCAGCAACAGCATCGTCACGCCCCTGTAGTTCTCCAAAAATACCGTGCAAAGAACGCTTACCGAATGCAGGACTTGGGTATGAAATCAACCAAAACAACGCTTCGCCAATATACAAGAGAAGTTCCTTCTCGGTTCTGATTAACCAACTGTAAAGAACATCAATGGGGCGGTCTGCTTAGCATATGCCTAGGAGGCTGTGTGGATGGGAAACGATTTAGGGGCCCCATTGGGGTCTGAAGGGTGCAACAGTTGGGGCTCAGATATGGGTCAGTAGCTGAAATCAATTTCTGCCTCTGGAGAGAGGCATCGGAGAACAAGAATATTAAGCATGGCGAAACCATTGATGCGTAAGATAGAGAGAAAGCAAGCGAGTATCCCTAAATTCCCTTCCACCCTAGATATAGTCTTTAGTCCATATTTCCAGCTACATCCTGCATGGTGTGAATACAAATACAAATACTAGGTACCATCAACTTTATATGGAGCCTGATGCGGAAGATCGGTACACAACAGGATCTCTATGTAAAGTAAGCTCTCCTGCTGTCACGGCTTTCCGTGACCAAGCAATAACAACCTATTTATGCATTGGGGGTTTCTGCCTTGGCTGCGAGTAGCGAAGGAAACTACGACATAGCCTTCCTATTGGGCTATACCGATAGGCGTTGGTGGTTCCTTAGTGCTGTTATGTGGGATTTAGGCCATTGTTGGGGGCGATACCATGCATGACTCAGGAACACTGTCAAGAGCCGTTCAAATCGTGGTGAACAATAGGCTCTGACACCCTGTAACACCCCCACCCCCCTAGCTGTTTATCAATCCATCGGTTTTCCTATCTTTTAATCAAGCTTGGGGTGATTTGCGGCGCAGGAAGAAGCGACGGGATACGGACAGGATCATCACAGACTAGAGCCCACGGTAGAGCGCCCCAGCGTTGCTGTTGTCTGGCTGCCTTGCTTATCATGGTGTTCTGATGAAATGGGCACGGTATTACCCTCAAAAGCGAGGCCATAGCCCAATGGTATACTGTCAACATCCTGGCAACGAAAGGAATCCTTACGAAAATTCAAACGGAATCATAGAAATGGATGATTCTGCGTGTACTTCGGCCATACAACCAGAATAAACAATCGATCGAGGCCCTCCCTTTGGAGCTAAATGATTGGATACGAGGGAAATTGGTATTTAGGTGATAACATGCATGTGGTGGATGCTCCAGAGGTTGATGGCTTCCCCAGCCAAGCTGATTCCTTGTCAGGGAGAGTTGACTGGGGCTGCAAGCGTGGTACTTTTTCTTGATCAGACAAGTCCTTGACACTGACATCTTCACGGCGGCCTTGCTCACACAAGGAGCTCTTCTGGTCCTGTTCACATTGACTGATGGATCCTTGACGTTGAGCAGAGGCCTAGAAATTGTAATCTAGATTACATCCATACAGCTGGTTTATCTCTTTAGGGATCTCCTTTTTTTTCAGAGCCTTCTGGATCAGCTTCCACCAAGCGATGACGTCTTGCTTTTCTGCTTCGAAGCCCTGCAGCCACTCCTCATACCCTTGAGCTGCCCTAGACGCGATGGTATAGCTCTGCACATCACTGCCGAACAACTTCTGCACCTCTTTGCTGACCCCCTGCACCATATGGCCCAGGATGCCAAAAAGGGCTGCGCCCGGCTTGGCCATAGATCCCCGGATTCCATTGCCAATTCCTTTGACAAAGCCGCTGGCACCCCCTTCTTGGGCGCCTTTCCAGGGCTGAGTGACCAGGTCAGTGATGCCATCGTACTAGCTATAGCCAAAAAAATTGCTAACCCTTTCTTGAGCGCGTACGGTGTCGTCTCCCCAAAGCCTAGGCATGTTGTGAAAGCCTGTCGCGAAATTCACTGAAATATCCACAGGTCCTTGCACAACCGCCTTGACGAAACGCCCGGCGCCTTTGCTCACATGCGCGCCAGTCGGACGGAGTATGTCGGGTTGTTTGCCGGCGTCAGATTAATTCCTACTGCGGGATGGACCTCGGCCAGGATCATCTTGTCTGGGATCCGACTGGCCTTGTGTGGTCACGTTCGAAGTTAGAGTTGACCGACCGGAAAGGTTAGAAGGATTCCGAGCAAGAGTGGGAGAGTCCTCTCTGACGAAGCTCTGCCTACTTCGTCTAGATGAAATCGACGAATTCGATCTTTCCACCACATGCGAGACCTCACTCCTGCTCGCGGTCGTCGATGCCGATGCTTGGGACTGCTGTCGGCTCCGCCCAGCCAGCATCTGTAAAGCTCTCCATGTCTCTGAAGGAACATCAGCTAGCCCCATCGTCATGCCGCCGAAAGCCCTCACAAATACTGTAAAACCACTAGAGATCGGATCCCAGGGGCCTTCATCAGTGTAATGTTCTTGCGGTCTGAAGAGCTTCAAGTCATCGAAATCTAACAGCCCTGCATTCGTCAAAGTACAGGCTGGATATGGGCAAAACGCGGGGGGTTGGCGATGATGCAATCGGTAACAAAGTGTTTTGCTATAGGCCTAGAGCCAGAATTGCTTGCCGAGGACTCGGAAAGGTCATCATCAGTTCCATCATCGGCTCTGTAACAGGACCGCCAGCAGCCCTTTAAGGGAGGTTGCGCCACCATGATGTGAATGAGACTAGGCAGGCTGGCTGCACCTCCTCCTCACCTATTTATCACGGCTTCAGTTCTGTCCAAAGATGAATGAGCAATGAACAACTTACTAATTAGTGAGATTACGCGGCAACTGCACGTCAATGCTAGGCTTGCGTGAAATGAACAGTGCGGTGTTGGGAAAAAAATGGAGCGATAACCTGATGGCGAGCAAAGACGGGGCTGGGATTGACTGAGATTGATACCGGGATTAAAGGATTCTCGTCTGTACTTGGTCAAAACCGAATGGAGGCCTAAGAGGTTAAAAACCTTAATAGAGGGTCAAGAGAGCAACAGCTTTGAATGCGGGAGGCAGTGCGGCAGCTGAGGGGCGCATCATCTCGAAAGGTGGAGAAATGAATGAATGACCTTGGAGCCGGTTCTCGAGTCTCGCGGACGATTGGGCAAATCGGATCTCTGGAGAAGACTTTCTACGGGAGTACTCAATCCCTGCTATCCCAGCTAATGCTCGTTAGTGATTAGTGTAATCCTTCAGTTGTCTAGGAGGACACTGGACTTCCTATAAGAATGATGGCTGTGGCCTTTGTGTCTGGTAGTGCTTACTTCACTTTTCTTTCTTTCCATCCGAGGTCAATTTTGTCAGCACAGTGCCCCTTAACAGAAACACGGTGGTTTGCCTCTAGCAGCAATCAGAATGGAGGTTGCTCATTCATTGGGGTCTGTTACATCAGGAGTGGAATACTGTGTATGGCTTCCTCCCGTACACTCTCCTTTGAGCCAAAAAGTGTGACCATATTGACGCCAGTGTGACAGTGTACCCAGCTCTCCATCGCACTGCCAGATAAGGTCTACCTGCCTGGGAGTACATCCTATCTGGCCACCGAGGCGGATTATTGGTCTGCATTCGAGGCAGATCTATCCCCGGCGTGCATCGTGGTTCCATCTTCTGCGCAAGATACCTCCGTGGCTGTTTCTCTCCTTTCCAGGTACAGGGATTGCAAGTTTGCAGTCAAAGGAGGCGGACATGCTCCGGCGGCAGGATTTGCGAATATCGAGGCCGGAGTGACAATTGATCTCAGAAATTTAAACTCCGTCCAAGTAGATGCTGAGAGAGCGACTGCCATGGTTGCTGCTGGGGCCACCTGGTTGGATGTTTATCAAGCTTTAGATCCACTGGGGCTCGCCGTTGCTGGGGGCAGGAATGGCAATGTCGGCGTCGGAGGTCTAGTGACTGGAGGTACGGTCTCGAATTTCGTACCTGTTGACCTGAATGAGTAGAACCATTTAGGTTATATTTTCTTTCATGATTAACCGAGACTGACTTCGACAGGTGGTATATCCTATTTCTCACCACGAGTGGGATGGGCATGCGATAACGTGTTGAATTTCGAGGTAGGTCCTTGGAATCTCACCAGTGACTGAAAATCCATTAACTGGGATTCTTTCAAAGATTGTTATTTCCTCTGGAGAGATAATCAATGCCAACAGCACGTCCAACTCGGATCTCTGGCGCGCATTGAAGGGTGGATCAAACAACTTTGGGATTGTGACTCGATTTGACTTAGCCACGTTCATTCAAGGAGACGTATGGGGTGGGCAGCTTGGCTTCTCGATTGACAATCTCGATGAAGTTTTTGAAGCATTTGAAGGGATTGCATCATCCGCAGAATACGACCCTTATACCTCAATCGTAACGAGCGTTCTCTTCTCTGGTGGATGGTCAATCAGCAACCTGGTGACATATACCAAGGCAATTGAGAGTCCTCCATTGGTGCTTGAGCCATTGCTTGCAATCCAGCCGCAGATCAGCAACACATTAGTCAACACTAACCTGAGCACTCTGACTGACGAGCCATCGCCATCCTCGCGTTTGTAAGAAAATCATCCGAAGTCTTGTTCCTCTCGTTGCTAACAATATCTTGTTGCAGCCGCATTGACTTTCAAACCGGGACATACGGAGTAAATCTTGAACTCCTCTCCAACAGTTTTGAAATTATCAATTCAACGGTATATCGCTTGCTATCGAAGACCAGTAGCATGGTGATATGGAGCATTGCATATGAGCCCCTGTCAACTGCAATGACACAGTACAGTAAGCCGAAGGGAGGCAATTCGCTTGGCGTAACTCCTAGTGATGGGAATGCCTTTAGTATGTTGAAGCGTTCCTCTCCAGTCGTATGTAAAAAGCTTGAGCGCTGACAATCCTCCAGTATTACTTATCAGCCCCTTCTGGACCGATTCAAGTATAACGAACCTGGTGAAATCAGCCGCGTGGGAAATGATTAATGAGATTGACCGCAACGCAACATCGATGGGTCTCAAGCAGGATTTTTTGTATCTCAATTACGCCAATCAAATGCAAGATCCTCTCCACAGCTATGGAGAATCCAACCTGGAGGCACTCCGGAAGGCGAGTATGAGATATGACCCCAGTGGGGTTTTCCAACACCAAGTGCCTGGCGGCTTCAAGTTGTGGCGTTGATAGAAGACTAGACGGGATTGAGGAAGGAGATGGTGATTGGTTTGCGGCATTCGGGCTGGGTTCACTTGCCCATGATCCGCACCTGTATCTGCTGTATGTAAGGCTTCAGGCCTAGGGAAGCAGGACTAAGTATCAGCTAATAGATAGTTAGACTGCATACGGCTTATAAACTATGGGCGAGTGCTTAGGGTTTCGCCTTTTGACGAAGTGCACCTACTTTGTGCACTTCAAATGAGTTAATTAGTGCTGACCATGTCTGGAGGGCAGGTTTAGAGCCATTCGCCAGTTTGACTGGCACTCTCATTATTGAAAGCGAAAGACACATACAGAGACAGACCTATACCCTAATGCGTCGCGACTCACTATCTTGTTCCATCGCAATTCCTCCTGCTTGCTCATGGTCCATGGCTGATGATGTCTTACTCATAATGGCCGTACTTTTGAGTAAGCCTGTTCTGGTCATCCTAGCCCATTATTGTGTTGTTCTACGTCAACTGAGAAAGCGCTGGTGGTTTCATCCTGGGGGGAGCGAGTGCTCCATGTTATTGCAAGAACCTTGGGTCCTGCTTGGAAACCTTCGATAGCCTGGGCTATTCGTGCCGTCAATACGCCTTGAATTCTTTCTCTTTACTCTTATACACCATGCATTTTCGTGGGTATATTTACATAAAAGCTGTTCTCGAGTCATAGTACAAATCAATAATTCCTGCCGGGAATGTTTCTGCCCCGACTTAGAAGAATCCTTGATGCGATATAAGTGCGGAAACTAGTATCAAAACAGAATAGTTGTCAGACATTAGTATTCTTAATTAAAAAAATGCTACTAGAGTACTAGACTCCTTAGTTTAGTGCTTACAAGTGTGATGGTGTAGTTTCTAAGTCATCTGACTATTCAAATAACCCCTTTTTGAAAAGACCTACCTCTTTGTGTCCTGTGTAACTGGATATTAGGTAGAAAGCATCTTCTTCCAAAAGTACATACATACATTGATTGGAATTATCCCCCAATCCTGAATTGACTGGACGCTCCACTCTCCATCCATTCCTCTGGCACTATCATTAGTGGTGAATATGCGCAAGCCACATAAACCACACCATCCTTTCCCATCATCCCTACAGAGTAAGTGATTAATTTCTATTGTTATTCTGGCCAGGATAAAATTTAAACGGCGTTTGCTGACCAGGTTCCCCGCCTCTATAGAACGATGTATCAAATCGGCCGAAATCCTTGAGTCGTTTATCGCAAGAGAGGGCGACCATGGATTCAGATCCTTATGGTCTCCCGATACTCTACGAAGTGTCAAGGTGCGAGATATGAATCATCCTACTACGGTACACCTCTGTACTTACCTCCCAGTGACTAACACACGAATCGCTCTTTTACAGGGTCTTCTCATTGTTACAGCCATCCGGGTTGGCTTCTTGGGCTCTGTGCGCTTCGGCTCTGGAGTTCTTATTTCCCGATCCGATGAAGGGAGGTGGTCTCCCCCTTCTGCCGTGGTCATAACCAGTCTGGGTTTTGGGGGAACATTCGGGGTTGACTTGACGGACTTCGTCTTCTTTCTCCATGACAAAACTGCAGTGGACATATTTTGCCATTCTGTTGGGACTACCTTTGGCTGCAATCTCACACTAGCTTTCGGGCCATTTGGAAGAAGTTTTGAGGCTTCTGGAGCCGTGAGCAATCATGGTGCCAGTGGTCTTACGGCATATGCAAAGACAATGGGAATTATGGGGAATTTGTGTCTTGAATTAGGTTTTGTGGTGGAAGACCGGCTTGCCAATAAGGCGCTATATGGAGATGGTTATCGAGCGCGGGACCTGCACAGTGGGCATACTGCACCACCTGAGGTAGCTGAAGATCTCATGCGAATCCTACAATCGGATTCGTTCATGGCCCCTAGAGGGCCATCTTATGAGCCGCCTAGCCAGCAAGATCTTGGGGAGCACTCGAACCAGATTTTACTGGAACAAGGACCGCCTGATCGAGAACATTCGGACACTCGTATTGGAGACATAGAACGGCCCTAATCAACTCCAAGGCTGCGCATATTGCTTACATGGGGGTTTTCAGCTGACGTGATTCGCAATCGTCTTGTTCGTTTACTATATTGTACAGAGACACAGCTTAACCGCTATCCGCTATGCACTGGAATACTGGGGAGAGATGGATACTGTATACCAGTCTGCCCCTCATATGGGGGGCAGGGTCTGAAATGATTAATGATGAACGACTAAGAAATAATCATAGGTACATCTTTTTTTTTTCTTTTTTAGAATTATGATGGAAAGATGGCTCACTGAAAGACTGATCTGGAGCAAAATTGAGGCTATGGAAGATGGCTTTTTAATAGCAATGAGGAAGTTCACTGTGGTTTAATAATAGTTCAATATAATATGGATGAAATAACTGATGTATTCTGGCAGTCTTGCCTGGCGAAACCGAACCTCCAGCTGTGGGCCGTATGCGTACTAGATGAGGGGTGGGTTTCCGGCCAAGACGTGCTCGTAGATGCTTTTTGAGGATAATACACTGGCAAGGGAGAGTCCTTGGGAGAAAAATTGGACAGGCCTGTATTTTGTGATGCTCGTTGTCAACCGCGTGGTGGGACTGAGCTCCCATTTATTGAAGATCCCCAATATCTAAGATCCGGGTTTACTGAGTTCGGATGATGCGATGTGGGGTTGCATGCCAGAAAAGCATGGCTAGTGAAGATAAGCAGAGGATACAGAGTATATACTTATATATATATCCTTGGCCACATACGATGTTGCCGGAGATGCTTATTCCAATGCTTTTATCGAGAGAAGATGTCAAGAGACACACAAGCGCAATTCACACCTGTGACGCTCAGCCGCGATGCCATATCGATACAAAATCTCGATGTCACTGTAGAGCCGGCTCACCGATATTCTACTCATAGCTGGCGGAGGAAACTGAGAGGTACTCGTGGGAGTTAAGCTAATGGTAAATGCTCTAGCACAACTTGTTATTGTGTAGCGCCACTGGACCTCGCAGGCTCTACAGCGCCACATTCTCTTGATCTGGCTTTCAGAAGGAAATCGACTAAAACACCAGCAGCTGCACTTACAGAAGCATTGTGCTTAGTAGTAATTGTTGGCTCCCTTTAATTGGCTAAGGGCCCATTACACCCTGTTCCCCAAAAATGCGTACCGACGGGTTCTACGGAGTACTCCGTCTCTTTAGCTTAAGAATTGTCGGGCAAATCTAGAAGAGGACTCTGGACTCTGGTCAGTCGATTCGGACTCGCCCATGAAAAATTCAATGCTATTATGACGTCTCCGAGGATAGTTGGCGAGTTCGGGGCTGCTTAGTGTAGCTGGTGCCTCCATCGTGCATATCGTGCATATCGAGTAATGAGTATACTTATCGGATTGTTATTATAGGTGGATGTGGAATGATATGACTACTCCGTATGAATAGAGATAGATAGAAGAAATCTCTCATCTTCGTTAGTACAATTTAGCACAAGAGTTCTTAGACCAGATTTCGATATATAGCAAGCTTTTGCGGGGGTACGGTCCAAGACAGTCCTAAGGGAACCATTGCTTAAAAACAACTAGGCATACTGTATAAAACCTGGTACTGCATTCTCATTGATCCATGAGTGTTGACCAGTCATATATCAAAGGGCTTGTCGAATCTAGAACTGATGTTGGCAGAATAGCTAATCGCTCAGTATACATGGATTTAAGCCAGCTTAGTTAAGGACTTCCATCGCGATGGTGATTTTGCTTGACAGGCAGACACATACCAACCAGCTCCTTATATACACCCTTGCTATGCATGTTTGCCACTATTCTCATTCTCTCAGTCATCCTTGTCCAGATTTCAACCGCCTGTGGTGATAAATACCAACCACCTTTCAGTCCCGTCAGACACCAGTCTCGCATTTTCACTTCAGTTTTCACTTCGCTGATCCAAGATATATTCACAAATAACATGTCTGGTCGTCAGCAGCCTGGATCTGCCTGTGAGGAGTGTCGTAAGAGGAAGCTTCGCTGCGACCGGAAAAGACCGCAATGTGGCACCTGCGCCGACACTGGGACCCTATGCCAGATCAATGACCGCCGCCAACGCCGGGGGCCCCGCAAGGGTTCTATCAATGCGTTAAGGAGACGAATTGGTAGGTCGTTTGCACTGTCATGGATGTTGTGTGCTCTCAATAAACGTATGATCAGTGGTGTCGGAACAGCCCTCTGACCTGGAGGACCTGATGTCGATCAATGGGCCTGATGTCGACATGAACGAAACACGAGGACTTGGGGAGAGTACGACAACAGACGAGGATACGGTTGTAGGGCAGCCTCGAGACGACTGTATGCAAGACACGGCGGGAACGCAAAATGAATTGTCGCACACCCACATACCGCCCGACTTTTCGTCCATCCACCACTTGCCGTATCCATCATCGGGGGCATCGATGTTGACAGACCTGATGAAGTGGGATTTGTAAGCTATTCTACGGAGACACCATTGTATCCTGCAACGCAGCTAATGTCCCAGAGTCCAACTATACTTCGACCGAGTCCATCCCGTTGTCCCAATCCTCAGCCAGTCCCGGACATACGGATGGAGTCAGGACCCCAACACCATGAACCAGTACCAGCGATGTTTGCAATACGCCATGTGGACATTGGCCATGGCCCGGTCCACCCAGTTCGACCAGATGGGCGACATACTGTACGCAGAGACTCGCGCGATGCTGGATGCGCTGGACCTCGCGGACAGTGATATGGGAGCCGGCCATGTGGAGCAGGCGCAGGCCTGGATTTTATTGACGTTGTACGAGTTCTCTCGCACGAACTACCGCCGTGGTTGGGTCAGTGCCGGTCGGGTGTTCCGCCACGTGCAGCTGTTGCAGTTGTATGACCTTGATAGTCTGGAGGCCCCAGGGGCTGAAGAGGATACTATTGATATGGAGGAAAAGAGGCGGACATTCTGGGTGGCGTACTGTCTCGATCGCTTCGTCAGCATCAGCAACGGTTCGCCGCTGACGCTGAACGAAGAAGTTGTAAGTCGCCAATCGCCCTGTTCGGAGGAAGAAGAAACGAATAATGACTTGGCCATGGAGTAGATCTGCACCCGCCTCCCCTGCTCCGAAGCAGAATTCCAAAACGGCACCCCGCGCCCGGAATGCTTCCTCTCACAAGCCATGGCTAGCAGTGACCCGCACTCCCTCTCCCCGCTGGCCGAATGCACCGTGTTGGTGACCATCTGCGGCCGCGCCATGGCGCACCACCGCGTCTCAACCGTCGAGCGCGTCTACAGCAACATGCCTCTGGACTTCTGGGCGTGCCACGAATGGCTGCACAGCATGCTGGTTAAACGCATCAAGAACCTCACCGCGATGTACCCCTCGTTTGCCGTCGTCGTCGATCCCATGGCCATCTTCGCGTGCATGGTGGCCCAGGCCGCCATTATCTACCTATGCACTATCATAGAAGCCCTTACAGAGGACGAGGACGAGGCCTGGGCCGAGTCCACACCCGTGACTGTCTCGGTCCCTGTGTCGACGTACCAGGAGCGAGGTCTGCAGGCTGCGAGGGAAATTGTGAGGTTGGCGCGTGAGCATGAGCGGCTTGGTTATTTCAAGGCCCATTTCTTTCTGCCGCTGACGCTGTTCCTGAGTGCCAAATGGTTGGCGACGCATAGTGATCGGCGCAAGGTCGAGAGATCGTCCTCGGAGACTGACACGGAGGCATTGCAGGCTTTGTTGAATATACTGAGGAAGATGGAGGGGATGAATAACCTGGCTGCGCATCATTTATCAATTCTGCAAGGGTTTAGAAGCAGGTGATTGTAGTCTTTGGGCATGTGATTTCTAGCAACGCCCCTAAGCGAGTCAACCAAGAACGCCCACAAATTTCTTCGCCCGAATGGCTTCCCCATGATGCTGGAGATGACAGAGACTTTTTACTGGGTTAACCTCATTTCGGGGTGCTGGAGGGCTGATGGCTATTGCGCGACCGTTATCGGCCTCTTCTGCGGTGCCGGCGTCATGTGTATCATCTAGTTGGTCTAGGACTATTTCCAAGGGGAAAAGGCGATGGTACCGCTGTCCATATTCCGCAGACGGCCTGTTTGGTCCAGCTCGTCCGCCGGCATGTTCATCTCCGGCTCGGTGCTTGTCACATCGTATTGCTTCCCTATCTACTTCTAGGCAATGCGGGGATATTCGCCCTTTACCGAATGGGGTGGATATTTTGCCAAATATCGCGTCGCAGATGGTGTTTGGGATGACGGCGGGGGGCATAAGTGAGATTACTGAGTGATTGGGCGCCTCTATAGGTATATACTGGCCTGCCATGCAGCCCAAAACAATCGGTTTCTATCTCCCGTTTACGCTGGCGGGTGGTGTCCTCGACACCATTGGCTGCGGACTCTGTAGTCTCATCCTTCCGGATACACCAACAGGCCAGTCGGTAAGGCTATCAGATCATCTTTGAGGCGGGACGTGGCCTTGTCATGTCAACTCTCGTCTTCATGCAGAACTTCGGCGCCGCCGTCATGGTCGTCTTCGCACAGACAAGTCCAGGTAATGACCTGCATGATCTAATTGTCATGCACGCGCCCTCCGCCGATCCTGATATGGGTTATCGCCGCGGGTGGTAGGGGTATGAGGCGTGTGGTTGCAGCCGACATGCTGATGGGAGTCCTACTGGCGTATGCGAAAAGTATCGATCGGATTCTCTACTTTGCTGCGGGGATTTGTGGCGTCTCCTTTGCTTTCTCATGGTTCACGGGCTGGATAGATATTAGGAAGAAGCCGCCTACGGAGGATGGGCTAAAGAAGGCGGAGAATGTGGTAGAGCACTAGGATCCTGTGGCCAATGTGATAGCCATTATAGATAACTTCTTGTCTATTGATATCTATCAAATAAGTGAATAAGGCTAAGCATAGAGTATCAACCACCTCACTAGCAGACACTCCCTTCATATTCATGTCCATGGCCTCCTGAACACATTCCAGACCCTTGTCCACCATCAGCGGCTCTGGCACAGTCACGTACATCCCTTTTACCAGGGCAGCCGGCAGATAGGCTGCCTGGTTTCCAGGCATAGCTGAGGTTTGAGGTGAGATTTTGATGCGGGGGTCAGAGCCAGTCAATCCATTCAACAAACACTGCTCTATGGTAGCCATATGATCAACAATGGCTGGAGTCTGGAATCTGAGGTCGCTTTGACATGAAAGAGCCATGAGCTGTGGGGCTCGTCAGATTCGGACTTTGAGATTGCACTGAGTCAGGGTATATTCTAAGGCCATATGCCAGGGGATAACTAGAACCATCCTTTGCTTTGACTCCTCCTTTGGTTGTCTTTTGTCCATTGCCTAGTCAACCGGACTCTCTTCGGAGTTCTCAAACTCCGAGAGTAACTCCGGCTGTAGCTAAAATGACTTCCTCGATTGGGCCGCGTGTATGATGTCCTGGCCACCACTCTCAACATTACGCAGGCAACGCGTGTGGCGTGGATCTTGTGACATGAATGCTCTGTCTTAGCCATCTCCCCTTGGAAAGGCCCCCAGGGGGTTGTCACCGCACCAGCGCAGCTATTATCTATAGACTGGAGCCAGAGAAATCATCGACTGCGTAACTGGGTTCTTGCTCACACAACTCTTAACTTCAGTTATCACTCCAGCAGCAGAATGGTCTCCCTCGCAGCGATCCTGGCCTCCAACAAACAACTGGGCTCTGCCCTCCCGGCCGGCCTGGTGGCCGTCTTTGTTGGCGCAACAAGCGGCATCGGCGAGACAGCAATGAAACAATTTGCTAAGCATGCCAACGCACCACGAATCTACTTTGTCGGCCGGACAGCGAGCTGGGCAGAACGCATCAAAGCAGAACTCGAAACCCTGAACCCAAAGGGAAGCTACTTCTTCCTGCAATGCGACGCCAGTCTGCTCAAGAGCATCGACGAGGTTTGTCGGCAGATTCAGATCAAAGAGCGGGCAATCAATCTGCTCTTTTTGAGCATCGGCTGTCTCATCACCGGGACAAGTAAGTGCCCCACAACTACAGTGATTGAATATCAGTCCCTTAGTTAGGAATACATATAGGGACCACGGAAAACCTGCATTACTTTGCTGCACTGACGTACTACTCCCGCATCCGCTTCACTCTGAACCTCCTCCCCCTCATCCAGACAGCCCCTGCGCTGCGTCGGGTCGTGACCGTCTTTGCCGGCGGCAAGGAGGGCCCCATCATTACCGACGACTTCCCCGGGTTTAACCTATCTGCCACTGCAGGACGCGGGCATTTTGCGTCCATGCTGACGCTCTCATTTGAGGTACTGGCTGAGAGAGCACCAGAGGTCTCTTTCGTACATGACTATCCCGGGTTTGTCAAGACAGACCTCGCGCGGGGCACCAAGGGCGCCGGAATGGCGATTGTCAAGGGTATGTTCAAGGCCATTGGTCCGTTTTTGTATATCCCCACCGAGGAGGTTGGTGAGCGGCAAGTCTTCTTTGCTACCAGTATAAGATTCCCACCCGCCTCTGGTGATGCCAAGGGCGTGCCCTCTGAAGAAGTCGGCATTGCCACAGGGACGGATGGAAGGAAGGGCAGTGGTGTGTACTCAGTGCACCTAGATGGGGAGACCAAGGTGCAAGAGGCGTTGTCTGCGTTGCGGGAGAGCGGGTCGAAGGATAAGATGTGGAAACATACTGAGGACGAGCTTATTCGCGTAACAGGGAGTGTAACAATGTAGGACATAGTTGCACTCTGCAAGTATTGTGGCTGACAGGCTTAATGACATTAAATCTACATCCAGTGCATATCTACATGAATGCATTCATTTTCAACACAGGATTATCAATGAAGATTCCAACAGGGCAATAAAGTAGACATGATATTAGGCCCTTCTTTAACATTGTCCAGTGGATGATAGGTGCTAGCTGGTATCAGTCTGCCAGCTCGGTCAGCTCGGTTAGCTTTATGCTCAGCAAGAGGGGATTATATATATATATATATATATATAACTGTCCAAAAGAGCACTATCTTAACCCATCATATCACTCCACTGACATATCTCCTCCTTGTACACCTTCAACACCCAAAGCTAAATCCATCTCCACATGACACCGGCAACCAACCCAACACTCCATCAGCCACAAATCCTCTGTTCTATGACTATGTAAGATTGGGCCCGAAACTGGTAGGGGTGTGTGCTCGGGACTTTTGAGCGCCCGCACCATCCTTTGCTTCCCTCGAATCTCTCGACTCGCGATTCTGGAGGGACAGAAAGACGGGGTCGTTCGTCTGTTAGATGCAAATTAGTATTGAGAGTGAATCATGAACGAAAAGATGTATCAAGGCGAAACTCGCACCATGGTCTTTGGAATGCCATAATAGACTTCCTATTTAGGAAAGTGATGCCTATTGAGTGCCTAAGTGGTAAGATATCTATGGAAGGGCGGTAATGTATTTCACATGCGAGCTGTGCAACTGAAACATCATAGTAAATGCGATATATGCTACACGTATATCTCAATAACTAACGCTTTTTTTAATAGTATAATTATGCATCTGTCTTGGTCTTCTTTTCTTTCTTCTCCATGGAGAATTTGGTATCAAGCTCCTTTCTTAGGGGAACTTCCTTCTCCAAGAACACCAGCAGGAATCCTAGGCCTGCAAAAGCCAGGCTTACATACCAAACCACATTAAGTGAATCCACATAAACAGACCGGACCTCTGCGACTGTGATGGGATCCGTGATAGAGTCAATAAAGATCTTAGTGGCATACTCATATGCCCGCCCATTAGTGAGCTGGCTACCAATGGCGGTGTCAGTGATGCGAGGCACCAGAATGTTGAACTGATTATTAAAAGCAGCTGTGGCAATGGTTGCACCCCAGATAAAGCCAACAGTACGCATAAAGGACCACACTGCGGTGCACTGTGCTGTATCCTCCTCAGTAAGTGGGGCCTGAACTGCGGGAAGAAGAACCGGCAGCGCAAGACCTGTACCGAATGCACCAAGAAGTTGGTAGCCCACCCACTCTCCCGTGTTGGAATTGGCGTCAAGGAGGGTCAGGAGACCAAACCCAATAATCATCAGCGCGAGGCCCGCATGCTGGAGGGGACGGTAGCGGCCGAATTTGGAGAGCAAGGTTCCGCCAGTGATAGCGCCGGGGATCATGAACAAAATGGTCGGGAGAAGCTGGATACCGGAGCGGGAAGGTGTAGCGTCGAGCACCGCCTGGAAATACACCGGTAAGAAGTACATCACCGACACGCTGGAGAGCGTGTGCAGAAATGTGCAGGGGCATGGTCGGGTTGACACAGAAGCTTGAGGCCTCGTAGAGCACAAAGGCCGCGGAGCCCGCGAACCCCAGCACCAGGGGGACGATGACGTGGTAAGAGGACCACGCGTATTGCGTCCCCGCCCACGACAGGGAGATGAGGATCGAGACCATGGACAGGACAAAGAGCGCATTGCCAATCCAGTCGAAGCGACGCAGGCACTGTATGTAGTCGGGGGTCTTGTCGGACTTGACGCGAAGGAAGGTGAAGAGCACGATCCACGCCACTCCGCCGATGGGGACGTTGAGGTCCATTCTCCAAATCGGCGCCATCTACGCGCCACTGGACGTCAACATTCCCGCCGAAAGACTGCAAGTCATTGTCGCCGACTGCAAGCCTGCAGCAGTCCTGGTCAACACAACGACCGTCTCAAAAACTGGTGACCTGTCTCTTCCGTCTTCCATCGCTGTCCTGGATGTTTCCAATCTGCCTAACGGGGGACACACTCATGCGGTCAACGTCACGGCCTGCGACCCGGCTGTTATCCTCCTCACCAGTGGCACCTCGGCCGTGCCCAAGGGCGTTGTCCTTTCCCACGGCAACTTCTGCAACCACGTCGAGGCCCTGACCGTCACTCACGGTTTTGGCTCCGAGACCGCCCTCCAGCAGAGTTCAGTCGGGTTTGACATGTCGTTGAATCAAATCTTCATCGCCCTCGCTAACGGCGGGACCCTGGTCATCGTTCCTGAGTCGCTTCGCAAAGACTTTGCCGCCGTTGCTCGCATCCTCCTCGACCACGAGATTACTTACACCAGCGCCACCCCGTCCGAGTACCTCGCCTGGTTTCGTCATGGTGCAGACAGTCTCTTCCAGTCCAAGTCGTGGAGGTTTGCCACTGCCGGCGGTGAGCAGTTCTCTACCGAGCTGGTGCAGGCGTTCCGACAACTGATGAACCGCTTTGAGCACTCGTTCCGTATCTTTAATGATTATGGTCCGACCGAGTGTTCCCTGTCTTCCAACGAACTCGAGGTCATTCTCGAGAGCCAGCACATCACGGCTGGGAGAACCCTTCCCAACTATGCCATCTACATCATCGATGAAGACTTGAACCCTCTACCGATTGGGTTCCCTGGCGAGATCTACATTGCCGGTGCAGGTGTTGCCATTGGATACCTGAACAACCCTGAGGACACTGAACGCAAATTCCTCAAAACTTCCTTCGCTGACAAGATGTACCACACCAGAGACAGGGGCCTGCTCCGCGCCGACGGCACCCTCGAGTTCCTCGGCCGCATCGACAGCGACACGCAGGTCAAACTCCGCGGCCTTCGCATCGAACTCCAAGACATCGAGTAGTCCATCCTCACCGCCGCCAACGGACAAGTAAGCGAAGTCGTCTTCACCAGTCGCGGTAACCCGACCATCCTCGTCGCCCACGCCGTCCTATCATCAACCGCCCCAACAAACACCCAACAGTTCCTTCAGACCCTCGCTGCATCCCTGCCCCTCCCGCAGTACATGCACCCGGCTGCCATCCTCACCATCGATCGCATCACCCTGACCACCTCGGGTAAGATCGACCGCAACACCTTGCAAACCCTCCCCCTCTGGCTCTCCACGGGAGGGCAAGCCCTCCCTGACCTCAACGGAGCGCAAGCTCGGCCAGATCTGGGAATCCGTCCTGCCCGCCCAGACTCAAGGCTTGTACACCCTCACTCCAGCCTCCGACTTCTTCCACGTCGGCGGCGACTCGATGCTGCTCATCGAGCTGCGCAACTTCGTGCGCCGCGAATTCGATGTCACCCTCCCGCTGCTGCGCCTCTTTGAGCATAGCACCCTCTCCGCCATGTCCTCGGCCATCCACCCAGCCTCCAACTCGGAGAAACCCTCCTCGATCGACTGGGCCTCCGAAATCGCCATCCCCTCCTCCCTACTCACCATCAACCAAACCCCTTCACCACCCTCCGTAGACCGTCCTCCTCACCGGTGCTACCGGCTTCCTAGGGCAGCACCTCCTCCGGTCCCTTACCACCAACTCCAACATCATCAAGATCCACTGCCTACCCGTCCGCGATCCGTCCAATCTCGCCTCCTTCACTCACTCCGAAAAGGTCGTCCTCCACACAGGCGACCTCTCGCTCCCCTATCTCGGCCTCTCCCCCGCCGCCTTCGCCGCCCTCTCCGCCTCGGCGGACGCGATCATCCACAACGGCGCCGACGTCTCCTTTTTGAAGACGTATGCGTCCGGAACCGGACTTTTGAAGCGGTTTTTGTTCCTTGTGTCCTGGCCATATTTGATATTGAGGAAGGACTCGGTATCACTGGTGACTGTTCCGACGTATGAGACGCCGTTGTGATGGACAAGGGGGGTGGCTACGGCTGAGGATAGCCATAGGCAGAACCACAAAATGGCAAGTCTGGATGTCAGGAAAGGGGGCTTCATGGTGTATCTCTATCTGATGGTGTTGACAGCCGTATGCCTCACAGGTGGCTCCGATGTATCTGTACCATGAAGGACAGAGCGGAGAAGGCAAGCACAATAAGGCTTCTATTGAGGCGCTTTCCACATGGAAATATGCAATCCGTCATTGATTCAAGAATATTCCATGACGGAGGATCTCAAACATACTTCTCCCAATGTCGCAGCCCAAGACCACCGTCAGAGTTTCCGTGATGATTCTTGAGCCGGAGTACTACTTGAGCCCGGAGTTCCAAAGGAAAACCTCTCCGACCCAATGCCCCGAGTGATTCCTATGTAGAAGGCTATTCAGCAGTTCTCATCTGCCATTCTATTACTGAAGGCGAGAGTTCACCCGTATTCATTAACTAGGTGCTATAGTTCCTGTCGACTTGCATCTAGGGCATCGGGTTCTTAATAGCAGTTGAATCCCTGGTTTCTCGTAGTGCTTCATATATAGTTCCCATTTAATCAGAGATATGTAAAAACATGCAGACCAAAAACATACAACAGCCGGGATTCGCTGGTGGTCACCCACCCAACTACTAACCGGCCGGCGTGTGGCTTAAGTACGGCTGAGCGGACGGGAAGCCCTGTTCTCCACACCCTGTGATCGTATGTGCTTGAAGTTGCTAAGAGGTGGGTTATATCTATAATAGTTACTGGATAGATGGTATGAGAGTTAGTATGCAGAAGATCAGATTGATAGTAGCTCTGAAATGCACCAAAAGCAGTGGAAAACCCCCAAGTGGTAAGAGAGAGAAGAAACGAGGCAAAGACCCCGACCAAGCCACCATTCCACCATTCGGGGGAGCTGGAGTTGGAGCTGGTGCTGGAGATACCTCGGACTGAGGCTGCTCGGGTTGCTTCGTCTCCATAACGAGAAGGTGGGAGGCAATAGAATAATCAAGAGAATGAATGTGAAAGCAAAGAGAGGACAGGCCATCAGATCAGTATTTGGAGGGCGGAGAAACTGGCAGGCATGCATGTTGGAAAGGTACTGAATGGAACATGGCATAAGATAGAGGAAGGAAAGCTCTTTTTGTTCTCATCTTCATTTTCATACTTCCTGGGGATGTTCCACCAGGGTATTTTAAAGACCTTATTAAGGAGTAAGTTACCCCAGGAAGTATCAAACTCAAAGAATAAAAGAACCTCTCATTTGTTATTACACAGCTCTTAACCCTGATAAGTAGGATCCCTCACAACAAACCCATTAAAGGGTCATCAATCTGAGAAGGGGAGATGTCAGACAACATAGAAGTTAATTAAGAGCAGCAGGTCCTGAATCCAATTTATCAGCATGCTGGGGATAATAGTCCATATAGATGAGTTACCTCCCACTCCATTCAGTTAGCCGGGCCCTCCTATAAGTACAGATTACTTCTGCAAACAAACCTTTACCAGTGCTATGGCCGCCTTATCTCTATATATATATTGTCGGTGACATATTCCACATCCCGAAACCATTCATCTCGATCTCCGCTCATATTCTCTCTCAAAAGAAACCCTTTTACATTAATGAATTAGTTAATTACTAAGAGAGATATGGTCCTCAAGTACTAACACCATAGTATTTGTGATGATTGCCATATTTTCTAACCCCAGACAGTATAGGAAAAAGGCTTCTCCACAGGCGGCTTTACCCAGCGCCATTCCTGTGGACTAATCAATCAATCAATCAAGATTCTATTGACCTGTTATAGCCTATCTATGGAAGTAACTAGCCATACAGGTACTTTACTAAGAAAGTAGGAACTAGGAATCTAGTATCTAGATACCTAAGTCCTAGAAAAGGCGATACCTTAAGAAGTAAAGCATCTTTATCACTATATTCTAGAGGTGCCTCAGCTCCTAGAACTTATATATTTTAACCTTAGATTATACTACTGCTGCAGAGGCAGCTAGCTCATGGCCCATCGTGCGAATACAATGTCTGTTACGAGTCGGGCCTTCATGAGGCTGAATCCGTTCATGTTAGAGAGACTTTATGGATTCACCACGGAAGGCATATGTCAAAATACCTCTTCAATGTGATTCGACTGCACAGATACCCCGGACTTGGCACTCCCTTTTCATGCCTTGATATCTATGAGTTCTGATGATCGACATCTAAATTGGACTCGAATACGAGATGCAACATCGGATAAGCCACCCAACCGATCTATGTATAGGAACATCCTGCGAGCGACACGAGGAAGCGGACCAGGCCAATACGAGCTTGAGAATCCCTTTCGCTATCTATAAAATGAGCATCACTTCGTGGGAATCGAGTCGTTGGATGACAACAATCTAACAACCGCATATATAGAATGAAGTTTCTCAACATCTCTATTGCTCTGCTCGGGTCCCTCCCCCTTCTCTCTGTGGCTGCTCCTGTAGCAAACCCTGAGGCAGAACTTGAGTTGGACCTGGAGAAGCGTCGATCTGCGCAAACCTGCAAGATCGTCAACGTTAACCCAGGGAACTACGTCAACTGCCGGTACCAGCCGAGCTTGAAGGCGGGCGAGATCTTTGGCTTCCCCAAGGGAGAAAAACTCACCTTTGCCTGCTACAAGAAGGGCGACTGTGTGAATGGCGTTTGGTGAGTTGGCGCAGAACTTGATGCAGTGGATGAAGCTGACAGGGGCAGCACCTGGGACCAAATAACATATTTGAAGACGACATGCTATGTCAATGGATACTACACGGATAGCAATTGCCCCAGCAGTATGTTACCACCTTTCTTTGCCTAGTTTACGACTAATAGGCGCAGAAAAACTCCCTAAATGCTAGGCTGGAGTTCGGATATCCCACTTCTTGTTGCTCTTTAACGATCATTTCAAGTTAAATATTTCAAGCTCACCCGTCCAATTGCCCGTAAAAATGGACGAATTGTCATCAGACTCCCTGCAGTGATCCCCAGGCTTGTCTCGATGTTTGACCAAATAGTTATCTGCGTGCTCCGATCTTGAATATTGGAGGACGAAGCGTTAGGATGAGCAGTGTAATAAGGGGCAAACGCAGGCCGACTAGACTCACATAGAAATTCGCCACTCGCAGCCATATGCAGAAAAGGAATCCGAACGATCACAGCGGCGCCGGCGCTATTCAATCCCAGAGTCAGTTATCCGACGATATCTGGACACGAGACCGGACCACAAACAGGCATCCAATAGATAGAAGGGCAATCACAGCCATCTTTAACTTCCACTCCATTTGTAATTTTCCAATCATAAAGTAAGGCAGGATACCGATGGTAAAGTCGCAAGCAGCTGCTACGAGACTGTACGTGTATCCTACCCCCAGCAGGTAATCTACCTCTGTACAAGATGTCTGATGTTTCGCTCTCTCCCAATGATGCACAACCGGATTGCAGAAAAAGACGGTAAAGAAAAAGAAGATAAGTCCTGCGATGGTTGAGAGGATGGCTACGCCATACAGGATCCGACGCTGTAGCCTATGAACGGCCAGCCGTAACAGGGTGATGGTGATTGATAGTCGGACGAGCACCGACGCGAAGCAATAGAAAAGCTGCCCAACCCAGAAACACTGATGGAACAGTATGTTAGCCAGCTATCTGATGGCTTTATTCAATTCAGATCTTGGCATACCAGCAACGCACGCCGAAAATCACTTCGCCGATTTTCAAAGTAGATCAATGGGCGACCAATCCCGTATGTAGCACCTAATATGGAACTCGTTGCAAGACCGATGTTGAAAATCTGCGACGGAGGGATATTTTCAATCAACTTGGCCCTTGCTTGAGAGGAAGAAAAGCGAACGGAAGACGTACCATACCCGCCACCATCAGGTAGTCGTCGCACCCCGCAACGCGCATGAGACCGAAGCGAACGTAGCACCGGAGACAGAAGGTTAGAAAAGAGATACCCAGGAACACAGCCGTAGCTATAATGACACTCTCACTCCGGCCCGTCAGCATGGTTACTGAGCGAGGACGAGAAGGTGGGAGCAGAGGTGATACATGGCTTTGCCAGGGTGGTGAATAGAGATATGTTGCACTAGGACACTAAGTTCATGATGTGCAATGGTCCTGGTGAGAAGATCAATGACCACCAGAAAAGTCAAATAGGGTTTTCCAAGAAAATGGGACCCTTTCGATCATGAGGATCGATTTGGATCGCCTCAACATTTGGGGCATGAAGAAGTCTGGGTACATGACGTCAAGACTGCCTGCGAGCCGCCATTCGTCAAAACAACGATGAAGGTATTCATGAGAACTGTCCCTGGAAGAGAATGAAGGAATTACAATAAACGAATTTATTGAAGACGGCCCGAGGCTGTCGAGAAATGATCCCGGTCAAGCGTTAAGTAGACACAATCTCCATTCCCTATCCAGTCACTTCTGAGATGTCACAATGACGATTTCCCACCATCATGAATCTTCATTCTGTCTAGTGCTTGACATGATCCACCTGGGACTGTTAGCCTGGATAGAAACTGGGAATGGACAGTCCCCAACCCACCACTTCTACATTGTTACCGAGAGGGTCCAACACAAAGGCACCGTAGTAGTTCTCATGATAGATGGGACGGAGGCCAGGCGGGCCATTACACTGGCCTCCAGCAGCGATGGCGGCCTGGTGGAAGGCGTCGACAGTTGCATGGTCTATCTAATCAGCCCATAGTCCTACGCTGGCAGTAGGGGCAACCCACCGGGTGATACGAAACCATAGTGCAGATCATTTCCAGCACACTTGTCTTTTGCTGAGATCCAGAAATCGGGGGTTTTATCTCCCAGACCCACGGTTCCAGGGAATCTCATGAGCTCTTTGTAGTTTAATGGAGCAAGGGCCTTTTTGTACCACTCGACAACGGTTTCGAACTGCTCCGTTGGCACGTAGATACCCAGGTGATCGATGGTGCTCGTCATGGTGATTAAGACAGTATTGAAAGGGATTTTTTTGTGAATTGAGTTGATCGTTTGACGACTGGTTCTCTTCCCTTGTCTTATATCCTCCGGGAAGAGGACCCAGAGCTGCAGGGTTGCGTTGGTGATGCGTCTGCAGTATGAGACAAAAAAAAATATGCTAACTTATTCGCTGCTGAGAATGGATCTAAACGCCACTGGAGGGTTATACGAGATGACTTTAGGCAACCGCGCGATATCTTCTTGATATGGATAGGGGCCAAGATTCCCCCGGGAGGATAAAGGAAAAATTCCGCTCCTATACGAGATGTCAGGGATAGAAACAGCGATGCTCCGTGAGGATGAAGGAAGTATGTTGAAAGATTGGAGCTGTTTCACCGTGGTAGCTATATGCCTTTAACTTTACCAGCCATGGTGAGGGGAGAACTTCACTCATTGTAAGAAAGAAAAAACCTGTGAGTAGAGACTTCCCTGGTAGGCCTAGTTAACATACGTAGTTTAAAGCAGCATTATAATTATGATTAACTGATTATTATGGCTGCTGTTATAAAATCTATCATCACACTGGTCGGGGTATAATTATGTCTTATTCATAATCCTATGTTTTCTTGATGCACAAATTAGCTGTCTCTCTCTCTGGTACCACTAGGAATATGCATTATATGCATCGATTAAGTGAAGATGGAAGTAGTTTATCTGATATTTTTTACATCAACAATTAATGATGACTTCAACACCATGAAGAAAATCAGGCAGGCAGCAGGATTAAGTAGTAAATATAACACTGCCTGGTGGCCTATGGCTACAGTGAGGATGATCCATCATCATGATCACAGGCAGCGTCATTTATTTCTTTTCTGCCACTGTAAAAACCATCAATAGAACTGCCGAACTGCCTATCAAGACGCGTGTGTGCTCAGCGTTGATGATATACACCAAATATTCAGCCTCATATGATAGACGCAGGGGTGTCGCATTGGCGAATGAGCTCAGTGGAGACTGTTGGCATGGAGTGGTGTTCTCTCAGAACTTTGGAGCATCTGTGCTCATCCTATTGGGACAAACTACGCCTGAGAACTCCTTGCTTGATGCTCTTGGAGACATTGGGAATGGAATAGATGCTCAGAAAGTGACTGACGCTGGGGCCATGGACTTTTCGGTCCGTTGTGCCCCTACAACCATGAGTTAATTTTGACTTTCGTATGTTCCAATTCATCTGATATCCATCGCTTCAGCTCAGTTGCTAACTATTCACGCAGTATCTTTCGGCTGGGGCATCAGTTGTAGTACTTGGCCTTGCGTGGGGATTCGAGTTCAAAAGTGTGAAAAAGACATCTGAGTCAAAGTCAGAGAGATTTGTCTTTTCAATGGAAAGGTGGTTAGATTCATAATCGAATATCGTCTTATAGTAATGATCAATGAATTTCGTTCTTGAGCTCCTTTGCGAAAGCATTCAGTATAGTCGCTTGCTCAAAAACATATGAAATACGTATCTCTCCAGTCTCAGGCTGCGATCAATATGACAATAATAGAGTTAACCATGTTGACCACCCACGTCCTTCCACTCAGTAATTTGGGCGTTCTCCCAGATTTTCTCTGAATGTCCCTGGATGGCGACATCGACCGCTGCCCGCGCCAACACATCCACCTGCAGAATATACTACTAAGGAAGTGGGAGGAGGGCTCATACCCTCACACGACGATAGCCCGCATTCAACCACAGAGGTTTCGACTGGTCGCGCTCAGCCATTCCGCCGCTGAAATACACGAAACGAAATTTTGGGCCGGCGAAGGCTTCTTGCCCTGCCTCTTTTGAAGCAGTAAAGGCATTGTTAAAGGCCTTGGCGGCCTGGCTGGTATACTCCAGTGTCACCCGCCGGAAGGCCTGTTCATCAGAAGCGCGCGAGGGAGTAATACCTAGCGTCCAAATACAAGCATCAGCGCCTTGGAGAGAGGCAGAGAGCTGGGGGTCTGAGTAGAAGAGAAAATCCTGGTCGTTCATGCGGTGGACATGGAGTTTAGGGTGTGTGATAGGCAGTTCACGGCGGCATAGGGCAATAATAGATGTGATTGAGGGATGGGCCAGGCACTGTGAAAGGACCTCTTGCCCCACGAACCCAGTCGCGCCAGCAATGATAACCTTCATAATGCTGTTTATATAAATTTGATGAACATCAAGAGACAGGACAGCTTACAGCTTTAAGTAATATGTGGTCATTGCATGTGGTAGGCAGTGCTCGAACTGTGCGGGTAATGGCTTATAAGGTGATATGTGTAGGCTGATGCTACACTTCAAATTAGGTGGCTCTCTTATAAGTCACATTTATGGCTCTGGTTTTCTAGTACAGGGGGAGACGTAATGGATACCTATATCAATCAAATTCAAGTCAAGCAGTGTCAATCCCGAGCATGAGCAATGCCAGTTCTCGAGATATCCATGCGAGATAATATGAGAATCAGAAGAAAACATCAGGGATAACTACATCGTCGCGGGATGCCCAAAAGCCTGAACCACAGCCCTTCATCACGCACAACCATCTTCGACAGAGTCAACTCACCAAACAAAACACGACTATCTAAGCAATCGTACTGTGGATGTAATCAACAAAGGTCTTGCAATCAGTCTTCTTGGCCTCCCATTTCTTGTGGTCTTTGATATACTCATTGCCTATCCAGGTATTAGACTTGTGCACCAAACAGAAAACAGGGGAACTGACCTTTCTTGGTTACAGACGTCGCTTTTTTGGCGCTATTGATCTTAGTGAGGAATTCCAGCTTCGGCTCAGCCTTCCCGTCTTTCTGCTTTCTGGTCTCCCAATTGGTGTGCCTGTATTCGGTGTCACGCTCCTTGTTCATCACCAAATGATGGAACTGCGCCACGAAATCGCGTTTGGTCTTCTTCTTGAGGGCCTTTTCCTTGACCTCCCCGATGATGATGCCGATATGATCAAAACCGTAGTCTTGCTGCACCTCTTTCAAGTCCTCCGACTCAGCGCTTTCTCCAGGGGATGGGCGGCCGTGGACATATTTCACGGTGAAGGCATCAGGTCACCATGAATCGCCGAGAACTGCTTGTACTCGGCCGTGTCATCGTAGGTAGTCGTGCGCTGTTCGATCGAGTAGTCAATGAGGTCGTCTTCATCCCGCGGCACGAGGCTGGAATGAACGTCCGGAATGCTGGGGTGGAGGTCTTTAGAGGACTCCCGCACTGCGTTGCTTTAGACTGGACTGGCACCGACTCCCACCGAGAGCGTCGCCAGGAAGACAGAAAAGATGGTGGAGAACTTCATTTTGACTGCTTAAGAGACGTGATGAATGGTGATGAATGATAGACAGAAATTACAGACACATCATGATCCCTCTTATACTCTTTGTCGAAGCGAAGATATAGACCATTGGGAGCTTGCAACGAGGTACCGTGGGGTCGATTTCAGTAGAATGAAGCTCATCTCATTCAGCTTACAGGCCAATATCTTCTTTTGGGCTGATCACTGGTGTTGGGCTGACAGTGGGTGATGAAGACTTCCCGTCAATATTCACGCAACTCTCACCATGGGGCCGAAATCATGAAATGATCACCATCTCTAAAAACGCAGCCTGGTTCTAATCAACCCCTAAAATGCTTGCATTACACTAACAGCTGGGCAATGCTTGTCATCGACCTAATTGCAAACGTGCCCCTGGGCCTAAATATCAAAAGCCATGAGACAAGGCAGCGCTTATGGTAAGAGAAGAGAGAGGCGCAACCTGATGCTGACGTGGGGGCCTTAGGCCTCCAGAGATACCCTGGCTTAAAATAATCGTCCACAGCAAGTCGCTGGGACTTCCACCAACACCTCCGGCATCTTTCCTCCATTTTCATTTCATTTCCATCTCGTAAATCATGGCTTCCCCCGAATACTCTCTCAAGGTTCAGGAATGGTCGAAACAGGGCCTCTTGACCCCTGAAGCCGTCCTGAGCGCTCTGGGCGACAGGATCAAGGACTTCGGGATCCTGGACAAAGAAGAAGAACAGCCATACCTTCGCAAGACCTTTGAATCGCTGTGCACAGATGTAAATGGTAGCAAAGTGCTTTCCCAGTCTACCTTTACTTCATTCCTAAATGAATCCGGGTTTCTTCCTGAATCCATGATCGATGCTGGGGCTGTTCTTTACAGCGCCCTTCTGTACCTCTCTCAAACTCCATTTCATCAGTCCCCCGCTGAAGCTCTGACCTTTGATGGCCTGATTCGGGCAATCGCCTGGACAGATTATGACATGTCAAGACGCGTTTATGAAGAAGAGTCGGAATCGAAGGCTAGGACACCAGACGATACACAGAGAATCCTCTTTCAGAGCCTAGCCACGAGCAAGGCCATGAAGAGAGCAGCCTCCGGCGTTGGGCAGCATAGGGACCAGGTTGAAATAGATATATCTGGCTTGCCCTCCTCTCAAGTCCATAATCAAGATCAAGATGGCGACAAGACTTTTCAGGACGTTATGGATGCCCTCTATTCTGTGCAGCCCACGAAGCCATGGATGTCTCCCGTGCCTCAAGACTACTTCCGACCCATTGCTCGGAATATTCACCAGACAGCACCACTCCTGGACGATCTCGCTATCCCCGAAGCTACGTTTCAAGCGTTTATCCGGCTGATGTTGTTCACCCATTTTGGTCGGCCCAACGTCAAACTAGAAAGTCTGGTGGATCTCGACCATGCTGTGGACTGCATTCTCAGAAGATTTGTCCAGGACTCGGATATTGGCATTACCTGGAATTCATTCCATAACGCTCTAAGCACAATTGTAGGTTTCATAACTCCGTCGACCCCTTGAAGTGAGCTAATGATACAGCCTGAATTGTTCACTGGCCTGAGACACATCCTTGCCTGCTTTTACAAGACACCAACAAGTGACAGTCTTGCCCGACGGCTACCTCAACCAGCGAGGGTCGCTACATGGTCCGTCTTCGCCCAGCTCGATGCCATTATATCAGACACTGTTTGCTTCGATGAGGTCCAGTTCCATAAATCCTACCAGCCCCACCTCATGTCCACCCGTGCCTCCAGTTTTGCCGATGAACTAAATGCTGCTCCGGATCCGCTGATCCTCCTTGTGAGTGGGACGTTCACCGAGAGCAAAGAGAAGGCCATCTTTGGGTACTTTCTCCCGTGGGGCAACGGCGCCGACGCGAGTGGGGTGTTTCTCTGTCAGTTGAGCCCGGTTCATGACGTGTTCCGTGGAAATGGCACACGGCCGGGGTGGATACTGGCGAATGATGTGCTCCTGTTCGGATCGAGGGGAAATGGAGTGACACTGTCCCTTAGTAAGGACCTGAAACAGGCAACAGTGTCTCACAGTGCATCTCTACAGGGTAAACCAATGTATCAACCCTCCGCATGGAGGGGAGATTGGCAGGAAGAGGTACGAGTGGAAGAGATTGAGATATGGGTCGAGGACTAGATTCCTAGACTACAATCTAGCCCAAGCGATAGAACCTTACAGGAGTTTGGACTTCTCCAATTTCGAGTCTCAAGCACTGTGCCTCTGTCGATGAAGTCATGAGTCATGGGATTATGAAGAAAAACTACGCATACGAGTGGTTATAGTATCTGAATAAGTAGTAGGTATCCAATAGTAGTCTACGGAGTACTATCTTTCAATTAAAGTTGACAGATGAAAACCAGAGGAGCTACCATGGGTAGGCGGACGTTCCATTCTCTGGTTCTCATCGATAAGTTGGGGATACATTCAAGCCACATTTTGTAGGATGGCAATTATGTCAAACCGCCAGAATGTTGAGGAAACACCTAAACGTAGCGCACAGCCTCTGTGGAAGAGACCAAGTCAGAGTCGGGACAATTAAGATACCCTGTATCGCAGAACCACGCTCGTCAAATGTCACCCAAGAGCGGCCAGACCCCAAGACGGACAACCCAAAACAACTTCAATATCCTTCCATAACGGCCCAGTCTGCACCTGTTGCGATACAGAACGGCTACCACGAGGTCAAAAGCCCTCCCATGGTCGTGCGACGTCTGACCGAAAGGAATGTGTCTGAATGGACGGCTGAACCGTGGGGGAGTAGTCTCTCATCGGCAGAGACTCAAGCAAGCGACTTCTCCCTGTGTATAAGGGGGCGTTGGAGAGTATTTAATGGTTAGAAGGGAATCAATGCAAATGTATTCCCAGGATGACTCCATATTCGACTGAAGTTTTTCTTCTCGTGTAAATGGGAGGCATGGGGGCGTGATTGGCACGTATGAACCACCCTTACCGTTGTTTGATTACAGGTTTGTCTACATGTACATCGATTAAACTAGCTTCTTGTCGTTGTATGCGAGCCTTCTATCTCTGCGGATCGGAAAGTCCTCTTATGTCTGTATGGTAGTCGTATCTCATGTGATGACAACCTGTCGTGGATCCTATCTTGTGGCGGGAGTGATGAATTGTCATTCTCGAAGCATTATCAATGTCATCATGACAGGAAGAGGAGAGTGGCCATGACAAGAACCAATGGTGAAGTCATTCTAATAGGATTTCCAACGGGTTGCCCTTCCCAAAAGTCCAAACAACAGTATTCGACTCAAGGCAACAAACCTGGTAGCTGGGGGGGTTCCAGACACGGAGGACACACCCTTGTGGTGGATTCCAAGGCTATTTAAGAAGGTTGAAATATACAATTTATCTAGAACTTCTGCCAAAAAGGATTCGTCCACTTTACACCGCTAAGTTCACCATAACAATCACAAGAAACGAATAGCCCATCATCATGTCATCCGCCACCCCTGGGCCCCGAATTGCCATTGTTGGCGTGGGTCAGGTCGGTGGAGCAGCAGCAAACGCACTTATTCTGGGCTCTGTCGCCCGTGAGCTACTTCTGGTCGATGTCAAAATTCCCCTGCGCAATGCTCAAGTCCAAGAACTCTCCGATGTGAGCAATATGAGCGGTGGCGCTGAGACGCGCATTCGAGCCGGAACATACGAAGAGGCCGGCCAGTGCGATATCGTTGTCATCACTGCCGGGTCCAAGTACTCTGTGGGCGAAACAAGCGTGCAGCACATGTATCGCAACATGGGCATTGTCCAGAAGATTATCCCTGCTATGCGGCCTTTCCGACCCGATACCATCCTACTAGTGGTGTCTAATCCGGTGGATCTACTCACCACTGTCGCACAGCAGTTGTCCGGCCTCCCACCCACGCAGGTCCTGGGATCCGGAACGCTGCTAGAATCTGTGCGGCTGCGTGGACTCGTGGCTAAAACCACTGGGGTGCGTGACTTTTCCGAAACGGTGTCTTACCAGTTTGTGGTGCTGACAGGATATCCCGGCGTATCCACATCCATAGGTTGCCCCGGATTCCGTCGATCTTTATGTTCTGGGGGTTCATGGGATTGGAGAGACCGTGGCTTGGTCGACTGCCACGGTTGGAGGACTGTCGCTGGCTAGGGCCATCCCCCCGAACTCCCTCGATCCCATCCAGCTCGCCCGAGAGTGCCGGCAGATCTCCCAGACCATCATTCATGCGAAGGGAGCAATACCTCTTGGAACCGGTGCCATCATTTCCAAGGTCTGCTCCTCGATCCTACGTGATCAGCGAGATATCTATCCCATCAGTCACTATCAGGAGGACTTTGGCTGTTGCTTTAGCTTGCCGGTGATCATTGGCCGCAAGGGAATTCTCAGGACTATTCGCGTCGCAGCTAATGCAGAGGAGTGGGATGGAATCACCAAATCAGCCAGAGACCTGAACGAGACGATTCAACATGTAAAGGAAGGAGCTTAGATGAATCCTTTTTCGGGCCAGGTCCCATGGACTGTTACAACGGAGTTAGGAGTATTGATTATTTTATATGGATGAATTGCTTTTATACCATTACACAAAGCCAGAAAGAGCATAGGCAAGTAAAAAGACACCGCAGTCGATCAAACGCCCTGTTCGACTTTCATTAGATGCCGCTTGACGGCGATGAAGCTATCCGGGCTGACTGAAATGGAATTGATGCCCGCGTCTGCTAAAAATTGAGCAAATTCCGGGTGATCACTCGGTGCCTGGCCACAGATGCCAATCTTACAGCCTTTCTCGCGTGCCACCTTGATGGCCTGTGCAATCATCCACTTGACCGCCTCATCCTGCTCGTTGAAGAGATCGGCCAGCTCGGACGAGTCGCGGTCGATTCCCAGCGTCAGCTGGGTCAAGTCGTTGGAACCGATGGAAAAGCCTTCGAAGCACTCTGCGAACTGCGCCGCCAGGATGACGTTACTGGGAATTTCACACATCACATAAACCTGGAGACCGTTCCTGCCACGCTGAAGTCCAGTCTCTGCCATGACGTCCAGCACCCGTTGTGCCTCGCCTACCGTACGGCAAAAGGGAATCATGACGATGGCATTGGTAAAGCCCATCTCATCCCGTAAGCGCCTGATGGCCCGGCATTCCAGCGCAAAGCCCTCCCGGTAGCGTGGCGAGTAGTAGCGAGAGGCGCCCCGGAAACCGATCATGGGATTCTCCTCCTGCAACTCGAACTCGGCGCCGCCAATGAGCCCCGCATACTCGTTAGTCTTGAAGTCGCTCATGCGCAAGATAGCAGGACGCGGGTACACGGAGGCGCAGAGGGCCGCAAAACCCTGCGCCAACCGGTCCACAAAGTATTCGCACCGGTCATCTTCGTATCCCTTGGTCAGACGCGCGATTTCCTCTTTGGCTGCCGTGTTCTTCAGCCGGTCAAAGTGCACCAGGGCCATGGGGTGCACCCGGATGGCGTTGCTAACCACAAACTCCATACGCGCGAGGCCGATACCATCGGCTGGGAGGCGCCACCAGCGGTATGCGGCTGCCGGGTTAGCCAGATTGATCATTACCTGCGTACGCAGTGCTGGCAGGTTGGTCAAATCCACGGTCTCGGCGGTGATCTCCGCTTGGCCCTCGTAAACGAAGCCTGTGTCTCCTTCAGCACAAGACACAGTGATTGCTTGGCCCGTGTGCAGCACATAGGTGGCATTGCCTGTGCCCACAACCGCCGGAAGTCCCAGCTCGCGACTCACAATGGCGGCGTGCGAGGTTCGCCCACCGTGATCTGTAACAATGGCGGCGGCTCGCTTCATGATAGGCACCCAGTCCGGGTCGGTGGTCGGTGTTACTAAAATCGACCCATCAATGAACTGTTCCTGGTTGGAGGCCGACTCAAGAAGACACACGCGACCAGCAACGGCTGCTTCGCCAACTGAAACGCCCGTCGTCAGCACGCGGCCCTTGCCATGGCCGACCTTGTACGTGTGGAGGCGTGCGGCGGCATCACCCCGGCGAGAATGCACCGTTTCGGGTCTTGCCTGCACGATATACAGCGGTCCATCGGCTCCATCCTTGGCCCACTCCATGTCCATAGGACTGCCGTAGTGGGACTCAATTGTACACGCCCAGCGTGCAAGCTGGAGAATCTCCGTGTCGGTCAGGACGAACGCGGCGCGCTCAGCCTTCGATGTCGGTACATTGTGAGTCGGCTGTTGTGGATCATCGCTGTAGATCATCTTCATAGATTTGTCCCCTAGCTTCTTGCTAACGATCGGTCGCAGCTGCGGGTTGCTCAGCAGTTGTTTAAAGACCTGGTACTCGTCTGGAGTGACAGCGCCCTGCACTACATTTTCGCCGAGGCCCCATGCAGCATTGATGAGCACGACCTGGTCAAAACCACTTTCTGTGTCGATGGAAAACATGACACCGGATCCACCCGAGTCGGACCGCACCATGCGCTGTACGCCAACGGATAATGCGATGCCCATCTGGTCGTAGTCCTTAGCTTGACGGTAGCTGATCGCACGATCGGTGAAGAGCGAGGCGTAGCATCGGCGACAGGCATCCAGCAATGCCGCCTCCCCGGTCACATTCAAGTATGATTCAAGCTGACCGGCAAAGCTGGCGTCAGGCAGATCCTCCGCGGTCGCGCTGGACCGGACTGCCACACTCGGTTCGCGGACGCCGACTCTCGCCGCGAGGGTGCGATAGGCCATACGGATGCTGTTGGCCGCATCTTCAGGCCAACTTCCCCGAAGAAACAGACGGCGCATGGCCTTTCCCGTCTCACCTAGATTTCTCTTGCCTGATTGCCAGTCGGCAATCAGATCGGCCATGGTGTCGCGAATCCCATTGGCGTCTACGTAGTCCCAGTATGCCTGGGCCGTTGTCGCAAAACCGGGGGGCACTGCAATCTCCTCGGATCCGAGTGTGTTGATCATCTCACCCAGCGAGGCATTCTTCCCTCCGACGATGGGTCCATCGCGCATCCGGATATCCTCAAAGTTACGGACTAGGCGTCCGTTCTCCGTGGCCATTCTGTGTTTGTAAAGATAGAAATGCCACAACGTGTGGAAGGGTCTTCCTATACTTCAAAATTCTTGCCTTCCGACTACAAGACTATATAAAAGGGCCAGGCTCCCCTGCATAAGATAAACAAAGAGCTGGATCGCCACCCAGCCGGATATAGAGTTGCTAGTTCCATGGATCACAACACATCATAAGCGGTTGACAGCTGTTGAAGAGCAAGCAGTTCATGTGATGTCTTCGAGCTCATGTGGTCTAAAATAATAGCCACCATTGTACTGTCTTCTTGGGTGTGATGTCAAGACATTTATCTATTTTCCGAGTGGTGAATTCCTAAACCAGAGCAGTACAAAGTCAATGAGTATAAGCCGCAGCTCCTTCGGCCGAGGGGCTATGACACTATACAACATGGACATATTTGAAATCAAACGAATTTGTTAGGGATCTAGATGGACCCAAAAAACAAATATCATTCAAGAAAGCTTGCTCGAAGCTGAAGACCCAGTCGCACAGAACAGCGGTTCATGTCTCATATTATACATAATGTTGACATCACGTCGCACATCTGGCATTCCTCGCCCAGGAGTATGTCATATAGCTGGAGTCTGTTTCATCGGCAGTGAACTTTATGGATGCTAGCCACCCAACTCTAGGAATATATCTGCTGCAGTCGATATTGCAACCCAAGCAACACAGCTCACATACTCACTCCCACCGAATAGGTCATGCACAGGAAATAGCTCTGGAGATGTCCGCTGAAGACGAAAAACTAAGACTGGTCATCATCGGCGGGGCCAGGGGAGGAATGTCAGCTGCAGTTCGAGCACGACGCCTGAGTGAGAATGCGTCGATCATTGTTATCGAACGGGCACCATACATCAGTTACACAAATTCTTTTGTCCCTCATAGCTGGGGCAGTATACTTGAAACGGATACGTTGATTGCTCTACAAACGCCTGCCGCTATTAGCGCTCGATATAACCTGGAGGTGCGCGTTTGTACAGAGCTTGTCAGCATCTCTAGGAAGCGCCACTCCATGACCCTGCGCTGTCTGAAGACTGATACCACCTATGAACTGCCGTATGATAAGGTCGTGCTTTCGCAAGGTGCAGACTCTCCTCTTCCACCCGTTGCGGGAGTAGACAGCGCGAATGTATTCACGCTGCAGACCCTGGCCGACCTACAGAAGATCCGCTCGTATGTAATGAAGAATGACTGCCGAGAAGTCATCGTCCTCGGCGGGGGCTTTACAGGTATCAAGGCTGTGGAAAGTCTGTATGGCTTCGGCCTACGCGTCACCGTGATTGAGGCTGGTGACTGTCTCTGTCCAGAGTTTGACCCTGATTTTGCCAGGATGATTCAAAGAGAGCTGATGAAGAAGGGGGTCCACATCTATATCAACTCAGAGTGCCAGATGATCGCAAAGTCCGATGTCACTGACGTGTGCTATGTGGAGTTACGGGATGGCTCCAGCCTCACCGCGGACCTAGTTGTCGTCGTCACAGACAGTCCTGAACCTCGAACCTGGCACGCGAAGAATGCGGGCCTTGATGTCCGCAGAGGCATTGTGGTCAACGCGTTTATGCAAACCAGTGACCCCGACATCTATGCAGTTGGCAGCGTGGCGGAAGTGATAAACCGCATCTCCCACCTGCCGCAGATATTGTCCACCAGTGGACCCTCGAACCGACAGGGTCGGCTCGCAGTCGATCACATCTTCAAGCGCGCCACGGCGTACCCTGGAATATGCGGAACACGGGTGTATCAGCTCTTCCACTTGACAGGAGCCATTACAGGGCTTTCCGTCTCGGCGCTCAAGCAAATCGGGTACGATCCTAGATCGGTCACAATCCACCAGCCGGACCATGCTGGTTACTATCCATCCTCCCAGCAGCTCACCCTCCGAATTGCCTTTCAACCAGCGAGTGGGGTGCTGCTCGGGGCTCAGGTTATTGGACGTTCTGGCGTGGAGAGTCGCATCAATGTGCTGGCAACAGCTCTGCAGGCTACCATGACTGTCTTTCAATTGGAGGACTTGGAACTCTCTCATAAGCCACAATACGGCTCCGCAAAAGATCCCGTCAATTTGTCTGGCTCAGTCGCAAGTAACCTGCTCCGTGGTGACCTCCACATTGTTCTTCCCTCCAGTCTAGCAGGGCAGCTTCATGACTGGCAAATCATTGATGTGCGATCCTCGGAACATTTCGAGCAGGGCCATCTACCGTTTGCTCAAAATATTCCTATAGACTCACTCAGGTCAAGGATTGGCGAGATCGGAAAGGAGCGTCCAATACTACTCTACTCCAGAGTGGGCTACCATGGCTACCTGGGCTACCGAATCCTCGTGCAGTCTGGGTACCAAGCGGCAAATCTTGACGGTGGATTGAAATTATTCGTTGACGGGGGATATCAACCGGAGTTGGTAACAGGGACATCACGATAATTTGGCATCGATTTGTCGGGGGAGAGGTGCTGAGGAAGTAGAGAAGTGATATAGCCAAGGGTCAGAAAAGTCATAGCTGAACTAACTCTGTGCCTAGGATACCAGGGCACATCCAATCAACCTTGAGCTTCTTAGTAAATAATACAGATTTTCTTGTGCAGAGTATGATCAGGTTCAAAAGAGTGTCAAAAAGCACATCAAAAAGGACAGTTCAGTGTATTTCCCCTATATCATCCATTCCTCAAACCCTCCAGCAAATCCAACGTTCCTCCTGCCCGCTATATATCCAGTTCTGCCGAATGCCCTCGTCGCATTGTTACATGGTTATAAAACCTTCGGGGAAGCTCTGCCTAACACGTCATCAACACACTAGCAGCCCCATTTCCCAGGTAAAACTCTCCAGATTGCTTATTCGCCGTCGCAATACATTGGTATGTCGGGTAAGGAATACCCATATACCCTTTCTTCCACTTGATAGAATCCGAGATATGATGGACAGTAGCATGGCCATGACAATCAGCATTCTCCCAGAACTTGAAAGTGCACGAGGCTGGCCAGCCCTGGTCATTCTTTCCAGCCCTGGCGCCGTAGGTAAAGGAGTCAAAGTTCTTGCATTGGCCGGCCCACACCCAACCGGACTTTGGCTGGTCTTCCCAGCCGCTGTCGCATGAGCCGGATTTGTAGACATCCAGCCAGACGCCGGTGGCGCGTTCGGTCAGGATATTCGCGGTGGTGTTGGCCTCGACGGCGTTGGAGTCAACAGAGGCTTCAACCGAGACTTCAGGGGTTGGGCTGGAGAGGCCGACGATGGCGTAGAGTCCGAGGGACAAAAGAATGTTTTTGACCAACATTTTTTTCAGACTGTATGAGATGTAAGTCAGTCGGCGTGATCCAATTGGAACAGTAGAGACATACAAAAAATTCAGATATATGGTTCTGAGTGATGTTTCTTCGAGGTTTGGATGACCAAATGTAACGCAGCTGGAGGACGAAGTAAAGAGCACATCATCGTGAAGCAGCCGTGAGTATTTATAGCCACACATACATCCAGAAGCTCAGCTCAGGGGTTTACAATCATTTGCACACGACACCTATCTCATTGAGGCCAAGAAATATAGTAGGGACTAGGGAGTCCTTCAGCTGTGGCCTCGAGTCTCAGCCCTGTAATTTTGCCCCATAAGTCTCACTCTAACTTATAAGGATCTTCGGAGATCAGTAATCTCTATACCATAATATTCCACCTGTTGTTCACAGCGCCTTCTTCTTGCCGATTACTATTCAAGCTCCTCGGTTCATGTTGAGTAATCTCGAATTCAACCTGAACGAAAAGGCAAATCGGCGATGCAAATCAATTAGCCGCTAAATGGATAGACCGTTGGTTGGAAATAGCAGGCCATTTCCGATACTATCAACATTATATCATAATGACCATATCGATTGCCTCGATATTAGATGACTATCGACTGGGCACCTTCTGCTACCACTACCGCTGCTTCAACAGCATCTACCTCTATTGAGTTTTACCAGCAGGATCGTACAGTTATATTCAGAATATCGTGCCTCGAACAACCCCGTACGGAATATGAATGAGGCTTGTGTCCGACTGACTGAAGACCCGCAATATCCACTCCGAGAATAACATGGAAACGCCAGAAGAGCAAAAGGAGGAAGGAAACATGCAGAATCAAGAAACAGGCCATGAGCAAAGTGAAAAATATGACGTTCGGGACATCGAGGAAAATATACGCAAAGTGGTCGAGTATGTCTGGGGGAGTCCCGAGCCACCAACAAGCGATGCTGCAGATGATAATGACTATAGAACAGGCAAAATGCGGGTGAGATCGAACTTGAGGTGGTTATAAATCAAAGATTAAGCCTGACATCGGCTTTCAGAAAAGTGGCGGGGCACTTGAGTAACTCACGGTTGAGCTCATTCTACATATTTCAATGGTGCCGAATAGACTCCGCTGTCTGTTGTTGGTCGTGGAGAAATGCGGTGTACCTAGCTGTCAAGGACCTTTTTTTTTTTTTATTTTTAATCATTGATCTCTAACGTGGTATGATGTCAAGGAAGCACGTCCGTGGTTGAGGAACAGTCGAAAAGAAACCCTAATACTGATAGATCAGTGAAATGCAATGTGCAGAGAAATAACTTTCACAGTAAACATCTCACGCGATCAAATCAGATTTAACCGGAAAGAACGCAAGGCCAGGTAACCCGGTTGTCATTTTCGCGCTTCAATAGGTATGCTATCTGCTGTCCGATGACTTTTCCATCAACAACCTCGCAACTAGTCTGGAAATTGGTGTAGGTCCAAAAGGACAAGCCAAGAGATATTTTCGGAGAACCCCTCTCCCTTGATGTATGATCATTTAGGTAACAGTGAGAACCTAAGGGAATAATTGACATAACAAGATCTGCATCAGTTGCTGTTTCATCCCGAATGCAAGATACTTATAGGGTCTGGGGAATTCCTCCAGGTGGTTACCCACACCTGTTGCTTCCCCTTGCATGAACAGACAGCTTGTCACTCACAGCAAGTGCACGCATCATTCGAGACGAGATCTGACAGTCCTCAATAATAGTTGATCATTGCCGTTCAAAGTTGCTGATGTTTGCGGTAGATCCAAGGTTAGGTCTATTGACAGAGGGCCCTTCGATGCCGGCGCTGAACCGAAGGAGTATGTCTGAGATAGGATGGCCGAGAAGAAAGAGTTGACATTCGTGTACAGCCTGAAGAGTATAGGGGCTATCGGCCAGCATCAGGGCTATACTGATAGGCATACAGTCAACATGAACCAGTCCTGATCCTCCGGCGCGTTAAGACGGGAAACAGTAAGACATCCTTGTGCTAGACAGGTAGAGCGCATTGCCACGTGGAGTCGAGAGCAAACGAACAGATGACGATTTGATTTTGAAAACAGGAGAAATAATGGAAGATGCATGCGACCATTAATGTTCACAGGGAATACTACTATTGAAATTCTGCAAAACCGGGGACCAGGAATGCTGAAGTCCTGCGATTCGGTTCATCGGAATGCGGTGGCGGTCATCTGCATGTCATATTCTTTTCGGCGCACTATGATATGAAGCGGAAACAGGCTCGCTGGTATGATTGACAGGAGTAACTACTTGATCCTCCCGTCCCCGTTGTCGTTGATTCAGGGAGAAGGATTCCGGAAGACCGTCTGCGGAAGATGAGAACAATATGTTTGCATCTTCTGGAGGGAATAGCACCAACGATATCTTTCAGTAACGAGGAAAGAAAGTTATAAAAGGAGGTTCGAGGTCGCTCTTCATGGCTCGAATCATCAACTCATCCGACAACAGTTCGACAACGTCAACAATCGCCAATTCCACAACTTCGACATCGTTCACTTACGTGTCTATATTACCTCTTTTGTGATTATATTCTAATCCAACATCTACGTGTGTTTCCGCTCCCCAGCTTTCTCACTCGCCATCTGCTGATATCTTCTTCTAGCATCAAAATGCAGTTCACCTACAAGGCTCTCTCTGCCCTCGCGGTCAGCTTCTTCTTCTCCACTGCTTCGGCTGTCGCCCACTGCAAGCCCGGACAGGCCTGGCCTGACGTCCACGACTGCCACAATTTCTTCGAATGCGCCTCTGGTGGCGTTCCCGTCCTCAAGACTTGTGGCCCCGGCACGGCATACTGCCCCAAGACCGGCATCTGCGACTACGAGTTCAAGAACCCCGCCTGCCGTCTCCACGGGGCCGGCCCTGAGGGCCATGCTGGTCCTGGAGGCCACGACGGTAAGGGGCCTGAGGGTCACGGCGGCCCTGGTGGAATTGAGGAATTTGCTGGCCATGGCCGTCCCGATGGTCCAGCTGGTCCTGGCGCCATAAACCACTAAGTGTCGATGCTTAGGGATTCGAGCTCTGATACCCGATGGAGATGTGCTTTTTAACTTGTCATTTCTATGTTTCATTACGCCTTTTAATCGCTGGTTGACATGCTGCATGGCTAATCGTTCGGATGCTCTGTTTGAAATCTAATACCCTTGGAGTATTGCTAAGAGGGGAGAAATAAATGTATTGCTCGAACTACTTGTGATTGAAGAAATTATATCCTCCAATTTTCATCGCTTGCTTAAATGGGTGCGCAGATAATCGTTCTTTGCAACCATAATTTCCAATAATTCTGTTTCTCTTCCATAGATTGAGAGATTATATAAAATGCGATGACCAGATTTATGCCTCGTTTATATCTCTCACAAAGGCAGAATCTCCGTAACTCCTTCCCATGAGTCCAATGACTGCGAAACTATCACCAATCTGTTGTAGCACCAACAAAGAGTAGAGTAATGACCAGAGAAACGATGGTCTTTCTCTTCTGCCACTCACCAACAATCATGCAGATAGCTGTGGCGACAATCACATCATGAATCTTCGCAAAAGCAGTCCCTTTTGCGCGCTCCTCGATCATACTTTGAGGTACTGTGTCGAGGCCGAGAACCATGCACAACTGTGAGTCCAAAACGATAAGGCTTCCATATTCGTCGGCCTCAGCGCTGCAGGTGAATTGAGCAATGACTACTTCATTCAACTCATGCTTGGCCATCTTGCAAGGCAGTTGCGCAACCAATTTCAAATGGTGCCAAGGCATCAACCGTCTCGGCCACTTGCTGTCTCCAGGCAGATTTTTTGTTCCCTTCCACGCGAACTCAATTCCACTGTAGGAGAATTTATATTTCCTGGTCTGCTTTGAAAAGGGCGTTGACCAGGCCATCTGGAAGGTGTCTGTCGCTTGCAACTGCTCGTGGCAGGCCTGATCATCCTCGGAGTCATGTCCCTGGTTTCTCTTCGCATTGACGTCGCGATGGTATTGCTTGCCAGATTCCCCCCATAATCGCCAGCAACGAACCTTGTATCCTTTTAGATCACAATCGCCGTGAACCTTATTATCGACGTGTGTCCGATGCTGCCATTTGACCACCCCCCTGGGATCAATGGCAGTTGCTATCGCAGGTCCAAACTGTAGTCGCCACCGTCGCCAGCAGGAGTAGCTATGGATGAGACATATGGAGTCTCCGTCTCTTGACGCCGTATGGTGGAGAGTCCGTGGAGGATGGTGGAAACTGAGGTATGGCCGATGAACATAGTATCCGGCAGGGTCTTCAAGACTAGAAGGATCTTCTTTTTGCTTCTTCTGACGTCTCTTCTGGGTTTTTGGCTGGGCGGCTGTGGTGATCAGGATGCGGTCGTTTTCTTCGCGGTAGATATAGTACGTTGTGATATGCCCCTGCCCCTCGGCAGATATGATATCTTGCAGAGGGACTTTCTGCGGCATATTGTTCAAAGAGACGTATTGATTGCTCTTGGTCTGCATGGTGAAGTGGTTTCCAAAGTATTTTCATTATGGCCAGCTGGAATATGAACGCAACTCACACCCCATTTATACACAGGAACCTTTGCGTAGATGCCGCCAGTGTAGGCTCGGCCAAGGAGAAAGAATACGAGAGACTTGCCTAAAGCGGGAAAACCCGAGGCTTAGCAGGAGACTGCATCCCAATCGGGCAAGTCTCGTATTCAAGAGAAGCACTAATATCAAGAAGCAATACTGGATCTACTTGTAAGATGATATCGTTCTATCCATGTAAGAAAGGGGCGGTGTCTCAGGGTGCGATAGATGTGGCGAGAGCCATCACTTGCGGAATTGGTGCTGTGATTTGCAGTGTATCATTGAGAAACGCCTCAATTAGGACGCGTATTCTTGATTAATCGTCTCTATCTATCAAGATCGCCTGCTCGCGTACGATACTCTCCTGTTTCTGAGCATCACGAGGTGCAGAAACCCACTTTGTTCGTGGCACGTTCATGATGTCCTCCTCCACTTCGATCCCCCATCTCAATCTCCCCTGCGTATCCACAAACCAGCCGAGACGGGCATGGAGATTATCGAGCTCATCCTGCTTCAGAGCCCCGCGGTTGATCTCTCTCACGACTCGGACCAACTTATCGCTACCAGCAACCAAGACTAGAACATCGCCCAGACATTCGATATTCCGGATCAAGCTCCCCAGATACTGTCGCTGGAGCACGGCAATCACAATTGTAACGATCATGAGCCAAGCTAGGATGCCGATACTCAATCCCAAAGCGACCGTGTTCATCTGGAGCAGCTCCACCCGCCGAGAAACCTTCGCTACGACGGTCCGATTGGTATGCGAAACAGGCTGCCGTACATCCTGATAGTCAGATAACCTCGCTCGTGAAGCGCCAGATGCCGAGTAGGCATCCTCCATCGCTAGCCCCAGGTCCGGCGGTAAGCTGGCGTTGATAGATTGATAGGCCCATCCGCCAGTGATCATCGAAACGTTGTTGCTGACGAAGTGCTGGAAAAAGGTTGAGAAGGTCTTTTGTGCCATGGATTGGAAGGTGTCGATGTCGAGGAGAGCGGACGGATCCTGTCGGGCCATGGAGAACATTGCATAGGTCATCAGATCTAGGTTCAGGCCCGCTGTTTCATCGCGGAAATTGAACGTATTGTCGTACACGTTCTCTGCAGACATGAAACCACCCACCCGTGTTGATCCGTACATTCGAATAGTATCCGCCGCGGTGAGCATGGAGGTCAGGAACAGTGGGCCGTAGCTCACAGTGGCGTTGTAGACCATAAGGCCGGTGCTGCGGTTCACGAATCCACCGGCATGAGGTAGAAATACGTCGGAGAAGGCGCTGGACTCCATCTGAGGCTCGTCCAGAATCTTGTATGATTGAATCTCCCCGGTGATTGGGTTGACCAGGACCTCTGCATTGGCCGATTCAACAATGGGGTTGCAATTCATAGCTGTGATGGACGGGACCGACATGAAGACAAGATGATCTTCCCGATCTTCCCCATATCGGCTGATCCTGTGTACTCCTCCTTTGGCGCGTCCAGAAATCCATTTGGTCGTGAAGTTGTGCTGCCACGAACGAGCCGACCAGCTATCCCCGGCATTCGGCGACCAGTACCCTACAGCGACATTGGAGCCGACCGGATCACTAGAGTTTCCGCAACAAATGATCTGGGATGGATTGGCAAACACGGACGTGCATCCCAGGCATGTTGATCGATTCTGGATTGCTGATGCTGAGTACATCATGTTTGGAATGCCGGGCGTCCGTCGCAATGCTCCTAGTTCGTACCCTATCTTTACATCCTTGGGAGTCGTACTGCTATCCCATATGGTCCTGTTGCTCAGGTCGTCAATGCTCAGCCAAGATGACAGGTTGAGGAGGTCCGAAAAAGGGCTGCATTCGATTCGACCCCTGAGAGCAGGCGTCTGTAGCGACACATTGACGGCGGGAGCGACGGGGACATTTTCCTGGTCCAGTGCATTGCTGGCAAGCAATGGGGACGATGTGCTAATACTGCTGAGGTCGACCGGAACAAAATTCCAACCCTCTTGACTCCAAGCCGGTTGGGAGCCGTTCAATGCAAGCTGAATCGGTGCCGAGTACATCCAATGGGAGGAAAGATTGCGATAGAGATTTTGGATTACCTGCGATGCATAATCGTTCAGGAACTGAGCACCGGCGTTCTCCATCGTTTCAAAGACGAGAGGGATCTGGCGAACCTCCAATTGGCGGCTCAGTGTAACAAATTCGGTGATGTCGCCCGGTGAACGTTCGAAAAGTGCAGACATGGAGGTGGTAACTGCACGGTTAGCATCTGCGCATTGCTTTGGAGAACACTCTTACAGATGGGAGACAGGGCTGTCCCAGATGTGATCAGAAACAGCAGCCAGTGCTGATTGAAGGCGGCTTTCGCTGCAGCCCAGATCCAGTAGGACGATTGATATGAAAGATAGACTCCTTTGGATAATTGAGGCGAGCCCCTAGACATGGCAAGGAACGGCTGCAAGCGACGGAATGCATCATCAATGGCTGTCCACCACAGGCCAATGATCACCGCAATCAGGGTCGGAATCATTGAGAAGGGAGCGATGGTAGGCAGATTCTTGTTGAAGATCGTGATGCTAGCCTGATAGATGAATGCTTGCTGGTACAGCTCGGATGTTTCTGCAAAGTGGTAAAGCACACTGATACCTACAATAGTGACTATGAGGCAGACGATCATTGCAAGCAGGGTTGGGCGACGCAGGATGATTGGAGTCCACTTGGTCACCGAAGCCAGCTGATAGTTCTGCCCATCCTGGTTGAAACAGGGGTTGTTTGGAAGGCCTGAGTACACTTCTGAAATGCCTTCCTCATCGATGCGGTAGCGCCTGTCCTTCAAGGCTATCTCCATCACTTTCCGCGACGACTGATCTAACTCTCGGAAGAACATCCTCGTCCGGTCGTTATCTGCAATGAGATGGGCTACAGAAGCCGCTGTTGCAGGATCACTGTCGAGCCTCAGGGGCCTGTTACGAAGGCGAGACAGCCACCAGATCGCGAGTAGAAGACAAAGGGAAACAAAAAAGAGTACCCCCATGGCGATGGCTGGGCCGGCAACAACTACCACTCGTCTCTCGACCGTCTCCGTCTCTCCGAGGATTTCCTGCTTGGACGCCACCTCTGGTTGGGCGAGCGCTGATTGCAACACTTCGCCAAAGATGCGCTGCTTGACCCTTGAGATCCGAGAAAGCAGATCGGGATCGGTCAGAAGGTTACTCATATTGAAGGTATACAGAGCACCCAGTAACACTGATGGACCCCCCATGTCAGGGCTATCCGTCCAGATAAGTGAGGTCATGTACCGTGACCAGTCAGGTGAAAGGATCAGATCCTGCAAATGCGTGGAGTTGATTAACTTTGCTGGCACCTCGGTCTTCTTCCTATTGTACTCGCCTTCATCAAACGAGAGATGCGACCCTTCGGCCGACAAAGTCATGGTGGCGTTTACATTCGCCATGGTGTACGTCGTGCTGCAGAGTAGAGCCTTCGGCTGACCGTCTGCTGTTGTCAGTGGCTCTGACAGAATGATGACCTCCTTTTGTTCACACCCTCGCGCAAGGGAGGAACTGACATAGCTCAACTCGCTGTTGACCTGCCCGTCGGTGAAAGACTGTTTGCCCATGAAGAGAAGACCGGAAGTGTTGGACCAGCTGCCTCCGCCATATCGAACCATGTCGTGAACCATGGGCACGGCGAGGCCAAATTGGCATCCGTCATTTGACGTCCAGTTTGCAGATATTGAAGGGACGTCTGTAAAATTGCCATAAGTTGTGTTTTTGGCACCGATGTCTGCAACTGACATTGACGTGCAGTCGAGTTCACTGCGGAAGACCATGGTGTCTGCCGTCCATGTCTGCGAGGCCTCGGATGAGAGCGAGGTCAGCGGCTCGTCCTGCCAATATGCCGGCCAGAAAGGAAGAGCTGTGTAGGTATCGGTGATCCACGGAGACGTGGAGACATTCCGCAGCAGGTTCCCAATTGTCCGAAAATACGTCGTTCGATCGATATCCAAGGGCATCTTAGAGTCGACCCGTGGCGACAAACGGCGAAAGCTCACCTTCCGTGGGACTGAAACATCTTCCGATACGAAAAAGGCCGATGACAGAGGCGAGATGGCAAGGAATCCGAGGATGTTGACGATCGTCGCGCAGAGGAACACCCAGTTCGGTTTACGACTGCCATTCTTCTTGCGAGAGAAGCTGTCGCGGAGCGCAATCCACCACGGTGCGGGTGACTGAAGAATGCTGGCCGCTGCACTGGAGCCAGCTGGGCGTGCTAAGCGCGCAAAGGGTTCTGTGCGTTTGGCGTCTTCGAACAGCATCGCAATAAGTTGAATGTAAATCACGGTGATCAGCGTCGGGCTAAATCTCCAGCCAAACACCAGGGCCGAGGAACCATCGTCCTTGCCTAACCCATAGTGTGTTTCGGACCACCAGAAGAACAGAAAACACAGGAGACAGAGTATCAGCGTAATCAGGCTGAGTGAAAATAGATATCGGTGCTGAAAAGTGTATGGAATCCAGCTTTTGGGATGCTCATCCTCTTCCCGGCGTGCTGGTTGTAGATGTTCTCTTTGCGCATCCTCCTCACTAGACGAGCTGGTATTGGAATTGGCATCGTCATCTCTCTCAGTCGACTGAGCCTGACCCGGGGAAACGCTCGCGCGACGGGCGATGTCGAGGGATAACGCGCTGATATCATCTGCTCTGTCCACTCGGTCTCTTCCACCCATACGCGACATGTCTGACTCGGACAACAGAGAGGAGACAACAGACGTTCTCTCTTCACCCTGAGGCAGTCTCCCCACAGAATCTGTCCGCCGTGCCATGGCTCTTGTTGAAGACAAACATTTGAAGGAATAGATAACGAGTGAATATCTGGGATTGCGCACCGCTGACCCACGCGCTTGCGTGGGAGCCTCAGTCTCACCGCGAGCCGGCTCAGAGGCAAATGATAGTCAAAGAACCCTGTCTCCACTGTCAAATGAGCGGTGCTCAAGCATCAACGGTGCCCCTTGGCGCATTTCCAGCTCATCTCGACGGAACGCTAATGGCGGGGCAGCGGAACGGGAAGAGAGAGCGCTCTCCAATAAAAGGAAGCTGTCACAACCGCAGCGTGGCTGGGTGCAGCTGCCAAGGCGCCGGGGTTTCAGGGACTGGCTGTTTGAGACTTTGAGCCTATCCTTGAAGGGTTTCTGACTCGAAGGATGGAAGGAGGAATCCATGTGGTTCTTGCCAGTTGACATAGTTAACTTCCCAAAATGATATCAAATCCATGCTACTAACCAAGCATGCTGCCACCCCGACTCCAAACTAGACGCTAGAGGCATAACAATATTCTCCTTCTGAGCTATAGCTCTGTGGTCAAGTAGCAGAACAGAATAGTAGGCTCCAGCTTCCCCTATAAATTATATAGCTATAGTGTAACATTATCATGACTTCCGGGCTAGAATGTAGTAATCCTTTATAATATCTAATTCCTCTTTCTCCTCCTCGTCATACTCACCAATGGTCGTCTTATCGCCTGGTCTCGCGCAACTGTGCGTATTGTCTGGATTGTATCATCCTCCGGTCTCTTGGGTCCTGAAGAGATTCTGTGGGGATGGCGCGCTGAGAATAAACTCACCGAAGCGCAGTTCCTTGACATGCTCAACAGTGCGCTTGGTGGATTCGAGGTGCATGGTTCTGGCTTGAATTCACTAGCAATAGCTACCTAAGATCAACTTCCTTCTTGTGCTGCCATTATAAGCAAGTTGCGCTCCGTAATATGCCTGGTGGCGGTGAGCTGCTTTTCAGTTTGATCCTCAATCAACCACGGACATGGTGGGAGAGTTTTGAGAGGAAGCAAGAGCCACAGGACTGTATATCAGATGTTGTAGCTAGGTAATCAAGGTAATATGAATACTGATAGATATAAGTATATAACTCAGATATAGAGGTGTATCCTCATTCCTCCTCTTATTCTCCTATCCTAGCTACTCCCTAGTAGATATAAATAAGGGGATAGAGACTCTAATATATAGTATTTCTTTATTATATTCTTTAAGAATAACTTCTTAATTTTAATTTATAAATTATAATAGACAATCCTACAGATTATATCTTCTTAATTTATTAAAGATAATATCTCTTACTTTAAAACCCCTTAGCCTATCTTTAGCCTTTAGATTAAATACTTACTAGATATTAGATCTCTTATATCTAATTAGGTATCTAATTCTAGTTTATAGCTTTACCTTCTTCTTTAGTATGATATTTCATTATTAAAAGAATATTATTAATCTAAACTTCTAGAGTATTAAGATATTCTTTTTAATAATATTTCTTTGTATTAATTAATTTACCTATTTAGCTAAGGTCTTTTATTTCTTATTAATCTTTATTAAGATATAGTTTATTATAAAATATATTATCTTATATAATTCTAGATATATAAATTATAAGAGATTTAATTTTAGGAGTATAGCTCTTACTTTTTTAGTAAGAGAGCCTCTAGCTTATTTTATTAGGCTATTTATCTCTAGAGTATCTACAGAGGTGTGGTGCAAAGGTATCTGGCAGACCCACACACCTACAGCCAATTAGCATTCAGGGATTGTATGTACAGTGTCACGTGACTGCTGTATACTTTTGCACCACACCTCTGTACTACTATCTAATATAGATAGATCTCTTTCTTCTTTTATAGGGTTTTAAATAGATTTCTAAGTATTTATTTATTATTATATTAATAAGATTTCACCTCCTTCCTAAACTACATTAATATATATTTTATAAAGATAAATATAGCATCTATATATCTATTCTGTTTTAGATATATAAAGATACATATAGCATCTATATATCTATTCTTTTTTAGATATATAAAGATAAAGTATATCTTTATAATATTATTTATAAAGTATATTATCTACTTATATTTATTCTATCTTATCTTATTCTAGATTAAATTAAAATACATCTTATTAAATAGCTCTACTAATCTCTAAACTATTTATTATAATATCTATTTATCTACTTTTACTAGCTAGTATACTATATATATCTTTTCTATATTATTATTCCATATAGAAGCCCTAGTACCTATTATAGTACTTCTTAATTTAGATAGATAAATCTTTATTACTACCTAGTCTCTTTAGTCTAGTTAAGGCTATAAACTTTCTTTTTATTATTATAAATACTTTCTTCTATCTTTCTAGTATAATAATATAGATAATAATATATAGCCTATATCTCTTATTATATTAGTAAAACCCCCTTCTATTTTTATATATTAGGCTCTATATAGTAGTATTAATATAAATACCTAACTTCTAAGCTCTCTATAGTAATAGAATATTTATATAGAACCCTAGGATAACTACTATATCTATTAGATATACTATTTTTATCTCTTTATTTAATATCCTTACTAATATCACCCTTATATTAAACTTCTTAATTAATACTTTTATATCTCTAGCATAGATTATATTACCTAGCCTTACTAGACATAAGTCTATTATATTCCTTTTAATATTTAATATACAGATAGTAGACCTACTATGCCTAAATAGGCATGGTAAGTAAGTGTATCACTAACACAGTGAATACCACTCTACAACATAAAACAACCACAGCTTTGCTGCAACAGCCGCAGGGGTCTCAAATGCCGAGTATCAGGCATCATGACCGGTGAAGGAGAACAGGCGCGACTCCCACGGTCGAAAATTCCCAATCCTTTCAGTTTTATTGTCAAAGAATCATCATTTTTCCAAAATGGGATCAATTACCATCACCAAATGAAGTGCAGGCACGCACTAAGGCGCAACATCTTGCCGGAGTGTATCCAGACCAAGCGAAAACCCATTCGATGGCAGCCCCATATGTGTGACCACCACCTGCCATTTTCGAAGAGTTGGGCCTATTTGTTAAGTGGGGAAGCTCTGCCCAATTATCCGAAGCTCAGTGCCTATATGCCGTCCGTCAATCCCTCAAGGGCGATGTTCCTGTGCCGGAGGTGTATGGTTGGCGCACCGAAGGAAATGAGAAATACATTTACATGGAGTATGTGAATGGAACATCCCTTGAGCAAGTATGGCCAATCATGGGGCATGAGGACAAAGCTGGCATCTGTCGCGAACTCAGGAAAATTTATCAGCGCCTACGACAGGTCGAACAGGACCCAGAGGACCCATTTATAGGTACGAATAAATCGTGTACCCTTTAGATAACTGATTTCCGTCAGCTAATCTTTTTTCCATAGGCAACATTACGAAAGGACCGCTTTACGATAGGGCATTTCATGTGAACTATATGCATGAAGCAGACCCTTTCGCTACAGTTCGCGACTTTCACGACTGGTTTACATTTCTTCACCGAAGACCGATGTCGGATCCGTACTCAGTTCCAGTGGAACCTTTCCGCCATGACCTCCTGGACGACTGTACAATCAAATTCACTCATGGCGATCTCCATCGCAGTAACATCATCGTCACACCCACACCCCCATACCGTATTCTGGTGGTTGTCGACTGGGAACAATCTGGTTGGCTGCCTGAGTACTGGGAGTCTCGCAAGGCGCAATATACCGCTGATAGAGGTGAATCATGGTCCACCACCTACCTGCCCGAGATTCTGGACCAATTTGCTAGTACTTGGGATCCATGGGACTACTACACGTCGGCAATGGGATGTTGAGTTGTTACACACTGGTAGGATTTTCCTTGCGGCTTGTCGCCACTGATGGCTAGTCAGGGAAACTTTTATCCACCGTGAGAAAATCGAAGATCATTGATACCCGTCAGATCAGTTAAACCAGATTGATTTGTTACTTCATATAGTAGCCTTCCGGATATGGAATAAGCAAGCCCCACTAATACATATAGCTTATAGAATGACTACTTTAAGAGATAGATATCTCTTTTATATTAGTATACTTACTATCTTTACTTATAATATATCTATAAAAATATCCCTTATTTACTAGCTTTAATACCTAAAATTAAAGAGATATTAGATAGATATAGTAGATAATAAATATTAAAAGATTTCTTTTCTTTTAGAAGTAGATAAAAGGCTTTTTAGAAGGTAATAATCTAGAAGTAGCTAGATCTAAATAATTTCTAGATTTAGGTAGTAAGTAATTATCTCATATACGAATTTAAATAATACTAATATTAAATCTATCTTTAATTATAAACTACTATATAAAAGCCCTTACCTCCCTAGTCCTTTATCTCTTTGATATTATTATAAATTCTATTATCTCTAAATGATCCTGCTTTATAATAAGCCTCTAGTATATAAAGATATAAAATATATTAAATACTAAGTAGATTAATAAGCTAATATTTATTAATATAAATACTAGAGTTCTAGATAGGCTTTAAAGCATAGATTCTAGTATAGATAGTATTAATGCTATATTTGAAGATGATATCTAGCTTAAAGAGGAGGAGATTCTTTAGAGTTAAATATTCTATAAGAATATAGCTCTAACTAAGGAGCCTAAGATAGATAGATCTTAGGCTTCTTAGCTAGAGCTACTATAGGTGCTTAGAAAACAGCCTTGGAAAGCCTAAAATTAGATTTTGATATCTCCTAGGCCTAAAAAGCTTTAAATTTTAGTGTAATTTTCAGTGATTTTTACTATTTTTTTTTATATTATAGGGGTAAGTTACTATAAGGATCCTTGATCCATGAGAGCTGGTAAACTAGTATAGAAGGAGAATACTTATAAATAGGTTTAAAGGTAGGTATCCTTATTTAAAGAGGTTATTACTAAACTCCTAAGTTTAGTAATCATAGGTAGAGGTTATAATCTTTATATGTTATATGACTACTTATATAACCTCTTATAAGGGAGCCTTCTCTTAGATAGGTTCCTCTGTGAAGGTGACTCTGCTATATACATAAAGGACCCTTTGTGATCCTTTCAGTTACCTAAGTTAAATATACCCCTATTTTACTAGTAAATTTTATCTTTTTCTGACAGAAATACCTCTGTCAGGAAAAAAGGTCAAAATGACGTGCCATTTTGTCATTGTAAAAATCACCCCTACTTGCCACCATATAAAGTCGCTGGTTATTAGCTCGTGGCACTTCGCCAAGCATCGGGATCGAGAGGCGTTTCGCAAAACGGACCCCGAGCCGAATCAAACTGTGGTAAATGCCAAGGTCTGCGGCGCAAAATAGGTCGAGGGCCCTTCCAGTCTCCATCGAGAAGGATGAAGATTCATGACACGGCTATCATTGCTCCTTCTGCGGACTCCGCAAAGTGCAAATACCCCGAGACAGGCGGAGCCCGCGGGCCCCGAGGCTTGATGCCAAGGTTCGGGTTGCGGTTGGACTTGTATCGCCGAGTCACCACGGCACGACGGAGAGGAAGGCATCCGTGGCATCAGACCAGGCATCGGTATTTCTCAGAAAGAGTATGCCTGAGTTGCAAAGCTGGAGTTTTGATTTGCCCCTCCGTTTTGGATTGGAGATGGTCTGATCGTGGAGTAGTCTCTCCCCCTGTCTCCTATATATAAGACGCTTAGCCGCACATGGCGGTTTTCGAAAGTGATCAAATCTCCTCGTCATCTTCTATTCATATTATATGGCGCGGAAAGAGCTGCGATCATATCCCTCCCGGAAGGTGGACAGTCAATCTGGGACTTCAGTCAACGACAGCACCGATAGTCTAGATACGCCACGGACAAAAGATCTACTCAATGGCAAGGGCCCTGGGCAGATCGATGAGCGTTTGACCGACCTTGCCCGCAAGATCAGTACCGCTTCCCACCAGCCTAATCATTCATTCATGTTTGACGTGAGGGATGACAGCCCTCTCAATCCTCTCAGTTCCTCATTCAACGCACGCAAATGGGCACATGAATTCTACAACGTCAAGTACTCCGGAAATGATGGCTCCGGCCCACGTGCTGCGGGTGTTGCTTTCACGAATCTCAATGTCTTCGGGTACGGCAGTCCCGTGGACTATCAAATGAGCGTGGGGAATGCCCTGTTGAAAGTACCCACCATGCTTCGACAGGCCCTGGGAGGAAAGAAACAGAGGATTAATATCCTCCGGGATATCGAAGGCTTGGTCCTTCCTGGTGAGCTGCTCTGCGTTCTAGGGCCTCCGGGGTCCGGCTGCTCTACCTTTCTCCGGACGATTGCAGGAGAAACCCACGGATTGAACATTGACTCCGCGGCATACATCAACTACCACGGCATCAGCCCCCAGGATATGTTGACTGCCTTTCGAGGTGAAGCTACCTACACAGCCGAGGTAGATGCGCACTTTCCTATGCTCTCTGTGGGAGATACCCTGTATTTTGCAGCTCTTGCTCGTGCGCCGCGAACTATCCCCGGAGGAATGTCTCGGTCTGAGTATGCGCGGCATCTCCGCGATGTCATCATGGCCATGTTTGGGATTGGCCACACACTCAACACACGCGTGGGAAACGACTTTGTGCGCGGTGTCAGCGGAGGCGAGAGGAAGCGAGTTACCATTGCAGAGGCTGCGCTAGGATATGCTCCTTTGCAATGCTGGGATAATAGTACCAGAGGATTAGACAGTGCCAATGCGGTAGAATTCTGCAGAACATTGCGCACACAGAGTGATGTATTTGGTATCACGTCCTGTGTCGCCATATATCAAGCCCCTCAGGCTGCCTACAATGTGAGTATGAAGAGCCCAGCCCCCAGGTGAATTGGCTGACATGTGATCATAGATCTTCGACAAGGTCATCGTGCTTTACGAGGGACGACAGATCTACTTTGGCCCTGCAGCGGAAGCCAAAAAATACTTTGAAAGCCTTGGATTTCACTGTCCGGCATTCCAGACAACAGCGGATTTCTTGACCTCCATGTCGAGCCCGTCTGAGCGCATCGTCAAGGAGGGATACGAGCGCCACGCACCCAGGACGCCGGAAGACTTTGCGCAGCGATGGAAGGAGAGTCGCGAACGTCAGGCCTTATTGGATCAAATCGAGGCATACCGCAATGAACATCCGCTGAATGGAAAGGACCTGGAAGAGTTCAGTCTTTCGCGGCAAAGAGAGAAATCCAAGCATCAGCGGCATAAATCACCTTACACGCTGTCATATTGGGGCCAGATCAAGCTCTGCATGTGGCGAGAATGGCAGCGTCTCCGAAATGATCCCAGCGTGGAACTGGCGATGCTCATCGGAAACTTCTTCGAGGCATTGATCATTGCCAGTATCTTTTACAACCTTCCGGTCAACACCTCTTCCTTCTTCTACCGCGGAGCACTGCTCTTTATGCTTGTTCTCCTCAACGCGTTTGCTGGTGTGCTTGAGATCTTCACACTGTATGAGAAGCGCACCATCGTGGAAAAACAGAGCCGGTATGCCTACTATCATCCCAGCGCTGAGGCCATATCCTCTCTCATCATGAGTTTTCCCTACAAAATTACGAACGCACTGTTGGTTAATCTCACGCTCTACTTCATGTCTAACCTGCGTCGAGAACCGGGTCCCTTTTTCTTCTTCCTCCTGATCTCATTCAGCATGATGATGGGCATGTCGATGTTCTTCCGCTGGTTTGCATCCCTAACCAAGTCAATCGACCAGGCGCTAGCTCCATCATCGATTATTCTGCTGGCACTGGTGCTGTATACAGGCTTTGCCATTCCTGTTTCATACATGCGCGGTTGGGCGGCCTGGATTCGATGGATCAACCCAGTGGCGTATGGATTCGAAGCAGTCATGGTCAACGAATTCCATGGCCGGGAATTTCCATGCATGAAGTTTGTGCCGTCGGGACCAGGATATGAGGGTGTCTCCAGTACAGCGAGGGTCTGCTCGGTTGTTGGGTCTGTGCCTGGTTCCGACGTTGTGCAAGGCACGGCGTTTGTACAGTCCTCATACGGATACGAGAACAGTCATCGTTGGCGGGACTTTGGTATCATCGTCGCCATGATTATTTTCTTGGCCGTCTGTCATCTGATCACCACCGAACTGGTTGCGTCTAAGCGGTCCAAAGGCGAGGTCCTCGTCTTCCGTCGTGGCAGTGCTCATGTGTCCCGATTGAAGCAAACTCAAAGCGATGAAGAGCGGCCAGTACCTTCAACCATCTGGAGTGAGAAGGGCATTGATGAAATTAACCCTGTGAGCGGCGTTGAGAAACAGACATCTATATTCCACTGGGAGGATGTGTGCTACGACATCAAAATCAAAGACGAACCCAGACGGCTACTTGACCATGTCGACGGATGGATCAAGCCTGGCACTCTTACGGCTCTCATGGTAAGCAAATTTTGTTTTCGAGACACCGTTTGACACTTCGAGCTGACAGTTAAAAATGATAGGGCGTTTCCGGTGCAGGCAAAACGACTCTCTTAGATGTTTTGGCCAGCCGAACAACGATGGGGGTCATCACTGGGGATATGCTCGTGGACGGTCGACAGCGCGACGGATCCTTCCAGCGCAAAACGGGCTATGTCCAGCAGCAGGACCTTCATCTTGCCACTTCGACCGTCCGTGAAGCCCTCGAGTTCAGTGCTCTGCTCAGACAACCCTCGCAGTTCAGTCATGCCGAAAAGCTGGCGTATGTGGAAACCGTCATCGATCTCTTGCACATGCGAGAATACGCAGACGCAATTGTCGGGGTGCCCGGGGAGGGTTTGAACGTTGAACAGCGCAAGCGCCTCACTATCGGCGTCGAGCTGGCTGCCCGTCCCAAACTGCTGTTATTTCTCGACGAGCCCACTTCTGGTTTAGACAGCCAAACAGCCTGGTCCATTTGTAACCTCATGGAGACGTTGACTAAGAATGGGCAGGCAATCCTGTGCACCATTCACCAACCGTCTGCCATGTTGTTTCAGCGGTTCGATCGCCTCCTGCTGCTTGCCAAAGGGGGAAAGACAGTATACTTTGGCGAAATTGGGCCTGAATCCCGGACATTGATGGATTATTTTGCGCGCAATGGGGGTCCATCCTGTCCGCCAGGAAGCAATCCGGCAGAGCATATGCTAGAGGTCATTGGGGCTGCCCCAGGAGCTCATACAGATATTGACTGGCCGGCAGTCTGGCGCAATAGCCCAGAGTATCAGCAGGTGCACCGGGAGCTCTCTCAATTGCGTCAGCTGGCTGATACCTCGTCGCGGATGGATTCGGCCGATTCATCTAACTATGGGGAGTTTGCAGCTTCTTTTCCCGCCCAGGTTTACGAGGTTGGACTGCGAGTGTTCCAGCAGTACTGGCGCACGCCCTCGTACATCTATTCCAAGGCGCTGTTGACCATTGGTTCTGTAAGTTAGGATCGCATGGGTTCATTGTCTTGCTCTAATCAGTGCCACAGTCCCTCTTTATCGGATTCTCCTTCTTCAAGGCCGACAATACCGCTCAAGGATTGCAGAACCAGATGTTTGGTGTCTTTGTCTTCCTGTTCGTGATCATCCAGCTCATTCTTCAGATCATCCCGACATTTGTTACCCAGCGTACCCTCTATGAGTCACGAGAGCGACAGTCCAAGACATACTCCTGGCAGGCATTTGTCCTGTCTAATATCTTTGTTGAGATAGCGTGGAACTCGGTAAGTATCCGATCTGTTTCGTCCGTAGGATTTTCCGTTCTGACATCTGTCCAGCTCAGCGCCGTCTTCTGCTTCCTGGTCTGGTTCTACCCAGTCGGAGTCTATCGCAACGCAGAATACACCGACACTGTCCATTCCCGAAGCATGCTCGTCTTTCTCATCATCTGGGCCGCGTTTCTCTTTGCCAGTTCCTTCGCTCACCTGCTCATCGCCGGAGTCAGCAGCGCAGAGATTGCCTCGGCTCTGTCCAATATCATGTCCATCATGATGTATGCGTTCTGCGGCATCCTGGCTGGTCCTCATGCCCTTCCGGGCTTCTGGATCTTCATGTATCGCGTCAACCCGCTCACCTACCTGGTCTCCGGCCTTCTGTCGGCTTCTGTAGGAGATGCACCGATGCATTGCGCGGAGAATGAGCTCCTAGCATTTGTTCCCCCTGCCAACCAGACGTGCGGCGAGTACATGGAAAGCTACATGGGTTCTCGGGGAGGATATTTACTCAGCTCGGTCGCTCGTGATGAATGCCGATACTGCCAGGTCGACAACACCAATCAGTTCCTGGCGAATTTCAGTATTGATTTCTCAACACGGTGGAGGGATTTTGGATTGTTGTGGGTGTATATTGCGGTCAACACTGCGGGGGCCATGTTTCTATACTGGCTTTGTCGGGTTCCCAAGCGCCGGAAGGGCCAGTAGATAGCTGAAAGATTTTGCCTGTAAATGTAATATTAGAGATATACTAGCGATATTAATTTGTTCCAATTAAGTATGTATTAATTCAAGCTTACTAGTGCTTAGCTGGGACCGTTTCTTTCATTCGTAGGCTCCAACGATAAGCACTACCGAAACTATATATAACAGGCTTGATTCTCCCACCAAGCTATTGTTCCCCCCAGGATTCCTGTTTCTGACCCTTCTCATCCTTCGCAATGGCTAAATCATTCGAAAAGTCATGTCTTCCGTACCGCGGCTCTTGTCACTGCGGCTGCATCCAGTATATTGCGATCATCCCACTGCCCCCAGCAGTCGCCCTGGGATCCGACCAGCCTGTTTCATCTCGGGCGCGCTTTTATAAATGCAACTGCTCGACTTGCCAGAAAATGGGATACTTCCATCTGCGACTTCCCGACGCCGCGAATCAGTTTTTCGTGCTCTCTCCTTCTGATCTTGGGTTACTGGGTGATTACCGCTGCCAAAGTGGCCGGGTGCAGTGGTTGTTCTGTCCCAAGTGTGGCGTGCGGTGCTTCGCCGTCGCTGGACCGTGGAAGCAGGATACAATTGACAGAGAGCTTGTGGATATGGCACTCCCAAAGAACGGTGACGACGAAGCAAATCCGGTCTCTGTGTGGAGGATGGACCCCGCGTTGTATCAAGAGAGGGTTACTGGGTATGTCAGTCTCAATGCGCTTACAATTGACCAGGATCAAGCGCATGGAACTACTCTGGACTTGCGAGAGCTGGTAGATCGAAAGTGGGTTGAATATCTGGACTGCAAAGAGAGGAAAGAAGAGAACCGATACACATATCCTCAGGAGAAAGGAACCTGGTAGAGTTGAGGAGGAGCATGTATAATTTTTCTGCATGTACATTCTCCTACTAGCTAGTACCTACGCTGCTGCCATCACTCCTGCTGCCTTCCATGGCCCTTTCTTTAGACATGAGATAAGGAAAAAACCTCGCAAAAACAAAAACATACAACAGCCGGGATTCGCTGGTGGTCACCCACCCAACTACTAACCGGCCGGCGTGTGGCTTAAGTACGGCTGAGCGGACGGGAAGCCCTGTTCTCCACACCCTGTGGTCGTATGTGCTTGAAGTAGAAGAGAGGTGATTGATATACAGTGTCCTTTCCTCAACAAGAACATGTTTTGGACGCCTGGTACGCCATCTCAAAGACCTTACTAGTTACTGCTATCACGCCGCACCATTCGAAAATGATGACCAAGATCTGTCACAAGCGATAAGCCTTTGGAATGATGGCCCGGACGATCAGTCCGCAGTCATTGAATGGGTTATCTTTGCTCTTGAGCGCTGGTAACGACGGGGTGAGACCTTCAGATTCAGCCGTGGTAGGAATTTGAATCTCTTCGTCTAGTAGTTGTTTGACCCCACGCAAGCACTCGCAGAAGCATTCGTAACTAATCGACCCAGATGGAACGGTCCGTTCGACTTGCCAAACGCGAAACCCTCCTCCAGGTCTCGATGAGGAGGTTTATCCGCCATAGACCCCGGGAACCTCCGTTCTGTCCGAGAGTTGTACACTCTTCCTAGGGATAAGAGAATATGGATAGTTGTGCTTGCATATATTCTGTTGAATTGAGTTTGTTTATGATGGTGAGCATCACCTGGACCCGAACAGGGCTTGAAATCGACACATATGATCCAGCATGAATACGAGGTTTGTGACATCCTTGATACAAACTGAGGTGACTCATCCCAACATGCCAAGGTCAATTCCGCTCGCATCCGAGCCATAAATGATATAAAGCGTGTGAATAGTAACTATGCAGTCCTGACCAAGACCAAGATTCCCAGCATCCAATCCCTCTCCTAAACAGCATGCTCTTATCTGAACCGTGGCGAGTAGGCCTGACCAGCCTCGCAATTGGTCTTAATGCACTCACAATAGTCGCCCATACGAAATATAGTTTTGACATAGCCCTACCGCAGTTCGCATCACACAAAACGCGGCTGTATAATGTCACTGGAGTCTGTTTTCTGCACCTGATGCTCCTTCCTGCCATGTCCAGTAAGTACCAAGCACAACATATACGTCAAGGATTGTCTTCTTACGACCATCTGTCGAGTTGAGTAGTGCTAACAATAGTCCTAGGCATTCTGCAGCTGAAATGGTTGCAATATGGCCTGAATGATCCTTATGACAAACCCTTGCTGGCTTGTTATGTCGTTGGGAACTTGGGGTTTGGCTGCTGGTACTACGCCCTGGGCTCTAAACCACCTCTATTTTCAACTTTGGTGGCTCCGATAGCCACTGTTCTCTGTTTCCTTTAAGACTATGAACAGTATGCACCAACTTGAAGATGACGTCGAATCGCTTGGGTTCATCTCAGGGGCAACGAATCCTGCACTCCTTGATTGTTGCGATGACCATGGGCTCTGCATGGATATCTCCCTGAGACTAGCCTATTCCTACCATAATCAACATACTATTAGAGTCAGAGCTTGATGAGAGCCTGGTGGAATTATGAACTGAAGTAACCAATGTGCCGTATGAGCTTCTGCTCTGTTTCCCATAATACTCTTGACGGCAGTGGTCAGCGGCAACCAATTCTTGGCAGCATCTGTAGGCTTCTTGAGATCTGGAGGTGCTGCTGGAAGAGGACACATCAGCAGAATAGGACTTGGTCGGGGTCACTGGGTGTGCAGTATTAATGTTCAGGTGGTTCAGGTGAGATTCAGGTGAAGGGGGTGAAGGGGGTGAAGAGGGTGAAGACAGTCCTGTACTGGGGACAATCGGGAGCAACCAGGGCTTACCCATTTAGGAATTCTTACGCGACTTGAGGGAAAAGCGAGACTATACAGGGAATGACATGTGCGGGTATTCAAAAGGAGCGTGGGCTTTTTAACACAACTCCAAGTTGGTACTATGAACACTGGTACCAGCTATCTATAAGAAAACTGACCTTCAAATCCTCAACCTTTCGACACGAGACAAATCACTTCTCCAAATCGATGGCTGCCCCCATTACCTTATCCAGATCCTTTTCCACCGTCTTCCACTCTCTCTGAATCACCTTCAGCACCCAGTCACCGCGAGGCTTCAGCTTGAATGGGACATCGGGGGGCGTTGTCATGAAGCCCACAACCATCATGGCCCACGGATCCACCGCCTCTGTGCCGTCGACAGGCTCGATGTCGAATGCCCAGAGCAGACTAGCCACCTGCATGAAGGTGCCGTCAATAGCCACTCGCCGACCCTGGCAGATCCGGCGACCCTGTCCGAAGACCGGCAGCGGCAGATCTGTCCGCAGTTGTACTCCTTCGTTGTCCGCATCAGTCTGCCGGAGCCAGCGATCCGGCACGAAATCTTGCAAATCGCCCAGCGCCGGGTCAAACACCTTGTCGTCGCGGCCGATGGCCCACGCATTCGCCATCAGAGTGACACCCTTCGCGATGCGGACCCCCTGGAACTCGTCGTCGCGGTCCGCGCGGCGCGGGATGGACCCGGGGGCAATGGGCCGCCAGCGGAATAGCTCATGGGCAATGGCATCAATAAAGGCGAGTTGGGCGCGGTCGGCGAAGCGCGGGAGACGGTCACGGCCGACAACCTCATCGAAGAGGGTGTGCGCGCGTGCTACAAAGGACGGCGAGTGCAGCGCTGCGATAAAGAGCCAGAGCAGCTGACGCGGGGAGGTCTCCATACCGCCCTGAATCGAGGTGGCCAAGGTGAAGGCGAGATCCAGATCGGGGATCGGGGGGCTAGCAGAAGAGGTATACTTCTTGGCGGCGGAGATGGCCTGCTTGGTGGCGTTCCAACCAGCGGCATCCCGTCCGTGGCGGAACAGGCGCATATTCAGGTCGGTCTGTGCTGCGAAGAGCCGATCGGCGACACGTTTCCATGGTGAGAGGATGGCGGGGAGGTGGCGTAGTGCTGGCATGAGATCGGGCAAGCGCGGATTGGCGGCGAGGTGGGTAATCTGGGTTTGAATCTCGATGATCTCGTGCAGCACCTTTTCCTTGCCATTGGGGATCCGCATGCCGTAGTGCAGTGCCAAGATGACGCTGGACTGGGTGCGCTCCAGCAGCGGGTAGACTGCGTCAGTGCTGGTGGTGTCCGTAGTCCCATCTGCGCTCTTGCGCAACAGGTTCACCAAGTCCAACAGAAGTTGATTAGACTCGAGCTCCATCACCGGCTGATACCTAGGTGCGGCAGGGGCCCCAAGACTGGGGGATAGAATACGGTGGTGTAGCTTGAGGTGCTCGTCATAGTCGTGCATCAGCGTGAAGCGACATTGCCCCGGCCCAGCGCCTGTAATCATTTCCATGCTGACCGAGGGCGGCCGGTTGCTATACCACTGGCTGCGACGGCTGAACAACTCGGTCACGGCCTCATACGAGTTGAGCACCACAATTGGAATGAGGCCAAACAGTCTAGGTACCGCAATCGGGCCATTTTCTCGAGCCCAGGAATCCCAGTTCACTAGCGGTTTCTCAATGGGCGAGCGATGGAGGTCACCGATCAGGGGCAGCTTGATCTGCTTACTATCCTTCCTTGCATGCACATGGATGCAGAGCAGGGACAACAGCCCTGCAGCAAGAAATGCCAGCACTGTGGCCGTCATAGTGCAGGAGACGATATTTCATACAATGATATACTCTTGTATCAATATGTGGCACTGGAGGACTGAACCTGTAGCCGGGGGGGCAGGCCGACTACATAATTCACATGGGGGAACTGTGAGCTGTCAGCGAGCAGACTCATGACAAAGGACAAGATTCGACGCTATATAGTGCAAGACCGTCAGCGGCCGGGGTTCAGACAATGGCATTGGCACTGGTGACGCACCGACCCAGCTAGTAGGACGCTAACAAGAACAAGATAGTGCATCCGCCAATGAAGCCGTCGAGGCGACGCAAGCGAACCCCAAGTGTCAACACCTGCACACGACGGGACGGGCGGCTAGAATCCCACTGTATATGTATAACAGTTGATGGGTCCTGTTTAACCTGGTTGGGAGAGTGGAGAAAGGCTCAAATTTTATGACTTCAGAGTTTCTGGCGTTTTGAGTTTTGATACATCCGACAGGGGTGCCTTACCTCTCTGATATCAGATATGTCCAACAATTCGACCATCCGGTGCATCAGCGCGTCGGTTTGTGGTAATAGATATGCGTACATCTCGTCGAATATGCAATAATTAACCAGCTGAGGCCGTGCTCTCGGAGGAACCCAACCCCCACCCGCACGCCTTGCAGTTTGATAGACTTGATAGTTGCCTATTAAGTCAATGCAGATACCAACTCTTGAATTGCGGGTCTTTTGGCCCCTGGAATGATTCGCATCCTTGCCATGCAGGAATCTATCACTACGATTTCCTTGAGGGTTAGATATATCTCCTTTGGGGTGCCCGTGGGTTGGATGAGGCATTGAGGCAAAGTTCGAACGAAAGAGGCAGAGGGAGATAGAGAGAGCGAGTTGAAAGAGGAACAGCAATGACAGTCATCTTCCCAATCCAAAGGCACCACCAACGGGCCGTGCTGGCGGTGGCCCTGACCTTCTCCATCCTGGCAGTTACCGCCCTGTTTCTACGCTTGCTGGCCCACCATTTTGCGCGCAAGAAGTGGACCTTGAGCGATTATTTCCTCATTGCTGCCTGTGTGAGTTCAGCCCAAAGCTTGGAAGAATCAGAGGCTTTAGAGGCTTTCAATGAAAGCATTTCACTAACGCTCCTCCGAGTGCATAGATCTTTGCTGTAGCTCTTCAATCGATTAGTATCACCGGTGTCATCCAAGCCGGCATTGGATACGACCATGTCCCTGCCATCGTGGGCGTCTACGGGATGGCGCCCATCACCAAACTGCTACAGCTGTTCGTCCCGCTGCAATTCCTGTGGGTGTTGAGTTTGAGCTGCACCAAGATCTCCATCCTGCTGTTGTATCTCCGCATTTTCCCCGTCGCACGGGTCATGTATGTGTGTTGGATGACCATTGGCGTGATCGTGGCTTGGTCCATCGCGACCATCCTCGCCGGTTGTCTGATCTGTCGTCCTCTCGCTTTCAGCTGGGACTCAACGATTCCAGGCGGTTCATGCGGTAACCAAGTCACCTCGTTCACCGTCACGGGCGTGATCAACCTCATCACCGACGTCGCCGTGCTCATTACGCCGATGCCGAGGTTGTATCGCCTACAGATGGCGAGGTATACGAAGGTGGCGTTGATTGCGGTCTTTGGACTGGGATTAGTGTAAGAGCCCTCCCCCATCTAACGATTGTGTGGATTGCTATTTCGTCTCCTCCTGTACTCACGGCCTACTCAGCACTTGCATCATCAGCGCTCTCCGCATCTCCGTGCTGTCCACGATGGACTTTGTCGATATCACCTTCACAATCCCCTTGGCGAATATCTTCAGTGGCATCGAGCCCTGCTTGGCTGTTGTGCTCGCGTCGATTCCCATGATGCGACCCTTACTGACGCGGTCGGCATACAGCCCCGAAGCATCTGGTGGGAAGACTTCATCACCCTCTGACGCAGCAAAACCCTCCTCAGGCGAGGATAAGTTCCAGCCACTGCACGATGAAACAAGCCAGCTGTGGTTGCGTCCAGCGGGCCCGAAGCACTATGCAGGTATTGCGGTCCAGGATGCAGCCTCGACAGAGAACCTGAACACAAACAGTGCGAGGGAAGAGACGGTTGAAACGAGAAGGCGAAATGGAAGTGGAGGGATCACAGTCAAGCAAGAGTGGGCAGTGCTGGAAGGATCCCGGAAGCATCAGCGTCAGCGTTAAGAGGGGGCTCGGCAGACGATGTTTTGCTGTAGATATTCATTCCCCATGGGAGCATCCCGCGGCGATGGCCCAGGGGCCTGTCCTATGCATAGAAGATTTTATGTGGGCCACAGGCGTCGTTTTAGGTCTCTGACGAGGTACTACATCCTGATGGCATTATTCTGATGTCTCGCGCATCTCTCAACCACCGGAGTACCATCCGACGGACAGCAATACCATCCGGACGGGACTTCTCCAGCTGGAATGGGCTCAGCAGATTGAGAGGATCACGTCCTATCCTTGGATGCTTGCTGCATCTGACTTGGTGTAGTGACCATGCATATTATTACTGCTCTAATCATATGTGCTATCCAAAATGAACAGTGCTATACAGAGCTGAACTAGGTAAAGATGTATCATTGGTAAGATCGTGGTGGTTTGTTTTTAGCCTGTGCCATCGCTACAGGACGGATGGCCGAGGCTTATATATAATGCCATCACTTTCTCCAAACTGGGAAACCTGGCGGCCATTCTAGCAGCATAGACGAGACTCATAGACAGATCCGTTTTTGGAGATGAACTCTCATTACTTGGACACCCTAAGCTGTGCAGTTCGCCTCACTTTTAACAGATAATTTCTGGCTCAGTAGAGTAACAGATCAGGATCCCAATCCAGTACAATTACCTTGGTAGGCTTTACTTATCCCTCTATCATGGTATATAAATCATCCCTCTTTAACTTCAAATACATACGACCACAGGGTGTGGAGAACAGGGCTTCCCATCCACTTAGCCATACTTAAGCTAGTATTATCAACACAGCCAGAAGTTATATGCACCCTTGAAGGCCTGCTGCTTCATGGGTGAGAGATGCTAAACCACAGGGTGAGTGAAGGTAAGCTAAGTGATGCTATCTAATAGTATAGGCAAGCATGGGTGATTAGTAGGTGAGTAATTCTATGGTGACTGAACTCCCTATAGCCCATTACTAGTACCTCCATTGCTAGCTTAAATATGAGGGCCTCCTCTCTGCTCAACCATTATCTCCTTTCCCATTTATGAGTGGTCTTTTTTGGTGATTTATTTTCTCTTAGTTTTTTCTTTTATTATTCTATAGTATATAACATGACATATCTTTAAATACTTTAACCCCCTTAAGAAAAGTAGAGGAGCTCCATAAGTTTACTAAGTTATAAGGATTTATAATAGAGTAGTAGGAAAAGTAAACAACTAAACTAAATAAAATTAGCCATAAGAAAAGGGCTCTAGCTACTAATAATAGATATAGCTATTCTATAGAGTTTTAGAAATTATATAACTAAATACTCCTTAATTACTATAGTTACTAATAGTATATAGATGGATGCTTTCTCAAAATAAACTAGGTGATTAATATTTTATAAAGAAGGAATCTGATCCTCTTATTTAAATCTTAAAGCTATTTTTAGAGGTATTTATTACTTTATATAAGGGAGACTAAAGACTTACCTACTTAGTATATTATTTATTTAAATTTATTTTATTTTATTACTAAATAGTAAAAAAAAACCTATAGAAAGCTAATAAATATAATAAAAGATAATCTTTATAAATAAGTTACCCTATATAATTATACTATATTGTGATATCAGTGAATGAATATCATGAGTAGATTAATGATTATTAAGGTTGACCCTGGGTTACTAAGGTTGACCTAAGAAATCTCTATAATATCTATAACTTATCTTTTGGATAGCTAGCTAGTAGCTAGATATAAATATAAGATCTTACCCTAGGTAAATAAAGAGGTATTAGCCTAGCCTATCTCTCTTTACCCCTAGTAATACTACTTTACCTATAGTAATTCTATCTAGTAGTATATCTAAAGTTATAAATAATAAGAAATTAAATACTCTTACTCTACTAGATCTATATTTATTTTAATAAATACCTACTACTCTTCCCTATAAGTAACTACTAAATTTAAGCTAAAAGATAGTAGGGTAATTATACTTAATAAAGAGTTTTTATTATAAGAGAACTCTCTACTAAGCCTTACTAGAAGAGATAGAAATAAAATAAGATATAGTAACTCTAGGCTAGAGAAGTATTACTTAGTTATTAAAATAAGTTTTAATAAAAAATAATCTCTATAAGATAATATTCTTAAACCTTCCTACTAGAACTACTAGTAATAACTAGCTATCTATAATAAATAATCCTACTAAAAATCTATTAGAGGATATAAGATAAGTCTTTACTAAGTTATTTAAGATAGTAATCTAAGAAGTATTACTTATTAATATTAATATACTCTTCTAGAGTATTTACTAAAAGTAATATAATAAATAAATACTATCTCTAGGATTATAAGAGATAAACTATTATTATAGATTATTACTTATTTTTAAGGTTTTAAACCTTACTCCTATCTTAGAGTATAAAGATATATATATAAGAGATACTATCTAAAAATAATAAAAGAGAATTAAGGAATATTTTAGGGATGTCTTATTAATAATAAGAAAAGTTTTTTCTAATCTAGAATATCTTATTATTATTAAGTAGAAACTTATAGGATATACTTATAAAAGATAGGAAGTAGATAAAACCTAATTATAGATTAATCTTATATTAGTAATTACTAATATAGAAACCTTTTATATATAGCTACTAAAGAACTTTAAGGAATATAATATAAATAATAAAAGATAAAAGAAATATAAAAGCCTTATCTAAGGTTTATAACTTGTATAGCTATATATTACTATCTTAGATAAAGCTATAGTATATATCTCTCCCCTAGTATATAAAGCTTTCCTTATTTAAAAATTTATTATTAGGAGTTAACTAGAGCTTAGGAAAAGATAGATAAAGGACTAAATATAATTATAAATATATAATAAAATAGTTAAATACTTTTCCCTCTATAAGAATAGCTTAGTTACTACTTAATAACTTAGAGGTAACTTATAATTAAAACTATAATTTAACTAGTATAATAGAGATCTAATAAATCTAAGTATAATTACTAGCTCTTCTTAGCTAAGGAGAAACTTCTTATAACTAAATAAGGATTTATTAAAGTAGAAATTATAGTATTACTAGAATAAAGTATATTTTATATATAATAAAACTAGATATCTCTAATTATACCTCTTAAAGATAATAAAAAATAAGAAAGATTAATAAATCTAGAGGTACTTATTAATTAAATAAAGAAAGCCTCTAACTATTAGAATATATAGTATAATTTCTTTAAAGATAAGAAGAAAGAACTATCTAAGAGAAGGAATCTTTAACTATTATAAAGAATTACTAAGATATATCTAAATATAATAGGTATTAACTCTATATATTATGTAATAGAAGTATAAAATAAGAGATAGATAATTTAGGTTAAGGCCTTTATTAACTATAGAGCTAGTTACTTATTTATATTATAAATAATTATTAATTATCGTAATATAATAAAGCCTCCTTATAGTAAAAGAAAAATACCCTTAATTATATAACTACTAAATAGAGCTATAATAAATACCTACTAATAAGTAAGAATACTAATATAAATTAGGTAATAAACTAGTCTTACTAAGTTATAGATCCTAGATACTAATAAGTATAAGGTAATCTTAGGTTATAACTAACTAAAAGTTACTAATCTATTAATTAACTAGTAATTAAATTAGATAATCTTTTAAAATAAGAGAAGAATATACTTTACCTACCTTATTAACCCTTAATATAAGATTAAATATTATAAAGATAACTTAGTATAGTAGGTAACTATAAAATAACTAAAGTAGACCTTATAAAAAGAGAAGTTAATAATATAATTATGCCTTCTCTAAACTAGTAAAAAGAAATTAATAACTATAAATTATAGTAAATAAATAAAAGACTTTAAGGATGTATTCTAAGAAGAACTTAATCTAGGAATATTATCTATCTAAGAGATAGACTATATTATTAATATTAGTAATACTAAACTAACTAATATAAATACTTACCCCTAATTACTAGAGAAGTTTAAGAAAACCTACTACTAAGTAGAAGAACTACTATAAAAGAGAGTAATCTAGGCCTTAATAAGCTAATAGGATTTACTAGTAGTATTAATCCTAAAGTTAGAAGGAAAATAATAAATATATATAGATTACTAAGTACTTAATAAAGTTATTATTAAGAATATCTATCTACTTTAAGAATTTAGGAGTTAATTAACTAAGTTAGTTAGATAAAGATCTTATTAAAAATTAATCTTCTCTTAAGATACTAGTAATTATAGATAATAGATAATTTAATTATTAAGATAGTATTTAATACCTTCTTTAGAAAATATAAGTTCCTTATAATATTATTTAGACTCTATAATGCACCTATAATATTCTAAATATATATAAATAGTTAATTATAAGATCTCCTATATATAATAGTATATCTTAATAATATCTTAATATTCTTAGTAAGTAAAGAGGAATATAAATAATATATATAAGAAGTCTTTATCTAATTATAAAGGAACTAGCTATTTATAAAAGCCTTAAAGTATAAATTTAGTTAATAAGAAATTAAATTCTATAGGTATATTATTAGAGAAGGAACTATAAAGCTAATACTAGCTAAGATAGAAGTTATTATCTAATAACTAAAACTAAAAAATATCTATAAAGTATAATAATTTCTTAAACTTATAATATATTATTATTAGTTTATACTAAGATTTATATAGGTTATAGCCACCCTTTATAACCTACTAAAGGAGTTAAATAAAGACCTTTAAAAAAAGAAATTCTATTTAATTACTTAGATAGTAAGATACTAAGATATCTTTACTAACTTAAAAGAATTAATAATCACTATATTAGTACTAATAATTATAGACTCTAATTAATCTTATTAAATTAAGACTAATACCTTAGAATAGGTAATAAGAATAGTTTTAATATAGGAAGATAAGAACTATAAACTTTATCTAATTATATTTAATAAAAGGAAGCTTAGCAGCATAAAAAAGAACTACCTAATATAAAAGAAGAAGT